CCATTTCCTCCGTTCGAGCTTATGGGTGTCCTCCGAGTTTCGGAGGATCCTTCTGCCGAGTCGACGATTTTGTCCGCCAAAACGATCTGTGATCAGTTTATGGCATCTCGCTCGGAGTAGGTCGAGATCGGTGATCTTTTCGGGCGGTGTTGCCGCGATCCACTTCTTGGCCGTGTATTCGAGTGCACTGGCCTGATATCCGAGGTTCTCTTTATCGGACTTAGGTGGTGTTGTGAAGAATCCGTCCGCACTATTCGGTCTTGATGCGTTTGTTGCCTCAAAGACTTCGTTTGTCGGTGACGGAGTACTACCAAGTTCGCCAGTTCCGAACATTGGTGGTGACAACCTTTGGTTCAGGTCGACAGGTCGACTTTGTGTCGCCTTGGTCGACTTCACCGTTTGTTGAGCTTCGGTTGCTCGAGTCGGCTCGCTTCCGGTTGGCGAAGGTCGGCTCAACAGTGAAATTACCCGTTCGTTGGGTGCCGGCATGTTAGTCGGCGATCCAGCTGGGTGAGGGCCGCTTCGTGGCGGTACCTCGGAATCTTTCGTTCCCGCCGGTGATTTAGTCGACTGGACGGCCACGTCCAACTTTGTGTCGGTTGGTTGCCGTTCCAGGCTAGTCGGTTGCTTGTTACCGACTTCTTTTTCTCCGACCTCTGTGGTCGGCGTCTGTTGTCCGACCTTTGAGTTTGGCGAAATCCTTCCGACCTGTGTGGTCGGTTGGACGTGCCGACTTCTGTTGTCGGTTTTCCATTCCGTTCGAGGTCGGTTGTCTCCGACCTCTTTCGTTAGTGGTAGGTCGACCTTCGGTTGGTCGACTTCCCACCATTTGTTGGTCGGCTTCCCTATCGGTGATTGTTCACCGACTTCTTTGGTCGGAGATTTTCGCTCGACCTGTGTGGTCGATTTCCGTCCGACTTGGTTAGTCGGTATGCCCATGTTGGACGAGGTCGGCTTCGGCACTTCTTCCGTCCTGTTGGGTGATTGCCGTCCGAGCTCGGTGGCCTTTGTGACCGTTACCGAGTCTTGAGCTCTGTGTGAGCTCGACTGTTGGTCGGCATGAGACAATGTGGTCTGCCTGCAGCTGTTCCACATCCCCCGGTCGGGTGGGACGGGGCTGCTACGTCAGCTGGGGCTTCCAGGAATGTTTTATCCCTGGCGTCCTCGAAACTATCGTCCGAAGTTGGATTCGAGTCAGCGAGGAGAATCCGTTCGTTGCGTCTCTCCTTCTTCGGCCGACTTAGTCGAGTCGGTTGAGGACGGCTGACTTTTGTCTCTGACCGGCGTACCGGAGTGAGTACTTTCCGGTCATGTTCGCACGCCGAGAATAGTCCGTGTTGAACTTTCTCGCGTATTCGTTTTTCTTGAGATTCGACATTGTTGTCAATCAGGTCTCTGGTGGAGCCTTAAAGGTTTTATTATTAGTTAAAGAGAAAATCGAACAATCTTCTGTGAGGATGTTCGATGAAATCAGGAACGTCTTTGGTTCAGGAACTTCCGAGTGTCAGAACGTCCGGTGAGATGTTGTTGTTGTTGTTGATGTGTCTGTTGGTGACTCAGTACACAGGGTTAATATACAGTACTATGGTACAGTACAGTACGTTATATAGTAGTACGGTGTAGTACGTCCTATACTACTGTGCTGACCAGTGTGACGTAACAGGTTAAGTGGTCTTGCACTTCTGCCTACGTCACAGAATGCGAGCCGCGTGCAAAATTTACAAAAACGATGAATCACGCCTATGTTAGGCTATGGGAACTTTCCCTGCACTCTGATTGGCTGCTTCTTAAGTACTGATAAGCGGTCGTTATGACGTCACAAGGAAGTTCGAGAATTTTCGCGCTATTTCCCGCGAGAAAAACAAATTATTTTTGCTCGGCTAGAAAGTTTATCTAGTCGGATTTTTGAGTTTTTTAACCGTTAGAAATTAGTTTTATTAATTAAGAAAATTTTCTGATGGTCGAAAGACCGTTAGAAATCAAAAATAAGAGTTTCCGACCTGTTGCCGGTTAGCCTTTGTCTAACTGTCTAGACAGGTTCGTTGACCTAGCAGGTCGGTTCTCGACCAAAAGCAAAATTCCGAGTCGGTTTCTCCGTCGAAATTACTTTTAACCGTTAAAAAGTTAAATTTTACGGATAGAAATAGTTTTCCACCGTTAGAAAATGAAAAGCCGACCTAGTTGCGGCTAAAATCGACCTAGAACCGTTACTTTACCGGTGTCGGTGTCGGTTCCGCTCGATTTCCTCCGTCCGAGGTCGGAAATCCGTCGTTTCCAAGTGAAATCCGCGTGTAAAGTTGCGGGTCGCTGTTCAAAGCGAAGGTCCCCGTATTATTGGATTAATCCGTTCGCGCTGCAGACTCTCGTTCGAGTCTGATCCGTCAGTTGGGAGAATTCCGTGCTGTTGGGAAACGTACTCTTCAATGTGGAAGAGACAGAGAAACTGTGCTCACCAGCTGGGTGAGAATCACTTCAGTGATCCTCGTTTTCCTCAGCTGTAAGACGATCAGATCAGTCGATCAAAGTCAAGGCAGAGATTGCTTCAGCAATCATCTGACAGTGACTTTCAGGTTCCTCACGAGTTCTCCGTAATTGAAGCCTTCACCGTCTCCTCAAAGGTCTCCGTGGAACGAAAACCAGAAAAAGATGCTGCTACCATGTAACAGACAAGCACGAGGAGATCACGAGTGATGCTTTATTGACAAATAAAGGGGAACAATGCTGCGTAATAGCAGGAAAGCAAGAACAAAGCACTGATGGCTAAGCAAGTGTATGCTAGAAAAGCTCTTGAGCGTCCGTCAAGGCGTGAAAGAAGCAACTGGCGGCAAGCACGTGCTGTGTGCCATCAGCTGTGTGATGATGCGCAGACTGGACTCTATCCAACGCGAGCGTATGAACGCTGAGTCATACTGCGAGAGGAACGAGAGAGCAAGTGTGGCTCAGTGTATGCGCTGCGTATATCCGCTTCAGCGGATGAGTGCAGTGCAGCAGCACACGTACGTACAGCGAGAGGTGGTAACGGCAAGCAATGGTGCAAGTACGTCCTGTGTGGACCGTACGCACCAGGCGCAGTCGTACGCCTCTGACTTTTGTCCTGACCGGCGTACCGGGTGAGTACTTTCCGGTCATGTTCGCACGCCGAGAATAGTCGGTGTTAAACTTTCTCGCGTATTCGTTTTCTCGAGGATTCGACATTGTTGTCGAATCAGGTCGGCTCTGGTGGAGCCTCAAAGGTTTTATTAGTTAAAAAAAAAGAGAAAATCGAACAATCCTCTGTGTGAGGATGTTTGATGAAATCGGGAACGTCTTTTGGTTCAGGAACTTCCGAGGGTCAGGAACGTCCGGTGAGATGTTGTTGTTGTTGTTGTTGTGTCTGTTGGTGACTCAGTACACAGGGTTAATATGCAGTACTATGGTACGGTACAGTACGTTATAGTAGTACGGTGTAGTACGTCCTATACTACTGTGCTGACCAGTGTGACGTAACAGGTTAAGTGGTCTTGCACTTCTGCCTACGTCACAGAATGCGAGCCGCGTGCAAAATTTACAAAAAACGATGAATCACGCCTATGTTAGGCTATGGGAACTTTCCCCTGCACTCTGATTGGCTGCCTCTTAAGTACTGATAAGCGGTCGTTATGACGTCACAAGGAAGTTCGAGAATTTTCGCGCTATTTCCCGCGAGAAAAACAAATTATTTTTGCTCGGCTAGAAAGTTTATCTAGTCGGATTTTTGAGTTTTTTAACCGTTAGAAATTAGTTTTATTAATTAAGGAAATTTTCTGGTGGTCGAAACACCGTTAGAAATCAAAAACAGGAGAGTTTCCGACCTGTTGCCGGTTAGCCTTTGTCTAACTGTCTAGACAGGTTCGTTGACCTAGCAGGTCGGTTCTCGACCAAAAGCAAAATTCCGAGTCGGTTTCTCCGTCAGAAATTACTTTTTAACCGTTAAAAAGTTAAATTTTACGGATAGAAATCGTTTTCTACCGTTAGAAAGTGAAATGCCGACCTAGTTGCGGCTAAAATCGACCTATGACCGTGACTTTACCAGTGTCGGTGTCGGTGTCGGTTCCGGTCGATTTCCTCCGTCCGAGGTCGGGAATCCGTCGTTTCCGAGTAAAATTCCGCCGTTAAAGTTGCGGGTCGGTGTTCAAACCGATGGTCCCCGTATTAAGGAGTAATCCTATCGCGCTGCAGACTCTCGTTCGAGTCTGATCCGTCAGTTGGGAGAGAAAGTGTCCGTGCTGTTGGGAATGTGCTCTTCAGTGTGGAAGAGACGAAGAAACTGTGCTCACCAGCTGGGTGAGAATCACTTCAGTGATCCTCGTTTTCCTCAGCTGTAAGACGGCAAGATCAGTCCGATCAAAGTCAGAGCAGGGATTACTTCAGTAATCAATCTGACAGTGACTTTCAGGTTCCTCACGAGTTCTCCGTAGATGAAGCCTTCACCGTCTCCTCAAAGGTTCCGTGGGAAGGAAAACCAGAAAAGATGCTGCTACCATGTAACAGATGTGCACGAGGAGATCACGAGTGATGCTTTATTGACAAATAAAGGGGGAACAATGCTGCGTATAGCAGGAAAGCAAGAATAATAGCCGTGATGGCCAAGCAAGTGTGTGCTAGAAAAGCTCTTGAGCGTCCGTCAAGGCGTGAAAGAAGCAACTGGCGGCCAACACGTGCTGTGTGCCATCAGCTGTGTGATGATGCGCAGACTGGACTCTATCCAACGCGAGCGTATGAACGCTGAGTCATACCGCGAGAGAGGAACGAGAGAGCAAGTGTGGCTCAGTGTATGCGCTGCGTATATCCGCTTCAGCGGATGAGTGCAGTGCAGCAGCACACGTACGTACAGCGAGAGAGGTGGTAACGGCAAGCAGTGGTGCAAGTACGTCCTGTGTGGACCGTACGCACCAGGCGCAGTCGTACGCCTCTGACAGCACTTATTTGATAGCTGGAACCGATCCATAATTATCGAAATTCGCCTGTAATGCGAGCTGTCTTTTTGTGACAATTATCTGAAAAACTATGAAGTATGCACCGCAACGAAGCCTTTAGAATACGGTATTAACTAAGCAATCTAGTAACGTAAATACCGCTACAGTAAATGCCGATTTTGTGAAATTGTGTGTAAATTGTAACCACCGTATAATATATACCTGCATCTCCTAATTTACTCGTAATACGGCGGGTGGGCTGGTAAAAGCATCGCGGTGTTTTGAGACTTGCCCGCGTTCGACTCAATTCGACCATTATTGATCCCTCCGCAACACTGCATGAATAGGAGACCATACGAAGATTTCGCAGTTTCACAGGTGGTAAACGTAATCCTTGTACAGTGTACTTGAGCATTTCTGTTCCAGTTTGTGACTTTGCACCTCTTCAGCTTTTCAACTTTTATACGAATATCGCACTGACTAACGATATGATTTTAACGTTAGACGATCCATTTACTTCTTTCTGCACCTAAAACTGTTAAAAGAAATGCAAAACGAGAGAATTCTGAAGATCATATTTGTTGGACCAGCCAGTTCCGGAAAATCGTTGCTTGTGAATATCTTATCCCAACAAATTGATATCACGAAAATATCCTATCGTCCCACCAAGGCAGTTCGAATAGTGGAAACCGATGTACGATGAGAGCGGCTTATTGCGAGCAGATACAGTAATAAAGATAATGTATAAGTACCAGTGCAGATTTAACGTTTCTTTCGTTTGTGGTAAATTTTAACTCAAATTTATACCGGAACAACATAACGAGCTTTATGAATACATATCAACATATGTATTCATAAAACATAAAAATATTTAAAATTAAAGAAAGTTTTGTGGCTAGCTAAGTATAGAGTAACCACTGCTGCTCTTTGAAAAAAGTGCTGTAACCACAGCAGAACAACCACGCAGTGAATCAGTGCAATTAAGTGGATCCATCATCCAACCAAACGTTGTGACCAGAATTCATGCTGTTACCACTTCATTCATACAGGTCAAAGAAATCCCCAAAGAAGTTTCGATTCTTCCAAAAAATATCGGGATCCAACTTTGGGATTTGGGCGGGGATAAGCACAATCAGCAATACTGGAATTCCGCTTTGTACAACGCCGATGGCGTCGTTCTGGTGTACAATGCTGACCGCCCTGGACAGGACAGGGAGCTGGAAACTATTGCCTACTTTTTCAACCAACGTCCCGAAAATGCTATACTGAAACCAGTTTCGGATTCCCGGTGTTTTGTGATCGCCAACAGCCAGCGTCAGCAAGATCGTTACAGGAATGCAGATAAATCACTCCTGCCATCGTCAATCAGTAATAAATGTAAGTCATCCAAAACAGTAATAGCGGAAGGCTTATCGATACTTTTAAAATCTGTTCAAAAATTTTTTAAATGGATTTTGATTTCAACAGTTAAAGAAATCCACTTCAACGACCCGCGAGACGATGTCGAACGCATACAGAAAGAGTTCCAGATTTTCGTTAATAACATTTACACGGAGATCTCAACAGGGCGAAAGTAATAAAAGCTGCAGTGAGCATTGCACAGGCTTAAAACATTTCTGTCTAGAAAACCAAAATTAATTTCCTTCTTCGATTAGAAATTAGAATGCATCATGCAAAGAATAGTGCGTTATGAGAGTTTAAACCGTACATACCATTTCAAGATTAAATATTTATAGTATCGTCTGCTCATACATGATTCTGCTAAAGCCCGGAGGAGGAACGAACTGGAAGTTTGTGAAATAAAAATCAAGAATGGCATCGCGGTCCACAAAAGCACACGGAAAAACAGTCCCTTTCGGGCCCCGGACAGAAGTGTTGAGCGGCTTTCCATTAAGATGGAAACTCATCTCCACATGATCATAGGCGACACCCTAAGTAGAAAAGCGTAAATTTTCCACCAGTGATTTAGGAAGAATAACAGCTATCAAATAACACAGATATACTAGTAAGTGTTCTGCTTACCGCTGTTAATGTTTATAATAATCATACCTCGTGTGAAGATTTAATTACTTATGTTAATATATAGATATTTACAAGTTACAAGTAAGCAATAGGAGCCACTGGTCATATTGTATATTTGTATGTTTTATAACTGTCCAGTGTCCTGAAATGCAGTGGCTTCAGTGCTCTGAATGCCAGTGCATCACATAGAATACGTATTCCTAATTTTCCATTCAGTTGAAATTCAACTTTTAAATTTTATTATGAATATAGATATAAATAATTTTAAATGAACGAAAAATGTATCTGTATATCTATATCCGTATCAGTACTTACATTTTTTACTAGCGCATTCATGAAACAAAGCTTATGAGAAGGTTTAAAATGCTCACAAAACTGGTGTATCCCGAAATCTCAAGTACAAGCTCCTCAAATACGAATAAAAAAGAAATAATACTTCTACAACTGCCGCAAAGTGACGATGGATCACCCATCACCAAAATTAAGACGTATGGTGCTTACCACAACGTCGCTCTCACGTGGAATCTCAGGAACTTGGCCAATGATTTCGTTATTATGGTAAACTTTTCCGTCTTCTCTCAGAACCCAGCTAGACGTATCTGTGCCGAACGGGATATTGTTAACATTTATCGAGCCCAGGGAAAGCCCTATTCCCCATTGTCCATCCCTCTGGATTTTCACTTCGAAGTACGCCTTGTCTTGGTTGACGGAAGTCGTGGCGATACAGCCACCGGATCCACACAAACGACTCCCATTTTTTATTATCACAACTTCATCACCTGTATATAAAGAGTTGTAACCAATGCAAAAATGCTTTCATAGTCAAAGTGCGACAACGAAGATCAGAACGTACCCATCCGAGAGGTATCCAACGACACCGGGGGATGCACCTGGAGAACAAACTGCGCTTTGTCTGCATCAGGATCGCTGCAGAATCCATACGATTTACAAAAATTGCATAGTCCGAACATTGGTACTAATTACATCGAATCTATCAAGCAACAGCTGTTCCACGGAACCCAGAGTTGCGCTATCATTCGGTGATTTTCGTATAACGATGGTATCCGAGATGATGAGATCTCATCAGCTCAGTTTACGCACATAGCCCATAGGTAGAAATTTGACGCAAATAGTAGATTAGCGTGCCCAACGGTAAAGCCTAGGGTACACAACTGTCTGCAATACGTGAGAGTTTGCCCCTGCATCAGTGCTCGATAAGCTACGCGCGCTTCGGAGTCTCCTCGCTGCTTGCACTTCAAAGGCTGCAGCCGTGCTGTGATTAATTTTGACAACAACAATTTATAACATTAGAACTAAAAATAAAAAAACGCTAAACTGTAAAAGTTTTGGTTGGTAGAACTACAAAAGTATAGTGTTTCCAGTTTTGCGGACGTTTGCCAATTTTTGACTGATTTTCCCTGATAACAGGCAAACTGGAAAACATATTTTTATCAACAGAAGTAGTGTATGACGCTCATGCTCCGGGAAACCGTAACTGTGGCCAGCTGTCTACGACTGACTCTTCCTCTTATTAGTCTTGCCATTTGGTTCAGATTCAGAATCCTGGATGTGCCAGTTCCTACTAACAGAAAAACCTAGGATAATTTTTCCCTTTAAAGATTCAAGTTGATTGATGATCCCGTACGGTAACTGTTGTTGTAACAAGAGTGCTTAAACCATTCCGACAATGAGTGCAAGTGCCAGTCAGTCAGTATTTCACATTGGAGATGTGAAAACTCCGCTCGGAATCCAGACGTTTTTATCCGCAGACTCTCTTGGATCATCGGTCTATGATCAGTCGCTGAAGAAGGACGCTGTATACTGGCCGATTAATACGTTTGCGCTTTTGTTTTCTCAGGCGATTGATTATTATCAGCATCGTGTCGATACCGTGCGCCAGCTGGAAGAGAGGTTGTCTGCTCTTGGCGCACAGGTTGGCTCGCGAATGTTGGATCACTTTATGTATAACCACCAGAAGACCAAGCGCGAGCAACGCGTATTAGCAATGCTTGTGCTGGTGAAGGGGCCTCTATGGAAATATTTGTTTGGCAAGGATGCCGACCAGTTGGAGCAGTCGAATGAAGCCGAGGGGACATATTACATTATTGAGAAAGATGCTGTAACCAATCGGTACATTTCCGCTTCGATTACAAAAGAGAAATCCACTACGGTGGAGCGAAATTGTGGAGCTTTCCTGGCTGGTTTGGTACAGAGTTTCTTAACAGATTCTGGATTTGCATGTGTTGTCAATGCACATGCACATAAAGGAACGACTCTGGTGGTTGATTTTGACAAAGCTGTTATTGCCAGAGAAAAAACTTTAGAATCCACAAAATGATTGACATTCGGAGAAACTATTACTCGTACAGAGCATGCGTTTTCAGCCGAACCAAATGTTTTTTGCTCTTCGAATATTGTGATTGAGTTTTGTGTTTACTAAAAAAATTGTGAAACTTATGTGTGGTTTGGTGCTGTTCTGGCGCAAGTGTTACTTGTATCGCATTTTGGGAATACATCATTCACTAATTTAAAAAATGTACATCATTATTTTTAGTTATCTATAATACAGTTTTGTTAAGTACTGTAATTTATTCAATCTTTCTGTCACATACAAGTTACTTGAAGCAAAGCAAAGCACCCATTGACCGCCGCGAATACGGTTTGGTATACATCAAACATTTTTCGTCTACTAAATGTTGACCTCCCTTTTGTTTGGGTTAAAGTAGCTTTTAAGTGATTGCCAGCATTCATAGTACTTTTCATCCAAAACTTTGCACTCCTTATTCCCGTAAGCAGTCACAGCCAGACTTAAAGAGCTTTCGAACATGAAAGCCATTGTTCCATCCGCTACTCTTTCCGGCTTCAGGTCGGCTCGCGATGCTTTCTCGAACGCTGGACCATCTGGGCCATGCGGTGTTCCCATGCTATGCAAAGATGCACCACCAGGAAGAAAGCCCCCTTCCTACAAGTTTGTTTGGATCATTCTTGTTATATCAGTACTCCAGCAAAGCACAATATAATGGTACATTTCATGTCGTTTACTAACAGCAGGCTTCTCATAATCAACAGAAGTTCTGATGACAAGTTGCTGACCTTTGCTTCGTAATTCCCATGAATCAGTCCCATGAATTCGCTCATGCAGTTTCGGTGGTAATACGGCGGACGAAAGGTGTGTTCCGCTACGCCCCAGCGTGGCGGGAAAATGACGAAGTCAGCGATGGCGGTGCCCGGCTTCTGACTTGGACACGTCAGTACAGTGAATATGGAAGGATCGCAGTGGTCGACCGATACGGTGTTGATGACAACGAAGTTACTGAGGTCATATCTGTAGGGAACGTAGTTGCCATGCCAGGCCACGACATCAAAAGGAGAATATTTCTGTAAACAATAAATGCTTATGGCCATGGATCTGGGTCTGATTCTCTAGCTTAAATCTGTCACTCACCTGCGTCGCAGTGAATAATGCACCCTGGAATTTGTTTATGATTTCGAATTCAATTTCCCTTTCCTCGTACCAAGCAGTTGGCGCCCAAAAATCTTGTGGGTTAGCGAGTCCGTTGGCACCTTTGTAGAAGAAACAAGCAGAAAAACATAAGTGTTGATTCATCTGCTGAGTAGACCGCTACTACACCTGATTAACAGATATTCTAGCTACTCGCTCAGTTTAATCCAGAGCAGCTAAACCGAAAATTCACACGTTGGCTGCAACGGTTTACATTACAATCTGCAATAATAATACAGTTTGTATATGTAAGGTTTCTTCTACAACTAATTATTAAAATTTAATCTCAACCATAATTGTTTCATATTACAAACTAAATATCGCCATTTCCGGTCATTTATTAGACACGACGGTGATGAAACGTGATAAACGACAGTGCCGGCAAACATGCGAAGATGATCATGCAACACAATCTGCAACTGCAATTGTGCAGACTCATACCGATGGGACCAAGGTTTGGCAAGATGAAATGATTGTCATAAACTTCCAGCACGTAACCACGAGATTCCTCCTTAATGTTAACGGAAAAGCGCATTCCTTGTTGAATCACACAAATTTCATTAGGAGATACAGTCATTCTGCCAAATTCAGTGAAGACTTCCAGTGACCCTAAAGATGTTGCAAATGTGGCTTTTCAGTAATTAATTCTCACCACCATTTACCGTCATTTCAAAGTATGTGTGCTCAAAAGTTGATAAACTGGTTCTATACCTAACTGAGGAACAATCAGAAGGTCACCATCAGAATTGTAAAAGGCTCGGTTTTCGCTCATGCTGGTGTTACAGGTGTAAATGTAAACAGCGCATCCATTCCTGCTTTTCGGGTCACCAGCACAGCAGACTAAAAAAATCTCTTTCAAGCGAGTACAGTTACTACAATAAAATACTAAAATAAAACACAATAAAATACTAAAATAAAATACCTACTCATAAGATCAAAACTACTAAGAAACACCAATATGCTGCTGCCTGTATAATTGTTGCATTAAACTATTTAAATACAGCACCCGCCATCCAGCAATCAAACAAATTCTTTACCAGTACGTAGGCCATCCACGAAATCCGTTTTGTCTGACTTCGCTGGTAAAGGAAATGGCATCCAGCGAAGCTGATTTGGATTCGGTGGAACATCCTTCACGTCATACGTGACATATTTATGCGTATACGGCTGCACAAAAGTTGACAGTGTAAATGGTTAGCATGCTCTCAAAAATTGGCATAGATAGATAGAGTCATTTCTAGCTTTCGTGCAGTTTTATTTTGCAGTGTGGTCACTGGGCAGTGGACACATTCTCTGTATTATCTACAGGTTGCAAATTATACAGCCAGAAGTTTAATCCAGATATGATTAATGAAGCTAATATTAAATTCAGTGGTTGCTGTCTTGTTAAAAATTAGCAAATAAATCAAATTTTCAATGTACGTATACGGGCATATATAATTTTTATAAACCGGTAGTATTCGTACCATGTACAATACTGCACTGCAGAGCCAAAAAATTTAAAATGCGGTGTGCTGTTTAGTTTTCGCTGTGTTCAGACAAGGATGATGAATGTTCGATTGTATGGACACAAGAAAATGGCAGCAGAAAAATTTAAATGTTCTGTTAACTATTATACCTTGACTATTATACTTATACCTTGAATAATTATTAGTTACTGATATACCTTGAATGGTTTGTGGATAACCGATGGCCGAATGCGATAGAACCATGTTCTTTGGTTGTGTTCTCGCGGTGCGGTGAAAGCGGTTCCTGATAGCTGTTCGGCGTATAGGCCGTACGGGCATACCTGCGGGTTGTTTTGTTTTTCTGGTAATGCACCAGGACATCGACTGTCTTCGGAGCGGAAGTAATTTCCGAAACCGGACTGATACTGGAGTTTGGCCGTTGTCATAATATACAAACAATAATTTAACTTCAATGCGTGCCCCTAAAGAACTGGACAAAGTACTCAGCTAGTACATCCCGATAGCAAGTGAAACCACATTGAAGGAAAGTAGAAACGAATGGAACATTATTCACTTCCGTAATATGTAGTCGCCACGAACCACCTCTTACATTGTATGTATTAAATGCGGTTCGCGTGTTGGTTGCAATCTTCACCTCACTTCGGTGATTTAACTGATAGTTCCTCTCGATTTGTACTTACACGGGAAGTTAGTGTTGGTTAAGTCTCGCGATAATTACTGTACGCACCGGAACATACTATGCAGTTTGCAAAGATAGCGATAAAATTACCTCGATCAAATCTCAAACTACAGTACTGCGATCTTATCTCTTGCACAAACTTCATATAGGTGTCACAGAATTACTAACCAAACTCGTATACCTCGTAAATAAATCTAAATGAGATTATGGTTAAGACCTTAAAAAGCTTGCGCTAACGTTAACGATGTAATTACATAATTACTGTTTTTCGCTGTAATTTTTATGTCTTGGAGCTATCTACACCACTGTTACGGCTCTAATATCTATATTAGACAGACGTGGAAGAGATGATGTATTGTACCACAGTACTTTAATTTTACTTACTAGGCGTGCATACAGTATGCACAACGCTGCGTTTTAAACTTTGGTTAAAGCGTCAAAGCGAAAACTACAGTATAGATTTGTTCAATATGATCTTCACAAAATGAATTAGCAATATTCAATCAAATTTACATTATCTGCACCACAATACTGCAGACTGATCAATGCACTTACGCAACATCGTACAGCATCAACAAATAACGGAACATACCGGCCCACGAGCCATGCAGAGATAATTTGGTCTAGATTAGCCAATTAAGAGAAATTGTTATCAGATTATTGTTTGTCAAAAGTAAAGTTGCGCACGTCTGCAAAACGCAAAATATTATATTTCGGAATGCACTAGACTATTGTACCGTACGCACTCACTTGCTATACTGTAAAACACATCTGAACGAAAGCTTTATATCACATTTGCGTATAGTTATGATCATTATTGATTTTATACTTCTTTAAAATGCATCTAATGTTAGTTATGTACGAGTTACTCTGTAAATCACTATATCTATACTTCTGTACGTATGTAATATGTATAGATATTCTGTGATCTCTCAGTTAACGCAAAGCAACAATGCCAGTTATGTAGCCGGTAAACCGTGCTTAATTGCATATGTACCACTTCTACTGTGTATATGATATTCCTTGTGTATATGATATTCCTTAAAACCATACCCTAGCACTATTACACTTGTAGTTTTTATTCGGCTGCCTGAAATGAATTTTATTAAAAATTTTTCCAAACGTTAAAAATTGTTTAGGCAAGAGCCGCAAGACTACAGGCACACAGCGTTTACCCAGCGAAATGTAAAAGTAGCAAGTACAGATGACGACAGACGGCAGTTACGTTGATTAGCCTAGTTTTTAGGGACTTATCGGTTGTCATTTGGGATTCAGCCCAATCTCTTCCCTCACCGTCAGGCAAAATGTGATGCTGATTTTAGCCTTTAGGCTTTCGCTGTTACGGCGTTTACATTGGTATTTACGCGTTTAGTTTTAATTTTCGTTAAGTGCTTCTATTTGTATTCATGGTTTGAGTTCTTTGGTTTACTGTGGTTTTGTAACTTCGCTTCACATAAGGTTTCCTAAGGGATGCGCCGGTTTGCATCCTCAGCGACATCCTTAAAGCGCTGGGATGGAGTACGAGGATCTGTTGAATGAGCTCCGTGATGTGGGTGATCTACGCTGGATTCTCTCTCCGCATGGTCCATCGCAAACCCCCAGTACTCCCTCGGAAGCGATAAAAGAGTACGTTTTCAACAGCGATCGCGTTCGCGACGTGATTACCCGGCTAAGCACGGCCAGTACTCCTTTATCGCCCGATGGCCTCCCTCAGGAACCCCCTACCCCCGACGCCCTTCGCACGAAAGTGCGAGCGATTCTGGATGAAATGGGCCACCAGTATAACATGAAGTATGTCCGTCTAATGGGCTACGTCCTAATTAAGGCGGTGCGGCGGATGTACGATCATGTATGGGTTAACACAGAGACACTTCACGAAATGCAGTCAAAATTCTCCGATCCCAGTGTCCCGATAGTCCTGATGCCTACACATCGTAGTTATGCGGATTTTTTATTAGTATCCTTTGTGGCATTTCACTATGCGCTGCCGTTGCCCATCATCGCATCGGGGATTGATTTTCTGGGGATGTTTGGTGTGTCGCAAGTGTTGCGACGTGCGGGTGCCTTTTTCATACGGCGTTCATTTGCGGATGACATTCTTTATCGCACGGTGTTCTCCGAGTATATCCAGGCCGTGGTGTGCGGATTGCAGCCGCTGGAGTTTTTTGTGGAGGGTACACGGAGTAGGAGTGGGAAATCCCTTTATCCGAAATTTGGTCTGCTGCAGACAGCAGTGGAAGTATTTCTACGCGGAAAAGTCTCGGATATTACCGTGGTTCCAATTAGCATCACATATGAGCGCACACTGGAGGAATTTCTCTATGCTAGGGAATTGTTGGGTATACCTAAGCCCCGCGAATCGACTTCCGGTTTGTTAAAAGCGCGGAAAGTGCTGGGGGATTGTCACGGGAGCATTTGGTTCCATATGGGACGGGGGATCAGCGTGCGGGACTTCCTTACCGGCAGAGTAGACCGGAGCTTGTATGGTGTAGTGCCGCGTAGCCGTATCGTCATGGATGCAGTGGACACCCCGTTTATTAAAGATCTAGCAATAGCCGTAATCAGGGAACAGCAGTCCAGCATTAAAGTCCACAACTGGGCTGTTCTGGCTACGGTAAGGTGTTTTGGAATATAGTTATACTTCTATGGATAATTAAAAGAATGCACGCTTTTATTCAACTGATCGAAAGCGGCAAGGATGTACTGAATTTTATGTACCTAAACGTATTTTGTTAGGTATATTGACAAATTTTCCAGAATGAATAATTTTTTTTATTTGCAGGTTTTATTGCATCGCCTACGGAAAAGCGAAACTTTCTTCGCGGTATCGTCCATTCTCCAGGAATGCAACGATTTTTTAGTGCTGGTTAGCCATACCGCGGCCGATCATGAGAGGCGGCAAGATTTTACTCAGGATTCTTTGACAAACTGTTTGCGAATTCATGGTAATGTGATTCGTTACGGAGCAGACACAACTGTGCTGGAATTTCAACCAAATCTTTTAAGCCATCTCGATGTGCTCCATATCCTCCTGGCACATTATCGGAACCATGCAGTTCACCGTGTGATAGTCCAGGCGTTTCGTGTTCTAGTCAAAAAAGTCAGTTGGTGCAGCGGTGATCCAGGCCGTTTTCTCTGTCGGTTGTTCTCTCGAGAGTTCGCTCTGGATAGCAAGAGCCTGGGCCCATGCGTACCGGTGGAGCCGCCCACACCCGACTACTTGTGCGCAGCTAAATGGAAGCCGAGTGATCCGCAGTCCCTACTAGAATCCATAGCGGAGCCTTTCCTAATTGGTTATGATATTCTTCTGCATGTGATGCAAAGCAGTTTGTTCGCTACACGATCTGTTTTCCGGACACCAAAGGAGTTGGGTTTGCTGTTACAGAAAGCGGTATGTACGTTGTTGGACATGGGTATTTATGGAGGCTGTGAAATCTTGTCATCGGATCTCATATCGAACTGCATTCAGGCGCTGAAACCGATGGATGCGTTGTTGGTGCGCGACGGACAGCTGGTTCTAAATCGTCGAGTGATTGTTGATTTGACCTTCCAGTTGAATACATTCATTCCCGTTGAAGCGGTTTTGAATATTACTGATACGGTGGAGAAAGCGTTTGGTCATATAGCGTTTGGTGCAAAAATTTGAGTGAGTTCTGCAGTGTTGTTTAATATCACGGTTTGTTCACTGGCCTTCTAATTTTTGGCAGTACAATACATAAATTGAACATTGCAATGGCATATGAAGCCGACAATAAAAATGGCGTGCACATTTTGCCGCTCGGATTTCATTTGTTTTGCTACTATTGAAAATGGGAAGTCCCTCGTATGTGAAGTGCATTTTCGATAAATAAAATGGAATTACGTTTAATGACGTAACTGTAAAAACATGTCCAGTGCCTGTTTTATGATTTACATAAATGATTGTAAATTTGAAATGATGGATGGACAGGTCACAGCCCGAATTATTATGATGATTGTTAGGAGCAGACTTCTCGAGGAAAGGTTGCCGATTGGTTTTGCAGCCAGTGAGTGTCGCCTGTCAGCCCTTGACCATGAAAATACCGTACGTAACTAGTAAACCCTCGGGATGCATTAATTTTGAACTTCCAAAAAAACGGTGTTAAGCAGTGGACCTAGGGCCAGTGGGTCATCCCATACGGGGTGGCAACTACAATATTCTGAGTCATTAAAATTTAATAGCTGTGTGGGTGGCGACACGAAGCCATTAAATGTAAGCACCGAAATAATTCAGAGCGGTATCATAGGTGGCTATGGTAGCGACGAAAGCGTAGGCTAAGCTGGCTAACTGAACAATATGGTTCGTGTGTCTGCGCCACTTTATGGGGCAAGCATGCGTCGCGCACATTTGGGTGCGGGCAGATGAATCGAACGGATGGTTCTTCGATTTCGGTTTGTTCATAACTGCAATCATTCAAACGTTCAAAAGGGCCGGAAAAAGTTCAGTTCACCAACACCAGCGTTCCATATTCATCCATTTGGATTTTTATTGTTTTCCCAAGCATTGGTTCGTTCTGGACAACAGGTACGTAACTTTATTATAACCCGAAGCCAAAGTAAAGGATAGTTTGGACAATATAGCAGAGAGTATGGACTATTGGGAAAATTGAATAAACTGGAAAGTTTAAATGGGGTCTTGCATTTTGTGATTTCCTTCCTTGCAGCTTCCTTGTGCAGTACAGTACTGCATTTTAGTGCTGATCTTCTTTATATGATGCCCTTGCTCCAGAATCCGTCTGTTTAGAATTTCGTTTGTGTTAAATGAAATATCACTGTTTTGGTAAAAGAACGGTAAAACAAGGAACAGATCTGATGAAAAAAAAGTGCAGTGTTGCACAAGTATGTTGTGTCTGGCTGCATAGTGATAACTGCATGCTCAAGTTTTTACTGTTGTATACAGTATAAGCGGGGTTATTCTACAAAATTAATGTAGAAATGTTTCGCAAAATCATGTATGTATGCTTATCTAGTATTCAATCTGGTATAACCGTATAACTTATAAGTATAGATATTTGTACCAGACACAATAGAAAATTTAATTACCAAATTAATGCGACAATACTTGTACGTACACAGTAGTGACAGACTGACAGTAAACATAAACTTTTTACGGTATGTCTTATTTTGTTATAGCAAAATGCCGAATGAGCAAGAAGAACATGCTGCCGAAGTGGAGTTTGCTGTTTGGAGGATGTACAAAAGAGGCATCGATCCGAAAGCCATCGCGATAAAATTGAAAGATTGTGAAATAATCGTATCACGGAAGTTCATTAATCTGGCCATTAAACGGTGCACTGTTTTGGAGCGGGAGGCAACGACGCTGCCAATGACCATCGAGGAGCCGGCTGGCATCGAAAATCTCAGCCAGCATCTCGAGGAGCAAAAAAGCATCGACGTGTTTATGCATGAAACCACCATTAACCACACGGTACACGCCAGCACATCCAGTGTGGGCGGCATGGCCATGGAAGAAGTGGAGGAGACTTCGACGGAAGCTAATCATGTCCCCCTGGGAGACAGTTCCGTGGATGAATCGACACTGACCAACGGCGTCGGCCCCACCCAAGTGGCCACCAATGTGGAGATACACGCCGACCAGAGTGACGATGACCTGGACATGTCTTCATCAAAAAAGCCCCGTCGCATTAAAACCACCGATGATCTGATCCGCCGACTGCAGGATGATTTCAAGGAGTTCCCGGAAACGAAGGTGAAAGAGCGGGCAGCCAAGTTCGGCATTGCTGTCGGCACACTGTGCCAGATTAAACACAATATTTTGAAGATGCCCAAAGAGTCAGGGAGGACGTGGAAGTCCACACCGCAAATGGTGGAGGATATTGCCGCGGATATGCGGCTGGAGCCGAACATGAAGGTCAAGGAGCGAGCACAGAAATTTGGGATTTCCGTGGGGACGCTGTGCCGGATTATGCATGATATCCTGGAATTGCCGAAACGTCAAGTGCAGCGTTCCGGAGAACGGCGAGCTCCCAAGAAAGTGAATAAGCTGGATATGGGATCCATCTTGGATCCGATGACGCTTGCTAGCATTCGTGAGGAAGCCGGCAGATTAGCGCTGGCAAAATCATCACGGTAACTTTCAGCGTTCAAATCAGGAACATTAACTTTAACTATTTTACGCACTCAGTAGAGCGTTTTATTTTTTCTTTCAAATTAAAAAGGTACTCCCGAAAAGTAGAGGTTTGTGAACTGTATAAACTATAGAAATTTTTCTAGAGGTCATGAAAATAATAAGTTATGTTATTTTTGCCTTTTAGAAAGCCCCGTACTCCGCGTCGCGTGCAAGACGGTGTTTCACCCATTGCTATCAAATCGTCTGGAGCACCGCAGTTATGCCAGATGCAGCTGAAGAACGAAGCCAATGGCCAGGTGCTGTTCCTTACGTTCGATCCTTCGTCTTCCTCTCAGCTAAGCGCAGACGTATCCGGAGCCATTCCCATAAGCGTAGCTAACATGGCCGGAACCGATGAAGTAATATGGGTGGTTAACTCAGGTCCGGAAGCGGAAGCCGCACAGACTATTCGCGTCTCTTCCTCTCCGGACAACCCAAACACAGTGGTAATTAATACCACGGAAGAATCCAAATAGTGCGCTTTATGTTTTACAGGATGTATATATATATGTTAGCGGTTAATTTTGTTGTATTGTATCATTCTTGCAGTTGCTAAAGTGGGTTGCTTAATTTGCTTGAATTCTCGTGCGATTTCTTCTGCTGGGTTTTAGAAATCTTTCTATGTCCATAATTATTATATTTGAATTTGCAGTGGACTGCTGTAATTGCAGACTTTGCGTTGCTTCATCGTAACACTGAACGTAATACGTGGGCTTGTGTTGAATCAAATTCCTGTTATGAAATATTTTGACTAGTCTCTAAAGCTCGCGTATGTGAACATTTCTCCCGAAATCCCAAAGCTTCGAACGATACTCGTATAACTATAATCTGTGAAGTGATAATATATTTTAGAGCTGCCACCGTAGAAGCGGAGAGAAGCTTCTTCATTTGAAAAGTTTGGTGTAGCAATAGCAGCCACCTTCATCCGTTTGTACATCGTGAGTGGTATTTCGTAACTTCACTTCCACCATATCATGCGCCGGCTCTTCAATGGTATCCATTCCTGGTAGAGATGTGGCCACTTTTCTAAACAGCTGAAATTATTTAACAACATTATTATTTACACTTTTCTAAGTAGACGAACAACTATTTAAATTACGAAAGTGCTATGCGCCAGGAAAATTCCTGGCGCATAGTCAATTTGCTATGCGCCAGGAAATTTCTCGCAAAATTAAAATGTGAGTGTTTTTAAGTTGTTAATATCCCTTTACGAAGTCTAATCATAACCCACACGTCCGATTACGATTACAGCCCGAGCCTTCATCAACTGTCACTTTAACACAGTACATACTAAATAGTGATCAACAGTGCTGGTAAGAAGTTTTATCAACTTGATGGTTAGATCAGAAAGGCTGCAATTCCAGTTGTTTATACGGCACACCGTTCTTTACATCAAGACGGACTTTATCCAGGACACCCCGAATTTTTTGAAACTGGTTTCCGTTTTCAATAATTTCGTTTAACCAGTTTCGAAATGTAGACTGTTTGGCATAATTCGCGCTTTTGATGTTCGCATTTTTTGAAAGGGCATGTTTGACGCAAAACGCTGGTGCATATACCCCACAATTACTCTAACCGATCTTTTGTTGCGGGACGGAAGGACACTCAATGTGCATTTCGTTTCCTTGAGTGCAAAGTAATAATGTATGTATCCAGGTTTACAGCTTAATACAAGTCCATCGGTTTCCGTCTAAGTGTGCATAGGACTCGCGATTTTTGGGATTAACCCATTCCAGTACCAACATGCAGGCCCGCGCTGGGGTTTTTTGGTAGGGGGGGGCGGAATGCCGCCGGGGGGCGGCGTTTTGGCTAAAATCCGCCGGGTTGGCGGCCAGAAACTGGTCGGGGCGGAGGGGTGCGGAAGGGGGGGCGCCATACTTTAAATTCGCCCCCCGGCGGTCAAAAACCGAAAAATCGCCGCCCCCACGGCGGCCAAAGATCGAAAAGGGGGGGGGGCGGCCGCCCCCACCTCCAACGCGCGCCTGGAGACCTGTGCTTCTTATTCCTTTCGACTGTCGGAAAATCGTGCATGCCCTGCTTTTTTGCTGATTTGTAAATTCGGCAAAACTGCACAGTGGTGTTTTTACTTTTCAACGCGGCCATAACAACACAATGCATTCCCACACATGCTCGGACTTGGACTTCTAAAACTTGGACTAGGATTTCACTTGGACTCTAAAACTCGGACTTCGCTTGGACTCAAAAACTTGGACTTTATGACTTGGACTTGGATTTAGGCGTTTCTCATGTCTTCTTACGTTTCTTCATGTTTTCTCAGGTTTCTCGGGTTTCTGAGGTTTGTTGGATGTTCTTAGGTTTCTGAGGTTACTAACATTTCATAGTTATCTAGGTATTCTTTGGTATTCCAAGAAACCTAAGAAACCTAAGAAGCCTAAGGAACCTAAGAAACCTAAGGGACCTAAAAACCTAAGAACACCAAAGAAACCTAAGAACACCTAAGAAAACATGAAGAAACATAAGAAGACATAAGAGACATAAGAAACGCCTAATTCCAAGTCTAAGTCATAAAGTCCAAGTTTTTAGAGTCCAAGTGAAGTCCAAGTCCAAGTTTTAGAAGTCCAAGTCCGAGCTTGAGCGCGGGCCTTCTGCTCGAGCAGTCGCAAATGCTTCCTTAGGTCTAATGCCCATCTAATGCCCATCACAAGTATTGCTGGTGCTCCAGTTCTTAGTTTTTCCTAAATACTGAGTTCTTGGAAAGCGTAGTTTGTGCTTTTTGTAATGAATCTCACGTGTTGTTATGCTGGCTGTATAAAAAGCACTTTCACCAAGTGACAGTATTCTGTTATTAATAATTTAAAGCGATAAATTTTAATTTTGGCGGCGAATTTCCGGGCGCATAGCAAAACGACTATGCGCCACGAATTTTCCTGGCGCACAGCAAATTGACTATGCGCCAGGAAATTTCCTGGCGCATAGAAGTGACCTTTAAATTATGATTCGATGCAAGACAACAAACCATGCAGATTCTGAAAGAACGGCGTTTATATAAACATACAATATACAAGTATCTAATATCTATATATGTTATAGTGCGATATACTGCGATATACATTACACTTACCTGTTTGACATTATATCCAGTCTTCGCACTGGTTTCGATAAACATGACCTTATGTTCTTTGGCTTTGGTTTCCCCATCTTCGGTTGAAACCTGGCGCTTTTCTGCGAGATCGGTTTTATTCCCAACAAGCATTATGATAACGTCGTTTCCACGCTCATTTCTCACATCCTCGATCCATTTGGACGTTTGTTGAAACGATGTTGCATCTGCTTATCATGGATAATAATCATACATATTTCAAAATATACAATTGTGCAATGCATAATTAAGTTTATAATTGTGGAGGCTTAGTTATTGTTCAGCACATGGAAATCAAGCGCTGTTCAAGTTTACAGCACCGGTACGTACGACGGCCGGTGTTTAGTAATGCACTGCACAAATATTATGGACTATGGAGTAAAGTAATACGCACTGCAAAGGCATAAGTACCACAAGGGCAACAACGATACAGGATGTCTATTACAGGACTTTGCTAACTCCGTTAATTAATTATCATGGGACTTACTTGTGATGTCGTATACAATAATAGCTACAGTGCTGTCCCGAATGTAGCTAGGGATTAAACTGCGGAAGCGCTCCTGACCGGCGGTGTCCCATAACTGCAATCGAACAGCCCGATCTTCCAAATACATAGTTTTGCTAAGGAAATCAATCCCGATTGTCGCTTGGTAGTTACTATCAAACGTATCATACATAAATCTCGTTATCAAGGAAGTCTTCCCCACTACAAAGAAGGTTTGTGTTAAATATATTCTGTCCAATGTCCATGCTCGATGCAAAGTTTTGTCCACACACCAGATTTACCAAGACTTGATCGTTTCGATGATGATTCGATCATATTATACCGGTATTCGACACGTTGTAAAATATTGCAGAAAAATTACTGACCGCTTTGTTCTCCAAGGAATACCAATTTGTATTTCCGCAGATGGGCAGCAGCATCACCAGACGACATTGCGAACAATAAATTTTTCAATATTTAATAATCACTAATCCGTCTAATCGTATAAATATCGAAAAGCAAGCTCTGACTTTACGGGAATCAACTCGACCTATACAATACGCAAGTACACGTGCCTGCAGCCTCAGCAACGATGATTATTTTATGTACAAACTCAAGCTAGCTACCGGGTAGTGAATGAAACGTCTCGTCGATGAAAAAAAGACAATGTCATTATCTTTGCAGGAATTTTCATGGACGTTTTTCGTATAACTACTGTCTTTAGTGCTTACAGTTAGTGTACTTGCAATACGTACAATATTTCGGCAATGACAGCTTAGCGATAGAGCCCTGCACGAGCCGAGCCGCTCGGCTCGGCTCGCGAGCCCTTCGAGCGAGCAGGAGCCGTTTTGCAAATTTGCGAACGAGCTGAGCAACAGAAGAAAAATTGCGAGCGAGCCGAGCGAGCAGGATGGTCAGGTGCGAACGATCGCGAGCCTACAGGCTGACGTTGTGCGAACTGAAGGAGTTTTTGCAGTACAAAATTACATTGACGGACCAGAAAACGGTCATAAACCACCGTCACCTTCGCGCTTCGCGCGAAGGGAAACTGTTTATAAACCAAAAATGAAGTAAGTTAAGTTAATGAATTACTAACTATTGAAACTCTACTAACATTTTCTTTGATCTGTGGGCACTCGAGACTAAGTACTTGATAGTATTCCCTAGCCAACAAAAGCAGTATTTGACGGGTTTTATTAAACAGTTACCTGATTCGTAAAAACAGATACATTTCAATTTTCAAACATTCTATTTTATTTACTTCAGGCTACATAAATCAAGAAAAGCACATCCAGTTGAAAATTATAGAAAGGTATTAGCGAAAAAATGAAATTGTTAAGAAATGGACTACCAGTATGGAGTCTCTGAACACCGTATTACAATTACTGTATTTTGTGAGTGCGAAAATTTTGATGTTACTTATTCGTGCAAAAAAATTGATACTTAAAATTTTTGCCGATCTCACGAGCGAGCCGATTTGCAAAACTAAAATTACGAGCGAGTTGAGCGAGCGGAAGCAATAGAAAATTCTAAAACGAGCGAGCCGAGCGAGCGGTGGTTTGGGCGCGAGCGAGCTGAGCGAGCAGAAAGTTTCAAAAAGCTGAAACGAGTGAGCCGAGCAGCAGTTTTGCTGCTCGTGCAGGGCTCTACTTAGCGACTAGCTTTAAACACGACGGAAGTGCCGCTATTGTTAACGCCCTGATGGACTGTGAACAAGGTATCGATAAGAGTGTTAAAGTAAGTAACATTTTATCATCCGTAATTGATAAATATTGCTATATGGTCAAATATAATTTTCTTCAAGACCTTCGGGTGTGAACGTATGTGTAGCATTTTATCATCGTTTCTGTAGTTGTATTTACCTGTTTGTACTTGTTCGGCCAGTATCAGCGTTTACCGGTTTAAAATTAACGTCGGTAACTTACAACGTAAACCACTGACCTTATCGATTATTGATAACGTCCATTATAGAAAATAATTAATAATGCATGCCGTAATCTTGTTTACGTCTTGTCGTAATACTCTAATATTGTTTAATTAAAGCTTTTTGCTGCTACCTGTTTGTTTCACTTAAGCCTTTTGCGCAGCAATCTTATTTATTTTTTTGCCCAGTCATCTTCTTTTAATATTTATGCATAGTTGCCACATCTATAGTTATATACGTGTTCACTGTTTATGTTGGAGCAGAAGCTAAAACCGCATAGTTTATCTGCAATATCAACATTACAATACATGGCCGCTAAAAGTACGAGTACAATAGGCAACATCCACTGTTTTACGAGGAAACCAAAATATATAATGGTCATCTGTTCAAGTGCACATGGTAAACCGGAAACATAATTACTACATTATGAAATCTATATTGCAATTTTCATTGACCACAACGTTATCTCAAGCCAGCAACTGTTCGTAATACAGCAAACTCTTCACGATTTATAAGACCAAGCAACGTCATAATAATCGTTACCACTCATCCCAGTACTTTATCATTTAAGTACCATGTAATCAGACCACTACAGTCATTAAAAATTACAATGAATAAAGTACTATGTTACTGTCAGGGCTATTTTAAAAGAGGGTTGCAATCTTTGTTTTGTATCATTAGAACTTCCTGGCCGTCTCCCGGGGTAACAAATTTAACACCAGCTGACTTGGATTCACCACCAGCTGTCAATTTCTGGGGTAGTCCTGTCTGATCCACCACCAAAAGCGGGGGTTTCATTTCCCGTCTTCCATCGCGTGTGGCGTAATAGTTAGCCGCCAACTTATCATGCGGTCCCGCTTTGATAATCGGGGGTGGCTGATCATTGGGCGCTGCACTTTGCTGGTCTTTGAAACGCAATGGATTATTCACCTCGCGTCCAGCGAAGAAATTTCGGAATACACGCACAATCCACGAAACATCCCGGTGTGCGATGGACCCGCGTGGCAGCGACTGCAAAGCGCGCGAGGAAGCGCTGGCCATTTTGAATTCGGCCAAGGACAGAACAGATCTAAAAAACAATGCGCGAAACTCAGGAACGATAGCAACTTTGATGTTTACACTTTACAGTAGATACGGTATTAGGGAAAAGCCACTTTTAGCAAGCTTGGTAATTCTGGGCGTATGTGTATGAGTTTTGTAGAGAAAAAAATCTAGAATTTTTCAGAATCTTCTAAATACAAGAAAACATAACGAATTTGATGCAAAAGTGATAAAACTACCAATACACGCTATAGCATAGGGTCTATGGGCAAGCACCAAATTTAGCCGTGCCAAACAGAAAAGTAACCAAATGCACACTGCCAGTAGCACCATTAGAACTCACTTCCGTTTGAGCTTATCCCGGTGTGCGGTAGCCCTAACGTCACTTATTAACTTTCAGACGATTTTAGGTCATCTTTGGCCACTTCCCAAAATTCAGAAGAAGCTTTATTTGCTAGACACCTGCAGTTTTATAAAAGTTTAAACCTAATTTTAACGTTTTAACTCAGGCAGAGACAGTAAAAAGCAGTCTGCCAGTATGCCATGGTTCGAGAACCTAACCGAGAAACACAACGTTCAAATGGTGGGTCACAATTTCGAAGATTCGGAAGAACTCGGGGATTTCTCTCCAAAAAGCTTGAAAAAAAATTGAAGAACTTCATATTAAAGATCATTTAAACTTGGTTTACTTCTACTTTAAGCCAGCGATTCGAAAGATAAATGCAGAAGAACGCTGGATTTCGCAATGTGTAACAGGGTCTACGACACTTTGCGCGGTTCGGCTTAGCGGTATTTCGGGCTAACCATACACCATTAGAAAGAGCATTAAATTTGCTATCTTATTGGTGAGGTTTTATTACGATCCAATCAGAAACCCGATGGGCAGGGCGATGGAAAGTACGAGCATGCAGTTTACGAGTACGAAGCACGGGCAACAGATCGGTTCCGGTTCAGAGTGGGTGAATATACACACACTGTAATACCGTATCTACTTTACAGTTTTCCTATTTGCTGACTGCATGCGATATGCGCTGTTACCATTGGAATGCCATTGAGAGACAACCAAAAATGTCTGACAGCGACACCAGTAAAAAACCTGTCAAGTTTTTTTATCTATGACCCCATTCAACAAGGTAGCTATAGCCTACAAGGCCCACATCCTAGGACCAAGAATCGTTTTGCCTCTGCAAAATACGACGTCGTTCGCAGATTTTACGTAAAGCGTCATCGTCACGAAGAAAGAGAAAAATATTCACAAACCTCTTGATTATCATCAACATCAGTTTAACACAGAACTAAGTATCTGCAGCTCAGAGAAAAAGCGAAGTCATGCCAGCAAAACTGAAAAGTGGAAACCCAGAAAGCCTAAGGAGTGACTTACAAATTGCACTTACGGCTTCCCGATTCTCACGAACTACGATGCACTCAGAATCGAAGTATGACAACAACGAAAAGGATATAAATAGTTATTTTCCGCAAAGAAGTTCTTACGGTGCACTTAGTACGCAACACACCTACTAATTAGCCAAAATTCCAGGAAAAACCGCAAAAGCCAAGTATCCAGTTTAAATGGTGCAAAAATTATTATCATCCCAGTTTGGTAATTTGTTGTGGTTTTGAAGTAGTAACTAGTAAGCGCTTATACATAAGTAGCAGCAGCACCAGTCAACAAGCTCGTTCGCCCTCAATGTGTAAAAGCTATGGTAAAAGTATTATGAGTGACCCCCTCCACGTGGCTAGCGGGGGTTAGTGTTGTTAACGATCCACAAAGTAACAAAATGAAAATTCATTCTCCTAGTCAGCATCGTTGTTGCCAGATTTCTGTATGTGATCCTCTCCCTGTTTGAGAAGTTTCGGTTCAGAACTGTTTTGTCTTTAATTTTTAGTAACGGGAGCCGGAGTTTTCATGCGTTTTTGAGTGGCCACTGCTGGATATCTAATTCATTACGTTTGCGTTCGGGACAGCTACCGCCGTGGCAGCATTCTTTAAGTTCCTAACCACCGAAAATGACAACTGCAAGTGAATATGGAAATCCTCTGAAGAAGTTTAAATTGGTTTTCCTCGGCGAGCAGAGTGGTAAGGCGAAATCTTAGATTCGGAAGTATTTTTGTTTGTGTTTAAATGAAGGAGTACCACCAGCTTCTTATGGCTTTTGGTGCACACTATGCAGGCTAATGCAGCATGCATTAATCTAACCGATAGCAGCACACTTCCACCTTACTGTCTTCCACCTTACTTCCGGTGCTTAGTCTTCGGATCATCTTATCCTTATGCGAAACAAAATTACAAAGCGACTTCTTAGGAGGAAAAAGGGAATTGTAAATAAAATTTTATGTATCATATTGGCAAATACGTTTTTTAATTTAAGCGAGGTGTTGACTCTTGAGCATTTCAGTGAAGTTTTTATTTTATGTTTGTTTTTAAAATTTTGGTAAATATTTACGAGTTGGAATGTTAGATGCTGGAATTACTTTTACCACTTTAGCTTCGTTTTAATTGTTTACGGTAACTTTGCTAACGGAATATTTTAGCGGAGATGCAACATAATTATCATGAAATGGAAGGCTGACAGCTTTAGCTTTTATGGTTAACTTTTCAGTAGTGTGTTGGTTTTTGTCATAAAGTTACTTCTTACAAATAATATTTAGCATGTTCCTGGTTCCATGTGCGACTGCGTTCTGAGCCAGTTCTCAGGCAGATTTAAAACCCGTTGCTACATAGTAAATTGTTGTTCTCTAAAACATAAAATGCTCCTGCTCTGATTCAAACTGAAATTAGAAATAAAATATGTAACTACCTTGGTTTTTATTTTGTATTTGCAGTTGGAAAAACATCTCTGATAACGAGATTTATGTACGATACATTCGACAATACGTACCAGGCCACAATTGGAATCGACTTCCTCAGCAAAACGATGTATCTTGAAGACAGAACGATTCGTTTGCAGTTATGGGATACAGCGGGTCAAGAACGTTTCCGAAGTCTAATTCCCAGTTATATTCGAGATAGCACCGTGGCGGTCGTTGTTTACGATATAACGAGTAAGTTTCAAATTGTACGATACTATAATGGTACGGTACGATGATAGTCGTAATACTACGTTAAGTAGTATGTACAATACATTATTAGCAACTAATTTATTGGTTTTTTTTTATGAATCGAGACGTATTTTCGGAAGCGTTAAGTTTACAAAGTACTCGTACGTAGAACCTTTTCTTGATTTATTTATTTTTCGTTGTGATGACATTATTCGAAATTTTATTACACATTGTCTTAGTAGTCTTTTCGTTCAGTTCAGCATTCTGTTACAAGAGATATTTTTGAAATTCGCATTTACCCCGGGATTTGCGAGAAAGTTTTCTTGTTTTATAGAACCTTTATAATGTATAAAGTGTGATTGACGTGTGTAGTAACGTCCTGAAGGAGATGCTTTACATAAATTGCACGGTGATCGTTGCAGTGATCATAATTTTTTGTAGATGCGAATTCGTTCCACCAAACGTCAAAGTGGATTGACGATGTACGCACGGAACGAGGCAGCGATGTTATTATAATGCTTGTTGGAAATAAGACAGATCTTGCGGAAAAGCGGCAGGTTAGCACCGAGGAAGGCGAAAAGAAAGCCAAGGAATTGAATGTGATGTTCATTGAAACCAGTGCTAAAACTGGATATAATGTTAAACAGGTATGGATTCACATCATTGAGATTACAGGTGCAGTTCTTTTTGTTTTAGCCTCACAACATACACAAAATCATTATACCCACTTTAATATGTGCTTGCTGACAATTTTTTTGGCCGATTTAGAATGCAGGATTTGTCCTAAGAATTATTTTCGTTTTGTTGTTGTTTCGACAAATAATGGGATACGTTGGCGTAATGCCGGTTTTCCTTTTCCGCTTACTGTTCTAAATCATATTACGGGATACGAATCTGTGATTAGTATTCAGCTGTTTTATTCGCCTCGGTCATTCTTATAATTTTACAGTTGTTCCGCCGTGTGGCTGCAGCGCTACCGGGTATGGATAATAATGAGGAGAAGAGTAAAGGAGATATGGTCGATGTGCATCTTGAAGATCACAAGACCCCCACAAAAACGGACGATGGCGGATGCGCATGTTGATTCCAGTGCGGCTTTGAATCTGTTTTTGTTATTTAATCTATTTGTCATGGTTACATTCGAATGCTTCTCGCAAGTTCCATCAAAGCGTGTGAATTTGAGGCTTGAGCTTTCTACTTGGTTTGTTTTGACTTTTCTTCATTTTTTATATATATGTTTTATAACTGTTTCCTTATGTGTACTATCATTTCGTGGTATGCGATTTGTAAACTGAAAAGAAAGGCACTGCAACGAGTCTGTTTATTTGCTCGCTATTCACACAATTACAAAGGTAGTTGAAAGGATGCAGTTTTCCACTCGCAATATCAATGCAAACAATCAATCATATTCATGCATCTACAACTGTTGCATCATTCCGCATTTTGCTGTTACAGTAACAAAACTGAAAACGGAATACTTTCCATTAGTGAGAAGCGCAGCACTGAAAGAGCTTCCAGTTCGCAGCGGCACAACTTAATATTCACACAAATTAAAACTGCGGGTACATTCCGGGAGGAGGTGGTTGGACAACCTGCATCACGTCGAATCCTCTCAGTTTTCTCGCAAGATAAATCCCTCCAGCAAACACAACCACTCCTTTGATCAAGCCCCTGTTGCAAACGTCAAGACTCAACTATAACGAAACTATTGAGAGTTGCACTATATCAATCTTACACGACGCGCAGTTTCGCTGTACGCACCATTTAAAAGGATCGTCATATATCTCTCGGAAAACAGCAAACCGTCCTTGGTACTTCGGTTTTCTGCTTGCTGGTGCATCACCACCGGGACCTCCCATGAAAAATCCTGCCATGCCGGGATCCATGTCGATGCGTTATAACAGGAAACAATCGAAATAAGAAAATTTCACTGAGTTTCCCGCAAAAAAATTACATCCACGCGTGACACCAGCAAACCAGCACAGATAAGCGAGATTATCAAAAAAGGGAATTCAGATTATGCCAAAAAACGTGTGAAAGATTTCGGGAAAATGAAAATCGGAATTTATGTAGGCAAATTGTTGAACTTGAAGACGTCGCCCGGTGGCGGTCGTTTTAGCCAGATTCCTGAAAATGAAATCTAACTTAAATAATTACTTATTTCCCGGATAGTCATAACTTATTGATGATCATATCTCCCACAGCAGTCCAGAAATCAGATATTTTTCTGGAATTCGGACTAGAGACCGCAAGATGGAAAAGAAGCCAACAATTGTCAAGAGCGCGGCAGCGAGATCACAGAGAAAGAAACCAGCTGGATCTGCTCCGAACAAGTGTGTTCGCAGTCTACAATTGTTGCCATGTTTTGAGCAGTGGGGGTCACTTGATTTGTAGGAATAAAGAAATTTTGAAAGCTGTTGAAGGCCGACTAGTCATCGAAAAGCGAACACGGGAAGTCGTTCTAAACTTGATTGAGGATGTTGTCTCTACGGAAGTGCTCCAGTCCGCTGTAGGTGTTCGCTGTTCGATATTTCTGTTTTCTGTTATGTAGCATTGTAGCTCACTAAACTCAGTAACGGTTATTCAGCGGATTTTATTTTTTTTACACCACGGTAGTAAGCAGCCGTCATCTGGTTTACGATAATTTCTGGTTTGCTTTTTAGGCGCGCTTTATTAGTGCCGAGAATTACCGCGATATTGTTGCTGAGAGAGCATTATCTGGCATCTGCGGATATCCGATCTGTTCCAACAGTTTCAAAAATACAGTACGCGGCTGTACACTTTAGAAAATTGTTCACGGGAATTTTATTTCTTTTTTGTTTCATTTAAAAAAAATTTCTCTTGCAGGCTCCCTTTCAGAAATTTCGGATAGACTCCAAAAACAATAAGATTTACGACATAAGCGATCGGAAGGTAAAATGAGAATGAATAATAACTGGTATGCATTTGTAAAACTTTAGTCTTTACCATAACTGCGCTAGAATTTTAACAATAGAACTTTAAATGTGTGTTACTTGTACAGTGATTTTTAAGTTAAACATTGTTTCTAGCTTGGTTGGTCCTTCGGGCACTTTTTGCTTATTAAAAAAAGTTTTTCATTTTTAGATTTGTTACGGTGCATTTCCGTATTTCTTTGGTAGTATTATTAACCAATAAGTGGGAAAAACTTATCGAAAGGAAATTTACAGGTTGTACGTACTCACTACATAACAATTTCACAGCGTTTGGGCTTTTTAGAATTACTGCTCTTCCGACTGTTACGCTGCCTCCTTGGTATATGAGAAACAGTTATCCGAAGTTCCTGTATGGTTACGAGAGAAGGAGCCTGTTGACAGTCCTCAAGTGTTGATTCCAGGAGAAATCAGGCAAGTACAGTAATTTCCCCGGTTGCTTTTCTATTTAGAAGAGTACGTCATTCTGTCTGGTTTCATTTCGTTTGCTTGGTGCAGAGGAGTTCAGGGAGTGGCTGTGAATTTGACGGATCCCGATTTGGACAGCTTGAACAGCGAAATTCAGCGTATGAAAGTGGAAGACAGCAGGCAGACCGAAGTAGCGGAGTGACCTGGAAACCCTCTTCTTGCCTGTTGTTTTCGTATCCGTGATCTCCAAGTTTTCATTGTTTTGAGTCCTGCTGGATGTGTGTTACGAGAGTTGTATGTGTAATTCACTGTCTCTGGCATGTTTTGTACGTCTTTGCTGCTTGGCGAGGGCTGCAGCGACGGGGATAAAATTCGTGGCAGATTTATGTTACTGGGTTAGTGGTGAACTTTCGACGCACGAAATGAGTGATTTTTGAGCTTTATTTTTTGTGACTGTGTGGAAGTGCTTTTTTTAAGTTGGATATTCTGATTTTACGTTTTTGCCGCTGGTCGGTCAGGAAATTTATTACCAAAAATGACGCCGTCTTCGTTATTGAAATGCGCTGCATTAGTGGTACGTGAACAGCTCGATAGTTAAACGTAGTTTTAGTATAATTTATTATAGAATTACAGTAAGTACTTTATCCTACAAAAGCAGATATTACTTATTGCCGGCTTTTACAGCAAGTTTTCGAACAATTTTGCTATTACTGGTTTTATTTCTGCATGAATAGAAACGAGCAGCATCTGACAAATTTCTGTAAGCTGTAAAACCAATATTCATATTGCAGGTCATGATTAGCGAAGTGTGGGGCGGAAATGAAAACACAACAAAACCCACAATACAATCCCGACAATTTGATGGTTTTAATCAGTTTGGAAATTCCGGAACGTTCATGGATCCTTGGGCTAGCCCACTGCCGGCATATCTTCGAAATGCTCCAGTCAATCCATTATCTCCGTCGCCAGCTCAAATGCCGGGAAGTGTTGTCACTCCAAAGCCTGCTGTTCCTCCAAAGGTTAACTATAAACTATCTGTTATGTGCGGAGCAGACGAGATGAAGGTCAACATGGAGTTTGAGAAGCCGTTCTCTGGGATCGTTTACAGCAAAGGTGAGTACTGTAATTCAGCGTAGATTTGCCACGCCACTGTTTACTGAAACTTTCCGATCTTTCCACTCCTCCTAGATTTTTTTTATAACAAGAAGATAACTGCTAAGTGATATGGTTAGAACTATGCTATGATTAGAACTGCTAATTAAGTGCTATGATGTTTCATGATCACGGTCACTGGCAAGTGAGGTCATTATTTTCGCGGTTGAAATTGCGGTACTAATAATCATGAGTCTAATTCATAAATAGTTGGAAGTCATACCCTTCTTTTCACCTTTGTGTCAGCTAGGTTGTTGCAGCATTATTCATAAATTTTCATACGATTAAAAATGGATTTTCAAATTTTAGGTTACTTTAACAAACCAAGTTGCATTTACGTTACCGGCAAAGAGAACCAGCGGGTATTCAATTTTACCATCGGGTACGACAGATGCGGATCCTTTACACGTCAGGCGCAAGCTCCAGTGATAATTCCATCTCCGAAGTCTGCAGTAACCGACTGGACAACGCCCATTCCATCCACTACGGTACCGCCGACCTCAACAACTACCGACCATACACCTAGAGAAGAGAATGCGCGGAAACTGGGAAGCACGACGTTCGATCGGGAATTCGAAGAATGGTTCGCTCGGAAGTATGGAACGACAACCACCATGGCTCCCACCACGACAACGCCCTATTACGCCCCCAGTACAGTGCAGCCGGTAAATGCCATCGTGTACCCAGTGAACACCATGACGAATTCTGTTCCGATGGCACAGCCAACCCCCATGATGCCGTATGGGCAACCCGGAATGGTCATCCCGCAGAATTTGCTGCCATCATCGCTAAGCGGTTACCGATACCCAATGCAAGTGCAGCAGCCTATGATGGGAAACATGTACCCGCAGTATCAGGGCTACGGCCAGACCAACCCCTATTACGCCCGCATGGGACGCTCCATGGAGGAGGATGTACCGGCAGAAGGCCTGCAATGGGTGGAGAATACTGTCATCATTCAGCAGGACCGCGAAGTGCAGGATGTGCTAGATGAGGCCAAGTCGTTGCAGTGTGAATGGCGTAATAGGTAAGTTCGATACTTCGATCGATACAGTACAGATAAAAGCAGAAATATCACAGTCTGTTTTATATAAATGATTTTATTCGTATATTACCGACTGATGATGTAAGCAGCACTGCAGCAGTACTACAGTTTTTTTTTCGACTTGCTTACCATTGAATTTTTATTGTAAAGTGCCGTTTTTTAGACATAGTTACAATTCATTTTATTGTTAGCTGTCTTTAGCAGTTCTGTGATGGCAGACATTTGGTCGAATCAGTTTTGAACGATATAGCAACAAGCTTTTGGAGGAAAGCTTTTGTGAATCATTATGAAGCATAGAAATTTTTTCAAATTAAGCTTACAAAACAGGCACATACAGCCGATACAGGTAAATGGGTTGTTTGGAGCATTACGCACCAAATAAGCTCATGAGATATTAGACTGCTTGCTTCGGCTCGCTTGGCTGGACATCCGCTGTTCCTTTCCACTTAGAGGAGTAGGGCGTATTGGCTTCGTTGAACTTGCGTACGGTTTCCGCCCACTCCGCAGCAAAATTTGGACGATGCAAGAGATCCCCTTAAAATTTCACAATTAGTTTAAATTTTTTTGAAGTGTTCCAAAAGGCACGTAGCGGGTAAATCGTTATCTGGTTGTCTCATACACCAATTAGTAACGTGAAGCTTTTGGTGTGTTTGCTTTGCAAATATGTATTTTTGATAAAAAAAAAAATTGATAAAAATTGGTAATGTTTTCGAACTTACAATCTTCTTCATCCGTATTGGACCATGTCTTAGCGGCTGGTGCTGGAGCGCCATAGGTCACAACTGCAAAGCACAGTAGGGTTAGAAAGAGCAAGACTTGAAGTTTGGATGCCATCGTGGTCGAATGCAGTTGACTGCGATAGGGAAACCTCGTATAATACTTAATAAAATAAAAATGTGCCGCGATGGTTCCAATGTTATACTACACTTTTATAATGATTTAGAGCGGGTGTTGAAAGTACTCGTATGTTTGCATTCTTATGCGATGTGACGTACAAGTACTCTTAGGTGACTAGAAAACACTGGTAACGGATTACCATACAAGCGAATATTATGGTTTCGATATGACTGTGTTCGGCAATTCAAATTGTATGCATATTTTGACGTGGTGGTAGAGCCGACTTTGTGAATGTGAAATTATTTAGTGTGCATACCATATTAGCAAAACGTTTACTGTTTGCAAATTGCGTGTTCTCCTTGATTGATTGTTACATAACATGTTTGTGAATACGTGAACCTAATTCTAAGATTTAAACATAAGTACGCTGTACATTTATACGCGTGCATCGTTTGAATGTTCTGGCATAATTTGTAGCTATAACAAGAAGAGTGTTTCCAATGGATATCGCGTGGACGTAGCCGATGTCGTACGTGCTTCCTTTCCTGGAGACTCCGTTGGAGCGTACATGCAGATCCGTAACGGTTTAGGTCCGTTGACCCCTGAAACCAAGGGCGTCGTGAAGATCGGTAATCCCCTCACGTTGGTCATAGCGTTAACGGATTCCGGCAACAAGTTCGACCTGTTCGTGCACAGCTGCACGGCCAAAGGGGAAGGAAAAGCAGCGCCGATGCAGCTGGTAGATGCCAACGGATGCGTGGTACGTGAGAAACACATGGGACCGTTTGTACCCTTCTACGATGCCAACTCCACGTTCGGAGCAAATCGTGTGACCTTTGCATACTTCCAAGCCTTCAAATTTCCCGATAGCGCGGATGTGAATATCGACTGTGCCGTAACGATTTGCCGTAACGCATGCCCACGACAGTGTTTCGGGAAGTACAACGGGGACGCCGAAGCATTGCTAAAGACATGGCGATCGGAGAATGGCCGTTCGTTGAATGCAGAGAAGATCGTCCGGCCAGCAGGTGCAGAATCGTCCCGGGAGCAGCGAAGAATTCTCGAGGCACTAGAAAAGAGTTTGTCCGCAGCTAATGGTCCGCAGAAGTTTGAGGTCAGCGTCAATGCCAAAACACCTGTTGGAGAGTCGCCCACTCGATTTCTGCAGCTCCGTGAAGTAAGTTGTAATCTTTGCTCGAAATCGATATTGAAAAAAATGCTCTTCTACCGGGCAACTTGACATAAGTAAGTAGTTGTATGGGTACCTAATTATACTGAGACGTTATATTAGTTAGTTTAGTAACCGGCATTGGAATTTCATCTTATATAAATTTCTTTTTTGTTTTTTCCAGCTTGATGATGATACTCTGGTTAATGCAACCACGCCCTCGTCCAACACCACCCGCTCCCATGCAGCTAAGAGCAAGCGGGAAGCGGACGCGACGATGAACTCCTCGGTGGTCGATTTGCGGAAGAAATTCATGGTAATGACTTCGAAAGATATGGAGCCGGTGGAAGGGGCCTCCAGTTTTGGTGGTCCGTCCAGTTTCCCCGATAACTTGACACCCAGACTGATTATGCCGGCCCTCACCACCCAGTCTCCTCATTTGCCCGTTTCTATTCATCCGACCGCTGCCACCATGTTGAATGGGACGGACGCGATGACTGTCCTCCCGGCAACAACACCTACGACCACCACTTCCATTCCGGCTGAAAAGATCACCGCTTCCCCATGGTTTTACGTTGTACCCAACGACGTGCATCACGTGTGCGTGCCCATGATAGGGGTCATTGTGGGCGGGGCACTGACGGTGCTGGTGTTGCTGGCTGTCCTGATTGCATCGTTTTGTCTGTGTTGCCGGGTGAGGAAACAGCAGCGGAAACTGAAGCAGAGCTTCAGTCCAATGTATTCGGAGCCGCGCTCCGTGGCTGTCAAGGGATTTCCAAATAATTTAACTATGCTGTGATGCTTTTGTTAGTTTTATTACAGATTGTACAAATTGTTTCTCATTGCACGCTTGCAGATGCGTTACGAAATTTCTCAATTTGTGAATAATATTAGTAAATTTTTATTATACGCAGTGCGGTGTTCTTTGTATCAGGCCAATGTTCGCTGCCGTATTACAAGTTCTTTGCGAATTTTCCTTTTGCTCTTAAGAAAACAGAACGTTTATTTTGACGGGTACCGGTCACGATTACACATAAGGTAATCACGATATACCTTGACATAATCAATGCGAAATACTGAAAATTAACATCTGGAATGAATGAATTACTGTACGTACAAATGTGTTAGTGAAAGCAAAACCTATACGGTCATCACTAAAAACAACAAACAATCGAGTTACTAGAACAAGCGTTTACATTTTAGATCCGTTTCCGACACTTTTCGTAGTTCCGGTTTTGTCTCGTTTTCTCGTAGTATTTTGTAGGCTGTCCTTGCTCCATACAGAATGTGCTGCCGTATGACAAAAATTCTTAATGACGGGCCAAAAAGTGGATTTGTGTAAATGGTACACTTTCGTTTGTTTGTCACAATTCCGAAGCCATGTGAAGGTTCACTTGTGACCTAGAACTTCAGTTCCGATGACATCGATGTCACTTGTTGCTGATCCGTTTACATGAATAACTCTGACTTACAGCAGCCATTTGCAATATTCCTCGATGAAAACGTTGGTATCGTACATCATGGCTCGTCACGCTTTCTTATGTTCAGCTAATAATTCTTTCGGTTAATTACTCTGACTCGTTACAAATGATCATTTGTTATGCACTGGGTAAAATCTCAACTGTTCATGCCAGCGTACTAATAAGAAGTTTTTATTGGTTGCAGTACTCCTTGCTGCATTTCCGGAGATGTTTCGTACACAAATTTCTGAATCTCAGAAGCTTCACAAATTAAATTAGTTATAGAATAAAACTACTCAACTGCAAGATCCGCTTTAATAGTGGGTTTACAGTGTAGTCCGTATAGATAGTGCAAAACTCAAGTAGACAACACCAAATGGTTGCACGTACTTATCTAAATATAACTTAACTATCAAAACTTTTCCAGAATTATTAGCGGCATATAGCGGAATTGATGGGATTGAATCCACTGATTTTTCATATAAAGTTGGCCAAGGCATTTCAACGAAATCCAAAGCCGCATGTTAAAACACAACATGCTACCGCTTTTTCTCGCCTCTTGTGATCCTAAGAACCCTACCCGCTACCGCTGTTAAATCAGTGTTATTATAAGTGCAATATAATAGTGCGAAGTTATAAACAAAACCATACGTGTACATATTTGCGTAAAAAGAAGGAAAATGATTCACCCGCGATTCGGTAGTATTAAAAGTATGTGTGATTGAGTGTGTACAACAATAATCACATTGCGCACAACATTTATACTGTATGCAATAATTAGAGTACATTTATATACTTAAATACTTGCATAGAAGTACAGGTACATGGACCTGCGACGTACAATGTTCATTAACGCATTACGCACTGTTATCGACTCAACCTAAATCGCACGGCAGTTCCGGATCTGCCGGTTAAACCATTTTATCCCAGCTGCACGTGAAGGTGTGGAAGACCGATGTCCTTAATTAAAAAGTGCTTATTATGTTCGACGACGGCAGTGAGTACTGCCAGAGCGCAACTTTTACTTTGAGCTTACTAGCTATACACCAAAATTTCTAATATAGATACTAATTTTCAAAATGACTAAGCAAACAATGATTGCTCAAAGTCCGATGGTTTACTTTCATTCATCTTCGTGTTCATCAATACAGGATCTTGTGCTCAACGGCATAAGGAAGATCATAATACAATATAGCAGGGGGCGTGAACAGTAGCCATATAGAGAAACTAGCCGACACTCTTTCGCCTTTCGGAAGTACAGCGGCATAATAATATACAAATCTTATAAAAGACTAGCATGCCGAAGATTCTGGGCGGTTATGCGTAGTTATTGCGCTGCATGCTCTGACAAAAAGCGCGGCTGTATTAATTGTAAGTTGATGTGCAACAGGTGTACAATACTGTCTATGCTGCAGTCCATATACAACGGCCGCTTTTCAAGTTCAAGTGTGCTCGCATATCCGTCCGACTCGCATCTTTTTGTACGAAGATCTTCTCGGCAAAGCGTTTTATGATATCAGACGCACACGATCTTCGTAAACAAGTTAAGCAGCAATAAGGTCGCCGCAGGTCGGCACGCTTCTTATCCACTGGAGTCCTCGACAGACAAATCGTTGATGAGTGATTTGTAAGGATAGCCCAATATTCCCACAAGACCGCGCCTGCTGGTCGGGTTCGGATTATCGTTGGCCTTGTATTATTGATCACCCAGTTTGGTCGGTGGAAAACGTGAATGCGAATCATTAAGCGAATGTTGTTTGTGGTTACGTAAAGCTTTATCAGTTCATAATAATCTTGTGGAATATTTCTTCCGGTCATCCCCGAGCGTCAGCCATGGCTACCTTTATATGGATTACCGTCGTCGTGCTTGTACAGGTACGATTAGTTTACTGAGCGCATTCGATTCGTTTATCAGTCTTAAAAGTAGTTAAACTTTAAAATAATTTGTTGACTTTTGGAATGTGCAAGTTTGCAACAAATGGAAGTTTTGTAAAAGTTCTTTTTGCGACGGATGTACAAAACTATTTGCAGATGTGCAGTGCAACAAGTTTAACGTTAATGTGATTGGGTTGTTTGCCAGTAGTTTTACTTAATTTTTCAGCGTCAATCTGCATCGGCCGAAATTAATGCTTTTGTCTGAATATCAATTACTTATGTATTATAAAGTTAGCAAACTAGTAATTATGTATTTGCCCACTGCAATACTGCACGTTGCAATATCATTAATAAATACTTTTTCGTGTCGGCTTCTCATTATTTGCCACCCTTGCTAAAGCGATTATAGTGACGGTCCAGCTGTGTATAATTCATGATGCGTATAACCTCGATTACCTCACACGTTGAGGTATGATTGTCATAAAAAACTAACGGCTAGAGCCGAACCGTAACCCAAATTGCCAGATAATATGAGTTGCTTACCGGTGATAGAGAATATAATTTCTTATAACCGTTATCGTTTACCTTTGCCGTATTACCTTAGTTTACCTTAGTATTAAGTACGTACAGGCAGCCCTATAACATTCGCACTTCCGTCATAAAAGCACGTTTCGGTCACAGTCCTTCAACGCGCAAAAGTCTGTTTTATTTCTCATAATACAGTCAGTTGTCTTGTAATGTGATTTTCTAATGGATAGAAAATGCGCATCCTTAAGCAGTTTTATGGTTAGTTATCATAAACTGACCACTATCATGTTGGGCTTCATAACGTGAACTGGATATGCGAAAAACAAGAAACAGTACATGTTTCATGATCGGTCTAACCATCGTTAGTTTTAAACGTTTTCTGCGGCTATCTGTACAGATACTATAGTACAGTACGATTAAACGAGTCTTTGCAACCCGTTGCGACCTTGCACTACGAGAAACATTCGCATCACAACAAGACCCGAGAACAAACTTAATTAGTTTAGTTAATTCAAACTAATTGCTTTAGCCAGGAAAAATAAGCGAATGGTTGGGGCTTTACGTCTTACAATTATTAATTAAAATTATTCTGATCGTTGTCAACTCGTTCCGGCCTCTCACCATAAGCACTTTGCAGCTGGCTATTGTCGAGAAAAGTGAAATGAAGCAGTATGGCTTTTGTTCGCTAATTTTTTTGCTATGCATGGGAGTAAATATACATATAACAGCAACACAAACGGCAATCAGACCTTAAAACAGAAGTTTCACACCATATCAAATTGTGGCGAAGCCCGCACTATCTGCATTAAATCCCGATTGTTTCGCCGAATTGGAACAGAAGGCTTGGAATGATCGATATCGTTACATCTATTACAATATATAAATTTTTGCAGATTGCCCTTTCAACTGTCACAGCAGATCTCAACCGATTAAAGAGTCTCAACGTCAAATGCGGCGATAACGACATGTTGGTAGACATTGAATTCAACACACCCTTTAACGGAATAATATTTTCCAAAGGATATTTCGCGCGAAGTGAATGTGTCTACGTGAAAGCGGCCCCCGCTAAATATTCCTACCAGTTCACCATAGCGTACAGCGGATGCGGGACGACAGCGGGCGGATCGGGTATCGCCGGCGGTACCCGTCGCTCCGACGGCTTCCTCCGCTCCAGCGACGAAGTGCTTCCACAAGAATCCAACACCACCACCAACGCCACGCGCACCCGCCGCGATATACCCACCGCCAATGTAACCGGCGCCCAAGCGCGCTCACTGGGCGGTTGGGGCACCGGGATGGGAGCGGAATTCATGGGCGATCCGTATGCACCGAAGATGGAAAGTCAAGACCTATCGGCCGGTTCCGGTTCAGGTTACGGTGATCCTATGGCCGCCGGGCAGATGGGAACGGGAGGCAGCGGACAGTACTGGCAGCCGGGTCCAGCCAATACCGACTACTCCGGTGGAATGCCCGGAATGAATATGAACAACGGAGGATACGGAGGTGGTCAGCCTGTACAGTATACACAGTACAATAATTATCCGCAAAACAATATGAATGGTGCGGTCATGTGGAATGGGAATTCCAACGGCTACGGCGGACAACAACAACTCCCGCAGCAACAACAGCAGGCGCCTCCTCCACCCAATATGCAAAATGGCAACGTGGATTTCAATCGGAATCAAAACCAGGGCCCAGCCATGCCGATACAGGGAAATAACCAGGTGAACGCTCAGTCACAGTTCCAACAGAATTCTGCCTTGAATGCTAAAGTGCAGGGCAGTGCCAATGCTGCTTCCGGTGCTAACAAATTTGCCGCATCGATTCCGGGAACTGCCAAAACCAACGGGCAGTTTTCCAATCAGGACCAATCGGATGACGGTAAGGAGGATGAGGATACCCAGTCTAACACCGCTCTGCGAGCCAATGCACCGTTCGGGGAAGACAAGACTGGTGGATCGAGCCGGTTCTTTGAGAATATCATTATTATTCAGTATGACGCCAATATCCAAGAGGTCTGGGATGTAGCCAAAGCGTTAAGATGCGAATGGCATGATAATTATCATAAGACGGTTTCGTATAAGCCGTTCCAAGTGGACTCGTTGGAAGTAGTGCCGGCTACGTTTGCGGGGGACAATGTCGGAGTGTGGATGACCGTTCAGCAGGGTAAATTTTGCCCGTAGTCTGAGATCTTTGTTGCTATATAGTTGAAGTGTATTAAAAACTTATTCCCGGCATTAAAATATAACAAGATACACTTTAATAACGTAACACTCGCAAAGTAATTATCAACTAAACTGCAAAGCCGAATATAACGCACAAAGCTTTGGTTTGCAATACGAATGGCTTGAAATATAAGACTACAGATTTAGCTAAATTATTGTCTAAAAGCACTGATTTGCTTGCAGCTTGCTGACCAATTTTTTATTTGCGGTTTGTTCGCCTTTTTGTCTTCTAGATGTGATTATGCATAATTCCTGTAATTGTAGGGAAAGGACCGTATGCACCGGAAGTGAACGGTATTGTCCGCATTGGAGAGTACTTAACGCTTGCCATTGGTATTCAAGATCAGACGAAGAAGTTCGACATGCGCGTAATTAACTGTGTTGCCAGCGATGGTGCACGACCGTCAGTTCAGTTGGTCGACGAATACGGATGCGTCACGCGGCCTAAAATTATGTCCGATATTGCAAAGGTGACCAATTACGGTGATCAGGCCAGTGTGGTTTCTTATGCATATTTCCAAGCGTTTAAATTCCCCGATTCCGTCGACGTCCAGCTGGAGTGCAGTGTAGAAATTTGTAAATTTGGTTGTGCAAAGCAGTGCTACAATAAGGCAGCAGGCGAGACCGGTTCCGCGAGTAAACCTGTGGCTGTTGCTTCCATTCATTCTGGATTATCATTCGGTGGATCGAGTGCCGCTGCACGTGGACAGTTGTACGTAACCGCATCTAAAAATTAATAGTCACGAGTTATTATTCGCTAACATATTCGGAATATCATGAAAATTGCGACAAAAATAATAATATTCCCCAATTAGCTTACGGTTAGCGTAGTCCTGTTGTATATAAGCTGCATTTATACTCTGTACATTGGAGTCTATTGTGTCATTATCGTGTAAGTTGATCTGTAGATCGCGAAATGTCGACGGTACTTTATCCGAGTCTTCGGCATCATCTTCCGGAGAAAAGGCCACTGTGTCAGGAAAAGCAGCAAGCTCATCGTCATCGTCCAAATCGGCTTCCGGTTCGGGATCCATGAGCAGTGACGCTGCTGCATCTGGGCAGAAGACGTCGGCCGGCGCGGACGCCAATGAAGATTCTGTTAACAGTGATGTCAAGAAAATGATGCAAGAGGGAAGACTTATCAAGATCACCAAGCGATCGCTCGTGAACCGTGCAACGGCCGCCCCTGGTGGATCTCAGGGTGCAGGTAAGCAACATGTCAACGCAAAAATTTAAGAAATGTATATGTCGAGTTTAGTGACCTTTTGTAAATCGAATTTTTTTTAATTTGCGACCGCTCGTTACAATATATAGAATAATTTTTTATGTACAGCATTGTATAACGCCATGAGTGCGGAAGATGAAGATTTCAACATAAACGACAAGGATGGAGCCACCACGAAGAAACCCAGCGTCACCGCTAAAGCCGACTCCAGCAAACGAAAATCCACAAAGGAGCCAACCGACGACGATGAACCAGTGTATCGGAAACGGCGCGATGCTCCGGTCCCCGATCCGGAAATCCAGAAAAATGTGGGCATGAAACGGCGCTTCCGTGTCGTGTCACCCGGTGATTTATCGTTCCTGGAGAATAAGGCCAACAACACCGTCGTTTACTCTACCGCCCAGCGCGTCGTGGGTGTCAGTGATGTGTGCATCTCGCCCACGAGCTTCGTCGCCGGCATCGTGGTGCTGCTGGCCCTACTGATTCTCACCACACTGTGCGCCATCATCCTCTGTTTAAGGTTACGGTCGCTGCATCGTATCTCCAATAAACTCAAAGACATCAATCTGGATTACGTCAACAAGAGCGTATCGTAGTTAAATTGGTATTAGACTATTAGTGCAGTTATTTCATTTTTGCGGTGATGCTAATACTAATCTTAACGTTTTGGTCTCTGTGCATGGTTTTTGGATACTGCTGTTGATTTCTACTCTCTGACTAAACTTTAACTATACATGGTTCCGACAAAATTTGTTAACTAGTTCATTTTGAGTTTTATTATGTTTTTGAAATCCTGTTGAGTTTTTGCTCAGAATCGATTATCATATAATCGATTCAGTGATGTCAGAACGGTGGCAGTGTCGCTTTTGTAAATAAATCTGAAAACATGAAAATTACAGACTACGAGTATACCATGTAAAAAACAATACGGACATCATCATTCTAAATTTCTAACCGAGGCAAAAACTTGCACAGCAAGTTGATCATATGCCACTCGGCTATTTTTAACATGCGGGATTAATAATGCAGAAATTAAAAAATGTAAAATTTGTACTTACTAATAATTTACTACAATGTCGTTCGGATCAGCTTTCAAAATGATTAACAAGAAGTCACTGACCGGAAATGCGGTTGCATATTGGATGCCATGAGTAGGCGTGTCCGCGCTGACGTCAGCGACATCCAAATTCCTGAAAACGACAACAAACAAAACTTTCAGCTGCAGTCACATTGTTTTTATTTTTAATCGTAATTTGTACATTGAGTACTGAGTTACTTACCACTGTTAAAAGTTGGTTTTATTCCCGACCACTTCGATTGTTTTTTTCATAAAATACCGTAATTTGTGTGTGTCAACATTTAGACATCTCCAATAGTAATCAATGGAGAATGGAATAGATTGCTGCTGTTAGAGTGATTAGGGCAATCTGTATGGGCGATTGGGACAACAATCCTATCACGGTATCAGCGCATACCATCCACCGTTATCGGGAGTCCAAACTAACAGTAAAGTCACAGTTTCTTACAAATCTGGCTCGTTATTTTCTTATTCCTGTCCGGATATTTGCTGTTGCTTATGCGTTACTGCGTATTTACTCTTACGGTCTCGCTCCGCTGGAACCGCTGCAGCCGAAGGCGCGTTTTGCCGATGATATCGTCTGCATCATCTGATGGTGATCGCGAATCAGTTAAATTGACGAAGGCGTCCTAATCCGAATTCCCAAAATGGCAACGTTTTCCAGCTCGCCCATGGAGTCGACGGACAGTTCGACGGATTCTGTGGATCTCAGTTCGTCTCGAACTGTTTTGGTTGCACATTCCGTGTCCGATCCTCCAGTGTCGACATTTTTCGGGCAGCTGTTCACGATGATTCGCCGAAACATGCTTCTGAAGCGTAAATCCATCAAAATGACACTTGTGGTATGGGAATACGCAATACAGTACTTAAGTTCCTTAATATGTATAGAATACGGATAAATTATGAAGTTCTTTTTGGAACAGTGACATAGCTTGAAATACGGCATCATGTCGTTAATCCAGACTTTTTCTAACTTATTATTAATAATACAGATCTGTAATAGCTTTTTGCTTATTTACTTACTACTGTGGCATAACGCTGGTTGATGTCATTGTCATATGACTTGTAATCAATATTTTACTGTTTTGGTATATTTTGATTTTATCAGCCATGAATGGGTAAATTCAGATACAGTGATTTTGTTATTACTAGTACAAAATCATCATCAGCACGGAAATGTATAAATTTTAAATATTTATTCTCGTAAATTTTTGGGTGAATATTTGTTTGCAGGAATTCTTCATCCCGGTTATTTTTCTGGGTGAATTTGTTTTTCTGGGCACTTTAATGCGAAGTTTTAACGTTGCCTACCCGGCTGTACCCGAGTTTGTGGATCAACCGTTGCGGTATCCGGGAGCGCCCATCCCGAACATCAGTATTCCTATTTTTCCCGTTGGTTTCACCCCGCCTAATGATCAGGCAAAATTTATTATGGCGTATGCTACCGAGTGGTGGACTAAATATAACTCGTCGTCGATGATGTACACCCAGCCGTTTGATTCACCTGAAGAGATGGATAAATTCTACCTGAACGGCACGTTTCCTGGCGTCGGTCTTGTGTTTCATGATAAGGAATTCAGAATTCTGAACTATTCCCTCCGATTTCCGAATGAATTTGTTCCACCCACGTCGAAGCCATACTTGAGACAGGGCGATTGTAAGAATAAGTGGAATGTAACCGTTGCCATTCGCAGTTCGTGGTTTCCTTACTAATCTTTTAAAATTTTTTTCAAGTAGTCAAAATGTATTTATTTTGAATCGTAAAATGCTTTTTCAGTTCGTTAAAATTCAGAACTTGTTTTATTTTTGCTTTGCTGTTATTTTGCAGCATCCTGCCGGCCTCTAAACAAAACGGCTGTTACCGTTGCCACGCCCAACTTGTGCCTCGCAAATTCATACGCGGTTACTGGATTTTCTGCGCTGCAGAATTTGATCTCTGCGGGTTACACAAAAGTAGGCATAATCAGAATAAACAGCGTAAATAAATTTTTGAATTCACCGGTGGTTGTACTTTGAAGATGAAAAGCAACGGGTCTTTGCCTGATTTGGCTCCGGTCAATCTTACTACGAAGCTGATGCCGGAAGGACCAACGACACTGTTAAACGGCGGCGCAGCTGTGGCATCGATGCCAGCAACATATCTCGCTAACCTGCTTGGATTCTATGTCATCTTCTTAGTAATTTATGTTGTTACGGAAAAGGAAAAGAAACACATTGAGAGCATGAAGATCATGGGACTGCGTGCATCCGTGTACTGGTTGAGCTGGATCCTGCTGTATGCCGCGATTATGCTGTTGGTGTCGGTAATCGCCTTACTTTTGGCGAAATATCTCAACATCTGGCCAAACAGCAGTTTTGTTCTACTGTTGATTGATTGTATGCTCTTTGGAGGGAGTGTTATCGCTTTGGGATTCTGTATTGCACCGTTCTTCCGGCGTCCTCTGATTGCGGGTTTAGTTACGTACGCATTAATGCAGGTGTTTGGATTTTTGTATCTGGTGGAGACTTTTGTGCCACAAATGTCGGACGAAGCAAAATTTGGTATCGCTATCCTGTCACCAACTGCTTATTTCATGAGTCTGTCGCGAGTAAGTGTATTATGATATTTGTAGACTTTTTGTAAGAGACTGTGCTATAAGGGTAGAATTTTAAAGTACAGTATACGGCTTAGTGTCCTATTTATCTGACAGCGGATGGCCACAATAATCGGCAACAAAGCTTTTAATTATCACAGGTAGCTCAAGCGGAAGCTTCGGGATGGGGCATTGGTTTTGGGAACGCCATGGACACATCGCAATCGGAATTTTCGTTTGGAGATGCTATTATCATGCTGGCGATGGATTTTGTTGTGTACTCTTTGATCGCCATTTATTTAGAGCAGGTTTTTCCCAGTATGTGATCTTAATTCCCCTGCTTTTTAAGACTTTGTTTCAGACTGCAGCTTTTTTTCAGGCGATGATACTCCTAAACAGCGGCCTTGGTTTTTTCTTCTGCCCTCATACTGGTGCGGATACAACGGACCTTTACCCAGCTACACGGCTAGCATGAGCAGCTTGTTTGATTCCGGCGACGTGGAACCAGTTCCGGAAGAACTCCGCTACAAAACGGCGGTGGCAATGAATGGTTTGCGCAAAGTGTATCCCGGTAGTAATAATGCTGTTGCCGTGCATGATTTTACTTATGAAGTGTACGAAGATGAAATTTTGGCCGTACTTGGTCATAACGGAGCCGGTAAGACCACACTTATCAACATGATTACCGGAATGATCGCTCCTACGGCCGGTAATGCGTTGATTTACGGTAAAGATGTGACCAAACCTGAACAACTGCAAGAAGCGCGGAAGATGATCGGAATATGTCCGCAGCACAATATTCTGTTCGATACCTTAACAGTGCGCGAACATATCGAATTCTATGCCCGTTTAAAAGGTTTTTCCAACGCCGTAGCCAAAGCGGAATGTGAGCGAATTTTAGATGAGATCGTTATGCGACCGCAAGCAGATCAACAATCCCAAAAGTTGAGCGGTGGCCAAAAGCGGCGACTGTGCATCGCCATCGCGGCCGTTGGAAATCCACGCGTGTTAATTCTGGATGAACCCACTTCCGGTGTGGATCCGTATTCCCAGCGCTTCTTATGGGATATGATTCGCGGGTTTAGGAAGAACCGTTGTGTGATTATTACGACACAGTCCATGCAGGAGGCAGATGTGTTCGCGGATCGGAAGTTGATTATGGGGCACGGACGGTTGCGGTGCGCGGGAACTTCCCTGTTTTTAAAGAATCGGTTCGGGTTGGGATATCATTTGACAATGGCGATTGATAAAGATGTGGAGGAACAGCCGATTACGGAGACTGTCCAAGCGTTTATCGGTGGAGCAGAGAAGTCCCGGTCACACGCGGGAGAACTATCCTATATTCTGCCGAAAAATCAGATTGCATCCTTCCCGAAATTATTCAACAACTTGGATGAAAATTTGGAACGCCTGCATGTTAAGAGCTACGGTGTGTCTTTGACTACCATGGAGGAAATATTCTTGAAATTGGCGGATGAGGATACGGGTGAAGACGTGGACATCAGGGAGTACAGCGAGAAGATGACCACTGACAAGAAGCGCAGCTATTCACGTTTAGCGTCCGCAGTTTTTGCTCGCCCGGAAAAAGGCTCTGTCTCCGTGTGGACTAAGTTCTGGGCACTGGGGAAAATGCGAATATTGCTTATGCTGCGGTCCAAGTTGTCTTTGATATTCCAGTTTTTGATTCCTTTCATGCTGCTGGTTATGAATGGAGGATTGACCATGATGGCGAGGGAATGGTTTATTAAGCTGCAGGGAAGCGATCCATTAAACTTGGCGGATATTGGGAAAGACTTCTTGAAAAATAATGGGCGATATTTTTTCCAGAATGACACCGGTAAGGCACGAGTTGTTTTTATTACTTTTTATTTGCTTTCTCGATAACTGTGGATATATGCTTTGCTATTGTAGGATCTAGTTTGGATGGACTGCTGACGCAAATGTCCAAAAGCATCATGCCATTTGATGATTACCCGTATGCCAATTTGCTATCCAGTCCGAATCATTTCGGCGGATTTATCTTCCGAAATTTGACTACTAACGAAACGGTATGTGATTCCTTTCATGGAGTTTGTATTTAATACATGAACTACATTAAGTAGAATAGGATACACGAACATACTTTTCAAGTACTGTTTTAATATTTGGTTTTAGTGTGTGGGTTCTTACAGGTACCTTCAGCTAGCGTCGTTTATAACGGTACATCCACCCACGGGATTCCCTTTACTATCAACATGCTGCTGAATGCCATTTTCAATGAAATAACCGGAAGGGATGAGACGTTTCATGTCACTACACATCCGTTTCCGCCGTTAAAGGCTACGGTGGTGCAGGTGTTTGACTTCATGTTTGGATCTTTGTTGGTTAGCTTGGCACTCATTATGATCCCGGGTGTCTATGGCATCGATGTCTGTCGCGACCGTCAAATAAAAATTCGCAGCCAGATTCGCATGGCTGGTTGCTCGTTCTGGATCTACTGGGGAAGTGCCTTTTTTATGCACTTGATACAGTTTATTGCGTCGTTTGCAATGCTTATTGGATTATTGTATGCTTTCACCGTTACCTCTGTGATTAATGCTATTGGACCAGTGCTTATTTTGTTTGCTGTGCATGCGCCGGCAATTATTTTGTTTTGTTATTGTCTTTCCTTTGTCTTTGCCAAATTCGAAACCGCTGCGGTGGGACTACCATTTCCTATGGCCATGGTGAGCCAGTTGGTCTTTCGTTCGTTTCTTTTTGATACATTTAAATTCATAACGTGAAATTGCTTTTGCAGATCTCGTTTGTGTTATACCTGATCGTTTTTATGCTGGATGCGTTTGGCGAAACACTGGCTGCAAAAGTCGTGCATTACATACTTGCTTTCACTTTTCCCAATTACGGATTTTTTGGCGCAATGATCTATATTGAAAAGCTTAGCTTAAGCAATTCCATCGCTAACCAGCGAGGAACGCCTACTCAGGGATACTTCGATTGGGATAGTAATATTCCGATTGTGATGATTGCGGTATAGCAGCGCGTTTACAATGGGAAGAGGAGTACCACTACATAATAATTTATTTTACAGCACGCTGTCCAAATCCCGCTTCTTTTATTGTTTCTGGTCTTCCTGGAATCAAAACATTTCAACCAGAACTGGCTCCATCTGTTAGGATTAAAGCGATCAACTGCCCATCATGAGTTTGTGGAAATTCGAACGTTGAACAGTGAGGATGATGACGTGGAGCACGAGCGAACACATGTCAGGGAAACTAACCCGTTAACGGACAATTCGGTAATTGTTTAGTGACTAGAAAAGTTCCTTTTCGATTTGCAGTTCTACCAGAACAATTTTCCCTTCGTTCATGGCGTTTTCCTTTGTGCCCTTGGGCTTTGAAATGGGACATTTACTGTATTACAGTCGATTTTTGTTATTTTGCAGTACGCTGTCATGCTTCGAGCTTTATGGAAGTCGTTTGAGAAGCGCTCTCGTTTCGGTTGGTTAAAGGCCAAACTGAAATGCAGCAAGGTGGTTACAACGGAGCAGAAAGTAGCGGTTAAAAATGTTTCCCTGATCTTCCCCAAGGGAGAGATATTTGGGCTGCTTGGTAACTACAGATAGCTACATTATCCAGCTGGATTATCCCTGAACAGATCCCTTTTTTCAGGACCAAACGGTGCTGGGAAAACCACTACGCTGTCCATGATTACGGGAGAGGTGAAATATTTGCGACAACAGTTAGAGCACTTAAATGTCCATACTCATTTTATGGAAATTAACGAATTACGTTTTATTTTACTAGATTTCACCCAGCAGCGGGGATGTGCATGTGAACGGTTATAACCTTCATACGCAGACGCTGGATGCGTTGGAGTCCATGGGCTCCTGTCCACAAGTGGATACCATCTGGGAAGACATCACCATGCGAGAACACTTGGAATTATTTGGCATCTTGAATGACTTACCGGCAGATCGACGACAAGAATCTATAAAAACGTAAGAAATTGTCTGAAAGAGCACATGATTTTGTAGCACACGATTTAATTTCTTCTAATTCCGTTTTCATTTCCTTAAACAGATTTACGGAGGGTCTTTATATTACTGAACATCTTGATAAAAGGGCATCAGATCTGAGTGGTGGCACAAAGCGCAAGGTTAGATGTCATGTGTACGGTTTTCAACTTTTAAGTAAGTGAGAAATTTGCGCAGTACATAGCGTATGTGCAGAAGCGGGAATTGAGCGAATTTTGTAAAACGAATCAGAGATTTTTTTCAACTATTTATTTATTTCTTAATTATTCGTTTTTCACGTAACCAGTTTCGACATTAAAAAGTCTGCATTCGTTTTAGTTGACCTTTGTCATAAGTATGATCGGCAACCCTCCGTTAGTCATGCTGGATGAGCCATCTACCGGCATGGATCCACAGAGCAAACGTAATCTTTGGGACATGATTATGGAGAGTTTCGGTGGACAGCGCGGAGCCATTCTCACCACTCATTCCATGGAGGAAGCAGACGCTTTATGTGATCGTATTGGAATTATTGTCAATGGTGAACTGAAATGTATTGGCTCGTCGCAGCATCTGAAAAACAAATTTGGCTCCGGTTATATTTTGGAAGTGAAACTGAGTATGGCGGCGGGATTGTCGCAGAACGGGCAAGATATACAACTGCAAAAGGCCAAAAGTGCGATAAAGCAGATTTTGCCTCGTTCGCAGTTAATGGAAGAGTTTTACAACCGGATGGTTTATTCAGTTCCTAAAGAGCAGGTTTCTTCTTTGGGAAGTATTTTTGCCGACCTTGATAGATGTAAGTTTACTGGCAGAATACTCGTATTGTTGTTTTAAAGTGGACGGCGTCAGAATTTTTGCTTGTTTTTGTATTTTGTTATTTTTTGTTCTGTTTACAGTGAAGCAAGAATATAATTTGGAAGAGTTCAGCTTCAGTCAAACCACTATCGAACAAGTATTTCTGCATTTTGCAAGGATGCAGGATGTTCCGGATCTGCCTCATAGCGGCTCCATTCCAACGGATTTCTCAAGCGTCTCGTATGCGCCTGTGTAATTTTTAGTAATTTATTGTGATCGTTTTGTGTTTCTGTTTTATGCAGTTTTCCTGGAAACGGCTGTGATTACTTATTTTCGCGGTGGTAAATTAAATTTTACATTGTATTCTGTAATTACTGTAGATTATGTTACCGGTCTTCTGTGTTTTAAATTTTAGATTTTACAGGTTATGAATTGTATATTTTATTGCGTCAGTCTTGTTATGAAAGGTTTGCGAATCAAAGTACCGTAGCTTTTCTCATTTTAGATACGAGTCGTATCTGTATACAAATGATACAGTAGCGTAGAAAAATAATTATAATAATTATAATTATAATAATTATAATACTGTGTAAATTTTTGACAATAGTACTCGTACAATCGTACTGAACAATAATTACAGTGTTCACAACTTCACATCCAGTCATCCATAAATCGGCATAAAATTTCTGGTTCTTCCAGAATGGCCCTGCCTTGACTTTAGTTACAAATACGTCTACTATTTTTATGAGCAAAACAATTATAAAGGAACCAGAAACAATCCGACCAAATCACAATTTTTAACGCTTGTTCTGTTTATCAAAGATACATCTTTCGATTTCCATGAGTCATCGTGCCCTCACAAGATGTGTAATAACATGGCTGGCTCACTTTTGCCTATGCTGTGTCCGCAGATGATGTCATTTTATCACGGTTTGTCATGGTTGTGAATGGGCTCGTCTCCAGTCTACGTCGCTCTACGATGATTTTACGCTATGTTGTGGCGTCTCCCATGCACGAGTGTAGTTATGCGTGATGGAATGGTAGTCCCGTTATTCCCTATCCACTTGTTTTGTACGCGAAATAAGTTGTAAGTAAGTACTTACCATTGTAATCTTTAAAAGGTTCGTTACAATTATACTTGCATTAATCGTATTAAGCTTTGTAAAAAAGCTCCACTTGTTCACTTGATCGCACCGTTGATAACGGTACATTTCTCCGCTGCATCGAATTTGACAATTGTAAGTAAGTGGATCTGCAAGCGTACGACCGCGAGTGTGCATTTTATCAAGCGTTCGCCATCGGGTCCCCCGATCTCCTCCTGGGAACGATAAGATCTTGTTTTGGCGTTTCTTTGGTACGACCACTATGAACCGTTGGATAATGTTGCAGGGTTATGGAAACAAAATTTCTGGAAGTTTCTGAAGAAGGCGGGAATCGATGAAACCGTGGACTGGAATTGATAGACTTGGTGGACTATCGTCGAGGACTTTATATTGCAAGCAACACGTTAGCCTGCAAAAATGCAGTAAGCGTAACCATGAATTCTGAACGAGAAATTCCGGTTATATGGAGCTGTTAAAGTGTAGACAGAGCATACCATAGCTGTAAGACAGAAGATTGGTAAATCATAATTTACGATTATGAGCGATATCGTGATGACGTTCGACACAGTATTTCCGTTGCCGCTTGCGCATATGATTGTTTCCGACTTCCAGTAAATTTGATACGGTCGCATCAGATTTCTGCTTTTACTCAGTATTTCATATATATATGAATTAAACGAACGTCAGAATTTCTTCAGTTTTTTTGGCTTCGAAATCTGTAACTGAACACCTATCATGAGTGTATAAATGACGATGAGATACTGTATTTTAGTCCTCTTGAGTCGAGACGTGTTCATACCTTAAAGTTTTTATTAAACAGACGAATTCGTTTCTGGTACTTACGTGTATCTGTAGATGGTACAAATGGATTTTGAGTAAAAAATTTAATTAAATAAGTGTTATTCGGTAGATTTTTTACTTAGAATTTCTGAATGGAATTTTCGATACGAACCAATCCAGTTAGGTAAAAATTTTACAACTTTTGCCGTCATACAGTGGTCGCATCACGATTCGAGAGCATTGTCATGTGATTGTGATACGGTATACTTACGTACAGTAGGTGCTAATAGCTAAACTTCTGATTTATTATTTCTGTAGTTGCTGGCGGTATGTGAACTCACTGTGATATTTGTCACATAATTCTAGTAATTGGTAATTTATTGGAACGCTATGGCTTTGCATTGAAATTAAGCATTTTTCGCGACACGCATTGAGTTACAGATTTGTTTGCATAGTGTTTTGTGTCGAATTTGTGTAGTTTTGGGGCAGTTTTAGTTGTGTGAGGCTCATACGGAGTGCGTTGTTGTTGACAAGGTGTCTTATCGTTGTCGTGTTGCAAAAGTATCAGCTGATCGTAGCGGCAATGGTACTTTATACGATTTGAGCGTATACAATTGTATTGTACGCTATTGTACATCTGCATAATGTGAGATATTTTTACCTGGTCGGTTCATCTTTTTCATCTGTGCTTATTAAGAAGTGCGAATATGAGTTATGACATTTTGTGTCCTGGGTCCCCAAATTAAGTAATTTATGCTTATGTGAACCTTGTATTTTTTGCAGTAACGCCACTTATTGGCTGTGTTCTGTGTGCAACGACAGCAACGTGCATGTTTTGCTACTGCAAAAATCAAGATGCACCATAGTTTTATGCAGGGATGGACTAAATCTGATTTGACTTTGGATGGACGTCAGCTGCATGCGGCATAGTACCCAACCCGTAATCCATCCCGTTAATCGACGTGAATTACATTTGCTGCTTATTTAATTTTTTTTTCGGCACCTAAGGCAGTTATGCGTTTTGCTTTTCCGGTGTTTGCTAGCTAGCGCAATAGAAAATCTACTCTAGGGTAGCACATTAGACTCCTTTTGCATGATTCCACGGGATAATTACAGTAGTTAAGCACCGTCCAGTAGAAGTACTGTACTTACAGTTACATACCACATTTGGGAAGATTTCCTCTTTCTGTAATATTTAATCTTTTCGGATAATTTAATACAGTACAATAAATGTTTAGCTGATGTGAGTTGCGAACTGTGTTGATTTTCCGATTAACAGTAATTAATAAATTTTGTTGTATTGCTGTAGTATATGTGTTGCATTTTTTATTTTACTATACGTAGTATACGATTAGTCCGACTTGATCTGTACTTTTTTTTATAAGAAACATAATTTTAGGACATCCATCGCTACGCACAAGGAACTTGAAACAGCATGCACTAAATTAAAAGACCCTTGGTAATAACTCTGTGAAATAACAAAAAGATCACGAAATATAAAATAACAAAAAGATCACGCCGCGAGCGCTTCTTTGGATCGTTTCAATTTCATTTTCCATAGTACCTTTAAATTTAGTCAATAATCTAGGTCATATTCGAGCTTGAGTCCATAACTTGACATGCTACGTGAAAACCAAACTGCATTTATAGCGAAACGAAACGAAACTACCTCACAAGCTGAAACTTGTGAGGTGACTGTCTGGCATACACGTATTTATGCAAATGTGATGTGGTTTCACTAAGCAGACTAGGGTAGCACTCGAGCTGCGTGTTGTGGTACCAATACAGTTGATAGGAGTGGATGATGCGATAAGCACGCACCAACCTGGCAAGAGTTGGATCCATCGGGATAGCCACATGGTGGCCGCACATACGACCGCGAGAGTTGATCCACTAACATAGATGCTTGAGTCAACACTGTACAGTGTGCAAGACCTTGCGTGTTGTCAAAATTTATATGAGCTGCAGCTTCAGTTACTAATGGAAATTCTGAGTGAGTAATACACTGTCTCGACAACTTCTTTTGAAAATATTTTTGTGGCCATTTTTCATTCTTGAAGTAGCTGCTTGGCATAAAATCTGTAGTTAAGTACTGAATTGTAGGTTGCTGTTTTTGGAAAGGACACAACTGCCGACTGCTTCTTCGTAAAATCGGTTGATGTCTAATGCAAATGCAAATTATAGGTCTACTCCACAACAGAAAAAATACGATCAACAAGTGTCTGGATCAACGGCATCTGCCGAATCCCGAAGGCCTTTGCTTACGGCGCAGAGAAGTATGGCCGCTAGCTCGGGAAGCGACCAGTCAAGGGATCCGCCATCCCCGCATTCGTCCTTCATGGGGCAGTTGGGGGTGATGCTACGCCGGAATCTGTTACTGAAAAGAAAAAATCCAAAACTCATGTCACTGGTACGTTATTACTAGTAATAAATTATAAATGGAATGGCTGTGGCAGGTGCATGTTTTGTCACTTTTGGGTATTGATGTTTGGATGGTACCAGTAGTGTGGTCTATACGAGTATACAGTATACTGTATTGTATGACTGCAGTGTATGTACGGTACTTGTACCTACGAGAATTTATGAATCGCGTTAAATAAGTCACTATTTTAGTGAGTTCTAGCTGTGAAATAAAAATAATAGAAGTGAAATGCGTAATGTTATACTTAATGTTTTAAATTTCCTTTCGAATTGTTTTTCGTGTATTTTATGGAAAAAATTTTTATGACGAAGAAAATTAGTAATAGCATTAGCCGGTGCAATTGTCCTCTACTCGTATCTGTAAATCGTTAGCTGCTGCAGAATTTGTGTGTGTTAAGCAAGAATCGATTGGTAACAGCTTGCTCGTCGGAAGAGTATTCACTGTTCACCAAAATAATGTCGTGGGTAATCGATTTTAGTGTTACTCACATGGGTAGGACGTCCTTGATTGTTGGTGGCATGCAATCGATGCGAACACCTTGCTTTCGAACGAAGGAATGTAAACAAGGCGTTCAAATCGTTTAGATATTTATAATTCCTTACCTGGTCTAGTTTTTTTTTATTTTGATGAGCCATGGCGCAGGAGAAAATAACTCACTGTGTGCAAATGTTGCATGTTTTTGCAATAAATTTAAGCGATGGCGTAAACCGATATTGCCAGGATCACTTTGACTGTTTAAAGCATGACCGAATGAAAGTTTAAAAAGAATGGGTGTTGGAAGCTATTATTTAATTCATAATTTTTGCGAGGGCAGCAGAATTAGGCAGAATGAAAGCTTTCGTTTCCAGTAGATTAAAATAAATACTTACGATTACTTGTATTTTTCAGTATCTTACCCAAAAAACGTTAAAGCATGCGTTTCAGTTCACAAACACAGTTCTTTCACTGCATTTCACATGTTTTGTAAAGTTGCCAATCAAAGAAACACCACTTATTTGATTAATGCCATGGATGGATGGCATTAATCAAATAAGTGGTGTTTCTTTTTTTTAATCACATTTTACGTTTTGGCGGATTCGCCGCGCGCATTCCTAGAACGATCCGCTCAGAATGGACGGTTTTCGTTATTCACGCTTACGTATTCAAGGATCTTGGACGGTTGGACCAGCTTTTACATCGAAGCTGATTTTAAGCCGCTACGGTACTGCGTTAATACGGTAATTTTGGTGCTCAGTTTTTCTTGACGGGAATTCTGAACACGGCACAGGAATGGGAAGTCGCAGTTGTTCCTTTGAGCTGACGAGGAATACTTTCTATTTGAATCCGTTCTCATCATATCGGTGCCGTCTTGAACATCACAACAAATTAAAAGAAATAGAAATTAGAATTGCCAGTCCGGAATTGAGTACTGTATATATGACTACTCGTTAATGGAAAGTACATTCCTTATTACAAGATAGTAGAGCTGCTGACTTGTTACTCCACACGGTTATAATAGTAACTGTTTTTGTAGATTCATAATTTTACTTACCTTAATAAGTAAAATTGGATGTAGTAGGGTGATGTTTTAACCGGCAGGGCAGTTAGATAATTTTGGTGCATTTGATTTTAGGAAATTTTAATACCACTATGCTTTGTGGCAATTTTCGGCTTGATTGGATATGTCGTGGATAAACGCAGCATCGTTGTGCTTCCTCCGATCCCGAAATTTTCGGAAGAACCGTTTACCTTCCATTTTGGAAACGAGCTAGAGCTCGCCTATGCTCCCCATAATTCCAAAACAGACCAACTGATGCGCATTTTCAAAGATTACGCGAGTAAATCTGTAAGGGAATTGAACGTTCTTTCCTATGAATCTCAAGATGCCCTTCTGGTGGATTATAAAGCGGGAAAATTTAAACCGGGGATAGTTGCCATCATTTTTGACGATTCGAACTTGAATACGTTGAGCTACGCTATAAGACCGGAGTGGGATATAATGCCAAAAACAAGTCCTCCGTATTATTTTGACAGAACAGGTTAGCGAATCTTGGTACTTACGTACGACTTATGAGTAATAATGTGTCGTAGGTACACGCTTGATTATGAATACTCTGGGGTGTAAATTAAATAGCAATTTTCCCGGTAGATCCAAATCTTGGGGAATGCACGCCACGTAATTACAATGCGTCTACTGCTTTCGGTCCCGTTAATCCTTCATCGTGTCGGACTAATTCGTATGCTAAACTCGGATTCTCTTTAATACAAACTGTCATCTCAACGGCATATATGCGGGTAAGAGATTGGCTACGTAGCTTGATAGAAGTTGATACTGATTGTTATGTAATTGTCTTTTGACTTCTGGAACATCTATCATTTTGTTTTATGAAAAAAATAACATTTAACATTTTGTTTTATGAAAAAATTTGCCACTTTCAGATGAAGTTGAATGTGTCTGGTAACGCGCTGCCGTTGCCTTTAATGAGCTCCGTTATGCTTCCCGACGCAGAAGTGCGTCTGTATGACACTGGTGAAGCAATGATGCGCGCTCTTCCGGCCACACAAGTGCTGAATATTCTTGGATTATACGTCATTTTCTTGGTGATATATGTGGTGACAGAGCGCGAAAAGAAGCACATTGAAAATATGAAAATTATGGGCTTGCGACCCACGGTGTACTGGTTGAGCTGGGTGATTATATATGAATTTCTCATGACGGTGGTGTCTACTATTATGTTACTAATGGCCATGTTCTTCAATGTGTGGCCGCGGAGCAACTTTTTCTTGATGCTGTTGGCATGTATTGGTCTTATCAACTCTTTGATCGCCATTGGCCTGTGTCTGGCCCCGCTGTTTCGCAAGCCGTTAACCGCTGCGATGGTACTTTACCTGGTGGAATTAATTCTTTTCGTGTTGGCGATGTTAGAAGATCTGGCAAGGAACATCCCGGACTATGCAAAATTTCTCCTCGCACTTCTCCCGTCATCCTCGTTTTATATGTGTTTTTCGCGGGTAAGTTGGCGAAATTCAGTAAACTTTCACGAAAACAGATGTGACCAAAATTTAAAATGAACGTCGATATATTGTATGTTTTGTATACCCTTCACGCCCATGTTTGTAGATTGCGAAAGCGGAAGCTTTTGACGATGGTGTGAATTTCGGGAATGCCTACAAAGAAGCTGGCTTTAACGTCGCCCATGCTGTCGGAATGCTATGGTTGGATACGTTTATTTACAGCCTTCTGGCAGTTTACATTGGAAAAATCACGCGCAGTAAGTTGACAAGTTAGAATTTTTGCTACAGATTATTTTTTATGTTTGACGAAATTGTTTGTGTAGATGGTGATTCTCCAGCCGAAAGCGTGTTTTTCTTCCTGAAGCCGTCCTACTGGCGGTCGTCACGGAAAGGATGCGCTAATTCTTCGGTCGATATGGACGAATTATTTGAAAGTGGGGATGTGGATCGAGTGCCTAACCATCTGCGGTCAAAGCGAGCTGTGGTTTTGAATGGATTAACAAAAATTTTCCCGGGAAAGAAGCAAGTGGCCGCTGTTGATAATTTCAACTTTGAAATGTACGAAGGCGAGATTGTTGCTGTTTTGGGTCACAACGGTGCTGGGAAATCAACCATGATGAACATGATCACCGGGATGCTGCAGCCGACATCCGGCTGCGCTACAGTTTACGGGAGCGATATGAGTATGGCGGCGGATATGATTAACGCTAGGAAACTCATCGGCTATTGCCCGCAGCATAATATGCTATTCGAAGATTTCACCATACAGGAGCACCTGGTATTTTTCGCCCGATTGAAAGGATTTTCTCGCCACGAGGCTGAAGAACAGTGCATGAAAATCATGGACGAGATTGACATCAAGGATCAAGCGAACGTTTTGGCGAAGAATTTGAGTGGAGGTCAGAAACGCCGTCTATCCATTGCCATAGCTGTCATTGGCCGGCCAAAGGTGCTGATTTTGGATGAACCGTCTTCCGGTGTGGACATATATAATCAGAGATTTCTCTGGGATTTAATTCGAGGATTCCGTGCTGGTCGCTGCATTATTGTGGCCACTCAATCCATGCAGGAAGCCGATGTACTGGCCGATCGGAAACTGATTATGTCCCGTGGGAAACTGCGGTGTGCTGGTTCGTCCCTGTTCTTGAAGAATCGATTTGGATCGGGATACTATTTGACAATGACGGTAGAGAAAGATCACAATGAAGGCGTCATTGACGCGTTTGTGGCGAGATTTATTCGCGGTGCCGAAAGAACGCGCTCACATGCTGGTGAGCTGTGTTATGTTCTACCGAAGAGAGATATGGGAGAATACGGCAGACTTTTTGAGGAAATGGAGAAAGATAAGTCGAAATTGAAGATTGGAACATTCGGGATCTCGCTGACAACGCTGGAGGAGATTTTTCTTCGGCTGGCCGACGAGTCTCACGGTGAAAAGCTCGATTTGAATGTGTTTAAGAGCAGAATGGTGGCAGACCGGCAGCGTGAAATTGATTTGAAAGACTGCTCGCGAATTTATCCGCCCAAGAAAGGAACGGTTCCGGCTGTCCGCAAACTGGTAGCGCTTTGTAAAGTGCGGGCGTTGCTCATGTGCCGGTCGGCTTATGCCGTTGTGTATCAGCTGGTGATACCAATACTCTCCATGTTAACGCTTGGCGGTATATTTCTGGCGTCACAGGCAATCTCCTCACGTTCGCCTGTGGAGGGATCTTTATCGGGGGAAGAAATTGGGCACGTGTTGAATTCTGTTGAAGATTTTAAAGGGGGATTTTTTATGAGTAATGACACGGGTAGGCAAAAAAACTTTTAATTTATAACGTACTTAAAATACTGATACCATTTTTTGGTGCGGCATTTCTGGTTTAGCGTTTAGCTTTAGCGTTTGCATTTGCTAATATCGTTTTAGGCAAACATCTGGAGAAGTTGACATCCGGGCTGGCACCTGTATCGGTGAAACGTTACGATGATTTGGTGTCTGGGCAGTTTCTTTCTGGAGGATATATCATGAAAGACGTGGCTTCTTCTGGCGCGGTATGCTTTGTTGTTCTCGCATTATTTTGTGCTACTTGAATCTTCTGTCGTTGTCCGAAATCTGGCAAGAGACGTTATGGGATTTTTGGTCACAGTACTCGTACTGTCACAAGTGATACAACGCGCTTTTGACCCTTTAGTTACTGTACGTGTCGTTGCTTGCGTCTGCAGGTTCGGGCAGCTGCAATTGCCTACAATTCCACAGCGACCCACGTTATACCGTACCTCACCAACCGTTTGCTAAGCGCCATGTTCCAAGCTCTGACCGGCACCGCTGAGCATTTCCACTTTCGGCCGCATCCACTGCCAAACCAGTCTACGATTGAGACCCCGCCGTTTGATGCGTCACTTATTGGACCGACGCTAATTGGATTAGCACTGGCGCTAATACCCAGTGTTTTTGGGATGGATGTATGTCGTGACCGACTGATTAAGGCGCGCAGTCAGATCCGTATGAAGGGATGCTCCTTTTGGTTGTATTGGATCAGTGCTTTGACGGTCCATCTGGCACAGTACTGGATATCGTTTACCATCATAGTCAGCATGATTTATGCGTTTGGGATCAAAGCCATGACCGAGAAGGTGGATTTTGGCATGCCGGCCTTTAGTAATAACAGTAGTAAGTAGGAAAAATTTTGGCGGGGCAACAAAATCAAGAGCTGTTTAATCTGATTACGGTGATAATTTTTCAGGGGAAATTGTCACGGAGGTTGTTCCGGCGTCAAAGATGCTGTACTTCGGCTTAATTTTCGTTTTTTACTCTGGCGCATCGGTGGTATTCAGTTACTGCGCTTCCTTCATGTTCTCAAGGCTCATATCGGCAACGGTTGTGCTTCCTTTCGTAATGAGTCAGGTGAATTTGCTACTTCGTATTCTACATCGTTTAATGTTGTCGAAAATATCGACAACAATGTGTTTTTACCGTCTGTACAGTTTTTGGAAAAATACGTACAGTTTTTACTATTGATTTTCTGTTGGCCTTTCACAGGTGGCATATTTGATGTACATGACGGTGTTTTTGCTTGGATTATTTAACAAGGAAACAACGGCGGACCATCTGCATCGCATTTTTGCATGTATATTTCCTCCATACGGAATATTTGGCGGCCTGCACTACCTTATTGGAAAACCTCCAAAAACGGAACCGGTCACGCTCTGGCAGAGCAATATACCAATTGTGATGATTGCGGTATGTTCTTATACAGTAATAGTTTTGGGCGTGTTGTGGATAACGCTGACTCTTGTTTTTGCAGAATTTCATACATATATTCGTCTTCACGTTGCTGCTGGGCGTCTTGGAGGCCAGATTTTTCAATCAGTCGTTTTTGCAGTTTGTGGGATTCCGGTTTTACGGAAAACTTTCGAAACGTATTATTGAGCTCAAAACGGCTCATCAGGATGAGGACGTCCTGGCCGAGGCTGACCGAGTAGCTGCAATTAAGCCCATACAAGACTCTAAGGTACGAACGCGTTATTGTAATTAGATTTTGTATTACGTATTTTTTTAATCGCGTTCGTCGTCATTATGTTATCGCTGATATTTACAGCATACGGTAATAATGCGTGGGTTGCGGAAGGAATTCTCTCAGCGCGATTCACGGCACGGATGGCGAAGACGAACACCCGCCACAAAAAAGATTGCTGTGAACTGTGTTACGATCGACGTACCCCGGGGAGAAATTTTCGGCTTATTAGGTACCATTTTTGTGGAATACGGTTTGTAGTGGTATGCTGAATAGTGTTTCTGATTATTTGTGTGCATTACTTAGGTCCTAACGGTGCTGGAAAGACAACAACTTTATCTATGGTTTCCGGAGAAGTATGTGACTAGTGTACTTGTACTTATTCAGTCGTTTGCAAAAGCCGAGAAAGTTATGACCGTCCATTGCGTTTAGGTGACGCCGACCGCGGGTGATGTGCACGTGAATGGGTTCGACATACACGTCCAAACGCAACAGGCCATCGAGGAAATGGGATCCTGCCCACAAATTGACACTTTGTGGGATGAACTGACTATGAGAGAACACCTAGAACTATTCACCATACTAGCGGATTTGCATAAAGAGCGCAGAACCGAAGATATTGAATGGTACGTTGTTTGCTTGGCGCTGAAAAGGGCATTATGAGAAATACAGAATTTTTCAGGTTCGCGAATGGTCTGGATATAAAAGAACATATGGATAAAAAATCCAGCGCATTAAGTGGAGGTACAAAGCGAAAGGTAAGAAAATACAAGGACCGATGCATATTTAATGTGGTTCTTCCGTTTACATATTTTTATAATTATTATTGTTGAAAATGGCAAAGGGTATGTCTCGGATGGTGAATTTTTGCAGTTTTGAAATTTGTAAGAAGCCGCGAAGTGTTAGTGAAAACTGAAAATATATTCGCTTTTTCAGTTGACATTCACAATCAGTATGATTGGAAATCCGCCGGTGGTGATGCTGGATGAGCCATCGACCGGCATGGATCCGCAGAGTAAACGGCATTTGTGGGGTATGATACAGAACAGTTTCTGCAACACGCGCGGAGCCATCTTGACGACACATTCCATGGAAGAGGCCGATGCTCTCTGCGATCGCATTGGTATTCTTGTCCAAGGCGAGCTGAAATGCATCGGGTCATCGCAGCATTTGAAAAATAAATTCGGATCCGGATATCTGCTGGAGGTGAAGTTGAGTCTGCCGGCGGATGTCAGCTCGGATGATGTGAAAACCAGATCCGAGCGGGTTAAAGACGCCGTCAGCAAGTTATTCCCGCAACGTTGTCACTTGGAGGAGGATTTGTATGGGCGACTGGTGTTTGCTGTTGAAAATCGCGCCGTGACATCGTTGGGACGGGTGATGCGGGAACTAGAGCACAGTAAGCTGAAAAAGTGATGAATTATATTTAATTTTGACAATGCTTTCTTGTTTATAGTGAAAAGAAGTCTAGAATTAGAAGAATACAGCTTCAGCCAGTCCACCATTGAGCAGGTGTTCCTTCACTTCGCGAAAATGCAAGACGCTGTGGCTATGTGTGATTCGAACATGCAATGCGCTGGAGTCACGGTTCAGTCCAGCGGGCACGGTCACCGGAGGCATTCTGCGTTAGGCGTAGCCGTATAACGCGGCAGACAAGGAGCTGCTTGCGGGGGCCGATCTCGATAGGGCGGTGCGAAAAGTGGAGAATGTAGTCGCAGATACCATGATTATGATACTTGGAATCGTTTTTCTATGATCTGATTGCCGAATGCTCGCTTCCCTTACATCTCTGTCGTATAGTTTCCCAGTCGGGAATCCCTACACGATTACCGAATTACGGAGTCGTGATGTGTGTACATATGCTGGAGTATTCACGATCATCATACAGATAGCTTGAACGGTAAATAGCACAAACGTATTTTTTTATTTGTGTAATTTTGTGTCTAGTTCACCAACTCTAGTTGTTGTTTCTTGTTACTGAGCAGGATTTTGTATTTTCACTGTCTTGATATTTCTGTACTTCCGGTTGGAGAATGTGATTGTTGAAAATAATGTTACCGATTATAGAGGCATCCATCGATGCATATCGTGCATTAAAACCATGGATGTTTGCGCGATTGAACTGTGTGATACGAATGTAGTAATTAATTTGTGGACAAACGAAATAACGACATCGTTAGAGTTCGTTTTTGAAATATTTCTCGGGTCTACCTACAAGTTACACCGAAATGCACCAACTGTTAAAATCACTAGGCTGCCCATCAAAATTTTGCCAGAATGAAACCTAATTACAAAGAGAGAAAGCAAAAAAAGTACATAAGCCTGACAATTACAGCACTAACAATATATCTTATATTGGATTCTGTATGAATACACAGTGCATCAGTAGAAAAAAACTCAGTCCCAACTGGATATGACAATTAACATAACAATCAAGAACGATATGACGGATATGCACCGCTTGGCGGCTTATGTAAGAATTTAGGTACAATATTTAGCATGAAAACCGACAATAATCCCCTGATACAGGAGACCTCCGACTACTTCTCTGCATCCTCATCCTCCTCCTTGTGAGTCGGATTACTTTCCACACGCTGGCGGAATTCGTCGTTCAACACGTCGTCCTTAAGGCGTCCCCCGTCATTCTCCGAGACGAAGCGTTTTCGGCCGCGAGCCGGAAACTTTTTGGCCATTTCCGCCGAAATGATCCCATCGTGCTGGCACTGCCCGATAAACTTCTCCGTCGTCGAGTAGGCGGACGGAACATCTAGCACAATATCGGCTAGATCGTCGAAAATACGCTGAAATCCCGTATTCAACTGATCCACAGTCAATATGTTCTCCTGCGCAGCCTCTTTCAACAGCTTAAGAATCAGTTCGAACGCCCGATTCTTTCCGTCCTCCATGACCATCAGAATGGCCTCGTAGACGAATTCATGGTTAAAATGCGGCACCTGCAGTTCCTCCAGGCAGCGCAGTGCCTCGTTCACATCTCCCGAACTCTCCACGTATTCGTGCAGAATTGAGTGCATCTTCTTAATCAGATGCTTCACGGGTCGCGTTCCACCGGAAACACCCCAGACATTGTCCAGACGTACCAGACCGTGCTTGATATTAATCAATACACCAGCCTTCGACAACGTCTTAGCCGTCACGGTCTCCTTGTCCTCGTGCTTCTCCATACGGCTCTCAATGAACTTGGGTGCCAGACAGTCATCTGCAATACACCGGGCGATAAAATTCGCCGTGAAATCCAAAGCTTCGGGGCAGTCGATCACGAGATCCGCCAGCTCGCTTAAAATCTGATCGAACGCCAATTCGTAGTGCTCCTCCGTCAGCCCATGATCGTACAGATCTGCCAACAATGTGGAAGTCATTTCGCGTTCAAAGGCCTTCTTATCCATGGAAATAACCACGGCATAGTAAGCGATCATGTGGATAATAGCTGGCTTAATGGAACGTGATTCCAGAGATCGTATGAACTCGGCACTTTTCCCATGATTATAATATTCATCCAAAATCGGCACTAAAGCTGCCCGCAGTTGCTCCGGCTTTGTAATTTCATCCTGCAATATTATAACCGCAATGAGTCAAATCTCTGTTACTGCATCATTAAAGAGCACATGGGAAGACTTCACAATCTACCGACCACAAATGTTTTTGCTCTGGGCAACTTCGGAACAGCCAACAGCCCTGCGCAATTAACCGGTTTCCTCAAACCCCGTTTTCTACACTTGTTTTCACAACAGTACAAAGGGGTGTGAACAGTCTCCCAAGCATAGTTACAGAAAAACGGCTGTGCCATAATGCCGAAATTTAAACATAAATCAAGACAAACAATCAAATGCACCTGAGTGGCAACCGCGGCGTCGGTTAAATATTTGTTTACCGATGAAATGGGTAATCTAGAAACCAGGTTAAACTTTTTCCGAAGTCTGGCATGCAACCAGAAAACCTTCGTACACTTCTCCGCTCACGGTTGCAAATGATAACAATCTGGCCCGCACCAAAGAGAAAGTGCAGACATTCGACTGCAAAACGCGATGTACCACCGCACTAGGAAAGAAAATTATTCGACAAATAACCTAAAAAAAGGCCGATAGCAATTACCGATACATTTTCCCGGTTAAAGTACGATTTTTATCGGGAAGACGGCATTAACACTCACGTGACATTTGGCGCCCAAAAACGAGGTAAACAAGAATATTAAAAACTGGGTAGTTTTACTCGAGTGTCTGCCAAAAACATAACCGGCAAGTGCTGGCTACCTTTGCGCCCCAACTGCTGTTGAGTCAGGGTCAATACGAGTAGACACGAAACAAATTCCTAAACTCTAGCAAGCGAAACCTAGAGTAACTGTGATACTTCACGTAAATGTTTCATCAATGATAACGTTATAATAAGTCGTTATTAACATTTTAATTTAATTTAAAGCACAACAGTTTTACGTACTGCTAAAAACCCTCAATTTTCCGGCAATGCACCGCTATCCAAAATTCATTGTCGCACGACCAGCAACCAGATATTGCACATTACGCTTTACACAGCATTATGCATGAAATACCATGAAGTACAAAAAGGAACACTTTAAACCGCACAGTGCCGCACAGATTGCGCGACGTCCAGGTGCCAGGTGGTGACTAAAAGTCGCAAGACTTCAGCTATCTTCAAAACGTAACGAACGCACCAGCACATTAAAATCGCAACATGAAATTTCATGGCCGCGAAGTATTGACAACACATTTCCGTGCATTAACAAAAACTGAGCAAACCAGTTTAAGTGTACTTAATCTCACTACACATTAAAAATTATGCACACAAATGACAGATCGCAATGAAAAACTGACACCGCAGCTTGGTCACTTTCAACAAACACAGCAATGTTTGCCAGACCCTGTACTAACTAACATACCCATAGCAGTGTACAGGGAAATGCGCACATCCACACCCGGCAGAATACCAACAATGTTACGCTATTGAAAAGTGAGTATTGACCTTCGCTACAGAGCGCAACAAATAAACTTATCGATTTTTCTAATGTTTTGAAATTCGATTCTGCACATGCTGCACGGAGCAAAAATACGAGTAAAGACGTACCTTTTGCATCTGCATTTTATCATAATCGTCAATGGCATCTCCGGGCTCCTGCTCCATTTCCTCCTCGTAGTCAATCATCTCATCGCCAAGTTTCCCCCAGACACCTTTCCCCCCTGCGCCTCCTTTCTTGGGCAAGCCCCGTCCCAGACCGTTGCGCGGTTTACGGCTGTTCTTCGTGACAGCTGCCTCTTTCTTGGCATTGACAAAGACAGGCTTACTGCCCGGGCGTTCAACACCGGGTGCTGCGACTTTACCGATTAGATGGCGTTTGCCGTGCTTCTGCGGAGTACTTCGCTGCTGTTCGGTCTGCATGGTCTCATCCTGGACAGTCTCCGCTGTTCCCTCGGCAGCAGCAGGCGTCACCGTGGGCGTTACTTCCAGCTGCTGGATGAGCTCGTCCACCTCCACCTCCTCAGCGCTCTTCTGCTTGGAGTAGGTCGTGCGTTTGGAGTTGCCAGCAGTCGTCGACATGGTTCGGCAGCGGGACGTGGATTACTCGGGCAATTTTGCAGACTAACTTGGACACGTTGCACGGAACTGATGGCAGAGCAGTTACTCCAGACAGAGAGCGTGACAGGGGAGCTGTAATGGACTGATAACGGCGAGCTGGGTTCAGGGAAAGCGAATGAATCGTGCTGGAACACTCGTGGATAGAAATGCTGTAACAATGGCTGTGAATTTCAAGGCAAAACAAACGAAAATTCTTGAAATCAGACCGCAAACGCAGCTGACGCATGCACACATAAACAGTACAACACCCTACGTGCAGCAAAGGTGGATACCCACTCTGCTCTGTAAAATGCACATTACGGCATTTTATGTTGCGCTATGGCATGACACATGTTGCAATTTGGGATTTATTCGAAGAAGTTTGTTGCTATTGGAACTATTCCTCGAGGATTTTTAAAGAATCTATGTTAATAATTTTGTGTAAAATTAATCAGTTCACTAAGTTGTAAGCTGCAATTGGAAGTTCCAAGTTTAACTTGTGGTGTGCCTCATTTAAAGGAATCTTCCGTTCGCTGATTTGTTGGGATTTCTCGTGGTGACGAGCTCCTGACGACTACTAGGCTGGTAGCCTAGAGTACTCGTAGCTGTTTAGTGTTTATCCAGAAATTATTGATGTTGACCGTGTCTCTCGTTACGGAAATGTCAGAAGATTTGACTGTTTTCCTTCATAACGAAGTGCTGGACACATTACCGCGTAATATCTGCGTTTCCTGCCAGTATGATCTGGCTGAGAACTCAGTTGGTGGTTTAAAATCTCGTTTTCTGCATCCAGACGTTCAGGTAAGACATCGTCAAATCTGTTACACGCACAGCGTTGGAATCGACAGTTTCTCAAGATCAGGTGTTTTGTCTGTAATGATAACCTTTGCTCGATTTTAGGACTATTTCTATATTACCCAAAGTGGGAAACCCGTGTGCGAAGATGATCCGCTGGTCAACAATACCCAGTATGCGCTACATTTGCGCGTTCTAGGCGGAAAAGGAGGTAAGTCAAAAGTATGTAATAAATAATTTGCAGTTTTCCAATAAATCGGAACTTTCAAATTGTTTCTTGCGACAATTTTCGTGTAATATCTAACTTGATTAGCAGTTTTTTACGATGTAAAGAGTAAGCCCTAACCGAAGTTATTTTTCAGGTTTTGGATCTTTGCTTCGATCCTTCGGTTCACAGATCAGCAAGAACCGCAACCAAGATGCATGTCGAGATCTGAGCGGTCGACGACTGCGGAACGTTAAAGCAGAGCAGAAGTGAGTTTCGTCCAAATCTGTTGCTTGACATGATTTTATGAAATCTGTGGCGAAATCGGAATTGAGATTGGTGTTTCATAAGTTTTGGTACTCATTAATAACAAGAAGCAGGAATTAAAAATAATTCGTTTCAGAGTGAAAGAGATAGTCGAGAAGCAGGCGGAAAAGGAGAAAGATAAGAAACGCAAGAAGGAGGAGAAGATTCAGAAGCTAAAGAGCGCCTTAACGGATAAACCAAAGCATACCTTCCACGATCCAAATTACGAAGCGGAACGCTCGCGCATCCCTGACATGGTGTTTAGTGCCGTGGAAGAAGGTAAACTCATTCTTAAAACATTATGTTTTTTAAAAATACAGTTAATTTTATTGGCACAGTATAACGAATTTTTTAAAAAATGAGTTACCGCTGTACCGGACCAGTTGCGCAATTGGCTTACTGTAATATACGCTAACGTTAACTCGTTTTCGAAGTTCGATGTACTGGTAAATTTTATGTTTACATGTGAAAATCTGCGTTGTTTTTATAATGTTACACCTTGAGTTTTCCTCATGTTTATTCCTGTTTTTATGGATTGCTGCGCTACGATAGATCTGTGTCAGGTGATATTTGATGTGTGCCTTTTACATTAATGTTTTTCAACAGGAAACAAAACCATTGCATCAACATCAGCCGTGGTGGCATCTACGTCTGCCGGTGATACACATATGCAGTCGACGGTAATCGTGGAAGAGCATCATCCTCTGCCCTCGGTACCCGTGGACAAGAAGCGCAAACATGTTGATCCATTGGAAAAGAATATGGGTTCAAAGAAAATGAAAGGCTGGTAAGAACTATTCCATCATTTTTGGCCTTTTGATAGTGTTCGTGAGTGGCTGTAGCCGTGAGTTATTTCATAGGCTTGGAGTGGATGATGAAAGTAGTGACGAAGAGTGAATTCTGAGGAAAAGCAACGCGTCCAGTTATTTAACAGATTGCGATCCCTGGGCAGATGCGCAGCCATATTCCCACATAGAGGTTAATTGGATTTGATGCTATTGATTCTTTCGGTGTTTAGCGTATGGGTGAGTACCATTGCGCTGTTGTTTTGCAAAAACTTGCTGTATACTGTATGTATTCCAACCGGATTGTCTGTTATTTGGGAAAGTTATCTCATCGATTTTTGCTGTATAACAGAATTATGGAAATTGTACGATATGCTTCGAAATGTAAAAATGTAAGTACCTGCTACTATCTGCGAATATTATCTTTGCAAGTGCTTAGAGCGAATAAACTAAAGGAGATATAAGCTATATCCGATCATTTTTGGTTGAGTTGATGTGACATCCTCTGTATTTTGTGAGTAAACATCCCGTTTAGACTGCTGTTAACCATCCTAATTATAGAATAATTTTGACCCAGCTTTATCAATAAACCCGATGACGTAGTTTCAAATAAATTTCGCATCATGTCGGCGTTTTCGAAACGTTTTTCAGGAAAAACGTCCAACAAAGTGGTGCCTTTAGACCTTTTTTGTGAATTTGTTTCTATTTTTGGTAGCGTAATTGCTACATGTATATGACATTTAAGAGGTGGGAGGATCTATTCAAAGGAATCGAGTCGTGGGCCTCGTGGCTATTGCGCTGAAAATTGAAAACTGCGCCGTTTTGCTTCCGCTCCGCATGGTTTTGTTTTTGATCTACGTAGCTTGCTCATGCTGCCTGCATTTCTTACGACTGTTCGGTTCAAATGAAATTGTAAGATCGCATTGGGTACATAATTTTATGCACACAGCTCACTGACGCACCTGAACGGAAGAACACTGCAACCTTTAGATTCTAAATTTAATAACATTATCGTCGCAAGATTCGCAGTAATGGGCATCACGGCATTGTCATTCTTCGTATTTTTTCTATTTCTCTTTAGGGTTTTATGAACAAGAAGGGGATCAGATTTCTTTTGTAACTGGAAACAATCCCCCATGAGAAAGGTTACCAGTAGCATATACCCCGTTAAAAATATGTAAGCATCCGCAGTATGCAGTGGCTTCCGTCACGCGTGCATTTGCAAAAATATGAATATTAATGCAATACTTTCACAGGTTTTTTTCAGTTTCACCGCATGACACATTAGCTGCGTGACGAAAATCCTTGTCGCCCACTGCAATTTTCAAAAATTTAACGATTAGACCGGTCCTGCTGACACTGAAACATAGATATTACGGTCTAAATGTAACAAGTAGATCAGCCTGAATTTCTCTCTTTCGAAAACATTCTCACCGCACCAACTCGAATTAAGAAAAACGAGCTCATGTAATATGGGCGGGGTTGCAGTGAGATCATATCCTTTTTCTTGCTACTACTAGCCGTTACCCTTCGGTTTTTAATGAGCAGCCATGGAGAACAATAGATGAAGATGTGTATATAATTAATTATACTGGGGCCTCCTTTCAAGCGCTCGCGTTCTGTTATACTTGCCTGCTCACCGCGTTTGATGAGCAGAGGCTTGAGGAGTAAACTAAGCTAATTTGCTGCGCGCGCGCGGAAGCAGAGTCATGTTTTAAATGCGGTAAACAGTTTAAGAAAAGTGCTGCCGCTATACAAGACACCGCCCGGCCACCAAACGCAATTGTTAGGTTGGTTAATGCACTTCGTTACACATATTCAAATATCCAATTGCCAACGCCGTGCACACATTGTGGACAATTATCACGGTTCACGGCGCTTATGCGCCGGACTAGCTGGAAAAACCATGTGGATTATAGCATGGGTTGCTCTGGATTTATTTATCACTGTAAGTGGAAGCGAGGTGCTGGATAGCAATTATTTCCCGGTAATAGGTGCCAAATGGTTTCCTTTAAGGAAGTTAATTGTGGGATAAATCTTTGCATTCGGGCTCTCATATTTTTACTTTTTCTGTCTTGTTAAGCGCTAAAAATTGTTACTGCACCTATTAAACAAGAAAGATAATGTGGGAAGATCGAAATACATTGATGTGTAATGCATATAAAAAATATCGTATAAATATGTACAGCTTGAAAAAAAATTATTTGGAATTGGGAGACTCCATTTATTTGAGAATTAGATGTAATAGAATTTTCGATAGTTGAAAATTCCTAAATATATTACGGTAACACGATTATTGATTTTTGGTATATAACCGGCCAGATGTAATTTGCAGCACGCGTTGGCCGACTTGTCACCCCCCGCATCCGACAACAATGCCATATGGGACCGACCCAAGCTCAAATACGACAATTATTCCTTCATGGCATTATTGCCCAATCCCGATATGGTACAGAGCGGAAGTCTATCCGCGTGGAATGCCACATCCTCGATAAATGACTTCGACAACACCATTCCCACGTTCGAATACACCAATACATCCGGTGACCTCGCATCCGCTGCCAGCGGCTACTCCCCCTCAGTGGCACGCGGCTGGGGACCGGAAGGCCGGCAATACCAGGAGGACAGTGGTGGCGGTGGCGGCGACTACTCCAAAGCCTACATGCCGCTGATAACGTATTTTGATGTGAAATGTGATAAACGCGGCATGCATGTCCATATTGAATTCAACAAACCCTTCAACGGGATCATCTTCAGTAAGGGATTCTTCAATTCGCCCGATTGCCGGTATGTGGCGGGGAAGAGTTACGGGCGGATATATGATTTCACTGTCCCCGTGGACTACTGCGGCACAACGGGGGAGGATCACGCCAAGGATTATAAGGATTCCTACTATGAGAATACCATTATTATACAGTTTGATGAGTACATCCAGGAAGTCTGGGATCTGGCCAAGACTATCCGCTGCGAATGGAATGCCTATTATGATAAGTCAGTAGCGGTGCGGCCGTATAATGTCGGCAATTTGGATCCGGTGCTGTACCGGTTCAACGGTGACAATATAGAATCCTGGATACAGATTCAGAAGGGCAAAGGTCCGTGGGCGGAAGAGGTGTATGGGATCGTCAAAGTAGGTAAGTCCCGAGGGGGTGAAGTCAGCGCCCGCCTGATACCTCATATACGGTAAATATTGTAATTACCCTATGACCTTTTATTGCGCAGCAAGGATGTGCACCGGCGTTTGGGTGACCTTTGTCTTTTAGTATTAATTTTATGATTTGCATCTCTTCATTAAATTTTCAAGGAGGAAATTATTAACGTGGTTTTACTTAAGGGCTGGTTGAGACTCGTTTTTGAGGCGTAGCCGCAGAAATTATTTATGATTATACCGCACGCGTCTTTCATAATTTGTTAAACCGTCTGCGTCGATGAAAAATGGGTAATAACTACTGTCTTGTGCAGGCGATCCATTGACGGTGGTTATTGGCATTCGTGATTACGAGGGTAAATTCGATATGTCGGTGAAAGACTGTTTCGCCACGGATGGCTACGGTGGGCGTGTCCAGCTGACCGACTACTACGGTTGCGTAGTGCGCGATAAGATAATGAGTCCTTTCCGTAAAGTGCGAGACTACGGTCAGCAAGCCACCGTGGTAGCCTATGCCTACTTCCAGGCCTTCAAATTCCCCGATCGCTATGAAGTGGGCATTAAATGCAATATTCAGGTGTGCTTGGGCAAATGTCAAGGTGGCTGTCCCGGGGATTATGGTGGTGGCGGCGGCGGTTATGAGAAGCCACGCGGTGATTACCAGAATGAGCCCGGATATGCTGCACCGCCGGATTATGGCGCCGGAGGTTAGTAACATTATATGTTAGGGGTTTATACACCCATCATCCGAGAAATATTAATGCATTTCGTTAAAAGAAACATGACTACGGGGTGACGTATATTACAAAGCTGCGCATAATGCTTCCGGTTAGACGATGTGATTCTCGCAAAATTATTATTGCTCCAGGCGCCTATTCCAGCGTCAATCCCACGGCACAGAGAGTCGATCTGTCGCAATTCGGTCCCGGTCCCTATGTGCCGGATATACCGCCCGCGCCGCCCGGTGCACCACCGTACCAGGGATCCTATGACACCGATCACGTGATCGGAGTGGACACCGCGGTGGCTGCGACATCGGACATTAATAATGTGGATGTACCTAGTAAGAGCAAAGGCCCACCACCACCGCCCGGCGCCGGTCCTGGACCGACTCTGGATCCCTACCGACGAAAGCGTGATGTGGAAAATATCACCAGTGACAATAGCACAACACTGACGGTCGTTGTCACCACTACGACATCCACACTGCCCACGGAATCATCATCATTTGCGGCATCCAGTTCAACCCGGAAAGCGGAGGCGCACTCACGGAAGCCCCACCGCGAAGCCAAAATCGTGCAGGACGATGGCCAGATCAATCTCGATGGGAAGTTTAAGGTGATTGCCTCGCATGACATCCAGTCGGATAATATTAAAACCGGTCCCCAGGAGGTGGCCGCCGCGGCGACCAACGCTATCTGTATCACGGTGGCCAGCTTCACTGCCGGTCTAACCTTGCTAATGGCCATGCTAATTCTCTCCGTTCTGGTAACCGTCTTTGTCTGCTTCCGGTTGCGACGCTATGGGGAAAAGGTCATCGGGTTGGCCGCTCTGCCGGTGCGGCGGGCGGGCGGTGCCAAACGGAATGTGGGTGAATTTATCCAAGCCACCACGTGCTGGTCACCGCCCATTTTAACCGCCCGTCACGAGTGAAGTGATTTGTAAAAATTATAGTAAATATTTTTGAGCTGGACTCAAAAAATCAATGGCATATTTGGGTTTTGTTTAATAAATTGTGCTCCTTTGGTGACTGTAATGCGTGTGTGCGATTTTCACACGGCCTGGCCGGATTAAGGATACATCGTATCGGTTGACAATACAATCGGGACGTGGAATTAGAGCAATTGCAGGAAATCGTCACATGAACTGCAGTCTTCACACATCACATAATATTCATGGCCGATAGCGGCTTGTGAAAAGTGCGCAGCAGATAAATGCCTTCATCCAGGTACACGGTTTTCTGCCCACGCCAGGGTTATGTAAAAAGGGCTTACATGCATATCCGCGAACAACATACCGAAAGGTCAAGGCTCAATAAATAATAGGGGTTTATGCGTGTGATCAATGATAATGTGATTTCTTGCTTCTGTCCAAATTAATTATGCAACACAGCTCCGCTTTATAAGTGTACCGCGTCGTTGCTTACATATTAATCAGGAATTTCGTTCTTTTAAATTCTGTTCTGCTGCATTATAAAATATTAATGCAATTTTGTCGATTTGCCGTTTTATCGTGTTTGGCGCCAGCATAGTACGACTGCTTAGCTATTCCCATAGGTCACCGTCTCGACTCGCTACTTACGCACGTGCCATGAAGCGGAATTTCATATCAAATTCGACAAATAATTATAGAACGGTTTTGACGACAACGGCGTATCCCACTTACCCCATCCTCCTACAGGGTCAATTCAAGTAATTATAATGAATCATCATATATTGGATATATATGGACAGAAAAGCCCGTGCCCAAGCCCAAGAAGTGTCACGATCACAAGTTGATTATAATGAAATAAAAAATTTATTACGTGGAATAGAATAACTGTTTCTTATTATTTACCCGGCCGGTTCTCAGATAACGTTTCTTTCAAAAATTACGAGTAGTTTGTGTTTAATTAAACTGGCCAGCGACTCCATAAGATCTCCCGATTCGCAACGTTCGTTAGTATTTATGGCACTTGTAAGGCTTCTCTCAACTTATATAGACATTTAACGCGTGCGGTTCGCTGTATAATAATACGAGTATAAGATCCCTCTAATATCCGATATAATAATTATTACAGTATATGTGTTTTACATTGCTGATATCAGTGACACAATTTTACAGTATTTTATTGAGTCGTCATAAAAATATCCAGAAATCAAAATAATTCCAGGGACATGTCAAGTAAGAAAGCATGGCAGTAATTAATAAATGGATCATTGAACTGCATTCCGCTTACTGGTTAGATAAAATTTTGAAACATTCAATACCGCATAGATACCAAGTACTGCCTTCGGGAAATAAAGTTAGCTCGCTGTCTGGTGTACAGAGTATTTAAAGAACATCAAAGGTAGTATTGTACTGAATGCAGTCAATAAGATATCCCATAAACAAATCTGTAATGTAATCTTTCTGAGCAGCCGCATTCACTGAAACCTATCATCAGCCATAGGACGCCAAATTGAACCAGACAGAGTTAAACTTGGATAACAGCATTTTCCCACGAAGGACGGAGTGTGAGATGAAAGAACCGCTTTCTGTCATAGTTCAGATGTATTTGAACTTGTATAAGCACGACGGAGTAAAAAAAGGAGAGCAATTTCGTAGTAAAGAGGACAACATTCGCCGACCACTCTTCTCATCACGCTTATGTGCGTATATCCAGACGCTCTCAATCTCCGGTATATAATCCCAGACTCCCAGTTGACCGTCGATAATGATTACCGTTTCGCGACGGGTTTGTAAAAGTGGGAGAACCAGTTGCGGCAGCCACCGCCCCGCGCGTAGATCATATAACTCCCATACACAATGGGATTGATAATCGTACTGAAGCTCATGGTAAAGAGCAGTAATCCCTCGGTGACACCGTCGGTTATCTGTTCGTGGAAGTTCTCCGGTGTCTCCACAAACAGCGACCACACCGTAATAACAGCATACGGTGTGTAGCACAGTACAAAGCCGGCTACAATTAACAGTGACAGTTTAACGGTGCGTGTACGGGTGCGCTGGCGTTTAAGCCGGCTCGAATGGTACAGAATGAGACCGGTACTGAGCCGCATATGGCTCCCGCGTGTCGACTGCTTAAAGGTCACAATGGACAGCGCGATGCCGGTGGCCGAGGTCGTCGCTGTGGGAGCCGCCGGTGAGGGTGCGTTGGGCGTTTCCGGTTCGTAATTAGTACGGATGCTGTCGGCTTCGCTGTCGTGTGTATAGTCGGAAGTGAGGTAGGCGGATGTGAAGCTGCGCTTCATCTTCGGCGCCCTGATGTGGATGGACGTCCGGAGATTCCACAGGATGATGGCATTGACCACGATGATCATCTGCAGTGGAATGACGTACATGGCCAGAACGCCGAATATCACGTAGCCCCGCTCACCGGCCTCCGTGGCGAAGTAGAAAAAGGTGACACACTGCGTGAATTCGGGAACATTGGGATACGATTCCACGTGGTATATTAGTGCCTGCAATACAACAAACTGATGAAGCTGGATGTGTTGTAATATAAAACCGCGATCGCAAACCGACATCGCTATTCTGGTGCTATATGAATACATTTTTCAATGAATATCTTTTTTCCCTGTTTTCTGTCAGCACATTTTACTGTTTTGAATTGCTGCTATTTTGTTTTGTTGTTTTCGAGGCATCATGCCTGTCGGATACAGCCGTAATTTTTAAAATCCCGACAGCTGTCTTAATCAAATTTGATATGATGCCAGATGCACCTACAGAGTGCAAGGGGCCCCTTGAATAATTGATTCACCTCACCACGAGCGCATCTGAAAGGCAGATTTTTCAAAGGGTTAATTGAGTACTGCCGCATTAGTCGAGTGCTTACTAATTGTTTAATTTTACGCAGGCGAGAATTTATAAGCTGATTACATTATACGAGTACATACATTTATCAGAATGATTCAACCAAATTGGAAGATTGCACACCGTAGACCTTGTTACAAAGCTAAAGACTTAATCCCACAATTTGTATCGTCAGAATATCCCCGATTTTGCAAGAGATAGTAAAATAAGTCATTGCATCTTTTACTCTCTCTTAATGTTAAACTGGTGTAAAATCAAAGCCAATTACTTATTTCCGATTGTAGTGGCAGGATCCGATCTATTCCTTCCTGGGAAAACAGGAAGCACATTTATTTTAATGCTGATTTAGCCATCCGTATTCTGCGTCTCTGTGCTCCCGGAAAATCTTTCTGATAGCATTATCTTAATGAAAAACACGTGACCGTTAAACGTTAGGTACATTAGAGCTGGGCGTGCGCAGTATAAAGGTTTAATTAAAAAAGGTTGCCTTTAATGTAAGTTATGTAACACATACGTATGGAATACAGTGCTGTAGAAAGGTGCGGTCACTGTGGTGACAATGCATCAAGTTGATTCTGCCGGCGGTTTCAAAGTTAGTTAGCGGATTGTTCCAACTTCCGATGATACCGGATGTTTGTCTAGCGAATCGGTGAATATACGAATTCATTTAACAGGTGCACCAGTAGTTTTGTTTTCCGGTTGCTACGGCTTGGTACCGGCACGAGTTTGGCTTCGGCTTTCAGCGTTACTGAATATGTAAGAAAGTTTACTTACTCGGTTTTTTTTTCTGAATAAGTGTGAAAGCGATTTGAAAATCGATATCTTGACTAAATATACACTGGAATAACAGCTATGAAATGGTTTACCTTTGCTCTTTAATGTCATCATGCACGGATTATTGAAACTCCTTCCCGTTTTTATGCGAACAGTATTCCTACGGGTGCCGGCTATAATAAGTGATGTGTCTATTCAAAACGATTCTACAAGGGATTAAAATGGGGGACTTCTAGGAGCGTATACCTAAAACAGCTTCTTAGGAATGTCAAGTTGCTTCGTAGTGGAGATTAATATTGCTTATGCATAATGACTTTCTGTAGAGTGCAGACATGACGGGCAGTATATGCTCATATATATAAATCGGATAGGCTTTTACAAAGTTTTATGAAATTATCCGGATGTTAGCGGCGCATATCTCTGCATTAGCAGTGGTTTTTTGACAAGTGCAATTTTAGAGTGATGATGTTTTCAACGAACCACAGATTCCAAATTATGACGTATACAGTGCCGAGCTAATTCACAATCCGTTCCGTGACTTCACTCTCTACTCACTTGGTAGTAACCATTGTGTCAAGTTCACAACTGAAAACGCCAATCTATCAGAATTAAATTCCCTTAGATGAAATGACGTAGTATGGAGCCTGCACGGAATTTGCCCAGATCAGCTATCGTATAATATATCATGCGTTTTTAATTTTCCCATGGCTGTTATTAAACCAGATCTTAATTTTTGTACTTTTTTATTTATCCGTTTATTATATCGTCTAACTGCAATCTGGAAAGCGGCCGGGGAATAGATATCTTATAATTATAATGAACGGATTTTGCAATATACTCGAGTAGGCTAAATGCATATGTGTATTACTGTAAATAAAAAAGGCATTGTCATAATATGAAAATTTAATTACGGGTGTATAGCATTCACCTTAATGAACAATGGTGCGCATGGTGTGACACGTGTAAATGTTTAAGTAAGTAAATTGTCACATCACGCGCCACGCATATTATCAATTTTATTTTATTAAACCACATTGTATCAGGCCGTACATCCTATTGTCTAACACTTACAAATTTGATAACTGCATACCTGTGGTAGGCTGCATACAAATGCCGAAATCCAAACGAACGTTAGAACAATTCTGGCTCGTCGTGGACCATCATTAAGTTTCATAGGAAACCATATTGCGTAGCAGCGATCAATTGACATGCCCACAACAACAAACGTGGCCAAGTATAGTCCGAAGGTTTTCGTAAAGGAAAACAGCCGGCACGCCGCATCACCGGCCGTCCACACCACCGTCATACGCCACCCGATCTCCATCGTAATAGTGAAACAGCACACCAAAAGGTCAGCGATGCACAGATTAAGGAGGAATGGACGTAGGCGCGCTTTACCCTCCGGTGTGCCAATTAGTGAGCGGAGAAAAACTAGATTCCCGCTAAGACCAACCAGAAGAAAAATCCCATAGAACCAGTTGGCCAACGACGAACTGTGATTCTTAACCAGCAGCGTCTGGAAGCTTTCGTTGGATACCGATTCATTTCTGGACAGGTCAGCGTGCAGATCGGCCAAAGCGTCCTCGATTAGAACAGCCATTTTATCCGCTATGGATTATACACGCACTGCCGATCAGGGGATTAAGATGATCCAAGATTTGTTCAACTGATCCCGTTCAAGCTGCATCGCATTCACCCGGTCTGGAGGTGAAATACAAATGCCGGGAAGTAGCGGTGGAAATGTGCAATCTCAGCGCGATTATGTTAGCCGGTATCATTTTATACGGTGCAGTGCATGATTACCGGCTTTAGGCAGGGTGTTCAACACTATAGGGCTGTACGAGCGCTAAACTGCTGGAGCACCTAGCACCGATCAGCTGTGAATTGATTGGTACCTTCCAGACGAACCTGCAACCGGAGCTGTGTATTACCACGGCCTATCCCAACAGCTTCTCTAGACGATCCTTCTCACCGGATCCGCCCCAAATCGACACGCATCGGCGCAATGCTGACGCCTGCAGTATTGTACATGATCAGCTACTTGTACGTTGTATCTGTATTGCAAGGGTCAGAATTTGCGGTTGTCGTGTGTAGACTAATTAATACCGTCATTAATTTGTCATAACGACTATGATGCTGAAGCCGCTTGGGTATACAGAAATTGGTATACTGTACATATACATCGATTAGGCGGAGTGGTGCAGAATTTACGGAGAAACAATGAGAACTAGAATCACATCTAACAGAAATGTTCTGCAGCCCAGGAAGGGATATCATGCGTGGTCATACAAATAATGCATGCATGTTCAGAGGTTAATAATCATGTTTACAGCGTTTTTTCGCGTACGTCATCATAATAAATGCCTGGGAATGAATGCGTCTAAATCGTAAATATCTTGACAAAACGGTAAAACGTTTCGAACTAACTGAATGCATAATGGTCCCAAGTGGATGGTGGGAAGCACGCAAACGGGACGTCGAGCGACACAACGCGATGTCTTCGTCGACGCGAAATATTTACTGGAAGTATTAAAAAGTTGTGTAATTCAGATAACAGAAATCTTATGCTTAGGGCATGCAAGTAGAAAGGTTACCTAAGGAAGATCACTTAAGATTATTAAAGTCTTTGCTTCACACCAGTGGTGCTCGAATCGTGCAGTCTCATCGACCGTAAGCGGGACGCAGACCGAGAATGACGGTGACGTTATAAATCAACGGTGTGTACGATGGGCTTTTCTGACGGTCAGAGCATTTTTGTGACGAAGATGTGGGATTTTTCTTTTATAACAGTTTTATATATAACCGCTAACACGCATTTACACGAAAAATCTGCGTTAAGGATCAACTGCATTCAAAAACGGCGCGATACTTATAGAACACAATTGACCTTTCTCAGAGAACTGGCCGCGCGTATACGTTGTTTGCAAGTAGCACTTCGTGCTTCTAGTCATTTGCGCGTGTACTGAAATGCGTCTGTAGCCTCTTACCTCGCTACACCATTTGCACGTTTCCGATTATCCCAAATTCGAACGGAGGTTTCCCCGTTAACGGCATTTATTACAGTACATATTTGTTAGCCCAAACTGAACAGATCGTCTGCCCACACCCCCGCTCCTTGTCATGTAATCTCTGCTTTACAAACCGCAGCATCATCAATGGCGGTTTCCGTTTTAAATGGAATTTTCAGTTGCTAATTGTTAGGTCCACATCCATTAAAACGATATTAATTATTATATGAAATAGGTATAACATTCCGAGTATACGTGCCAATGCTTAACATAGCTTTAGAGGTACTTCTGGTACGGTTTCTTGCTAGTATAACATCCAAGAAGCATCAAAACACCCCAAGGTCAAACAAAATTTCCATGTTCTCCGCAAATGACGTCGTTTGTGGTAGTATTACATTACCATTGATGATAATTACGCGAACAACACTGCAGAGATCTTTTAAATTAAATGCGAAATAGTCTTATGCTGGTATCAGTTTTTGTTTTTAATGGCAATAATTCTCTTAATAAACCGGTCTCAGGTTCGCGGCCGATCCAGTCTTCCCTAGAAACTATCATTTGTTCTAACAACAACGTTTACTCGTACCTTATGTATATGTAACATAAAAATCTATACATAGCAGAATTACATAACAGATATCCGAAAAACGCCCGAAGAATGTCAAGTACACTAATTCTATAAAAAATAACTATTGTTGAGGTAAAACCAAACCTATCTGTACTCGTTGGATAATCACAATCACTGGATGCTTTAATTTCGCTTCCCAAGTGTCACACATTCAAAAGCGAATGGCTCAGCATAAGCAACTTCCACAGCACGTTACTCAAGTCCAACTGCATCAACCATAACATAACATGGCAAAAGCCGAGGCGAATTACAAAAAAAACCTTCCGCCAAAATTAACCATTTACAAACCATGAAATCGATCGAAATAAAACAATATAAAACGCGTCAAATAGCTCCCTATCTCAAGCGGGCACCACGGCAGTCCGTGGGGCATTCAACGGGCGATTCAGCGTCAGCTTCCGTCCGTCATTGTTCGTACAGATCGGATGTCTCTCATAATGCCTAATCATCTCTTCCAGACTATTGAATCTGCGTTGGCCAATCGTCAGGTGGCACTCTACAGCGTTCACGTATACCCGAAAGTGTTTGTTCCGAGGCGACGCTTTAAGGGATACCGAAAAATCAGCTTTGTTGCCGGTTTCACTATCGCGAATCAGGTAGTCTCCGTCGTCGCCATACGCATTCAACAAGCTATCACAGTCCTGTCGGGAAATCCGCCCAAAGTACCACAGCTTACTGTGTAAAGTACCACGGTCCACGAAATCATCGTACACTACCGTCGGATCACTGCTGCGTCCGTTGGTGGTTCCGTTTAAATGCATGGCACTCATTTCATCCATCAATTCTTCTGGTACATTCTCTTCACCATTCTGACCACCCGAATGACGCAGGACCGGCACCGTGTCCAAGTAGATATCTTCAACGTAATTCCGCGGGACCAGGCCAATTTCTCCCCGCTCATTCCTCGCACGAAACCAGTTGGTCTCACTGGTCGGTGCGTCAAACACGAGCAAGCGCTCGTTCTTCTCGAAGGTCAATTCATCGGCACTCTGTGCTGTGTAGGAGTACAACGCCTGCACAAAGTGCTCATTAGGGTTTGGGGAGTCGGACGGAGCGTATGATGTAACGGGTTCCGCCCTGTTGTCAGGTTCGACAGCCGCCAGCGCATCATTGACGTGTGGCATTTCCTTGACATAATTGGATGGGAACCAGCCCCTGGCGCTGTTGGCTTTATTCTGGCCTTTCCACCAGCCATCGTGCGATTTTTCAATTACCTGCAAACAGATCACAATTTTATCGATGACCAAATAATTCGCATTGCGCAGCAGCATAGCAAGTTCGATATGAATATTTATGTGCGGTGTGATAGAGCATTCGGGGTACAAAAATAATTCAATTATCACACGCATCGGTTGAATACTACAGGTAAAGCCGTAAAGGATTTTCGTGCTTCAAATAATGGTTAACAATTTTGGTTCATTATAAGACAAACACAAACAGGACGGTGTGGAGTTGTAGCTCATAGCTATCACGAAGCTTCAATAGAACTAAAAATAAAAATTGCTAGTTTTTTGTTAGATTTAGCATGATCACTCTATCACGTTAGCAAAAAAAAAATCAATTTTCAAAACAAAAGTTCATAAATACAAATGTCGTGACTACTCCATTACTTTTTCCCGTGGTTCATATCTGTAGTTCATATAGCACAGCATTACCACCTGTCCTTATGTCCGCTGGTTAGTTTCAGTGACATTTTAAAAACTGATTTTTTTGTATACGTTCAGGTATTTGTTAAATTCGTCATCGCTAACCGAAACAAACTTTTTAACAGAAAAGAAAACCGATACCACCCATCGGAAGTCATTTTCCGTAAGTAGTAATACAATAACAATAAAGTGTCACTTTTCTAACATCATAATAAATATCACGGTGCGCGTGCGAAATCAGTAGAAACAGGTAATTTACAGCTGTATAATTCGGTCAAGCCGAACATCAATACCGCTTGAAGGAAAAAACGCGCAAAACGATTTACGACATAAGTTGGTCAAGCAAGAAACAACCATTTAATGTAGCAATATTAAGCATGATAAGCAGGCCCCGTGCGGCGAACAGACCGAGACCTTGAATCGTAACGCAACCTAAATAAATGCCATAACGGCATAACCTAAACCTATTTATTTTAGCAATTTCGCCAACAAACTCAGCATACAGAATTTAAAGAGAATTTAGTAGTACACAAAATCGAACATAAATCCAATAACTTCTCAACATTCACCTTCGGCATTATTTGGAATTCCTTTAATCCTTCAGTTACCAGTAGACAACAATTTCCCATTACCAGAAGTAATTATAGGATATGCAATTTAGACTGCGGATAAAATTCCGAGCGAGCATTAATACATGAAGAAGAAACAACGCATCGAAAAAACCAATGCTTAAACTGAAAAATGCTTCATAAAGTAGGCAATCGAAATCAAAGGATTACGAAACTGAGGTGCTGCATGATTCCATAACGACAACAACTAACTGTCCCAAACGTACAGCAAAAATAATAGTATTCAATACTATTCATCTTAATCATATTCATTTACAACCACAAAAAAGGCCAAACATATTCCTACGCAAACCAAAACGCACCACAATCAATAGGTTTGTAAATATTGCCTCTCGTTGCGTATAATGAAGTCCAAACAATTTAATTCTGCTGGTCAATCAAACTCCCACGGACCGAACGATATTATCCTTTTTTACAACAATTTGCTTTTACCACTAAAATTACATTAGCGACCAGTTTCTCTTTATCCAACAGACAGAACAGACTTTCCCATAGACCCACAAATTTCTTTTATGAAAGAATGTAACAACCAAAAACAGTTCAGAAATGCTCCTAAGTAAACAACTATCAAAAAGGTCAAATCACCGCACTCTCCAAAGAATCAATGCAAACGATACTTAAACTACGGTGCCAAAATTAACAGACATACTGTCTAAACTTACCAGAATATATTCACCCTTTTTCAATTGCAGTTCATCAGCCTTTGAGGGATCGTAATTAAACTTGACAAGAGCGGCAAAGGGCCGGTTCGGTACGCCGTTGGGATGAGGTCCGAGTAGATAACTCTGTGCAGGCGGAATCGGTGCACTAATATGATTAATTTTCATATCCGCTGTTTTCTTTTTCACATGCCGCTTTAGACTGTTGAGCAAGCTAGGCTTCTCCTTTTTGACATAATTAGAGGGCACAAAGCCGCTCTGATATTTGGCATTTTCCACCTGCAAGTAGACATGCACTTGTTAAGGAACAAAATACGTAATCATGAGCATAGTTGTTTGAACTGATAACAAGCAGACAGGCAAAGCATGTGCCGCTGCATAACAAACACTTAGGAACTCGTAACGATTACAAAGCATTAGCCAGCTTCTTTTAAACAAACTATTTCTAATTCCATAAATCAACATGAAATCAAGCTAATGTTGATACTTCTGTTGCGTTGAGTAAACGATAACAATATTTTTATAATGTCCAAACTCCAAACTTAACATTTATTTCTGAACTACAGTCACAAAACCCATGCTTGAAATGCAAATTCAGATGTTAAACATTTCATGAAAAAAAATTGTTAGACAATTTTCACAGATGAGTCACTGCAGCACTTTGCAACAACACCGAAACCCGAATTACGCCCATTGCCCATTAAATAAATTAGCACCGTTTAAAGTTATTTAGAATTACTGTACGGTATTTAAAAAATCAGCCGAAGCGTCCCGCTTGTTAAATTGTGTGCGATCGACACGAAAGAATCTTCCTTATTGAGATTTCAGATTTCTTATCGCATTAATGCAAACGATGATAAGCAGTTCAAATAAGTTCGTGTAGCAGAATTAGCTCGTATTGAAGGAAACGTGCATACAGTTTTCCCCATGCGTTATCTCGCACGCCACGACACCTCGCAAATGCAGATCTTGACAGGTTCCATTTCAGCAGGCAGCTACATAATGACAAATGTACCTGCTGACAATAATTACAGCTCCACAAAAGAACGACCTGTCACAAACGCGGATATTGACCAATTTCCGGCGTTTAAATCGCACTGATTTGGACGTGTTCAAGCTGGTTAAATTGGCTATTAACCGAAAACTGAGAAGTTTGCGAGCACTCTGCATCATGTTACTATTAAACCATAAAGTCAATCCAGTGCAAGTGATCTAATCAAGATGCGTCACACTTCTCAAGAAACCGAAACTCCTATTCAGCTGCAGTGATGTAAATACTAACCGTAAATACTGAGCACGGGTCAAGACTTGCATAAAATTCAGTTAGTCTTAATCCAATCAACAAATCGATATTATGTACAATAAAATAACAACTCACTGTCAATCTAATGCAGATTAATGCTGAATGGAACTCCTATTAATTTTGATACCAAATTTCCCAAAAAGAGAAAACTCGCAATTTCTTAAAGATACATTTTTATAATTTGTAGAAAACCTCGTAATCTGATGCGAAAATAAAAACGTCTATCTGCAAACTTAAGAATTCAGCCCATATTACTGTAATTATTACACACAAAAAAGGTATCCTAAATGTCAAATTTAATTATTGAAATACAATTTACTGCTAGATTATCATCCTCGTGGCTCGTACCTTCCACCATTGTTTTGAATCGTCCACAAGACGCAACCTCTCGTTTTTCCTCAGCGACAATTCCTGGTCACTGGAGGCATTATAGTCGTACTTTGCAATAACATAAACAGGTTCCCGGGCGCGATCGGGATCTTTCGCCATTTTCGCTGGGAACACTTTTCCAGGCTGGGGATCAATTCCACCGCAATCGTTTTCGCTTTTGACTGACGACTGGCAACAACTGGCTACAGTATCCACTTAACAAGACAGACCATTCGGCGCAAGAGTGTGATTCATGTATTCCAGTCATGCGAAGAAGAGTTCAAATTATCGGAATTTGGATCGTATCCAGAACTCTACATGAATTTTAATGGGCATGTCAAGCCAGAACACAATCCCACAAACACTGGCAATGCCTTCAGTCTACAAAAACATGACTCATTAAAAACACTCATAAGCAAATGATGCAAACAGCAAATCACACAAAATTAAATTTAACAAGCGTGGAAATTTGTGAGAATATCTGCATACATCTGTCTCGGTGGGGACGACACAAGTATACGGCGCCGTACGACAGCATGCTGCACTTAACAGTGCTGACGGATCTATTTTTCCTCACAAACTCCTTTCCGCATTAATAAGCACCAAACCCTTAACCAAACAGAATCGCGACCAAACTAACAAACCAACAAGACCCCAGCAAGTTGTGAAATTATTAATGGAGCCACTTTGCAGCGCAGACTGCCCTTGAACCCGCATATTACTTACTGACATAGCCGATCGCTAGACTTGGTACCCCAGCCAGAATCACAGACATGCTTTGCCTTTGATATCGATGATTAATATACTAGTTAGTTATTATTAATAAAATTGATAAACCAGCTATAAAACTCAACATTAACGCCAGACAGGGGAAAAATTTTAATTAGCGCAACTTACCAATGATCAATGTCCAAAGATAATTGTTCGGTCCACATTCAACACTGTAAAAGTTAATAAAACACTGTAAACAGGAAACCATTACGAATGCCGTTAAACGGGAATTCTATTGTGTTAACTGACTGCGCAACAACGAAACTTGGCCGAAAAAATTCGAACTCAAGTTATAGTCTATACAAAATTCCGATTCTTCGATTTCCATAGAAGTATTCTTGTTACAAAACAATCAGCCCGGAAAACAAAAAAGTAACTTTCGAAAAGAATCAATCGACTGTCTGTAGGAGATACCTGGTTTATGGTAACCATTAAATGTTAAATCGAAATTTTATCGTGGACGACAGGACGTACAGTACACTAGTACAGTACAGTACTGTATGTGCAACTGTAGTATGTACAGAGCGTGTACATTGTGAATACTGTACTGTACAGAGTGCAACTGTACTGACGCATTGAACGACCCCAGCCATGCATCCAGACTTTCGTCGTACGGCTCGCTTCATAGTGGTTGGTCGTCAAGTCGTACGTATCGCTTGATGCAATTAATATTAATAGTTACAGTAACTAAAAAAGTAAGGCATACTTCATTAACATCGATGATTTTGAATGATTCATGCCAGAAAACTGGAGGTTTCTTGTCATTATTGTGGATTCTTTAAAACAAAAAATAAACCGTTTTATCGTGTCCCGAGTCCCGACCACAGAGTCATGAGTCTTCTTCATTCTAAAACTCTTCTTCACTCTTCACAGCTGCTTCTACCGTACGAGTCGGTGCCGTCGACGTACTAGTATCCAACAAAAATATTGACCACAGCTGCATAGGGCGGACGCTATAAAGCGAAGTCTGCGTTGTTTGCTTCCTGCTCCGGGATGCTCCGCTATTCACGTATACGATAAACTCATCTACTGATTCTACTCTACGTAGAAGCCTCGGTTTATTTGTGGATTTTCTGTGTACAAGTTACGAACAGAACAAATCTTCCGCTTGGAATTGATTTGCTGTTTATTTATGTTTTTTTAATGCTGTTGAGCTTTTCAAAGCCATTTTGTCCGTTTATTCGCACGCCTTTTTGAAGTTTTTCTTCTTAAATAGTGGCCTAACGAGACTTACTATGCATCGCTTGATATTCAGACTGATTTCGCATCAACCCAGTTTTCCACTCCCATTTTCATCCGCCCGTTGTCAGTGTGTGAATATTACGGTACGGCTGGACAGTTATGTTTGGACACATTTAAAAATCCGTGATCTAAATCTGTTTGATTGCAGACGAATGCATCTTTGTACGCGTCAGAATCGAAAAAGGACAGTTCAGGTACTGTATGTCGTGCCTTTCGACTTCCCAGCTAAAACTTTGCTGTTTTTTTCTTCCCGTAACGTTTGCGTTAACATTCCGGTCTGCTTCGCGCTTTGTTTAAGCAGCTATATGCAGTATTTTCTGATGGAAATATAGAGTACATTTATTGATTTACATGATAATTTGATATAAGTATTTAATCTTCGTAAAATTGTAATTTTATTATTTTAGATAAAAGGGAACCTTTAAAAACAAGTGGCCGGAACCCCAACGAGGATAGCAGTAAGTGCACTGTGCAGGCCCGCAGCCGCAGTTACTTCACGGATTTTAGAATTCTCCAAAATTGGCTGATCAGGAGCTAGATAATCATTTTATGTTCAACTTTTGTCTGAATTTGTAGTTTGATAATGTTAAACCTAATTTAGCAATGGTTTTCGTCACAGGAGTTGTTAGAATATACAGATCTTACGATTGGAATCATGGTCGGTGAAAAGCGTTGCAATGGCACCGCTGAAATCCGTTTGTAAGCGGGTATATAAGGCTTTGCGGTGCATAGTGTTTGAGGTGTTTCCACCTCATATACTAAATTGGAAACGATACAGAGAAGATTAGCATGGCCCCTGCGCAAGGATGACACGCAAAATCGTGAAGCGTTTCCAAATTTTTTTACCAACTCTTTCAGTTTTTTAACTTTTATCTTTGTACTTTAATTTGCTACGAGCGTCATTAACATATATATCCAAATTCAGATCTATATTGCCACGAATGGGATACACCAGAGCCGGCAAACCAGAAAAGACTGACCAAAACCATTATTATATTCTGAAAGCCAGTAGTCGAAAACCCGGCCAGACAGTATTCATTTCTTTCAAAACCTCAACCACTTCGAACGCCAAAGCGGAAGAGTTTGGAATACCTTCACCAAGTGCAACTTAATTACTGAAATAATATTTATCATCGTGGTATTTTTCACCAGGCAATGTTGCCACGTAAACCAACTAAAATAATATAGCTAACCCAATAAATGCGTAAACCAACTAAAACACAGTTATTTCTACTATTTAGATTAAATAGTAGAAATAACTTTCATTTTTAAATGAATTTAATTAGCAGACCGTTATTACGACAAGAACGACTACATATGTAACGTCGTCATTGAGTGCCCGCCGACCAAATGGCCGAGCAGCCGGTACTGTCAAGCGTAAAAAGCACGTTAAGCAAACGAGCTAGCGGGTGACCGAGCTAGCGGGTGAACAGCCCGTTAGGCGAGCGAGTGAGCAAGCTGCCGTAACTGTCCAGTACACGGGACCGTTTGATGAGCGGGTGACCAGGCTACTGGTACTGTCCAGTGTACGGGCCCCGTTAGGCGAGCGGGTGACCGAGCTACCGGCACTGTGCAGGGTACGGGGCCCGTTCGGTAAACGGGTGACCGAGCTACCGGTACTGTCCAGTGTACGGGACTGTTAGGTGAGCGGGTGACTGAGCTACCGGTACTGTGCAGTCACTGCAGTGTACGGGGCCCGTTCGGTAAACGGGTGACCGAGCTACCGGTACTGTGCAGTGTACGGGGACCGTTAGGCGAACGAGTGAGCAAGCTGCCGTTACTGCCCAGTGTACGGGACCGTTTGATGAACGGGTGACCAGGCTGCCGGTACTGTCTACTGTGCCGAGACGGTTAGGTGAACGGGGGACCAAACTGGCACTACTGTCCAGTGCACAGATCCCGCCAAATGAACGAGTGACCGAGCTCCCACTACCCAGATTCATCAGGTTGAGGTCCACAGAATCATGAACTGAGTTGTGAGAATTTATAGTGATTTGAGAGAATCATGAACTGATAAAAAAAATTATATAAAAAAATTTCGTGTTTTTATATAAAATCCGTTTTTTTGCGCTAATACGATGTACCGATTATGTTTCTACGAAATATGTTATTCTAATAAATATTCATTAAAACTAAATAAAGTAGCCGTTGACCGCAAGAAACGCGGAGGCGAAGCCGAGGCTGTTTCTTGTACTGTATATTGGAAATATCAACATTCAAAGACTGAATGGTTTTTGCAGAAGCATCGAAAAAGGAAAGTGCGACGCGGTCCAGCGAGACAGGTACAAGGAAAACATTTTTGTTTCACTCGTAAATAGTGAAATATTAAGCGAACTTCAGTATTGCGCTGTCAGGGAGCGTATAAATGGGATGATGGTGAATATTTAGAATTTCATCTTTAATAGCTTCTGTGGCCTTTTGTAGGTGCTACCAGCAAAGCGTCCCAGTCAATGGCTTCTAATGAAACTAAAGGTGAATCAAAGCCACCGGCTTCGAAAGGTAAAGAACGCAGTTGGGGTTTCTGTGATTATGAAGTGCGCGTCTATTGGCAGTGGTTATGGAAATAAAAAACTGACTTACCATTAGATTTATTTAACAAAAACGTATCGTTTGCTTTTTGAAAGCGGAGAAGGGTCGTGGAAATTTCTGCCTTTCAGTAAAAGTTAACGATAACTTGATTTTGCAGATTATACCGCATCATCATCCAGCAAGTCGTCTCCCACTTCCCAGTCTAAATCATCATCGGGAGCGGCGGCAACGGCAGCTGGGAAGAGTTCCGCGCCATCCGGTAGCGCAGGTCGGCCGAAAGATGGCAAAATTCGAATGGATGATTACAAAGTGCAGGAGTATTTCCAGCATAATTTGTACACATTTTACGACGTAGAAAAATCCATGGTGTCCAGCAGACTACCGCAACCTTCTTCTAATCAGCAGGAACAAGCCAAATAATGCGTAAAAAGTTCGACATCCAATGTTGCTTGCCGTTGATACTGGCAGTGTTCACTTTTTCAACAAAACGGAGATGAGACGGGACTTCATACCGTAGTTTAAGTGTGATATGTTCGTTGCAAATCAACGCTTTGTTACTCCTCCGTGTTGTCATCAACGCCAAAAAAAGAGCTGATTGTATAAAACAACCAAGAAAACAAGTGCTCATTGCGAGTAGGCTTTGACTGCTGTACAAATTAACTCGGAAGCACATGCACGGTTTATGTTAAAATGTTCGCAAAGTGCGTTTTTGTATGTTCTATTTGGTTCGACCCACTCATATAAATGTTATTTTGATTTCGAACTGCCTGCATGCATTTTAAAAATTATTCGATCGAGGCGTTTTAGGTATCCGACGTGACTGAGAGTGGGAGTATCCGGAATTTAAACGTTCATTACTTACAAAATTATCAATCCATTTTCTACACAGCGAAGCATAATGCAATCCAAAAAAATAAGCCATCCATTATTATCCATTTGCTACACGTACAGCAAAAAAATCCAATTAAAAAAATAAGACTCAATATATCACTGGTCGGTTTAAAAAAATAACAAAAGTTTACAAAATCAGTAAAAACTTCGAAGAGGGTCCGAACTGTCTTTTGCACCATCCCGTTTGCCTGCATGCAAGTAGCGGACATTGTCTTTACAGCGCAGTACGACTGTCATCTTCATCGTCCTCCGGTTGACCATATGTTTCCGCAGTACTATCGGCTCCGAAAATTTGCGCGAGAGGCGATGGCAGTGGAGGGGGCTCCGTTATCATATCGCGTGAAATCTGCCGGTGGGAAACAATTTCATCCTGGCTGGTGACACTTCCTTGCCGATGCAACCGCTTATCTGCGGAAGACACGTACATCGGCACTGGTGGGCTGGTCACAACCGGTTGCGGTTCCTTTTGCGATGCTAATATCAACGGTGAAACGTACGCCGGACTGGGTGGCGACGGCATTATCAGTGTCGTGTTTTTGGCCAGATTGTGGCTCAACATCGGGGAATAGGTTGGAACAGGGGGACTGATAACATCATTTTTCAAGGAGTTTTCAATAAGTGTTGGTGTCCCAGGCGGGGAGGTGATAACTTCCACAGCCGGTCCGAATCGGACTTTCCGATCGGCATCCGGTTCGTTTACCGCATTCTCATTGACCAACGGCTTCAGCACTTTATACGGATCGGCTACCGCAGTCTTTAATTCATTTAAGAATTTCTCTCCCTCAGATTGGTCGGATTGCTCGAGAAGTTTATCTTGGGATGGCGTACGTGGTACAGCAGTAGGAATACCGATTGTAACGGGTGGGGGCGGTGGTGGTGGTGGCGGGATAACCGTGACCTCGTAATCCGGTTCCGGTTCGGGCTCGATTTCTGTAATCACCGTGCTATCCGCTTCCGTGTCGTTAGCTACCGTTAAGGGTACTTCCGTGATGGGTTCGTATTCGAATGGTGGATTATGGATAACTTCGCCAGAAAGGATGCTGTCCGTACTCTCATGCTCCAGATTTTCGTTCTCCACGAGACGCATCTGATCGGGCTCGAATTCCATCGATCCCGATCCCGCACGGTTACGAGCGCTTGCGGTTTCACTTTCCCCCCGCAGTGATTCGACAAAATTAGGTATACTGTTCATTGTGCCACCGTGACGTGAACTGTTCACTGTGCCACCGTAACGCGATGACGCCGCCGTGACGATGATGGGTCGGTCCAGTTCGGTGGTTCTGTGTGCCAGTTCAATATTACTCTTTGTGATTGCGGCTGGTGCGTTGTCTTCCACAGCCACATTGGGTTTTCTCTGCCGATAGAATTTTACAAACCCGACAAGAATGACAATCAGCGCGATTAAAAGAAGCGATCCAACTACCACAAGAACAATTTCCGTAGTCCCAAAAACCGGTGCTTCCGGTATTTTGGTAGCACCGGATAGCATTCGCACAGAAAGTACATAATTTTCTGCTCGGGGAATTTGATCAGTTCTGGTCGATCGCGACGTATCGGGAGCGAAGTCTAAGTGAAATAATGACTCGGTATCAGGAAGGTCTTTGATGTGAAGCTCTTTCGAAGATGGATTGAAATCGAAAAATTTTCCAACACTGTCGTTGAACTGGCTAGTGTATGCCGACAGAAGATTGAGCGATCCAACTGGAGTCGCTGTAGGTCGCGTTGGTGGTGGTGTGGTGGAGTCCGTAGTATCACCTATTAATGCAAATACGCAAACACTTAGTGAAATCATTGGATAAATGGTTTTGCTCAAGTTTACAAATTTACCAGAAAAACTAGCGATGCAGTCATTAGTTAGCATAGCAATACTAGTACTGTTTACAGAAAGTGACCGTTCACCTGTCGGCGGTCCTGCAGTTGTCGCAGTGGTCGATATCGTGCTGTTTTGGTCCACTATTCCGGTCGCAGTTGTTGTGGCTGTTGTTGAGATGGTAGTATCAGTAGATGTAGGAGAAGTATCGTTGGGTAAACCTTACGATTAATTAAACCAAAACTTATTTTGTGTTTTATGTCAGCCAAGTTGCTTCTTCGCGTTCTTACTATTGGTCAGAGAAGCCCCGATAGCTGCCGCATAATCTGTGCTGCTATCGGATATACAGTAGATGAAAATGTTGTTGCAGTAGTACTCTTATTAAGATCTGTTTCGCCCGTCGGCTCTACTCATAGGTACGCAGAAAAACATGGCTAGATTGGCGCGGATAATCTCGCTCGAGCTGTTTTGTTCTTATGATTACGATTGTCTCACCTATTGTTGTAGAGACTGTGGAATTGGTTAAAATGGGTTCACCCGGGTTTGATGTGGTTGAATGTGTACTTGAAGCTTTATGCACCGTGGATGTACTTCCAGCTGCACGAACACAATTATCGTGATTAGTAGTGTAAAAATGGGTGATAAAAACTGCATGTGTGTTGGTACGTATTTATCTTTGAATAAAAGTCCTAAAGGCATTCAGCTTATTTACATAATACAAAGTATATATTTCAGTATTATGTGTGACGTGGACATTTTCAGGGAACTAACCTTGGCATCCAACAAACGTAACCACAGACGTATCCACTTCTTCACCGGTAATTTTGTTCGACATTTTGATAACGACGGAAAACTGAGGACCACAAGTCGATTCCGGATTAGATAGTGCATTGATCACGATCGTGGACTCGTCCCGCTTTTCAGTCAAAGCAGCACAATGCCGGTCATCCAGGAACTTTTCAAACTGAAGCTCGTCCCATTTCTGGTCATTTAACTGTACATCGACAACAGCAGGATCTTCGCACTGCACTGCCGGTACAAGTGATTGCACAAATGTCGCTGGTCGGAAAGATGGCGCTGAACGGGTAACATTAACGTTCACCAAAATGCTGATAAAATGTCCAGGTTCGCCGGCAAGGATGTCAACGCTATATTCGGATTCGTCCAAATAATACGACTCACGTTTCATTACAAGAGCGCCATCAGAGATCTTGAATGGATAACTTGCCGAAGAATTTTGGATCTGATAAGCCAATTGATAAGGGAAGTAGCTCACCGGAGCAAGTGATGCAACCATAACGTCAACAGGACCATGGGCATAAATCGCGACAGGTTTGTCGAAAACCTGGAATTTAGGCTGTGGATGCCAGTATATCTGAACCACCATCGTGGCTTCCTTGTCACCCGCCGAACAAGTTACCATTAATGTGGTGACAAAAACGGTTATGCTGGGCGGAAGTTGGGTGATATTGATGCTGCCTGTTTCTGAATTGAAATCAAGAAGTGACGGAATCGGATCAGTTGCATTCAATGGAGACAGGGCACACATGCAGGCTGGACAGTTGCTAACGGATGGGGTGGTACGGAAAAATTCCGAATCGAAATACCAGTGAAGATAATAAAATGCCTGTGGAAATGATGGGCCCGGTGGTTCCGGAACAACTACAAGTAATTTAATTCATCAAGCCTATAAGAGCGCATACCTATAGCTATGCATTTCCCGTAGCGATTGTTAAGGAGTGACCTTCTAGAACTTTTAATATTTAACTGTAGAACCCGACAGGTTACTTATCATAATCCTTTACCAGGATAAAGTAATCTGTTACTAGAACCACGGCCCACCAAAGATTTTGAATATAATGATATCAAAACTGTGTCTCACCTGCTTCAGAACTCGATGAGGGCGGGCTTGGATCCGTAGTTGTGCCGGATCCGCTTTCCGCTCCGGTGGTGGAAACTGTTGTTGTGGATTGAGACGTGGAGGTAGTACTGCTATATGTAGAGCTTGTTGTGTCTGAAGCGCCTGATTGAGACACAATGACTGTTACTGAAATACTGGTCAAGTGCCCAGGCTCCCCTGCATCGATGGTAAGCGAGTGCTCAAGGGATTCAGTGATGCCTGGAGGAAGAAGTTCACGTTGGAGAATAAGCACCCCATATTCAATATTAAAGGGGCTATCTGTCGGAAAACGTATAGTGTACGTAAGTGGGTACGGGAAGTAGTCCCGCGGACCCAAGGAAGTAACAATGTTTTCAGCTAATCCGTTATCAAACACTTCGACGGGAGCGGTGAAGGCTGGAAACTCCGGTTGTGGATGCCAGAAAATCTGAATAATCATGGCGGCCTGTTTGCTGCTAGATAAGCTGGTGCATCTCATTTCTACCGTTGTCAGGTACTGTAGCGGATCTTGGGGTAGTTGGGTGATATTGATGCTTCCGGTACTCGCATCATAGGCAAGATTGGAGAGAGATTCGCTCATGTTTTTAGACGACAAGCGGCAGGTGCAATCGGAGCAGTTGGTTACGGCGGGAGTACTAAGAAATGATGGAGAATCGAAATACCAGTGAACGTCGTAGAAGGTGTCGGGAAATATCGGAACGGATTCTATCGTTGAGGGAACTGCAACAGAAACAACCGAATGCAACACTCTGAAAAACTGCAATCTCGAGCACTCTTTGTGCACCAACAATTTCACAGAGAATACGAATTACTGAATGTCTGCCGTTACTGAGACAGCACGAAACGAAACCTATATTTTATAACTGCGCAAAAATGTAACAAGTTGTGTTACTGAGAGATCGGTTAACGTACTTTGACAACCGGTGAATTCCACCACGATGATGTCCTTTGAGCTAGCATCTCGCCCCTGTAGCTCAATTGCAACAGCAAATTGTGATCCACAAACCCCGTTTGTGTTTGGTGTGACTGTCAGAATTCCTGCTACACTGAAGTCTAACTTCACGCATTCCTGGCGAATCGTGACAACGTCAAAACGAATGTCATTCCACACTTCGAATCCAATATCCACACTTATGCTTCGTTCTGTGCCATCACACGGGAAGTCTAAAACGGACTCCGTAAACTTTGCTGGTTGAAAGGGAAAGTTCACGCGGACGTTGACGAGAATGCTGGCCGGCAGATGACCGGGTTCTCCGGCGTCAATAATAAGCGCATAAGACTGTTCCAAAGGTGAATTATCAGATGTCATATAGACAAGATTGCCGTTCTCGATGACAAATGGAACTCCTGAATTCTGTATGCTGTACTGCAACAGATACGGGAAATGCTGACGAGGTCGAAGCGATTCGGCAATCGTTCCGTTGAGCGTATCATCCGCAATCGTGACTTCAAGTGGGCTAATGGGGAATGCCGGTACGGGATGCCACTTAATTCGGATATTGGTACTAGCGCTTTTGGAGCTGGAAGAGCTTGTGCACTCAACAACAAATGCTGAATCGTAATCTAAATCGGCAGAAACGGACGACGGAATTCTGCTGACTGAGACAACACCGGTACGAAGATCTAACTGCACTTCGCTGGGAACATTCGGGCTAACAAATCGACACGTGCAATCGGTACAATTTTCCACACCGGTAAACTGAACAGGACTTAACGAATCGAAATAAAAATCAGTTTCTTGGAAAGTTTCGGCAAACATGGGTTCTGAAAAAAAACTCGTAAGTAAAAATTTGCGTATTAGGTTACGCTGCAACAAAACAGATGTCTACATTATACGAGTATTGCCGATTTAGTTTACGAAATCAATACGAACGGAAAGCTTGTGCTATGTATACTACGTTCATTCTCTTTTCAACGGTTACCTACAACTGCGGGACATCCTACGACATCGACAACAACCGTTTCCTCGTAGTCCTTTCCTTTAACTGTCAGAAGCAAAACTAATGAAAAATTTACGCCGCATTCTGGAGTGAATTCGACGAATAGATTAAAATGACCATTCAAATCCGATATGGTCGCGCACTCGGAATTCGCTCCGATTACTCTTATTTCCAAATCTGTATGATTTTCTTCTCCGATATCAACCGGAAGTGCTACACTTGCGCCACAGCTGACTGTTGGTACAAAATGCATCCATGTTGCAGGCGTAAGTACATGCGGAAGAACTTGAATAAAAACCGGAATCACTTTGGAGATACCGCCATCTTGCGCGACAATTTCGAAATTGTAACTTGATTGGCCTGTAAAGTTAAGCGGTTGGACTAACGAAAGTCTTCCGTTCTCATCGATAATGAATTCAGGAACAGTGTCTCGGATCTGAAAGGTCAGCGGGTATGGAAAGTTATGTAACGGGGAAAGAACCGAAATAACGGAAGGATAAGTGCTGTTCTCCTTGATGGTCAGTGACGAGTACGCTTGCAAATCAAATTCTGGTTGAGGATGCCAATTAACTGCAAGTTTCGCTGTGGTCATTAAGGGTGTGTCGGTAACACGGCAGACTGCAGTATAAACCGACCGGTAGCGTTTTGTCCTAGTCACCCAATCCAACCATTCCGCACTGGTTATAACACTCATTGCATCGGGAACCGGTCCATCGTCTGCGGAAATGGTCATCTCGCAGCCTTCTGGCTTTTCTGTGAACATGTCATTCAGGGCAAGCTCATCACCATCGTAAATATCCGTTTCATACAGAGTTTGACTGAACTGCGGTGTCGGCGGATGATCAACGGTTACCACGACATTAATGTTTCCCAGATTGCGATTTTCTTCATCGGTTACGATGACTACAACGCCAGATGTGTTCACCAAGCGTACGCCTTCCTTTTTATACAATGTCCCGTTAAATTGGTCCACGAGAAAATCATCGCCACTGCTCATGGCAAATCTGACATTTTCTACCGGTTGTCCATTTCGTCGCACGATGATTTGTCCAAGACTTTCTTGAGAGGCGACAAATTTCTTAGCGGTAATGATGTCTGGTTCTGTAGAAATTTCTGCCGGAACACTGCGTGGACTTGTAAGTTTCACAACAACTGTGGCAGTTGCTACCATCTTGCTGCTGCATTTTGGCCCACTGCTTTCGTCTTCTGTTGCGGTTATTATGACGGTGAAGATGTTGGTTCCGCTTGGTGACCACTCTGGAAGAGCGCTGTTGAGACTCAGTTGACCGTTTGCGTCTACTGCAAAGTAAGGCGCACTGGCACTAACGGAATACACGAGAGGACAACTAATTCCGGTGTCCTGATCGTAAGCTCGCATATTAACTGGGAAAATCGGTTCCAATTCGTTATCTTCGTCGATGACAAATTCCTGATACGGTTGCTCAAACAACGGCGGTAAATCATTTTCGTCGACAACGGAAAGTCTCAACCTGATCGCAGAAGTCAAACCGTTTCCGTCGGTAGCCACCAGCTGGGCAGTGAAAACACAAGGGGGATTCACTGAAGAACATTCGGTATACGCAATTCTTCGGCTAATTCGAATGGCCGGTATCGTTCGGTCTGGAAGTGGATTCGCTGGATTCGGATTCGGGTATATCGTGCGAGCATAATCAATTTCCATTGGAAAGGGCACATTGTCATAAACCAAACTGAGGGAAATATTCCAGTTCGCAGATCCCCAAATATCGTTCGGTTCTATTACGTAAAGATTGGGATTTTCTACCGGATTGATCAGTAACGTGCTTAACGAATGGTGCTCTGAAACATCCAGGTTTACCTCGGAAGTTGCACTCCATTGTGGTTTAGTATTTTGATCTATGATCTTCACTTCTGGTGAAGTGGCAAGGGTACCACCCCGCAGCCCGTTAGAGCAGGATAGCAGCGGCACCGGACTGTAGGTACATTCTCTCCTGCGATCCAAATACCGTGACAAGTTCCCGCGCAAATAAATTTCACAGACAATATAATCGGGAACACCATCACGGTTGCAGGCTTCCGCTGTTTTACGGATTTCTAGTTCAACATTGCCGGGTGCGTTGAGGTTATTACAGGATGTGGGTGACCAACCAATATTAGAATTTAAATCCGCAGTGAACGTTTCCGCTGCATTATTGCAGCAAAAAACACCCCATTTCTGAAAATCTGACAGGTACTGCTCATCAGTAAAAGTAAACGAATCCTCCACTTTCTGGATAAGATTTGCTCTAGGGACTGACCCGCCGTCGAAAGTGCACGAATTATCCTGACTGTGCACGATGCGAATATGTACTAATGCAAAGAAACAGGCAATAAGACTAAAAGAACAAAAACATCGCGACATTTTACAAAACCGAGAAACAGGCAAATATGCAAAAGTGCATTATTTAAACGCATAAAATTTGCCACTTCCGCTACTGGTTTTCTCTATTACTGCCAAAGCGTGAATTATGTCACTGTTCTTGCTTCTTTATCGTAATCTGCTACAATGACTTTGTAATTTACTATTGAATGCTATCATCGACTGATAATTATCCGATTGTTTGCTCGATCATAAAAGTACAAGTTTAGTGGTATCTTCAGAACATTTATCTTTACAGCGTCATGCACGTATTATAACAAAGGGCAGAAAACAAATGTCCCTATTCTCAGTTAGTTCCGGTAATGAATAATGCTGATTTCGTGTGTTATGATCCATCCGGCGCGCAGTTAATAAGCGTAAATAGCAGCTGTCCACGGCATGTATATTCACCATACTACTGGAGACATTGACCTTTTATTACTTCACTCGTCAGATTCATCCACTAGTTATTACAGCTCTGCCAACTACTGGAGCAAGCTGATTACAGTAAAGCAGAAAATATATCTATACGCTGTTTTCCTTTTCTTCCAAAGCCTTTCTGGCGTAACTTTTTGTTACGGATTCAGTAACATCAAAATTTAGATTTTTTTGATACGTCAGTAAGGGGCCAGAGGGTGATTAAAAGATGTCAAATCTTATAAACTCAAAACTGCAGAAAGTTTCACCTCACGTTGCGAGTAATTAGCAATAAGACTCGTTATATGTCATTGACCATTAAGCAATTATTTGCACGGCTAGGGTACAAATTAAAAACGATGCGCTGACTTCACTTGACTTTGAAATCTACGAGTACGTCTTTGATGTCCACGGTTTCAACGCCTTCCACCCCCTCCGTGAAACGAAAAGTTTGGCTTTCTTGAAGATGCCTTTTCAGAACTTCGACAACGTCCTGCGTAATACCGTAAAAATATATACTGGAATGTTATTGCAACGTTTTCTAATTTTTGTAGATATTTACACATAAGCTGTGATACAATGCCTGCGCACGTCATGCTCATATCGTCATACATATCTGCAGACCGCAATATAAGCCAACACATAGCCAAAATAATAAACAACCAAATATTAAAACAAAGGCAAACTACCTTGTACGTTCCAATTGGTGAAACAAACTCTGCCTTTTCGTTTTGGGTTCGTCAAGTGACCTTACCGTTAAGACGTAATTTTCTTCCAATACTGTATAGTCTACAAGGTCAAAGTGGTCGCGATCTTTCACTTCTACCGGGGGTTTAATCCTTATATGCACGTAATCAGGTTGTGTCTGGACGTAATTGTTCACTTCCTATGAAATACTTATTCAACTTGACAAAGGGTACGAGAAGGTTTCAAACTTTCGCCAAACCTCAAAAAAATTTTGGGACTGTTTATGGAACGCGGGAGGATCGAATTCGCCGTACATAATTTTGACGGAACAAGATGTGGTTGCTCCAAGGTTGTGCACGATGTCCGCTACTCGATTGTGTGGACTACAATCTTGAATTTCTTCCCTGCAAATCACTTACAGAGTATTGTATATAGGCACATTACAGCTGCAAAGCTGACCACTCGTAGAAATACATTATAAATCCAGTAAAAGTGATTTCTAGAAAGGATATATAAATGCGCGATTCACTGTAACTTGTAAATAATGTTTTAAGTTAGTTGCATTGTTTGGCTGAATAATTCTTATATATTTTTTATAAACTCCAGATTAATATCTCACATCTTACGAAAGTTGCAATCTTCGCAGCTTACTTCGACAGCTGGAGGGGATCGTTGACGGAAGTTTTGCTGATGGGGACCAAGTCATAAACTCCACTGAGCAACCATAAACCTAACAAAAAGTATGGGAAAATCATCTTTTCTAACGGAAAGCGCCATAAACAAATATACCGCTAAAAAAATCAAGGCACAACTAATTTTCCACTGGAATAACCTTTAAGCTTTCGAAATAAACTTTTCCGTTGCGACGGTTCAAATGCGCCGCTAAGCATTGCTGTTACCAGATGGGCTCCTGCCGAATGTCCACAAAGGAAAATTCCACTAGAAAACAGAAAGCTAAGCCATATTCGGTAAAATGCAAAACAAATTCTATCAAAAATTCGTGATCAATGTACAGTGGAGTACCTACCTGCAGTCAAGCCGGTCAGCAACGTCCCTAAGCGCGGCATATGCTGGTGTCATTTGTTCCCAAATAGACTTCATCTTAGCTGCACAAAGTCGTGAAATTAGAATATCACAGCTGCTCAAGCACTACATATTTGAGCTCTTGTTTTCAAGATTTGGTACGATAATGATACATCTATGTACGAATACGAGCATGATAAGTCATATATAAATATTACAATATCCGCATTTCTCGCAATGTCAGTGGTGCGGTACCTTCTGATCCATATACTGTCTCGGTTGCAAGTACGTAATCCACTGCCACAAATACTGAATTTTCCACAGATTTACAGATAGTTCTGGCGAAATATGCAGAATCTTCCTTCCTAGACCAGACAGAGTTTGGGTACTTGAAGTACTGGTTATGTTCATGGGAACTGTCGGTGCGGTGTTTCACGTAAGTATAAAATAAATATGTCGTAAATACAGTCTGTACTTCTATAGAATTTTATGTGTCCTTACGTTAGCGCTTGCCAATAACCTCCATGAACGTAGGCAAACAATACGCCACCTAAAAAATCCATCGCTAAAAATCTCGCATGCTGAAGAATAAAATTAATGTAACACCGTTTTAACATGGTACTTCGAAGTTCTAATCTAAGAGTAGCCGCGAGCCTGTGGCCTGTCCCGTCCACCAATACCTGCTTTTACGGTTGGTCCACTGCAGTACAAATCCATGGAATTTTTCGGGGTTGTTCCATAGCGAATATCAGATATCACCGTTAATTCTTGTCGGGCCTTTTCGCTTTCTAAAAAATGCATGCTCTAAACAAAATCTAAATTACGAGTAATGAATTATTGTAGGAATGCGGAATGGCTCTAGTTGTACCTGCTGCTACAATGGCGAAATGTTTAGCCAATACTTCATCCGGACTCAGGTGTTGATGGTTCCATATACTGGGCATGTAAGCATGCTCGAGATCGGCATCGACCATGGTTTCTACTTTCTAGTACATACTAACTCCCTAGCTGCAATATTTGCAACTTAAATACAAAAATTAACAAAACCCAAAATTTTCTGGGAGGCAATGTGAAGAACTACAAGACTACAAGTTACGAATTTAACTTGTCTTCACGTTATCGTTTTCGCTACAAAGTGCTTCCATGCACGTTGAGCTTGGTGCTATTTTACGCCGGATAAACTTTATCTCAACTTCGGCGAGCGCTTATCGTAATTAGGTGAAAAACCAGAAAAACCTGTTCCTCTTTCGGAAGAATTTGAACGGCTGGTCAACCATGGCCAAAATCCGGATTTGCTATACGGTCTAGTTTTACGGCATAAAAAATACTTGCACTAGTGATTCAATTCTTTAACTTTTTCGTAAAGACATTCGATCGTTAAGTTTTTCTCTGACAGAGTTTTTTTATTTTTATTGACCTTGATATCCGACCGTTTTTCCATGCAGAAAACATATTTACAGGAACTGATGCACAAGGTCAATCCAGTGAACTAAAACAGGAGTACGGCAATCGTTAGCAATCCCAGTTACGGTACACGGCAGGTTACCGGACAAAAGAAAAACACGAAAAAAGTCGAATACACCCGTCATCAGCCATGGATCGGCCCGTATTACGCTATTATCTATCCTTGATCAGAGAGTTATCACAAAACACAGTTAGTAATCAAAGAGGGTTAAAAATCCAACAGATGAACAAAACACAGTGGATAAGTATAAGCCATAGAGGGCAAAAAACACGAGAGAAAGATCCAATAGTGATAGTCCCCGCACATAACGCATATCGATTCAATCGTATCTATCCCCTCGAGAAAAACCAAATCAATAAGGGTTATTTCGTTTTCCAGTGCTATTCACTTATCATCTCTATGGTCAATCCACTGGTGTCCAATCGCTGTTTCATATCCAAAATTTTTGTCGTTTATCACAATTTCAAACGGCGAATCTGCGCATACTCCGAAAAGGCGATCGTCAGCTTTTCACTACGATAGCGCACCAGTCGAATGGCTTTACGGATATCCAACGTAATTAATCCTTTGTGTCCAGCTTTACGCATCAAAGAATCAACCGTCTGAACGTGGTCCCAGCCTGCAGGAGATGAACCAATTTACGGAGACATCAGAAAATAATTTCCGAAAATCTACTTGCATTACTCATAAGTCACTATTATGAGGACAAATAAAAGGCATCGCCAATAACTTAAAAGTTCCGTTGCGAAACATATAACAGTAGTACGAATACGAAAAATGAATCAAGACGGTTTCGCAAGGTCATTCACTGATTCCAGAACAAAATGTGTCATTCCGCAAATGTCAACCGTTCCCTTTCTCGGCACAGTATTCGGTGCCAGGTCGCATGACCACGTCATGGAATATCTTGTGCACTTAGAAACGCATCCATGCCATGTCCCAGTTAAACTGGGTGATTAACCGATCACTGCCAATGTGTGGGAACACGGCATTCTGGTAGCATTCAAACGACTACTCTAGTACAGTGCAATGCCGTCCAATACTCATCCCATTGCTCCAGGCATATGCTGTGAGATGTTAATATCGAACCGCGCCAACACAATGTTGGTGAAATTGCTACAGTACAGTTACGTGGGTATACCTTGTTCTTGAGCAACTTCCGGCAGGTATGTTGCAGTTTTCTTGCCTCCCTTTTCGCCGTAAAATTCGATCCGGATTCCATGTACACCAACCTTTAAGATAAACACGCAATAACCGTCAACATTAGCATTATCAATTTCCACACCACAACATAATTAAATACGATATGTGGAAGGTCAAAATTTAATGAAATCTCATAACGCGGAAATGGATTTCATTTCCGTACCTCCCAATCCATGTAATCGTTGGCCGGCTCAAAGTGAGTCAAGATGGAAACGGAAACTGATAATTTGGGGAATTCCTCTTTAGTAATCGGGCTGAATCGTGAATCCTGGACGGCACTATTGGCAAGCCAAAGACAGGATCTGAGTGAAATGTCATAGCGCACGAGCTACTGCGATGCGTACCTGGTAATGGCATATTCGCGGAGACCGTGATGTAAATGTAGAGCGGTGAATGTGCCAATGCATCCTCGGAGACGCTGATCTCGTCCGGCTTTCCATGTCACGAACAATGGGCTGAAAAGGGATATTCAGCTAGAGATTACACGCAGCCCATGGATAAAACCCGCATCGACCATGTCGGACCATTTAAACGAAAATTTAAATTAAAAGTGATAACATACTACACCCGAATTTCATTTTTTTGTGCAGTTATATAGTGGGATAACATATACTGGGATAATCGCGAAAAATACAAAATCTATCCTTCGCCATACTTTCCAAGACTCGCAATTTTGGACTAAACTAATTCGAGATGCTGTAATTCTTTGCGACATCAGAATATACATAAGTCGGAGGTGGCAGAATCGGAAACCAGCCATCTACTAAACAAATAAATAATGATTTCACTCCGCAACATTACCTGCAAAATTTACTATTTTTTTTTAGTCCTCAACCGAAGTATTCGACAAATTTACAATGGCCCTGTTCCTGTCAAACTGCAGCTAACCAAATACATGATGGGTTTTTTCGACGCATTCGAATAAAAAGCTCATCTGCGCTCCCACAACTTCAGCCCGTCAAATTACGTAACGGCATGCTCTTTGTTTGCGTCAGCTGATCACTGCACTGCCAAATCAGAACAACGTTGTACCGTAGATACAACACAGTAACACCACGTGTGTCACAGAAAAGCAGTTTTTCCTATCTGATCATCACTACTCACAGCGGCTACAAAGCACAGGAAGTCTTTCTTCATTTCGCTGAACCAGAAAATAAAAAGTCGATGTCTCTATCTCGGGTGTTGTGCGTGCAGCATTTACGAAGAAGAATTCACAATCAAATAAACCCGTTTCGAAAATAAATATTCAGCTATTCTTGAGTCTCTGTATGGTGAAGTACCAACAACGAAATTTTAAAACAATTACGACGGAGATTTTCTAATTTCTTAGAAAAAACAATAAACATAAATATAACCAAAGGCAATACTTCACAGAATTTAAAATCCTACGGTGTGACTTACTAAGGATCATTGGTGAAGGTGTTGGGTGTCTCCGGTGAATCATGTCGATGGAGGTGTGCAAACAGCACATCGAAGCAGAAATAGCACATTTCCTCACAGACAATCGTCCGCTCACTCTTCGGCGGGATCATGGCCAGACTCATGGTGCTGTGATCGGGACACATGAATCCATCCTTCAGCGTCATGCTGATCTCACTGCGCTTGTTACTCTGGCAGTCCTGCAGTTCCTGCTCCATCTTACTCTTGACGCGCTTAAACGATCCACAGCACAGGCCAGTGCTGGCCATCGATTCCCCTGGTCGGACTGCCGCCACCACCAGGGTACCGATTCCCTCCACCTCGTGTGTGCCTCACAATGCAGCCAGGATGATGCCTTGACAACCACCCCGATGGCCACACGTCCACACCTTCAATTCAATTCTGCAATTAATCCCACCATTTAAAAGCCAATTTAAATCAGCTGTGATTAGGCGAATTTTCTGCACACAGAGACCACCTCTCAATTTTATCAACGAGTTTTTGGATAGACAAGCGAAAAGGGATTCAGCTTATTTAGCGTACTGAGTCGTCTTGGTGGAACTAACTCAGTTGCATAAATTAAAGTACAGTACAATGAATACACACTTTTTAAAAGGAGTTTAGTATGCAGAAAGCAAGGACGTAAATCGATAAATGGCCAAACTGTCAAAAATATTTTCTTAAGAGAAGAATTAGAATCTGCACTTTGCAGTAGGGTAACAAGTAAACCACATAAAATAAAATTCGAAAGTATTCATACGGCGATACGCATTCCTTTGTTCTTACAATCTGTGCATGCATGCACATAGAACAAAGAAATCTCATTACTAACCGATTAATCACTCATGTACAATTTCAATACCGTATATTGTATAAGCTAACTTTATTTTGTAATTGATAAGAAAAATTCACTTACCAAAAATACCATCCGCTGTGGAGATCCTACACAAAAACGAGCAAACCAAGACGGAAGTCTGCAAAATCGGTAAATACAAATATCGACCAAATGGTTCGCTCATGCAGCTGACATAAAATAAAATCGCAGTTGGCGAACTGGCCAAAAACGATGGTGAGTAAAGCTGCTACTAAAGCATGGCAGGCTGCTGCAGCGCTGGATCGGCTGTGCAACCTGTGACTCACCGTGGCATATGGCAGGATATATTCGTACAGGGATGTGACTCCATCAACTTACTTGCTCGATTTAATAAAACAAAGATTGAGTACTTCTGGAAACTAATACGTTCTGAAGCTGGAAAAGTTTTAATTACAGTTTTCGTTCTGTCCTGCATTCATATGCGATCCGAAAGTGTACAAACTTGTGCTCTTGTAATAGTACTCGAATTTTTTCTACTGCCTCCGATACTTCTACTTGTACTTTAGTACACGTGTAAACTGTAAAGTGTAAAACGACAAACATAAAGGAATAAGTTAATAAATAACACTGAACGTTCTCCTAAATTCACATAGAATGCGGAGTGCCGGACACACGAAAGATTCGCTTTCCTTTGCATTTACACAGTGGTAATTTAACAAAGCGTTATGGTAAGGCAAATAAGGTGCTTAAATTAACAGTCGGACAAACATAAATTTTGTCAATAAAGCATACTGAGTACCATCAAAAAGTGCTAGCATGCAACTGCAACAAAAATAACCATCTGGCATAATCAACATTTTGTACAACAAAGTCAACATGAAAAGGTACACTTAAAAGATCCGCATGCAGAAAAATATCTTTGGGAAAATTGGGCGACAGGGCATGATGAGACTCTTCCAAGTCAGAAATGTGCGAAACCTGCAATGACAACATTGGATTAGCCTACACTCTACAGTACAGTACAATTACCCACATTTCAGTTAATCGCTCCTTGATTTTTAAAGCACAAAAAAACGTTCCCTGCACGGGCAGCAGTCACTGATTGCATGGCTCCTATTTTTGTACCATAGTCGTACTAACCTCAAACTTTCCGTTCGGGGATTAAATACCACACTTGTACATATTCTTTCATAATGTTTTGTCGTTCATATGTTTCTCCTTCTTCAAGCTCTTCTGCACCCGGCAGGCTTTTCGGCACATCAACGTAAACCAGTATATCTGCATTATTAAGCACAATGCGCTGCCAATCACACAGCTTTTGGACATGTGCTTGAACACTTCCCAGAACGGAACTCCCTTCCTGACCGCCAAGCGATAAAACATCATGGGAAAGATCGCAATCCGACAGAAGAAGTAGCTGATCATGGTCAGCAGCCCGTTGACAACGTACGCCTTACTGCCACTCAATCCGAATACCGACAGGAAATGCTGGAAATGCAGAAATATAACGGGGAACTCCATGATAAGAAAGCAGCCAATGAAATGATCGCCTTTTCCGTTGCGCAGGTACAAGGACACCGGGGGGACAATCGCCAGGAAAGCCAGATGATGACAATAAATAGACAGCTGACTGCGAAATATATCCAGGAAATGTTTCCCCGTCCGCCAGTCAGTCAAATACATAATAATGAGATCATAGAGGAGATATCCGACAAAGACCATAGCGTAGGAATTGGTCAGTGGAGAACGGGATAATACCACATCCGACCAGGTCTGCACGACAATCTTCAATCCGGTGAATGATGCAATGATGGCCTGCGTTTCCGACACGATGATCTGGCTGACGTTGAAAGAAAAACCCTTGGGGCGGTCGCGCGGTTTGAAGATCTTACACAGACTGGAGGACACGATGAAAATGAGGAAAAATCCAAGAAAAGACCCAATGACGACGCGGGAGGCTGACCATTCTTTAACCTCCTCGGCCGTGATGGGAAAGGGCTCCTGTAATTCAGAGTCCATGTGACTAGTTAAGGGAAGGGCGTCTTCCATGAAGAAATGCGGGACAGAAGCCATTGTGCGTTATCCAAGGAAGCGATGGTGAAAAGAGCGGGAACCGCTTCAACCGTAATAGATCTGTAAAAGAACGAAGAATCATTTAGGATCCGAGCTGCAAACTTGACGAAGAGCTGAACAGTTTAAGATGACATTTCTCCATACAAGTACAACGCCACGCACATGATACGACACATCAAAGATTGTACACCAATTTAATTTAAGTAAGCAATATTGAATATTCCAAAACATCCATTGAATTTCTGTTGAAATCAACTAAGTAGGTACAGTGTGATGATACAGATGTTGCGAAGTCACCTGACCGAACGCAAAACCGTGTTTAATATGCAAAAAGGAAGAGAAAAAATCGATAAATCCTTGCTGCTTCCATTTCGGATGCTCTACTAACAATGAGAAGCCACTCTCCACTTACTCTGGCTTTCCGTTCTGTTGTTGCACAGGATGAAGACCCACGTCTGCAAAATTCAGTGCTCCATGACCGTATATAGCGCAGAAATAAGTTATCAAGGTAAAAAAACTTCAGAGAAAATAGTTCCGTCAGAATTTAATGAAAAATGCCAAATTTTTCTCAAGACTTCAACTTGACTGAACTCTAACCGCTCAACACTGGCAACAGTCAACGCCACAAACAAAACAACATGAACAGACAGCTAGGGAATGACGCAGTGGCAAATCCCGAAGGCGCGTCTGCTGAAAGCTGCTGAATCAGACGGTGCCGAAGCACCAGCACAAGATACAGGGATGCAATGTTAACAGATCTGAATAACGCGTTTAATACGCGCGAAATTGTGGGTACAGTAGAAGATACAGTAATTTTCCTCAGTTTCCTTAACACGGTTTTTGCGGCACAAATCTTAAGTAATAATTATTATAGAAACTTTCAGTTTCATAAGTTACTACAAATTTTAAAATGCAAATTTCATATTAGCTACTGGTTGCATAGCAGCTCACTAGCGCATGCAACGGGTAGTTACGGATAAGTAAGGCGCCTCTTTAAACGAACCACGCTGTCCAGATACACGCGTCCAGTACGTATTTCTGCAACAGCAACAACAAGAACAACTGTAAATAAATCCACATTGCACAGCCCGACAGCCGCAAGAAAATTCAAATATCTACCGGTACATATAAATATTTGAAAAATAAGTATGGTTTCTCGTATTGTCGTACCGGTATAAGTTGCGTTAACAACTATTGTTATAAAATTGCGCTAGTACATGACGCGATAAGAAAATGCGATACGGCACCGATATACCTACGCGTCTACTGAACATTCAAACAACTTACCAAATCATAAGCTATATGAAATTATTACTTACCTAATAATTATGTAGAAATCAATAACCGGCACGTATCTATCTATACACTACGTGGCCCAATCTCGTTTCACTCGATTGTATAGCGGCAGGTTCATAAAAAAAAACATTAATATAAATAATTTATGAGTATCATATGTTGTAACTGTGTGCACTACTGAGCCCAACTAAATCTAACTGCAGCCTCGAGGAGGTTTATAATTTTGATTTCTAACAGCACGATTTCTAACAGAATTCTGTAGTATTGACTGAAAGTAGTCAAGTTTTTGCTATACATACAGAATTCCAGATGAGAATGAAAATTATATGTTCATTGTTGAATTAATTTCAAATAAAGCTCCTTATCCAGGACGAAACGGTCGGTAGTGGCAGTGATAACAAAAATGCCGGCAATGGCTTTGTGAAAATAGGACGTTTAATTTGATGGCTTTGAAATTGAAACTTTTGTTATCGAAAATAATATAGTACATGAATAGGAGCATAGTACATGAACAGTATAGTACATAAACAGGAAAATAGTAGTACAAAATTTTTGGGTAAAAATAATTAGCCACACTTTTGTTACCTAATCTTTTCCTATACAAAAGTTGTCCTTTTTGAGAACATTATTGATTTTCCGTTTTAACTAATCCCGTTGATAGAGATTTAGAGCTCGAAAAACGTAGAGGCAATCTCTTTGAAGCCTATTGTCTGCACTTTAAAGACGTAATTTAAAATATTTTTCAGGTGAAACATTATAAAGCCGATCACCTGGTAAACCACCATAACAAAGATAAGCTCTTTTTTCTAGTCCAGGGTCTCAGTTCCAGACCCAGAATAAATTATCATTATAATTTAATTTGGGTCTGGAAAAGCACGTTCATAACCCTGTGTGCACTTAAGCGGTATGACATTATTCGTATCTAATAAAGCAGCCCTATCCATAAAACCGATATTCATGATGATTTCAGCCTCACTGGTATCTAAATTTTCCAAATCACGAATTTTACAGTTCGCATAAAACACATTATTACAAATCAAAATAATTAGCGCTTCATAAAACCTATTTATTCATCATTACTTACTTCAATTATCTTCCTACTCCAATTACCCTCAATTTGCATTTTACGTTTTCTATATTAAGCATGTATTCACGCATATTTCTTCCGCTTAGAATCACCTCCCATTATTTTATTAAGGATAATAATACTTAAAAAATTTAACGCAGATCTCTGTGCAAGAAAACTTACTAACCCATACAGAAGCTAAAAAAACGTACTAAAGTCAAACAAAACACGGCAGCCTGAATCAGTACTGTACTAAAATCCAAACCGACCTCCACAAAATGATGAACAGGAGAAAAATCTTCTTCACTGCAAACATCTTCAAATCCATAACAGCTCACACGCAACTTCTGCTTATTCCGGAATTCCTTTTATACCTACCGAACTAAAAAAATCCGGTCAACAAACCGAATCACCCTAACACTTTCTCGAACAACTTTTTAATGTACATCGCAACCTACTTCCCATAAAAACCACCTGTTACTAAGCATCCATAACCATCAGATCAGAACATCATGGTCTGCTCTATTAACCAATCAACTTTCTCGAACTTTCATGAATTTTTCACAGTAATCCATCACCATCCACCACCACAACTCATAACACACAACACACTCTGCTTCCTGTTACACTTCATTAAACTATGAAGTATGAACAACCAATAAGTCGAATACACTTATGTCAGACTACAGTAAAATCCCCTACAACCTTCCCTATGTTACAACATTCACCCCTTCATTATCAATTTCTTTCAAACATATCATCTTTTAATATAATCTACTATCCTTTCAAATTGGCTACAGAGCAATTTCTGTTGATATTGTCTTTACTACCCGATACTTGTATCTAATATTATGCTCCTACAATAAGCTCCTGCAATATGCTCCTACATTATGCTCCAACCATTTTTCACACCACAATAATTACCACCTACCCCTTATAATCTCCACATACAATATGCTCCTGCAATGTACTCCAACATTATGTAGAAGCATATTGCAATGTCCTCCTACATATGTAGGAGCACATATATGTAGGAGCACATTGCAGGAGCATATTGGATTACGTTTGTTTGGATACTACAGTTCCGTTCCGTTTTTCTCCTCCAAGAACCGATGAAACCGATGCAATGTGCTCCTACATAATGTAGGAGCACATAATGTAAACTAAAAAAGATGCCGAGCTAACAAGTTTCACGCATCGTTACTCGACTCATGTCACATGACTCATGTCACATGACTGTTGGGCCCCACCGCTTCCTTCAACCGGCCGGACCCTTCCGTACTCTACGGGCGCCAAAATTTACTTTTGTTTACACACGGATATCGAAGACCAAAAACCGAAACTACAGTTTCATATATGCTACGACTGATTCTAGTCGTATACCGCATATAAGAACCTGTCACGGTTCAATGAACCTGCCGCAAAAATTTTACATAACAAAATTCGATACGAATTTCGTCACACTGAAGGAAGTTCAAGGAACAATCAACATCGGCATGTGGCTGCCATCCCTGTGAGGCGCGTCAGCTTTTGGCACCACCTTGAGCAGGCAGTCGTATTTTATTCACGTACGTACACTAAACGAAAGTATTATTTTCAAGGATTCAAAATTAGGCTCCGATTGGCGGTTAACAACACACAGGAAATTTTTGTAGTAGGCTTAAAGCTTACTTACTTTTTTGTGCCAAGGGCCCAAGCCTAAAAGTCTGCAAATTTTGCAAAAGGTTTAAAAATTTCTTGGAGTTTGCAGAATAAATCTGCTTATCCTTGACTAGGTCTGCGGATACTGTAAATGCTTACACTTATCGCTTGAAATAAGTACACTAAACAAAAACGGAACAACAGTGTTACAACACCAAGAGATTTTAGTTCGCCGTGCTGTTTGTTGTCCTACAACAAACTAATCCAAATTTATATCGGGTCTGATCTTTTGGTTGTATCGTTTTTTTCCTGGACTTGGACACTTGATCACCTGGTACTAAACTTTAACGGACGAATTTCCAAGGAGTGCGCTTGAACGTGCTGTATGCCAGCATCAACCATGCTAACTTCGATGCAGCGATCTCTACTCCGTCTACCACGCGTACGTCAAGAACAGCTTCGAAAACTGCCATTTCCGGCCGATGATGATCCAGGCTCTGGCAGTGAAAATTGATTTGCATTTTCTATGTTTAGTTGCGCAGTGTGTTACAACCGATCACTCCCATTCGCTCGACAGTATCGGATGCCGCGCTGTTATCGCAAAAGCTTCCACACGGACTTGTTGTTTCCAGGGACAAGGTGCTGGGATATTGGCTGCTGGGATGCAGCGGAATGGTTGTGGGAGCTGTGGTTCTCGGAGGAGTGACTAGGTGAACATAAAATTAATTTAGAAAACCGGGCAGCTTTGTTTCTGTGTAATTTTTTGTCTGGCATTCAAAATATTTATATTTTAATAGACACAAGGTGGATTTGATCTGTTCTTGTACAAGTATACGGTATCGCTTGTTGGGCGATTGGGCGTGCACGATTGCATCAGATGTTGTTTTTGGCTGGATGCTAATTTGCGCCGTCATTGTGCTTGAAGTTGTTTGAAAGATTATATTTTAAATATGTTATCCTCGCTTTGCGTAACAATAATGGCAGAGTGTAACTGGCGCACAAAAGTTTGTTCCAGGCTGGTTTTCTCATACTGTTTACAGTTGCTTACCACAGGTTACCAGTATACTTTATACTTTACAATATATACCCATTTTTTGCAGATTAACTGAGTCAGGTCTGAGTATAACGGAATGGCAACCGATCCGAGGCGTTCGCCCGCCATTATCGCAAGCGGAATGGGTTAGAGAATTCGAGAAATACCAAGATTCTCCAGAATTCAAATAGTGAGTTGTAAACACACGGCAGCGTATAAATATTTTGAGATTATTCTGCTTTCTTCTTTTTGATGGGTATCAGGAAATACTTACGTGCGGTGCTGCCCATGCATTGTATTTGTCTCTTTAACTTTCAGCAAAAATCAGTATATCTCGCTTAACGAGTTTAAATGGATTTGGTACATGGAATACGCTCATCGGCTATGGGGCCGTGCCATCGGAGTGGCTATTGCAGTTCCTGCTGCGTATTTTTTGATCCGGGGATGGCTCAGTCCTGCAATGAAGAAAAAAGTGTTAGCCTTCACTGCCCTACTCGGTTTTCAGGTAACATTTTGCTTTTGTGGTGGGTTATTTTTTGAAATCCGATCTGGGTAGTTGTACTTCAAATAGCATTGTGTTTTTCTACCACAATATGTTTTGTTTAGGGATTTCTTGGATGGTATATGGTAAAAAGTGGTCTGGAGGAGAAAAAGAACCAGTACGAAATTCCCCGAGTGAGCCAGTATCGTCTGTGTGCGCACTTAGGCTCTGCGCTGGTGTTATTTGCCGGGTTGTTTTGGGAGGGATTATCTCTCACGCTCCGGCCGCAACGTCAGCCAGTGGGGTTTCTTCGAGATCTGCGGACCATTCGCCATTTCGCTCATGGCACGGTTGGTTTGATTTTTCTTACCGCGCTCTCGGGAGCGTTCGTCGCTGGTCTGGACGCGGGTTTGGTGTATAATTCCTGGCCGAAAATGGCCGACCGGTGGATACCCAGTGATGTGCTGGCAATGAAGCCGGCGTGGAGAAATTTCTTCGAAAACCACAGTACGACACAATTTCAACATCGCCTGCTTGGATATTTAACGACCGCCTCGGTGGCCGGGTTGTGGCTGTATTCGCGGAAGAAACTCCCGCACCGAGCTCAGTTGGCCGCTAATTTATTGCTGCTGATGGTCGGTGTGCAAGTTAGTTTAGGAATTGCTACATTGCTTACTTACGTGCCGACACCGCTGGCAGCATCTCATCAATCTGGATCTCTTGCGCTGTTGTCGTTAGGATTGTGGTTGATGCATGAGTTAAGACGGATTCCGAAAATTTGAATGTTGAAATTTTTTTAAGAGTTGATTAAATTGTTTTCTGTGGTTTGGAAAGGGATTCTGGCAGCAACAGATTTTCATTAAAACCTATTTACTTAACAACATTGATGTTATTTGTTAGCGCGCCTTTTATTGTTTTCCTTATCGATTGTCTTATTAAAGGTGTCAAATATAAAGGTCGTTCTGCTACTTCGGAGCCTGAGCGATTATGATATTCCGCTCTGTGTCGGAGTGATGGACGTTACATAGTAATCTCGACATTTTTGCAAATCTGGTTCATTATGTCATTTGAATACAGTACCAATACCACGCACAGTAGTATCTAATCAGTTAACGAAAAGGTGAGCGGAAGAGATATGGCTGGCGAGTCTGGAGAAAGAATAATTAGAGCAGTAAGTCTCAGTGTCATAATGGAAGCTCCTGAAATTTTGATTGCAGTGTTTTGCCCATTCATCATTAATCTTATCGCTATTTTCGTAATTATTTGTCGATTTGTAATTATTATTCTAGCGACCAGGGTAATAGCAGAGACGACTACGATTGTCGGTGCACAACCTGTACTTGCAGTTCAACATCTGTCACAACCTCTGAAGGCCTGAGTGCGCTACGAAATCATTTTTAACGTTTTGGGGTAATTTCCGCATTCTGGATCTCAGAGCGTTAGCGTATTTTTTTATTCGTAATATTTGTTTGTAATGTGGTGAACAGTCAACAAAGATGACCAATCTGTTTTTTGCGTTCGCTCTTGTGCTGCTCCAAGCAGGCTGCGGTAAGTAAGTATAGCACTGTGTTAATATGTCGAAATACGAATGTAACACAATAAACACATGCTCCCGGTTTTCCCATTAACTTTGCAGCAATAGTTAAGTACAATAATTGATAACAGCAAGGTGTATGGTTTATCCCTTATACATCTTGATAACAGCATTGTAAAGCTTACAAACTCGAAACCGTACGCACAAGCTTTGTTTTAATTTTATTTGGCGTTATAATTTGCTCGGAAAATGGTTGCTGGTTCTTGTTCTTGCCAAGTGCATAAGAAAAATCAAATGGATAAGGAATAATTTTTGGTTGTATTGTATATGCTTCAGTGCTAACGAAATGCCGAGTATTACTGCTTGTACGACGTTAAGAAAATTAAATCTATTGTAACTCGTTAACCTTTTGTACGTCAAAGAAAAGAAATACTGTACTGTACACTGCTAATAATTTAGTGCAGTAACACACAAAGTTTGTAATGCAGGTGGAGGCTTATATTGATAGAAGTGTCATTAATAATGAACTAATGATACAGTACATACATATTAGCTTAAAGCTTAACCATAGCTTAACTGTTAACGAATTTTTTACAATAGCTAATTTTATTACTTTGTGGTGATAAGTTTAGTTTGCTTATCGAGTCAACAATTTCTTGCAGGTTTTGGACAAGGAACTGTCAACATGACCGGTAAGTTGCTGAAGGAACACTACAGCTAAAGTAGGAACACTGATACATTTGTATGCAGTATCTTTAAATGTAGATATTCTATATAAGTACTGTACGTATACACAGTAGCAACCATCTAGTCGATCATTTTATTTAAGTTTTCCCTGATCTACCATATTATAAAATTATTAATAATGCGTTTGCTCTAATAAGAATAAATTAAAGAAATGTTGTTGCTGGTTATTATTGCAGATGCTATCGTTCACTTACTTACTTATTATTAGTCAGATATTTCAGCGTTACTATTTGCGCAGTAAACACGAAGCAACACAAAATTTTTACTTCTGAATTATTATTGTTTTTATCTGTTCAGATGAAGTATTTTTATTGATTGTTAACGATAGTAGTTTTACAGAACTATGCGGGTCAAAAGTGGCTCTAACCAATGCGGGCGGCACATGGTACTATTTGGACAGCATTAAGGAGTGCATCTTTGTGGGGATTCTGACAAACACATGGGAAAGCGCCGAAATGGAGTGTCTACGGAAAGGTGCCCATTTGGCTGTGCTAACCCCAGAGAACACCCCTGCAATCAACGCTCTGATAAAAAACGCCACACTCGGAACCTCCGAGCAGCGCTATTTCATTGGATTGCGCATCGCGGATTTCAGTTTGGGCGAGTACATGTGGGTTGATTTCTCTCCCTTAACATATTCCAATTGGGCACACAATGAGCCGGCGAGTATCATGAATCACGACGTGGACTACTGTGTGACCATGTCATCCACTACCGGTCTGTGGGCGGATCGTGAATGTGTCCTGTCAACGCGATACTTCTGCCAGCGGAAGGCGCACGAGGAACATGGTCCACCGGTGATCCCCACGCGCGATCCACAAGGACCGCGCGGTGGATGCAAAGAAGGATGGATTTCATTCGGTGCGCAAAGAAATATCAGTTTGCACAAATTTTTAAAAAACTTAAATGTTGCCGTTTATGCCGAAGTGTACGGATTCTCCGGTCTCATATATAACAGTGACCTTTCAGTAGTAGCACTATTGCTTTAGCTATCATAAAAGCAATTTACTTGAATATATACTGGTGTACTTTTGTTCTCACATAAACAAAAAACCTTTATAGGAGCGCACTGTTATTATTTCTCACCGGATGTGGCTCGCACTACGTGGCCAAATGCTTTGGAAAACTGTCGAGCAGGACGGAATGTGATGAAGAACTCTAGTTTGGTGTCCATTTTGAACCCGGCGGAAAACGATTTTCTGGTTACACAACTTAAAGGTCGCACCGTCAACGTTTGGACGGGATTGCACGAGGTTACGCAAAATATTTTCGAATGGTCCGACCACCATCGTTATATTTACAACAACTGGCACTACCAGTATCCCCGTTTTACGTCCCAGGTAATCGTTTCTGCTTAAGATCAGATCAGATCAGAAGATCAAAATTTGTAAAAAAGTTGCCGAATGATCAGCCAGTTCCGCGTCCATGTGCAAGAAATTCGTTCGGAAAGCAAAGTTGCAAGCTAACTAAAATTACACTTTTATAGCTGGAATGCATCTCGATGCTAGTAGAAAATAACAAGGTCGGACGTTGGACAGATGTGAGTTGCATTAATTCGCTCGCTTACGTCTGCAAAGCTCCAAGAGGTAAGTAAATTCGAGTATACTAATTGTAAGAACGTAATAATTATCTTAGGTAGTAGTTCATATTCATCTTTCAGTACTGACAGTTTATCATTCGTGCTCCGAACTGCACTTGCTCGCACACAGGCATTTCTAATTGTTTTTATAACATTAATTTGACATAGTAATTGGTGGTTCTCATCGCTAATTTTTCTAGAATCCTGTGTGGATCAGGTTTATTAAGAATTGAATTTTTTGTTTTACAGACCGTGATTTACCGGATCCTCAACCCACCCCGTCTACCTGCGCAGCGGGCTATGAGCAATACGGTGACGGGTGTTTTAAAGTAATTGCGCTAACCGATGGCGACAATACATGGTCCCATGCCCAGGAACTGTGTAAAACACAGCAACCCGCAGGAGACGGTGGTCTGGCCACCATCATCGATGTGTATGAGAACGCGTTTGTTCGTCTTCTGTTGGATAGGGTTACCTTTCCTCACAGACCACAAGACTTCAATGTGACCTATTTTACGACGAAAGCATGGTTGGGAATGCGCGAAGAGTATGGGCATTTCAAATGGTTAAACAATTGTCCCACTCATTTTGTCAATTTGGATTCGTTACTGGGCAATGTCCATGAAACGTTGTGCATTGATATGAATCTGGATGGAAAATGGCATCCGCACAACTGTTCACAGCCGGATGTAAAATTCGCGGTTTGTGAACGACGGCTTGGTACGTAAGGTCAACTTTTATACGTAAGCGCCATAATGCAATGATAGTCATTCCAGTGTACATTACAAATGGTAAATCATACAAAACCTGCTACATTTTTTACATGTTTGTTTTCCGGCAGCGCCTTGTCCAAATAAAACGGCAGAAAAGCCGGAAATTTGTCCGGACAACTTTCCACAAGCCTGCTCCACTCATTGCTATACTTCACGAAGTCTTGTGCAGCACATCGGTCAAGAAGAACTGGCGACTTTCGACGAAGCACGCAGCAAATGTATTGCATTAGGCGGCGATTTGGCGACCATCAGGACAGAAGAGGATCAAAAGTGTATTGCGCCATATTCGCAGTACGCCGAACTGGGCATGTGGATTGGTTTGCAGAATAAAGCCGGTTCCACTGGAGCGACCAACATTTGGCACTGGGTGGACCAGTATGATAACGCTGAGCCGGTGACCTATGTCAACTGGATGACCAGTAAGAATAAATGCAAAGTGGAAAGGGAAAATATGCTAAACACAAATTAATAATACCATATAGATGAGCCCAATGGGTGGGGAGCAACATGTGCGGAAATGTATCCAAACGGATATTGGAATGATGAGAGTTGCTCGGCGAGGAGAGGATATGTTTGTCAAGCTGTGAGAAACCGAACTGCCACTGTCACCAATCCTACTGCACCGCCATCATGTAAGCCTTGCGCTTTAAATGATTAATGTGCTGGCTAGCTTTGTTATAACGAGCAGAAAATCCACAAATACAAGTTAAACACAATCCCGTCAATCCGCCAATAAGTAAGGCGATGATATACGTTTGTGAGAAATTTGCGTAACTGGCCTTGCATAAAGAAATGACGTTATTATGCGACTGTTAGAATTTGCATATATAAGCGTGATATCGGTATGGGTACATGATCAATCTAATTGTCTCTGCATGTCTCTTCGGATTTTTACATATGGAAATGAACGGATACATTGAACACGACAAATTTTTTACAGTCCAAACGACCCCATCGACTTACAGCGGCGATAGTCTTGGTGGCGGCCAGATTGCCGGTATAGTCATCGGTGTCCTATTGTGTGTCGCCATTCTGGGAGGCGTGGCATTTGTTGTTCTCACCGGCCGAACGAAAAACGTGATGAATTACTTTGGCGGCTCATCGGAACAGGGCTCGGTGAAATTTACACCAAAAAGATTTAGGAATCCCGGCGAAGACGGTGCTCAGTTGTCTCCGTAATTCTGATTCTGTTATTTTTAATGTTCTGTAATTTTTATATGGGGTCACCTTTTCCATAGTGTTTTTGTACATATTTCGCTATTGATGTTAAAGATATGAAGTTAGGTGTTACTTGCATTTTCCATGCAAATTAAAATGAAAAAGTGGAGCATGGTTGGAGAGATTTATCAATAAGCACGTGATGCTTAACTTGTACGCGATTAAACTGCCAGAATTAACGATTGTAGCTTTGTCGGTGATAACTGCCACAAACATACTTACATACAAGCTTTTTATAAATAAATCCGAAGTTCGGCTGTTGTGAGCTTCTATCGAGCGCAGGAAAATAAGTGGCACACTCAGAAGGCGGTGTAAATTTAGTTAACGGCCATATTGCTACGAGGAGGGGGTAAATGAGCTCGATGCACCCGAGCAAGGGGTAACAGAGCTCGTTATCTGTGCCCGTGCCTGTGCAACACGGCCAGCCACCAAGAGACGGCAGCCGTGCTATCACGCAGAACACCTGAAGCAGTCATTGAGCCCGATAGTTTTTTGTCTCCATAGATAGACTTGTATGCTAAACTGAATCACTTCTGTTTTGCATATTTGGGAACGAAACCAAGCAAATAACATTCCAAAAGAATCAGAAAAAATTCACGAGATTTTTGATACTAAACAAGTTATGATTCATGGTGCAGGACACAAGTTACAGCCATTTGCGTTTCTCGTAGACATAGCATAGAATTCGAATCAACGGTTGGGTTCCACGCACAAACTCTGTGCTGTGTCTACGAGAAACATAAATGGCCATAACTTGTGTCCTGCACCATGAATCATAACTTGTTTAGTATAAAAAATCTCGTGAATTTTTTCTGATTCTTTTGGAATGTTATTTGCTTGGTTTCGTTCTCAAATATGCAAAACAGAAGTGATTCGGTTTAGCATACAAGTCAATGGAGACAAAAAACTATCGGGGTCAATGACTGCTTCAGGTGTTCTGCGTGATAGCACGGCTGCCGTCTCTTGGTGGCTGGCCGTGTTGCACAGGCACGGGCACAGATAACGAGCTCTGTTACCCCTTGCTCGGGTGCATCGAGCTCATTTACCCCCTCCTCGTACTGTTTGAACATCACTAATAATATCTTATCGCAGGCATCATATAATTCCAGATATGTATTTAGCAGTACGCTCTCATCAAGGATTTTGATAGACAGCCTATTTATTAGGCTATTTTGAAGTTTAGAATAGCATTCCTGTCAGATTTTCCAATAATCTTATCTGCTCAAAGATTCTTTTGAAGATCACGTAAAATTGTTCAATATATCAATGAAATTTGCTTTGTCAGTCCGATAACAGATCGGAGGATGTCTGAGGTAACATGGCTCTGCAGACCCGTGTGCCACTTTTAGTTGGAATTAGGTATACCTTAGTCGGCATAGAACCAGTTCTTTTAATTGGTGGAAACTTATTATTACTTTGATTTTTGAAATGTGATAACCGGTTGTCAACCATGGCCTTTTAATAAGTGATTCATATAATTATAGCAACCGAATCAATACGTTAAAGAGCATTGTGGCTTGGATTTTGATTTGCTTCTACTAATTAGCAAAAAATGGTTAACTGGAAACAAATTCTTCCGCTTCTTGCTGTAGCAGCCGTTTTTGGCAAGTACTTTCTTTCGACGTAACTTCGTATTCGCGAATGAGCGCTTGACGATTTGTTTTTGCATATATCATGTTTAATCAACTTTACACATTTAAAAACGATGCTGTTTTCTCTACCCTAGGTTATTCCAGTGCTGATGAAAGTAGCAATGCCGAAGTTTTCCCGCGGGCGGATGTTAACATTACGCGTAAGTGCAAAGCATTTTTTACTGTGTACTAACCGCGATATGATTCGGAGCATACCTTTACTAATTTTAATTTAATTCGCTAAGTCTGGTTTATGGTTTATGTGGAATTTCATAGTTTTTGTGGAAAAGTACTGTATTCGCAATGGTGACTAAATTTTTCAGCGTCAGACTATGCCTTACCGCATGCAGCTTACTGCTGTACATAGAGTGCTTCTGCACGAATTTACCAAAAAGAAATTCAAAAGCTTGTACAGCGATCGACACTTTGACACGTCTTTATTTACAAAAAAAATGTACTTACTGTGAAATACGTAGAGTCAGGGTATTTATAAAGTTTATTTTATTTATTGTAAAGCGCAGCAGTGCAGGGTTGACAAATAACGAATTGATTCCGTATGCTTATATCTGTATATCTGTATACACATGTACAGTATGGCCCATATTATGCACGTTTCCAGTAAGAAGCGCCTGTACGGAGCGTGAGATAACCTTAGCTTGAGACGTGAGATGATCATGGTATCGACTCGCTTAAAACGCTATGCGAAGCTGAATTTAACACATAGTTTTATAGAGCTTAAAAACAGAAAAACAGCGGTGAAGTTCGCTCCGTTAACAGTTTATTTGCAAAAGTTAACAGTTTTTTTATTAACGCTACCCTACGCTTTTGACTACTTCTAGTGCACTTGGTTCAGTTTACTGTACCACTTAGGGGTCTACGTTAAAAACCAGTAAAAATTCCGCTTTTACTTGCAGAACTTTGCGGCCCGCAACTGCTGGGCGGAGGCACCTGGTACTACCTCGAAAGCATCCGGGAATGCATTTACGTCTCCAGTGCTTCAGGATGGGGCTCAACATGGGACAATTCTGAGCTGGAATGCCGGCGGCAGCGAGCGCATCTAACCGTCCTGAATAACAACAACCAGCAGGCCATTGCCGATCTGCTGAAAAATGTCACCAGCGAAGGTGTAGGATCAAAAGATTTTTTCATTGGCCTGCGAATGACCAATCTCAATAACGGAGAATATACCTGGCTGGATTTCACGCCCATCATTGGCAGCGGCTTTATCAACTGGGCGCCCAATCAGCCGCTAAGTCTGACTGACCACAGCCAAAGCTACTGCGTTGTAATGTCAGGAGTGGACGGCAAGTGGTCAGATCGAGCTTGCTCGACGACGTCTCGCTACATCTGCCAAAGACGCCCTCATGAAGACCATAACCGACCACCGGTGCGGCCTACCCGGGGGCCCGGTGATCAGAATTGGCGACACGGCGGCTGCGCCCAAGGCTGGGTTTCTTTCGGTAAAATTCTAAATTTCAGTTTTAAAAACATATGTGAAATTATAACCAAACATTACTGACTGCATTTCCGCTTAGGGCCTCATTGTTATTACATCTCACCGGATCAGCAAAGGGCCAAATGGTCACAAGCGTTGACCAACTGTATGAATGGTCACGATATGAAGAACGGAAGTTTGGTTTCCATTTTGGACCCCGAGGAAAATGCTTTCCTTATTACGCAACTCAAGCATCGAAAGATCCCACTATGGATTGGGCTGCACGAGACCGGAGACAATGTTTACGAATGGTCCGATCACCATCATTATCGATACAATAACTGGCATTATCAGTATCCTCGTCCTCCAACTTACCCCGGGGTAAGAGAAATAAGCGAAGGGAAATTTAGTGTTTGAATGCACATTTTTGTTTACAGGCCCCATTAGAGTGCATTAATATGCTGGTCGAAAGGAATAAGGTCGGTCGCTGGACCGAGTTGAATTGTGATTCATTAGGGGCATACATCTGCAAGGCTCCCAAAGGTCACTTAAACATTAGCAAAGTATTGGTTGTAAAATATATATATAACCTTAATCTTTGATGTTATAGACCTTACTCTGCCACCGCATGAGCCACCAATGACAAACTGCACGGCTAGTTTCCAGCAGTACGGTCATGCGTGTTTTCAAGTGATTCACCTGGAACGGGATGGAGAGCATACATGGGGTCATGCTGAACAGAAGTGCCGACCCTCTTCCATGGAGACCTGGCCCGGTGGAGGTGGCCTGGCTACTCTTCTGGATGTCTATGAGAACGCATTTGTACAGATTTTGTTAAACGATGCTGTCCGCTTCGGACGACCGGGTTTTAATGCCAAAGCCTGGGTGGGCATGCGTGAAGAACACGGACACTATCAGTGGCATAACCGCTGTCCCACGCACTTTGCTAATCTCGACAGCATGGTGGGAGATGAGAATTCAACGTTGTGCGTGGAAATCAACTTTGATGGGAGATGGCACGCCCACAACTGTACTGACCGTGACATTCGCTTTGCTGTTTGCGAGCGTCGTTTCGGTAAGCGTAGGCAAACAAAATACTGTCTTTTGCCAGTTTTGAGGATTCCATGATGCAGTACTATAGTATCAGTATCATCCCAGTCAGCTATTATAAACAAGTGCAGTATTAGAGCAGTATCAATACAAGAAAAGTGCTGACCTTTTATTTCATGGGCGTATCCAGTTCAAATTCGCTTCACTGTAATCTCCCCAGCAAGAAAAGTAGTAAGGTGAAATCATTAGGTATTGCAACCGTTTATGGTTACAGAATCCTGCGAGCGCTTTAACCATACAAGGCCACACCATGTCGTCTGTCCGCAAGAATTTCCCCACGAATGCGCCGATCACTGTTACCGAGTCAGCACTATAACTCACCACACCAACCAGACCGATGATAGTTGGAGAGTGACCTTTGACGAAGCCCGTGCCAACTGTCGTGCACTAGGTGGGGATTTGGTATCCATTCGCAACGAGGCCCAACAGAAATGTGTGCGACCGTATGCGCAGTATTCGGAGGTTGGCTTGTGGATCGGTCTACGTAATTTCTACGAAGGACCTGAACCCTTGGAAGACAAATGGACATGGGTTGATAACGATAACAATACAGAGCCGGCACTGTACACCAACTGGAATTTTGGTTAGTATATCACGCAAATGTTTATGATCTCTCTGGACTGAACATTGAAACTTCGAAAATGAATATTTTTTGCTGCTTACTATTTCGCCGAGGGGTTTCCATTTTACGGTGATTGCGTTTGAGGATATACAGAGGCTCTGTATTTCCTCCTAACATAGTGTTAATCTCCTGCAGGGGAGCCGAATTACGGGACTTCCGAACGTTGCGCTGAAATTTATCCGGACACTGGTTACTGGAACAATGTAAGGTGCGACGCTGGAACTAGGCGAGGATACATCTGCCAAGCTGATCGAAGTCGGGAAGTTGTTGTTGCGGGCACCGTTCCTCCAACCTGTAAGTTACTTAATTATGCAAACGGCATAATAGTCCGTATGATGCTGTCCACTAATTGTTATTTATTGTTCTGCTACGGCAAAGTATTTACACATATTTTTGCAGTCAAGAGTAACATGATAAGCGTAAATATTAATGTTTCGTCTAGGGGGCTCAGGTGACTCGGATGGACTGAGCGGGGGCGCCATTGCCGGTATCGTCATCGGAGTGCTGCTGGGTGTGGCATTGGTTGGTGGTTTAGGCTTTGCCGTTGCCACCGGCAGACTGTCGTTTTCCAAACGAACTCTCCCGTCTCGCGGTGACAATCTGTCAAAAGCCATGTCAATTCACAGTTAAAAGATTATTTAATTTTTTTTTTTGTTGTCTGCCGGGAGATACGTAGGCCCATTTTTTAATGACAAACAAACATTTTTGTTTTTCTCGGTGCGTGTCAGCGAAGAAATTGCATCTGGGATTGTGATTGCTCGGCCGTTGTACCATAAATCCCGCATGAGACGTTTATCCAGCTGATCGAAACTACTCGTATAATCTACTGTGCAAATGCATAATTATTCGAAGAAATGGTTTCGGTTCACAGTTCTACAGATATATACACTTACCAGGGCACATACGAGGCTATAAATTCAGAAAAATCTTATTTTTTGCAGAAAGGTAGAGCAACTAGGTATGTAGGATGCTTAAAAACTTATTTCATGTGCATGTGCTTACTAACTTACATAAATAATATTCGAAAAGCTTCTTTATACACAAATTACAGAAAATCGTTGAAAGGTTTACCGTATGACAAGGTGCATTACCTGTAGGCTACAGCATAGTGTAGGATTTAATTTTAAATTTTGTTTTGGCCACGCCACTTGGCCATGGCACATGAAATAATGTTTTAACATTCTACGTAGTTGTTCTACCTTTCTGCCAAAAATGAGATTTTTCTGAATTTATAGCCTCGGTATGTGCCCTGGTTAGTGCTTACTATATTTAGCATTCATTCATTTCTTGTATGGAAATTATAATTTTCGTTATATAGGCTGGTACTTGCCGGAATTAATCATACCATAAGCTTTGAAAAGATGATTATTGGTATCATTTCATGCAAATTAATGTGATCAAGCACGACAATCCAGCTTTTCATACGGAAGAAAAAAAACTGCCAATTTAGTATTCATGTGTAGCTGTTTAATTGATGGTAAACCTACCCAGTACGTACATAGCGGTCAACCAAATAAAATACTATGTTTGTTGACATTCTGGCTAAAAGCAAATAATATCTGTACCATTAGTTTACGAACAATTCATCTGCAAGGTATATTTTAAGCAAGCGATAATTTTGCCCTTCCCAAAACCGACGATAAAGTTTTCTACCGGCTGTAATTACAATGAATCGTGAGTTCCAAATTTTGGGATTCTCATTATACGAGTACCTACAATCCATAAAGCAGTCTGTACTTATTTGTAATCTTATCAGGAACGTTTACACAGTTGACATTCACAGTTTTATATCTAACAAAGCCAATACGCCACTTAAAATTACTCGGTTCAAAGTATATCGGGTTAAGGTGGGTCTAACCAGAATTGAATGCATACCAGGTGCGCAACTTTGCAAACCACTCTGCATGAATAAGCATGATGTTCTTATTATCTTCTGAACTTCGAAAAGTCATTGATGTTTCATAAAGAGTAATGTATGAGATAAACTGACTTCGGTTGCTCTCGAGAAAATACATTATAATTGTTGTATAAGCTCACAAGTCTTGCTCTACGCTGTTGAGTATATACATATATAGACAACTTATACATAGGTATCAGAAAATTTATCTTTTTTTCTGGTGGCGCGTATTTGTACTGTTTCAACGTCCCACGTTTCTATCATCATCATCTTATAAACTAAACTTATTACTCTGTAAAAGTGTACAGGTCGCACAAAATCGCTTCTTGAAACAGTCCAATAAATCATGGAACAGTTTACCGATCTATTCAACCAACTGCAATCGGTTATTAACGTTGTGGGACATGGCATTGATTTTCCCCAGATAGTAGTTGTTGGATCCCAGGTACACTAAATTTTTCGGTTGTGGTTTTCTAGCGAACTGCTTATCTTAATGTATTGTAAGCTGCTTTTTGTCATTAAGTGAACATTCGCGCCGTTGCAGAGCGATGGGAAAAGCTCTGTGCTGGAGAGCATCGTCAAAAACGGTTTTTTACCACGCGGAACTGGCGTTGTTACCAGAACGCCCATCATCCTACAGTTGCGTAACATTCGACCTGGAGAGGAAAACGGACAAGGCAAACAAGTTCACTTACATATTTCAGCTTTAGTCATTTTTTGATCGTTGTTTTGCATTGTAGAGCTGGCAACAGTGAGTTATCCTGATCCGGATAATTCGGGTCAGCAAGTCAGGGAAGAACACATTACTGACTTTGGGCATGTTGGCCCCAAAATAATGCAGGCCACGGAGCGCCTAGCCGGAAACCAAAAAGTATTGTCTCTTCTTTCTTTTTTGATTAAATCAAATTTAGCACATAAAAATAATGTAATGCGAATCTAGCGATCAGACTGATCGCACTGAAAATATTTGACATAGTTGTTTTAACAAAACGAACTTAACTGTTTTTAGAATATAGTTGACAAACCGATAACCGTGACCTTGTACTCTCCCAATGTTCCGGATTTAACTCTGGTTGATTTACCGGGTTTGGTCGAGGTTAGTCGACTTGTTTGCAAGCCATTAGGAAGTTTATACAGTACTTTAAGTCATATATTGCTTGCTTTTATCCACACGTAGTTCGCAATTGCAAGCTGTTTAGAAATCATAAAGAATTTTATTACGAATGATAGAACGGGTTTAAAAAGATTGTACCATTTACCGGTACTTACAATATGCGCCGTATCTTACGTTAAACGTAACTCTTCAATGTTGTTAAGTAATTCTCTGTCTGTTCAACAGATACCGTAGTATAGCTGTACAGTAACCAAAGCGTTTATAAATTTTGCTGTAGAATCGTCAGGGCGATCAGCCGAGCAACATTAAAGAACAAGTTGAGCAACTAATTAGAAGTTATGTTCAAAATCCAAACGCAATTATTTTGGCTGTTCATCCGGCTACTTCTGATCTAGCAAACTCAAAGAGTTTGAATATCGCTGGAGAGGTTGATCCTAACGGTACACAATTTCCTTAATTTGTTATTGAATATTGCCATTACGATTACGTACAATGTTACATTCGTTAATTTTGTTCTTCGTTTCTACAGGTCAGCGAACCATTTGCGTGATAACGAAACTGGATGCTGCTGACCCTTCGGAAAATAAGACTGATTTGTTGACTGGGACTGATATCGCTAACCATCATGCCAAGGTGTTGCGCACGATAGGCGTCATTAATAAGTCATCAGCCGACCAAAATAAGCCAAACTGGGTAAGAGCACAATGAAGTACTTAATAGTTAAAGTAACTACTATATCCATTTCTGTTTCCTCCGGAGTATTGCCTAATCTTCTGAGTTTTCTGTCGGTTTACCCAATCACTCCCGATTCTGAATAAATTATAGACCGCAAATGATCAACTGAACAAAGAAGACCGATGGTTCAAAACTCATTATCCCAGAATTGCCGGTCAACATGGAACAAGGCAATTGTCCGAGTTCCTGGCGATGGTAAGTGCAGGTTCAAGTCCATGACCATGTATATATGAGTTTTGTAGCGTACAGCGTTTGGAAGTCTGAACGCAATATCTCACTGGGTTACAGGTATTTCGCGAGCATATACGCAAATGCTTACCGGCGTTGAAAGCAGCAGTTGACGAAATGGTATCCGAAAACCATGGACATCTGATATCACTGGGCGAAGATGTCCATCGCAAATTTACGGATCCGGAAAATCGCGATCCCTCACTGCCCGATCCAGGGCATAAATTAGTCGTCAGTGTCATCACAAAGTTCGTCGAGTATTTTCGAGGAGCTTTAACCGGTGACGTTGATCAAGGCAACACGGAAGTCCGAGGTGGTGCTCGGATTGAAGAATTATTTAACGAAACATACTGGAATGCTTTGACCGCTATTATCCCTTTGGATGATGTGAGCGAGCAGCAAGTTTGGACCCAAATTCGCAACTCCTGGGTAATAAGAAATTAACGTTATTAGAGATGCACCACATGTTGACTTTAAAGTCAACACGTTCCGTATAATATAATTATTTCATACATGTTTTATTCGTAATAAATTTTTCTACATGGGAATATGCGTTTCATGGTCTAGAAACGCATTTGCTTTTCTTAATAGCTGTAAAGCAGTATTTTGTCCTTAATTCAATCACTGGAGCTTGAAACGATTTGTGCTAGAGATTTACAAAAATGAAATGCTGGACAGGGTACGGAGCGACAAATGTTTCTCAGCATCAAGGCCTTTAGAGTGCTGGTGCAACACGAGATGGCCCGGATGGAACATGAAAGCATTCGGTGCGTTAAGCTCGCACATCAGGAGATGTTAACTGTTCGAAATTCAGCGGGTGATCATATCGCGGTATGCTGAACCAGTATTTTCTTGACCACATCCCCGAATACTGTTGTTGATCGTTACAGCAATACAGGGAACAGTTTCCCAAGTTGTTTGAGCGTATAGTGAACATTGTGGCGCAGTTTATGGAGACGAGGCTGGACGAGACAAAGGTCATGGTTGTACACTGTGTCAAAATGCAGCTGGATTATCTCAATGTAAAACACCCGGATTTTATCAAGGCACAAGTTGATGCAATGAAACGATTTAACGAAATTGCCGCACAAATTGAAGACAGCGTACATAACGATGGGAGTACCAATGTGAATGTGGGCGCGAGTCCGGCTAGAAGTGCTCCAGCCCCGCCGGCAACGCCTAAGCCAGCTCGAATGCAGTATCCGGCTTCGGGATCAAACCAGCCAACGGCAGACCCGCAGCAGCAAACCAGTGCCAATGGAAATGGCCCTAACGTGCCTCCTCCGGTATGTGTTTAAGTACACTATATACACGCAAGTTGAGTAATATTATTATGACCTAGGCTGCAAGATATTGCAATTGGGTGGCGCATGCTCATCAAATATCGGGCTACAGTTAACCTTTGCGGAGGCTCTTGCCGCATTTTCACAGATTCTGAACTCATCGGTAGCTCACAGATTTCTCACAGATTCTGAACTCATCGGTAGCTCGAAAGTGCAGTTTTAAATTATAGAAACGGAAAATATCTTTTATCGCGCATACAGCGATTTAAAAGTAAACCATTAAACTGAGCTAGAAACTAACTAACTAGGGATAGTATTTTCAAACAGGTCATCAATAGATCGAGAGGAATGACAAAGCGAGAAAAACTTGAGTGTGAAATCACTGTGCAGTTGGTCCGCGAATATTTTGAAGTCATTCGCCGCATTGTGCGGGATTCGGTCCCAAAGGTCATTATCCGTTTCTTAATCAACGCCATTCGAGTAAGTCACACATTTTTGACAAAATGCAACTACTGCATTTGCCCAGGACTAATAAAATATTATATTTCGATATTATGTGATAATGTTTACTATTCAATGGCAAAATAAAAAAAAACATTGAAGGTACGCAGAAAATCTGCTTACAGGATGAAGTTCTCCAGGAATTGCTGACCAAGGTTGCTGCAAACTCAGAAACATTTACGCCGTTGCTAACCGAATCGGAGATAATAGCTACGAAACGGAAAAATTACACGGAAAAGCTGGAGCTCTACCGTGATGCCGCCAAAATAATCCGGACTTTAGAAACCGTATAATAGTCTGTAGTAGAGCTTAAAAAATTGTTTGACTGATAAATACTGCACTTATTTTTGCCTAAAATTTGTTACAAAATTTTGAGATGATCTAGAGGTATACAACCAATTCGCAAGCATTATGTCGAAATGATGATTATGCCGGCGATGCCCGATCGATGATGTGATTATGTTAACGCATCGATGCCACAAATATTGATATGGCATTCAAACGGTTTTGATTTCGAATACGTAATTTTGACGTCTCTGAGGTGAAAAAGATGGAAGAAAATTGTACGGTGTGGTATAAAATTTGTTTAAGGAGACGCAAGTAGTACCACAAGAAACTGGTTTACATTCCATCGCTAAACAGCAGGACGTTTCATTCATCGCATTCGCCCTATATTAAGTTCGATAGCCTTAGAACTTTAAAAATGCGACTTTCCAAACGAAACTTCGCGAACGTCATTCAAACCTGCATTGCGTTAATTCATTGCAGCGATAATACACTCGTCAGCGGTGGTAATTACAGCAGAAAACGCAATTCTATTGTGTATGACTTTTGCGATACACGTAGATAATACACGTTGGCGGCCAAAAAATATTTTAACTTGTATAGCTTGCGGCAAGACGAGTCTTAAGGTGTCGGGTATATATTTTCATTAGCATCCTAATAAGCCACTATTACTACGTATTATATCCAATCCCAAACCCCAATCGCCCAAATCGTTGTTATAGTTTTGCTCCTGAGTATTAAAACTATTTAAATTTTTCAAACGCGTTCAGCCTCTTTTTGTACCGAAAAGTTGCCACTGTAGGAAATCACTGAGCAGACATACCTTGGATACAATGGAAAATTTTGCAGAGTTATTCAACCAGTTACAAACTGTCATTAATGTTGTCGGACAAAATATTAACTTCCCGCAAATAGTTGTTGTTGGATCTCAGGTAATGGTACTCTAAACAGAAACTGGCGGATATTGCAAACTGCAGTATGTACAGAGTGATGGGAAAAGTTCCGTACTGGAAAGTATCGTCAAGAGAGGTTTCCTGCCACGCGGTACCGGTGTGGTCACACGCACCCCTGTCATCTTGCAACTGAACAATACTCAATCCAGCAGTCCTAGCGCAGAAGGTAAACTTTGTTTCTAAATTTCACCTGAAAACTGTCGGAATAAATAAAAATAACAGTAAAATACACTTCAGTGCTACAGTTACGTTTACAGTTTCGGATTTTGTCCAGACTTGTTAGTACTTATGTGAGTAAAAAGAGAGAATTTAGAAAATTTTTACCAATTATTTCTTCGCCAAATGCTGACCTTTCTGTGAGGTGTGTCAAGAACTTGCTATAGCTGTAGTTCTTGATCTCACACTATAGTAAGCATTTGGGTGTGTATATACATAACTCTTTATATAGGAGTGAGCCAAATAGCTCTTTATATAGGACTAGAAGAACACGCGGAAGTGAGTTATCCCGATCTGGATATGCCGAACTTGCAGAGCAAGGGGGAAGTCATCACGGACTTCTCACAAGTTGCCGGAAAAATTTTACAAGCCACAGAGCGCTTAGCCGGAAAGCAAAAGGTACAGTAGGTACATACCGGTAATCTATAGGGTAATACCTTGCAAAAGCAGATGTTCTAGTTGCGTCCTAAAACACCTATAGAAATACTGCATGAATCGGTTTTCGAAATAAATATATGGTAACTTTGCAATCCAGTTAATTTGTGTAACATACCCGCGATAATATTATAACTGTAAATAATTGTTTTTTGTTTGGCTGTCTAAAACGTTTTGCTCTAGTGTTGAAACCACGTTCAGCTTAATTATTGCAGAATATTGTCGACAAACCGATTACCGTCAAGCTGCATTCTCCATACGTTCCGGATCTGACTTTAGTCGACCTACCTGGCTTGGTCGAGGTATTAGTAATAATGACACGGTTTTGTGTAACAAAAATAATTACATCAGATATTTCAATGATTCCAAAAGCACAGAAAATGTAAAAGGATAAATCATTGCAAAATTTATTACCACGGTCCCAATATTCAGAATCGCTCCGGAGACCAGCCCGATAACATAAAGGAACAAGTTGAGCAGCTTGTCAAAAGCTACGTACGAAATCCAAATGCAATCATCTTGGCTGTGCATCCCGCCACTTCCGATTTGGCTAATTCGAAGAGTTTGAATATTGCACGGGAAGTTGATCCTAATGGTATGAACGCTTGCTGACCAGTGAACACCATTACTGTATCATATTGTGCTGTACTATATTAGTATACAACTCGTACAGATAATTTCGTAATATCAGACTTTACACTTTACAACTATTAAAATATATTGCCTAGGTTCTCGAACTATCTGTGTAATAACCAAATTGGATATTTCGGATAAAGCTGACGATAAAACTGACCTGTTGACCGGAGTGGAAATAGCTAATCATCATTCTAAAGTGCTACGAACCATCGCTGTAATAAGCCGGTCGCAAGCTGATCTGAACAACAAAGGATGGGTGAGCAGTGAGCACTGTAAAGGTTAACCGGTAATTTCAACTTCATATTGCGAAAGCAGACATTCATTCGAATACCGTTAAAAGATGTAAAATGCGATCGTTCTAGATCTTTTTGACTTGTGTTACACCTAAAAATAAAACGAAAATACTAGTCATGGCTCATGTATGTATACCTTTAATTAATTTATTATTAATTTTATTATAGTACACGTATTGTTTTAGTATGGTTAATTAGTACATTTAGAACTTAATTAATACTAACTCAATACTACTAGCACTTGGTTAGTTTAAACCTTTAGTATTTTCATGTTTCAAAATTTCAGCTCGTGTCAAGAAGACATGTTGATACACTTGGTACAGCACTTTGTGTATATTTTTGTTCAGCCCACCATCAGTCTCCTCTTCAGTGGAGATTTTCGGTCGCACCTTTGGTGCAACCGTCCTGCTTTTATTTGGTTTAAAATCCATGGTGAGCGAGTGCCGGTAATGGGATGGGAAACCAAGAAGAAGGCCAGAGCGGACAGATGTCGCCGTTTCGATTAGGAGGTCGAAGACGCGCGCCCATTGCTCCCCCTAGCCTTCCTTCTGGCCACTTGCCCCTTTATTCAATTCATTCACAATAAACCCGTTAGAAAGGGCGGGTGGGTGGTAAGAAAAAACTGCACACGTTAACAGTCGTCAGTTTAGCAAAAATATTCAAGTTTAGCTAGTGGCAATAATCGAGAATGAGTTCTGCATTCAGTCAGCTTAGCATGATAAGAACATCGTATCCGGGAAAGTAATATAATAGGCCAGCAAGACAAAGACAGCCAGAGAGCAAAAACAGGTCACCCGGATTTTAACTCTAGTTAATGAATTAACTAACACTTAAAATCCATGGTGAGCGAGTGCCGGTAATGGGATGGGAAACCAAGAAGAAGGCCAGAGCGGACAGATGTCGCCGTTTCGATTAGGAGGTCGAAGACGCGCGCCCATTGCTCCCCCTAGCCTTCCTTCTGGCCACTTGCCCCCAAACAAGACGTTCCGTACAGGTTTACTTGACTGGGATTGGTCTTTCGGATGTAGCGACGCACACAGGTGCTCTTCCACCGTCCGGCTCGCATGATATCCGGCTCAGGAATGTTTCCTTCGGCTGCGGTAGTGGCGGCTCCAATGCGAAAGCTGTGCGTGTTTAGGCGGTCGCGTTCAGGGTGGTCCCAGAGCAGCTTCCGGATGTGGTGCAGCACGGATGCTCGTGTGAGGTGTTGACCCGAGCGAAAGGAGAAGAATGGACTGTCCGCGCGGGCTTTGGTGGTGCGGCTGTGGATGTAGCGTTCGTATGCTCGCACCGGACAAACCGAGCGGTTAGTCGCGGTCAAGCGAAGTACAACGCCACTTCCAAGTTGGTCGGTTTTTTGAACGTTTGATGTGCACTGTAATGGTGTCGTCTTCCGTCTCCACGTCGCGCGACAGCAGAGTGCGGTGGCGGTCATGAGACGTCGGTGATGGTGAGACGAGCTCGCTTATGCGCATGAAACCGAAGAATGCCATGGTGAAGGCACACCACAGCATAGTGATATCGGAGACGTCCAGTGTGCTGAGACGCAGGCGGTCCTTCAGTTTGCGCATCAGTGGCATGGTGACCGGAAGTCGTTTGTCTGATTTGGACGCTGACAGTCGGACGAAGCCACTGATCGTGCGCTTGACGATGTCAGCGTTGGCTGGGCTATCAGCATCGGCTTCGCGGTGCAGGTTGTGGATGGCGGCCACGTAAACTTTGGCGGTGCTTGCGCTGGCGCCTTCATCGTGTAGGCCGGCGATAAACCAGGCCACGATAGTTGGCTCCGCTGGCAGTGGTGTAAGACGGCGAGCAGTGCAGAAGTTGATGAAGCGCGTTGCTCCTACCCGGTATGTGGACCGTGTGGATGTTGCGATGTGGGCTTCCAGGAGACGGCTTAGCGATGGGGATGCTCGTAGGTTAGGCGAAGATCGTTGAAGATATTCGGGCACGGCGTTGGAAGAGCATTCGCTAGCGGTGCGAGACGTCGAAAACGCAATACCTGGAAACGAGATAATGCATAAGCTATGCCGTTGTCCACGCCTCTAACATGTTTGAGCGTAAAGGTCATGTTGTTATCCGCGGCTGCAGCCGTCATGCGACGCATGAGATCTAACACGCCTGGATTCTTTGACCGAAGACTCTCCCACGCTCGTTGTTGCACCTTCGTTGTCGGTGTGGAAGATGATCTTCCAGCACCACAACTGCTTCCCCCAAACAAGCATTGCCAATAGAATCGGGACCATTTCGAGGTATTCAATGGGAACCGATAGCTCGTGAATCCAAGACGGCCAACGGTGATGGAACCATTCACCGTTGAAGTACGCTCCCAGACCGATTGTGCCGGAAGCATCCGTGTACAGGTGGAGGATGTCGGAGGTGCTCCACGATGGCTTTATGAAGGAAGCGGTCCCGTTCCACTTCGGGAGGAAGGTGCGCCACCAGTCAATGTCGCGGTGAAAGTCCGTATTGAGGTATATCGTGCGTTGGCCATATTGTTCTGACAAAAGTCGGATGAGCCGGCGGGTGAAGAGCCGGCTGGTGGGGACACATTTTGATGCAAATTGCAGTGTGCCGATCAAGCTTTGGAGCTCTGATGCACTGCATTGTGTGCGGTTTGACTAAGACTGGAGGGCGTCTAGGATCTCTTGGTGCTTACCGGGAGGTAAGCTTACTGTGTGGGCAACAGTGTCCAGGACAATGCCGAGGAATGTCAACCGAGATGCGGGTCCTTCGGTTTTGTCTTCGGCGAGAGGGACCCCAAGCTCGTTGCACGTCTCGCGCATTGAATGCATTAGCGTTGCACACTGTCCCGTTCTCGGGCGGCCGAGGAACAAGAAGTCGTCAACGTAATGCAAGAATGATGACAAGCCGCAGCTTCTGGAGACCGCCCAGTAGACGGCCTCCGCGAACTGTTCGAAAAGGTAGGGAGCTGAGCGACACCCAAATGGCAAAATTATGTCGAAATAGTAATTTCCGTCATGGCAGTATCCAAGGAGGTTCCAATCTTCTCGGCGGACGGGAATGAGGCGGAAGGCGGATTTGATGTCCATCTTTGCCATTTCTGTAGACGGTCCGAGGTCAAGGATGATCCGAATGGCATCGTCGACGGAGCAGTACTGCAGTGGCATGTTGTCCGTTGAGATGGAATCATTGACGCTTTGACCCGCTGGTTGTGATAGATCCATGATGGTTCGGATGTCCCCGTCTTTCTTTTCGCGGACGCCCAAGGCGTTTACGACAAAGTTTTCCAGGGGCGGTTGCGTGAATGGGCCGACAGTGTGTCCCCGGGCGACCTCTTTCTGGATGCTGGTTCCCAAAGCGCGGTGGTGTTTCCGGGCTGTGTGTGAGTTGGGAGTGTGGCGGGAAAACTGTGGTCCGCGGTAGCCAAGATCGACGCCGGTTATTAAGGAAGAAACAATAAAAGAAACAAAACGTGGGTTAGGATGGTCAGCCAGCAGTCTCGCAAAGACCTCTGGTCGCAGGGGTGTCGTGACCTTTGCAGGCACTGTGGCGATGTCAGTTGGCGTTGCGACACTGCGGAGCCTTGTGGCCGGCCCCTCCACAGGTGAGGCAGACGTGCTTGAACTGCCGCTTACATGGCTCGGTGCAGTTGGTGAAGTTGTAGTTTTTGCAGATATTGTTGCCGTCTGCGGCGGTGCTTGTCCGAAAGGGCTGCTGTTGGTGACCGGGAATCCTTTGCGTGGTACCGGGCACTGCGCGATGAAATGACCACTGAATCCGCAGTTTCGGCAGGTGTCGCGCTCGGTGGGGGCCCTCTGGTTCCGGTCGCGCACGTGGAGTTCCGACGTCGCTTCCCGGTGACCGTTTTGGATGGTGTCGGCGTAGGTTTCGTCGTGCTGGTGTCCCCATAGATCAAAGTTGTATGGGTGAGCCGTCATGTACGTTCGGAACTGCTTGTCGTAATCAAGCCATTGATCTACTGGGATACCACGGTCGGCGTATCCAGCCATCAAGTCTTGATACTTCAGAAGAGGAATGGTCAGTTCAGGAATGACAGACGTCCGATATGCAGCGAATACGGTAAAAGCGCGGATCCATGCCGGAAATGAGTCTACTGTGACGTGTCCATCATGCGGTTTCAAAATGACCTGACCTTTGCTGATCACCATTTTCGATGCTCCGTCCCTGGGCTTCTCCACCCGATTCTTTGGCAGGAGGCTGTCAAAGTCGACATATCGGGTCGGATCCAGCAGCTTGGAGCGGACTTTCTCGGGTACAGCCGGCAGACGGCGTGATTGACGATAGTGGGTATCTGCCAAGTCACCTAGTCTGCTGAATACGTCACGGCGGCCAAGTCTGTCTTTGAGAGTGCGGCGAGGGGGAGAGTCTTCGGAACGTGAGCTGGATTGCGACGTGCTCTTACCTCGATCGTTGCGGTGTCTTCCATGGCTTCTGGAGCGTTTCCGGTGTGGTCGCGGGTTGCTCTCGCTCGTAATATGACGCTGGTCATTGTCGCCGATGCGGACCCGGAGATGTGGACCCGTGTCTGATGACGGGGACATACGAGCGTCCGGGTGGGGATTCAGCATTTGCAGTATGCTGTCGATCTGCTGCTGCTGCTTTGCCTGCTGCTCAATCAGGGTTCTGATGTCTGACTGCTGTGATGCCGGCAGTACAACCTGAACCTCCGAGTTGACGGCAGGCGGTGGCGGTGTTCCGGGTCCTACGCGCTTTGTCGTGGCAGTGCCTGCGGCGGGGGTTGGGTTGAGGATGTGCAAGATACTGTCCAATTGTTGCTGCTGCTTGGCCTGCTGCTCAATCAGAGTTCTCAAGTCTGGCTGCTGAGATGCCGGTTGCACGACGTGAACTACTGAGTTGACGGCAGGTGGCGGTGGTGTCGCAGGCCTCCCGCGTTTTCTCGGTGGCCGGCTGGCTGGTGGTGCGGGATTGTTCTTGGGATCCTTCTTCGGTGGCATTGCACACGTTAAGAAGTGCACACGTTAACAGTCGTCAGTTTAGCAAAAATATTCAAGTTTAGCTAGTGGCAATAATCGAGAATGAGTTCTGCATTCAGTCAGCTTAGCATGATAAGAACATCGTATCCGGGAAAGTAATATAATAGGCCAGCAAGACAAAGACAGCCAGAGAGCAAAAACAGGTCACCCGGATTTTAACTCTAGTTAATGAATTAACTAACACTTTTGTATGGTATTTCACGTGCTCCGTATCCTAGCTGTATGAAAGAAAACCCTGCACGGTTTTGTTTCTGTTTTGGTGCGCGAATGCATTTGGTAAGTTATTCTTGTCGGCAGGAAATACCAAATTTCGAGCATTTACTTCCAGAGTATGGCCGCTCAGTTGAGCAAAGAGGAAAGATGGTTCAAAGAACACTACCCGAGGCTTGCGGATCAGCATGGTTCCCAGCGACTATCCGAATTTTTATCTGCTGTACGTGTAATTAAAAACAGATATTGTATTTTACATTTTACAACGTTGTATGTGGACAGTGATATAATTCATAATTATCAGGATAGCGATATAATTATTATAAGGTCATGTTCTCTTTGATAGTTTTTTGCGTGCACTCCAGGTTTTCCGTGATCACATACGCAAGTGTCTGCCAGCATTAAAGGCAGCGGTTAATGAAATGGTTTCCGACAGTCAAATGCAGTTGAGCGCACTGGGTGAAGATGTACACAGCAAACTTATGAATTCGGAAGCCAGTCGTAATCCACTGATTCCTAATCCCGGCCACGTGCTGGTGGTCAGTGTCATCGACCAGTTTGTTAATTATTTCAAGGGAGCCATTCAGGGAGATGTCGATCAGGGTAATACCGAGGTGAAAGGTGGTTCGCGCATCGAAGAGCTATTTAATGTAACTTACTGGGACGCTTTAACCGGTATAGTTCCGCTGACCGGCACTAGCGATCTGCAGGTCTGGACACAAATACGTAACGCTTGGGTAAGTGCTGCAAATGAAAGCGTCTTTGTTTCTAGATCTGCAGTGCTGTATGTGTACAGACTATATCTATATGTGCTTTATGTGCTTTCTGTACACACGTAAGTACTCATAGATAAATATTTATCTCTAGTCTTCACATGTTTTTTTTACCGTAACACGGCATAAAACTTAAAATACTGAAAATTTAGCACTGTACGTTGGTTATTTGACAGGGTACTGAGAGGCAAATGTTTCTTAACATCAAGGCATTCCGAATCCTGGTACAGCACGAAATGGCCCGCATGGAATTTGAGAGTATCCGTTGCGTTAAGTTAGCGTATCAAGAAATGCTGTCTATTCGAAATTCCGCTGGTCAGCACATCGGGGTAACGATTGAGCACTCATTTCGTGCAGACGCTTAGCAAAGCACAATACAATAGAACTGGAAGTCGCGTCGTGGACTACTGTATATAGGCACAACCTATTAATATTGTAATTTCTTTTAATTTAAATAATTTGCCCTCACAATTGATTTGATTGGTAATACATATAACACGAAACCAAAACCTAAGTGGTTTAACGGTTAGTTAATTATCATGGCCAGGATAATCCGTGGTTATTTTTGTAGTACGTCAAAGAACAGTTTCCCAAATTATTTGATCGCATCGTGGATATCGTTTCACAACTAATGGAGATTCACTTGGAGGAAGCGAAAAAAATGGTCTCGCATGCTGTAAAGATGCAGTTGGACTACCTGAACGTTAAACATCCAGATTTTGAAAAACCCGAAAAAGAGGCTATGAAGCGATTTAACGAAATTGTGGCCCAGGTGGAGGACAGCATGAACAACGACGGCAGCACCAATGTCCACTTAGGAACTCCGGTCCCAGTGCGAATTGCGCCGATCCCACCCGCCCGACAAATGCCAAAACCACCATCAAATGGCGTTGTTGTCAATATTGGTGGTCAAGTGTCCGCATCCGGCGCACCGTACCCGCATATAGCTAACGGAATAAATGGGTCGTGGGAAGGAGATACTCCAACAGAGTTAGAGCCGGTACGCTCTAAGATCCCGGAGAACGGTGATATTGCAGTGTGGTGGATTACGATAACATGTTTTATTATTAGGTTCACAGCAAATCGCGATCGCTAACCAAACGAGAAAAATTAGAATGTGATATTACCGCACAGCTGGTGCGCGAATATTTTGAAGTTATCCGACGCATCGTCAGAGATTCTGTCCCAAAGGTCATTGTCCGTTTCTTGGTGAATGCGGTTCGAGTAAGTGCAAAACGAAAAGACTTTCCGGTGAATGATTAGCGCATACTAATTATACAGCGCATCACAGTTGTTATATAAACGATTACAGGACGAGGTTTTGAAAGAATTGATGACAAGGATTGCAAGTAGTCCTCAAGTTTACGCCCCTTTACTCGCAGAATCGGAGGTAATGGCCACAAAGCGCAAGAACTACAGTCAACGACTGGACGTTTTTCGTAATGCAGCAGAAATCATCAAAGTTCTGGAAGCCAGTTAGAAGACTCCGGTCTTCATTTGCAAAGCCCGGCAGCACAAGATTTTTTTCTCTTTTTACCAGTAATCAAATTATCATACCTCAGTGCATTCAATATTTTTCGTAAAATGTGCAGAATCTCACCAAATCAGTTATTTGTCAAATATATATTGGAACAATAAACAGTGATCATAGTGTTACGAAAATCGGATAAGTTCAAAAAATAAACCAAAACGGATTAGCTATAAAACTACATCGAATTTGATTACGTATTAATTACAGCTTTATGCTATTAGCAATACATTTTGGGGATAATCGTATCATGATGGTAAATCCGTTACAGAGGGTACATGATTGTTGTTGTTTCGTTTTGACTACCATAATATCGGGAAATCTTGATTGGTCGCGCAGCAATGTTGTTCGCCTCCCGTTCTTTGTACAAGTGTGGTTCGACGCACACTTCTTGTTGGTTCCACTGCAAAATAAATAAAGCATTCGACCTGGTAAAACATGTTTTATATTGGTCAGACGGTGTTTCGGATACAGTGTAATTAGAGTTGGTTGTCTGTTTGTGGGTGACGGAAAAAGTAATCAATTGCAAGCATACGATTCTAAACAGCAGTGGTAATTATTAGGAATTATTAGGATGAGTATTTGCCTTTGTAAACTGAATCAAAGCTCCAAATTTTTTCCCGTTTGTTCTCTCCAAATCCACTTCGTATGAACGAGCATGCGCAACTTCCAGGAGCACACCACCTTCAAAACTGCAGCCGGTTAAAGCTTCGGCTTCGACAAACACGGTTCCAGGATTTTCATTGTAAAGGTAACTGTTAAAGGAAATAACAACAATCAAACTGACAAAGCAAAATATGAAATTTATGTCTGAAGAAAAAAAACTGTATTGGTGAGTAGTGAATACTGTTAACACTTTAAGATTTACAAACCGGACCAATCATAGTTAACCTAGCTTAGGGAAAAAGTTGCGAAAAAAATGTATTGTCTAATAAAAAATATTACTGTTTAATAACTACAGTTTTAATCTAGAGTAATTAATTGGTTAGTCTTAATAGATGTGGGCAATAGAACTTAAAATGCACGATGATTTACCGGAAACATATTTTGAGAATCTTTTTATCACCACGCCCGTAGGTGAGTAGTTGATGCGTAACTTCAAAAGGCCCCGGTTGAGGATCCAGCTGCAGTTCGTTGTAGTTGCACTGTATTTGATAGTAAATTGTGCCCTTTCCACGCAATCGGATTTGCGGTGTTTGACAGTGTCTGCTAAAATGTACAGAATGGATGCGAATTGTGTTGTTTAGCTGGATGGATTGTGTGTCGTTGGGATCTCCATTACACTGAACGGTGATGTCGGCATAACTGATACTTTTTACAGTTCTTTCGGCAGTTTTCTCCAGTGCATGCAGTGCAGCGACTGTATCCTAAATGTGAAATGCGTGCTAACGGTGAGTATCGCACAACAACAGCATCCACCGGCATAGCTGTTGAAAATGATCAATGTTCCTAAATGTGTACAAATTTTATACTATTTTACCGTAGTGGATATGAAATCGCCGCGCGGGTTTCTTTTTGATAATAACCAATTAAAAATTTGCTCGCAATCTGATCGGTTCCAACTCGAGGATGCTTCGCTTCGGAGGCAAGTTAATAAGGCGTACGCTGCCGTCTCCACAGCAATAGCTTCACGGTTACCAGTTGCTTTCGGGGAGGGATTCCAGTACTTCCTGTTGCCGTCAGTTTTCGCGAGGGATTTCAATGCGGCAATAAACTTTGTCTGGTGTGGACTGTTTAGACGCACAAGCGCGTAGCTCGTTATTGCGAGTGTGTAAGGATCAGTTTTTACACTAGAAGTATTAAACTGGTTCTCCAGATATCGCATGGCCTTAGATACATTTTTTTCGTAATGACCTTTCTGATCAACTGGAGAATACTTGGCCTCAATAAATGCCAAAAGCGAAAATGCCGTAAGTGAAACTCCAGAACCGGATGGGGTATCCATAGAAATTCCATGTTCCACAAACGATCCGTCTAAGGCCACTTGCTCCGACAAGAACTTAAGGGATTTTCGAAGAGCCGTTGTATCGATAGGAGGGGTGATGAACTTTCCAGCTAGGATGAAACCGCGCACGACATGGGCTGTTAACCATGTTGATCCATTAATTGCAGTGTCGCCAAAAGTGCTGTACAACGAAACCGACTTATATCAGTTAAGTACGGTCCTGTACGGAAACTTTCCGTGTAATAAAACTATGCTCCTCGATTTACGCTCCAGTTTAGGTGTAAATGCAGAAACTTACGCTCAATAACCAATGCGATCGAAAAAGTTGTCACAAACATAACGATTTTCTTACTTGTAAGATCCGTCAGGCATTCTGAACGCTTTTTGACGATCATATGCTACAACGAGCAGTTTTTCAAAACTGAAGTTGTTTTTCTCTGAGATAAGAGTAGGGACTGCTGAAGATGGACACAAGTACACATACCTGCTTGGATATTGTTTTTCAACATTTCCAGATTGATTCCTCTGATATTTAGCAATGTGGAATATTTTGCTAAAAATGTGTTTATCATTAAGAATGCCATATTCTTTTCCCCACATTTAAAGGGTGACCACGCTGAATGTTGAAAGTTTTCGTTGAGTTTTGCTAATGAATGCAAAACTGAACTCCATGTGTCACCTACAAAGGTAAGCACATGCAGAAATGCAGTAGGTACTAACAAGTCAACTCTCTAGCCCGTACATCAATATTCTTCAATCGCGAACAATTTATTTACCAGAGAAAATGATAGTGGTACTCCTTGACTCGGGCACAATCCTTGATGACTCTAGCTGCGGAAATTTCTTGGATAAATCAACAGTTTTGGACTGGCTCTTGTCGACTCCCAGCTCAATGGAATACGGTGGCGACCATGCTTGCCGTGCGATTCCTTTGGGGATAACGGAAATTGTTTTAGTAAACCGATCTTCGTGTTTATAATCACTCCGCACATCAATATCGAATTTAATAGTTCCTATAGAGGTAAAAAACGTTTCGGGCAAGTACTGATATATCGGACAGGCGTTCAGTGATCCGTTTTCCAATAAGATATCATATGCATGCGAAAACGGTCGAGCACAATTAGATAAGTTTAGATCGTCCATCGGATAAAAACATATTCCGGCCTCCACAGTTAACTTCCGGGTTTCCCTTCCGTTGTTGTAGACGTATAACTGAATGTTGGGCTTTTCTTCTTGTACTATTTCATAAGGCATATCAAGATCAATGGATATATCCCGCTGCTGTTGCAACTGCAACAAAATCTATGTTTTATGTAACAGAAATTTTTAAATAGTTCACTCAAAGGCCTCGTACCAGCTTAGATGAATTATCGGTGACCTTTAAACCTGTAGATCCATCGATACTAAAGGCCATTATGGACCAGTCCGTCAGAGAATCTGGTAGCTTGCCGCACACTTCCAGATTACCAACTTCACTAGAGTTTGATTTATTACCTTTATCATTTGTTTTCCACGATCAATAGAAAATGGAAATCAAGAAGATTATTTACAGTATATGAATTTCACCAACTCTGTAAATCCTGCCTCAAATAAGAAGCTGTCTCGAAAGTCGTCTCTCCTTTCTGTGTCACCTTCACCTCCCTCCATTTTATCTTCCAGTTTATTAAACGTTCCTCGTTCAGTAGAACTTTTCCCATCAGGTTTCGCTAAAAAGGCCAAAACAAATTTGTAAACTGATTTATATACAGAAATTAACAGATTACCGAGAATCATTAATACTGATGGGAAGAGAACATATAGATATTTAATACTTAGTACGACTATCGATCGTACATTTTCTCGGGCCGACTTTGCCTCTGTCTCCTAATACGAAAGCATGCGCGATAATGTGGGCTTGCTACAGCAGAAACAAGAAACTGTTACGGCCTAAACTTGTAGAACAACAGCTGATCGTAGCAAACATGCCGACGTAAGTACTTCGAAAATGTCTTTAACTTTCCTGGATTCCTGAACCACCATCGGCACGTCACGGGAAAACCAGGAAACCACCGGAAGTTTATTCAGTTTTTGGTCGATCTGTAACATATTATAAGGGCCTCAGTTCCTATACTTGGTAATTACCTTAACTAAAAGCATTATTGTGGCAACGTACAACGTTTGGCTTAAAGTGATGATAGCGGAGTTTTCCACGGACTTCTTTCAACAAGCCACGATCGATTCCCGAAAAGGCCACCAGCGACTGTCCACCGGTATTTACCGAGGCACAAGCCGTACGCGTTCCGTGCCGAGTCAAATGGACACTACTGACGTTCAACTAAAGAAGTCCAGTCGTGTCATAAATGTGAATCATTTTCCACATCAGACAGAAATTAAGCCCAGGCATTACCGTTAATGGTGGTCTTAACACTCGAAAGTCTTTTACTTCCGCCACAACATTTCCCCTGTCGTCGACATAATACACCAATAGCTTCGCTTTCGGCCACATATCTTCCGTGACCTCAAACTGTAATTCATCCACCCTATCCGGCCGCAATGAAGGATTTTGTGGAAGCACAGAGGTACCACGAATTCCCGACCGTGTTAAAATCTGCACATAAAAGCCATCACCTATTTGTATTTATAAAAATAGAAATTTACCAAGAAAGCGAGCTTGCGTTTTATATAGACGAGGTTCGAGCTAAATATACGGTTTATACGGTTAAGTACGAGCTTCTACGAGTACGTAAAAGCGATACGTAGTACTGAACCTATCGAAATTGCAGTTCTGCCTTTCAGTGTAAACTGCACCCACGCTGTAATGGACATCGCACGCTTTGCAGCTGCGATACGTCGTGCGAATGCGAAATTCTGCTAAACTTCCATTTTTCGGAAATGGAATTCCGTTGTTGAGTTGCTCAATTGAAATCTTTTGTGCGTAGGCGTAAAGCAGGACAGTCTCCTCGATGCTCTGGTTGGTTTCGAAATTAGTGGAGTAATTAACCGTAATAGTAAGACAGATAATATCCGGTGCCCAGCTGCCGGTGGCGGTGGTGCAGGCGTATTGGACCGTCCCATTGGTTGGCATCTCTTGCCGCATTGTCTTTGGTTTTCCTAAACTGCTACTCGTAGTGTTTTTCATGTAACCTTTGGCACGAATGGATATTATGCGATATAATGCATCGGGCGGGAAGCGATATGGCAGTCCTTCACGACCAGCATATTCTAGCCAAATGTTCAGGTGGTGTGGCCCTTCCGGACGAAACAGCCATTTTCCAGTTTGCTCGTTCACATCGGTTACAATACGAAAGGGTCGGCAGTATAAAGCTGATAAATTATGCGTCTGGTTCACAGTTTTTCCAGTGAGATCCTCAGTTGCATTTACGACAATGCGGAAATTGTAAGGGTAATTCTTGTGCCCCATGCAGAGTTTGTTGTTTTGAACGAACTGCTCTCTAATTGCGGTGATGCTGCAGAACACATCTTTGTTATGAAGGTACGTAGGCTGTAAAAAAGGCATGGTCATGAACGGCTGAAAAACTTAACTTTGATGCCAACCTTATCAGTATGCTGCGGTCTGCGACGGCATTCAGTTATTTCCTGTGAGTAATTTTGAAAGTCGAAAAAAACGGAGATTTGTATTGTGCCTTTAACCGGCTTCCAGTTTTGATACCTGCCAAACACAAATGTACCTGTAGCATGCAAAAAAGTGACAATATTTGAGTAGTACCATTCAACTGTCTATTCGGTTTGTTTCAGTAATATAGTAACTACATGTACATGTATGACGTGGTAACGATAGTATTGTTGATAATTAATGTAAAAGTGACCTTACACTGTACACTTTAGTATGTTCGCATAAAATATTAATGATAAACGCTAACATACATTTACCGAACGGAAATGTATCCCTCAACGCTGTTGTTCTCAGTCGTAACATATTTTGGCATTTTGAAACTGATGTTAAACCGAGGAAGAACTGCAAAGAAACAACGCGCTGGTAGAGTTAGAAAGCCTGCAACAGCAATGTGTAATATTTCAAACAGTATGGTATTTTACCGTATTTTTCGACTAAAAATTCTTTTTTGCCTCGACCCAGCTCGACGTTTTGATTCCGCGCAACGGCTTCTAAGTCCCACTTTCCTAAGACTGAATTATCCATGTGCAAGAAGAGTTCCAGATGTCCTTCGAAATAGGCTGTGCACGAGAAAAACGGTGAAAACTGAGACCATATAGTCTCCTCAACAAAACCTTTTCACACTCGCAGCTATCACCGGCGCAACATGTGCATCATCTCTTCTGAGCGCATTGTCACGTTGTATCGGTTATTTTAATGAAGAAAAAACTAATCAAAATTGAAAAGATGGAAACAGAAAATTGTATATGCATTTAGTCCCCGCTTTCCAGACACATGAAGTCTGTTTTTATGTAAAATGGGAAGGCCAAGATGTCGGCTTTTTGATACACGGTCCTACGCCTGATTTATTAACAGTTATTCTCCAATTTGTCATGATTATCACTTTGCACTTACTAATGTTTTTGTATGTTGACTGTTTTGTTTCCTCAAACATTGATGTCGGCTTGTTGCCCTGTAATACGTGAAATACAATAACGCCTAAAGGTCAGAATATCCTCATTTCAAAACTTTACAATCATATCGTTCTAGAGGAAGAATCAGAGCATGGCGGTATTAAAGAGAATTTGCTTAGCGTTAGTACTGCCATGACTGGGTTATAACGATAATATTTAGCCTTTCAACTAAATAAACTGAACGCTCTGTAGTCCAGTTCGTTAGTACCTGCCGCTGAAAGTAATTGAACTTGACATCCACCGTAATCGTGCCATCCTCATTTTTTGTGGGCAGTAAAGAGTCATCAAGCAAAAGTATTCGATATTTGATGGTATCGCCTGGCTTGTATATTGGTTTATCTAGTTGTATCAAAACGAGACTTTCTTCCAGCACTCCTCTGACGACAAACTCATGCCACTGAACATTGCTGGTATTTAGGCATTTGACCGTGATGTTTAGCATCAAGTTCTGAGAGGTTCTCACGCCGGATAAGCAGTTAGTCTGTAAAAAAATGTCGTTAACCCTTGGATCGGATATACTCGCACGTAACTGTAAAGAATATAATTCACACAGATATCTCAATTTATCGCTAGTTTGAATTAACTCGACAACCACAGATGCAGTTAAAATGTATTTTTTAAAACGTTTATAGTCATCCCAATATAACAGAATCGCTGTTACCGTTAATAATGCAACAAACAAAAGTTTTGTCTGTCTTATGCATGGTATCCCCTTATTCGGCGTAGTTGTACACGTAAAATGAAAATGTTTGATCGTGAACATCCATTATACCGTCAGTACAAGCTGCGATAGTTCACTGGAGCCGGAAGTATCGATGTATTCTTCACAGCGCTTCCCGATGCTTTCTGATGTGGCTGTCAAAGATGCTGTAACTCGTGCGCTCTGATTTTTACCAAAAGTACGCACATTGATTGCATAAGGTCGGGAAGGTATAATTGCGTTAGGAGCGTGGACGAAAATGTATGTTTTGCCAGTTCCTTTTGTTCTGTAAAATTGTAAAACCAGTTCGACTTTACATATAGCGATTGGTTACCGTAATTTGCATACAGTCATTCCGGCCACTAACATTACTGTTAAAATTTTGGAAATTTTTACCCAGAAGTTTTCTTGAGGCTTGCAACTGCCAGTGTCAGCTTCTACCATACAGGGTGATTTTAGCAGAAACATTTATTTTTAATTATATACACGCAGAATTTTTACTTTGTGCGAATTGACAAGTACCGGTAAGGGCTGAATTGCGTAAGTGGTTACTTACAAATTACAATTAATTCAAAACGGTGTAATCGCATGCATTTCTACATTTACATATACTATGAATGATAAAATAAATATACATTTATTCGGCAGTTCAGAACTGCAGGCTAAGCATAACCTGTTAATTATTGTTATCAATACTGAAATGTTTTACAGATCAAGCTGATTTACAAAGATTACTACTGGTAGTAAGTATTCGCAGACAACGATCTGGTTTCAACCAACCGCCACAGAGCACTTACAACTGCTGAGTATGAACGCCGGGAAACTTCGCCGCAATAACCCATTGCAGAACGTAGAGCGTCGTAACTTGAACTTCCACTGATAATCGTCTCACTCCACACCAAATTAACATCTTTGATTCAGAGTTTTTATTCAGAAAAACTACAGCGTCGATGACGCTTCGGTCATAAAGCCCATTAATTTCGCGAGTTAAAAAACAGCAGAAAGAAAAAAATTACAGAAAGGAAAGAAAGTTAAACTACAGATACTGTTAAGTAAATTTGTCGGCTCACACTCCTTTTATAACTGCAAAGCGTACTGCATGCAAACAAGCAATCCCTCTTGTTGTTTCCAAGGTCAGAATTAGTACACGGACGTGTACGTCGATCCCAGGCAGATGCCTGCATTCTACTGTCGTTTCTGTTACGAGGCGGAAGCCGTTTCATGGATCTTATCGCAAGCGCATAATATTCTTTGGGATAGAAATGTCAACCGGTTCTTAAGCAGAAAATTTGTGGAAAACTGTTTCGATGTATCATGATAAGGTACGAGACGATGTTTACCAAATGCGCGTATACCATAAGCGCGTATGAATATCACGTTCAGAAAGCCGGAATCTGCCCCAGTGCGTCGCCTGACCATGCAAGCGTTTCGCACTTTGGCTACGTAGGTGGCTTCTATCAGATCGTATTTTAAACCCTCCATCGTGCAGAAAAATAACAGCTCAAACCCAAACAAAACATTTTCGACTAGTAATAAACAGCAGCAGCCATATCTGACTCAACAGCAGGTTTTACAAAGCTGCTTATAGCTGTAAAGCGTAACAAAAAAACCTGTAGGCAATATCCAGCCTTGCTCCTTGTTTGAAGAAGAAAAATTTGAGAAACTCCACCGAAGTTATTTTATACACATTCAGAGGGTCATACCGAATGTACCTCGACCGATATGCGAGGCGATGAAAAGAAAGTGAGTAAATCCTGTTACAAAACTGGTATCACAGTGTATAAATGCTAGATCTATTAATTGTGAGTAATAATTTACAAAACAACAAACTCCAACAATGCCAAGTGATCAAGTCGTAATCTGCTAGTCTGGCATTAAGTTACTGTTGATCACAGCCGAATTCGTACAGCGATGAATGCTGAAACTTCAACACTTCCAGCCCCCAGCTAGTCCAATTAGCGCACAAGCTCCTAGCAAACAATTCCAAACAATTCGCTTCCGGTGGAAGAAATGGGCGCATGAGATCATTGAGGCACGGCTTATGAGAATGCACGGCACTGGGAACACTCACAACAATTTTTTCTACGGGAATTGTTGAGTGCTGTTGTTCAATTCCAGAGTTTTCGCTGATGATTCGTCCAATCAACAACACTTCATACGGTTTCTTGTGGGGAGAGTTCAGAGCGAACACCGGCTCTCCCGACATCGTAACTTTCATCCACATCCATTCTGCGATTTTCTTCACGCCCCACGAGGGAAAGAGCTCATATTCCGCAAACGACTTCAAGCGTTCGTTATTCGTAACCCATAAACAAATTAAACAGCCGGGTTTCGCTAAGCGTGCGACGGGAATCTTCGCGAACTCTCTTTCATCCACATAATCATAGGTGCGCAGGCGCTTCGCAGATTTGTTATTCCATGGTGGATCAATAACAACAAGATCATACTTTGTGCCAGTTAAAAGGCAATCGATGTCGGAAAGCAAAGAACAGCAGTAGCGGGATTTTGCGGGGATGATATACTGATCGCCATAGTGTTCGCGAAGAACGGCAACATCCATGGAATTTTCAAACATTTCTCTATAGGGGAGATTAACGTTAATATCCGCAAAATCCTTCGCGATTTTCCTTGCAGCAACATTGTTATCACAGACAGGAACATCCTTCGAAAGGCTATTCCAATGGAACTGAGTTTGTTGAATCAAAGACAGGAATCGGTTTTGCTTGTCCAGATTGAAGTAATTATCGTTCGTTTCTCGTTTGCGCTTCCTTTTCTCCGGATTGTTCTACAATAGATACAACTGCGAAATTATGAACTTCAGTCGAGCAGTGAACAAACAAAATGTACTCTCAACAGCACAAAATAAAAACATTGATACCGTACACGGTACAGCTGCAGCACTTCTCCTAATCTAAGCACCATAAACCGGAAACCTTTCAATAACGGACAATTTGTCTGATCGTACTCACGCTCGACGGCTTGCAGTCATTTACAGCAACACACTCTCGCTGGTATTTACTAAATTCCGAGTCCATAAGAAATGGCACTTTAATCTCGAATAAAGAATTTCGCAAGTGAATTTTCTGGAAAGCAGGTTCCGCAACGCTCCCGTCAGAACCCTCTCCAATTGTTCCAGTCGACTGGAGTGCGAAGCTGCAGTGGTGTAACTGATTGTTTGTGAATGATTTCTGATCACATACTGATAGCGAGCAGCATTCGCTAATAAAGATGACGGACATGTCTCTTGTAACTCAGATTTTTCAACTGGAAAACGAACAGATTGAAAAATAAGTACAGTAAAATTAATTATAGCTTCATAATCCCGAGATAACGCGAACAAAAATTCTAGACTGAATGATTTAAAGCTAAATGATATTAAGCGACAGGATAACCGCCAACGGATGCCAGTTTGCGAAACCCATCGTATCTGCAAAAACATATTTTTGCTGCTACCATCAGAGTCAGAAATGCCATGTGAACATTCTGACCGGAAGCCACCCGGAAAACCGCGGAAGCAGGAAAAGTAACTCAAGCAGAAACCGGCGAAAAACGGATAGTTATGCCCTAATTTACAATCTATTTATGGAACTATTATCATTTTCTGAAGTGTTGGTAAAAAAGCGATAATGAAGTCACGAATAATATCAGTCAAAACAATGATTATTAAGAGTTCTGCGTTGTTTGTTTGCTTAATCAAGTACATACAGTATGGGGGCATCCATAAATTACGTACGCAGAAAACCACGGTTTTTTCACCCCTCCCTCCCCCTTCGTAGCGGTCCGTCACGTCTGCTTGACCCCTCCCCCCTGGTTCGCTCAGTCGTAATACATGGAGCTGACCACCCCCTCCCCCCTGGGTTCGCCGGGGCCGTCACAGTTTGTCACGTTTTTCGGACCCGTCCCTCCCTGGTTCGCTGCGTACGTAATTTATGGATCCCCCCTATATCGTATGTATCCGTATCTTCCAATTACTGTATACGTAAATGAATGATGGCTCATGGGTTACAGTGTAATAATTGTAGTAATAATTATACAGTACTCGTACAGATACAATAAAAAATTTTAAATCGTACTCGTATAACGCATAGTATTTGCTAAAATAACCATACGTACGCGTAGCGTACAACAAAGAACATTTTTAGCGCACCAAGCATGGAATTATTTTAAAATCCGTCGCTAATCATAACAATTACAGCAGAAAATCAAGGCAAAAGAAGAAAACATAAACAATCGAGCAACCTTTAAGGACAAATTCTTAACCGATAGAATTCCTTCTTATATTAACCACAAATCCATTTGCACTTTCTTGCAAGCGTTTTGCTTCTTTGGGATCGTCGGCGGCGGATAGATTTGGCGGCAGGTAATGGTCGTTGGCTATTCCATTGCTGCAAAATGCAGATAACGTGGTTAACAAAAAAGTACATAAACTTGGTTTTATTCCAGACTTGTACAAACAAATGTCATTTACACTAGAAACTAAAATATCCAATAGCTGCCAGCTGGAACAAATAAAAATAACTCTTCCAACTCTTTTGAACAACCACTAGTTCTCAGAACAGAAGCCGCATTACCACTTTGAATTTCTATACTTATACATAAACTGCACGTAGGCAGAGAGGAGAAAATATTAATGTTGGCAACCAAAATTACGTATACTCACATTGATGTTATTGAGTCTTTCCGCACCGCTTTTCCTTTACTACACCAGTGCACAATTTCCCGATAAATCAGACGGGTCAAGCACAACAAAGCCACTACTTGAGCAATAATAAGGAAGTAGAATACCGCCTGCCATCCATAGGTGGACAGTAACCCGGCTACCAACGGCCCGAACGCAGATCCCAATGATCCCATTCCGTCAATAACTCCCGCCACCGTGGCTAACGCTTTAGTGTTCTTAGTCAGACTGGGTCGCGTACCCAAATCCGTGGACACGGCAGTGGTTATCAGCGCGTACGGTCCGTTGACAAACAAACCGGTAATAACCAGCAGCACGATCAGTATGGTTAATCCTTGGCTAACGTACAAGATCATCAGGTACAGGGACGGAATCGCTAAAATGAACATCGCTCCACTGACCGTCGCACTGCCGCCGGTGGCATCGGACAAAGCACCCGCTAATATTCCGCCGATGATCCCACCGGCATCGAACACCGCCGACAGATCGGCTGCTGCGTGGTTGTCAACGGCACCGTTGGATGTCTCTTTGATGTACACGGGGAGCCAAAAGAAGAAGGTATAGTAAACGGCTTTCGAAAAGAATAAACACAGAGAAAACTCAATAACGCCCGGAATTTTAATGGCGTGCATCATAGTGATGGGCTTCTTTTCGTGCGGTGGTTCCATAACAACGTCCAAAGTTACAGCAGCCTTCTCTAATTTTCCGTGATCGTTCAGAGAAATGTCTGATATCTCGCTAATGGTTGTCGTATTAAGCGAATCTTCGGTATGATCTGGTTCAGGTAAGCCGACATCTTCCGGCTTGACCACCACAAAAAGATAAGCAATGACACCACATGCAGCAATTATCAATCCCGGCACAATGAACGAGTAGCCCCATTCATGGTTCACCCAAACGCCGGCGATGACTGCGCCCAGAATATTCCCGACGGATGTATGGGAATTCCACACGCCGAAGATGAAACCTAACCGGTGTTTTCCAAACCAGTTACCCATCAACGGTACGACACTGGGCCAACCTGTTCCTTGAAATATTCCTCCAAATAACTGCGCCATTAGGAAAAACGAGAAAAAATGGATCTTCCAGAAATACGCCATTCCGTTGATGATAGCCCACGCGCCCGACAAAATCATGCCCCATGTTATGAATATCCGCAGGTCAGTACGTTCGGCAATATGACCGGCAAATATCATGCCCACAGCATAGGAAAACCGATAGGTAAAATCGAGAGCGGAGAACAGTTTTTGGCTGTCTTTGTCAAATGGCTCCCATGCACACCATGTCCCATTCCGCAGTTCGCATTCCGTGAGATCCGGCGGCGGAGTCATGTTGGCACAACTCTGTTTCAGAACATTCTTGACTACCCCCATGGGGCGACGTGCCAAATGATAGGATACATAAAATATGTATGTGAGAGTAAGGATACTCGCGCGGTATATGGCCAAACGGCTACAGCACGCCGGCAGCGGAATAAAACGGCGAATAAAGCGCACGCCGTAGGGAATAGCGGCGGGATTCTCTGGTAACGGTGTCATTCTTGGACTGGATGCAAATACTGGAGGACTGTTCAGAACAGGTCGCGCTCCTGTCAACGACAAGCGAATAACCACAGAGTGTCGAAGAAAATATAGTTAAATTCTACTGCGTCATATGCTAACTGTGCATTTAACTATCTCAAGTTCAAGAGTGAGCTCTCTTTAGAGCTTCAGTTATGTCAGGAATTACTGTGCTAGTGTTCGCTGAAGTGCGACGGAGATTTTCCGTGTTTACTGTAAGCGGCTTGGTAGGTACAAGGAACATTACAAACAACGCATTGTTCTTCGCGACCATGGCCGGTATTGGCGGACAGTGTAAACCATCCATCATCCCAGCTCAAACAAATTTGTTCCATCAGCGAAAAAACTAAAGCTAATTTCGAGTATAAGCACTTATTGTCAACCATGCTTTTTCCGCGGGACCACTGCAATAACATAACCGTATCCTCCAAAAAAGTTGGCTACAGTTTATGTCAAGTATTTGTTTTCCGAAACGTGTTGTCGAGTTCAGAGTATCTGTACACTAAAGCAGGTACCGTATTACATCGGCGTCATGTCGAAAAAAGAAAAGAATGTGACATGTACACACGGCCACGGGTAACTAAGATATTATTTACTGATGAACATACTTAGCTATAGGTCATCCGTTAAAACCATTTTAAAGTCACTACGTAAGGCTCTCTGATCGGTCTTTTAAAAGGATCGGTTTTTTTTTAAAATGTGGGAATGAACAGGAATTACTTACAATATTTCCAGCAATATGGATGAAAAAGCCTGTTTACTACGTCGACAACCTTTCAGCGTCAACGTAAACTCCTTGTTTTCGATCTCCATCTGCAATGTATCCGTGTTTTGTGAAACAAAGTTAGCGCACTCTCGTGCTAACCTTTAGCTATCGCCAAGCCAGACTGCATAACTGCAATAATACTTTTGCTGAAAAACTGCAAACGCAGTATTTCGAGTTGGAATCACAACTGCTGAATTAAAATCTAAGTAAACTTTTGCTTTTTAAATTGCCAGTCACATTATAAATTGAACACAGAGCGTGGATACAATTTTTCGCAAGAATGTGGGGCATCGATACATTATCGTAATACATACATAGCTCACTGAAATGGCGAAGTCCAATCGTAAGATCTGAACGATGCGTACAATATAATGTAGCAAACTCAACAGAGTGCAAAGTTCATTTCTGTGGAAATAACTAATAACTAATATAGATTTGCAAATTTTAAATTAGGTGGTTCAATTTAAAACTTTACTCACAGCACAGTAATTTTGGCATTTATAGTTCAATTCAAGCGCATTGCACATTTATACAACTTTATCGGAAGAAAATTCTAAAATCAGCCAGACAAGCTTCCCTCTACCGGATAACCACAGTTCTTTATAAACCATTGTAAAAATCTTAAATTTATAACTCTTCTAGAAGTTTTATTAGTTACCATCCTAAAAGAAAAGAGAGAGATGTCAAATCTGATATCATAATGCACTGAGTATCTGACGGTTTTACTGGGCTACATGTGTGCGAACATTACAATCCATAAACTGCAAAAATCCTCTGACCATGGTCCAGTAAAACAAACTTTATTCTGAACTTTACGAAGTATGTGCACAAATCATTACGCCAACGGTCAAAATTCCACTGCTGTACTATTCCACAAAACGCCGTACGGGAACCACCGCACTGCAGTCTACATATAACAAACCCGGCGCCGGAAGCGTTGTTAGCAGTGAGTCGTGACAGCAATCTATCGTTTTTTGCTAGCGGGCACTGTAAAAAGTCTGTAATAAGTACTGAACACTAGGCACAGCGCATTGCACAAAAAGGGAAACTGCATTCCTAATCGCACACGGTGAGAGATCAAAGGTTCCTTAGAAAAAATAAGTTTTTAGAACTGTATCTATCTGTACTAAGAACCCAACGCCGCACTGCACTCACCATCATCGAACGGGACTGCGACATACTGTTGCGCGCCCACAGCCATCTCCCGAACCGAAAAATTTCCTGCAATGAAGTTGAACACTACGAGCCGTTATATGCTAATGCCGAAAATCACCGGTTTTTGGTACTAAAATTTATACCTTGAAATTATATGAACTCCAATAGGTTTATATAATAAACCACTCGACTTGATAACACGTTGTCCACTCAGCCGGGGAAAATCACCAACAACACAGATATATAATGTCTCTTCAATAAGTAAGTATAAAAATCTCAGAAGAATTAGAAAAATCTACTGTCATCTGAGGATAAATACTGGAAAAAATGGGGCTGAATCCACGGACTGCCTCGCGCACAGCAAATCCACATAATCAAGTTCGCGAGGATTCAGAAAATAATCCGGCTTGCTCTCCATAACCGACATTCTCCCGCATTATACACCACAGCCAAACTGGGATAATTTCTAAATCTGGTGATTTTCCAGAAACTTTCCGACCGTTAGAACTGAAATTTCGGCGGCCTGTGTGTTATAATAAGTACCGCAGTATAGACTTGAATCTCGACAAACTGTATGTGTATATCGCGATTCGCGAACCACGAGGTGGTGCTGTTGCAACTGCCGGGATGGATCAAGATCAACCTTCAGAAGTAACTGGACAGAAACGAGAAAAGTCTGTCAATACCGGTTTCGGACAATTCTATCACTATACGCTATTCTGTAGTTTCTGTCTCGCTGGCCATGCCTCATGAACAAGTAAGCAGGCCAAAAGCAGTTCACTTCCCTCGAAACTGCCCTTCAGGCAAGTAGAGCAACCGGCGAATCGTTGAAATCAGTTGTTATTGGTTATTACTGAGATAGAACAAAACTGCCACGACAGAGTGACGCTTATGACCATATCGTTCGGATTAGACCCGCTCCTTTTGCATTTCCCACTTTCCCGGAATAATGGGGCGAAAGAAGCGGGAGCGCTTGAAAGCTTTGTTGCCGTAAAGGACGCATGCGACACTTTCGGCGCCAAAAGGGAAATTTCTCAATTATTCATTGTCATTTGGCGTGAATACCGCGTGCCAGCAAACTACCTAGTCAGCATATTCGGGTCATGCAATCCAAACATGTCTATTTTTTCGGTAAAATTATTCGTCGGCGTGGAAAAATATGCATCACACGATCTAATTATCAGTTTATCACATACATACATCATCCGTCGCAATACTGACGCATGCGATTTTCAGCAGGAAAATTACAGAAGCACACGTGTTCTTAAAAATAAAGTGCTTACACAGCCTTCACCTCGGACAATCAGATTTGTCAGACATAAAAACCGAAAAAGGAAAATTTTACATACATGCTGCCTGCACTATCCAGTATCACAAAATATCTATACAGGAGGTGGAAATTCTGAAAGCCGGAAACTGTAGCCCAAATTTAAGATTTTATCATTCAACATGTAAGCAATGCGACGAAAGTAATGACGTACTTGGTGCTTCTATAAAAAATCAGTTAATGTCCGGCAACATAAAGTGATTAAACATGATATCCTTTGACCAAGTAGTTTATTTCTTCATTCTGGAGTTAAATAAACTACGAAGTGTCATCTTTAATACAACAGAAAGATCATTACAGCTGCGCATCCTTTTAGGCGAGAATACTGCTGTACAGGAAACTGCATTTGCACGCTTTCTGATGAATTAAAACTAAAAAAGCATTGTACATGTCAATTATTAAATCCTTTGCTCAACTGTGCATGAATTAAGAAATATTCTTTTAAAATCTTTAAGACACTAAAGCCGCTTGAATCATAGCGAAGATACATCGACTTGGTCAAATAATTGAGCAACCTCGACGGATTTCCTATACAATGCCGCTCGTTCCAGGTTAGCGATAAGGGTTACGGCTATTCCACGCGGCGGTGCTTCATGACCTTCCTCATCCTTCCTTTCTCGTGGGATAATTGTCAGTACCGAACTGGCTCCAATAGCTCCGCCGGTGTGGTAGGCCACGTGTGGCTGGCGGAAGCACCATGCACCGAATCGCTTTTCCGGTACTACACACCACCCCATTCCGTAACCACCTTCAGCATATTGGTTCTTTTTCGTTTTATCAACCAGCGTCCACATATTCTGCAGAGTCGCTGGTTTCAGATATCCCACCGGAAGACCTTCCTTCCATTGGAAAGAATAAATCAAAACATGAGCAAATTTCAGAAGATCTGTCACAGTGGAGAGTAAGCCTCCACCAGCCCATTTGTAAGAGTTGTCGACGTATGGAGCGTTCTGCAATCGGCCACTTTTGTCTCTCCGATAGTTTCTACATCAATATGTTCAGATCAAAATAACCAAATGACAAACCGAATATTGCGCATGCATATCTTTTACTTAACTCCAAAGAAAAAAACAATAACCCTATTGGCATAGGGTTGTATAAAAAATTACATAACATAAGCAGACGTACCGAGATCGATAATAGACAATTGGTTCGTGCTCATCCAAATATGTATTCTGCATGTCCAGATCCCGGAAGAGATCCTTCAGGCAATCCGTTATCTTCCGTTTAGTAACCGCTTCTATCACGGCACACAATAATGTCCAACCGTGAGTTGTATACAGGTACTCCTCACCTAATACAAAACGATAAGATACATTTTAATGCTACGTCTTATCCGCATTCTGTAATCGCATTGTTAATTAAGAAATGAAATGTCTATTTTTTGTAGAACAGTGGAATGTCTTAACTTACCCGGTTCGTTTAATAAAGGGTCATCTTTAAAAATGTTCAAGGACTCGTTTATGGTCTTATAGTGCTCTTTAATGTAGTATTCCTTTTCTTCAAATTCGTTGTATCTAGCAAGTACAGGCTGTTTCACTGGAATATCCTTTTCGTTTTTCAATAACGAAGCCGTGTCGTCTGTTGTTGCATCAGGCTTTTTGATCTTCGAATAATGCCGTATGCCGCCGAGATGTGAAACCAGTTGTCGACAGGTAATGGTGACCTAAAAGTTAAAACCACATTACAATTTATAAGACGTGTCCCTAAGCGTACTTAATTAATGGAATCCTATAAATTATGAGGCAATCAATTTAGAATGTTACTCATATGTGCTCGTCCAAAAATCATTGGCAAATTAGTGATGATACCAAAACTTGCGTAATTTTACCAAGATAGCACTTTATCGCAAAGGCATCAAAATTTCGGCATATCGCCAATTACAGTAAACGTATGTACAGGAAGAATAAAGATATAATAATATAGTACGTATAAATAAATGAATGACACATTCCTCACGCCTCAGGAAAAATATTCCGTCTAGCATTTCCTCAGTACTTCTACAGCAGTAATTTTTGACAGTTTTCAATTACCACTAAAGTTGTTTTTTTTGCAAATCCAGCGCCGGAATTTCAAAGCAATATGTATGCTAAATGGACCAGTTTTTAATTCAAAACATTTTCCTAAAGCCTCGTAAGACATCTCCATTGAAAAGAGTTGGTTACTGTAGAGTGATGATAATATGTAATAATAACAATAATAATAATCAAAATCATTACTTACCGGTTTTCCATTAAACTCTTTGAAAGGAAAATCAGGCACATATTCCTGGATCGGTTTATCTAAATCCAGCTTCCCTTCTTCCCACAATTTTGCAATAATAGTCATAGATACGGCCTTGCCTATGCTGGCAATCCGCATGACAGTTTGCGCATGGCACGGCACTCGATTCTCGAAATCAGCATATCCCAGTCCCTCCGTCCACACGACGCGCCCGTCAATACTAACCCCTACAACCATTCCAGGATCGCCAATCTCTTCCCTATGCCGCTGCAATAATCCGCGCGATCGACGCACGGCTTCCTGCAGGGACAGCTTTCTGTTGTAACCATGATGGAATAATACGGATCCCACGGCGCCAACAGCAGATGGTCCAATGCCGACCCAATCCATTTCATCTTCACTGTAATCTGTAACGGGCGTCGCATCCACAAGACTGACATTGGTATCCAAATTGTTATTCATAACGTTCGGACCCAGTAAGTGCGGAAAAGGAGGTGGCGGAGCCGGAGCAGCGACCATTGGCGGTGAATGCGGATCGGGAAGCCAGAAATTATTCACCAAATGGAGTCGCGCGACGGCGAAATCGCTGACATCGTAGTTCCTGACGAACGCGGTGTCTGCATTCAGAATCTTCTTCTTTTGCATTCGACTCACCAAGGAATAAGCTGCGAATGCAGTAGCTGCAGTTGTTAGGGATTTTGTGGCAAAAGAAGACATTCTGGAATAAGTCTCCAAATACAAAATTTACCTCACCAACAACAACAGGATTAGCAGCAAATGCAAGTTTGCTGATGGACTGATGCACCGAAACTGCAAAACTTAGCAAGAGAATGAAAAGATGCAATCATGAACGTCTGGAACACCATACTGTAATTATGGATTCTTCGTCTCTGCACCATGGCAGTTGCTGTAATAGTTATAAAAACTCGTACAAGTGCATAGTTGTTTTTACACTGCACCATTAATTACATACAGTATGTTCATATCATATTTTTACAGTTCATTTTTTATTAGCGCCGTTTTTCAATCACGAAATAGTACTAGTGTACAAACAGCCAAAACAGAGAACGAACTGAAGTCAGAATCAGCTGGTTTCATTCAGCGTTTGTCGCTGCCCCACCCGTATGGCAGACAAGTGCTTTGTTGTGCTTTCTAAAAGACCTTCAAATTTTAAAATAATTGTGTTTCATTTTGTATCAATAGACCGCGTGCGATGACAAAGTGCCGCTCGTGGCAAAATTCTAAAGGATACGAAAATTCAAATTCCGCCCCGTGCTCGATTGGCATTTTCAATTCATTTTGGTCTGCCGTGTCAGTTTCTTTACACAGCCGTGCGATTTGCAACGCCATAAATGAGCATGATTTGACTGTAAAATAATTATCCGCTGTCTGAATTGTACTAGTACTCGTACTAGTACAACAGTATTATTCGTGGTTTTTTTAAAACATACCGACAGTTACCGTTTGTCGTTGTTGTAACTTTTTGTTTAGCCTTTTCTCGCTTTAGTTTTATCTACTTGATTATTACAAAAAAAACCTACATTATTGTAAACGGCTTTTTTATACTAGGCGCTGTTTTGATGTTTGATATTCAAATCTTTTCATCGCATTCGCGGATAACCGCTTCGGGGAGTCCCCTTTTATTCGTAACACGAAAATAGAAAATTCATCAATTGACCCGGAGACACCAGACTTACGCACACGTAGTCTAAAATCAACATCTAATTGCCTCCAGAATTTCTCTGCTGATTAAAAGTCTACAGCACTACTTATGACCTGGGATAACAAAAACTTTCTTAAAAGAAATTCAATTGCAACACGCATGGCTTCTCTAGCACGGCTGAACGGTAAACTTTCTGGGACATACTTAATGCCATCGGGGTAGGATTCGTGTTCTACACTTCTAGTACACAAGCAAGAACGAAAATATATGCGGATAAGTAAATACGTATATACGTAGCTGGACGTTAAAAGGAGATGGCAATTGCGACTGCATTTGGTCATGCCAGTCATTCCGCCCTACACGCCCCAAGCCCCCCAAACGAAAATGCCAAAAATCAAAGTTTTTGGAATCTTCAGAATCGGTCTGCCAGAGCGGAAATTCCGAACGCGACGAAATTCCGAGCGCGACGATAATTACCAGCCAATGGCAGCATTCTCGGGGTGGGCATGAATTTCAATTTCGGCCGTCATTTTCATTTTCGACTGGCATGTTCATCCCGCCCAAGAAAATCGCACTGGGTACAATGTTATGCCATAGTGGTTATGCGGTGCAAGAAGCCCAAAGCCTACAGTTTGAAGCGATTTTGAAGATCAATTGTTAGGTTATTCTGTTTTTGCACGATGTTGTAAAAGTCTCCTGTTACGGTATTACCAATACTCGTACTAGTTCCTTTTGGCCCTATTTTTAGCCTGAGCAAGACAGTTTGCATGACAAATTTTGTGAATTTTGCAGCTTTTGCTTATCTGCTTATGGAAGATTCTGAGATTGCTGATAACGCATCGTCGATAGTTTTATCTGGAAAATGGGTGGCTCGAGTATGCACTGATGGTGCCGTCCTTTTCGTAGAGTAAGTACCACAGTTGATGTGTCTGATAAAATAATTTGATTGGCAAGTATTCTGACGGCTTTGACTTCTCTAGCACTGTTGGACATTTTGTACAGTGGGAGCATCCTAAAACCTTGCAGCGTTTCCAGACTGATAAGCGTAAGATACCCGAAGCTTTGAACAACTTGATTCTGATTTTGAAACAGTCCTAGGTGATCCAAATCAAACGATTACTGTACGCGTTGTCAGAAATAAGTACATACGACCAGGATTTAATATGTTATATCACTTACCTATATGACGTACTTTCTTACAAAAATATCGGATTATGATGAAAATACGCGTACTGCTTACTTGTTAATGTTTACATATTTTCAGATCTTCCATTTGGGTCTGAGAGAATAGTCGTCAACTCCGACGAAGTTTTGTTTGTAAAGTAAGTAGTTAGGAAGTATTCCGGCAAGCAACGTACTGAATATTATTAATTACGAGTATTATTGTGAATCATCGTCATCTGTTAAAATTAATCGCCATTTCTTTCGTACTGTAATTTGCGATTTTTTTGACCGGCTTCTATTCGCTTGTGTACATACGTAATACACTTCAGGCATGCCATGCTGCTGGCATGAAACGAATGGGTGTCTGTGGCAGTCCAGTAATTAATCGTAAATAATTTTATGCGCTTTTTACAGTCATTTGCAAAAATCAACATCCTACCTCGATCCACGTTTAAAATTTGCTGTTCCCGTCGGTGAGAAATTAATTTCCATGGACGAGCTCAAACAGCGATTCGACGCAAATTCCACCGCTGAGCAGGTTCTCAGTGGCCTTGAGTTAACCGGGAAAACATTCTTGGTAACTGGAGGAACATCAGGAATTGGTAAGGTGCACCCCGTACCGACTATACTCGTAGCGATTGCCTATTGGCTGGGCATTCCCTAGAAAAGTATTCGATAGTGCTTAATTATCGGAGTCTTCATAATGAAAACTATTTTTGTTACCTTTGAATGGTCTGCACTTTGTAGGCACTGCTACCGTGCAGGCTTTGGTGCGGAAGGGAGCACATGTTGTTTTCACCGGACGCGATGCAAAGAAGGGTTCGGAGATCTGTCGATCTCTTCAGATCGAGAATCCACAACACCAGGCGGATTTCGTCCCACTTGATCTCACTTCTCATGAAAGTGTTAGATATTTTTCCGAACGACTAATCGCCAAGCAAATGTGCGTTTTTTCCCGCTTTTCAGTCGGGAAGTGCTGAAATTAATAATAAAATTTTTTCAGACCACTTCATGGTTTGATCTTAAACGCCGGAGTATTTGGCACACCTTACCAACAAACAATTGACGGATATGAGAGTATGTTCCAGATCAACGTTTTGAGTCAGTTATACCTTTTGATCTTGCTAAAGCCACTCTTAACTGCATCTTCACCGTCGAGAGTGATATTCGTTTCCAGTGAATCCCACAGGTACGCCCGCTGGTATAGTTTGCTAATAATTAAGTAATCCCTAGATTTTTTTATTTAGGGGATCCGATATTTCGCTCGCTACGTTGACTCAAAGTACGCTTTCGCCACCTCAGCGATCATATTCTGCATGGATGCAATACGCCAATACGAAGTTGTGTCAAATCATTCTGGCGAAGTATCTACAGGAACACTGGTCGAAGGATGGAATAACCTTCTATTCTCTTCATCCGGGAAATATGGTTAATACCGGCCTTAGTCGGTCTTGGTGGGTGTGGAGGCTAGCTTTCGGATTGGTACGGCCCTTCACTAAAAGTTTGGAACAAGGAGCGGCAACTACAGCCTACTGCGCCGCTGCACCGGAACTGGCTAGAATAGGCGGGAAATACTGGAATAATTGTTGGTTATGCGATCCTATCAAAGTGGCAGATGATACTCGATGTGCTGAGAAATTATGGGATATTTGCCAAGAAATGATCGGAAAATTTGGAAGGTTGTGAAGACACTGAATTCTGACTCAAAATTGTCTGTGAAATTTGCGTTTCTAGTCTTAAGTAGTTTGGTTGCCGTCGACAAGAGATCGGTTTTCGTACCAAACTGGATGGAAATGAGAAAGGGAAATGAGAATTTTTGACAAAGAAATACTTCAGCATGTTCTAGTAGAATAGATGCAAACTATAATATGTAACTCCGAAGTACAGTGCGCTGAATTTATTCATTTTTATTGATACTGACGGTTCCAAAAAATTCCAAGGTGGAAAAGAACAGATAGTAAAGCAAAACAGTTACCAGCTTTTTAACTTACCAGTAGCAAAGCAAAAAAGCCTTTGTTACAGTTCCTTACGTACTTTCCGTTCCATTTCCGGTATGGCGTTGCTGGGGAAGAAAAACTCCAGGAAAAACGTGAACCAGTTAAATCCTCCAAACAAACGTTTATTCACTATGTATGCGCATACCAAAAAGAAAAATGCGAAACCTAATGTGATCAAAATTTTATCCGTAAACTGCCGCCGTCCATATTTATCAATGAGCCGTCCACCCTGCTGAATTGTCGAACCCATACTCTGATATTCATCGTTGATTTTTCCAAGCGTCTCCGATGAAGTGGCTGAAATCCAATCGTCATAATTTGTTTTATTACATTTACATGAACGGCGTTAAAGAATTATGGATGTACAAAATTCTGTACCGAGGGTCTGGATTGATTCTCCACTTTGTTCCACTTGCCGAACCAAATTCCTTCTTATACGCACAAGATCTTCGGTGCCCTGCGAGCTAGCGGTGGCCATTTCCGCCTGCGTCATGTAGTTCCTGACGCCGGGATTATTCTTGGCATCTGACGAATTTTTGCTGTTGGAAGGATTCGTTCCTCCTGATTCGTCCAGCAACTCGGAACGTTGTTGTTTATCAAGCGCAGCCAGTCTTTGGACCACAGCAGACCTTATTTCCGCCTGCAATCTGTATTTCAGAAAATATGTGGCGCCGAAGTTTGCACGCACTACATAAAAATACATAATGCAGTTTCTCTGAGTATACGTACTAAAGTAACAAAGTAAGTGCGTTTCTGCACTCTGCTTACGTTTTAAACTGCTTGGCCCTTTGTTCGGCTTCGGTTTTCAGAGTATCTTTTTCTTTCGGGCTGGATATTTGTGATAGAAGAGACTCCATCATCTACTGACGGAAGAAACGAAATATAACAATTCAAACAAAATGTAAAAAGCGATACCAACGGCAAAGATTTTCAATTTACAAAAATAAGTAACAACAACAACTAATTCACAACTACTGATTACGATGCGTGTGAAAAACCCGACTTATGTCAACCATAGCTCAGAAAAACAGATGCAACTATAATTTTAAAACGCACTTATCACTTATAAGATAGTGAGAGCCATTAATCAATGGTCAGGTATCAAAAGTACTGCGTACATCACATCGACAAGCAGCCAAATACAGTACCTACTGAGTCTTACTCCCACCTCTAAATGCTGTTCTGCCAAGGAAAATATTCTCCGCGACGATGCTAGCAAAGAATCCATTTCTTGGCGCGAACCAGCTGTCAAAATTCCCTCCAGGATTTTGTTCAAGTCGATATCTGCTCGAACGAGAACGTTTCGACAGTCTTTCTGCTTGAGTGCGACACTGACATCAGGGTCCGAAGACATTCTGCAAACTGCAAATAAACATCAGGAAGCCATGTCAAACTATTGTATTTTATTTTCCTATCTCAAAGATCTAAAAGACATAACGAGCTCCGGAGTTTACGAAAAGCCAAAACAAAGCGACTCGCTGTTTATGCTATGCACAACTTACAGGTCAGACGGCAGCGTACTGCGGAAAATTTTCACGAAAGGACCACAAGAGATTAAAGCTATAAAAACTGGAAAATAAGTTAACATTAAAATCTGTCGAATTACAAAGGCAACCAAAAATCAAAAATTAACTCTGAAGTCTGACGGCTGTGGAAAATGTAAAGAGAAAGTCAGAAAAGACCTGAAAGCAAAGAGATGACTGAAAAACCAAAACAGACGGCGAAAAATCAAGTGACGTCTTGGCGCTCTTCGGAGTGGGGCGCTTACTTTATTCTGGTGTAACCAAGTTTGTGGCGTGGCAGTCGCAGCACTGCAACACAGTGGGTTGTGGCAATACCAGGCGAAGTGTTTATCAATAATTTGAATATTTTGAAATATTTTTTTAAATCGTAAGTAGGAAGTAAATACGAACTTTTTTATTCAAGATAGATTTAAATTTTGTGTCGTATGCCAGCCCTTTTTCTGATATGTATCTATACTGTTACAAATTTACAATGTTGGTGGCTTGCTTATAATATAAAAAATAATGAAGGTCGCTATAGTTCAGTCAGCAGCCCAACGTGAGCCTCTGTGCGTCACGCCACTGAGCACTGACCTGCTTCCCTGCGTGGATCGTTCACGACGACGCAGAGCTTATATTTCTCTGGTGACGTGGGAATATCCTTTTCTCGATCATCCAGGTTTTTTACCCCATAACTACGGTACCTGGCGTAGAACAACGTTTTTATCTTGGGCCGAGGTCAAGATTTTTGACAGCAGATTTTGTTGTCCCGTCGTGTTGGCAACTCGTTCTGTTAAACTAAATTCTGCAGTAAGTGTTATACTCGGCGTGCTCGCCGCGATCTCGAGCCACGTCACAGATTTGTTTTTGACCGAGTGTTTTTTGGCATGAGGTGAAAAGCCATCCGATTTGGGTGTAATACGCCGAACCTCGTTGTGTTATAAGAAAAGGAGACTGTTGTAGATCTACCCATTTTTACGATGAATATCTTCCGGTTCCTCGGGGATACGTCCCACTTGGTTGCCATTGTTGTTTTGCTGCTGAAGATCTGGAAAACCCGATCTTGCGCCGGTGAGTCTAAATTATCCTAAGTTGATGTGATTTTTTTGTATGCTTTTTACGAGTTTTGAAAGGTTTTCTTTACCGAAAACTACTACCATCTAGCTGGAAATGTTATAAAAACTTTATTAAAAATTCAATTAATCGTGGGGATGAAAAAAATCGAAATATCGTTAGTCACGGTAAGTTGGCCACACGGGTGTTTTTTATAGGCTACGAGTATACTTATAAGTTATAGGGTGAATCAATTTTGCTGGTAATAAAGCTAAAATATGAAAGTATTTAAATTTCTTTGAGAATTAACCACGTACGAACTACAAACTGTCCCAATATGGTGTAATTTGGGATTTAAATTGCAAACGTTACAATAAATTGATTAAATTGTTGTCATCGAGTGTTAACTGTCCAGAACATATTTGGTATGCTAAGTCTTTTTTTGTCGTATACGTATTTTGCGAGTTTTTTTTAATACGAACGCGTTCGCTTAAAAATTTAACGTGATAATTATTGTGCTTGAAAACTTCTGATTGCTGAAAACAATAAAATTTCATATTACGTTACGATCGAAGCTGTTCTTGGCACAGTCGTGATTTGTGACTTACGGACCAAATTATTTCAGGGATTTCCGGGAAGAGCCAGATCTTGTTTGCGCTGGTATACACAACACGGTACCTGGATCTGTTCTTCTCCTTCGTCTCAGTGTATAACTCGGCTATGAAAATATTTTTCCTGGTGTCTTCCTTTGCTACGGTCTATCTGATCTACATCAAATTCAAGGCAAGTAACCGGACGCAGATATTAGTTTAGTGATTGTAGAGTAAAGCTAGCAACAAAAAGCGACAGGCTGTGCTAAAAAGTCTTCCGTTCTTTCATTTTATGTTGAAAACCGTAGCTGGTAAGGGGATGGTGGTAAATTTCGGTGTCATTTTTGGTTCCTAAGTATCAGCTTGATATTGTGCATATCTGTGCGAACCTTTAGCTTTGTTTTTGTCATTTGAGCGCTAAATACATCAATTACATAACACGTCTGTAATCGTTACACCACCAGTAGAAGTACCGCTCAGGCGCCGCAGATTGCTTTGTTGGATTGTTTTGATTTTTTAGCGCAGATCGCAAATGGACTATCTGGCTGAGACGGAATGCAGTTGTACTTTAATGCTAAAAAAACGGTTTATATACAAATACAGCGTAAATTATGTTATTATAATGGAAGGCGCATTTAGATGTCGATTGGATTTCAGTTTATCAGTTTTCGAGTTTATAGATTCCTTTTGGTATGAATGTTTGAAACGGAAGAACTGAATACACGAATCCTTCTTGTTTACTTTGTAGGCAACATACGATTACAACCATGATACCTTCCGCGTGGAATTTCTCCTGATACCATGCTTGGTGTTGTCCTTGTTGATTAATCACGATTACAGTCCGGTCGAGGTTAGTTGTCGATCAAATCAAACGTCTGGTAAAATTATTTTTGCGAAGCCCTCACAGATTGGTCAGATCAAATAGAAGTGTAAATGTATGTAATTTAACTTTCATTGAACGATTTTTTTAGTATACGATATGGTACAGATGGCTTTGCATTACAGGACTGTGTTACTTATTCTTATAACTTATGAACAAGCTGAAAATGATTTACATTGCAGCTGCTCTGGACTTTCTCCATTTATTTGGAATCGGTAGCTATTCTGCCTCAGCTGTTTATGGTGAGCAAAACCGGAGAAGCGGAGACCATTACGAGCCATTATCTGTTCGCGCTGGGTTCTTACCGCGCTTTCTACATTCTCAACTGGATCTACCGCTATTATGCTGAGGACTTCTTCGATGGAATTGCCGTGGTGGCTGGCATTATTCAGACTGTTTTGTATGCGGACTTCTTCTATCTCTACGTTACCAAAGGTAAATATCAGTAAACTTGTAGCGCACTGCTTTTCTTGCAACAGTTTTGTCGTATTTACAGTGCTGAAAGGCAAAGAATTCAAGTTGCCAGCATAAAGTTGCAGTTTAATTTTTTACACTTGGCTATCTGATCCGTTTATCGACGAACATTGAGTTGGTATTTCGGGAGCATTGCCGGTCTGAAGCATTCGTGCATATTCGAAAGCGCCATTTGTTTTGTTTGGTTGCGCACTGCATACAATTGCTTTGCTTGTACTTTGTGAAATTTTAATAACTGATACGCAAGCTTTTGACACCCAGATAACGCTATACTGTTGGTATATTATACGTTTTGATTAAATAAAAATTCATTCGAGTGTAAGTCGGACGTTTTTGTAAAAACTGCACCCGAATAAAGAAAGCCGAATTGTTACCGATCTGTTTTTGATTTGACCTTGTCCTTTTCCGGCTGCAGCTAAGCAGGCGATGCATTACATAGGCAAAAATTTTAGTGCCGAAGGAGTGACTTATTCACGTGCATATCCGATTATATAATGCTAACTATAGTCTATAGAGAGGGCATTTAATGCTACAAGCGTAAGTGAAAGAGATGTGAAAAAAATCAATAAACTTCATTGGTGCGCTATAAATATGCCTCACAGTTACAGTTATGCGTGGAAGTAAGTAAGTACAGAGTTCCCATGAGCCACTAGCTGTTTGTACTGAAGGCGTACTGGCACTTCTCGTTTTAAGTAGTGGCCCTTCTCTGCGTGAAAAGCTAGCAGCTGATGACTAGCCTTTTTGTTGTTTTCCCAATGATTTGCATTTCCTGGATGAAGCGAGAATGTAATTACATGGGAGGATTTTCCCCAGTCCTGATTGCGATTCCTCATCATGCATTATCGAGTGAGCCGTGTAATTCAGCTATCACGCAATTGGTTTCTTAACCGTAAGTTTTTTGTGGACTGCTGCATATCCTCGGGAATGTTAGTCCTGGGAGATATCATTCAGCAGAGCTACGAGATATTCGTTAAGCGCCAGTCGGAATTCCATCGGCATAGAATTTTCAAAATGGGCTACGCGGGTTTTGCAACGGGCGCATATGCGCACCATTTATATGCATACCTGGATCGACGATTTCCGGGACGGGATGTGCGATCTCTGACGCGCAAAGTGATTTTGGACAACCTGTCAGCACCTCTACAGTTTGTCCTGTTTTTTGGCATTTTGGCATTTGTCGAACGGAAACGGCTACAGGAGTTTTTGGAGGAATTGTACTCGAAGGGCGTACATCTGTACGTGACAAGTTCCTTTATCTATGCGCCTGCCCAGTACATCAACTTCTACTTCCTGTCTCCACAGTATCGGGTTTTATTTGTCAGTATACTGAATCTGGTGTTTGATACGTATTCATCGTATGTGGCACACGACAATGAGCGCCATGAGGCATTCGAGGATACCCTTCCCGACAAGTGTCATTTGTGATAGAAACCGGCAGTTTTATGTGAAAAGTGGTCCTTTATTTTTTGATTGTGATACCTTTGTAATGTGCCTCGTTGGTTTACATGCTAAGTCGTTAATCCGTTATACGCTATGCATTGCAAGGCGTACGTTTTCTGCAGTACGTACTTTATACTTTATTAGACGAACGTCGGCTGCCGTTTCCAGTCCTAGGCTTCCGCTAACATTTATTATGGTTCTAATGCGCACTTTCATCCGATCTGCTAGTTTATGTTCCCTTTTAAATATATTAGAGTTTGTTCCCACTGAATTTATTTTCGATTAATTATTCTGTGCAGGATATTTTACACCTTGAAAGTGCGCGGCTTCTCAATACAGCTTTTCTGTATTAAAGACGGCCATAACAGGCCACGATGCATTTAGTAATTGTTTGCTTTGCGGCAATGTAGGTGGAATATCGATTTTTTTTCACAGCCGGAAGGCAACGGAAGAAACGACAGTTCGTTAGAAAAAATGTAGTGGGTTTACGTTGCTAATCCCTTTAGATTTGCTGTCTAAGGTCTCGTACGGGGACTGTTTTGTTTTATTTCTTTTCCACAAACTATTTTCGTAAAAAATGCTTTTAATATTTATGTCCACTATATACGGCAACGTTCGTAGAATCGAAAAAAAATCAGCTACAGCTTTCTCTGTCGGTAAACCACGGCGTTTGTTACACATTTAGAAGAAAGCGCTTGCACTCATACATGGAGGTATAATTAAATTTTATAATAAAGCAAGGCTATCAGGCTTTGGTCATATCTGTACAATTAGAACTTCGGCTTCATAATAAGATAGCGGTCGATGGGTACTTATCGGTATTAATTTGGCTTACATTTTGCACTTCCAATAATACTACCCTACTACTATTATGAGTTGCAGTATATCAAACGTCTTTTTACGACAGTTGGCTCATGATCATTGATCCTGCAGCAGAACTTTCAGAAAAACTGATTCGGTGAATAGGATCGTAGGACCGTAATTCTTGCGCGGAATAGATATAACTGTAGTGGATCTACGGAATAAACTGGTAAAAATGTCGGAAAAGGTTGTCCGTCGATTTTACGAAAAAAGCACTGCTGCAGAAGTTCTTGTCAACGAAAATATCAAAGGGAAACGGTTTTTAGTAACTGGTGGAACCTCTGGTATCGGTAAGTCATAACAGTTCCATGTGGACTTCAAGACAGCACAAAAAGTTATAAACATCTCATGTTAGTATATCAACAGTAACTGTGAAGTTTGATATAATAAGTGTTAATGCAGATGCATACTATATACGGTATTCCGGGTATTGTGATTGACAGTGGGAATATTATCTTTACTTATTATGGAATTCAAATATGCAAAAGTTATGTTACGGCGTACTGTGGCTGTGATCCAACAAGAACTATTGTACTTGTATCTGTACTTTTTACAGGAACGTCTACAGTTGAAGCTTTAGCGGAAGCCGGCGGACATGTGGTGTTTACCGGGCGAAATAACGAAGCTGGAAACAATCTTGTTTGTTCCATTATTAAAAATCACCCAGGAGCCATTGTGGAATACATGCCAGTTGATTTTTGCTCGTTAAAAGACGTGAAAAGATTCGCTGAGGATTTTCTGAAGAAATACAAGTATGGGTGTATTATTCTATTATTCCGCATTAGCAAACACACATACGTCACAAAATTCCTGTATTGCTTTGCTACGTGTGATTTGGCAAAATTTAAGTGGAAATAAGTGTAGCAGTATGAGGCCTGTCGATGGGCTGCATTATTGCTGCTGCTGGTTGCGCGAAGTAGAAATTCGTATTCTGCAAAGCAAGGGTTATTGTATCATGTGTTTTGGGACAGCATTTCGTATTGTTTATTTGTGAACAGACGACTGGATGTTTTGATATTTAATGCGGGGATGTTTGGAGGAAGTCATACGGAAACGGAAGATGGTTATGAAAGCGCGGCTCAGGTGAATGCAATCAGCCAAGTGTACCTCTTGGAATTACTGCGACCTTTGCTGAAAGAGTCTGCGCCTACGCGGATTGTTTTTGTTTCCAGTGAAGCGCACAGGTTATGACCTTTTGCATGTTGGTAATTAGTACAATATTACATGCACTGGTGTACAGGCGCAAACAGCGTTAACTTAAGCGTATGTTTTACATGACAGTGACAGTATTACATGCCCAGTAATGAGCTGATAATTTACTGTTTTTAGAAGTGCCAACATTAAGCACGGGCATTTCTCCGCCGCACTGCTTTCGCCGTCAAAGCAGCATTACAGCTCATGGCGCCAGTACGCTAATACAAAACTCTGCCAGATTTTAATTTCAAATTACCTTCAAGAACAGTGGTCCAAAGACGGAATGACATTCTATGCCCTTCATCCTGGAAACATGATTTCCACAGGAATAGGACGGTCGTGGGCAGGTGCCAAAGTGCTGTTTGCCGTGATAGGACTTTTCACGAAAAATCTACAGCAGGGCGCTTCTACGACGGTGTACTGCAGTGCCAGCAGCGACACCATTAACCAAGGAGGAAAATATTTCCGCGATTGTTGGCTAAATGAGCCAACTAGCACCGCTCGGGATTTAGTGTTTGCTGAAGAAGTTTGGAAAACTTGTCAGAAAATGATTTCCGATAAAGTACCCAACTACGTCGCCACAACGGAATAGCCGGCTTTTTTTATTCTTCCGATTAGCTAAGGAAATACGTTTTGGTAATTGACTTTCAGATTTTACAGTATTTGATTTTGCAGTTACTTTTAAAAAATTATTAACTAGAATAGATTTTTAACTTCATACGACAGTTAGCAGGTTGCTTGGTATTGCTGTTACAGCTGTTCTTTGATCGTAAAAGAACCTGAACAAGAAAAAACTATTGTAAACGTTATGCTCAAAATGATATGCTGGAAAAGTAGTTCAAATGTTATATTGTTTCGTATTGTCGAAGGATTTGGTACAAAGCAGTAAAGGCAAAACATAAACGGTCACTCCCAGGCTTTTATTCTTTTAAATTAGAGGTACAAACAGTACGTATAATATATGTTCATGATTATAGGCTATGTACTTGTGCACACGGTACATATTCGTATTTCCCAGTAATGTTCTTTTATTTCACAATATATTACTGTAGTATCGTCCGTTTCCGTAAACCTGTTCAGCAATCCCGGACCCCGGTGCAAAAGTAAAGTCCTCGTTGCATTGCAAATTAATTATTTCAGTGATTTGTAACGGTCAAGGGTAATGTATAGCCAGAATTATGTCTTGATTAATTAATTCACGCATCAACAAACGAAATCCTAATGTCTGTAAGCATTATTGCAGCATACGCTAAACTGCAGTATCAGCGAAACTGATAAGACTAATTCTTTTGTTACGCGAAGAGAATAATTATTGTTCCTGCTACAAAATAATTATGACTTACAGTTCTTGGACAAAACTGAGATAAGATTTTACCGGATTGTGGATTACATGCAGTTCCGTCTAAGGCAAGTCGCGCATAGCGTAACAAAAACAAACATATTTGCAAACTGCATATGTGACATTTCACGTTGTATACTATAGATATGTGGTACAAAATTTCTTGTACTACAATTAAAATTTTTTCTATCTGAATGCAGTTAACCAGAAAATGCTGAAAACTCAAGTCAAAAACATTCTTCTTAGCAGTTTCTACCTAACAAGTTTTAACCTTTTGTTAGTCAGTGCAACCGCGGTTAATTCTTCGCATAATTTTCAGGCAACACAGGAAGACCAACTGACATGTTCCTTTGGTGTCGAAGAGCCGGAAGAGGGTATGTGCGGATGGGAAACGACAACCTGCGGACTGCTTATTGGTTGCGAGGCTGCGTCGCTTTTTGTGTCACAGTGGACACTGAAAACTTTTACTGCGTCTAATTTGCCAGGTTGGTACTTAATAAATTAAAGTGATATGTCAAACTTTAATTCAATCAGTTCCAGTGAATTCATCTACACATTTTATGAATCGCTCATAGAGTCACAAAGAACGGTACTCGAGAGCAGTACATCGAGACGCCCACAAAATGCATTGCCGAACTTGTTGGAGGATGTCAAGCCTACTTCAACTTTGCGCAAACTATTTGTTCCAGGCCGACCTTATAATTTTGTCTCACTGAATATAACGTTTTGGGTGTATTTCACCGGCATTCCGGGAATCTCCCTCGTTGTGGAATCGAAGTCGCATGATTTTCATGAAAATGAATTATTTGCTAATGAACTTTTTGGTTCGCGGCATTTAAATTTGTCATCGGACTTCACTCCAAACGTTTGGAGTGTGCAATCTGCGCTGCTGTGTTCGGCCGGCGCATCCACTATCCAAATCAATGCTACTCATACCAACTGGCTCTCCGTGGTGTACATTGATGACGTTGTTGCAATGGCAGATTCCGAGTCATCCTGCAGAATCACACCGGAAGATAACTGGCTTCTTGCGCTTGAGCCAGCGCGCAAGGGAGCCATCGAATGCACCTTTGACCAAATCGGTCGTGCCACTGCCGAACACCACTATCCCTCCTGCGGCTGGAAAGATGTGACGCATTTGAACATACTTGAACACATTGATATTCCGGCGTCTGCGGGAAACGTGCTATATATTAGCCATACTTTTTTGAACATCACTGTACGTCGTGATACTAATACAGAAAATACGGCCCTGGGTATTATCCTATCTTCCGAACAAGATAAACCCCACATGCGTATCCGATCCAGTGCGCATGATTTCGTTAAAGAAGGTCCCGGTGTCACTAATACTGGAATCACCAGAATCGAGGTAAACCAACGCAGTCATAAAAACATTTACTAGGTTTGTATTGTAATTTTAACTGCTAAATTGATCAATTAACTGTAGTTTGATTATGCCGTTTACATGGAGCCACCTGCAACCGGGTCAGCCTTGGAAATGCAGTGGACGATGCATTTACAAGGAGTGAGAAGAGAAACCGAATGTAGTCACCTAGGGGGAGATTTCGACCAGTATCAATTTCTGTGCCAGATACCCCTTTGGCTAGGGTATTTGATGGAGAACCAAACCGTTTGGACCCACGCAGTTATCCACATTCCACAGGATATTTTCCGCTTGACCTCACCGTTTCACTACTATTTTGACGTAACCGCCGAAATTAGAGCCGGCACGGCACTCATTGCTCTGGACAATGTTGTTGTCACACGTTTTAACTCTGGTGAATCGCTTTCATTTCCTGTTTAAAGTGCAGAGCAAAACTTATAATTTAAACCATTTACAAGAGACGTCTTTCGAATAATAAAACGTTCGAATGCTTGCATATGTTTAAAGCGCTCGAAACTTTCCATCTTTTGACCATTTATATTTTTAGAGCCCGTGGTGATTCCCACTGACCTTCCTGGTGCCATAGTGCCTGAATTAAGTTGTGAAGTCGTAAATGGATCGCTCTGCCCAGGTTGGACGTCCTGGTTAGACGTCGATGACGGCATGCCAAAAACTAGGCTCTTCACAAGTTTATGGCAAATATCGTCTGGAGAAAACATGTGTGCATTCACCACTTTTCAATTTCGCTCGTCTAACGAAACTTATGCCACGCCCGATTTTCTACTGTTCGTCGAAACGGTCACAGAAATTGGTATAGTAACTAACGTCACCCAGTTGGTTCCCAGCAAAATCGACCAACCACCTCCCTGTGGCGTGGCATGTACAGAAGCAGGCATGACGTATTACGCTTACTTCACCGCCACGAATTTTACGCGGCTTCGAATAGAAGAATCTTTTTATATACCTCAGCGCATGCCAAGATGGATTCGGACTAATGAAAAAACCAAAAACGTCGCCGAAAATACTACGATCGCCTGGATAAGGACAACCTTAGTATCTGGTAAAAATGCTGAAATATTATATGCAGTTTGGTTCAGTACAGCCACTCTCTAGCCGTAGAAAATCGTAACAATTTAACGACAATCCATTCTTTGTGACTAGAACGTGGGGACGATCCAGTTTGGTACTCTAATAATTTTGCAAAAATTGATTGTTTTGCTCGACGGGGTCTTTATTCCTTCTGTATTACAGAGAGTGATGTGGTTACCGGCTTGGAATGCAGAAAATCGCAAACCGCAAGCACCACTACCACATTAGCTCCTCAAGGTTATCGTGTTTTCTAATTTGCTTACAGCCGAATCCCGTGAAATGACTTTTTCGTAAACCATTGTGCAATATATAAAAATATCCAGTTACATGGATTTAACTGCTTTTCTTTTTTTCGGACAGAATTAGAATTACATGAGCTTGTGGAAGTTTTGGATCATCTGAGCCCCGCACAGCTACCGGCATTTGTTAATCAGTTCATGTCTGCCGTTGACAGTGTTACCACACCAAATAAGATCACACCCCACGAACTCGACGACATACTGCGGATCGTCGATGTTGTCGCTGGGGTCAACTTGAACGCTACCAGCCAGCCGGAAGCCGCTACAACGTCCCGTAACTTATTCCAGGTCGTCAGCAGTGTTTTTGCCGTGGAGCAGGTGATGGATACTACCGTTCAAGAATCGAATGCTTATGGCTCCCGTATGATACAAGCTTTAGATCAGATTAAGCAAAAAGTGGTTCCAACAACAGACGAACAGGCTCCGGTTGTGCAGCCTCGTCTGGCGACATCCATAAGGAGCGTTACACTGGCGGCACCGGCGGATATTATGGGTTTAAATTTTTCATTTTGCGTGAATGTTGCAGTCAACAACGATTCCGAATGGCTGCCAGCCAACTTTTTTAGCGGAGACAGCCAACCTGACAACAATACAGGCATAAAGGTGTATCTGGACGCAGACAAAATTCGACAGACGTGGCTCCAATCAAGTAAATGCTCCAAAAGCGGTTTCTCCTTGAGTTAATTTACAGAACGGAGTTGGAAGTGGTTTACAGTATATTCGCTAAATTTTTTAGATTCATTACTTTTACATAAGTAAAGAAAGGTACACTAGTTTCTTGCAGTACCAGTGTCAAGTCTGTGAACAGTCTGTGCACTACAGTGGACTTCATAAATGTGGTTACACATAGCCACCCGTATGCATAGCGCTATCGGCTTTAAGTGTAACCACATTTATGAAGTCCATTGTATGTTCAGTCACGATGTTGTGATGACGCGTATGTGTTGTTGTTAGATGGAAATGCAGGGAACCATGTAGTTATCGAAGTTGGTGCATTCTATCCTCCAAATTTTGCGACTTTCGAATATGATTCAAACCTTGGAACGCGATCTGCCCGCTCTCTTGCGCCCGTTATTGTTTCTGGGCAAGTCCCTGCTCCGGCACAAAATACCGAAAAAATTGTATACGTGGAGCTAAACTTGAAGAAACTTTTCAGGTACGACTAAATTAGTGCGAAAAATCATTTGTGGTGTTTACCGTACAGAAGCTTTCCTGTTGTTCTTACTAAAGCCGCGTAAACGTTTTCTTTTCCTGAAGAGCGATGAAAAGCTGAAAAACTACGTTGGCGCAAAGACCTACAGCTGCGTCTTCTTGAAATATCTCCAAACGAATCGCTCGGATCCATCTACCACAAACGCTGAATGGTCTGGTGACGGCTGCTATCACGTTAGAACATACAAAGATAGCAATGGAGACCTCATCACACAGTGCGCCTGCGATCATTTGACCAATATCGGCAGTCTTATTGACCTTTGCGGTACCAACCCGTTATACTCATTTGATGATGTTGCTCAGAAAGCACTGAGTACCGTGTTGGGAACAATATCTATGGTGTGCTGCACCGTAATCATTGCTCATATACTGTAAGTAACAGAACTGAAAGGTCAACTAACTGCCAAAATGCAGTCACCCAATTGTGTACTAAAATTTAGTGTATAACAGATTCCATACTTACCAGTCCAGGAGGTTTTTAACACCACCCGTTTTTATTCGCCTCAACTTGGCAGTAAGCTTAGCATTGTCCCATTTAACAATGATCGTCGGTCAGTATCTGCCTTACTCGGGGGAAGGCCATGAAGACGCCTGCTTGACCGCTGCCATATTTAGTCAATGGTTTCTGCTGGTGTCATTTGCCTGGATGGCTGTCGAATGTTTTCGTATGACGCATTACCAGATTAACGTGCTAGCTGCCAACGCTGAACTGAAACGGCTTCCGGGCGACACCTTTCGGACATTCTTCCTCAAATCAAGTGCTTTTGCATGGGGTAGTTAACCAGCCTGGAATATTAGACCTGCCAGGTCATGATTTACTCAGTAAACCGTCACAGTTTTCAGGTTTTCCTTTGATTCCGGTCATTTTTGCATTTTCTTTCCATCTTGACGGGAGCTACGGAATTGTTTACGGCTCCGATGATCAGTGGTTAGTTACCACGTTTCATAACAATTACTATTTTATAGTGACTATGTATTTTATAGTATTCATTAAATACAGATGCAGAATGTGCTCTGTTGGATGTCAAAATGTTATGATTCAGGTGCTGGATACATCCCCAAAGCTTTTGGTTTCTCTTCTGCACATTTGTCATGCCGGTAGTCATAGTTCTGGCCTTCAACATGGCAGCCATCGCGCATTATTACTACGGAGGTACTGAATAAACGACATTATTTAAAATTTTCGTTTGCACTCATTACTGTGTTTACCTTTTCTGTAGAACACAAACGCAAGTCGCGCAAAGAGAAGAACAACGCAAAACAACCGGAAACGGATCATTCGTTTTACGACAACCTCATTGAAGTGGTCAACATGTTCGTCATGCTGATGTTTCTTGGTCTGGGATGGATGCTGGGATTTCTCATGCAGGCCGTTTGTCAGAACGACGTAGCCAAGGAGGTTACGTCGTACCTGTTTATTTTTATCAATGGGTTGCAAGGATTATACCTTTTGATGTTTTATGCACGCACACAAGGCGCATCGTACCTTCACTTTTGGGAAGGGCTGCGTTTTGTTGCTTATATTCACAAGGAGTACGATGTGAGCAGCCGAGAAAGAAGCTACATGCGAGGTCAAAGCGAAAAGAGCAGTCGTACAACATCGACATATAGTTCTAAAGGTCAAGCCTTTGCCGAGGTAAAGCGCACGCAGCCTTTCGTAATATCGACAGCGTTTGAAGGTTTTTATTTTATAGGGATTACGAAATGTTTTCCGACGCGCTACACCCGTGGTGGTGCTAACGAAAAATTCTACTGGTAGCCCCATTAAAAGCGTAGAGGTCCAGTCAACTGTTTGAATCTTTCCCATATATACAAGAATTTGGCGGCCAGAATAAAAAGGCCTTGAATAGTTCTTCAAAGGGTGACTATACTTTTACGAGTTCCGGTTCTGCTGCATGCAACGTAGAAAGAATGTCTAGCGCTCGTATTATTGTGTATTTTGCTAACTGTGATTATTGTATAGTAGTTTTTATCGTTTTCTCGGCTAAAAATGCTTAATTCTGCACAAAGTCTGCCCTTTAATTAAATCTCATCGTAATCTTAAACAACTACCGCGTGTGTAGAATTTTGAAACGACCCTCTGGAATGACCGGGTAAATTGACACTGTATACTCTAACAGGACTTTTTCATACGAGTATATCTGTTTGTCATATATATACTGCATATGTGTAACATCTCTTTGCATCATTTTGCTTTCATTCTTGTAAGCATCTATAGTAATTTAAGGTTAATGGCACGTTATTACTATTACTACACAGATTCCTAATCCCTCATTGTAGTAATCCTGACAGCGTTATAACATTTCGGCGAAATCAAGACGGCTTTGCTAATTTCGTTTTCTATAAGGGGGATATCATGCGGTGCATGGTGTGCATGAACGCGGGTGTCACTTCACTTAGTTTACTATATAGGTCGCGAATATGATCACATTCCACTACCAATGTTCAGTAAACACGTATTGTTCCGCTTGCAATACATATTGATGATTCGGGAAACAGTTTTGCTAAGGTACGAGGTATTTGTACCTTGCGACAGCCGCTGGCTGTTTACGCCGGCTTTCCCAAGCGCGCGTGCAGAAAAGAATTCCAGACAGAAATTATGTGAATAGCTGCAGGATTATACTGCGGTATCATATGAGTAATTTACCGGTACCTACTCTTGTGTCTTGTGAGTTTTAGATGTAACACCTGCAATTTTAACCGTAGTGCATATGCACTACGATTTAATTGCGTAAAATTTAATTGCGTAGAAGATAATAATTTAATCTAGAAGTGCTTCTGGTATTTAGGCCATGAACGTTAATTAAGGTCATATGGCAGAAGCTGGACGGTGTTCACGGCTAATCATGATCACTGCGAATCCATACTATGAGGCAGTCAAACCTACTATTCAAAATTAGTATGTTTAGACTTAACTTAAAGCGAAAGTTTTGCTAAATAGCTTGTAAAAAAGTAGAGGATCATGATACTACATTCTGTAGTTGTTGATTTGAAATTTTTTTATCTAATTAAGTGTTTATGCATACTACCTAAATATAAGCAATCAAGTAATATTTTTGATGGATATAGGGTCAAAATTAAACTAAAATTAGAAAGTCGGCAGCGATATAGAGCTGCAGCTGCTACCTTGAACACCATCATCAATCATCATTCAACACACGTGCAATAGCTGAGGTTTAGGTAAACTGATAGCGATGTTTACAATAAAGGAAGCTGCATAAACTTTCGATTATGAGAACAACGCTCAAAATTTGTTACATGTCTTCTATATCGAGTTCTGTAATTTTGCACCAGAATGCAACGTCCCACAAAGTCTTTACGCCATTACAATTGACCTGACTACCCTGGACGTACAAAATTACGTTGGCTAATGCAAATCATCTATATAAAGTAATATAAATGTTGTAATCTATATATAATATAAATTTTTAAATTTTTAAACGACAGAATTTAAACAAATAGATAACAGAGCTGGCAGGTAAGAATACCAATGTTATTCAAACTGGTAAGAAAGGAAGGAGATTTGATTCATAAGTCAGTTCCAACAGTATTTCCGTCACTATTACAGGAGTGCAGGAGTATCTGCTCCGCGCTCTAGTTTAGACAGGATCCATCGCGAGGTTCGCATACAAGGTCAATGCAATCAATACAATATTCTGGCTGATTATAATTACATGACAATAGTGTTATTAATTATGACTGGAAAATTATTTTTAGAGACGTCACCAGAAACAGTTCAATTCATCGTATAGTGCTTTCGCGTACACCATATAGACGGGCATATTTCGATTTCTCAGAAACAGAAAGGGGTTTACTTGCAGCGTATCGAAACCGTAAACTGCTTAGCCGAAAATAATTTTTGTAGCCAAAGGCCTAGAGCCGATGTAAATTAATTCGCACTATATATAGGTGCTAAGGTAACCTGAATGATAAAATATGGTGCTTCCGGCGTTTCTACTGAAAATTATTACGTCTCTTAAAGTCCTGTACAATGAGCCCTATAACGCTGTGTCTTCTACATACATCTTCGATGATACGAGGTATAATTAGCGTGAATCACTGTAATTGCCAGAACAATAATAAAGTTCTTTGTCGGCGTCAAAGAACCAGTTACTGCACTACGTCGGCTGACACTAATATTATAAGAGTAGCGTAACAAATAAGAAGGTACTTTAAAGAGGCGCCATGCAAACCTTTTTGTCAGTTTAAACTCTTAAAGCTTTTTGCTAACTTTTTGTATGTTATATTATTTTATGACGTCGGTTTGTTGGTCTGCATTACAAATAAGTGATAAAATTTTTTTTAACCGTCTAGCAAAGCATTTAGTGCAGATTCAAAGTTCTGCGCAGATCTGTACATAGTTCTCAACGAACCTGACGTAATAAGTGCTTTTCTTATCTCGATTCTCCATGCTAAATTTTCAATAACGATCAAAAGTTTTTGAAATAAAAAACAAAGTGATTATGCGCCAGCTCATGCTTATTGTCAGCATACTGCATTTATTTTAATAATAGCCGTAATATATATTGTATCTCCCACACTATGCAAATAAGTACTTATACCATTGCTGCAGTTCTGCTTCAAAGTACAAGTAACTGCTTTAATATGCAAACAACCTGTAATAACTGAGTGATAAACAAATTTTGGTGCATGATTTAAGTGGTCTTGACGCATATGCACGAATACAACAAAGCAGCGCCGCGTGTCTTTATGAATCGAGCTTGCTCCCTCATTGTGCACAGTTTTAAGTGTAACAAATCTGAACAAGAGACATTCTCAGCACGAATCACGTATCCAGGCATGATATTCCCTCATGCTGGGCGGCTTGTTCGCGCACACATGGCATTCCAGGTTATAATGGCTGTAATATCTAATAATTGCCGTAATTGTTTCACAAAAGCCATTTCATGTTGCACAGATTTCCCGTCGAATAAGACAATATTCTCAGACAAGACTGCAGTTAAAAATTTTTGTCGGTTACTGTACTACTTAAAAGAACGTCGATTAATCAGTTTAGAACAAGAAACTGCAGACTGCAATATTATATACGTACTTGTGTGTTGCATACAGTTTTATTTGTCACAAAACCTAAATAGTCTTCCTATTGTACTACATGTGTATTGTACATCTAGAGCAGTATTATTAACCATCAAAGTAAGTTAAAAAATCCCTTTCATCTACAGCAATTCCTCGTTACAGCCTGTAGGCGCATATTACTGCTGGTGAGTGTCCGTCTACCACAACTGTATCTTGTAGTGACGTAGGGCAAGGTAAAAGCACTTTGCTGACGTGACAGGTGTTGCGGTCAACTACGCAATGATTTTTTTGTGCTCGACAGACGATTCGGTCACGGTACTGGCAGGTTAAGTGGTGCAAATGAGAATGAACGGTGAAATTCCCAATTAGCTGGCAGAACCCTGGAGCTCTTCTGCTAAACGGGAAACGGAAATCTGCTGTCACGAATGCAGATGCTATAATTGGGAAATCATTTGATACGTAGAAGCTAATTCGTGAACTTCTGCGCCTACGTAACTAAATTAAGCAGGAAGAAAAATGCCGGGTATCGTTTAATTAATACACCTACCGAATGCTAAGGAGCCAAAGAGATTTCTGTTGACTGTTAAATCAATGAAAACATAGATCAACGAGTATAACTTGGATAATTTATCGACCATTGTCGTAAATGATCTATATATTAATATATTTGGTCAATAGCATGGCATAATAAATAGTTACGCTAGTAACTAGTAGTAATAAATAGTTACGCTAGTAATGTTATGCCGTGTCAAATTGACACTGTCAATAGTGTGTTAGACTAACCATGCGTTCGGCCATCAAATTCGTAAAAAAGTGAGAATTTGGCAGATTTGTTATAGTGATATGCACTCGTACCGATTATTAGTTAACAATTGTAAGTAAAGCAAGTAAATCAGTTTGCGCAAACTACCTTATACGAAAAATATTTTTTTGCCAACGGATACACGGTTCATATGTCCGTGCGCATGATCAAAAACCTCTACATCAGCCATTACTTCATTCGAGCTATACAGATTATTAACTACGCTAAAAAGTACAAAACTGAAACAAGCAGCAATAAATTTATCAGGCTTAGCAAAAATACAGTTTTTCATAATTATGGATTTTAAGCTTTTTGTGATTGTTTGGTAATCCTATGCGGCCGGCCGTACAGCTGTTATAGAATCACATGGTGCAAGTAAGAATATCACGTAGTTACCAAGCATTTTAGCATTTCACGTTTTTTCCCTGGGACATTTAAGCGGCGGAGCTCCATAGGGGCGGAGCTGACGTGTGATTTAAGATATCCGTTCCCGAGGAAGTCCCATGATTCCCTCGAGATTGACAACCGGTAATCTGACACACCGGAAACCTTACGCTTGTACGTAAAATCTGCAAATTGATTCAGCAGAAGGTGCCGGTATATATAAATGATGCTGCGACTGCATGCCTGCTCGGGTGTATTCTCACGTCCATCATTTTCTCTCGCGGCTTGCCACGGTTAATTAATCGACTTTGCTACTAAAAAGCTGGAACACTGTTTTGTGCCGGTTTTTCTCTGTACTGACATTATTCACATACTCGGATGCATCTACCGTTCGTTATGCCACTAAAGCCTAACAATTCCCTGCATGCCATGGTCTCACCGCGACCCATGCGCCGTACAGTGGAGGCCACAAAAAGCGATGGTGGCGAAAACAACAACAAGGAAACTTACAGGGTTGTCATGCTCGGCTCAAGTAAGTAACAGTTTCTTGTTCGGTTTTGCAAGAATTTGTAAAGTACTAATTATTAAGTCATGTATGCATATATTGTAGATGGTGTGGGAAAAAGCGCCCTCGTGGAGAATTTCGTTAGACAAAGGTCAGTCGTTAGACACTCGGTATAAAAAAGCCGCAGATCGTTTGCACAAATTCAGCACAATGATGATTGCTTGTAGTGTTGTTTACCTTCTTGTGCCATTGCAACTTGTTTAATTTACAAGCAACTTAATATAAAACATGTGCAATGGCTATGCACAATTAACGTGACGCAAGAACACCAATACTTATTGTTAATAGTGATAACCGTCAATGACTAATTACATATAAACATCCAGATAAACCAAATATACTGCAATAACCCTTTTAATCAATAATTTACGGTAAATATTAGCCTTTAATTGATGGTTTGTTCTTAATAATAAGAAAGAAACCGCACATTATGAATCTCCATATTGTCTCGGTCCAGCCTACTCTAGATTATTAGCTTTGGATATCAATGGATATTATGAAAGGTTTTGACGATGCATATCACGCTTAAGCAAAAGGCAGAAAAATTTTAAAAAAAGGAAAAATTTGAAACTTATTTGATATGGTAGTAGATGAGCAAAGCGCATTTTAGTTTAATGTCTTTGAACGTTGCATATCTCTACCGGGAGCACTGAACCAATTATGTTACCAAATTATTAGTAATTTGTAGGTCATTAAGGAAGTCACGGCACAGCTCCAACGAAATGCACCATATTGAATTCACGGAATTTGGACATGCCGTAACCGTTGAGCTATTGGATACATCCGATTACCAAAATTTTCCGGCAATGCGTGAATTAGCCATCAGACAAGCGCACGCTTTCATCCTAGTTAGCAGTGTGGACTCTGAGGAATCCTTTGAACACGTCAAGGAATTGCGACAGGAAATTCTCCGTATTAAACAATCTCAAAGCCCCGCCAATCAGCCTCCCATCCTTGTTGTTGCCAATAAGATTGACCTTCCCAAGCATCAGTGGAGCTTTGATACGGCTTACGCCGAACTTGTGGTGAGCCCAGCTAAAATTTATCGTTTAAACCAAATGATAGCAAAGAGTTGCTAGCAAAGAGTTGCGATTGAGATTTATAATAAATATTTTGTTAGGCGTGAAGTTTTTACGTGTACATCTGTACCAGATAATTAGAAGAGGCCGTTTTTCGTAATGACATCAAAGCAAAAATAGTAAATTAGCAGACGCATGCAGTGCAAACGAAAATAAATACTACACAAAACATAACAAATGTGCTTCATTTTATATCAAGGCAGTAATAAGTCAGTAATGATTAATTAATAACTTGGTTGATTTTATTTGACGGTGTAGGTGCACTGCGATTGGGAAGACTGCGGTTTCGTCTCGTGCTCCGTCCAGGAACCAAACAGTGTACAAAAAATCTTCGATCGTGAGTTGGCAAAATTGTAATGCAATTGCCATAAAAAAGCCTAACCGTGTTGTTCGGTTTTTATTTTAGAGATGATCATACAGATCAACGCATCGACACTGCGCGAACCCGGAAGTCGTCCGCCGGCCAAGAACATGACCCGGCGACAGTCCGTACCGAATCTCCTTGATGTACCCGTGGAGAGTATTAAACGAACACCCTCTTTCCCGCGCAAAAAGAAGCTCTCACGCAGTCCCAATCCGGCCACCCGACTCGAATCCCACGAGCCAGCCTCACCTGTTCGCCGTGTCCCTTCCTGTAATGTGCAATAAATTCCCGGAAATATTGTTTCTTGCGGGAAGTGTTTTCTGGATACTGTGTCATCATTTGTCTGTGGTTCGATCAGCTATGGAGATGCTGTGCAATCTCACGCATGACTTGTACCATAAGCCGGCTTTTATGCTCTTTAGCCCACCATCACATGTTCATTCATGAAATTATTTTTTGCCCCCCAGCCACGATGGTGATTAAAATCATTAAGAAGATTCTGTAGAAAATCCGCGCATGGTCTATCAGTGCATCAATGATAACAAGGAGAATTGTATGAATTCCCTTCCCACATCGTGGAACCAATTTTCGTGGTGAATACGAAAGGCTGCATTGTAGAGCGCGCCTATAAACAGAAAACGGGTGTTTGCCAAATGCACTGTGGGATTGGTACAAACATTTAAACCCGCTAAATTAACATTCGGTCGTTCACGCACTAACACGTCTATTGAACTTCTCCTGGCTTTAGTTCTCTGTGTACGGACTATCCATATCCGTGCTCTACATTCGTACTTACTCATAGCGTTTTTGTCAATTAATCGAGTTGCTGTGCATATGGTGGGTAAACATTTATGCATATCGCTATGAGATAAAAAATTTCACTCGGTTACAGCGCGCGCTACCCAGCTGCTTATTGTCGCACGTTAATACGACGAATCCTCGCAGTGTACCTGGAACCAATTTCTGATCGACCACTCGTAAACATGTTCAATTCATCTCTTGAGTACGCATGGAGAAATGTAGGATAATGGGCTAAGAGAATGGATTGCTGAGGGCGTATTCCTGTTTTTGTAGCGTTACAGTGAATCAGAGGGAAAGTGTAGTAGCCGCGCTAAAGGTTAATGGAAGTGTCTTACCTGTGTGAGAAATGCGTGGTATGCGCTGTTATTTACTTACATGCACAGTTTTGCTACTTATTGATGATAAGTTATGTAAGAAATTTCGACATCAATACTACTAATGCCGCGCAAATGAGATGGTCAGGAAATTTAAAAAGATTATTTAATTACGGCTGCGTTCTGATATGTTAAAATTTTTTAATGTGGTTAATTAAACAATGATCAGTAGAGAAACGAAGGCCGATTCCGATGAACTTGAGGTCACGCTTAATTAAATCAACAGGCCCTTCAAGCGGATTTATTAGCGTCATTTAAACAACGTTTCCTGGACCTGCTGTATCGGTTCAAATCAGCATTAACGATTTTCCTTCTTTGTGCGTGCACTGTTTCTCAAAACAAAGTATGCTACCTATGTACATACTGTCGCGTGTAAAAAAGGTTTTTTGCTTCTTTGTATCTTTGAATCGAAAACCACTCGATGGACACTTTTCGGTCTAGCGCAGTATTTCCGATAAATATTATTTAGAGCCAGCCTTACACTTATGGAATGCCGATCCAGGGACCAACTGATCAGATCAATACTGCCTTATTGACCAGTCGTTCCAACATAAATTTTGAACAAGAGACTATTGTTGGGTTTCGAACTTTGAAATGAAAATTGTGTAAACTCTTCACACACGTTTGGAGTCAAAAAAATCGATTACATTAAAGCCTGAGGAATAGAATTCGAGTGATACAAAGATAAATCTAATTTTAAATAAGCGTCAGTTATGGATTGAAAGCCACTCTATTTAAAAAAGCGCAAAAGCGCTTTTCATAACCGAAGGAGTAAAACCGTATTTATTTTAAATCTGTTTAACTATAAGCATCTATTAAAAAACAGCCGATCTTGGAATTAGGGCCGAATGATTAAATTAATTAATTCACTGAAGCCCAAATCTGATTATTATCATACGATGTTCAAAACGTGCGCCGGTGCGCGCATGTATTAATCAAATTATTCAATGTGGTCTGTAACTGAATTTGCAAAATGCCTTCACACGCACATTTTGAACGCGAAGGTCAGCGAAGCATGCAGTGATTTGACGTAAATTACACCGGTTATGTCAGAGTGATTTAGAAGTGAATCAGTATAATTGTCCGGTAAACAAAAAATCTCCATTTCATGCTACTCTTTGACCTTTACCGTCCAAGCAGGCTATTTTTGCTCAAAAAGCCGTAGACGTAAGTCGGCATACGCAAGTTCCGCTGACAACTTTCCCGTCAACACTAAAATTTCATTACAGGCTATGGCGATCTCTGTGCCGTTTGAACCGTCTCGGGTGTTTGTGGACTTAAACGGAATTTTCCCACCACTTAAGACAAACCTGGCAATAACGAACATTAATGTGAGGATAGCTTAAAGCAACTGTTATCTTTTACACATGTATAGGTACTAATTGGATGCTCTCGTCCTTAACATCGATCGTAAAATACAGCATCAGTATAAATAAAGCATCTGCATTGCGCATGTTCTTAAAAGTGCCGGTACAGTGTATCACAATTCTTATCACGCCAAATATTCTTACTAAAAATTCTCCTAATTGAACGAGGTAATTACTACCATATGCACATAAATAATATTGTAATAATTATATAAAAAATATTACATCGTGTTTACCTCCGACTGTAACTATCGTACCGGTTTGCAATTCGCTCAATTTATGCTGCGGAGTGCGTTTTTAAAAGCGATTTAGTATTTATTGGCATTTCGTATTTCCAAATTTGTTGCTTTATGAGCTAATATCTGTACATATTGTACGCTGCAAACAGTTTCATCGCGTGTACGTTCTTTTGTGGGTAAAAGCCAACCCTTTCAAAAATTATCCTTCTGTAGGTAAATGAAGCCTTGCAGCTATAACAATGCTTTAACAGTAAGTACTTACTTGAATTTGTTTTGCATATTTGTATAGAACGAAATAATTGACGCCCACTGCATGCGCTTGTATACCGTTTGTACTTCGAAGCAAAATCCATATTATTATAGATGCTTCTGGAAGGTTCGTAATTACTACATTTTGGACTATGTATCGTGCCTCTTATACGATTCATACAAAAGCCGCGGGATATTTAATGCAGCGCAACACCAGGGATAATTGTTTCGGAAAGGTCAAGGCCACATGTCACTTTAAGCCGCATTGGACAATGAGGGAATCATGGGTTTGGTCACATGCTAAATGGAAAAGCTTATTTAGGATCATTTATACGCTATACTTAACGGACATTAATTGCATAGTTACCAGCGGACGTTGTGCAAGCGAACGTCGGCTACAGCTGCTAGTCATATTATTAAAGTATTATCATGCCGTCACAGTGTTGCAGTATCATTTATGACGAACATGCCCGACACTTTTCGGGGTGGACAAATTAGTGTTATACGAACAATCATGCAGTTCTCTATTCGCGGGATATTAAATCCCTGTCTATGTTTAGAATATTGTAGTGGTTTCGTCTTACCGCTTAATCTTTTAGAAGGTTTATCGAATAGCTTCCGCAACCGCAATTACAGATAGCATATACGGAAGACCTTGGAACACCATGAACCTGTGGTTAACTTTGTAGAGTTTCGTATAACAAGTAACTATTCGTCATATGTTCTTGCTAAAATAAACACTGCTTCCAGAATGCGCATGCCGCATGCCGAAGGCCCCGTATGGTCGAGATCGTGACATGTTGCCAAACATTTAAAATGACCACATCTCTACACGTCATGTAAAATCAATTTTCGGACAGGTGCTGCTGAAAGATACAAACTGGAACTAATAGTAAGCTATTGCAGATTTTTTCAGTCAATTTCCAAAATGTTAAATCTTGTATACCAAGGACGACAAAATTAATAGCAAATTAACCGATCATCGAAAAATAATACAAAACCCCGTTCATATTATTTTTATTGTCATATCTGTTAGTGAATCATATGGTTGCAATGAGAATTACAAAGAATACATACATCTGCGTACAGTACAGGATAGTACTAACGAGTCTATTTGATCCAAAAATGCAAAACGTGATAAACTTTTCAATTTTTAAATGACATTTATTTTTATTTTAAGAACTTGACTGGTGAGTACTGTATGTAAGTACTTACTTTATATCTATATCTCACAAGTCAGTTTTGTCACTTTTATGTGGTGAACCGGTCAATCGTCACGATTGCTCTGCGGACTCGACTCGCGCCGTGAAGGGGCAGTCTGGCTGCAAAATTTCGAATTCACCTTTCGAATGTTCGATCCATCAATTGTATCTGCTGACTGCTTAGATAGCAACAGGTTCCTTGTTGATGCCCGTGATTTTGCAAAGCTGTTTTGTTTTCTCTTATTAGTCGTTACTTACTTTCAACATTAGCATAATATTACCCTTGATATAGGGCAGTGTGCGCTAAGCTCCAAAACCGATTAAGAAACCGATCCGATTAATGCTTTTTCATCCTGACTCAAGCGACCGCACCTCCCGAATGCGTCTATTGGACAATCCGAAACACTTCCGGTTGCACAAAATCTTAATCGCAACCGGTTGAGCAAAAGCGATTAAGAAATTTTCGGAATTTTCTTAATCGGTAAAAGTCTTAATCGGTTAGCGGTTATTCTGGGGTTATTTCGCTAGCAGTTACGATGTCTGACAGCCTAACTAGGGATACTGATCCGGGGTGCTTTTTGGGGGTCCATATTGCCGAATTTTCTATTTGACTCCATGAAATTTTCGTATCGCTTGATTTTTTAATCGGTTTTGCGCACCTGTGGTGTTAAATCGATTAATAAACCGATTAAAAACCCGAGCGATTAAGAAATTTTCTGGAGAAAATGTCTTAATCGGATTCGTAATCGCTACCGAAGATGCTTAGCGCACTGGCCCCATACTCTGAGGGAACGATCTGAGTAAAGTAGTGAAAGGTGAGTGTCAGTATTTCCAAATTAACCAGCCATCCAGGCTGAGGTGGGATACAGAACTGCCTTTTGTTGGTCCAGTGCTTGGTCGTTTTGTCTGTCTTGGACTTTTGAAACAGCACCGAAACAAGAACCACAGAGATGTCCGCCGTTGCACCCGATGTTGGCTCTGTCGTTCGTCCTCGACCTGTCCACATTCCTCATTATACCATCAACTTCCGCAAGCCCATCCCCAAAGTCCGCCGCGGTCCACGGCGATTTATGCGCCGCGGTGGACGGAACTGCGAGAGCGTACCGTATCCACAGGCAGCGGATGGTCTGGTTCTTCAGGGCTTGCTAGTAGGCAGCCAGGTCTTCCTCTACGATATGGTGACTTTTCGTTTCCTGCGTCAACATCGCGTAAGTAATGATCACTATGGTATAAAAGCGTACTGTAATTTCTGCTCTCTTTGATGGGATCAAACAGGGTACGGTGTCACTTCGGTCATCGAACAGTTCGAACTGTACCCTGTTTGATCAAGTTCCGTTGTGCCTAGCCGGTTATCGGTTTCAGTTTGAGATTTCTTTTGCTTCTTACGCTCCCCAACGAATTCACTTCCATTTCGCATTCTCTGGAATAATTTTTATAATACAAAAATTTTTCCCTGTGCGAATAGATGTTTTTGTATCTTTCAATGTCCATTGAACGCTAAACAGGACTTTGATCGTAAAATTGATTGCAGAATTAAATATCTGTGAGACGATATAATTATCACGGTATGCAGCATACCGTATGCTTCTTGAATCCTTCAAGACTGAGATTGCAGTTGATTGTTAATAACGTAATACGAACCCCTGTCTGCTTAAAATTTGACTTTTTGTGGAAGTATCGAATTTTTTTAATAATATTCCTTGCAACACAGGGCCATTTCGGTGAAGCTCATCGTTTCAAAGTCTACGAGCGTGGTGTACGGGCACCGTTTGGAGAGTCCGACGGCAGCAAAACATACGACCCGGAAACGGACTCATTTCCCCCGCCCGCTCACATCCAACCGGTCGGTACTCTCAACCTGTTTGAGGCATACTTCCTCAGCATTGTGACGAACTGTCTGCGCATCTGGGACGGTTCCAGCGGAATGGAAATTGATCCCAGGGCGTTGATGGGGATATTTATGCGGCTGCATCCATTATTTCCATATTTCTTCGCTGCGTACTGTCATTTTCGCCGCCTGAAATATGTGGTGACATCGGGTGTGAAATTCGGAACGGATTTTGGTAAGCTGCTTAAATTTTATTTGCTTTAATATTAATGTTTCGTATTGGCGAACTGTCCGGTTATGCGCGTAAATGCGGCCGGTCGTGCACTGTATTCTCTTTGTTAAATTTGTAAAACGTTATAGATTCTCGAACAATGAGCATCGAAATCTTGCACAAATTAGAATTGACACGAGTATAAAATAATAATAAGTATATAACAGAATGTTTATGGATGTTATAATATGGATGTTATTGTGAATGACGGTGTCAATAGCGGAATACCAGATTAATGATTTTGAGGGTTTAATTAAACAATTCTATGCAGACTGCATTACATTGCAGCCAACTGATAACCACGTACGCTAGAGTAGCGTTTATCTGGAAGCGGTCACTGCCTTCGGGTTTCCTTGTAAGCAAATGTCAGCATTTGCGCAAGCTATAAATGATTTTGGGCGTATTACGCAGTTCTATATGAATATGGACCATCCAAAACCCACTCCCTGTATATGGCGTACATTGTCATTCCCGGATTGCGCGATCCCAGTCTGAATATGGTTGACACCCTGCAACGGGTGGCTAATGCCGCTAAAAAGGACGCCTTGTTGGTACGCGTGACTACCGATGCAGTGTCTGAACAGGAAATCGCTACTTACGACTCCTTTGTCCGCATGAAGATTACGGTATGTTGCCGTTTCTTATACAGACCTGGATGATTATTCCTGCATTTAATTCCCACACTGGTTGACGCAATACCGGTGAATTTTACCGGAAATTGTTTATTCCAGTCTATTGTGTTGTGTGAAATGTCAGTAACATAATCAGTGTGCATTTATCTGTTATTACGATGCTTTTAATTGTGCACGCTGTTCAGGAGCTAATTGTGCGCCGTCGAGAACGGATTTTTGACAAGCCCATGCTGGAGACGACGCCTCAATATGTTCCGCCGTACCGAAACTTGCAGGCCTTGGCGGGAAAGGCCGGTACTGAGGACCCAGCTCCACTAGGAAATGGTTCTGTTGATGCCGCGTAAGTTTGTGCCTAATTAGCAGTAATACGAGCGAACTTTATAACAAAATCACCTGTGTTTCTGCTAGACATTATATTGTTAATTATTGCCATCTCCTTTTATTTTTTGACCGTTAAAAACTTGCCGGTTGATGAGAAATAAATTTCTTTTTCGCTGGATGTAATAGGAGATTGTAGAAGTCTGGTAGGAACAGAAGTTGACTCTAGCTAGCCTGATAAATGAATTGTTACTGCCTCTTGAATATTTGTCTTAGTACATCAGATACGTGATAAGTGGTTTTTAATGGTTTGTTTCTGTACTCCTCTGTGGTATCAGGGGTGTGAATTCCACTCGCCGACAGCGTCCCCAGACTTTCCACTTTCCCACGGTTTTTATGGGCGTTCGTCGTGTGTTTCGGGGCCGATTGTGGACCGGACCGACAAGAGGAGCGGGTGCTAGTAGTCTAGGATTCGGTCCGGCATTCGGATATCAGCGCACTCGTGGTCCACCAATGTTTGTCAGCCGTAACTCTTCGTAAGTTAAACACCGTGCTAGTATTCCTGATTATCATGTAAAACGTGCGCAATTATGACGGATGTTACGTATTTGGATTTCGTAGATCGTATCGTCCGGTGCGGGTTTGTGGACGTGGTGCGAGATTTTGGAGACGCTAAACAAATGGAAATTTCTTGCCGCTATAATATGTGCGGTATTCCATAAGTTGAATTTGGTTCACATTTGGTTGACCTTAGCTTCGGTTATTATTATGGCTCTTCGTTAGTTCGTTTTATTTTTTTATAGAGATGATGATAATTGTACCCTTAAAAGAGACTGTTTGTTTTTCGAATCTGGTTCATCAGCTTATGACATGCGTATTTTATTAGCCGTACTACAACGATCATGATCGATTCAGGGCAATTTTTCACCGTTAATAAGTACATTTTGTGTTCGCTAACATTGTCGTAATAATGATGAATAGAATGTCGAAAGTTTAATTAGCTGCAGTCTAGCATTTACATCTCGTAGCGCACATGGTAATTAAGTGATTAATCGTGCGTCGTGCATGGCGCCGCTAAGTGAACTGAGCGATTGGTTCAGTAGTTGCCGCGGTATTCATCGCGCGGTCCACCGCGAGCCGAAAACGGTCGGGAATATCCCGACTCAAACTGTCCGGCACCGCCGTACTGTCCATAGTGCTGCTGCGGCGCACCGTAATTGCCGCCGAACGGTGCTCCGTAGTCGCGATCCCGAGTTCGATCATAGCTGCCGCCGTACGGGCCGCTGTATCCACCCGTGCCATAGTGCTGCGGTGACGCACCATAATGCTTGGCATCATAATTGCTGGCGCCGCCGTAGTTGCCGTGCAACCCCCCGGCTCCCGCTCCGTACGAGGTCAGGTCACCGGCGTTGATCTGCAGATCCTGCAGCAAACGTCCGGCCTGCAATTGGAAAAACAGTAGAAGGTGAACTAACATTCACGCGGTTATACAGTTCGGCGACTTGGATTTCGGCGTTGTTTGCAAAAATTACATGGCTGACCTGGCCATGGCCAGCCACAGTATGTACACAGAGTGAGTATCAGTTAGTACCTGTTGCAACAGATGTCCAACTTCCTTCAGCTTACTCTGGGTCTGGTGAATGTCGGCGGTGCTGCCGGTATTGGCTCCACCAGCGCGGTGCTGCTGATCCTGACCAAACTGCCCGCCATGCTGGTTGTACTGACCAGTGGACAGGCCGCCAGTGGCACCGCCGTAGCGGTTTCCAGTGGTAGACGAATATTGGGAGTCCTAAGAAAAATTTTAACTCGGAAATAATTATCCACAGTTACGAAGAAACACAATGAAGCTTCTTAATAGAAAACGGAAATTTCCATTCGGAGTTGGCGAAACATTTTACAGCCCTCTCTAATTTTATGATTAGAATGATTGAATAATTATTATTACTCAAGTATTGTTTAAAACCATCTCATCTGATCGAAAAATCGAGTATTTGCTGAGTGATTTTTATCATTCATAATTTAAGCAAGTGTATGGATACTGGATCCTTAGTTGTGTTGCTGGTTTTACATCTTACAACCGCATGCTGACTTTAAGTTGCCCTTTACCTGGTTCTTGTTAAAATCCGATGTATACTTGCTAGTATCCTTATTGTCTTTATCCTTATTGTCTTTATCCTTGTTGTCTTTGTCCTTGTAATCGGAGTCCTTATTGTACTTGTTGGCATCCGAACTGTACTGATTCTTAGTTGTATCTTGGGTGTTGTACTGGTTCTTACTGGTATCGGTCGAGGTTTTGTCCGTGTTTGTAGTGTCCTTGCTTTTATCCGCGTCCTTGTTGGTGTCGGTGTTTGGTGTGGACGACATTTTCGTCAGAATGGAGTTAATGAGCGAGGAAATTGTGAAAAGTGTTATAAATTCACACTGATTAACTGAGCAACTGCTGAATGAATGGTTTACGCTTATTGTCGAACTTTTAATAGTGCGCAGGTCTACAAAATTAGTAATGCTAGAGTTGGGTTATATTTTTAATGATATGGCTGGGACTCATGACACACGGAAGTTGCTAGGGAAACGCATAAAATCGGAATTTACCTAAGAAAACATCGTACAGGAAATTTCCCATTATAAAAAAATTAAGTAGTGAAATCTTAAGTAGTGAAAAGATGAGGCAAAGGTCACGTACATTTATGGATTTTATTACGGATTTTAAATACTGTACATGGGGAAATACCTCTTTTGTAAGGTGTTGTGTTTATTTCTGGGGAAATAAAAACTAGTAAATAAGGGTAGATAATTATGGCCCTGATAATATTGTGCATATATAGAGTTTGTGGTTTCTGAATCCCGCAAACAAATGCTTTGACCTGAGTTGCGAATTAGATCAGAAAAATTCCAGAATTTTTTTATAACGTGCGCAATACAACTGTAAAAATTTGAATTACAAATACAGCAGAGTAGATGGATAGAAAATTAAGGACATAAGGATCCACTAATCGTGGACTACTGTTTTAAGTACAACACTGAGGTAATACATTGAAGTTTATAACTTGCTCTTTACGTTTGTTTTATGCAACATTCCGTAATGGGCATTGCCGCATTGGCACAACAAAGGTCAGATTCCAAACGACAGCAAGGTGGGAAACAATGGTTTATCGATGTTAGTCTAGGTCATTAATGTTTTCTGATTAGGTGCTCGTATTAGAATAAAAAATCCAAAATAATAATATTGCAAAGCTTAATTATAATTTGTCTAAAGTATGCCAAATCTATCGAAAGCCGACACTGCATTGTCGAATACAGATTTAGTTTCTAAACTGCACAAATGGAGCAGCGAGAATTTGACCTTTTTGCCGACATCGGCTAACCTGGATTCGGTTCTGGAATTATTTGACACGCAAGAGCATTTCCGCTCGCTGAAATCTGAAATGGTAGCGGATGTCGATAGACACGAGCAGGCAGTCCAAGCACTTAGAGACGCCAACAAGAGGGTGCAGTCACTGTCGCAATTGCTGAACACTATCCGGGATGAAATACCGGCATCCAGCCCAAAGAATATACCGTATCCTAAGAAAGCTTTTAGCGATAATGACTCATTCGGTGATGTAGGTCTAAATGCTCTAAAAAGGACTGACCACTCATTACAAGTGAAAGTTTTGGAATCTCTTCTGGAAAAGGCCGTTCTTAATTAAGTTTTGCGAGTACATACATAGTGAAAGTGGTGTCGGCTGTAATACAAGTGTTGGTGAAGCAAACGCGCGGTATAAAGTGCAGAACAACTGCGGTAGGAGTTGTTATTTGTGCAAAAGTGACCAGCCTGGATACCCGTGGACACTGGATAGTATCTTGGCGGATTCTTGAAGCCACTGCGTAACATGCAATATGCACCGCATATCTGTTATTTTATAAATTCTACGTGATTAGCATTTTGATTAATTTCAGTTCTATTTGCATTTTAATATTAGCAGGGCAGTGCGGCCTGTTGCTGACACTTTCACGTTTACGATAATCGCAGTTGTGTACTGGCCAATAACTTATTGTTAGGTAGGGTAAAACAAGTTTACAGTTTGTAATTCCATATAATGTACAACGTTTTTATAATATGTACAACGTTTCCATATAATGTACAACGTATGTAATTCCATATTTATGTTAGAAAAAAATTGATGAATTAAACTAACCCAAAAAGTCTCGCCAACGCAGCCGCCACCATTGGTAAACGCTATTGTTTAGTGAAGTGCCATCAAGGGCTCTTGCCTAGCACGCATCGCAAACAAAGTCACACGAAAGTAAAATGAGATAACGTAATTTATTGTCGACAATCCTCATCTGGAATTAGGTATTAAGCCGCGGTGTTTTTTGAAAGGTCTACTGTACTGCTGCGGTTCTATCACAGTTTATATACATATCAGAACACTAGCGATTTAGACGATCGAATAGTTATATATTCATATTGATTGATCTGGACATATTTTTTTTCTTCTAATGATAAGTAAACTTGCCATCGAATATGCGCGGCGCTATGGCCTTGTAATCGCGCGCTGTACCGAACCGAATGAGTTTTCAGGTTCGTGACATATTCCACTTATTGTGTTTTATTGTTGCGGACCAATATATAACCACTCATTTAAGTAATTTTCATGCCCTTTCCGATTGAGAAACGTATGTATGGCCTTTTTATCTCACCAGTCAGGATGGTTTCGGCAGCTTATGACTGCTATGTTATGCGACTGCCTTATGACTGTGTGGATGTGGAAATTGTACATTACCACTACACTTGCTGCACTTTTTTGTTGATGTTTGGACAGTAAAAATGATCATGATACGCAAGTTTAGAATCTCGTACAGTACATCCGCATCGCACGCAATTTGTGATATGCAATGGGTAATTAATATTCAAGACGTTCAACGGTGAAACTATTTACGAAATTTACAACGACGATCGGCTAATGCTCGATTAAGTAGCGACTTGGGTGTTTCACTGGATGTACGAGAGCCACCACAGAGCGTTTAAGCATTCGTTAAAAATTACGTGTGCATAACCTTGACATGCTTGTTGGACGCAGAGTTGAGCCGGTGTTTCTTATCCTTAATTCTGCTACCTATGGGATAATACCAGGTGCTCTAAATTTTGCTCTGATAAGTTTTCTTATGAGTATTTCGATCACAGTCTGGAGTCAAATTTTGTCAAATTTTGGTCATGGATTAACTGGACAGTGGACACGAGGTTCATCTACCTGCATTAGTATCGCTTATTATAGTAGTTATTACTAATTTAAGAGTCACCATGTAAACCATATGCTTTCCAAAGAATATATTTTCATCACTATCTGATATCACAACTAGTTGACTGACCGCTTCATTGGTAAGTTATTTTCGTAATTGTAAAAAAGGAAAATTAAGTAATTATGCGTTGTGAATGCGATATGGAGATGGCATAGTACAGTAATTTCCGTCGGTGCATGCTGATTTCAGTTGCCTCTGCTATTTTTAAATTTTTAAGGTTTTCATAGCGATGTACGGGTGCCTGCTCCATCAGGGTAGATTTTCGGAAAAGAAGTTAGCGCTCTTTACCAGTAGTATACATTCATGAATGCTACCCAGTAATTGAACGGTTAAGAAGGTATTTCAGATATGAAATTTTAATTGACATTGACACCTATTACCGCGCGCCTTGAGTTAAAAGCGTTTACTCCATTGTTTGAACTAGTGACAGCCAGTTTAGGTAAGAGAATCCTTCGTTGCGTACGGGTCTATTTGGTGCTGTATATGTGAAACCTCCTTTTGAGGATGCCTGAGAAGGTTTGTTGACTAACTGAATTATAATAATTATATTTACCCACAGACTTGGTGTGCCGATTAAATAAAGGCCGGCAGGCCCGGCACTATACGAATGAACGTTGTTTTGAGCAGTTTCGTTAGTGCAGTGCTGCAATGGCTTATCAAACCAACAGCATCGTGTTGCCGCTGTACGGCGTAACTAGTGTTATCGCCGATATTTTCTAATTTGCAGTACGCCAGTATCGTTTTCCTTTTAGATATACTCATTTTGGGATAGAATTTTGCAGATGCCTTTCTGTACTATTGCGAGTTTGTGTTTGCATTATTTTTTACAAGATTGCTTAAACAGTTCGATCAGTAACTATCTCACAAAATCCCCATTCTTTTTTGCTACTTATCGTTGTGCCTTATTCATTCTATTTATGCATCCGGATACAATTTATTATCAGTGTTAGGATACAATAATATGCCTACCTTTGATAGCAATACAGAGAAGCTGTGCAAACTTTCCTGATCATATTCCATGGAATTCTTGGCTGTAAAAAGGGTGAGAAAGCTGTCATTGCCGCAACCCCTTCTCTACGCTTAACTGTAACAGCGTACAATACTTTTCCTACCTCGATCAGTCTGCGCCAAATTTTATACATAAAACAATGCGCGATCAGTTCGCGCGCCTCATTTATAGTGCATCTGCCGGCTGCCGGTAACCTTTTGATGGTTGGTAGTTGTCTCCTGCTGTGCGCTTGTACACCGGCAATAAACTCCTGTATTGGTGTCGATAATATAAATCGGGTTAATTTTATTAGAACAAAATGTGCACGGGAGTTTTATGACGGATGTGCCTAGAACAATTGCTGGATGCTTTACTTCCCATTGTTAAATTTGATAGCCCAACCGATCTTTAACGCACGTTTGCAGAATATATTTTGGTCGTGTAGAAACTAGCCGGTACTTCGCATTTTAAGCATAGAGGGAACGAACATACGCCGCTTCGCTTTGCTCCGCTCATACAGAACGAAGCAAAGCGAAACGGCGTATGTTCGTTCCCACTATGTTTTAAGGTCTTGTACGCACGTATGTCGGCGCACTTTTCCTGGACGTCAAGCGCCAAAGATTGGCATAATATTCGTACGGATTATTGCTCTGATCACTAATTTTCTGCGTTTTGAATTCTCTGTTTTATGCGTTTTGGATATTAGCCGAAATAATGTTGTCCGTGAAATTCATACATTCATATAGCCAATACGGAGTTGTGTGTGTAAGTAATCGAAAATAATAAGTAATGTGCAACAGTGTAAGTAGTATTTTGCATAAAACAGATACTTATGTTCGTTGGATTGTTGGTTTAATAGTTTCTGTTTCTTTTTCAAAATTATAATTTCTAATGAGATTAATAAGATTAGAAGTTCACTGATACAAAGTTTAAGCTGGTTCGCAGTAACAGCAACTAGCTAGTGCGTGGGATTTCTTACATCTTTAGTAAGCTTTAATCTGCTAACAGCTTTTATATTCTTGTAAATTTTTTCAGTAAACCAACTATTTAATTTCGAATGTTACTAATATACGTACTTGAAAATCTTTAAACTGATGCACTACATCACAGCCTGAGCGTATCGGCATAGCATCTACGGGAATAGAAAATCTGAGACTTAGCTTTAAATACCAAATCGGATTTGACGAACAAATTTAGATAGGCTTCCTGTGTTTTTTGAAATGAAAGTGCAGCCTGCAAATACTATAGGTATTTAATGTTCGTCCGGATTGGCGGTACTTTAACGATTAAGCGGTAGTGCGCACTAGGTTAATCGTTCGGCATTTAAATTCCTTCTTGATTACGACGTAACCGATACTGCTGCATATGTTGGGCGTGTTAAATCGGCAATGTACTTACTTATGAAACAGTCTCGTTTTATTAGTGTAAATTTACTTTAACCGTAAGAAACTGGAAACATGCAATACCTTATTGATTGATTTGGACTTTTTGTGTAAGAAATGAATCAGTTCACATTGATCGTATAGGAATCGATTTGTTGGATAAATGGCATTTTTATCACGCAGTGCGTATCAAAATGTACTGTGTTGTGAACTAAAGTTCTACACGATGTATTTTTAGTTGATGTGCTACAAAACTTTTGTTTAATTTTTTTGACTCTGCAAACTTATAGTGGCAATAAATAATAAATTCGAAGAAGTGCGGTATACAGCCAAAAATAGCTCCTTTTTGATTGCTGAATTTATTAACATTTTTTGTGCGGCTTCCACAAGTTAAAGGTTGTTGGCGTCAGTTGTATGCATGTAAGCAAACTGGCCACAATTTGCATACATGATGTTAACACGCAACGGACGTTCGGCTTGTGGCTATTTTCTGCTTTTTTTGTATTATGAACGAATAACGCTGAAAGAAACTGTCATGGCTTCCGGTGGCGCTTAAGTGGTTATGCTATTGATCATACAGTTAGTTATGACAGATTATCCGAGCGGAAGCCAACTAGCCGGTCAATATCACAGGAATTTATGTGCTGGCATTACAGATGAAGATGCAAAGATAATCACGCGGATATCCAGTTGGTTTCCGGGATCACCATCGTTAAAAGATGGCCATATGTGTGACCACACAGAAGGCTCCATTTATCAGGTGGATTTTATTACTTGGATTACTGTTCATGACCGTCCTTATGAGAGCTAATGGTATGGGCACGTTATGGAAATTCCATAATGTTTTCTATCAATCGTCGTTCTTGTTCTGTTTGTAATGTAATTTGGTAAACCAATAAAGCAAAATTTATAAAATCGAGTTTTTTGTCCGTGTCGCTGAGATCAGCTTCATCCATGTCGGATGCCGCTGCATGGTATCAGACATGTTTGTTTATCAGTAATCTAGAAATAATGGTTTGGCTGGCTGGCTTTTTGATTTGCAATCTGTTTTTTGTCTTTTGTTGGATCCGTCCAGCTATGCTAAATTCAAAACCCGCTCAGCAAAAACTGGACCTAATTACGAACGTCCCTATATAGGTTAAAACTTGATTTACATACACAGTTTTCTTACAGATATACGAATATAATGATTTTGATTGCTTTTTTCAATGCTGTCGAATGTTGATCATTATTGCTGCTTTGCTGGCTGTTGCCGGTCACAATCTTACGCACAATAAAGTTTCCTGGCACACAAGTACTGCAGCAGGCTAACTACTGAGGATAAGAATTAAGAAGCGATACATTTTACTGTTTAAAAGCACTATTCTTCTCTAGATTTATTTAACATTGTGGAAGTACATGAATTAACCGTCGATATCGATTTTGATTGCTGGTTGTTTGCAAGTTACGAAGCACCAATTATTTATAAATTTTCCTGACAAGCCAAATGGTGTCTACGTTTAAATGGTAGTCGTCGTCGGTAGAATTTTGTTCGGCAGAACCGTCGGTGAAACGATGTAATGTCATTCGGCATAGATCTCGTTTGACCTTTGCTGTTGTGGTCACTTCTGGGGCATCCATTGCCATCCAGTTTCCAGTATCACACGCCGACTTTTGACTGGAAATAGGTTGAATAACCGAAACTGATACAGTTAGCAGTTTGTTCATTAATTTCTGTGCTAAAGTAACCCGTACACCTGCTTTCCGTCTGAATTATATCGCCGTGGTGCATTGTGGACATTCATGCACACTCGACCCTTCTGTTAATATCGATATGGTCAACAAATCTAGCACTAATGGTGTATCACTAATGATGTTGACTTCGATGTAGTCTGCTGAGTGCTGAGTCCTAAAAATATCGATGTGTATACCTGAGCAGATAATTATGCAGTTAAAAGTAGTCGAACATTTTTTGCATTCCTTTGCAGTATTAATTATTGCTAATTTGTTTTCAGCGTACCCTTGCATGGTACAAAATGGATCCAGTATTTTCCTCACTATTCCCGAATCTTTCTCACCCGGTATGCTATCCATTAAATTTTGCTGAATTTAATTTGTGGTTGTTTCGTAAATTATTTACTTTTTTCTAATTTAATTGGTTACTTAAATCTCTTGTTCAGTTGCCTACATTTTATTCGATTACTGCATTTAATTTAAGGTGTAATAAAATAACGATGCTGAATTGTTTAAGGCAAAAGCTTCAAAACCCTGGATATGATTGAAGGCGACGCCTCAGCTAAAGGAAATATTAATCTACGGCTTAAGGAGCCTAATCGGTATTTCGGATTGGATAGTCAGAGTAAAAGTCTGATCTTACTACGGGAAATAGACCGCGAAACCCTTGAAGCCAAAGTATGTTTGATGATGCACGAGTGCGCTGCAATACACTTGAATGCGTATTACACACGCTGTTACATGACACCCATTGTCCAACGTTGTGTCTTATGCCTTCTTTTAAGAATCCACCTGAAACCGTACAGAAATTGACCTTGGTGTGTGAATATTTGGATGGAGACTCGTGGCGACGGATTGATGTTCCGGTGCAGATTGTTGTTACGGACGTCAATGATAATGCGCCGCATTTTCGAAATACACCATATGCAGCCACCGTTAGCGAGGTACAGCGATTGCACAGCTGAGCACGCTACAAGAGCTTCTGATTGGCATTTTTGGCTATATTTTTGGATACATAATTGCGTTTTATCGTTTGGATAAGCTATAGATAATAACCTTCAAAAAACTAGTTTTTCAGTTTAAAATTAGAAAATTTTAATTCTAAACGTTTGTTTATGTCGATATTATTACGCTTACTCAATTAAAAAATGTGGATACGTTTTCGTTGTTTTTTTTCTGGAGTAATAGCCAAGTATGGTGACTTAACAGTTATTTATTACAGACAATTGTGGATTAATTCATGTAATATTTATACGCGTATAATTTTTAGCTGGCGCCCGTCGGCAGTGTGATACTCAAAGATATCCACGCTAATGACGCCGATTCCACCGGTAACATGGTGATCTATTCCATTGTCAAAGGACCATACTCGGTATGTACGCAAATTTAAGCAATTCATTTACCTCTTAATCCGCTCTGAACAATCTGGTTCCCCATTGATTAATACGATCCTTTATATGACGGCACAGGATTATGTCCGCTTGGAGGACACTTTATCTGGCACGTTAATTTTGAACCATCAGCTGGATTTCGAAAACGAACAACATAAAGTCTTCAACATCACGATCATGGCCAAAGACCAAGGCAATCCGCCACTGACCGCCACCGCTAACGTCCAAATCACCGTGGAGGACGGCGATGATCTCAATCCGGAGTTCCAGCAGCCGCGCTATACAGCCGCGCTTCCGCGTGACGCGCGCATTGGCTACGAACTAAAAGTGCAACCAGAAAGTAAAGAAAGCTTTCAATTAGAAGCAGTTAAAATTGTTAAAAGTAAAACTACTCTACATAATTTCAAAACCATATGTTACTGCAATATAAAGTTAAGTAATGTTGGTTGCTGTTTGTTGCGGCGGTTAAATTGAGTTATCAATAAGGTCATACGTTAATGCAGTATAGCCGCCGCAGCGGTAAAACCTTAATTGTTTTAAAATTATTGCACTGCATTGATTAAAAATCTGATTTCCAACCTAAGGTAATTGAGTACCTGTTGGCAGCTATCAAAGCACTGGATCGGGACCACGGGATGTTGACTCCGGTGGTTTACAGCATTGTCGAAGGAGGTCGGGTGTTCGACATTGATAAGAAGACGGGAGTTGTGACTGTGAACGGGACCATTGATCAGACATTATACGTGCTGACCATCAAAGCCACGCAGGTGGACAATCCCGGGCGGTATACGCTGACCACACTGAGAATCTCAGCGGAGACGCCCAACCGGAAACCACCCAAATTCGCCCATAAAGAATACCATCAGAAGGTTCTCGAAAATACACCGGTCAATACCACTATTTTATCAGTGCAAGCTACTGACGACGATGTTGGAGCCGTTTTGGTTTATTCTTTGCTAGCATCAGAAGCAGTGCCGCATTTTGCGCTGACCGCAAGGTAAAAAAAATAGCTCTTGTATAATAGACCTTGTTAAAAAAATTAATTGTAATTAAATGCAATTCCTGTTCCAGTTACCATACCGCCTGATTACTACAATTTGTTATTACGTATTAATAACGTGATCATTGATTTTGAAACAACCAAATGGCTTGCATAATACGTATATTAATCTTTGCAGTACAGTTTCATTTCTTTTTTATATAGTGGTAACCTTTACATCACCATGCCATTGGATTACGAAAATGCGACTGGATATATCCTGTTTGCAAGGGTAACCGATGGTGAATTTACTGACCAGACGAAAATCGTTATTGAAGTCCTTAACGAGAACGATCATGATCCGCAATTCAGTGAAACCGAATACATATTCGATATCCCAGTGGAGAAGAAATATCGCGGATCTCCAATGGGACACATTCGCTACTGGGACCGTGATGGTGACCACGTGTTTACCACTCTGGCATTTTTGGATGAGCACATGAAGTATGCCGGTGCATTAATTATGCATACCTGCAAATATACTGTCTGTTTATTTACGTGATGTATGGGTGCGATTGCTGTTTGCCGGTTACCTAACGCCAATCACAAAATAAATCCACCATGAACAATATCCATACACCGTTCAATCAAATTAATTACATTGTTGCTTGAATTAATTTTATTGTCCATCGCAATGTATACGGCGACATTGAATGTCTTATGGTTTTATCGTAGAGGTGTGTTCACGATTAACGGCAGTGAGATTACCCTGATGGCCGATGCCGATGAAGTCAACCGGACCGAATACCGGTTTTTCGTTGTCGCCGAGGACAGCGGTGATCCGCCACGGAAATCCTCCGTCCCCGTGACCATTAATTTCCCGGCGGTGGCACTTCCGGCCACCGCCCCGATCGCTGATCAGTACTTTGTCCTAGCCATTGTCCTGGGCTCGTTAGCGGGACTCCTCCTGCTTATCGTGCTGTGCTTGGTTTGTTACGTCGGCAAAACGTAAGTGCTGTAATTCTTACGTCAGTGGTGCATGCAATACCTTTAGTTTCTGGTGACGGTCTGAAATCTGACTATAATGCATGTTGCTTTCTCTTTTTCTTCTGAAGTGCTAGATCTTCTGCAAAGAAACCGGCACACTCAGGTAAATATACTCACGGATGCAGGCAACAAACTTAGCTCTAGGAATCAGAATTTTGTGCTGCAATATTTCGATGATTTTGACATTTGAAAGCAAAATCTTCTCCAATTCTTTGTCCGGCTTTAAAATTCACATTGTATTTTATTTCATATCTGGCATCAAGTAAACGCTTTCCGATAAATGTATTTTAAGTATTGACGCCTGTTTCATAATTCCGTGTGTACAAATATGTAAGTACCGTCACTACCGTATGTATGCACTCAATCCTATGCAGGCCAGCACCTTTTCCGAAGCCGATTAACGTGTTGCTTTTTCTTTCTCGTCTAAAGTGCAAGATCTCAGATTTTAACGAGATCTTCGGTATTCTGCCTCTGAGTCTCTGCAGAATATTATTCCTTTACTGGTTTGCGTACTAATTTTTATGTCTATCATCATGGTCCATTTAACGCTTGTCTTGTACATCAGAAAACCATGGTCCCGAAAAAGTCCCGCCGGCACTCTCCGATCCTGCCCCCTTGACGATGATACCCGTGGATTAACGTACAAGCAGCGTGTGCCTTATCATGACATTGTTCCTGTTAGTAGCAGTAGTGCTTCCAGTGATTCTGAGACTAGTTCCCATGATCTGCATCCTGTCGACAATCCCGGACTCCAGACTGATGATTTATCTCCAAAATCCAGCCCCATTTCGGCGTGGGGATCATCCAGTGCTGTTGCAGCGTCCGGACCCGTTCATCAAATTGTCTCCAATGATCTCGGCTTGAGTCCAAAGGGTATTATTCTCAGCACAGGCAATACACCACGGCATAACAACAACAACAACATCGGTGTCGTTAGGAAGCAGAAGAGACTGAAATGGGAAGACGAAGAGAAGCCGGGAAAGGTCAATCAGAAATTTTATATATTTCTAATTAATTTATACCTTTCTTTCATTTGGATGCGTATCCACAGTACGTCCATACATCGTAACTAATTTATTATTATTCGCAATGCGCTTTACGTGCAATGCAAGGTGCGGACGGTTGAGAAGTACCGTACATAGATATGGCGCTATTGCCACTTGATAGCCTTTCGTCACTTCCGGTGATTTAAAAGTCGTCAAGTATCAGGCAGCATGCGGTCAAGTGATGAGCTTGTAACCATATAGCTTTGGTTTTTGCAGTCGATGGCATCCGTGGATCATTTCGAATTCGGCTGGCAGTCGTCGGAAACTTTGTCACCCATGCAGACCGATACCGAACGACCGGAAGTGACCGTTTACTTCTAAGTACTGGATTAGCCATGGACCAAATTTTTGCTGCTGCATATTAAGCTTGTTATTTTTTTGTGGTCGCGGGTATAAATGTATGCATGGGGTGTTGATTGTGGCAAATATGCCTTTAAACAGCGATTTGACAGTGGGATAGTTAAAGATGCTTTTGTAGCATAATATAGCACAATTTTGTAATCGGCGAAGGTTGTAGCTAACAATTTGGACTGTACAGGGTCAATGCTAAATTTATGAACAATTCCAATCTTACACAGTTTTAACTTGAGTTTATCGGTATCAGTAGTAATTTGTCATGCAAGGAAAGACACGGGTGCATCACAATCGACAACAAAACTACAAGTACTAGTATACTCCACACCGCATATCATTACGACTTCGGATTTTAATTTTTATCTTTAATGTAATTACTAACTTCACTAAGTCTCTGTAGTTGCCAGTTTATCTCACCTAAAATTACCTTATTTTATGAGCGCCAACCAAATGGTGGGGGTATATCGAAACCGGAACAAATAAAAATGCAATTAAACAATTAACAATTTAAAATCTTTAAAAGTGCAAGAATCATCACAGCTTAAAACCACTGGGCTATCCAGAAGGCTTTTTACTCAATACACGCTGTATAAGACTTTTCAACTGGAAGACATTGGCAAACACCGATGGTAGATCTTTCCGCGCACATCCTCCGCTACAAAAATTACTAGAGTTAAAAAATTTGCGTTGCTTTACTAAGATTTCGATCATCCCACACTGTACTACTGGTTTACCTGAGTTTCCGTTTTATTACCGAGGTGAACAGTATTATCAACACTTTAAATCTACGTGAAATATGTTTGGTGTGTGCCAGTATGTATGCATACAATGTAAAATATGAGGTAAGTAAGCAGCAGTGTAATAATTTTCATATATCTATATGGTGTTAGAAAGATTAAAAAATCAACGTAAATAAATACATTACCTCCAAGAGGACACTCCATGTACGGTCCAGGAATGATCGGTTTCCCTACAATATAATCCGCCTCCACTATCCCCCAGACACGCCCCCTGAAATCGTTCGTCATTGCTAGCACACAACATATTATCGCGCACAAACTGCGGTGCGCCCTGTAGTAGCATGCCCCCGGTGTAATAGTTCTGCTGGCAGGTTTCCAGCGGCACATAATTCAACCGCCCATACAGAAGCGTATCGGAACCGGCTCCCACGTGCGGAGGACCCGGTGGGGAGGTCACCGTGTTGTCCGGTGCGGCCGGCCCCAATGGCGTTCGGAAGACGGTAATCCCCATACCCTCTTTCGTGTAGCCCCAGCCGGCTATGAAACACTGGGTGTGACCGGTTGCCGCGACGACATCCTTCAGGGAACGGTTGGGCAGACAAGCCGGACGCTGGGTGGCATCAAAAAATGGTATCGAACGCTTTAACCGAATGAGAGCAATGTCGTTTAGCCAACCTACACCAACAAGGATGAGAACTGAAAATGCTAACTACTTTTCACAGTCTTGGAAGCTGCCAACATGCATGATTCAGTAAAATTATCTTCGATGAGAAAATTAAATGAGTACTGCGCGGTGCCAAACGTACTTATGCTACGTCTATTGCACTTTCAAATTATTAATGCTACGCAGTTATAATATTACGAGTAGAAATACAGAATACTATCTTAGTGACCTTATGAAGTTATGGTTCAACTGTTCAAGTAATTTTCTTTATAATTATCGAATTCTAATAATTCCAGTAGTCAATTATTGTTAATTAGCGTACACGGGTTCGTTTCCGTGTGAGTTAATCCCGAGTAAAACAGCTTGTAGGAAAAACGATAGTTTAACGTGTAACTACCGTTAGGTGAACGGATGTGTGTCAATTTTAGCCGTCTCCTAACGTTTAACTAACGTTTTTTTTGCAAGTTGTTTTACTGGGGAATTAGTTTTCATTTGTCGTGCGTTGAATTATGACTGCCTATGTACTCTGTATATTGTAATCTCGTAGCCGTGCTGTGTCCCATTTGTTCTTGCAGATTTACCTTTGGGGTCATAATTCGGATGCACGACCAAATCTGCAATCTCATACTTATTATCCGCCGTGGCCTGATTGAGATCCAACACACCAATTACGACGGTCGTGTTGGCCTGAATGTCACGGACGTCCAGACTGGAATCGACGGATTAATCAACATTTTGTCGGAAACTGGGACATAAGTGTCATTGCACATATTTCTCAACGTACGGGCCTATTATGCAGTGGGCAGCAGTCAGGACCCAATCCGCAGTCAGAATTGTTGCGCCACAGTACTATGAAGTAGAGTATATGATTACTTACACTCACTGCACTTATTCATTAATGATATTGTGTGCAATACACGTGATTATCAATTATGATGCTATTGGTTTGTCGTAGTAAACTGATAATGACAGCACAGTATGTCGCGATCGGACAGATTACAGTTTTCTTCTTACGTACTTGCTTGTATCTTTTATGGACTAGAGCGGCTATCCAGGGAAAATTGCCATAATGAGCAACATCGCCGTTGACGATGCGAGTATAATCTGGCGGATAGCCTGTCGTGCCTGTTTTACCATAATAAAATTACTATTCAACTACAAAATTAATTGCCATGGTGGTTATATTACTAGGAAGTTCCCTTTATAGGATTCTTTTAAATGTGTACTCCACTGAAAAAGCATTATGTACGAGCAAATGTCGTACACAAATGATTGTAAGTAATTAGCAAATACCGCATTCTGGAAGCGATCCGCCATTCGCTGCTGTTGGTAGCATTCCTGCAGCTGGCGCGGCCTGCTGAAACATGGGGCTTCCAATATCAGATTGCGGTGCATTGCCGTTGAATACTTGGAATTGATTCTGCACCGGCAACTGATTCTGTATGTGACGGGTACGTGGGGTTTCGGTTACGAACATTGCACCGGTATGAACGGTCAACACGAGGAAGAAGCTTATGGGCCCATCGCCTCTGCCCGCGCCACAATAATCTATCAGGATGGCACTTCCGGTGGCATTGAAAACAAAGCGCGTCGATGTGGAATTGGGTCGAGTCACTGCAGAAACAGTCGAAAAAATAAAATACTGTCCTACTGTACTTTTCTGAAATTTATAGTCTACAGAACTCTTAAGCATAATATAACTAACTACTGTACATCGTATTGATTTTTACGCCAAACATCTTTTAGTTGAGCATTTTGTACGGTTGCACTATATTCGTAGTATTATTGCGTACACACTGCGATTTTCAGATGGAATTCATACTCGTACATGTTCATATAGATATATAAGACGTAGTATCTATATAAGTTTTATAAAAATTATGAATACCAGCGTATACGTACATTGGAGACGAGGCTATAATTAAAAAATGTCAACATGCCCGGTATTTTGATGCACAGAAATTACTACAAATAAAATAATATATTCTGTAGTAGGCAAGCATACTTCAGCTGCTTCTACCTTTGACTAAGGGATCATTCTTTGTAAATAGGTTATAGTCACAAGTATTTGGATAGGAGCTGCGGACACTTCCATCGATGAAAACAAGTGCGTCGTCTGTGGCCAACTGGAAAGGAAATTCCAGCGTAGCGCTCAGCTGATTTATGGAAACCTAAATTATAAAGAGATTAAACTGTACAGTAGAAACTACTTGAAAGTAATTGCTGGTATTCGTTTGAAATAACCTAGAGTAGAGTACTTATATTCGAATTCGCTTAGGAGCAGCAATTTTATTCTTGCAAATTAGTTCAACTGTGCAACCACAGATACAGACATTCTAACCGGCTGAACTTGGTTGCGATTTTGAACTTCAAATCGACAATAACGCGGCGATTGAAGATTCAGAAGAAGCGGATATTTAGGCGGGAAACTTATAGTAGAACCTCCAACTTCCGCTATGTCGTCGCATGACGATAATGGAAATATATTGACTGGAAAAGTAGAGCTGTTCTATACTTGGTAACAATAGCAATGCCCCTCTAAAAAGTGTATCTATATATCACCATGGCACATACCCCCTTCCTCAAACGAATATACTCCGGATTTATCTAATTTCACACTTATTATCGTGAACAATGAAAAAAGCGGGAGGCGATACATGATATTAACAAACATGGTGATAGATCAATGATTTCCTAACAATTACGAAGAGACGTTTCAAACGGTATTGCAAATTAAACGACAATATTCGACTCGGCATCCCCACACTTACAACCTGTTTGTAATCGCTGCAAATGTCGCTAATCCGTTATCCGTCTGCATAACTACAGTACTACAGTATTTAAAATTGTGTGCTATATAAAGTACGGTAGAAGGGAACACTAGTAAACTAAATGCGCATAAACTTGGAATTTTTCCATTAAGAATCTGGTTCCGTTTGCGCCAGAGTACGCGGTTTTTAATTTGTACATATTGATTCAAGTCTTTCAAAAGACGATTAATCATCGTTCCAATAACAAACAATGCTAATGCAGCAAAAATGCCGCACGCTGATTGGAAATGGTTCAAAGCCCCGGCGTTGTTAATATTGATAATTCTCATGATTGACACACCTTTTTGAACTGTGATCCGGTATGTATCGTTTACAAAATCACTACTTCTACAGAACTTCTTCAGCAGATATTTACGAACTTAACGAGTCACTTACCGCGTTTTACATACTTACTTTCTTAGGGGTTACTTAGACAACCTATTGCACAACAATCCATTAGAATTTCAAAATTTGCTCAAATATTATAGGGCAGTTCATTACCCTAACATTCAGTATAATTTTCTTCCACTTTCATAATTTCCACATGTTAGGAGCTTGAAATGAATGCTGCGGTGAGTTAGGAATGCTTTTATCTATGATTAATAAAATAACACCTAGCAAACAAATAGTGTTAACATCACTTGAAACTTTTATTAAGCGAACTGAATTTTGTTAATCATAAGCGAAATTTTCTTAGTATGATTTCGCTTTTCTTTCTCGTTGGTTTTACTCCCGGTTAGCTGCTAACCGTTAGCACAGTCACACTTTCAGCGAGCCCTGGATCCCTGACACCTTAACATGAGCGCTATTTGATTGCCATTAACTGTGCAAGCCAACGATTTTTGATTATTTTTATTATGCATAATTATTGTCGTATAAGTAAATGTAATACAAGTACCGTATCTGCTAGCTCCATTAACGTCTTTTTTAACGGCATGCATTTTTATTCATTCAGTATCAGCTGATGTTAAATTGACGAGTGCGTGGTATTGTTCTCGCATCCTCTCCACTATCATACTAAGTAATTATTAATGTCTATTCCAGCTTATGAGTCCCTTTATGCCCCCCAGCTTTGTAGTCTTATTATCACGGATTCATGATCATTTAATTACGTTTAAATTAAAACCAACCTGTGTGATCTTGGCAACAGCGGTGATAAAAATGTCTTTCTGTTGTGTGTGTGATACAAAATGCGGTAGACGTTATTAGAAACCGAAGTACTGTCAACAACACGCAAATACAACAATTATTATAAAATTCGACAATACAATATAAACATTATGTACAGCTAAGTCAGTGTACTATGTACTGTACATGCACTGCACGAAATATCCTATATTATATAAATATAAACGATATGCATTATGCAGTATTTTCTTTGACATATCAGCGGTATCACCGTCGTTCTTATTGTTCTGCCGGATATCGATCAAAGTCCTCTATGAGCGGAAGTCCGATGCGCACAAGCACTGTGTGACGGTAGTTTATAATACGAGTATCAATCGATAGACTGCGTCGAAGTCTCGAAGACCGCAAGCACGATACCACCGATGCAACTGCAGCATAACAATTTTATAGCGTAGTACAAAGGAGATTCCAGCATCAACAAAACAACAACTCCTTGAGGCAAAACCATCCACATGCGTCAAAATTCCCACTAACATCTATCAACCTACGGAACTGGTAAGCCGAAATGACAGACAAGGATACTACCCATCATGTAGGCTCAATGAGTCCGAATAAATGGGATTATATACATGTACAACAGAATATTATACCCTATGTTCAACAAAAAGGTAAGAAAAAGCGAAGTAACTAATCAAAACGTGCAAGATGGCGATCCCATAACTCCAGAAAATAAGATCAACTTACAAGATACTCGAATTAGCATCGTTTTAATGCTATCAAAACCGCTTTCCCTATTGTCCAGTCCCCGTATAGCGCAACGATTAATGAATATCGAAGTAGAAAAAGGAAAACATGCCCCTCCAGGATGATACAGCACGTGCATCAAATTAAAACCACTAACCGCTGACTCCTTCCCTACATCACTTTTGAGAGGGTGGCGACAGGCAAACGATCGCGATCTTAGGTATCGGAACTGATTATCATATGCGTAAGCTAAACGTCAATTGAGGCTATGCAGGAAGATCCTCAAGTGCAGCAACAAAAAATGGCGATACCTACAAAGTACAAACGCACATAACAATAAATACTCCATCTATCACGCACCCAAATTCATTTCAAAATGCTCACCATTATATTAATTCTGCCAATGTGAAGGATTCAGTCTGCAAATTACGACTGCCCGCCGCTGCTCTGATTCGTTCCGGCTGACATGACGCCCAGCATTTTGATCGTTGTCGAGCGCAGTTCATTCACTAATCGTGACATCTCGGCGAACTTCCTCTCAAACACCTGCACCGCCGTTCGCAGGCGGACGATCTCCTGGTCGGATTCCTCCTTGGAACCGAATTCCCTGGCCACTCCGGCGCCGGCAGCATACTTCCCCTTACCCACCGACCGCTGGGGACTGCTGTGGGCATGATCCGTACGGGCGGCTTTGGAGGCGCGGGGCTGGGGCTTACTCATCTTCCGCTTGCTGGGTGTCTGCCCTTCGCCGCCTTCATCATGGCCGTTGGCTTCTTTGCTCTCCTCATAATCACCGTTCGTGTCGTCGCCTTCCCCGTCGCCGTTCATTTCGTCGGAATCCGGTTCAGGATGCGCGTAGCCTTCAGTGTCGTCACCGCCGCCCTCCTTCTGATTCCAGCTGAATATTGTCGGAATGGCTTCCTTGGTGAGACGGAGACGGAATCCGGTGGAGATGGCCAGGCGTTCAATGTACTCTTCCTCAAAGTGCATTGAACATACGCACGTTGTGCCTGAGATGCTGAAGTATGGGCCAGGATCGCGTCTGATATTACGTATCCATACGGCACGACGGGGATCGTTTTCAGGTGGAAATTGAAAATATCCAATTGTCTGGCCTTTGGTATCGAATTTATCACGATTAGCACGGTTATTACAACCAGGTACACAGCAGAATTTGCCCATTTTTATCCTTCAGAACGATCTGCTGGTGCACCGTAGCGTTGATCTGCCAAGCCAATGAAACAAATTATTTATTGAATTATTTATTTATTTACGGTCTCGATTCGATAGATTTACGTTCGTAAACTTCGTATGCGTGATGAAGACTAGTTTTTACGTACATATCTGTGAAGTTCGGTAGACGTACGTTGCTTACCTTTCAGAAACTCCAGGGTTCTTGGAATCTTGGGATAGAACTGATGAAATATTATCCTATCGAAGCACTGTATTTGAATTGTGTACTGTACGATTCACTCAAATCCAAGATGAAGTCTGTCACGCAGCACTAGCACCCCAATCAATGCAACAAAGAGTCTTGAGGCATGCCGTCTCCGATGAGAGACTCCGCAGTGTGCAAGCGTCTTTTCAGACCCGGTACTGAATCACTGACAGGCCGCAGCCGTTGGCGTAGTAATCAAAAACTCGCATTCGCTGATTTCGCTGTATGTCATACGATAAAGTTTGTGTTTGTTTGGTGTTTCCTGTTTGTGACTGTTAATTTGTTTGCTAGTTGTTAAACTTTTCGAATGAGCCGCAACCCTGCGGGAAAGAACACCCAAGTTAAAATCAATAGTTTTATTTACTAAATGAATTCACTTTCCTTAACTTTAAGCTAACGAAAAATTGTCTAAAATTTCTCTGCAAGAAAGACTACGCTAAACTGCTAAAGGAGCTACTACAGGGAACTACACTATTACCAGAAAATTTGCTAATGCGGCTTCCCGATAGTAATAACCCGGTCCAAAACCGGGCAGCTTGGCAGGCGAGTATTTCATTTTGGAAGAGTTTCTGAGCGAGCGGTTTCTGGTGGTGACTGGTGGGGCGGGTTCCAAATGCTATCGAAAGGCTGATGTCACGCATATTGGCAGTGCAGCAGCCATTTCTCTGCCTGACTGGTGAGTACTTTGCGGGTACTTGGCGGTTCACTAGCGTACTAGCCTCAGATTTCAGACTGCATGGCACTGGGCACATTAAGCCGGCGCATGCGGCTCTTCCTCTCCTGTTAATTAACGCCTGCCACTCCCCCTTTCCTGGTTCTTTAGCGTAAAAGCAGATGGCAAAGCCAAAATCCAGTAAGCAATTCACAAGTCTATTCAGGACATGCCCACGAGGCTACAACGGACTGTGCAGATTTTACAATTTTGCACCCCTAGCCGGTCTTGTATATGAATGAGTAAACATAATTGTAATATCAACTCAGGCAACTCTAGCAATGACAAAAATTATAAGTGCGAATGGCGATGCCCAGTGTCCACATTCCAAATAGCGTCTCTATACAACATATCTATAAAATGTAGTCTTCAATCTTCATAATTATTATGCACGGATTTACAGCTCAAACACCTGGTGATATCGATGCTTACATGTTGTGACCATTCAAGTTTTTAACGAAAACCATTGTGCAGTTATAATCTGAATAATTATTATCCACATTTGCATTTACTTACTGAAAGTGCTTCAAAAAAGTTAAGCTTTAACCGACCACGTCAAGTATGAGAATGAAATAACTGTACATAGCAGTTTATTATCTGCAACTGCAGTTGAGTTAATTAGGTATCTGTAAAGAGCATATTTATACATATCTATAGACTACATATAAATATACTCTTATAATATCTACATGAGTAAATACAATTTCCATTTTTGCAATGTTTGTGATTCTTCTGTAAATACAAAACGGTGCATAGAACCACACAGTCATACAGGACAATGTCATATCTATATAGGACAAATATATAAATACTAGTAGACCCCGCGCAAATTGCGCGGAACAAATCAGCTACAAATAATTTACGTTATATACAGGCTGCTAAGACTCAAATTATGATTGAGATACTGTACTAATAGGAAGAATACGGATCATAATTACAAATTCTATATTTTAAATTCGATTATGTGTTGCAACTTGCAAGTGTACTGGTAAAATTACCTATACTGTACTTCTACGGTAGTATGGCTGACACAGCGCAAAGTGCGCAGAGGAAATCGACTGCTGCCTGATGATACTTAAATGCAGTTAAAATAAAAATTACCGCATTTGCTAATGCAGTTAACTTCGCTGACAAAAACTAAGTTATTACCGAATTATCGTAATTATCGAATTGGCACCTCCCCGCATAATAAGGCACTCTCCGTACTAAGTAAGCCCCTCCCATAACCCGTTTGAAAAATAGCTCCTCCCCGAATTTGCCTCCCATTGGGGTGTTATTAAATGTTAAGCGCCACGAAATGATAGATATAAGGCCAATTGCTTCATAATAACTGCTATGATGTAATTAATAAACAGTAAACGGTCACAAAAATAATTTGGTGCTATGCTTCAGAATGCTGCTCGTAAGGTTCTGAAACTGCAAACACCGGTATCTACTGCGTTCAATTTCAATGGAACAGAATGCGCAGTTGTTTGAAAAATAAACGTCCCCTTCTGAAAAATACTGTTTGAAAAATAGTACCACCCCCAGAAATAACGCCTCCTCTCCGAAATAAGACCCCCTACTCCAGGACGTTTGAACTTTTGCACCCCAGGGGTGCAAATTCGATAATTACGGTAAGTCATTTTTTTCCAGCGGCAAGTGGCAATCCCACACCAACTAACTACTTAATACTTAACTAACTATAAAAGGTTCAATTGTTGCAGTCTTGCAGAGCTGGCTGATAAACTGTAAGAAAAAAACTGCCAAACGATGTCTCACTTGATTGCTGCTCCTCCTGCTTAGCGAGCTCGAAATACCGTAAAGAAACAGTGTCAACAGAGAAATGATTAAGTTAAAACTACCGCAAAACACTGCCTTTTACCTAAGTATCAAGCAGCCACCGTCATCCCGCAGCTACTTGATAATTGGTACTGCCAGGCTGCCAGCAAGATTCGCGACGCATGCAGCTCTCACTTGGGACACTTCCTAAGTTCCCTGGGTCGTTTGTGCGTTCGGTTGTCAAAATAACTTAAATCTTTCTTGTGCCTAAATTTTTATTATTCTTAAACCCACCGCTGTTAATATAATGTTTCTTAAAGCCATTGCAGACCAAATACATCAAAACAAAAAAAAATTTTCGAATTTTGTTTCACGATATAACCCGCGCAAGCTCTGCAGCAAGGCAGTTACTTTAAGTCTTCGCTGATTGGTTGTGTTGGGGTTCCGTAGACTTTGTATGATAGGGTTTTTTACAGTTTTCTCTCAAACGATGTTTGTTTTTTGAAATCCGAAAGTTGCGGGCTCATCTACGAAATCAGCGCTATTCCTGGTATGCGGTAGAGGGGCGGTGCCGGTGCAAACACGCTCATTGGCTATGTGAGTGGCCAAACAACAGAGAATTAAGCATAGCGCTAACAGGGCAGACTACAGGTGCGCAGTTATAACAGAATCTGTAGTACCGAATTTCATGGTGCAAAGCGCTAGCGGCAATAAGTCACTGCTGTAACAGATTTCCACGTGACAGCTAACATTTCCTTGTAGAGCACATTTTTCTGTACATTTTGGCTATGGTCTCGGTTTTGCTAACAGATCATTAGCTGCATGAGCAGTATTTAAAGTCGCTGTTTCGAACATGTGCTTAGCGACAGAAACAGCGACTTCCGGAAACTCGTAGGTTTTCACGAACTGCCGTCCGTACGCGGCTGCCCTGTCGCATAGCGTCAATCGAATGATCCGTAAATGTTGAATATTGATCCACTCTGCGATTCTGGGGGATTTGACAGACACACTGGTCACGCCCCCTCTTAATCTTTTATTATAAAGGATATCTATAGATGAAAATTTAGTACAATTTATCGACATACGTCTACCAGATTTTATCTTTGGTTTCGTATGGATCCGTTGGAGAAATTAAGTACTAATACTGCAAATTATTATTACACTAAATTGTATGATTTGGTATCCAGCCTGATAAATTAATTTTCAAATTACTGAGAAAGGGATGGATGGATGGATGGACCTTCCATCCATCCCTTTATGAGTACTTTGAAAATTAATAAAATCAATAAGTTAATTAATCAATAAGTCGGCCGCAATACTCGCAAGTCGCAAGCATTGGCACTATTCAAAAACTTCAAAAATACTTGAAATTCCAAAAACTTTTGCTCTAAACAAGTATGCACTTACGTATGTATAATAATATCAAAAATTAATTTGTCCCGTCTGGAGACCGACTCGAGAGTCTGGACCGTCTCCAATCGAATTAAAAAAATAATTTTCGTTTCGCGTTAAACCTGGGTGTCGCAAAGCGACCCGCACGCGGTACCGAGTTCCTGTTACAGCGAGGGTGTAGTCGTCACTTTTATTTTTGTGAGTTTTTGACTTTTTGGCTTTAATTTCAGTTTTGAGTTTTTTAATTGGTAACGATTAACCTATGCACAGTGCTGCACTTGTCGTCTAAGAATTAATAAAAACGGTTTAACGGTTAGCATTTTTTTGCAATTGGATAAGGGGTTGCTTCCGATAAATGGATGTAATGTCATCATTAACGGGACTGCGACGAGATGGAAGAAAGCCGGAAGAAGTGCGCGATATCTTATGCCAATTTGGTTGTGCAGAAGGAGCCGATGGGTCCGTGTTGTATCAATTGGGCAACACGAAAATTCTGGCCACGGTAGTGGGTCCAGCAGATGCGGTAAGGTTGTTAGCTGATGGTGCTTTACATATGGTTACTAAATTTGTAATTTTTATCACACGCAATCACTCTGAATACCGTGTAAAGGGGGAAAACGATGATGAAGAAGGGGACTTGGAGCTCCTCGAGGAACCTTCCGGATTAGACTGCCATTTCAAGCTGTCGTCCTTTAGTCAATCGGACCGCAAAAGTGGCAAAGGCGATGATCCGCGGTCGGAAGAATATGCTGAATACATGGAAATGTGCTACAAGATGATTATGTTTCCCCATAAGACAGCAGAGTCTGTCGTGAAGGTTACCTGTCAAGTTCTGCAAACAGATGGGAGTCATTTAGCCGCGGCACTCACGGCAGGAACGTTGGCGCTTATTGACGCGGGCATTCCCATCAAGGATATTATTGTGGCCTGCTCCGCTACGATAACGGATGGAAAACCTATCGTGGATATTGCCAGCCACGAAGAATCCCGTAAGTGGCGGGAACTCAGAGATTAGGACATTAGGTTGCCTATTTGGTTATTTTAAAATTGTTTTCGACGACAAGTTACTTTAGTTCAATATTAAGAAGATGAATCACGAGGGAATATTTTTTTTACGCGGTATTGCAACAGTATTTTCCAATCCTTAATCTTTTAGTCTGTTCTGGGTTTGAAAATTTTTCTAATGCAAATCTTTCTAATCCCGTAGACAAGCTGCCACAGTTGACTGTGGCCGCTATTCCTCGGACACGGGAAGTGGTCGTGTTGGACACCAAGAATCGATTTCATAAAGATCTGTTTAATCCGTTATTGAATGCAGCTTTGGACGGTTGCCAAAAAGTCTTTGAAGACGTGGAAAAAATTGTGCGAGAACACGTGAAGCAGTCAGATCCTCTGCTGATTTGAATAAATGCATAACTTGGTGATGAATTTGTCTGCGCATTGCCGCTGTGATAATTTTTTGTCGTTTTCCCTCGTGCGCAATCATGAATGAAAGTTTGGAAGGAATGACGACTTTCAGCATCATTTTGTTGATCGGATTTTGAATAGTCTGATATTCTAGCTGCATTTTATTGAAAACTAAAAGGTGTATCCGTCTAGGAAAACCCCCGCATTAGCTAACGTCAAGCCAAAATTGAAGGTTTATGACGGTTATGTTGGTTTGTGTTGAATTCTACGAAATAAATCTGTGTGCGCAACGTGCGTTGTTATTTTGAATCCAGTTCCGCAAATCGTTTGTTGTATCAGTGAATCAGCGGCAATAAGTTCAGCTACCATAACGGTTCAGCTACCATAACGGCTGCTGGCCATTTGCCTTCTGGTGATTGTGTTTAACCGTTCACTTCGAACACACATGTTTTTTCCGATTTTTTGTTGTGTTTCGCTAGAAATTTGGCGTGAATCTGGTTGTTAAATCAGCAGATTGCTTAATGTCGGGTAGTTTACAACAGTACTTGCACTCGATTTATGCTCATTTATCCCACGTAAACAACGGCATGTCTTTTTATGCTGAATTTGCGGTATGTGTTTTGGTTGATGTTTATCTACTCCAAACCCATTCTGGACAATCCGTCATTTGAACGAGGAAGTTTTATCTATTCTGTATTGATGTGCCGACATTAACAACATCGTCCATTCGAACGTCTCTCTATTCTGGAACCTCGTATGCCATTTTACAAGCAACTTTCGCTGCTCCTGATTACACGATCACAGTAAAACCCGGCGTGGTGTTCCCAGCCGGTATCGTGAACTTTTTATACATTTTTGTGGGTGCAATATGGGGAGGATTTATAATTATCTTGTCGCTGTGGCGTCAGCCATGGGTGGATTTTTATTCGGATATGAAATCGGCGTTATTGAGTACGTAAAAAACAATAGTTTCATTTTCAACCATTTTGCAAAATAGAACAATGCTAAATAATAATATTGTAACAATATGAGTACTCCTATATAAACCTGATGTAACAATTATACGAATAACTACGGTAGCACTGCTAGGACCATAACTTGTACAATGTAAACCGTGGTGACACTGGTGAGTATCAGTTTTCTCGTATAAGGAAACAGAATGTTTCGGGACTTTCGGCATTTCATGAAATCGTTTGCAGTATATAAAATTAATTACGAATTCTTTTCATTTTACGAAATTCTTTGGAATACCGTTGACCTTACAGTCGACAGTAACTTTTCTGTTGCAGCCAGGTATTAATTATGGACAGCTTCGGGTTGGAATTTGGTCTGAAATATAATCATTCAGTAAATGGGACGCTGGTCAAAACTCCCAACAGCGCCGACATCAGCGGTTGGATAACCTTCACCTTTCTGGTGGGCTGCGTCGTGGGTGCCGCTCTGACGTCCATCCTAGCCGACCGCATCGGGCGGCGCTACTCCATCTTCGTGGGATCGGTGTTGTTCATGATCGGCGGGGCCATGCAGACCGGCGCTTCACATATCGCCGTTCTTTATGTCGGCCGAATCATTAGCGGCATGGGCGTCGGTTTAATGTCCGCCGTGGTCCCGCTGTACATCTCAGAGACTGCCAAAACAGACGTCCGGGGGACGCTGATATCCACGTACCAGTTGATGATCACCTTTGGCATCCTAATCGCTTCATGTATCAATGCAGCCATATTATCCACACTAACCGGCGACGTAGAGTGGCGCTTAGCGTTGGGCATGCAGATGGTGCCGGCGGCCATTTTATGGGGATTGATCATCATTCTGCCGTTTTCGCCGCGTTGGCTGGTAGACCGCGGCCGGGAAGAAGAAGCCTTACAGAGTCTGGCCAAACTGCGCAGCGCTCCGGCTGATTCGGAGGCAGTACGGACAGAGTTTGCGTCCATTAAGGAGAGTGCTCTGCATGAGAAAAAGATCGGCTCGGTGACGTGGCTCGAACTGTGCAAAGCCGGCATCCGAAATCGTGTGGCTATTGGAGTGGTCCTGCAGTGCTTTCAGCAGTGGACGGGAATTAATGTCATCCTGTACTACGCCGCGGAATTGTTCAAGGACATGGGATTCTCCAGTGCACATGCCGGAGTGACTTTTGTTATTGCCAATGCGGCCATTAACTTTGTCGCGACGTTTCCCGGGATGTGGTTGGTGGAGCGGATTGGCCGGAAGCTGCTTATGATTATTGGTGGATTTCTCATGGGAGGCGCGCATATGCTAATTTGTCTGTAAGTTTTGCACCTTTGAATAATTATATATGCTTTTTAAAAAAGAACATATTTCTGGGGTGAGATATATGACCTTTTGTCGGTTACAGTTATAATATGATGTACGTATAGTGTGTGCACATCGTACAAGATTTTTCCTTACAAGTACACATCTGTATTCTGATTCCTCTTCTTGCTGCATTTTCTTCGACTGGGTCAGTCTATGTATAATAATATCTATATAATGTGATGTTATAAAACTGGGAGATGGAAGGTATAAACGAATACTCTTTTCACACTTTCGCCATCAGTTCTAAATTAATTTTATCATGTTCGCACAGAAAAACTGTACAAATTCTTACATACAGTTACTCGATATTGTGTAAGCTTTGTAATCACGCTTAGCATGTCTTTATCCGCAGGTTTTTGGGACTTTCCCATGAAACACCAGGTCTTTCATGGGCCGCAATGGTCTTTGTATACGTTTTCACAATTTCATTTGCATCGACGTGGGGTCCAGTTGTTTGGGTGTACCAGTCGGAAATTTTTCCTATGCGTGTCCGTGCCAAGGGGACGGCATGCTGTACTATGTCCAACTGGATTTGGAATGCCATTATTGCGAAGATTACACCGATTATGTTGACCAGTATTACATTTTATACCTATATTGTAAGTTTACAGAATGTAACGCCTTTAATACAAAACAGAACTGCAACAACATATTTTATATAAAACTTCTGCCGATTTTTATCCGCAGGCATTTTCATCGTAGATTTGAAGTATTTGCTTGATTATTAACTTCACATTCCGCACAAGGACTTTTTATTATGCAGTTTCGGGCCACAGCACGTACGGAAATACTAACTATCGCTGTATGGTATTCTTATGATTGTTTTTTCAGGTTTTTGGCAGTTTTGGAATTATTATGGCAATATTTGTGTGGATATTTGTGCCGGAAACGAAAGGAAAATCGTTGGAGGATATGGATGATATTTTTGGCCATGTTCCAGGGGAACCGGTAGACGACATCCGGCAAAAAAGTATTCGCGATTCAGTAATTGCAATGGATTCATTAAAAAATAAACCAGTGCTGCATTGATGTGCTTTTAACACTGTTGTCATACCTGTGTACAGTAGAGTCAGTATAAAAATTATGTACTTATACTGTACTTATTAAACGACTCACTACCGTTGCATTTTCCTTGTACGATAATAATGTAAGTACTTACAAAATGCACTCTCACTAATATTAGCTGTCACTTAAGTATTAATTTTGTTGTGCTTATTCAGTAGTAAAGCTTACTTTGCCATCTTCTCATTTCACAACCAATCTAAAATCACCCCTGTCGATATCGTATCTAAACTATAACCAATATATATAATTTAAATAAAAATCCATATAAAAATACCAAAGTTTTTCAAACGTTTCGACATGAGAATAACCAAAGGACTTAAGAACATAAAAAACAAAAGACAATGTTTTCTCTCTTCGGATACGGTTGAGCATTAACGACTCGACTCAGCGTGATTTTGCTGGGCGGGCACCGGAGTTTTCAGAAAACTAACAACTGCATCCGCCATCTGCGCGCCCACCTTGCTATCCCTGCTAAAGCAATAAAGGCCATGGAATCCCGGCGTTCTAACAACCTTTGTCTCCACACCGTCGGCTTTCAGCCGGTCCGCATAAGCCAGCGCTTCGTCCCGTAAAATATCGAACTCCGAAATTAATATCACCGTGGGCGGCAGTCCTTTCAATGTATCCGCAAACATCGGACACAAATATGGATCAAGGAGTTTTTTCTCCCAGTTCTTCACGACCTTTTCATCAATTTTGACATGACTCTGCGGAAACTGCTGGTACTTCTGCAAAACCGGCCAAATTTTTCCCTGCGTTATCCGCGGTGATAAGTGCTCATTGAATGTTAGTTCGTTAATAAATTGTATGCCTTCGTGCATGTAATGCAGCCAGAAGAGGATCATATCGCGGCGCGGTAGTATACCGTATCGATCATTTTGCTCGTAGGAATCCAGACGGAAGGTGGCAAACTGTAGGGCCGGCGACAGGAGGATCTGGCGCTGGAGGAATGTATGGCCGGTGTCGCGCAGCTTCAGTGTAACACTGGCGGCCAGATTACCGCCGGCACTATCGCCACCGATGCTAATTCGCTGCGGATCGATGCCCAGGCGTTGGGCGTGCTGGTGCAGATACAATACGGAGTTGTAGCAGGCTAGCATGGGTTTAGGATAGGGATTCTCCGGTGCTAACGGATACTGGATGGCTACCACCGCCACATCCGCATGCTGAGCAATGTACCGCTCCAATATCGCGTATATCTCTGGAAAAACATATTTTAAAGATCTTTCTCCAAGGTAGTTCCTATTTGCGTTTTAGTTGACGAAATATTTTCAAGCATCAATAAATTTTTGAAAAATTGGGTAAATCTGATTCTTTAACCGCAAGTAACCGTGTCTATACAATAGCTGCTTTTGCAGCCATGATTGGTGCAACAAGATTTTATTTATGTGCCGTTGAACTATTGTACAGGTAGAAGTATGCAAGCTGAAGTATGCACAGAGCATATGATCATGACAGCACTGTGCTGGGTCCAACGTAGTTGTAAAATAGTGTATTATGTTTGTTAAAAATAGTACTCTAACCATAAGTAGCAACAAATACTATATATTAACACAAAAATAAACATTGCGAAACTTCCAAAACTGCAGGGTAAAACGAAAAGTCGTGTGCCATGGCAGTCATGCCACCTCACGGATAACAAGCCATTTTCATGGTCAGCTTTTTGTAATATAATATGGAGAAGCAAATGTAATTTTCATAAAATCACTGTATAATATACCGGTTCTAAGATTCCCTGCTGGTTGCCGCGCTATCTTCAACTGATTTCTTATTCGGGCGATGTCATGAAAGTGAGTAACGAAACTAAAGGATAATTTATGAACCGTTAAGTTTATTCATTTTCATTTTAAGTTTATTCATTTATCATGAAGTTCTAACAATGAGTAAGCTTTCGAGTACGCTGTATAGTCTGCACTCTGGACTACTGTATGTTACAAGTATCTCTGCACTACAGTCTACAGTCTGCACTACTCGAATAAAGATTGTCAGTTAAGCCTGGTACAGATTGTGTGCCGGTATTTGCCAAAGCAAAGATCACTGAATTAATAATTAACTTTTACACTTAAAACGTTAACAAGAATTACGCTTACATATGTACTCGTACTGCAACAGTGGTCAGCTCTGTACCGTAATAAAAATAAGTAATGACTGCAGCGGTCTAGCGGATATTCCTGCTCCGCAAATTTGGCGGATGCAACTCACCTCGATATTCATACGCCCATCCGCCTCCATGGATATACACAAAAGCGGCATCCAGTTCTTTGGCATCTTTAGCTCGCGGTCTTCGGTGTACGGTGACGTTAACGCCCTCAAAATCATAATTTGTCGAGTCTAATGCATAGTTGTCCGGATGTACGAAGGCGAATCGGGAATTCCTGAAGGAACGTGTGATGTTTATAGCTGAATCATAGCCAACTAGGGCTCCCAAACGTGCCTGTTAGCAGCATATCATATTTGATGAGAGTAAATAATCATAAATCGGCGACGATAAAAACAAGTTCTCGATACGGCATGTTGATAAGTGCTGATAGTCAAATCGTGGCACATCGGCAAATATCTTATAAAGGCTAAAGTTAAATCTTTGGTGCCTTGGCGGCACATTATTACCAAGTACGATGGGCAGTATCTGGTTTTACCAAAATAACATAATTTCCGTCAATCTTTTCTGTTTTTTTCCATTCGTATTTTGCTTATGACACAAGTAACATGACTGGCACTGACTGCTGAAACTTACCATTACTAATTTTTTTCAGAACAAAATTTAAAAAAAAACTATTTCCGGTTACTAATAATAAAAAAACATAGCGACATAATGTAAACAGGGAGAACACAGTATTTTCGCATTTGCATGCAAATTAACATCTACGATTACGGGTAACGGGGTAAGCTAATTTTGCACGTTTGTTTTCTAATTACCACAACTTTTCCGGCTTGACTTAAAGCAAAAATCTTGCGCAAAATCCACCGGTCATCCTCATTCATCCCATCCGGAACAGGAGTATAAAAATAAACAAATACCACAGAAACACAGACTACAAAGCATGCAATCTTTAGAGGCAGCATGGTGTGTTGTGTTCTAAATATGTTGGGAGCCCAACCCGAGAAATTTCTCAGCGCATCAATAATAATCGAAGTGGTTTATCCACCCAACAACTCTGTGGCTGTGCGTGTGTGTGTCTGATTCGCAATGGTGTGGTTGCTGTGTGAGCTGTAAACATTCCTTAATCTGGCATATAGCGGTATACCGGCATGAAAGCCAGAAAATATATCGTACAAAACTTGTACTACTGTGGATGAATGCCTTGGATTCACATTTTTGGAGCCAAAACATGGGAAATCCACTGCCGGTAACTGCGTTGTACATACGTACAATACATAACAAGCGCCAAGGTACAGTATGTAAACAACGAAGCGATCCCGCCGCTAATTAATTGTACTTACCCCACCATCAGCTATCTGATAAAATCGGTACGTTAATCGACAGTTCGGCAGCGTCATAAAACTAGGTAGGTAAGTTAAAAAGAGATCAACACTTCAAACGATCCTCAAGAAACCTACTCGATCGTAGTGTGCGAAGTGCTTCGTTAACGATATTCATTAGCCAGTGTTTGCAGACTATGTATTGTACTTACACTCAAATAACACCGGCGTCCCGCAATATATCTTCGTCAAAAACACACATTACAAACGGTACCACTTGACTATTGTGTTTCTTTTCTTTTAACAATCGATTGCGCATAAGCAGTACACTAATCGCAGAAAACAGCAGGCCAACCAATATAATGCAAGGAAAATTATGAATTACGCAGCATTGCAGCGTTCAATAAGCACTTGCACACTTACAGATGCAAAACATTAAAGAAGAGTAATATTAATGTAGTACATATCGCAATTGACTTCAGAGAAGGAATATTTGCTGCATTTTAACAACAGTACGCAAATTGCGGGTATGCCAAACGTACTGATACGTACTCACGGTAAGAACAATCATGTACGTTGTTATTCAAAATAAATATGCAAATTATGCTTCCTCGGCTGTCTGAACTCTTACTGCCAGTCACTGTGTATCATACTTGGTCAACGTGAACACTCATAATTCTATTTTTGTTTTTTCGCGCTTTTGCGACAAGGTTTCCATTTTATAGTTATGCCACTTTATCATTGTTTTCTGGTAGTCAGCGCTTTCGCTTTGGTAATCAGAAGGATACCGGTCATTTATGGGCAGTTACTTCCTGACCCAGGGACAGTATGGATAAACGATCCTTTAAGTATTGGAAACACATTTCCTGCTGATAGTTCCGTAAGATGGCCGTCGGAAGGAAACTTTGTTTCAAACAGCCGACAGTAAGATTGATTTATGATTTAATATACAGAGTAGGTACTTCGAATTCTATACGACCTAACCGTAACTGCTGCAAATTTACTGCAGCTTGCCATACAAGCTTTACACCATTTTTGCATCATTGTTTTGCAGAACATATTTCATTGCGGCTTCCAAGAAACTGTACAGTGGTCAACCTTACAAGATCCATGTTTCTTTACTGCAAGATGCACCTGGAGCACTGTTTATGAAAGCATCGGTATCATCCAATTTTTCAACCATCGCCGTGGGGAAACGACTTTTTATGCCCGGAAGCCATGACCTTTTGTTGTTAAAAGTAAAAAGCAACTCTATTGGTCTTTTTAGAAGTACGGGTAGTTCGACAAAATCAGAATGCGCACACAACAAATGGCATCCAATATCTCATGTTAATATTCTATTTGGTAAAGTTATATCAAGTAACACAAGCTGCCGACTATCAAGTAACACAAAATGCCCATATGGTAAAATGTGTTTAAAAAAGTCCACAGTTTTCTGAATAAAGTATTTAACGCAAACTGAATATGTATATACATACTTTATGTATGCCAACTGTATATCACTTCGCAGGTGCATAACTATGTCCATGCGGAAGATTATGAGCTGATTTTGGAGGGTCGATTTGAAAATGTCAGCCGAGCTGGCGCCTTCAAGCATCGTCGCCCACTTGAACTTGAAGACCGTTCGGTACATATCCTTCTCCGTCTTGAAAAACCCATTTACCGCCAAGATGAACTAGGTATGTGTAGATGCTGGTTAACACAAAAACTGAATGAATGAAACAATGCGGACACGCACTGATCAGATGTAATTAGGCAAAGGTCACGACATTAGACTTCGAACTCCCTAGTTTTTACGGTCCACAACTGCCTAAAATATTGATCTTATAGTTCGGTTCCGTGTTATACTTTTAACGCCTCAATTAACGCCGTATCGCGGAGTTGTGGATGTGCATATTTACAACCCGGACGGATACCTACAGAGACGTTATCCCTCGTTACACAGTATTTTTGGTGTCGTGTCTGTTGCATATCAACTCGCTCCGGAGCTTAAGTTTGGAGACTGGAAAATCAAGGCTACAATTGGAACTAATGCCGCCGAAGTCTCTTTTCCAGTCGAAGAATTTAGTACGACCAAATCATTGATTACATAATTTACATTACAGCGTTATTATACCGGGTTCCCCCGATAAATACCTGCGCCGATTTTTGCAGATCAGCCATTATTTGAAGTGAATGTTACTTTGCCCGTGTCGATCATCGATACCGAAGAATTTCTGCACGGATCCGTAGAGACAAAGTAACCTTTTAAAATCCAAATCAACGGCACAGTTTTCCGCAACTTTATTATGGAAATTATTTTAGTTTTACTTGGGGTCAAAGCACCAACGGTGAGCTTAAACTACACGCTTTTGTAATTGATCCAGCCGATGGAGAAGCGGAAGCGCCAGACTGGAAAGGAGAGCCGAATGAGCAGACCACACAATTTGTTGGATTTGTATGCACTCAGCTCAGTGTGATTTATTCACAATTTTTATGATTTTTATCACTTACGGTATAGTAGCTTTTATGATTCATTAGTTTAACGGGACGCATTCTTTCAAATTTGCAATGGCGGATTTGAAATCTGTATCCGCGAACGGAAGCGTTGATGGCAAAACGATTGGGATCCGTGCAACGGTCTGGGACCACTGGCACAATGAAACCCGCGTGGGTTACTCTCAAACAAGGGTGTACAATGATTCATTGCGCTTAGTGTTCCTGGGACACAAACCACAAGTGTTCAAACCAGGAATGGTATTCAAAACGCAAGTACGTTCAGGAAGTATTATGCATCTTTTAAAGCCGTTAAAACACTCAAACATCATCTGCGCTTTGCTAAATCGCTACTGGGATTCCGTTAATTTAAAGTTCTTCAGTTGCCGTATTAATAATTTTAGCTGGCTGTTTCCCAGCAAGACGGATCGTACATTAAGAAACCTAGTGGCATCGAACTGCGTATCGAGTATATTCTGGAATCCGGTTCATCCGGTCAAACGGAAACATGGCCACTGCGAGCCCCATTGGACGGAATGATCCATCTCGAAATACCCACGCCAAAGGGTGTTTCACAGATTGTCCTCGAAGCCATGTCAACCGGAGCCACGCCCCACCTTCCGCTGCCATTCGACAGCGCCAACGTCTCCAAAACTAAAATGGTGGTTCTCCGCGCCCAATCGCCGCGTGCAGCCTATATCCAAGTTTCAACTCACACCTTGAAATTTCTCGTCGGCCATTATGGTATTTTTAACGTTCGCGCATCGTATTTCTTGCCCGATATTGTATGGATTGTGACCAGCAAGGGACTGGTGTTGCTGTCCGGTTATGAAGAAGTCCGTTCGCTGTCGTACACCTTCTCCATTGCCATTACCCCAGAAATGGCACCCCGAGCGCATTTGGTGGTATTCAATGTGCTTCCAACGGGAGAAGTCATCGCGGACAAATACACTTTCCCGGTGGATGGCATCTCCAGGCATAAAATGCGAATGGCAGTTAACCATCACAAGGATTATTACAAACGAACCTTCGAAGTTGTTGCGAAAGGTGATCCGCTAGCGTTTGTCGGGTTTTCAGCTATCGAAAACAACCTTTTTTCGCAGGCCCCGGGAATATCATCTTTGTCGCGATCTGACCTTTTGCGCAGTTTAAACTCTCTTTTCCCCGATCGGTATGGATCGGCGCTACACAGCACGACCTTTATCTCCAGCGATGGCTTCAGCGATCGGTCGTTTTATTTTGGAAGTAACACGTATGGGTTAGATGTGGAGAGTACTTTTTCGCATGCTGATTTATTGGTATTTACGGATGCAACGCTTACGCAGATAGCCACTGACTACTGTGATCCGGGAAAAAACGAGATATCGTGTGTTTCGGGTGGGTGCTATAACGAAGAGCAGAAGTGCAATGGATTATGGGATTGTCGAGATGGATCGGATGAGGGTGGCTGTGATGCTATGGAGACATTTTATGACGATGTCCTTAGTTTTCGACGGACAAGGTACAATCATATCGATCGCGCATATGCGTTCGCATGTTGTTGGACCGACGGAAACATTTCACCGGAAGGTCATCTAATAGTTCAGGTACCATCCTGCCGCTGAATGCAGTAGGGATTTTTTTATTTGAACTTTGGTGCGAAAGTAAACTAATATACGGCTATTTAGGTCCCGATGCCTGACCGACCAGCGCACTACGTAATTTCAGCCGTCAGTATGAGCGAAACATCCGGTCTGGGTCTGCTTGAATATGAATTAGTCTTCGATTCCATCAAACCTTTTCACATGATTGTCGAAACACCAGACACCGTTCACCAAGGTGAAATAATCGGAATACGCTGCGCACTTTTCAATTATTACCATCAAGAAGTGGAGGTTCTAGTTATACTTTCCGGTTCACCCGACTATATGTTCGTCGAAGTGGGTCCGCTAGGATGGACGCATTCATATTACGCTACCAAGGTTGGCGGTGCGGACATCCACCACAGTATATGGATGGATAGCCAAACGCAGACAATTGTATATTTTCCGATTGTTCCTAGTCGACTTGGGGAGATTTCAGTAACGATCACAGCAGCAACTCAAATCGATGAGTATGTGCAGAATCGCATAATCAATGTCATACCGGATGGAGTTAAACTGAAGTTCCATACATCGATCCCGCTGGACTTGACCAACAAGGGGACAATATTAAAATTGATGGACATACAAGTGACGGAAAATTACACGGTTCCGAGACAAATAGAAAGACTATTTGTGGCGAATTCCCCGAAGGTGACCGTTACTGCGGCAGGTATTGTAATTTGTAGTCGTAAAACACATGATTCTTTGATTTCATACATGCGAGCACTATCATTTCAACGCTCGTTGAAATTTGTTTTAGGTGATGTACTTGGGCCTTTGCTAAGGGACTCCATCGACAGTATAACGATGATGGACATTGCGCATCAGGGTGGAGAAATGTCCGTATTCAGCTTTGCCATGAATTTGTACACTTTGGACTTCTTGCGCCGCACAAACCAGCTGACAGACGAAATTCGAAAGCACCTGTTTGCTGCACTAAACTCCTGTAAGCACTGTGTACGAGTATTTGTAGATGCACATTTCGCGCGTAGCATAAGGTTTTCCTATTTCCGCAGCCAATATCTGTTGCACTACATGTAACCACGCTTGCAATTAGGGTTTGTATTTTCTCCAAGGTTGCTAAAATTTATGAAAAATTAACCAATTTTTTTACAGTTTACCAGACTATCGGGAATTATCAAGATTATTACGGACCTTTCCATCAATTTATGAATGAAACTCGTTTAGAGAACAGCGTATGGTTAACTGCATTCGCCGTGCAAGTTCTGGAAGAAAGCCGTAAAGTCCTGCAATACTCAGACTGGGATAATCAGTTTTATGCTGATCCTCTGACCACTGACCAGTCCGTACGATGGATAATTCAACATCAAACTGAGGAAGGCTCTTTCTATGAGCCATGGCTTGCACCATTCGACAGAAAAATGTCATACCATGTAACGAAGGACTGTTTAGATGATGGCATAATAATTATATGGGTTGAAGAACTCGTGCTTCTTGCAGACTTGGCAGCCATCTGGCTGGATGGAGAATCGCAACATCACGTTGACTGCCCATGTAGTGATTTGTTTGCAAGAGATCACGGCTTTCTCGAGTGGTCTGGGAGCATTGATCAGTACCAGCCGTCTGTCGGCCGTGAAATACCTGGAACGCTGGCTTGACCTTTTGTATGACCCATATGAAATTTCCATTGTGACATATGCGCTTACTATTGCGGATAGTGCCTTTAAAGATACCGCGTTCGAGAAGCTGGATTATCTAAAACAGCATTACGGTAATACGCAGTGATTGGGCTATAATTAGTAGTTTAGCAATGCTAGCAGTACGTCGTGATGTTTGCTGGCAGCAACTCTCGTAGGCATGACTGGCTTTCGTAATTTATTTAGATGCATACTTGTTCTGGGGCAAAGATTCCATCCAGCCACCAGGATTCGTTCTCCGAAACAACCAACCTTACATGCTTCCGCACATTCCACATAAATTTGAATCAACAAATATTGCTGCCACGGCGTATGCTTTGATGGTATACAATTTACGGCGTAGTTTTCTTAGTGATCGTATAGCGGCTTGGCTGAATACTCAACGGCTCCATGATACTGGCTTCAGCAGTACACAGGTCCTGAAAAGTGAATATACCCGTTACTTCGAAAACGAATTTTAGTTCTTGACGTGGTAACTACAGGACACGTACATAGCGGTAAAAGCCCTGATGCTTCATTCTTATTTCGCCAACGTCCGGGAGGCTACCAACATCAATATAACCCTGCGATACAGCAGTTCTCCGGGCGCGGAGGACACCTTGGCTATCCGAAAAGACACACTATCGCAAATACAGACCGCGGAAGTAAGCTAAACGCCAAATTTTCTAGATATCGCTGCATCAGCATAGTAGCTGGTGAAAGCATAAAGTGTGGAATTGCTGACTATAATTGTGACCGGCCGCGGTTTTCTGCCTACGATAATGACAATTTTTGAAAATATGTGTAATGGGAACAATCCCTGACCAGGATAGCATAGAGGAAGTGTTTCTGTTGTAAATTTTGTTATTGGTACTTAGTTTGTATCCGGAATATTTTTGATAACTGATACTTTTTAAATTTCCATCGAAGTTATCTGTTTGCTGGAAATGTTAATTAGGCATTGCACTTTTGTGTAGGTTCCGAATCCTTGGGGAATGATTACCGCTATAGCTCGCGGCACTGGTTATGCTGTGCTGCAGCTAAATGTTGAGTACACTGTGGACAAGATGCGTTACCTTCTGCCACCACCAGTTAAAGCTTTTGATATCTTTATGGATGTAACGTATACCGGAAAGAATGTTTCCATACTTATATTACGACCATGTGCCAGGTGCGGTTTTTTGCTTAGTTTGATACTTTTAGGCATATTTCGGTTTAAACATAACGAAAGAGCTAATTTTGATGCGGATATTTAAACAATGAACTGCTGCAATAAAAATTTTATAAACATTGCTAAATAAGTTTTCGAAGGTTAGATGGACGTTGATGGAAGAAAGCCCTCAAAGTGGTATGGCCTTAATCGAAGTGGACATTCCATCTGGGTATATCGTCTTCCAACCGGATCTGGAAGATTATTGTGGCTCACAACCAAACCATTTACTTCGCTATGCAGAATTTTATAACGGAAAAGTCACATTTTTCCTAGATTACGTACGCCCATTTTCATAGACATATGTGGCCGTTAATACATGATTGCAGCATCTAATTGCAGCTGGATGGTGGATTGACTTGCGTGGATGTGGTGGCAACAAGGTGGTATCCGGTGGCGAATATGACAAGATTCTTAACAGTCAAAGTTTTCGATTATTACGCACCGGGTAAGATAGCTGAGATTGGTCTCCAGCGGCGAATTATTTTCTCCTGCAAATGAATAAAAGGCCGAGCTACAGTACTTACCATTAGGCAATATTTTTGCAGAGCGATTTAACACATCGATTTATGAAGCGGTGCCATTATATTCACTAAGTATCTGCCATGTTTGTGGATCGTTTCAGTGTCCATATTGCCCAAGTTACAATCATGCCCAACTAATTTTCCAATTCATTCAGTGGCTTTGGCTAGAAGTATTGTTTTTTTTCGTGTACGCTACTCTTTAAACATTGCATATGATGGGTTTTACGTTTACTGATGATTACAGATATTTATCTTTTTATCCGTATTCTGCTCATAAAGAGAGAATTAAAGATCATACGATAGCCGTATTGTGCGTTATTTTATTTTTTATTTATTTCTGTATTTTTGCTGTTAATAAATGTAAGAAAAGGTCAAATACAAAGTCACTAATTTGGTTTGGTCATAAACCCCATGTTGTTTTGCAAACCCTTTTTATTTGTCGCCATGCGTTCGGATACTGATGGGACATGCTTCGTGCATGCCAACCAACATGATGCATATATTACGAGTATTAATACGAGTTACACGCATAAGCAGCATGACAGCTAATAGTGCATTAGCGCTGCAACTTGTATGTGTACAAATCACGCATACATACATACATACAACTAAGACGTTTTCGCAATTGCCATTGGCTGGCCCGGCCTATTTTTGCCTACTTGTATAGATGAATGCGTGATTTGTACACATACAAGTAGGAAACGCACATGCACTAATAGAATTAGCTGTCATATATATACAACGTTACTAATTATTGCAAAACTTGCTCGACAGTCAACTTGTACTGTCGCAAGATAATTAACAGAAACTATCATATCAGGCAAAAAAAATTTATAGTTATAAGGGACGTGAAAAGTACAGAGAATGGCGTGATTGATATTCCATTTATTTACAAAAATGGCATACGCGCCATTTACTTTGGGTTGCAAGCACACTGAAAGCAAATAACCAAGGATCAAATATCGCTTGTAAAGAATACGAAGTTAGTGCCACCGTAGATAATGTTGGCGGTGCTTTTACTTCATAAAACTTCAGAGCAGCGAAGTTCACTATAGATGGAGTCCAGAAGAGGGTGACACTGACAACTGTCATGATCAAGGTTAGCACCAAAAATGGTTTAACCGCTTCCTTCCTGGTGTTTCGCCGGTTGGTAGTTTTCACTTCTCCATCTGCGGCTTTCTGGTTGTTTTGTTCACTGATACCGGTTTGATTTGTAGCGATCTTCCGGCGTAGCATCCGGTTAATGCACAAATGCACATATGTAACAACGATAAATACCCATGGCACGATGTGAAGCAGAATGATTTCAAATTTGCTCCATAATGGTTGCGCAACATAATTTATACTGCAGTCCTTGTGCAGATCGATGGGATAATAAAGCATGTCAATCATACACCCAGGCAACGTAACCATTTGAACAAAGGCCAAGGCGGCAAAGCAGATCAACAAGGCCGCTTTCTTATTGTGAAGTTGTCGGTAAGATATCGGTGAATGTATAGCCACAAACGGTTGATAGAAATGGTGACGTGAATGCATATCTGCGAACCAGAGCCGACACTGGTCAGGTAGTTGCGGAAATCGCATGCCGCCCGACCCATCCACCATCCACCATACAAGTTTTTGAGAAGATCCATCATCGGTGCAAAACAGTCTATGATATTGCTCAACGACAATACCACCATATACATCGTGAACGGAGTCATTAGGGATTGCCGCCGAAAAACTTCAACCAACAGGCCCATGTTGGAGGAGAATGATAAGCACAATACAACTGTTTGGCTAATGAGCTCTGGACTCCATTTAGCGAATTCAGTGATGTTGGAGCTGACTCCGGATAGAGTAGTGTTATTGGTATATTGCGGTTGCGCTGCATTAAGGTCATACTTATCATTAATATCCATAGCCGGGACAATTTTCTAGCTTGCTGGATCCGAAGGCTGCCTACATCCCAAAAACAAATTAAATGACTGTTAGGGACCTAAGGTTTTCGTTTAAATGCTGAAAAGGGAATTTGGGCGGAAATCAGCGCGGAATAAGGACAGTCCATACAGCGAAGGAGATATGCCAAAATGCGATTTAGCTATTTTAACGCATTACTGATTCTGGTACTCCAATGGAATAATCCTGCTGATTTTAGGCGATTACATTATATCCGGTTACCTCTAACATTATGACCTTTTCCTGGATCCAGACAGCTTAGTTTTTCTGGCATAGTAAACAGCTTTCAATTGAAATCATTAGCTCAAGCAGCCCCTTACAGCCCTGCTTCTTTTTTGTATCATTTAATAGCGTTTTACTATTCATGACCATAACATTCAGCGAATGGTACGTATTAATACTTAACTGGCCCGATAGCTGGAATGGCATTCACGGAATAATTAACTGCCAGTATCCCATGTGAAGATTTAAAACATTAGGTGCGAGCTGTGGCGTAAAAGAAAAACCTAATAATCGACACTTTCGTTCTTTGTATGTCTTCCGTCCTGTTTAACGGATAATATAATTAGCGTATCGTACTGTCAATTCTGTAAAGGACTGAAAACCGTCAAAGAACGGACTGGAGAAAGGGCATAGCTGGTTTACAATTATGCTTGTGCTGCTATAAAGTTCGTGATGTTATTTATAGCAACCCACGTACGCTGTTTTTGTAAAAATATTAAAAATATATTAGAGGAGAAGTGTGTAGTCCAATACAAAACATAATTATATATAATATCCACTGTAGTGCTGCTGCACTAGCTCTCGCCACAGTTGCAAGACGTACGCGTACTTACATGCTCTCCAGAAACTTCTTATTACATTATCTCGTTCTATTGCCTTGTACTATTTATACTCCATGTAAAGACAGGTGCAGTTAATGATTTTATTTAATTATTCGCAAAATAAGTCGTGACCGTATCCATTATGTCTCTTCCCGATTTAAGGCATCGCATAAATTTAAACGCAGAATGTGTAGTTGGAAATGTCTTGAGCGTCAGATCCACCTCATCTTCCATCATCCGTTGCGCCAGCGCAAATCCATCATCCCGTAGCACGTCAAACTTGCACACGACAATAAGAGTCGGCGGCAGATCCCGCAGGCTGGGCGCCGCCAACGGACACAGATACCCATCCAACACCTTGCAGCGGAAATTCCTGATACGCTGACTGGATGTCTCCGGTATCGTTGGCTTTTCCGTAATGTACTTCTTCAGTGTATTCCACGCCGGACTTTCTTCGAAGCCGGAACAATGGTGTCGGTTGCGGGCTAAATGTCGACCCAGGCTCAACGAATCGCCAGTGTAATAGAGTGCGTAGGTGATCATAGTCTTTTTGGTTAGCAAAGGAAAGTGTCCCTGATATGATCGTGTGCGAAAGTTGAGAAACTGCGTGGCGGGGTAAATTAGCGCTTGGTTTTTAATAACGAGATTCTTGTGCTCGTCCCGAAATTTGAGCGATACTGCCAAGCACAGCGTCGCGCCGGCGCTGTCACCCAGTAGGCTGATTTTCAGAGGATCCACACCAAAGTCCTCTGCATGGTCGTAAAAATATTCAATGGCTGCGAAGCATTCTTGCACGCCAATGGGAAATGGATTTTCCGGCGCTTTGTGGTAACCGATTGTTAAGACAGCCGCATCCAGGGTGGAAACCAGACGTTGATGATGCTCGATGTAATTGCCTGCAATTAATGCATCGGTTTTCAAAATCATCAAAACGTTGTACGTAGACGATTATGATTTAACCTGTAAGCATGCATTCAGCTAGTTTTTTATATATTATTTAATTTATTTTGCAAGTACATTCATGACGATTGTATCTATATATATAAGTCATGATGATTCACTCAAGTGCAAGTTCAAAATAAATTAGTATGGTTTCAGCTCTATGAAAATTAATACTTATAGTCTGGCTAAAGCATTTGTACTATTAGCACAAATGCGCAAACATTTCTAAAATAACTCCAAGTTTTTATTATTTAGCTAAATATTGTATGCGATTACTCATGTTGTGCCGATATAATAAGCTTAATTAAATTTATCGAAGCGATTAATTACCTGAATTAGAAAACGTCCATCCACCTCCATATATATGCACAATGGCTGGTCGTAACCGGTTGTCCGTTCCCTCTGCATTATGCCAACGCTGTTTCCGATAAAGCACTACGGGTACACCGCTGAAATCCAGACTTTCCGCATAGATCTCCGAATTCGAGCGGTTTTTAACAGAAGTACTGCCATCCCGTAGACATCGTAGAATGAATAACTGGAATCGCCTTCCCAGAGGAGCACTCAGCGCACCCTAAAAAGTCAAATTTCCTCAGATCTGCTTGAACGTCGGTAATTACAGAAATTTGCACTTAAAATAAAAAAAAAACCACTTCCGTTTCATTACATCTGTTTGAATATTATATGGTGCACGCACATCGTTTTAAATTATTGAACAAATAACAGCGTTACCGGTATCCGCTTACCACCAACCGCTGCAGTTGAATGACGGCATGCAGTTTCCGCAGTGATGAATGGTCTTCCATATGGATTTCTTCCGGAATATGCACATGCAGGTACTTGTAGGATGCGACTACCAATCCAGCGGTTCCGATTCCGAGAGCTCCGTAGACGACAGGCTTTGTTGCCAGCACATCCCGGATAGAACGTAAGTATTTTTCCAGATCAATGCGATTTTCCCACAATGATCCCATCTTGAGAATTCTCTCTATTTCAGAAACTATTTTTAAGCGCTTCCGTACGTGCTTCAAATGGAATTGTACTTAAATTTTGAATAATGCACAATGATAAAGCGTTCTTGTATAATCACATTATTTATCTTTTGCAAATGCCAGTCAAAGAGCACCGAAGAACTCCAACGTGCATGGCTCTTGATAACTAGGCAAACATATTGGTGTACGTGGTAGTGTACGTCGATCTACAAATATAAAAGTTTTCGAGCATTTCCTCGCAGTTGGCGTGTTTTCGGCAGCGCTCGTTCGGCACACTCACCAGTGTCTTATACTGCCTAAACGGTTGCTGCATATAAATCGCACGGCATGTCCACCGTAGAGACGGTAGAGTAGCCTGTAACCAGCAGCAACTTCAAACAACGTTTTTTTACAGCGGTTGGAGCCATCCAATACACGTTAACTCAGCTGATGTACAATACCTAGAGTAACTGCACTTCTACAAAACTACTTTGTACGTAGCTAGAAGTACAGATATACTCGTATCTTCGCAAGACCAACAATGGTCAAAACTTCTCACTCGAACAACTTGGGTAAGCTAGGTCGCAAACGCATCATACAGATAGGTACAGTAACTAGCTGTAGAAGAAACCGGTTCGTTATTGCGCCAGTATATAGCTGGATGCCTGCAAAATTTAGGGTAGAAAAAATGCTGTTGATTTGGTGAATAAAAAGTTTTTTTCCGGAACGAAACTTCGTTAGGGTATACACGGCATTACTCGTAGATCATTGTACAGAAATGTTCTGATACATTGATAAAAATTGCCGTTATTGTTACTATTCTTTTTAGTTACTTATACGGTTATACTTATACCTCCTTTGGTTACGTACTTATACCTCCTTTTGATAATTTTGCACAGTTATCAAATCTCAAATTCGTCTTAACTGTTATTTTTAAAAGCCAGTATTAGTATTTCCTGTTTGAATAAAGTATTATACGTCATGTTGTTGAAAGATGAGGAACATATTATAAATATGTGTTATGGACCTTTAATAAGTATCACGTGAAAGTGCAAACTAAGTACTAGAAAACAGAAGTTTGATGATGCATAAGAGACAGCGGCAACTACTGTTCCTTAGGGGTGAATATTGTAACTGCGTAACTGATGTCGAATCGACTGCAGTAACAGAAAAACTGGAAGGTTGCTGTTGTTGCTGCAGTTATAAATATTGTAACTGCATGACTGATGTCGAATCAACTGCAGTAACAAAAAAACTGGAAAGTTGTCGCTGCATCTGCGATGCTAACCGTAAGGTCACTTTTGGATTTGCCCTACAACACACGGACAAACGTGCCCGTAAACCTTTCTTCTTTCTCCAGTAAAAACAGATCGCTAAATATGGCGCGAAATGGCGATAGCTTGGCTAAAAGTGACGATCATTAATTAAATAATTTCGCGCCATGCTGAGAATCGAGTTGTCTGTCTGAAAAATTTCTTCGCGTCTGCAGTTATGCATTGGGATTTTGTTTAGTGCGCAGACACTACTCTAATCTACAGTAGGTTTGCGAATAAGGCCATAGCCGAGCCCAAAGAATGGTCAACGTCAACGAGACGAAGAATTACTCGTATATCCGCTCCTACGCCGGCCGAATCGCTAAGATTTGTTATAGATTTGTATTTTGACGTTGAATTCACCAACTGTTTATATCGATCACCGATAGTTGTATTAATTTTAGTTAATTTATAGATAAAGCTTTATGCTGCATACGTTCAGTAACGTTCGTTTGATTTAAAGTACAAGTACTGCAGATCAAATATTATGGTGTCTACCGATTGTAAATCTTTGAAGCTCTTTTGGTAGGTACGATTAAAGAACCGAAAACAACTGCTCAACACCAACAACGGAAGGTTTTACGACGTATACTCATCCGTAGACCACAACTACGGCGAGTACTAACAGCAATTAAAGTGTAGAACATCCGCATTTACAATGCATGCTGTACAAGCATATGTACATGCACTCTACAGATCACACGTACTCATCCATAAAGCCATAAACTGCGCTGTACAGCCATGCAGTCCCACTAGGTTAAGGGTTTCTCCGTTTCCGGTTTCTACGTAAGCAGCTAGACTAGAGCGAGTGACGTTCAACATTCAAGTGTCGATGTTTACGTCCGCTGCGCCAGCCATAAAGTTTTCCATCGCTATTTTTTTCAGCCAACTGTTTATTACGCTTATGTTTGGTACTAAAGCCTTCTGGGTGTTTTTGCCCGTGCAAAAAACTCGGCTGATGCGTTTTTGTCGCATTTAACCACACACAGGAAGTAACTAATGCACATTTGAAACATGTGATCGTATAGGCGATCAGGTGGCAACAATACTGTTCAGCTCCTGCGCTTTTGAGCCGTATTCTATCATGTTTTTACAAAGCTTTTGCATCTTCTCCTGTCTTTTATTTTACCAGTTCTAACTAAATTTCCACGCGTATTCTCGGCCACCTCACCGCGTTGCAAGGTTCTGCAGTGATCCTAGACAGCGGTATAAGTATTGACGTAAACCATTTTTAATCGTAATTCATTTTAGCAACGGCACCATTAGGCAAGATGTAAAATACAGATTGGTAGAAACCTTCCAGATCGTGTTACTGTTGCGACCTGGGGTGCTACCGATCGCGATCATTTGAGCAGTATATTGCAACGTGCAACTGCACCGTTTTGCAGTTTTCTTGCTCACATTCATTCATCAGCGAACGCGAGTGTTGTGGTGCTACTGTCTTGAGGTACTTCCCATTCATTCCAGGCCTGGCGAAGATAACTGTGTATGTATCGCACGACCCGCACGTGGCTATACTATATGCATTTCCTGATGGCAATCAGTAAACGCTACCGGTTCCACATGCTGTTGAAAATCAACCGTAAACGTTCTAGTTCATCCAGTTTGAAAACTCTGTGATGGTTTGCAATCAGTACGGTAGCATGGTAATTATTATTGTGTAAACAAACAACTTGCTATGCCTTTGCGACTTACCAGTTAAGATTGTGCTTTTTTCCAGCTACCTTAGTGTGTCATAATGTTAAAATAATGCGTATTGTGCTTTGTAGTGGAGTATGCAAATGAAGTTTAAAATTCTGCAGACATAACTGCAACACCTTTCCCGACTATCATGGCAAATACTGTACGAGTATGTATGTAAATGTACTTGCTTGGTTATCCATTTCCTGTTTAACGGCTACATGTTTCACGGCTTTTAATTCAGACGTACTGAACCGTCTCAAGTTAAAACAATATTTCAGTGCAATATCTGTGTACATTCAAACACCATTTCAGTGCAATATGTGCGTAATACAGAGTACGTGGCAAACATACATCGCTCCATCGCTAGCGAATTCGTTTAAAGCATTTTATTCTGATACCAGTTTGTGTTGTAGAATGCGGTGACATCTTGCCATGAAACCCTCAAGGAATAAACCGGCACCATTAACATCCAATATGTTGACGCCGCGTGCAGGCGACCAGGCGGGGCATCTCCAACCGGGTACCAGTCGCGCACCGGTGTCCACCAGCTATATCGAACACTGCAACGAATTATACGGGAATCTGCGGGTGGCGCTCAATGCCCTGCCGGTTTCGCGTGCATCCTCACCGTCCTTCCTGAGCCGCAAACGACCAGCTGCCATCAACAGCAATCGGCCGAATGGCCGCGAAATTGTCCATAGCGGGCATTTCATGAACACGAATGTCGGTCTGGAGGATGACGACAACAATGACAGTGGTAATGCAACCGATTCCGACTCCGACCTTCACAGAATGGGCGCTGTAAGAGGAATTAAGCCAGATCACCGTTCTGTTAACCACGGTCATCCTTCCGGCCAAGCAGTACCGTTCGGAACGAGCACTAGCTTAGCAGGTGCAAAGGTTACAGGTTCTCGCCAACCCGAATGCAGTTCCTCAGTGCATCCTGGTTTGCAAACCGGCTCCGTAGCACAAGTAGTATCCCAGGCGACGATCGAGGTGCCGGACGCATCGCTTGCTGAGATTTTCCAGCGCATGACACTGAACGATAGGTCAGCCTACTAATGAGCACAACTGACTTTAATTTGTAGAGAGTCTGATACCTTGTATACTTCTATCTTTGATGCTGTAAACGATTACAAATTACGAAACCTTACAGGAATTATTTTTCTAATTCAGAACAAAGCTGACCTCGCCCAAGTGGAACAACCTCGAAGGTCTAAAACTACGCTGGAATGTTAGGCTTCGTTGGAACAATCTCATTTGGCGTGCCTGGCATATGCAATGTAAATAAAACCAACCCCGACAAATTACTGCACACAGTGAAACATAAGCGTTGAACGCGATGCAGTATGAAACTCGTTATATTAATAATATTAATTCATTTAATTACGTTAATGTTCGTAGTTGTCAAGAGAGCACATTCTTCGATTGCGCCTTTCTCTGCCGCTACTGACGATGCGGCGACGTCCAGCGCGGTGGAATCAGTGTCAGCCCTTGATAAATACTGGAAAAGCTGGACAACGATTCTCTCTTTGGAGTACTCGTACTGGAGACTGTGGTATAAAAATCCATCAGCGAATATGACCCAAAACTCCAAACTTCCGATGTACATTAAACAATTTCGTGTAAGAAAAACGGCTGATTTATTGGCATTTTGATTGCGTTAAATGTGGGCTGTTGTTAACGTGGAAGTATTTATCTGCAGGCTGCGGACTGGAGGCAGTATATTAAAGGTCAAGCATCGTCACAACAAGAACTGCCCTATTCCTCCATGTTAGTGGATGATTTTGACGAGTTCATCACAGGTTTATATTACATGGACGACAATGCAAACGCCACATATCCCTCGATTGACATTATGATGGGTAATGCCATATTCCCCGCGGTTGATGTTACGAATATAATGAGTGCATTCAACTTCGGATCCGTTACCGGCGTAAATAGTACGTCTTTGTCTATATATTGTCTACAATATCTACTTAAGGCTAAGACATATCAAACCACAAACTAAAACACACTAAGTGCAAAACAAATGTGTGAAGGTGTAGATGGAATATTAAATCCAGTTACCAATGGCGGCAATCCTATGACGGAAACTGTGTCACAAAGCCAATGGGGAACCGCGTTAAACCAGCCTGTCGATTTCCCCGCTGCTCTTTTTACTGGTCCTTCAAGTACGAGGGATTCTAGCGTCTGCAACTACGATCCCTGGTTATTTTTGCCTTCTTATCCGTATCCTGCGGAGCCCAACACACTGACCGCACTGGATGCACCGCCTACGGCCACTACATCTTCTATTCATGGACCAACACTATGGACCAATTGCACTGGGCCTGTAGTGCAATACCCATGCGCAACCCCAGCGATGCCAGAAATCCCCTCGAATGGTCCATCTACAGATACCGAGGTCACTAGTTCAGATAAGGCGTTGTCCTCAAAATATATGCATTATGCTTAATGTAATTTTGGCCTTCTAGATGGCAGTCCCAGTGACGACCCCCGCAACACCCGACGCTGATATGGTCTCGGTAGATTTTGAGTCGAGTAAGAATCTCCAAAATTTTTTGTCCATGAATACTTTTACGATGTACAGAAAATGATCACTGATTCAGTTTTGGTAACTGTGCTATAAATTTGTATTGATTTTATTAAATTTCTTATACATTTCATTTCTCACTGTGTCTGCTGTATGAACTCCTACCAACTATTAGTAAATATTACTGGTATTTTGCTTGACAATTAGGCACTTCGGGGTCATCCCGTGCAAGCATCAGTAAGAGACCAGCTCGCGGCGGGCGAGGTTGTCGATCAGCTGGCGATGGACGTACCAGAGATACCGGACCCAGTCGGGCGGAGTTTAGAATGATTAATCAGCTGTATAGTTTAATGCCGAGTCTGTCCGAAAAAGCCAGCTATGAACAAAAATTGCTCCGCGCTGCTCGCCACATTCGTCAACTTAAAAAGGATCGTCAAAGTTTACCGGCACAGGTTAAAAAGATTCAAGAGCAGATTGACGAAATCCGCAAGCAGACGAAGTACAGTGTCACAATATCGAATATTGACATTCGTGATTAAACACCTTATACCTAACTAATGGGTGTGTGTCCACTGTAGATTTTTCGAACAGACGCTTCCGGCTACTGGTGCCGTGGTCAACAGCAGTGCTAAACTGAATGCGATGCTAGATGAACACATCAGAAAGCAGACCATGCAAAACAACTGGAAATACTGGATGGTTCGTTCTCCGAGCATCTGTCCATTTTTGCTGGTTATACATCCATATAATTATGTGATTGTCTATTGCAGTTCAGCTTGATTATACGACCTCTTTTCAACTCGTACCTGAAGAACGTGACCTCCAATGACGCGAAGGGAATTGGCCAGAATGTTGTCAATTGGACAACCCAGTGTTTTACACTGGAAGCACTGCGACCATGTAAATATGAAGTTACACAATTCGAAGCCGTTTCCGTTCTATAATGCCGCTTTATGCAGTAAACAGCCAGTCACTGGAAACGATTATGATGAACACCTCCGTGTTGACCGATCCGACCCGTGTGCCCGAAGAAGCGCGCCAGTTGGCCGTCAACCGTTATCACGGCGGCTCGGAAAGACCCTTTCCGCGGACGTTATAGTGTCTCACGTCCCGATTTATTACCTGTTGCTATATGACAAGCACTCTCCTTCGACGACAACATAATCGCCAACCTTGCCAAGCATTTTCCGCCGGCCATGTGTATGCCCTAACCTTCTCTTGTGCCATTCCATCTTCCAGAAATGTTGACATGTACATGTGTAACACTGAAGGGCTAACAGCGATATTATCACCAATTGTTAAGCTTGCGATCATTTCAGTTTAGAAAATCTCAGTATTCATTTTTGTTTTTTTATGCAAAGATGTTCACCAGCGGACGCATTTGTAGCCACAAATACTCTTTTAGCGACTAGTCTGTAATTATATCATGCAGTGCTCCATTAACTGCAGCACACTTTTTTATTTCATATTTGTGTTTACAAATAAAACCCGATAAAACGCGCGTGTCTCATTATTCTCGGTGAATAACACAAACAGCACTAAGCACCCACCAACAATAAACAGTATCACAGACGAGGCAGTAACCACTTCACAACTTTCTGCATAATCATCTGTCCGCACTCTGTAAACCGGAAATCCCGAAAAGCACCATGGTATCCCGGAACCTTAACAATCGTCGTGTCCACTCCATCAGCCAACAAACGTTCCGCGTATGCCAGATTCTCATCGAGGAGCACATCATATTCACAGGCAATTATGCATGTTGCCGGTAGGCCTTTTAAACTGCGTGCCATCAGTGGACACAAGTAATGATTTTTCGCCATACTGCTAAATTTTTGCAACACGTTCCTTTTAACCAGTGCTTTGCTGCCATGTGCCTCCGGACGTTCAAATTTCTGTAATATCAAATATCCTGGATTATCGTAAAGATCCTCCGTCACATGCTCATTTTCCATCACTGCTTCGGATAACTCGATGGGCTGCCCGGAATACATCAGTGCACACCACACCGTATCGCTTCGCGATAATAACGGATAATCAATCATGAAGGAGTTTAATCGAAAATTAATAAACTGTACGGAAGGATAAATTAAAACTTCGTTGCGGAGAAATCTCAATCCTTCGTCGCGGAGTTTGAGGGCCACACAGGTGGCAAGATTTCCACCGGCACTGTCGCCGCAAATGCTGATGTGAGATCGGTCCACACCAAACGCGTCACTGTGTTCGTAAATGTATTTTGTGGCAGAAAAACAATCCAACATGGGCGTAGGGAAAGGGAACTCGGGAGCTTTACGATACGCCACACAAGCAACCACGCAGTCCAATTCCCGTACAAAATGCAGTGAATGATAATGGCGCTCGGCTGCAACATGAAAAGCATGGGACAAAATTACAAACATAAAAATAATAAAATCTAAAAAAAATCAAATGCTGCAGAGAGAAAATAACGACATATGCCTCGACGAAAAATAGCTGGAGCCTAGCACAACAAAAGACTGTCGATAGGCGCTTATGTAGAGTAGAACAGCGTACATATCTGGAAAAAATACCCATCTACTGTTCTTATCTACTCAAAACTTTAAATTAAAACTAGAGCAAAACAATTCATCATTGAAAGAAAGAACTGCAAATTCATTATCTCAAAAATCTTGACTGCTAAATGAGAAAATACATGTTGCGCAAGAAAAATTAGTGACTTTCAAACAAGTTAAAATCATAGTGTCGTTAAGATAATTAGAGTTTAGAACTCATCAACCCACCCGCAGTCCCATACACCCATCCTCCACCATGCAGGTAAACCAGACACGGTCTCACGGGTTCGTGATCCTCGTTCTCATCTGTTATCCACGAAATCCGTCTATATATAAGAACTTCAATTTCCGAAATCCTGATTGTTTCACAGATAATCTGCGAATCAGGATCGGTAAGCTGGCGAGGAATAGCAAAGGAGTAAAGCTTCCGAACAATGTCCACAGTGCTCCCAAAGCGCAGCAATGCAGCGGATCGTGCCTGTAGTCCAAGAATATGCATGCCATTTTTTGCTTCGTTTTGCACAATAAGAGAAATCTTGTTGTAATTACCAGTAAGAAGTATAGATCACTCCTTAAACAGAGAAGACGAATTCTCCACGTGTCGCAGGGAACGAAACCAAAAGGATACGGTCTTCGTAGCCACATGACGGTAGCGCCACAGCCAGCTGCAAGCAGCAGGGCGATTCTGCGCGCGTTGGAAGATGCGCTAGTATCAACTGCATATCGCCGTCCAGAGCTCATCTTCATGGGCAGATGCTTATAGCATGTCAGATCAGATCACAGAAAAAAAAGATTAAAAACAAACCGCAGCATGGGAAAAGGCTGCATAACCCACGACACTTGGTTCTTGTTAACTTGTACAACAAAAACTCAGCAGTGCAGAATGGGCAGATTTCAGTGTGCACCTGGCTGACTGTGACTTCAGTTTTACTCGTACATCTGCAACTGGAAGTCTGCAGCGAATGGATAGCACGAAGCTAGAACTACAGATTTAACTGCACTTTGTAACATTTTTCAGAGCACAAAATTATAAAAAAATAAAATGGTGAAGAACTGTATTACGTACGTTAAATTAACAAGAGGTCACTCCAACGTACCGAGTGTGTACTTGCTACTGGCACGAATGTGAAGACGGTATAATCCTGGCATCACATGCGGCAAAAGTTTTCGTCGCATTCCGTGAGATCTGTAGCCATCATGCATGGAACTGTTTTGTGGCATTTCACCATCCAGATTTATGCCAGCCGTCTATCACCCCAGCCAAGTTTGTTTTTATGATTTCCGCACTTTTATGAACATTCCAAAAACACCTCCCAAAAAGACACCCAGCTGCGTTTCTGAATAGTCTATCGGTCTTCTTATTGTAGCGATAGTATTTGTAGTTGTACGAACGATAAGACCGCCCAGTTATGATGAATCATTCCATCGCGTTATGAATTTGTCCACTTTACCGGCTAGTTTCCTTTCTCATGAACTTCTAGAATTCAGTCTTGTGCTCAGCTTGCTACAGCTTGCATCTACTTGATTGTTTCTCTTGCTGAAACCTTGCTTACAACCTTGCTGTGTTCTTGATTCCTTGTCATTAAACCTGCCTTGAGTTACGTTGTTGCGTTTGACCGCTTGGGATGAACTAGCGTCATCCCAATCGGAGCCACCTGTGTAATTGCGTTACATCTGTAAGAGCGTCCTCGGCCAGCATCGTTGCCGGCCGTGCCACCTTTCACACCAACAGCCGTTTAATCGTGGTAAAGGCTGATCGCCACCCCACTAGAACAGTAGCCAGATAGGCCACTGTTACATTATATTAGGAAGACACTAATTGAAATTCAGATGCCTTATGACAATCTCCAGCAGTAATTAACATTAATATTAATAATAACAATTAGGAATTACGTTATTAAAATAACAAATCTTTGATAAATTCCACCAATGCACGTCTAAAAGGGAGCTGGACATTCGAACGTACGTGGCACTATTCTCCCTGCAGCTGTCGAAAACGTGCTGAGGTATTGCAGACAAATCTGCGGTTGTTACTTAATCAAATTTGATATAGAACTATTACAATAATAACATCAGATAATTGATAATGCAGAAATATTACGTACGTTGTGGATAGAACAGGCAAATTTTTGCTTTAATAAGAACTCAAGAATTTCCGCTTGAACATTGTAACAGCGTTGTTTAAGCGTTAAGGAAGGTGTGGCGCGCCAGAGTATCAGTTGACCACTGCAAATTTCCGGCTTGCCGTGTCCACACTGACTTGGACTGATCATGTGGTCGGAAGCAGGTAAAACAGCATAATAAAAATTCGCGCGACTCTTCATCTACAGTATCTGGAATAATCGGCACACTCTGTCCCGGTGCGACTTGTTCGATCAGTTTCCCTTGCAACATACCCAACACCAGCAGTCCCAGATCCCAAATGTTGCCTGAGATGTACCAGTCCCGGTATGTTTCGTCTTTAATCACGTCCGGAAACAATAACGGCAGCATGGAAATCTTGTCACGTTGCTTGTTCAGTAAAAAGTACGAGCTGCATAAATCGACCACGGTAACACTGGAGTTCAACGGAGCGTTTCTGATCGATGCCCACACTGGTTCCAGAATCCGGACAATTTGCCGGGCGTAGCTTTTCACGCGTTCCGTTCGAAATCCACCCACGCCTTCGGTTATGGCTTCTTCCAAAGGTATAACTACGATTAAAATTTGATTATTTTATGCTGTACATATACGAGTAGTAGAAGTCCTCATAGTACTTATTCCGCCTACGTACAAGGCCCATTATAGTCCCACGCTGATACAATGGTCACCTTTTCCATAAAGTGACCAGACGGCTCATCTCGACACGCCCAGCATCCTAAGCGCTTCAGCATTTGTGGATGCACGGTAACATTATACAGTTCATTGCTGAACGCGAGAACCGTTGCGATTGCGACAAACTCATCCATCCAGTTGCACAGCTGCAGCTCTTTCCGGGTTAAAATAACCGCTTCTCCAGTTTGGTCAACAGCTTGCAGCATCCAGTCTGTGACTTTACTCAACACCCTAAATTTACTCAGCAGTTGTTCTTCCGTCTGTATTTCTAGCTCATTCAGGTTATCATTGACAAATGGATGTTCCACCAGTTCCTTAGCATTCGGACGACTGGTGGCCTCTTTACGCAGACACGCCTGCAGGAAGCGAATACACTCGATGACCTTTCGGTTTTTCAGGAAATATGCCAAATGACTGCCGGCCAGTTCACCGCCGGTAAACCACTTAATAATAGTCGCATTATCCTGCTTAACGATATCCAAAATTTCTTCGGAAGTGTCGAATAATTCATTGACTTGACCTTCATGCAGCATTTCCAAGACGACACAGCCGACGCCCCAGATATCGTTCGCCGGGGTGCTCCGTGCCGACTCAGCGTCCGAGCCGGGTGCGAGGTGAGCCGGCGTTGCAAAGCCCGCGTCGTGGCTGTGCGAACCACGCCGTTTCTCGTGAAAATGCTTCACTCGACCGAATCCAGCGATTTTTACGTGCAGGCTGTTGCGGGCAGTAAGTAATACGTTTTCGCACGTAAGGTTTCCATGGACGATCCCGGCGTCGTGCAAGTAAGCCAAACCTTCCAGGATTTGTCGTGTGTATTCACGGATGTGGAAAAATCGCACTCCTCTACGAGAACGTTCTTGCAGTGTTCCGCCTGTAAAGATCACTGTAAGTGTCGGAACTATTAACGAATTTTACTGATTGAAATTAGAAGATAATTTGTATTTTAGAAATTCTTTTAAATTGCGTAAGAATCGGTCGCTGATAAAACAAGTAACAAACCTGGGCAAAATTCCATGAAAATCTGAAAGTGGGCGGCTTCGGATTCATCAGAATGTTCTTCCGATGCCGCTGCCACATTCCATCCATAATATTTCAGAACATTTTGATGATTGATCTTGGCAATGGCATCGATTTCATTACGAAGTAGGTAAAATTGTTGGCTGGCGCGCTTTCTCTTATGCGAAAGGGTAATTTTCTTCACGACGATATTAATAGGTGGATTTGCATCGGTCACTTCGGCCACATAAACCACCCCGTTGGAGCCTTTTCCCAACAGTCGCAGCACTTTGTGGGGCATTTGAAACTTGTCCTCTTCATCCTGATAAAAGCTTTCCTGTGATGATCCTTGTCCCATTTTGACGTTGCTGTTAAAGACTTAAACGACAATTCTATAGGCTGTATAGACTATTGCAATAAACAGAAATAATAATTTTGGAGTGAAGTGTGTGGAAAATAACATTAACAAAGCTGCACGATGATAAAATTATGGTTGCTAAAATGTAATATCGTGTAGAAGACAGCCAACAATCTACTCTATTAAAGTATTAAACCGAATGGCGTTGGTAAAACTATCTGGTTTTACATTCAAGAAAAGTCTATGATTATCATTTGTGCTGATAAGCGCATGGTTGCGAAAAACTATGGAGTTGGTTTGGGACGATTGTCTAATTGTTTTCGATAATTAGGCAGCGTGTAATTATATCTTTCCTGTCTTCCAGATAAGCGACTATCGGTTCCACTAACCACTGCATTCTACTTTCTTAATACTTATCACTAGAAGTTCGGAATTGAATTGTTTACAGTTAGAAATTATGAACTCAGTTGAATTCGATATCCGTTCTCAAACACGTATTTTATGAACTTGAATATTACGTATTTTTCTGAACTTGTTATGAACGCATGGTCCAACCAAATAAAGCGCCAGTTATTTATTTGCAGAAGTGGACAGACAGAAACACAAACGTACGACAAAAATCACAACACACAATACACATCACTTCAGCTGATAATCCGAGTAATTTAGAAAATCACGAGCCACAACAACAAGTAACGCACAATAAAAGTCAAACATCTTCGCAAAAAAGGCCTTAATCTGCTCAAAACTCAAGGGACGGATAAATGTTTTATGACATTGTAAACGAGCTATGAACTGCTAAAAACTACTGCTAGAAACTGAAAAACAAGAAAGCAGATTATCTACGCACATCCACAAGCAGAAGCGTTCCCTAACCCTTCAATATCCACACAGCGGCACGTATTCAACAACTATAGCGGTACAAATCACTTCTGCTGGCCCATAAGTGCCGCGAGGTCAAACGGTTTCATTTTATGGTTGATAAACTCGAACACATCCGCTTTGGTTGCGATCAGATATTCGGTCTTTCCGGGAAGACCTGCAGTGCTTTTCTCATCATCCAGACAGGTCGCGTTTTGATCCACATCACGGCTACCGAATGCTTCGTCGTTGCTGATCCCCTCCAGTTTGACATTCCGTAAATGGCTGGCCACGTTATCCACTTGATCAGCACGCTGTGAATTCGACGCACGCAACACTGGCATGGCAGGCCGAGGCGATCCGTTGTTTTTCAGCTCCTGTGGACTGTCCGCGCGGGCTGGCATATAATGGGCGGTGCGCACGGTGGCTTCGCTGGTCGGCCGGGGTGATGCTGCTCCGCTGCGGGCATTCCGTGGGCGGACAATGCCCATCAGAGCCTGGTAGTTGTCCTGCAACAGGTGATAGACATAATCCCGTGCTGCATCGTGTCGGGCTTCCTTCAAACTGCGGGCTGCTCCGTTCCCCGTGATGGTTTCACCGTTGCTCGAGAGTCGGGAAGACGCCTGGCAAGTAAAAGTGGGCTGATGATCGGGCCCGCTTTTTGGACCATCTTCGAACCCCAGTTCTGTCTCCGAGACGACTCGGGCCAGTTGCATGGCTAATGTTACATAATCAGCAGGCATGGTGGAACAAAAATTTAATAACGTTGCGTGTTGCAGACAGTAGTATTAGTCAAATATTTCCAAACAGGAAAATAATCCAAAAATTGTGAATATTTAAGAATAAGTGAAAAATGTCACTGGAGCTGAAAACTGAACTGCGTTATACTATGCAGAAACTTGTTTATAAGCGGTCGCACCCACACTAACAAGCACATGTGAGATAAGAATTACTTCAACAATAATAATAAATTGTCACAAGAGCAGCAGATTATATCAGAATATCAGATGGCAAAAACTGGCAGGTGTTTTGATGTCCTTCATATGTGCCAGAATAGCATTCATGTATGTGTGTTTTTATCTAATCTATTAGAACTGTCAAATATCAGCAGCCCGCTCGTATCTGCGGCACGACTGCTGCGCACGTATCGGTTACTCATCTTTCCGCTATGACTAAGAGAAAAAACTGAAATATGTTCCCACCAGTGATAACGGATACACGAGTAGAAATAAATACCATATCTGAGAGCAGTCAGAGCACCGTGAATTCTGCAATAAATCAGCCTTCATTGCCGTTTTATATTGCCACGGTAAACAAGTGCAAACTTGACGAGAAAATAATTTAAGCTTAATGACATGCAATAATTAAATTTTTTCTTCGTGTGGGCAAAATTTGCTAATTTTGTGCAAAATTTGCTAATTAATTAGGCGTAAATGATTCCAGTTATAACTGCTCATGAAAGTTTTGCTTAATTACTAATTAGTAATTTAGTTAATTAAACCATATCATCTCAACACTTAATTACGGACTACAGCGTAATTTCATACAGTCTAATACAGCACGGCATCATTACGAACATTTATAAGCAGCTCAGGATAATTTTAACGAGTTGATGTGCGGTCGTGAATGTGGCCACGAATTATAAAACCGAGCTCAACAGCTCGGTTTTATAATTCAGCAACTGATTCTCCATCTGCCAATGCGCGCAGCGTTATCAGTGAATCTGTCTGTCAGTGTCTGACTCACAAATCAGTGCGTGAGTTGGAGCGCACTCGAGCATTTTGACCTAGATACAATTCTCTCTGAATCCCAATACGTGGTAAATTTGACAGTTGCTATAAGCAACTGTAATGCAGAATTACGTGGTTCAATCCCATTGGTGTTGTTTTCAAACGAATTTGCATCACTTGCCGGTATGGCCATGAAAAAATACACTCCCATCACTTGTGCAGCCACCGACACCGGCACCAGCACCAACTAGTGTGAAATTGTGATTCATGCCAGATTCTAGAACGGCATCGAAAATATGCAAATAATATATTATGATCAGCTGTGAACTTCCAAAATACGAGTATAATGGAGTATATATGGCACTTGTAAATAAAGTAAGTAAGTTTTCGCTTAAAAGACGCCTGAAAAGGCATGCTTTTGTGATAATTGCTACACAGCTATAAATGGACGGTACTGCAGCCCAAAAGCTCAGAAGTACTACCTAAAAGAGAGTGCAACGTAAAAGAGTAGCAAAATTGTAACATTTACACAAATACAAATTAATGTTTTTTAACAACTTTGTTTAACTGCAGGATCAAAATATGAATATTGTATTGTAGTATGCGAGAATAGAAATTGAATTCTGCTGATTTTGCCAACAGTGTACGGCCTATACGAACGGAACTCTGAATCCATGTTATCGGTTTGATTTGGTATAATTTTCTCGTAACTTTTCTAGGTGGATATTTTGTAGATGTGCAGCGTGCCCATGTTGACATAGAGTAGATGTAGCGGTTAATGACATTTTTTTAGTATACTACGGGTGCGATTACCGTTTTACAGGTATACTGCTGATAATTAAAAATACCTTAACTAAATGGATTGCAGTATACATAATAATTATATCGCTAGCGTACAGTTCTGAAAAAGAGTGGAATCAAAGAAGGGTCTGTGGATATACCCATAACGAAACCAAAACAATCAAATGTTTTCCTTTCATTAATTTTCTGTGAAAGAAACAGATCTAGAGTACATCTGGATACATGCACACTAGTAGCACTATGGTAATTCAAATTTCCGGGCTGGATGGCAAAGGGCAATTAGGGCATCAAAAGGGAGCAAAGTCGGATTTATGTGCAAAAGTAGTACGAGCTTTAACTGCAACAAACTGTGAAAGCAAAATTTCAGTATAATGCGCGATACCCTGCATCTCTGAAGCTGCCGCCAGACAAGTTACCCATTTAAATCGATTCCATGCATGCACTGATCCCATAAAAGCAAGACTGCTGGATTGTCTGCGCGTTTGTGCAGCTTGTACTATACTTACCTGAACAGAAGCACAACAGATTCTTTGTACAATATATATGTAGCGTAGAGTGAATATGCTGAATATTGTGATTACAATATTACACGTCCTGCTAAAAAATTAAGTATGGATGGCTTGTAGATCACAGGTTTGGTGACCTGCACCGGCAACTTGACCTTTACACAAGGGCTAAAATTCTGGTGTAATGCAGATTATGGTTATCCAATAAATACAGTTCCCGTGGTACACAGGAGTACTATTTGTATTTCCAATTATGTATACCTGAGAGAGCAGTTAGTTGCCATTACGGTACCTGTCAGAGACCTCAATGTTGCGTACTTATCCACTTCGGTAGATAATCTGAACCCGCAGAACGAATGCCTGTTCAAAAATATGTGCAAATGAATGCTGCCACAGACAAATTTTCCATGACAGTTTTTCATGTCTGAAGGAATGTGCACCAATTCTTTTGCATTAAAACTATGAATTTTTGCTAGCTAAATTCAGCATCATGCATTTATATGAAATGATTTTGTCGGTGACCATATATTTTTTAAGCGTCGCTAGTTATGGAAAACTAATTTTCGTTCCACAATCGGTGTTCTGCGCAATAGCGAAATGCCGGCGGAAGTAATCCTTTTACATTATTACTGGCGCTGCTGCTGACCTATCAACCAATTATAATATTGCGCTTTGAGATCCCTGGTTAACCACCGCGATAATACTGATACGAACTGATATGCCTGAAATATTACTTACTCCCTGCCATACAGCTGTATTAAGATGCCCTTGGAGCGATGGAAAGGTCTTTCGATTTCCAACCAACAAACTGTTCGCCAACTGTCTTTTCGTGGAAGATTCGCTATTGTTACATCCAGATCGTTAAATGGTGTCGCCCGCAAACTGCTTTCCAAGCAAACGTCGATCTCCGACGGCCGTGCAAACACTGAAGAGGAAATATCCCGATGAACAGAAGAGCAGTGCTGAAGAGGCGGTGCTGTGGTTTGAATCTACAGCTGATTTATATACTATTTTTCGCTTCTTTTGTGCATTTCGGCGGAAATCCTTGTCACTATCCCCTTGTCTGCGTGAAAACCGCGCCTAATGATATTAGCATACACCACTGTGTCGATATCTAAAGTAAAGGAAATCCATCAGAATGCAACAATGACGTTTCACGACGGCCTCGCTGACAATCAGTTTTTTAGTGTGTGTTTCCTGCTGGTTTCTTCCAAATTTAAACGGAACGTTACCTTGATGAATACGGGGTGCTCACACTACCCACGAGCGTGCAGAATTTTGGACCGCGATTATTTACGATATTTGGGCACCACTGGTTCTCAACATGTTCCATCATGGGAATAAATGCCGCTTTTTAATGATCGCATTATGCTTGTGCTTTTTTTTCGGACTGACCGCCGTCGGCTGTGCTCCAATTACTACGACAATAAAAACAACAACAGCAACAACGGCTAAGCCTGCTAATTACTCCTATCTGTCGTTACAAGCCTGTTTGTTGATCGAGCGGGGAGCGGATTTACTATACAACTATGATACATCCGCCGGCGCAATTGATTTGGCTGTCGCGTTTTCCAATCAGATGATTCTAAACACTGTAAATGCACGACTTTCGACGTTGTACTACGATATCGGTTCAGCTTGCATTGGAAGAAACCATTTAGTCGCCATCGCCATGTATTTGCGATATCAGAGACAAATACGCTGCGATGCATTTATTGGACTGGGTAAGATTGTAAGAAGAGCCACTTATGTTCTTAGTCACTTCTTACCCTAGAAAAACTACTAGAAAAAAACTTAAAATCTGAGCACCATAATATTCCAATATTATTATGGTGTTCAGATATCGTCAGACAACGGATATCGTGAGAATCTATTCAGTTTTACCAGCAACATCTTTCCTTTCATACAACTTACTTGACTCTTAGCCAACTAGTACAAAATTGCAAAATACAGAGTACATACGTAATTAAAGTAGATACACAGAAACAACTTTGCCGGGAACAAATTCTTTTTGGGAGCATTTTGGTTTTGCTTCTTTTCGTACTGTTGTGATAATTAAGAGCAGCAAGAAACTTCATTGCAATATTGCAGGATGTGCGTATAATACGGAAGCAGTGTATGACGTAGCGGACTTCTTTCATATTCCTGTCTTTGGCACTCCAGCCGCAGGTTTGAGATTGAGGTTGCATTTCTGCATAAATTAAATCAGTAAACATGATTATTCTACAGGAGTGGGAGTTAATGCTGATCTTTCGGATTACGATTACTTAACACGGCCATCAATAACCCATACGGGCGTGGCGAGTGCGTTTATGAAATTTTTTCGAATGCAGAACTACACCACACCGGCTATTATTCATGACCAGGATAATTCTTTTTATCAACAAATGGGACTAGTTATGACTAAAAGTTTTCAGGCACAAGGGTCCACATTAAGAGATAATAATATGTTTTTATTGCTGCATTCGAATACGGATGGCTACAAAGAGATTAGCACTTTGTTACAAACAGGCGCCACGCGATCTCGAGGTAAGTAGTAATCTTGTAAGCGTTCTTGAGTAAAGGTTACGGGTACTGCCCTTTTATAAAAAATGGAAGCAACTCGCAGTAGTTATTATTGTTCTAAATGCACACTTGTCAGATGTTTATTTAAATGTCCATCTGTCGTGAAAACGCATATATTCAACCAAGTAGGAATGGTCTCTTTTAGCCGAACACATTTGTTTGCAGTATTTATTATTCTTGCGGATTCAAATACAACACGACAAATAATGGTGGGTCCGGAATATTCAGAATTTTGCTTTTCCTTACATCGGGGTGTCTGATTTGATTGTTTAACTATAATTGCAGCTGTACGCGTACGATCTTGGAATGACCGCTGGCGATTTTGTAAGTTTTTACATCGTTTGCAATATAGTAATTGTTACGAGACTACAGATAGCAGGCAAATGCGAGTGCTACAAAGGTAAAAGTGTTAAACGAACTCGTGCTACTTGCGAGCAATTAAACTGTCGACCTTACCTAAATAGTAATAAAGAAAACATTTACAAATTCATAATGTAAATAAAAAAAATATCAAGATGGGCCATGTTGAATTTATCTGTACTTGCATAACTTGGTTGTACGGCTAGTACGATTACTAAAGTTGTCTTACAGGTCTTTCTGGCTGTGGAGTTATTCCGAAGCGAATACTGGGGGCTATTCTCATACAAGGCAGATCCTCCCGATGGTCGAGATGATGTATGCTCATAATTAGCGCAATTTAAAACAAAGCTACGCCTAATATAATTCAAACTTAACATTATCCGAAAATGTTTAGGATGCCTTCGTAGCATACAAAACTCTGATGTTGCTAGCTCTGCAGCAAACAGTGAGCGCCGATTATGACACTTTCCAGCGGCAAGCAATGAAGGCATCCGCAACGCGCACTACTTATCGGCATGTCTTCAATAGCTCCAAAGAGGTAAAAGTAAAATACATGCACTAACAAAATCAAAATTAATATTCTTTTTGTACGAGTATTTAGTAATAGTCAAGTCAGAGTTAAAAAAGCTTGCGCAATCAGTTCATAAGGAAATGCATTATAAGTGTAAGGCATTGTCACAAATTTTTCATGCGTCTATAGTTCTTATAGCTTCCAACCTTCCACTGGTACCAAGCGGTGAATTGTCTTGCAGATGGATCTCATAGTCAGCCATTTTTACGACGCCGTTGTGTACTTCGCCACTCTGGTTAAAACTCTGCGCATGAGCGGAATTCAAAATTTTTCGGAGCACTTTCCCGATCTGTTTTCCACAAGTTTCACTTTCGTCAGTCCCGTAAACGGACCGGCATCGTTCGCTGACACCGGTGATCGGATATTTTCCTACACCCTGAAAAGTTTCAACACCGAATCGGGCACTTTCGATGTAATTAAGCGCGCAGAACGCATATATTTCGTATGATGTATTTATTGTATTAATTGCAGCTTAATGAGCCATAAAGAGCCATCTCCAAAGGCATCTAAGTATTTTTTTTTGTTTGCATTACTTGCTAAAAATATACGAAATCAATTTTGACAAACCGTTTCCTTTTACACTATTTTTTGCGCAGTTTGAAAATTACTGTTATAATTTCACTACACAATTAACTACTGTAATTTTTTAAACAATTTTTACTGCAGTCTCTACATACCAGGTATATATACGCTTAATGCTGTTTCCAGATCGCGTTTGGTATTCCAGTGGAATCCAGCACCGCCATTCTTTTGAGCGTTTTAGATTGGCCGGGATGGGGAACTCGGCTCCCACCCAATACGCCGCGTTGTGGTTTCGATGGAAAAGCGGCAGTGTGTGCACCCGGTAAACGATACCTTTGCTAACAAGTGTTATGTTGCATATTCAATAACTTTAAGTGTTTTAAAAAGCGTGTTATACAGTTTATTTGATAACATTTATGTTATAGTACCCATGAGCACAGGAGCACTGGCAGCTGCCATTCTGATACCGTTGATGTTGATTACTGCGGGGTCCGTTATCGGAGTGATCCTTGCCGGAAAGTACGAAAGCAGTAATGCTTGCCTAATTGAAAACAAAATAATACATTCATAACCAGATTGTTATCAGATTTTTAAACAAAAACTCGGATCCATTTTGGTGGAGAATCTACTCGCATGAGCTGAGCCAAATCACATCGGCACTGTATGGATCACGAGCCCAGTCCACCGCCTTATCAGCGACGAAAAGCCGGTTAAAAAGCACAAAATCTCTTGCCGTAAGAATTTGTACTCATTGCATAAGCCGTTATTACAAAATTTTAACAATTTAGAAAACAGTTCTGTCAAGTGTCAACTGGCAGTATGAGTGGTATACCAATTTATAACGGCTTACAGGACGCGGAAAAAGAAGGCGGAGATACAGCATCAATAGCCAAAAAAGAAATATCATTCATGGCACCGATGGATAATCTTTCTAGTGCCTATACATTATTTACGAAAACCGGCTTCTACAAAGATATTCCCGTAGCTTTGCGACCGTTTCCGGAACCACAGATGAGAGTAAATCAATCTCTGGGTTCAGAACTATCGCCCGTAAGTTTCAGCTGTTACCCTGTTTCATCTCGGCTAAACTTATGAGGGATGAGCGTAATCATATAATTTTTCTTGCGTTTTAGTTAAAAAATCTACAGCACAACAATGTTCAAATATTTTATGGGATTGCTGTGAATGATGAGAACCTGTGCGAATACGTTGTGGGGGACGTATGCCAAAAGGGCAGCGTTATGGCATTAATTGACAAGCGCAAGCTCAATCTGGACTGGGAATTTAAGAGCGCTCTGTTGAAAGACACAGTGGCGGTATGGTTTGTTGGCATTATAGGCTGAATATAATGGAATATGTTTAGTTTACTCATAAATGGGGGTGTTAAACTTCAGTGTCAACATAACGCATTGTGTATTACAGGGTATGACGTATTTGCACGGATCGGCAGTGGTATCACACGGTGACCTTTCTGCTCATACTTGCCTTGTGGATAGCAGATTTGTGGTTAAAATCACCGATCATGGGTTAGCGTATTTCCGGGATAACGCGTTGACGAGTATGCCGCCCGATGAGAGTAGTGAAATTGATTTTACACAACTCTTGTGGCGTGCACCGGAACTACTTCGACGGCCATCAAAAGAAGGCACACAGAAAGGTAGGATGAAGGTTTTTACTATCGAATAAGCGGTATTCAGCTTCGTTCTAATTTTTCTCACACCTCTTTCGCAAAACATTTTCTACGAAACCGAATTTTTTTGTTTTAATCTGTTTTTGATTTATCGTTGTAATTCTTGTTGGTATATGCGGATATGCATATAGAGGTGACTATAAATAACTACATAATTTTAATAATTCATAACTGTTTTTAGGTGATGTTTACAGTTTTGCTATAATTATTCAACAACTAATACTGCGGAGCGCTCCTTATCAAAGTGCGGCAGATGCCGTTAACTTCCGACGGGATGAATATGACATAAAAGCCAAAGAGCTTGTTTTAGAGGTAATTTTACAGATAAAAGTCTAACTATGACTTACCATTAGTATTGCCAATACTACTCGGGATAATCTACTTTTGCTATCCAATACTGTATTGGATAGCAAAAGTAGATTATCCCGACTCTCTATCATTATGGTAAATAGTTAACCGGCTATTCAACTTAACATTTAACGTGCACTTTTTTATCATTAACTAACTGATACTTGCTGACGCAGGTCAAGCGAGGGGCATCACCGCCGCAGCGTCCATTAGTACCTATTTCAGCTGCTCCAGGGGCATTGCATTCCTTAATGGAACAGTGTTGGGACGAACGTCCTGAACTACGACCGGTTTTCCCTAAAGTACGAGAGGTCATTACGAAAACAATGGGTCGCGCGGGCGAGAATATTGTTGACCATTTAATCAGGCGAATGGAGCAGTATGCCGCGGTAATTATAACTATGCATGTGCTGCTAGGGGCATTAAATTATTTATTCAGCTGCAACTGCATTATTTATATTGCAACATATGCAGGAGCTAGAGCAAGAAATGCAAGAAAAAATGAATCAGTTTATGGAAGAAAAAGCGCGATCCGAGGCCATGCTGAATGGAATTCTACCAAAGTATAACAATACTCACAATCCATCATACACCACATCACAGTAACCTTGTGAAATTATGCAATGTCCTTTAATGCTGTACGCATGGTATCTTAGGACCGTTAGCGAAGCCTTGAGGAAAGGTCAAATGGTTTACCCGGAAGTGTTCACGAGTACTACAGTACAAGTAAGAAGTCTGTGGTACCCTTGTCAGAATTACGATATAAGTTAAGCAGTGTATAGCTAGAATTCTGAACGCACCTGTTTTGTTGACTACAGTTCAGCGATATAAACGGATTTCCGGAAGTGCTTGCAGCTGCGCCTACTCCTTTTGTGACTATTGAAATTATGAATACATTGTATGCAGTCTGCGATAAAGTCATAGAAAACTTCAGCGTGTATAAAGTGGAAACAGTTGGTGACGCCTATTTGGTAAACTTTATTGTTATTATTATTTCACTATTTTATTTTGTATTTCTGTCAAGGGAACTGACTTGTTTTTCCATTAGTTAGTGAGCGGTCTTCCCATTCGGAACGGTATTAAACATGCCGGCGAGATGTCCACTTTGGCTCTGCAGATGAGAAAAGAAGTCGGTGCACTGAATTTTCCCAGTAGCCCAGACAAAAAGATGAAGCTGAGAGTTGGCATAAATTCGGGTTAGTAAGCATCAATATTTTTTACACCTTGCTGGTGTTGTCGCAGGATTTTGCGTGTTTGAAAACAATGACAGGAATTAACAAGGAAAACATTTTTGATGACAAGCGCCCACTATTTACTTATTCAAGTATGCTTACAGGACCGTGTGTGGCCAGTGTCATCGGCCTGAAAATGCCACGTTATTGTTTGTAAGTGCGCAAATACGATATACTGCATACGTAGTTAAGACTTCACCGGTATTTATAGCCAGTTATTCGGCAATATAAAAACGTTTAAAATGTTTATTTAATACTTAGATTTGGGGATACGGTAAATACCGCCAGTCGAATGGAATCGCACGGAGAAGGCAAGTGTGATGCAAGAACAGTTCAATTGCAATTGCTTTCGTTGTTTTATTGTTCGACGTCTTTATTTTATTTTGCAGCTGGAAAAATCCAGTGTAGCCCTACAACCAAAGAATTACTAGACAAACTAGGAGACTATGTGGTTGTATCTCGTGGGGAAATGGAAGTGAAGGTATAAAGACGCTTAATTTACTTGTCAAATGGTAATTTTTGAGATGTTGCCGTATTTCTTATTTTTGTAATCGCGAAACTTTATGTGTATTGTAGTACGGCAAACCATTTCATGTTTTGTTGTAATTACAGGGGAAAGGACTAATGGAAACCTTTTGGCTAGTAGCGAAAACATCGTTAAGCTAATTGATATCGTGTGAAGACTTGTGTCACTGTGAATGTCTGCACAATGCGGTGTGCATGAGGCAGTAATTTTATTCCGCGTGATTTCGATTTGCAATGTTTAGCCCGCATTTGATGTTTAAGCGGATTGCCGTATCGGATTTAAATGTACTACTAATATTCGTCCACAATGATTCATGTGCCTTTTCTTCTTTGAAATGCAATTATACATTAACATGTAAAAAGCCGACGCCTTATAAAAGGCACAGAATTATTATGATTACGACATTGAACACGTAAAATTAAAAATCATGAAATGTAAGAAATATGTGCCGAATCCATTTTCGGGTTAAGTGCATATTTCTCCTTCAATCGACACCATCCAATAACAGTATTGTAATCGATAACATTGCATCGCGGGTGAATGTGGCACAGCGTCATACAAATCACGTCATCCCAGGTGTCATCGGCGGCGCGCTGGTTGCCCACCATGATGTTGTTTCCCGCGTACATGGTTCCTGTCTTCTTGACGAACACTTTCGCACTGTCCGCCAAAAGAACATGCGCCGGATCACGGCTGAAGCGGACGCTAACCGTGCTGGCCATGCCCCAACAGCGTTTTTCGTTCAAATTAAAGGTCACCAGCCGGCAGTCCCATGCTTGCCGGCATTTCTCAATGCAGTCATCCGTGGTCTTGGTGACATCGTTGAAAATGTAGTTGCCTGTGTCCGAATTAGCTCGCCAACCCTGTAACATCACTAAGCGAGCGGATTTAGCAAGCGGGGAATTCGGTGGGGGTCCCACTTGGGGGGAGACTGCTGTACGACAGAAAACAAGCCAAACTTATAAGCTTACATCTGTAGAAATAGCATAACAAATTTCTCAATTTGCAATGGTTGTTAGTCCAAAACCAATAATACTGTAATTGTAAAACTCACTAACAGGTATATGTTTTTGAAAAAAACTGGTCTAATTACTGGTATTCAAAATTAAATAATTAGGCTTCATTTAATGCAGTTACTAAATACTGCAGTTTAATGCGGTTACTAAATTAAGTTAGCGTGCTGTTCAGTTGATAACAATTATGGCATGCAAATCACGACACTTACGATATACGAGCAGCAATATTAAACCAGCCAACAATAAAGCAAGGAGCGATAAACCTGCAGTGACCATAACTCTAAAACGATAATCTTGATTCATAATTATTAATTTCAGTATTTTAGAATAACTAATTGTCACATAATAAAATTGTTTATCTGAGATAGAAGAGCTTGATTATTCAAAAATCAGCCGATCAGTTTACAATTTCCACGTTCACGAATAAGGCCTTTCTACCAACAGTATTACGCAATAACATCACGGTAATCAGCTATTTTTTAGTATTCAAATAGCACCGGTGCGCAACAGCATTAACACCGTTTCTGTAGCTTTGTGGTAATAACAGCACGCCGGTTTTCAAAGAATTTTGAATCTTCGCAAACAGTTGCTTTACTACAAAGTGCTAAATTCTGTTTCATCACAGATGTTGCGATGGTATGCCTCACAGCATTTCGTCGCTTCATATCTTTTTGGCTTAGCGAATTAAGTCATCCTTTACATTTTTGTGCGTCTAATAATACATAATAAGAGAAATGTCTAATAATACATAATAAGAGAAATAATAGTTCCAAAAATTCAAGTAAAAATTCTGCATTATGTCCATGGCAAAAAATTCGAATGCACGGCTATTCCAAAAATAAAATAGGAAACAAAATAAATCACAACAGCTTTTTGGACCGGAGAACTGGCACGAAATTTAACTTCGTCATACAGATCCATCAATCCCTGACTTTTCAATGGCAGAAACACACGCCCTAAATAACAATACATAAGCGGAGTCGCGGAGCACAGCATCCTCGTAGAAACCTGGAACGTAAAGAAAACTTAGTTAAATTAATTCCGACTACAAGAACTGATATCACATTCCAAGTGAACGTGAAGTTGAATAACTGCTAAAGTTATTAAGTGAGTTAAGCTGATAGATACCCTGCATGAGCAACAACTGGAAAAAAAGTGCAGGAAATCGCAAACGTTTTTGATGCATACCTGGATGTGCACGAAAAACAGATTAACTACGATAAGAAACTCCAAATGCACAAAATAGGGAAAGACTGCCTGCACTTTCCGCGTCCTCCATAAATCTTTCAATATCCATACGCTGAGCGCCAAAATAGGCGCAGCCAAAACAAAATTTGGTATTTGTTTCCATTCGTAATACCGAAAAAATCCAACATTCCAGTGCTGCTCCTGAATGTAGGAATAGGAAAGCGGCAATGTGCGAGTACACCATTCCGAAACAGACCGATTTCGGTGCAAGAAATTATATTCCCGAGTCGTTCCATATTCAGCAATAGCGTCTGGCAGATCTTGGTCAAATGCATAACAGTATAATCGAAACGCAAATAGCTGGAATAATAAAAAAGGAAGTAATCCAACCACAGCAAAAATCAAGCTTTCGACAATCTTCCGTAAAAGAAACCGGCTATTTCGCGGTCCATTATACATTTCTCGAAGTTGATGGTAACCGATAAATCCCAAATTGATCACACCGTTTGACCGAACCGATCCGGAAAATGCAAAATATATCACAGATTTCAATTTCCCCAATATTCCTTGCGCTTTTGTCAGGGCTGTCTCTAAATGTAACAACCCCGTGAATGTCAAATATGCAAACAGGGATTCCGAATAACAAGATGAGAAAAATATACTGGCTGGATTAAAGCAGAACAGCACCGCCGCATTGAACGCCCACGCTCGCAGCCTCCCCTTATCCACGATTCTGCACCAGTTATACAAGGATTCTACAGCCAGGACGAAGCAGACATTGTTCAATACGAATCCAGAGATCAGTAAAACGCTACGGAGGTTAATAACCCCGAAAGTCAAGACAGACACAACGGAAGCACTTATCCGCACCAGAAGGGGATATAATGGGAAAAATGCCAAGCAATTCTGATACGGATAACCGTGCTCCGCAATAAAGAGGAAATAGATGGCGTCCCACCGTCGGAATCCTCCAAAAAGTCGCTCAACAAAGTCATCGCCGATTGTACTGTTGGCAGTGGACGGCGGGTTGAAGACATCTGGTTCGTGGTCAGGGATTAAGTTATTGGAGACAATCTACAGATAAATAGGCCAGTAAGTTAGCAATATATTGAAATATTTCGCACATCTACTGTATGTAGTTAGTATACCTGCAGAAGCAATACAATCGCGCGGGACGTCAGTGCGAAGTGACGGACGCGTTGCAGATCGAAATCAACATCCTTGTCGGGAATAGTGAAAGTCCCGCTGTTCTTTGCTTGCAGAGATGTTTTGGACATTGCCAACAGCCAAAATGGATAAAATTTACAGCCGTTCAATCTGTATTGCAACCGATCTTAGGCATCCCGTTGGACAGCTTATTAGCTAGTCGAGGCGTACAAATCAGTATGTCATTTTGTCTTGTATACAATGTATTATAAAAAAAAAGTTTCAAGTTGGAAAACTTGCTGGTGACCAGTAAGTGCTTAAGTTTTTGATTTATTTATCATTTTAGTCAATTTAAATGGTTATTAATAGAAATGATTTCAGTTTTCGGTTTTCACCAACAAATTTGCAAGGACGGTGTTGCAATCAGGCGGTGTTGCAATGTCGGTTGTACCAAACATTGGTGTACAGCGCCATAAAAATTTAGCTTCGACTCAGGGTTTAAGTATATTGCGCAGCCGGTTGAGAGAGAGCAGATATACTAGCAGTGCAGAATTATCGTTTGTGGCAATTTTTATCTTACATTTGTCTGAGCTGCAGCACCGGGATAACATACCGAGGCGGTGAGCAGGCGACGGGCAGTATTGACAATGCTTTACTCAATGTGACTGCTGCCAAATTACGTGCAAATTTTAAATATTCAAAAATGTTTAACTTTGTTTGTTCTTAAGCAAAAATTGTATCCATAGGCTTGAAAAATTTATAATAATATTTACTTTTAGGCAGTATGAATGCAGGTTTTTGTTTTCGTGCCAAAGAAGTGTTATGGCGATAAGAAATTAGCATACCCGTCTATGGCAGACCTGGTGCTGGCTTTTCTCTATTTTCTCGTAGAAGACTATGTTAACTCCGGAGAGTCATATCATTACTCTGCAATCAAAATAAATAACTCCATGCATACTGTTTAAAAGTATATATTATTATGTATTTTTCAAGCCTATGGGTACAATTTTTGCTTAAGAACAAACAAAGTTAAACATTTTTGAATATTTAAAATTTGCACGTAATTTGGCAGCAGTCACATTGAGTAAAGCATTGTCAGTACTGCCCGTCGCCTGCTCACCGCCTCGGTATGTTATCCCGGTGCTGCGGCTCAGACAAATTTAAGATAAAAATTGCCACAAACGATACTTCTGCACTGTTAGTATATCTGCTCTCGTTGAGATTGATTTCCTGTAGTAACTGGTTAATCATTTCAATAATTTCTTTTCCTGGCCGGTTTGACTTTTTTGTTCGCACTTCGATTTCAGAGACCAAAGTGATTTGTCAGAATTTTCGAAGTTAGGGAAGTCTTATAAATTTTTTGTATTGGCGCTTTCCAGTTTTTGTGGAATTTTTTCACTTTTTTTAGAAACGATTCAGCAGAAAAATGCACTTAGCTTCCCAAACCGCCTTACTTGTTGCAAGAGAAGTCCAGGAACATCGCGATTATTTTTACAACACTCACATCCGTCCTTTTTGCGAACCATCTTCAGTCCGAAAGGTACGTGAAGTATTTTGTCTTGTAGCGGGGTAGACGACAAAAGCTCATCGGAAATATGGATTTGCAGGGAAAGCGAGCGAAAGGCCAGGCAGGAAAACACAGCTCTCAAAAAGTGAAAAATAAGAATTACGTGAACGGCCAAGGCAAGTCAGCGGTTCTGTTTTGGGAGTTCTGAGTTCAGTACTCGTATGCCAGTCTTTTGCTGTTTGTTGCAACAAAATCGTCATTTTTCGCAGATGTGGAGATTCCGTTTACTGTATCCCACGAAAATCAAGAAGACTACCTTCACAGACTAGACCCGACGCAATGGAGGGTAACGAAAAAAATAATCATGAGATTATATATATTTTTTTTAAATTAAAATTGGTTATATTATTATTATGCGTATTAAGTTTCTGGTTTTGTAGGACCAGGATCACTATTTAGTTCTGGGACTGGGCCATCGGCGCTATCAGGCCACGGATGACGAAATAAAGAAAGCGTATAAACGCCTTATTCTTAAGCATCACCCGGATAAACGTCGACAGGTAAGGGAACAAATAAAAAATGGGATTGCGAAGAACTGTGGAGAACTCCTTGGGTGTTTGCAGAAAGGAGAAGCCGTACAGGATGAAACCAAGGATTATTTTGCCTGCATCAATAAAGCGAATGATATCCTGGGGGATCCTGAAAAAAGACGGGCATTCGACAGCATTGATGCCGTTGTTGCGGCTGTAGCGGATGATGTTCCTGATAAATTGAAACCGGAAGAGCGACAGGAATTTTTCGAACTGTTTGCCCCGGTTTTCCGGTGGAATGCGCGTTGGTCTGTGAAGCAGCCTGTTCCTCAGCTGGGTGATAATGACGCTATGGAGGAGTATACTGATGAATTCTACGAATTTTGGTATAATTTTGACTCATGGAGGGAATATTCTTATTTGGATGAGCCCGTCACTGGCGACGATCGGTATGAAAGAAGAGCTATGGAGAAACAGAATAAAGACGTTCGAAAGGTTAGTGATTTTGAGTTTTAGTAATATTTCTTTCTTAGGAGAAAATCGCCCGATGAATAGTCGTACAGTATTTTTGAGGCTCGTAACCATTTACTGACTGGCGGCCAGTATGGATGTTCGCCTTTCCCTGTTAATTTCTTTACTAATAAACCATTAATTGGATGCAATAATGAAGATAAAAATGTTTCTTTTTGTGACAGTCGGACTGGATTGCATTCTTAGTTTCTTACTATATTTTTGAAACATTCACGCTGTCACGCACTCACGCTCACTGTCAGGTTGTTTGGATTTGTAGTACATGCGTAGTGTAATGACTGATTTTCTGCGGTTCAATGTGGTTAAAATTTCGCTGTTTACGTAATGTTCCGTTTGACTTTCGTCTAATTTTCTTTTTTTTACTGTGCAGCTGCACAGTACGTTTAATTTGGAAATTTCTGTACGGTCTGATTTTCTTGAGCTGTAAAACTTTTTAAGTATTGCATAAATGATTTGCATAATTGCTGTGAGGAGGGTGTGGGTTATCTTGTATCACAAATAATGAGCTATAGGTTGTCTCATAATTATGATCATTACAGTACACTGAGTACAGTATGGATTCCTTATGTATCGCAAATAATTTTATCACCGTGAATACATTTGCCCTTTATTAGTCCATTGCATCCGCTTATGCTTTGTTCTTTTGCCATGTTTACGTTTTTTTAACTTTTTTCAGGAAAGAAAAGGCAAAGAAATGGGAAGATTACGCCGTTTGGTTGATAACGCTTTTGCCAGTGATCCGCGTATAGTAAAATTTAAAGATGAAGAAAAGCAGAGAAAAGAAGCTGAAAAACAAGCCAGAAAAGATGCACAACGTGCCCGACAAGAAGCCGAGGAGCAGCAACGTAGAGAAACCATTGAAAAAGAGCAAGAAGAACGGCGGCAACAAGAAGAAAGCGCCAAAGCGGAAGCCGAAAAGGCTAAGAAAGAAAAAGAAGCAGAAAAGAAGGTTTTGAAGAAAGAGCGGAAAACTTTACGCGATTTAATGAAGGTTAGCAAAACTAGCAAGCCGATCGCATGTTTTTTTCAGAATTTAGGGATATGATGTCAGATGTGGAACAAGTTCGAACAGTGTTACGTATGATTATGCATATTCTTTTTCAGGGGTGGAATTATTTTGCGGACAACAGTGGAACTGCCAAGAATATGCAGGAAACCGAAAAGCTTTGCGATATTCTTACGGCTCAGCAGTTACAAGATCTGAATGAGCGCTTCGCTGCAGCCAGCCTGGAAGATGCTAGGGGAATATTTGTTGATCAGGTTGATGAGATTAATAAAAAACTTGAAGCTGAACGTGCAGCTGCTATCAAGGAAAAGGAAGATAAAGAGAAACTGGCCAGTGCCCAGAAAGAACAGGAAATGGATCAACGGTGGAACGAAGAAGAATTGAAATTGCTGATAAAGGCGGTAAATCTTTATCCGGCTGGCACAGGCAACCGATGGGAAGTCGTTGCGGAGTACATCAACCATCACATGTTTATCGGGGGCATAACGACCGAGACTGAACGGCAGAAAAAGACTGCCAAAGACGTGATTGCCAAAAGTAAAACGTTAAAGCGAATTGGTAAATATTGTGAATTTCGATTCCGAGTGTGATTACCGATTGGTTGTGGAGTTCAAATTTCCCGCTTAATTGTTTATTCGATGTGGTGGGTTTGGTGATATTCTTCGTGTAAGAAGAATATTTCAAAATTTAATAGGAGATTTAGTTCCGCTTTATTTCCAGATCAGTGCCATGATACTATGAGAGCTGAAGTGAACAAAAAGGCATTCGACTCTTTTGCTGGAACTCAGAAGACCGTTGTGAAGCCGGCGAAAGACGATGGGACTATAACAGAACGCTTTGATCGTAAGCGCAGTTAAATGACATCAGATTCTGTTATGAGTGCTTTCACGTTTAAATCTACAAAAGGGCGTGGTTTTTAATACTGTTTAGGAGACACAGTGAATGGATCAGCAGATGCCCCAAAGCCGTGGTCGGCAGCTGAACAGAAATTGCTTGAGCAAGCCCTAAAGAAATTCCCCGCATCCGATCCAGCCCGGTGGGATAATATTGCGAAGGAATTACAAACGCGATCGAAGCAGGAATGCGTAAAGCGCTATAAGGTACTTTTGTTTTCTTTTTGAGTAGAGATAAACGGTTACTGATATTGTCATTAGTTTGATCCTACTGTTTGTGTGTTGTTGAATGAATATCTAATAATGTTGCGACTACTCTTTCTGTAAATGAGGGTTTTTTGATTGTTTTGTAGGAACTAGTGGAAAAGATCAAAGCTCAAAAAGCCGCTGCTGCGGCAGCCAAATGAACGGATTTTAGCTGTGATTACGAATATACTAGTGATTTGCTACACGAGCTGAATTGTGAGAAGTGAGGGCGGTTTAGTATGTCTTCAGTGTGCAGTCACATTCGCCGATCTGTCACGTCACCTATTCAGTGTTTAATGTGTGAACTGGCATCGTTGCTTTTGAGTGTTTCTGGTTTGGCAACTGCGCGGAAAATGCGATTTTGCTGGATGTTAAAGACAGTTGACTGAAGGTTGTTCGATCTGAAACTGAACAGAAAAATGGTCCGTTTCTGGGAGGAAAATTTACCCTAAAGATTGTCCCGCACTCAACGAAACGGGAAAACGTGTTCAAGCGGGCTGAGAGTACAGAGCAGATACTAACTTGTCAACTTTTATCTTTTTTTAATTTTTATCCTAAATTTGCGTAAGTAAGTATTGCTGCAACACCATAACAACATACCGAGGCGGTAAGCAGGCGACGGGCACTCCAAACCCTTCCGACAAAAAACAGTATTTGCAGTGAACAGTTCGTGTTTAATCCTAAAGTTTAATGATATTCCGTCTTTTTCCCTATCTTACCAGTCATGCGAAAGTCTGGATTTCTTGCATTTAATTGAAAATGATAATGTCTTCCGCCCGCATCTCTGGTGCTCTTGTGAGGCTGCTGTCTAATCATGCCTCGAAGGTAAGCAGTGTTTCATAAGTCAGCTGAAGAGCGAGGATGGCTGCAGCCTGCAGGTCTCTCCGTGACTTCTCTGGATCGGTCCAGGATTCTGTTAAAGCAATCTATATGATGTGCACAATGTATTTTATACCTGGATCAGGAAAATCTTCCTGTTTCAGATCGCGCGATATTGCGCAGCGGTGCCAGTCTTGAATGCGCGCAGTCTCCGCACCTCCCAACTCGTCAATGCTGCCAAAGGTTCGCAGATCGTTGCATGGTATGCGTGTGGAAGCTGGAATTCTATGAAGCTGGAATTGGCCCAGTATCGTGGGGTCGCTGCTTCTGGTTATTTTGGTCATAAATGGAACGTGGAAACCTTTTCGACTTCTGCGGCTTATTCGTTTTTCAGTATCCGCAGCAAGGAGCGTGAATTATACGAATTGAAAATTGTTTCGAATAAGTTGGAGCACAAACATAAAGTCGCAGAATTGGAACATGAAGTTGCAGAATTGGTCCACAAAATAAAAATGCAAGAAATGGAGCATTATTATCAACTGAAAGAGCTGAATACGAAATATCTGAATGCCGCGCATAAACTTCACATACGTGGGACGATGGATGAATTAGAAAAGAAATGGAAAGAAATAATCATCAAATATAATCTTACTAAGCTCCCACCAGGGAAAATCAACCGGGAGGAGCTCTGGACGCATTTCATGAACGAGTCTTACTTTACAGCCCTGCTGACTAATGTAAGGGGGGATGACGGTGAGCCTCTGTTGAACGAAAATTCACAGACATATAAAGATCTGCCTAAGATCGTATCCAAAATCTACACCCGTATGAGCAGTGAGATCTACACCCGGTGCTGCACCGGTACGTTTGTGTCCATTTACGCAGGGTTGTCTTGTCGAGACGAAAATATTGTGGAGGTGATTTGTCGACTCCTGCCAGTTAATTTCGAAGTCTATCGTGGCGGGAAGCTGCAGCAACCAACTAGATACCACTCGATTGTGGACCAAGGTAAGCATGGCTTACCGGTCAATGGCAGCCTCTAACTGATTCAACTACGCATGAAATTACTTCTTTTAAAGTTATTTCTTCTTATCTACTTTAGATCTACAAAGAATATGCAGGGAACTGTAAAGCTGAATGAGCGCTTCGCTGTGTAAAGTCATCCAGCCAGCCAGCTGCAGCCAGCCTGCAAGATTTAGGGGTGTATATAATGATCAGATGAATGAGACCAATAAAAAGAGTGAAGCCCAACGTTCAGCAGCGATCAAGGAAAACGATCACGAAGAAAAAATGACCAGTGCCCAGAAAGAACAGGAAATAGATCAAAGGTGGAACGAAGATGAACTGAAGCTGCTGATAAAGGCTGAAGCTGCTGGTCTTTATCCGGCTGGCACTGGCAACCGATCGAAAGTCGTTGTGCAGTACATCCACTGACAACTGTTTATCGAGGGGAATCAGGGGATCACAAACGAGAATGTGCTGCAACAATGGGATGCCACATATGTGAAGGCTAAAAGTAAAACATTACGTGAACGAATTGGCAAGTAGTTTTCAGTCCCGTGAAGTGATTAGTATTTTGACTCGCACTGCATATTTTAAAGGAGACAAAGTGAACGCATCAGCAAAAGACCCAAAGCTGTGATCAGGCAGCTGAACAAAAATCGTTTGAACAAGCCTTGAAGAAACGATGCTCCGTTTGACGATTCCTTGCAGTCCCCGCATCAGATCCAGCACGGTGGGATAATGTTGTTAAGGAATTGCAAACGCAATCGAAAGAGGAATGCGAAGAACGCTATAAGGTACAGCGGACACCTACACAGACTAACGCAGTTGATTTCGTTGGATTATTCAAAAGGGAATTTTTATTTTTGAATGAAATTAACGGTTATTGATCCTGCTGGTTCTTCTGGTGTTGAATGGATGCGAAAGTAATAATACTGCATTATCATTGCGACTATTCTCAGTTCTGTTTTTGTAATCGGAAATTTTTGATTATTTTGTAGGAACTGGTGGATAAGACCGAAGCTCAAACAGCAGCTGCTTCGGCAGCTAAATAACGATTAGCTGTGATTACGAGTACATTTGTGATTTGCGATATGAATTGATTGTCAGAGGGTGTGGTTATTAGTGGTTTAGCAGGTCTTCAGTGTGCAATCACATTCACCGATCTGTCACCTATTCAGTGCTTGGTGTGTAAACGGGCATCGTTGCTTTTTGAGTGTTTCTGCCGTCAGCGTCGTTTGACGATTATCATGGCAGATTTACTACTCCCAAAGTGAAACCGCAGCAGAGAGCCGCTCGTGGTGTTTTTATGATTAAAGTCGTATTTTGAGCCTGAGACTGTTTTGAGCGCAATTCCCATGGTATCGAATGCTAGTCAGTATGGTAGCCATGAGAAAATGTCCGGATGTTTGTATGGATTCGCCCAGAATGGCGGATTGTTGGTATTCAGTCGGACGTATGGAGAGTTCCACCAGCTGCCTGTTCCGATGGTGGCGTCGTTGAACGGTGTCCATGATTATCTGGCCGAAGAGCAAACAGAGTTGCTGTCCTTCGAAGCCAGTGGGATGGTATACGTATGGCGCCAGTGCGAGTGCCTAAAGTTTATCCTCGTTACCAATGTGATTTTTCCCGACGGTGAGAAGCGTGATATCGCGCTTCTGCTGGACTTTGTGTGGCTAATCTTGGTGGCCAGTGTTGGAGAGAAGACGTTGAACGCCTGCCAGGATGTAGATGTTTTGAGGCGTTATTGTGCGCATTCGGCGCAGAATATTGATGTGGTTATGGACGCCTTTCTCGGATGCGAAGACTTCGGTCTTGCGATCTCACTCGGTCAGTGCCAAATTTGAAAAATTGAATGTCTTCAAAATTTTAATTCAAAAATCATTCAGTTAATCGTTTTTATTATTTTTACGCATTTTTAATGAATATAAACTTTTACACTAAGTCTTTTTTATCAACGGCTATATTAAATTTGCCCCATATTAACTTAAGATTTTCGTCTAGGCCGATTTAGTGTGCCAGAAATCTTAATTACCGTGTTTATTTAGTTTGTCATAATTGTTTGCAATGGCGAAACATTTTGTGTTTATTTTCTTTTGTCCCTTGTTGTGCATTTACAGATTAACATATCAGATTTCGTATTCATGTACCCTTTCGCCGGCTGGATGCTTTATTTTCGGTTTTTACCAAGAATAGTGCGCTTACTGGAGCTTGACATCACATTGTTATGATAGATTGCTCATATTTTTGTTGAATTTAAGTGAAGCGTATCATAATTTTTCCTCGGCACAGATTGCCGATAATGTGTAGTGAATGTTCAACAGGTTCCGCCTTATTTGCATTTCCATCTGGGCCGGCTAATCTCCGTAACGCGGTGGACTCGTTCTGCGCGGACTTGTCCATTTCCCACTGTGCGATCCTGATAAATGACCGCATTGCCATGTTATCGACTGGTCTGTCTTCCTTTTCCTCCTCGGATCTCATTTTGTTAGCTCTCAACGCCGTTACTACCCCAACGGCCGATATTATCTTTGAACGCCCATTGTTCTTCCCTCATTTTTCCCCGAATTTAGCGTACCGTTTAGTCGTGGTACGCTTAGCATCGACCGTTAGCGTAGCCTTCTTAGCCGGCGCGGATTTCCATCTAGACGCGACTGTCCAGGGCAGAATTGATGCATTTTGGCGGAATGAAGTGGAACTGGTGCGGCGATTAGTGGAGCTGGTGCCCAAGTACCTTCCCGCGGCTGTAGAACAGCAGTTGCCGCAGAGTCTTTTGGGATTATTACTATGGAATACAGAGAGCCGGCGGTATTTAATATCGCCGGTATGGCCCGCCGTTACCGTCGAACGGACCAAAGAGCGGCGGAAGGATTTGATTAAATTTTATCGGATGGTGGAGTATTTGCTGCGGAAGAGTGCCGAATTGAAAAGCCCTCCAGTTCGCGATGTTTACAGGAATTTCGAAGAGAGAAAATGCTACTGTATTTGTCGGGGAAACTATCATTTGTATGCTATGTTTGATGCCGGCGAGCCGCAACATAGTTTGCGACATATATGTGAAATTATCCTGACATTGTGTACCAAACGCAATTCAGCACAACTTCTTTAGTCAGTTTTTACTGCACAATGAAAAATTACAGAACTGTTATAATGTGTTTTTATATATTTACCGGTTAGTCGCGAACAAACGTCGTGCAATAAGCAGAGAAAGCTGCCAGCAAAAAAAGAGTACCATTTAATAACCGTGCGCTACTCAAAATCAGATGTTCATAAATAAATTTATTCATTCCATAACAAACCGATACGTACTTAACTTTGGTGGAATTCTCCGTTAGCTTGACTAAAAATTTGTCATTCGCACACTGTAGTTACCGCATTCTAATCAATCTATTCCCAGACACTATAATTACCTAAAGACTGTAATTGATATCAGGAATAGCCAAATGGTCCACAGACTCCACACCTTACACAGTCGTTGTGACCGTATGCTTTTCTGCCATCTAGTCTGGAAAAGCGCACGGATATGCGGAGCACTCGTGGCGGCGTCTTTTGTATGGGTATATTTCGATCAATTTCTATGACAATGCTGCGTTAGATAATTGCGGTCAATTTGATGAAAATTACGGAAACGTGCACGCAAGATATCGATATACCCAATAATTATCAGAAGCGAAGTTAGACGACTACGCCTAGCTTACGCTGTCCAATTGGCTCGGATTCATCGTATAGGGAGGGACCTCCTACCGGAAGTCAGAGGAAAGAGGAAGCAAGGAGGCACTATTAAAAGCAAACTGCAGTTAGTAAATACGGCGCTTTTGAACACCAATGAGTGTGGACGGTGCTGGGTTTCATCAGGAGTAACTATTTAACTGTTCAATGCCACTGAAGTGGCAACGAACATTTATTTATTGTACGGACTTTATTCGAATGCTGGTGTGAACTAATTGCCGTGCTGGTCATTTTTTTCTGGGGTTACATGTGCAAATATTCATCAGTTTCTAACTGGAACGAGATACTGCAGTTGACCTTTATGTAATTGTGCGCTGTGCGTCTTTGGAACAGCCATGCTTGCCGCGAGAAGTCTGTTCAAAATCTTTGCTGTTGGTTTTATTGTCGCCCTTGTAAGTGCAGCCTATTTATACAAAATCATAAATTTGTACTGCTTTAGAACAGAAAAAAATATTTATTTTGTCGAAGTTATCAGTTAAGGTTATTGTAGTCCGGTATACAATGTACATATCAATAAAAGATCCAAAATTGGATGCGTTAGTTAGACCATATATTATGCAGTTACTTGTAAGGTACGCATTTTGGTAGACTGACCTTCTTTCAACCGATTTCAATGCGTCTTAAATACAACGTGGTCAAGAAATTCCTGTTGAAACCATTTCCTAATTTTTTTCTTGTTGTGTTTTCAATAATTTTCTTTTCTACAATATAGGCAATAAAAACCTGCAATGGCCAAGAATTGGTTTCGGATGATTTGGACGATATCTCGTTAATTGGTCGCGATCCCCGACTAATCTACAATCACGTCAACATTCCTGTCATCCGTCGTGCGGATGTCTCGATACGATCGCCGCGTCCAGCTCCGCTGATCGCCGGTCAGCGGATATTCAGCCGCCTGGCCGATGGATCACGCAGCTCACATTCCAGCTTCTTGCCCGAAAGGTCATCACCATCCCAGGGTTTATACTGGATGCGCAATCCGGCGCAGTTTGCCGCATCAGCGGAGTCATCCGGTGCGGCAGCGGACGACACCCGGCGGATGTGGCGCGTACCGACAGCCGGCCGATCGCGATCGCATCCGCCGCTGTGGGCATTACTGTCCCCGCGGCGTGTCCGTGGATTACAGTATGATTTCGATTATTAGTCCCAAAAAAACGGAATCCATGGATTCCTGGAATCTGATTCTGCGAGTATTCTCCGTGATGAACTTTCACGATAACCATTTTATTTTGATCAAATTTTAATGAGTATTGCAACTTGAACATGACTGCGTGGTGAATATGATATGCACGATATTTTTGGATTGATACAGTAGTGTGCGTCCATGCAACTTTAATAAGTATTAAGTTAAATGCTGCTCCTTGCCGAGAAAATTAGTGTTTAGAATCTCTACTGTACCCATTCGATTAAAATACGTAACGATTACTTCAATTCTGAGATTTGTAATTTTTAGGATATTTTATCTAAGAAATAGTGAACTTGAGAATTTACCATTAAGGTGAACCTCACCATTAAGGTGAACTTTACTGTCCGCGGGTGAATATTACTACTGCGATAACATTTTTTGTGGACCTGAGAGCGTATTCATTGATGTCCGTGAATTCGAAGATGCATTTGTTACAATAGCACACAAGGCAAGCATCATGTTTTCAATTACAAAACCCGTGTTACGATTACGCCATACAAAACATCAATTTCTGAATTCTGTACGCAACGCGCGTCTTATCGAAATGAAAGACGCGTCAAGTGACGACAGTGGCTATTCATTGATTTCCATAAGTGTTTTTTAATTCATACCCCCCACCAAACATGCGGCCTCAGTCAGATTGTGTTGATCCAACACATCTATACGGAGAAAACAAAATAGAAAAACGTACAAACAGCCCTTACACTCCGCTGGACATGTCACGACGCCACCGCAATTTCCGGCCAACAGATAACCGTTACGCGCACAGTCGGCGATCAATCATTTCACTGCAGATTTATTTCGTCAACCGTGGATAAAAAGAGAGAAAATAGAACTCTATCCATTTCCGTTCCACTCTCGGGATACACGACAGGATAATGTGCTGGGGTAATAAAAAACACAAACGTCAAACCCGGCGGAATGATGATATCGGAGCTGAACGTCAAGAAATCTGCCACCGGGATCATGATATGACGGTTAACCTCAAGAGGCAGAATGGGCCCGCTATAAAATATTCTCATCTCGTTTCATTGCAGCTCCCAGCTGAATAAATGATATCGCACTAAGAGATCCCGTACACTGCTGCGCAGCGGAAAGCCCTTTGGTCGCTTTGGACTGATTTCCGCATCCAGGGACAGCGTGAAACATAGACGCGATAAGATTCTATAAAGGCCATAATATAATCAATATCACAATATTCTGTAGTATAACAGTACTCGTACAGAACCAAAGCAAAACCTAAAAACACTTCAAAAGTGTACCGTTGACGTACGTATTGATTGTTATGAATCGAAAAACCGTATGGTTGTTGTAACCAACCGAACTGATACATTCGAAACCAAAGAACAAAAAATTATTAAACAGGGAAGCAAAAGTAAAAATACTGAATGAAGGTTGCTCAACAAAATCGCATGCTTGACAGCTAACGTAATTAATCAATAACTAAAAATTTGGTAAATTATGGTAAAACAATACCATTGTAGGCCTACATAATTCAACAATTAAAACTGGTTATTATTCTATAGCAAATGTCAAGTAACTGTGCAATCTAGTACCTTAGTTCACATTTTATCTGCAGCCACGCTGGACTTCTCATCATTGACCACGTATGATACCATTTTTCCAATACAGCCATTATATCCTTTTCAATACCACCGGTACCCTTTTCAATATCGCCTTTACCATAACATGCGCACAGTAAATGTAGCCACAAGTGCAGTACTTGATCACTACAAATCACAGCAACCAATGCGGGATTATTTCAAATTTATAACATATTAAATATGAGACCATCAGGGTTTACTTCAATCCGCTACAGATAAAAGATCGAAACTTGGTATCCATTGAAGCATGGACACTATTATGTGTGTCATTAATATTCCTCACGGCCTGCAAAAGAATCATATCCCATACACAACCCAATCGCTGTACGATATTGAACGATGCGATAAATAGAGAAAGATGATACATTGTGTTGTTCCCAATCGATACAGGACGTGCACTCACTTTGTACAAGAGCTCTTCCGGATTGAGCAGGCGCGCGTCCTCATCGAGCCTGGAAACATAACGATAAACGTCGCTATTAAGTAAATTGCAAAGGGGACAAAAAAGAGCTCTAAAGAATTTCCACACATGCATACTTGTACGCTTTGCATAAATTTATGCGGGCATATATGCTGTCCATATGATTGCGCATAACCTTATCGGCCACCTGAAATATTTAGAAGTAATCATTTATCACACATTATCTCAGAAATTCAAAACAAAAACATGCTGCAGTAGGACAGAACCCCTCTTAAAACATTAAAATTCATTCACTCTTTAAAGTGGCTCTAGGGACATCCCTGTAATGGCAACGCCTTGCTATATTTTGACATGTTGATTGAATTACGGAAATGTGAAGTTTGTCAACAAGTCAACCTGGATGGCAAGAGCAGAAAGTACGTATGCTGCTTATCCCTCAACCATTTCGCAGAAGTTTTATTACCATTATGTAATACCTTAAGAACATTTTTAGCATAACCTAAACCTTAACACTGTATATATATATGTGACCATGCAATGTGAGTAGGGAATTGCATTTGTAGTAGAAGTATTTTTAAACAAAATAATTCAATGGGATTTCAGAGAAACAACTTCTGTACCGAAAGCCCGGCTGCGCGACAGGCCGAAAGCATCGATCTGCTTTTATACGCTTCACAACTGATTTGTAATATTTTTCTAACTTCCGTTGTCCGACAACAATAACCTTACTTGCTCGAACCAGTCAACATACCTCTTCAATAAACGACCATGGATGCATGTTGGTACCTAAGAGGACTGCCTGTTGAATTCCATGCTCGAATATCGCCAGCATGCTCTGGCACAGTTTTTCTCGCACTAAATCCCCAATAGCCTCTGAAACGGCATCATCACCAGCCGGCGAATACTGCAAAATATTAGAACGTAACCTTAAATTTTCAGTTTCTATTACAAGTGTTACATACGCAATTAGCAAATCTATCTTTTTTTGAAGAAAACACTAACTAGGGATGCCAAAAAAACCATTTACCTCTTTGCCTCTTTCATCTAATAACTCCACAAATCGCGCAGGAAACCACCCACGCAATCCATTCAGCTCACCAGTCCAACAGTGCTCATCGCTCTGCGAAATAATCATAATAACATCGTTCTTCCGGAAGCCCAGTTCATCATCCGCTGTTCGCTCAAAATCCATCAGTGCTTTAGCACGCCGACAGTGGCTGCGCGATGCCCGCCCAAAAATTTCCCGATCTCTAAGGTGACTCTCCGGTGAATAATCAGCCGTGATGTTCTAAAAATTATAGCAGGAACCTTAAACTGACAAGGTGAGTCCACAAATCCTGCAAACTGCAAGGACACCAGAAGCCAGTTTTCTTGCAGTCTGTAACCTTACCACGTTTTCCATGAGAGGGTCATGATTTTGAAAATGTTTGCAGATCATTAGGATAGCTTCTCGTAAATTAACGAGCAGTTCCGTCTGTCGAATGTTTTTCTGCTTACTGGCGGCGGATGTATCGGCTAGCAGACCCCGAAAGATGCCGGCGTTTCCGCCTTGCGACACCTCCTAGACAAGATGGCTAATCAGTACAGCTTTAAATTGCAGGTATCAGAAATAATATGTGCGGCTCCTGCTGCAGTAGGATATAAATATCACCAGAAATTCATAATTGCTGTTCAGATGATGGTGACTGAAAAACTTTTCCCGTTGTTATTATCACCATTACGGTTACTCTTTCAAAAGGTGACCTTTGCCCATCCTTTGCGATATATCGTTATCAATAATTTAAAACTTGCTGTATCAGACTCATATTACTTAAGTTCAAACAACAATTATCGATTGAAATCACTTTTATAGATAGTACCGTCAAATCTACATACCTGGTTCGGCATATTAAAAGGAAAATTAGGAGCGAATAAACTTCCAGAGGACGCCATCATCACGGCTAGATGATTTTGTCGCTTTTCATGGATAATTTCTGGTGTCAGATTTGGTGTCAAAGCCGCACCGGTCTGCAAAGTAAATAATTACGGCTAACATTATATCTATAACCCGATTACCGTTTTTTTTTCGAAATTCCTACTTTCATGGCTTCCGAGATACCTCCTACTTCATTAGGAAGGTTCGAAAGGAAATTGAAGAGCAAAGCAGCTCCAAGTTGAAGTATGTGGTCATGCTGAAAAAGGCAGCTAAACTAAAAATATAGTTGCGATCAACCTTAATCATTTACTAACCTTTAGCTTTAGCATGCCAAGTGTCGTTTGAAAAAGGGCGATCGAACCATCGTAAAAAAACCAGTCCCACAAAGGCAGTAGGTCATGGATGGCGAAAACGTTGGAAAACAGGGACATAAACCAGGAAATAGTTATCAAAGTGATATCTACAGATATGGAAAAGTGTGTTCCTAAAATGCCATCGAAAAACCGATTTTAAAAAATTTTAGAACATCTGATGATTGTTACCAATTTCTTCTCGCTGGAATTTTTGTTTGATCAGCGGTAGATACTCTTCAATCAGTTCCATCAACACCTTCTGGTCAGCCTGAAAGCAATTCCAGTTTTCTTAATTACTAACTAAGACTGTTAAAAATAAATGCCGGTGCAGGTACCCGCTATGAATGCCGTAAGTCCAGTACATCACGATGCTAACCAGAAGTGCGTACATAAAACCCGCTACGTACGAATATAATTTTTTATAATCACCTGCGCTCCCAGCATGCCATGTGCGAAATATGAAGCAGGAAGCAGCCGTTCAATGATTGTACACATTAGCCAGAAAGCGTCGTTCTCCTCCATCAGCAATAAAAGTGGCGCAACAATCTGTAAGCCGCAGTAATAAATGAATAAACTATTATTGCAGTACGCAAATGCGGAACTAGCCCAAAGACTTACAGATCCGTATCCCGAACAATAACCAATATTCGGATACATCCATACTAAACTGCGTAAAACACGTCGTAGTCGATTTACACCAACGGAAGTTTTAGATAAGAAGCAGGGGTGTGTCGGGAAGATACGGAGGATATCCTATAACGCAAAAGCGATATGAAGCGCTGCATCTCGACCTTAACAGGCACTTGTACGGTATCCACGTGCTGACCTTTTCTATTAGCTTTTCATCCGGTTTATGGATCTTTATGCTACTGCGCACAATCTCGCTGTATCCCACTTCGGAAGCGAACTTCTTCTCCACCGCACCAGACAACCGCATCCACATTTGTGGGCGAAGTGAGTGCGGAATTCCATCCAGGATCATACTACGCAGTTTTTCCGTGTGGGCGATTTTATATTGTAGCTGCCAGCACCCAAAACAACATTACAAATTTACGGCCGGGGCCCGAATGTGATCCTATTTCGACATTGTACTACGTAGGCCTATTTATGTTTCAAAGGTACCCAGGCTATTAATTAACGATCAGTAGTGGAAATGAAGACCGCGCAATTAATACATACATAAACCCCACTCTGATTGTACAAAATAAGGGTTTTCGCGGTGCACTTTACGAACACATCTATATAAATATGCACATATGCATAAAAAATATGCAAACTTTAGTTCTGTACTACTGTTAATAACTTACCTTGTCCCATGTTATGTCGACGCGTCCCTTTTGATGATTCGCAGAAAACTCCAAATGTGCCAGCCACTGAAACTTGTGCTGAGAATTCTCATTGAACGTAAGGGGATGCATGTTAGCTGGAGGAAAAAGAATACAGGAGAGATTTAAACAAATCATCGTACCAACAAACAACAATAAATGATTATTTACATGGATCTTTAACGAATCCGAACGCATTGTACGCCGTTCCATCCGCCGACTCGCCACTCTGCATAAGCCGTTCGGTATCCGCACAACAAAATCTCCATGCGTTTCAATGGACTTCCACTTACTTCGCTCATTTCTTTAAGAATCTGCTGTGGCCACAACGATGGTAGTATGGCCGAAAACGGTCCCCCCGGAACCGGAGTATACGCAAATTCGCTTCCTGCATTGTTTTTCTCCACCAAATCCTCGTCGTCAAACGCTTTTTCAACTGTACACGAGAAACAAGTGAAGCCGTTCCAAAACTTCCGCACGCCATTTACTGTATAGTCACTATAGTGGCGTATATCTTACTGTTCACTGCATCGCCCTTGCCGAAATACTCCTGATCGCCCCGGGAGCCACACAATCCTCGGAAAGCCATAATGATAGAAAATTCACCCGTGCTTCCGTGTTCCGAATCATAGAACGAGAAATCGCTGCCTGCAACTTGCAATCAGCTTAATACGTAATTCAATACTGGACGACCATACGGCAGCGGCTATCGATGCAAGATACTGCAGTTAGGTGTTCAGCAGCCAATCGGTCAAGATGTGCCTAATTATTGAATGTAAAAAGTAACGAGTTTTCAACGACTTTAAAAACAAACCAGCTTTCTACAAAACAATCGTGACACACAATGGAGCAAACTGCGACAGCTTGAGATATGTTTGAGATAAACTGCTTCCCTTGAAATTGGGAATCAATCAATAACCAATAAACGGCACTTCCGGTGCATTGCTATAAGCCCAAAAGCGTGCGTGTGCGCACAGTGCAAATTAGCCCACTATCCGGAATGAAGCCGCACTGGACCGACGTGCTGTTGCGCTAATTTTTTTAATTTTTAAAGTTCGGAGTCTGGATAAACTCATAAAAAGTTTCGAAGACAGCTGACAGATTTCATTTTTTGTTTTATTGGAGTCAAAAATGAAGCACAGAACGTTTTTGGCGTTTTAACAGAGCCTTTCATTAAGCAGTGGATCTATCATCTGTGTTTTCAGCGAAATTACTGTACCAGACGTGTGTCTGTGTGAGATCCGATTTTTAGTTTCTTTTATTAGTTTTATACGGTGTTTCCTGTCGCTTGTTACTTGGCGGAAGACTATGAAGAGTGATGGAAATTCAGACACAGGAGAAGAAATCCAAGCGACAAAAGCGGAATCATTTTGAACCTGAAACGTTTATTGCCGCAGAGGAAGACGCCGCCGTGGAAGACCGGTTGAATGTTGACGGTAACAATGAGTGTGAGAAGGCTCCTCGAAGCGAGTTCCACGATAAAACCGAAGAATTTAACCTGGCAGCCATAGCTCAACTGAGAGCGGACGATCTATCGCAGAAACGATCTAAGAAGAAGCGAACAAGAGATCACGAAGAAAAGGAATCTTCGAGTGACGATGCTGTTGAAGAATCGAGTAAATTACCGAAAAGTATTTTGAAAAATTCCACGACCGCTGTCGCAAGTGATGCCGAAGAAGATGTTGATGCATTCGAAGTTGGCCACGATATTACGGAGCCTACGAAGAAGATAAAAAAACCGAAAAAGACTAAGGAAGAAAAGCTGAAAGCTAAGCAAGCCATCGACAGCTCAGCTGTTCCAGCTGAAGCGCATGTTGCGCTACAGTATTTGCGGAGCTGGAAAAATGATCGGTCCTCGTGGAAATTTCAGAAAGTCCGACAGATTTGGCTACTAAGAAACTGGAAAAATTCTGAACTGTTGCCGGATGATGATTTCACAATTTTTCTGGAGTATATTGCTCCGCTGCAAGGCGGGAATCGGAATAAAACAGCGGAAGAGGCCAAAGCTGTTGTGGATGAGCATGAAGCGACAGAATCTTATGGCGCCGATCATGTTAAAAGGCAGGCGGTTTATGATAGGGCAAGCAAGGTTCTAGATGCGCTGTCTTCATGAAATTTTTTGAATGTCCTGCATTTATGATGCAGAAGGTTCTTGCCTTTTCGGTTTCTTTGAGCTTGACAGGATGGGAATTTAATGCATTAAGAAACGTAAACTTCCGAATGTGGAATCTTTCTGCGGTCTTCCTCGTGTGACTTCTCTAATCAGCGCATTGTAACTTTTTAAATTTTTTTAAATACAATATAAAATATTGGTGGAAAACATAAGACTACTGATTAAAAACTGAAAGGCATACCGTATTCCTACCCTAGAGTGGAGTAACGGTTATTGGTACGCGTAGTGTGTAGACAACTCTGGATAAATTTCACGCCTGAAATGATTGGTCCCAATTCACACAGCAACCACTTCATACACAAAGCAATCTAGAAAGTTCGTTGTTTGAAATACTTTCTAAAAACCTAGTGTTTTGTAACTTTCTGTAATGTAATAAGAAGTTCAGCTCTCCCATGCCTCTCCGGCTGTCACTGTTCGTTTTGGTGTAAAATTATGCAGTGATTGCGAGGTACAGTACATACTGTACTTCGAAAGTACATCAACATAATATAAATCCTGCATGGTCGGACATGCTGATTTATATGAAATCTAGCCCGTATAACTCAAAAATTCGAACAAGATTTCAAATACTGCGTGGACTTAATTTTATGAGAGCAAAAACAGTAAAATGAGCGGTGTGGCAGGGTGTGCCAAGCGGATTTGCTCGAAAACAAAGCACTGTTGCAAATGCACCTATGAATGGTTGAAACTTAAAACGCAATCGTCCGAGCGCGTTGTGTTCATTTGATGTTTTAGATTGTATAATACTTGTTTATTAGTCATTCATCAAGCACCATATCCAGATTCATTGATGTTAAAACACATTAATGACTACGGAACTACAGTACTACCCGGCAAACCGCAAGCGATGATTATTTATGGAATCGTGACACATATTGCCGCAGGCGCAATGTATTGCTTTAACGCTCTTCGGAATTTTTTGTCGTAAACAATTGACGTCTTAAAATGAACTGCGGTCGGAGTTTCGGCAGATATTTTTGACTTATTTCCGGATGATGATTCTTCCGACGAACTAACCGGCAAGTCAATGCCACTGGCAACTGCGCAAATCAAAATAAATAAGTCACGCCTTGTGTTTTTTTCCGATTACATCCCGTCATTTCCATCGGTATAAAACCAAGAAACATCAAACGAGCAAATTCAGTCAATCAATTTCACACTTTCGAAACTTTTAAACTATTGCATCAACTTCGAATACAGTGATATCCTTACTGTAATATGTTGGGACCAATTATTTGTGGAAACGTACTGGCCGTTGGATTGACCGTTTTCAACAATGTTATGCGTCAAAGAAGTTCCAACAAAGCCATAAGAAATGATGCTACAGACCGCAGGCGATCGTCGACTGTCGGGAAAGATACTTCTGGATTGGGACGGAAAGACTGAGCGCAATGAAATTTCAGCGGAACCCAAGACGGAATTAATTATCGATCTCATCCAGTTCACGGATAATGCGCAGGAATGATATCATATTTAATAGTCCTTTTCCAGTTCTTCTGTCCAAATTTCTGGATGTGATATTTTTTAGAAATTACCTTCGATTTGCATATTACGTCGAATAAAATCACGGATTATTTTATTCCGGAGCCCATAACTTAAATGTTCGATCATAGGACGCACTGGCGATATATTTTAGATCCGGCGACATTGTGGTATGCATCACTTTGTTTTCGTGTCCCGATAAAGTTTTCAATAGCGTCCATCCGGGATGCGCCCATAATTTGACAGTTCGGTCATAAGACGCCGTAATTAAGTGCATACTGTTGTTCGGTTCAAACTGGACCGAAGACACCAGTTGCGTATGTGCCGGAATGGAATAGATAATCGCTCGCTGACGAAGATCCCAGATTTTGCAGGAATTGTCCTCAGAGGCGGTGGCCATATGGTAACCGTTAGAAGCAAAATCCACAGACAGGATACTTTTCAAGTGTCCTTCCAAAAACATAATACAACGTCCGGTGCGGATGTCCCATACTCGTCCATACGAATCCAATCCTCTACAAATAAACGAATTTTATTCAGACTGACAAATGCTGACGCAGCTGTTCTTACTTCCTAGATTAGACAAGATTCGTAGAGTCAAGCTTATAAATTAATCTATGTCGAATAATTACTGCTTAATTACTCATGTGAAGTAATGAGAGAATGCAATAAATATTCCTGCAGACGGCAGTATACGTGTGTGTACTGTACCTAACTGTAAGCCTTACAACTAGCTCGGTGCAAAATTTTAAAATTCAAACTTCGAGAAACACTGTCATATTTAATACAAAAAACGATCTGTTTAACTTTTATGATTGTTACAACAATCAAGCGATTTTCCGGCCACCCATTACGAACACTATATGCAATCGTCACTGCAATGCAATAGAAAACTAAAAGCTGTTACTGTAGTTGTACCCGGTCAAAGCCAGTGATCCGTCCGGATGGAAAGCAATGCAGTACACTTCCTTCGAGTGACCCTCCTGGTGCAACAATTCCTTACTGCTTTCCATATCAAACAGCCGCCATGACTGATCAAAGCAGCAAGTGCCCAGAAATTTTCCACTAGGATGAAACTGCACCCTCGATACTCTCTGCGGCTGGTGGCCGTCTAAACTCCCAATAGGAGTATCATCCGTAAGATTCCACAGTTTAACGGTACCATCCGCGGCGCACGAAGCCAGATTCAGAGCTTTTTCATCCTGACCGATTGTAGATTGAGGATGAAAAACAATGCATCCGACTTGTATCGCGTGTCCCCGAAGCGTCCTCACCTAAAGATGCATAAACCGTCTAATCTACCGGGATTAAAAGAACAAAAACACCGAAAATTTCTAAAGAAATAAGAAATAATGTGATTAAAATCAGAAGTACAAATATCACAATAAATCTAGAAATTCCGCACCCGTCACGGTTCAAGCGAACGCTGCCTAAATTTGCACAGACGTATTTCTACATTTGATGAAGTAATAATATAGCGATGCTAGATGTAAACAAAACACCGTAAAAATCATATTCTCACAGGTTTACACTCCGGAATAGTCCAAATTTTAGACAATCCGCTCCAGGAAGATGTAGCCAACAACTGTGAGTTTGGGCTGAAGGAACAGTACGACAGGGGACGATTATCACCAATCTGACTGCAATAATTTGTGAACTCCCGCAGCCTTTTATGCGCATCCTGGGTTACCGCCATCCGTTGTGACGCGGGAATTTTGGCCAGATCTCGTTGTTTTTCCAGGCGCAACTTCGAGCGCGGAAGTGAATACTGTGCCAAGAATAAACGAGCTAAACGTAGGCTTTCGGGGCCTTCATGGTACCAGGTAGTCGTCTGTAACACAGAAAAACAACTGTTTACTACAGTAAACCACAACCAACCGTAAATTGTTAATGACAAACTGTCGCAAACAGGCAAATAACGATGTTTTTAGTGCTTACGTCGAGTTCTTTTCTTTTTCTGTCCTCTTCTTTCTGCTTCTGAAACTGCTGAATGTCCCCAATGACCGATAAGAGTTTCCGCAATCGCTCTCTCCTGTCCTGTTTGTCCTCTCCGAACAGACAAATGGGCTCGCCAATGGCACGCAGCTGAATCTGGATCTCGATGTCGTCCGTCGGGACATTGATTTGGCGAGCGCGCTTTCGCCTTTCAAACTCTGCCAGCGCCTCATCTCGGGCAGTGTCTGGCACTTGTTCCAAATCAAAGTACTCTGTAAAAAGAGTTTGCCATCATCGATGTAAGAAGTTTAAGCGTATACGAGGCCGCTTGCTTACATAAATCATAAATTCCTTCAGTACGCTGCACTCTTCAGTATGACAGTTTTTTTCTTACCGTCGGTTGCAGGCGTACCGGAGGCTGTTTGTCGGGAATCTGATTCCTGTGGCAGGCTCTGCTGGTCGAGACTACCGAAATGAATGAACTTCTGACGTTTCGCCGCAAGATCTCCGATCTCATCATCACCATCAAATTCTTCGTCCGACATGGTAGCGAGTGTAGAAATAGTCCCCAACCAGACAGCAGAAATCGTACGAGTAGTACTCTGTACGCGTATTATTATACAAAAGGAATCTCTACGTCAAGACTTGGGTTCTAACAAAATCCTTCAGGCAATGCTAAACAAACTGTAAAATTTGTCATTACGTACTAAATTACTTTGTATTTAAGTTTATTTAGTCAAATTTTTACTAATACCGTACTTCTAAATTCTAAACGAAACTGAAAGGTTCTGTTTATCAGCAGTTCTAATGCCGATGCTTCTACGCGCTAGCAGCGGCTAGCTATCATTTCGCACCACACTGCGTAGCTGCCCTCTGGAGGGGCGGGTCGATTAATCCCAAAGTTATTGGCCAACCTTACCGAGTCGACATTTTGCGTAATTTTGGTTGCTTATGGAAGCCTTTTTCCTAGGCTGCACTTCCGACGTTCCGTTCACTAAAAAATTTCCAAGTTCCGAACCCGAAGACTCCAAATTTTTTGACGTTCACAAGCCTTTATGATTTATACACATAGCTCTGTCGCATATGTGTCAGTGGGTGTAAAATGGTGTCGGCGGAAGAATACGAGAGGGCCGCCGAGGCCTTGTTAAGCGTTTCCGATTCATTGGGCGCGGGCTGGCATGCATTGAATACCACAGTAAGTCACGATGATAAGTTCCCACTTCATCCTATTTGCTGACTTGCAAGTAGTAAAAAACTGAGACTGTAAAAAACTGCTAACAAACATCCCTAAATCTAATGCGGAACTTCATGGCTATTCAAGAATGCTAGGCAGCACCTTTGCCTTGGATTGCGTCAAGTTTTACGATTGTCTGAAGACTCTGGCGCGTCAGAAGTGGTAAGTAAGTTCAAGCTTGCACAGTTGTACTTTTGCAGTTAGCAGTAACACTCTGCACTTCGTCCTTTGCTCATCGAGCTGAGCATATGTTTTAGCGAGCTTGAAGAAGACAAATACATAAATGTATGTGTAGACTGTAGTCGATGATTTCTGATGCTAATGTGAGGACTGAGGAGTATCGTGAAAACTAGTACTGGCATTTTGCAGTGCGAAGAAGCAACTGCCGGCGGAGAATTGGCCACATTTACATACCATGTCATTTTCAACGAAGCCTTTTCTGTTCCTCAGCTGTTGTTCCTCGTAACCAAAACAAGTGAGGGGCTTGCGGCGGATAAAATTGGATATCCATTATGGTGTCAAAAAGCTAATACTTATACGTTTAGCTTAAAAATTACTCGTTTCGAAATTATCTTCGTGTCTTTGAGAAATCGGTATTCCACTGTGCGGCTGCGTGGGATCATGGAAATTAAATTAACATTGGATTCTTCTTTTGTTTGCAGATGGTTCATTAATACCACTTTCGCTCCTGCATAAGTCCATACCTGCACATCTAGTGCCTGCAGAATCGGATTCCTACCTTTGGGAAACACTGTCCCAAATCGAGCACCCAGTGCTTCACCGGCCTTTCTTCGCGCTGCATCCGTGTCGGACTGCGGAGTTGATCGGAAACATGAAAACGTTTTCGAAGTATGCCTAGACAACTTGCCAGCTTTGAACTTTCTGCCGGCTTTTCATAGTTTATGGTAATATTATTAGTCACATGTGGTATTTTGCAGAAATTGGTTGATCTCATGGATAAGTTCTGTTGGGCCTGCTGTGGGTCTGCAATTGCCGGTGGCTTTTGCAAATTAACCAAAACGTCTATCCCGCTGCTTGAGCGCATGGCGTGCAAACTTTCTGCTCTGGAATGTCTTTCCATGTGTTGAACGTTCGCTACCAGATTTGGTGTGATCTGTTTTTTACATACTTAAACTATTTTCATGCTGTAATTAAACATTTGCTGCTCTTTGAAGTCAGTAACAAGAATTACAAATTACGATAAAAGGCGGTAAAAACAATGATCGCACAACATTATCACAAAAATGTCCGTTTCTGGATATCTTTATTGGTGGCGAGAGCTTTGGCTTTCTTTTCCGCGCGAAACTTCTCCAGCTGCGCCGCTAAATCCAAAACATCCACTTTGGTGGCCGGAAGCTCTCTACTACTGGTGGACGTTGTCCGTTCAAGGAACACCCGCTCTCGATCCCGGCCGCCACTGTGCGATCGTTCCGAGCCCTCTTGACGGCTTTCCGGTCGCGCACGGGAACTGCTGTGACTTCCTCCATTGGATACTCGCGATCGGTCTCGGGTACTTCCTTCACGCGGCGACCGGTCGGATACGGAAGAACTGCTACGTGACCGCTTCCGTTTGCCTCGTGTACTGCAATAATCGATGTGGCCAGCAGCGTGACAGTGCTCTGAAAGGGCATTTAACACCGATGCATGACTTATCATCCATTTATCCCAATGAAAAAACATGAAAATTTAGTATAAAATGTAGGCGGAATTGTCGGATAACAGTTTTTCAAGTCATCATATTATCACTGTTAAATGTGTCAAGATAATTTCCAGTCCCATTGCGTAATTTCTTTGATAATTATGTGGAACAAATTAACTCAGAGGTTACATGTTCATTTCGCAAGGAATTCTGGTAAGTACATTTGGCTATCTACTGTGGATGATAAGCCATGCATTTTATAACCCAAGCTCGTCCGCTACAGACCTTGTTGATTCGGTGGATTCACTGTGTAACAGTTTCCGAAGCTTTTCGGCGGTCGAACTGGTATTGTAAGACGGAATTTCTTTGACTGTGGGTTTCTTTGGTTTTCCGGTAAAAAGAGAACAGCTGAGCCGTTCGCAGTCGGCAAACAGTAAGGATGCATACCTGATCGCGCTGCATTAAAGCATCTTTCGCTTCCAGTGCTTCTTCGAATCTGGGATCCCATCGTAAAGCGTCTCGGTAGCATTTAACTGCTCGCTTCGGTTCATCTTTCTCGAACCTCAAAGACATTTCCTCGGCATCATAATCAGTGAATGAAAAATCCACTACGGTCAAAATCGACATCCCTGAAATTTAGTGAAATGTCGTACTTCTTTCCAAGAGCAAAAAATGTGTCGGCTAGGTATTTCTTTGCATTCCGATGTGATGGCTTTAAACGAAGTGCTTCTTCGAAATCTTTGATGGCTCTGTGATAATCCTCCTTTTTTGTGTGTCTAAAAAATAAATCAAATAAAATAAGGATACTCCAAGTACTATTTCCCTCATGTTTAGGCCCTACAATTTTTTGGTCTGCAAATAAACACCCTAAAAGTTAGGAAACTTATCAATTCGTAGACCGAAAAATAAAAATCATCGCAGTGATCACACTTACAATGCGCCTCTCGCCACAAGTGCTTCGACATTGCTTTTATCCATGTCCACAGCTTTACTTAAGGCCTCGGCAGATCTTGGTAAATCACCATCCTTCATAAACTTAATACCTTCCTCGACGCTGTAAAAATTAACAGAGGTACAAGTAAAAACAAAAAACAAATGTTCGACTGTATTATTTTGCTTACCTTTTCATCGACCAGCGCTGCGACTGAACTTTTGTCAACTGCTCTCCTTTTTCTTCAATGGGAACATGTTTGCCGCAGTAACCCGGGACGAGGGAATACCATCGACTGCTTGATTCGCTCTCCGAGATATTCAGGTGGCCCCGCATCAGTTCAAGAAAGGCTGGGTTTTCGAATTCTCGTTGGTTGCGAATGTAGGAAGCAACATCGTCTCTTCTCGATGGTGGTTTATCTAACAAATGTCTGCAAGACCAGAAAATGTTCGGTACGATATACCTTTTTTTGACACAACTACAAATGTCAGGTACCAATCCAGACAATATTTTAATGGGTTAGCCGCTCAAGTGGATCTGCATCGATGAAATAGTAAAATGGAAACGCAGTATTCCACAAAAAAAACGCAATACAAATTAAAAAATTTTAAGATTTTAAGTTACCGGGAAAAATAGCGTTATCAGTTGCTGGAAGCAAAAGGATACTGCTACAAATATGTATATCGAAAGCTGTCACATTGTTACCTGTAATATCTGGGTAGCTCGTCAAAAGAAACACGGCCGAGTGAACACATTTTTTCAGATTTCGGTAAATCAGCTGGCAATACAGACACCACAATTTTCTCGTGCTCGGGATTTATGTCAGTGATAACGGCGCGAACGTAATCTCTAGCTTCATACGTATCCACGGGATCCTGGCGGGGATTCAAGGCAGGGATACAGACAGAGGGACAAAATGCCTGTTGAGACAATAAGGATACAAGACAGTATTTTGCTGTTCCCATGACCATTCCGACTGGTTAACCTCCCTTAATTCCCAGATCGGCAACAGGGCGCGCCATTTGGGACCATTCACATGCCAGAAGTTTCAGGGATAAACCAGAGACGAGCTTGGTCGATACAGATCCGTACACTATGTCGCCTTTCCGAATATCCTACGAAACCATCGCACAAATCAGTAACCACTACAAGTCTACAGCGATTAAAATTCATGTGACTCTTGACAATCTGCGATTCTGCATCACGATCTCACAAGGGTCCATTCTATAATTTTTCAACACTTAAAAACACCCATAAGTAAATTTCCAAAGCCAATAAGAGCCAACTTCATGGAAGTGTGATAAGTCTTCTCAGATATTACATATCCAAAAAATCGAACAAGGCCAGCCATGTAGAGTTTTCAAAAAAAAATGCAACAGTAACAAGCAGTTATAACTTATAAGTACATAGCTCCCGAACTAGTAGGCATAAAAAACTAGAGTCACTTTTACGGTTTCAATTTACCTGAACCTTTTGTATCAGACACAAAAAACACAGAAGTACTTACCATAAAAGTTATAAAACTGAAAAATTAAACTCTAACCAGGTTTACAACTTTCGGACCCACCAAAAAGAACTTTGACAGCAAGCTAGTCCTCATTGACTCTGTGGGCATATCGAGGAAATGTTCCAGAGGAGGAATGACCGGACAGCAAGCTGCAGTTAACAACCGATTGTACGCTATAAGGCTAGTTATTTGCGCGAGGAACCGCAAACCCTCTCACGAACCCTCTAAATCAGACTCGGAATCTAGCTTGCTTTTATCTCCATCGGGAGTTTTCGCGCTGAGTGGCTCGCGCACAGCCCATTTGGAAAACATCCGGAGAACATCGGATTTTCTTTCAGCAAGATTGTCGATTTCTTGACAAGTGGTACGACGCATTCTGCTGTCGACGTTCTCGACAACTCCTTCAAAATCCAATCCGCTTTCAGGGCTTTACACTTTCACATCCGCCTGCAGATGCAGAAAAATAATAATGATCACAAACTCAGTCAATGAAATCAAACATTCACAACTTCTCTTCTCCATGTTAGGCCATGCATACCAATTTGAATTCACGATAATTCTCACGAATTAAGTTGGAAACGCTCGCACGGTCCAAAGAAAGTGGAATAAATTATGATTTTGAAGTGAACTTAGTCAAGACATGAATTAACCATCGGCTCCACCATTCCACAGATTCAGAGTTGGCTACTGTGCGCCGCGAAGGATCCCAGAATGTTATGGTGCGCCCGTCATGGTCGTCTGTACTTTTTTTAAGGGGTCGTCTGTACTCCGTACTCGTAGTGTATATGCAGGATGCACGGCTTGTGTCTTGACCTATGTACTTACTATTTTATATTTTTTACTACTTTATAATAAATTTAATAATTTATATATTTTTATTACTGCAGTTACAGTGATTCAAACCACAAGTACGATACTGACAGACGAATAAAAATACGAAGCTACCCAGTGCGGCTGCTACTAGTCTATATTGTGAAAAAGCAAGCTAGAGATGGCAACGGCTTAGCCGAGGCCGGCTAAGCCGCGGCTTAGCCGGCTATTGGCCAGCCGGCTGACGGTTTTTGCAAGCCGTAGCCGACGTCAGGCCGGCTGCTTACGCCGGCTGAGACTTCAGCCAGCCGCGGCTTAGCCGGCGGCCGACTCGGCTGAAGCGGCTTGAAGGCGGCATCGTTGTGCAATTTTTGGCGGTAAAGATGGCGCCCCTGAGTCACTTTGCGTCACGTTTTCTTCGGCTTGCGCCTAATTTCTGTCGCTTTCGCTAGTGATATTAAGCAGGTTGCGGTATCAACGAAGGGGTACGATTGACGATAGAATTAACGACGGAGTACAATTAACGAACGTTTAAACGGCAGTACCCGTCGTTATTAACGAAACGAAGGGGTATCGTTTCGTTAATAACGACGTTGAAATTTAGTAATGAACGACTGGGCCCATATAGACCATTGAGCACGAAGACTGCGCAGGCGAGACAGTGTACCCAGTGAATTTCTGCCTGGGCATTCAATCCTGAGTTGCCCACTCGACTCGAATTTTTCGAAAATCACAACAGTACTGCTCGAATGTTAGTGCTGCCAATGGTCTCTTTAAACTTTTCACTTATATGGCTTACTTTTTACTTTAACTTTCACAATTGTAAAAATTATTCCATATAATAAAATACAGTAATTCGAGTAGTTTACTATTGGAGTAGCAGTGTACGGAGACTGTACTGAGGCCTCTGAGAAACGAAGTCCTGCATTCAAGAATGGAATAAGTGGATAACACTGCTTTAGAATAGTGTTTGCGTGAAAACGTTCATACACGTGTTAACCTTATGTTTTTCTACCACAAAAAATCTTTATTCTGTTACTTTCACGGTGCAACATGAAATCGTTTCGGTATCGATACAAAAAATTAAAAAATGACTGTCAAAACACAACAGTTCGCCACGCTAATATCTATCGCTGTTAATTGTTTAGTGCATAACGCAACCTCTTATGCGAATCACCGGGGCCTTAAATTAACAACGCCAAAACTGTCGTTAATTTTGCCGTTAATCGTCCGGCCGTGCAAAACGCAACCTACTTATTGTTTAACTTGGTCGTCATGATGCCATTTCAGTAGCAATGACGCCATTAATTGTTCAAAATTATGGAATTTTAACTCGTTCAGACTCGGAATTCCCGAATAATCGCTGTTATTTTGCTTCAAATGTGTTCGAAAACCGTGTTTTCACAACATAAACGGAACAATTTGTAGTTTTAGGTGATTTAACTGCACTTTGCAACGTTATTTTCAAAATTTTGCGAATTTGTTTTAAAGCGAGAATATAAACGGCTTAGCCGGCCGCCAGCCGGCTAAGCCGGCTGGAAATTTGGTCAGCCGCTCTAGCCGGCTGAGACTTCCAGCCGCGTTGAGTTAGCCGGCTAAGGGCTTCAGCCGGCCGTCAGCCGAAAGGTCAGCCGTTTAGCCGGCCGTTGCCATCTCTAAAGCAAGCCATAATGTACCAGCTACTAGGCCCACTCGCCACGCACTTTAAGTGAGTTCTGTAGGATACAGAGCCGGAAGTTCTGTAACGTTTTGACCCCACCCCTCACCGCTGATTGGACGCTCGAGGTTAAAGTGTTCTGTATCTAAAAGGAACTCTCCTGGCTCCGTTACGATACAGAACTCGCATTTCTCACCAGAAGTGCAGGTCGATCTCACCAAGTGTATACAATAACAAAATAATTTTCCCTTGCTGCCCTTGAATCCGAACATCTTTTTAGTGGATTTCTGGTTTTTACCTGATTTATAATTGTCTTTGTCTAACTTTCTTTAAATCACTTACGCCTGGCCCAACGCGTTCCGCGCTCTAGGCAACCACAGTCTTCGGATGATAGTTCCTTTTAACATACAAGTCTATGAGGGAGTTTATAGCGGTTGCTACGACTTTGTGGCTACGTGCTATCCCCTCCCCCGATGCACAAATGCTAGTCTGTTCGCATAAACTCGTCGCCAGCTTGCTACACTTCTAGCTGATAGCAAGAAAGTAGCCAGTTCACAGCGGCTTGCTACGACTAGACGGCACCCGCCCGGTGTGACCGCAGAAGGCATCCGCCCACAGTAACGGCAGGTAGCAACAGCAGCGCCCGCCCACCGCTGCGGCAGCGGACAACCTCTTTTGGTGGCGGGTTACTTGACTATGGCAAGCCGATATTAGGCTTATGGCAAGCCGACATTAGGTATATGGCAAGCCTACATTAAATACATTATGGCAAGCCGATATTAGGCGTACTCGTAATATTGCTGTTTTCTGGAAATTATTTTAATCCGCTTTTAACTTTTTAATTTATTGTACACATGAAACATTTTTTATTTATTTGATTTGTTTCAAGATTTTATCTTTAAAATCTAAATTGAAATCTTTGAAAATTTTTTTGAAATTTTAAAAAAAATAAGTTCCAATTGAGCTTGAATTTTAAAAAAAATACAGTTTAACTTTCAAATTTAATTTAAAAGGTAAAAAGAATTGAAGTTAAAATTTAAAAAGTTTTATTACTTACATGATCGTGTTTGTTAATTCGAACTTGGTTTCAAACTTTTTAATGGTTATTGTGTACTGTAACGAATTTCTCCGCATTATCTGTGAAGTTGGTATATGCATTAGCAACCTCAAGAGGTTACTACAGGCTTAACCATTGTCCTTACGAGCTAGCAATCTAGTCACGACTACCAATAGCATCGTCTGTTTATGCAGACATTTGCGCTACATAGTCGGTGCTACATAGCCAGCTACGTAGCAGTAGTCAGCCAGCATAAACTCATTTTGTGGAACTACTTGCTACCAAAACGGCTACGGGAGACCACGCCTACGAAATTGGTAGCAAGTAGCAAGTAGTCAGGTCCGATAAACTGCAGTTAACAACCCGCAACACTCGCTGCCTACTCCGAATTAACCAAAATGCGTGGATCACAGGACCAGATCGCCCATCTCAAAGCTGTATCGGTACCTGAATCCGGTGTTTGGATTCACGCACTTCCCGCTGCCTGTCTCGGAAACCTACTGGATGACACGGCTTTCAGAATAAGTGTCGCTTTACGGTTAGGAGCGCCTATAGTAACTCCTCACGCATGTGTGTGCGGCATGCAAGTCGATGAGTTGGGCCGGCATGGACTTCGCTGCAAGCGCTCAGCAGGAAGACTGCCAAGGCACGACGGTATTAGCGGTGAGATCGCCCGGGGCCTTAAGACAGCGGGCTTTCCAGCCAGAATGGAGCCCAAGGGCCTGTCGGTTAAAGATAACAAAAGGCCGGACGTCATCACTCTTGTACCTTGGGCACGAGGTAAACCACTGGCTGTAGATGTTACCTGCGTTGACACACTCGCGGCCTCTTACATTGATCGCACCTCCGTGAACGCTGGAGCCGCTGCGGAGTTAGCTGAAAGGGGAAAGTTATCGAAGCACAGCTGGCTGATGCCACGTTACGATTTCGTTGCGGCGGCGTTCGAGATTCACGGACCGTGGAGCGGTGGCACTAAGAAATTTGTGGACAAGGTTGGAAGCTGCCTAATTTCTGCCACTGGCCAAAAACGCGCCAAAGAGTTTTTTCGGCAGCGCTTGTCTATACAGATACAGCGTGGGAATGCGATATGCGTAATGGGCACGATTCCTGAGCAAGACAGTATAGAGGAATTTTTCTTGTTGTGATTGGGGTGTATCTGTTGCGGATGATTGTTTCATTGTGTTTTTTTATTGTTTGTTTTTTGTCTATTTACTATTTGTTGGCTAACTTCTGACATGGAGTATTAAGTGTAAATACAGTAAATATGTCCATCATGAATAACGGCCATTTACTTAGTAAAAGTCCGCCTAATATTAAAAGTCCTCTATGAGTGATACGTTATGTTTTGAGTTCACTACTAGCGCTGATTGTTCCAGTTTTGACATCTCTGAATCCGCAATAAAACGTTACACTAGCTAAAATAAAATAAACAACGCCTGTATCGACCATCTATTTGTGAATAATCAATTTGTGATGTGAGTACGAAACTCGCTGTACGCTGAAAGTTTCGACCACATACCAAATTTTGAGTGGGGGTCTCGTTGCTCTGTATACGCTCTGTAAGATTAAGCGCTCTGCCATTAGTAGATTCACTTTTACAGAACTCCCGGCTCTGTATCTTACAGAACTCTTTTAAAGTGCGTTTCGAGTAGTACTACTGAGAAGTTTTCAGTTGAAAGGGTTCATTTCATAAACCCCGAAAATCCTTATTTCTCCCCTTTCTTTGATTTTTTATGCTCCCAAACGGGAGCTTCCAAAAATTTTTTACGGCTCATAGCGGCTCCCACACACGGTTTTCTTTAGTAAAAGGCGAAAGAAAATCACGATATGTGCGGAAACCTGAGCATAACATCTAAAACACAATCTGCATTCAGAAGATGCTGCCGAATAGTTTATGGTTACCGCATGTGAAATAAAAGAAACTCCAGATTATCATCAAACTTAGTAAAACGATTTCATTTTACATAAAACTAAAGGGTTTTCATTTTTTATTTGCAAATTATCAAATTTAGAAAACTGGTCTAACAGAACTGGTTTTTTGGAAAAAACCCAACAAGTTCTCGTTAAACTGATGGATACCTCTGTAACAGCGCACGCTATCGCAACATCACATAGGAATGGTTCAAAAAGTCGAATACCGCTTCCTGTTATGCAAATCGTCTTTAACTGAATAAATAAAAACGTACGCGTTAATAAAAAAATTTAAATAACTTAAATATCAGTTCAAAAATTTTAGCCACCGCACGTTATTCTACGGTTCTACCCCCAAGTAATACACAATTTTTATTATTTTTTAGTGGCAGGGAATTTGTTGCTAGTTACTGTATTACTACATTAGCAACAAAAGAATGAACTATCTGTACGAGTATTTCGAACTTGTGGTCAGCCAAAGTCTCATTTTAGACCTATTGCCTACTGAGTATGTGTAATTAAACGGTTAGTAAAGTTGGAAATACCTCCAATCTTGCATGAGCGAAACCCCGAACGCTTGATTTGACAATCTGCACTTGTGACATTCACAGTGGTGATTCTAAATGGTTTTACTATTAATTTTTACGATACATAGATATCGCTACATTTATAAACAGCATCCATACATGTGCAGTAATATCTATATCTATAAGATATGCAGGTACTTTGTAGAATCACAAGTTGAAAAGCTGATATAAGACACTGCACAGCGAATAATTATTCATGTGTGCAATAACAACTGCATTGAATTTGTATAACAAGTAGTACGAGTACGAAAAGCATTCCACGATCAGCTGCGCCAAGCATCATAAATTATTAATTACCAATCGGTTAAAACTCTGGAAGAACGCTGAATAAGCCCCAATTCAAAATGGGAAGTGAACCGGAAACAGCCGGCAAGCTTGTTGCACTACATACATCTTATTTGATTAACTTATTAGTATTAACTGCACCTAGTAAGAAAAATTCCGTTAGTTACAAATTAGTCGCATGAATACACACCGGCAACTGCCATGATCCGCCGGTCGCGGATCACATATGCTGAATTCCCGGCATGCGTATCATTTAAATGGACCCGAATGGGTGAGAAATGTTAAACAAGCCGACCGGAAGTCAGCGCCAGACTAATTCTTTGTAATCCTTGATACAGTTTCAACTGTCTAATACGACTGTGTATGGAATAAAATTGCCTGCCAAATTCGATTGTGCCATCCGGGAATTAATGCCCTAGACAGGGTTTACTTGTACGCCGGCCGATCAATAATTCAAGGCTATCGTTAGCCCTGCTGGCCGCCGTTATCTGCAAGTACCACTCTCCCTGCTCTTTCTATGCAATGCAAACTCCCTATCAGCCTCTTCCGGGAAAACCCGGCTGGATGCGAAGGAACGGCCAGACTACAGCTGATAATTTAGCAGTTCGTCTGTTCACGTTCCTGGGAAGTCGTGGATGCGAATTGTGGGCATTTAAGCCAGTCCACGCGTGAGCACGGTCACGGCGATAAACTGGGACGCTACGAGTAGCATTTATTACTGCCGGTTATGGTAATTCGCAATAAATACGCCTACGAGTGACAGTTTTTTTTTGCAAACCGATTCCCTTTTGGAAAACGTCGTAATTGATCAAGCTGCTAGCCGCAGTTTTTTTATGCACTCTCCCTTTTGGACCCACGAGCCTTCCCCAAAAGAAACAATATGTATAATTGCATCTACCCAATGTAATCTATTGACTCTGTGAAATTCGTACATGATACTTGCAGCAGCAAACAACACTGCGCGATCAATCTCCTTTCCCGTCAGTGAATATGCAGTACGTACAGTAAAATTATCTATACGATACAGTATCAGATAATTTAATGGAGATGCGAGTAGTAGTAACTAGTATGTAATGTTGATATAATACTATATAAAGTTTGCTAGAAGACATTAATTTACGTGATGCAGCGTTTGTTTGTATTACGATTGTTTTATTACGCTTTTTGAGGCTCGATTGCTTATCCTGCGTCGCTACAACCAATGAAATATGTGTGACGGCTTTGATCGAATAATGGAATCTTGGTGATCATCTTGGGAGAGAATTATAATTTATATGGTATGTACATAATATATTACATATTCAAATCATTGTGCGAAAGCGGTCCATGCCAAGTTCGGGTCCAAGTTGGGACACTGTACTGTATATATAATCTATATGTGTACCAGTATGCTGTTTATTTTACAGTACATGTTGTTTCACTGTTGTTTCGGTAATTGTTTCACTGTTGTTTCGGTAATTGTCACACTGTTGTTTCGGTAATTGCATCCAATTCCTTGGAAAAATCCTGTTTATCAGATACAGCTATTATAGGCATTGTTAACAATACTGTAGAGGCTGGGAAAGAGGCCGGTATATCAAAAGGTAAAATTAGGAAGTTAGTGAGTGCGAAAGTCCGGTCAGAAATGACAACGAGGCGCGATAACAGGTTACGTACACTAGTTCAGCAGGGCGCGTGGAAGGCGGTAGCTGAAGCGCAGGCAGTGGATACTTTCTGGAAGTCAGTTCTATATAACTTACCAGAGAAGACCGTCTCTTTTATGGTCAAGGCAGCTCTCGACATTGCTCCTTCTTTCACTAATCTTTGCAAGTGGGGCATGTCTATTTCAGCTAAGTGTGATCTCTGTGGTGGGGAAAGCGGTACTCTCTGTCATATTCTTAATTGTTGCCCTATCGCTCTCTCTGGTGCACGCTATACCTGGCGACACAACAGCATTCTTAAAGCTATTTTCAACTGTTTTACCAGTGCGGCTGTGAATGGTAAGTGGGAGGTTCGTTGCGATTTGGACAACGAAAGTTACGAACGTCATTCTACGACCATCCCAGCCGACATTCTCCCTACCACCCTTTACCCTGATTTAACGTGTATTAACCGTACCGAGAAGCGTATCATTTTAGCAGAGGTTACAGTCCCCTTCGAGTCTGAACAGGGATTCAGCAACGCCGACAAGCGAAAGAAGGAGCGCTACTCCCGCCTGTGCAGAGACCTGGACGTAGCAGGGTGGACAGTTGAATACCATCACCTCGCCATCGGAAGTAGAGGGATGATTCCCTCTAAAGCCGTGAATGCCATGCACCGCATCGCCAACACGGTAGCCGTTGGAGGAAAATACGCGAAAGCCAAACAGCTGCCAGAATCGCTTGCCTCTATCGCCCTTAGTTGTAGTTACGTAATTTTCCTGAATAAATCAAATGTTAACTGGGCAGTACCGGGCCCAAGCGAACTGTTTACGTATTGATATGCTTTCCTTCATGTCCAGTCGACCTCAGCACGGTCGAAAACGATGCTGTCCTGTTTACATTGTACCACTGCACTTCTGATGTCGATAATTGGCTGGTGCGATGTTCTCCCACCTTACCTTTATTGCGCACTGTTTTAATTATATAACTATAATAGCATTAATATAGAATTACGGTTGCGAATTATAGGAGTACAATGACAGGCGATTACGTGCGTAAGTGTCTATGCTTTCCCTTTTTCCCACAGGAAAACTTTTCAATTCCTTATTAAATTTTTTCTTTCCTTAATATTAACTTTAGTAATAAAGTTTTCAAGAGTTAGTTATTTTTACGTGGGTTTTGGGTTTTATGCATAGACCCCAGCGCGATCGTCTACCCGACACACTTATTTTGTTACATCTTCGCAACCGTAAATGATTTAAATAGCGCCACGGGCCTGCGTGCCTGCGAATCTTAACTTTATAATTATGTAATAGGGAAAGGAAGTCGCAATAAAGGCTGTGTTTTTGTTTTTTTTATTTTACAGTGCGTATTTTACATATTCTGTATATAGATAAATGATAATTATTTGTAATCCAGTTCCGGAAAATGTAAAACCAATTCGCAGTTCAGTTTTACACATACTATAGATATTGTATTTAGGTGCTGCATAAACCGACATTGATAATTACTGTTGTAATAGTGTGCCCTTTACTCCTGCAAGTGATTTGGCCACTCTACAATAGAGTGTAGAATACAATTGTAGAGCGAAGCGGCACTGCTCCAGCCTACACTCTGTATGTATCCAATATCCATAGTATATATAATAGTATATATATATATCTTATATATATCCATAGTATATATATAAGATATATAATAATTATATCGTATGTGTGCCGACGGATGGATACGTGTGGTTGATAATTATTAATTATTATATATTATGCCTGCAGATACCCCAGCAAGGCAAGTAGTTCTTAATTATTCTATTTTTCTTTAACTTAATTTTAATTATACTTCCATTTTAGTTTTGCGCTAAATCCCAATGTAAGGATACTAACATCATGGCGCCGTGATCATTATTATATGTGCTTCTATATATGCTGCTGTACTTTGCAGTTTTCAATTCTAGCCGCAAAAACTGGTAAAATTCGATCTTAGAAACACATCCAGCGAACAGTATGTTGGTTTTCTGGACTTTCTTACACCCTAATCTTTCAGTGCGTCGTTAAGTCAGGGTAAACGTCAGCTACAGTCTCCCGCTAGGACGCTGTAGGCCAACGAACGGATGCTGAAAGGAAGAGCATGTATCGTTGTTGTTGGATTATTAATGTGGGCCCCAATAAACTGTGTAACGTTCTACATTGACAAATTATGTTCTCCACGTGTACACCGGTGCCGGAATGAAGGTTGTCGTCGCCGACCAGGACTTTATGTAATCCAGTTTGTCAAGAGTATTGCGTGATGTGCGTGTGTGGCAATTAAGCATTTTCCGTTTAGAAGTAATGCGACAGCAAAAACAGTGTCAGTTATTTATTCATACGTGTACTGCTGTGCATCTTCGTCCCGACGATTTATACAGTTCAAGATGCATGAATTATGCGGCAGTTGAATACTAAAAACACGCGAAATCGTGAGCCGTCTTTTTTAACTAAATGTTCGCAAATCATAACTAGCACAAACTGCTGAGGTTCTGCATTTCAGAGGAGTAGTGTTAAAATTTTAACAAATTATTAGCCATTAAACCGGATGCCCTACGTACAAAGTTGTTTTAAAAACCGCTATTAGCGTATGTGTGTAGTGTGTACACAGGCCAGTACACCTATGTACTTAAATTATTACTACGAGTATATGCTCACACTTACGGAATTATTTACAACCATATGAATATTCGCACAGATAAAAATCTTAAAAGTTTATGATTTTTGTCTTATGCATGCTCACAGACTGCGTATCTGTGCTTTATTTGATTTAAATTGTTTAGTCTAATGACATGAGAGTATTTAAATATAGCCTGAATAAATATGGATTATGGACACAAATTTATCGGCGGCACATTAATCAATAGATTCGTGCTCTAAACATTAAAAACGGTTCCGGTATTACTTACTTAATTCTTAACGTAATTTTGCCTCGGTGGCAATAAATTATTTGCTGCTTCGATAACACTATTAACGGTTATTTGCAGTGTTACTAAATGCAAACTGATAGGTGTGACAAATCGACAACAAATTTGCGATAAATACTGTACTATAAATGAAAGTATACATAGTATGAAAGCATCTACAGATACAAGGTAGCCTCGCGCATCTGCGCTCGGCACTTAATTACTGGATAGTATTGGCTTTGTTTTGGAAAGGTCATTTATAAATATATAAAGGCTGACATTCGGAATATCTGACGTTCTGACAAATTTAATTTTTCACGTTCTGGAGTTCTGGCGTTCTGACGTTTTGACGTTCTGACGTTCTGACGTTCTAACGTTCTGACGTTTTGACGTTCTGACGTTCGTACGTTCTGACGTTTTACCGTTCTAACGTTCTGACGTTCTTACTTTTTGACGTTCTGACGTTTTGACGTTATGACGTTCTGACGTTCTAACGTTCTGACGTTCTAACGTTCTGACGTTTTGACGTTCTGACGTTCGTACGTTCTGACGTTTTACCGTTCTAACGTTCTGACGTTCTAACGTTCTGATGTTCTTACTTTTTGACGTTCTGATGTTTTGACGTTATGACGTTCTGACGTTCTAACGTTCTGACGTTCTAACGTTCTGACGTTTTGACGTTCTGACGTTCGTACGTTCTGACGTTTTACCGTTCTAACGTTCTGACGTTCTAACGTTCTGATGTTCTTACTTTTTGACGTTCTGACGTTTTGACGTTATGACGTTCTGACGTTCTAACGTTCTGATGTTCTTACTTTAGGACGTTCTGACGTTCTGACGTTTTTACGTTCTAACGTTCCGATGTTCTTACTTTATGACGTTCTGACGGTGTTACGTTCTGACGTTCTTACGTTTTGAATTTCGCACGTTTTGACGCTCTGAAATACGTATGGACTTTTGCATGACGTAATAATATACTTACTTATTTTAAGTACCTAAAGTGCAAGTATTTATGCATCCGCTATAGTCTCCGTGGTTACAGACATTATGTTTTAAAGCACTTTTTATTGCTGTGAAGTGAATACTTTTTCGAGTGCTCTTTACGTTTCCTATACTTAAGGCCTGGTGAAACCATCTTCTGACCACTGGTTATTAAAAACAAACAAAAATCTATTGGCACACCTATGGAAAATATGGAATTTTTTAAGACAAAGCTGGACTTAAACTGACCACGAGTTATCGAGGAGTTAAAAACGGCGCATAAATACGCTTTGGTCGGTAAGCTTGTATGAATATAAAGATACAGTCAACAATGCGCTGTACAGCTAGAGTACAGATACTTGTACTTGTACTTACTGTAAAAAGGAACCAGTCCCTATGATTTATGTAGTCCAAGATTGACTCGATCGTGTGCCGTGGCTACGAGTACAGTAAAATTTAATGTTCTTTCCTATTCTATGGGATGAGTAAACATTCCAGGTAACATGTTATATCTACATATATCTCTGTATATGTCTGGAATTTATTTAATTTATTAATTGCAAATTTATGTACCTTCTTTCAAATTCTTCACGGACAGCGTACGATTAACGGAAATTCGGCAAAAAAACCAGTTTACACCCACACATCCTAAACTTGCCATGGGATATTTGTACAAATTGAAAGAATACTTAATGATGCCAATACTGATGCATCCAGGGTAAATTAGCTCTTAGTTTTTGTCTACCATTTCGACGGCACTTGACCGAACAGCCCATAAACAACATTATAAAGCAATTTTCCGCCGGGGATAATAATACTCGAAACTCAGGCGTATTCTCGTTGTCCTCGAAAAATGCCTTCGCAGCATTAAACTAGACACATATTGCAGCTTTGCTGCCGTGTGGAAGAGATTTGTTTCAGCGTTTATCTACCGAGCATTTAAATTGTTTTTCGGAATCTAATGTGATACCGTAATTTTCTGTTATTGATCGTACAAATAAACCTTTATTTCTTGAGCTGGATGCCCCATAAAACTAATACGCTAGACATAGAAGTTTCATGAATGATTCGGCGGCAACCAATCAGAGCTACGCTGATCGAAGCGGGGTGGGCACTACAACTTGTACAACCAGAACGAACTGCTAGCTGAGAAAATATGTCTGGGTGGAGTTTATTAAGTTCGCGGCGCAACACCAATCTGACGACAAAATATGCCGGCAAAAATTTTTAGCTTATCCATATCAATATTTTGGCTATGTCCAGCCAACATTACAAGTGTTATCAGCACCACAGGAAGGCCATGTGCATTGATTCTTCTCTTATACGGCGTATAAGAACTTTCTTTCTCTACGTTCTGCATGAATATATTGCTCGTACGTCCATCTGCCAAATTTGTGCTTACTCAAGAATAACGTTATCTATGACTGCAGTCTGCAGTTAATGATATGCTGAGAAAACTGCCGATATTATTATTAGCCTTCCAGGTTTCCCTTTAATCGGTCCCGGCCCTGTTTTACAGCACTGTCGGTGTGTCATCGAGTGTTTATTAATTTATGTATTTATGCATCGAGTTCGTGAATTCATCTGGGCATTATGTAACGGGAGAAACTGTGTCGCGATTTGGCCTAATTTCCGAATCGACCGGTGCCGGTAGCCGCCGTGATCCCTTGACGTTGATCATTTTGCAGAAAGCTTACCGTCATGTCGACGATCTCCATTCCAGTACGATGCATTAGTGTGATTATTGGATTATGTTTGTATGGGATGAAATGTGACGATCACTTGCAGCCGGAAAAGATTGATACGATTCCCTGTGAGAGGTAACCCAAACAAACGATGATCGCTTTTTCTATGAGCAGCGATTTTGTAGCTGTCTACTCAAAGGTCAAAAGACCCGTCTCCTCGATTACATGCCAAAATTGAAAAGATTGGCCGAAATATAACTGATGGCTACACTCTCTCTAAACACTCACGATGTGAATAACAAGAGCGTTTGTATTTTTGTAGTGAGCTATTCTGCGATGGCCGTTTCCTTCACGCTATCCAGCTATCGGGCATGTTCAGTGATTCAAAGGAATTCGTCGATCGACCACTGCGTGTGGACGCCAATGTCGTTATCAATGAATTCACCCGGCTCATGGGACGGGACAAGAAGATCGTCCCACAAAACCTTATTCCCCAGATGAAGAATCTGGTGGACAGCTATTTTTTACCGGTGGGCAGCGATGTAGAGGAAGCGTCGCTGTTGGACTGGCAGGAAGATGTGCCACTTGTTCGCCGGCTACGCGATCGTCATTTACGAAACTGGGCGGCTGAACTGCATGGGAAATGGAAGGAGTTCGGACGCAAAGTAAATATGTAATCGAGCCTTATATGCCAGAATACCGTAGTTTACCGATAAGGATGAGAAGCTCGCTGGCGCGTTCATTGATAGCATACGAGGACGAGCTTAGTACATGTGATAGACAAAAAAACTAGCGAGAGAATCTGATAACCATGCCCGGCCCGTGCAACACGGGCAACCACCCAGGTTTGTCAGTGCTGGTAAACACATCACATTTAATACAAATAATCACCCCAGTAATACCGCACACTTTATTTCTTACAGTAAAACTTTGACTTTGTAGAACCACATGTGAAATTTCAGAGGACTCACTTTTTACCCATTCTGAAAGATTTTTTAATTTTAGTCGGAGTATTTGTCACATCGCTAAGTCCGCTACGAGTGTTTCTTTTTCGCTCATTTTTCTGCAGCAGTTTTTCTGCTTCCCGCTGCTCGAGCGCTGCGATTACTTTACTGTCCGTCGCAATAAGCCCTGCTTTGGCGCGCAGACGAGAATCTTTAAGTTTTCTCTTTTTCTGAGGATGAGCGCTCATGAAATTATGGTGCCAATCTGCAGCCACTTTGTCAGCTGCAACCGATGGAAGAAAACCTTCTGCTTTAGAGATTGTGAACGCCACAATCTCTTCTATCTGTCCTTCAGTCAAAAGTGGAATTTTTCGAAGATTTGTGCGTATAACTTCCAGCTCGCTCACGTATACGGTGGCATGGCAGGTTCCTCCACACAATTCTCACTCAACGGTAGGCCCGAAACAACGCTGATACTCGCGCAAGAAGTCTCCATCGCAGGTGCAGAAAACAAACTGGCAGGTAGCCGTACGTCGGTGATATTCTCATCGTAGTACATCTCGCCAGATGGATCTTTATATTTAGATGGTAATTTTATAACATTATTATCAAGAGCTTGGTTAATTAATGTCAGTCACTGGTTGCTGGAAATTTTGCGGAGAACCAATTATAAACAAAGTTATAAAACCAAAACAAAACTCGCATTTAAATTTTAATACGAGTGTGCGTTACAGTAAATAGCAGGCCGTGTTCAGCTAACGGCTGCGTGACGGCGCGCGGCTACCGCCAGCCTAAGGTGGCTGACAGTGTTGCACAGCACGCAAATGGTTATCAGATTCTCTCGCTAGTTTTTTTGTCTATCACATGTACTAAGCTCGTCCTCGTAGTTTCCAAAACAAACAGAGGGTATGGCTAACCAAAAGGACGCTCTTATCGCACCGTTGGCATCCAAACGTTTTTTTATCGTTCACATCGAAATGTTAATATGGATGTGGTGGCTGTCGAGTTTTTTTCTCGCGTGCGCTGGCTCAAGTGTGCACGAAGAATTGCGGTTTACCAGCACAGCGGTTGTAATCGCATGTGGACAACGTCAGCGCGCGGATATTTCGCATGGGTGTCAAGTGCGCAGAGTGTGGCCCCTCATTAATCACAACAACGTAATGCAGAATAACGCTCTGCTAACAAAATTCAGAAATTTGAGGCGAAGCAACAGACTAAAAAAAGCGGTGCGAAATTACAAGGCACTTTAGCATGAGAATTGCTTGCCTAATGAGCTTTGAGATGCGGCATATTACTCTGATAACACTACCCGCATAAAATAAAGGAAATGTCCACTGGTCACCTTTGTCGTTTTGAAGTCAAAAAATGATAAATTAAATATAATTGTTGTGCCATGTTGGGTTTTAGTGCTTAATAATACTGCTAAATAAACAGCGGAATTGACCAGTTGGATGATACTAAGGAATTTATTGCGCAAATGCCGATTCCTGGTAACAGCGAAGAATATTAAAACTGTAAATATTTGGACTTACTAAAATTTGTGGCTTTTGTTATGGTATTGTGTGTCATATTGGTATGGTCCATTACGAATGAATCAAGCCAGTCATTCTCAATAATTTGTAGCGTTTTTATTGAGCGTTGCACTTGAGCTGATTTCCGTTGACCGTTGAGTATCCTTGAGATGTCTTAGTATACATTACGACGCATCAGGCAAAGTGTGTTAAATTGATTGTGATTGATAGACCGGCCAGAGTGTCATTGATCATCCGCATCGCCATTCCCTAATTGCTCTGCCGTATCCCTTCATCTCCCCCGGCGAGGTGACGGGGCGTTTCCGTGAGCAGCACTACTGGGATGCCTACTGGATTATCCATGGTCTCCTCATTTCCGGCATGAATCAAACGGCCAGAGGCATGATTCTCAACTTCGCCTCCCTGGTTGACAGGTCGGTAATTAAAAGACTATAAATTAACGGTCCCTAATCACACATCCCTAAATGTGTCAAGTGGAGTGGTCCATATTTGTTTTATCTGCAAATTTGTCCATTTTGTAATATAGACTGAGTTCTTCTGAAAACTGTGGTCATTTTAAAGGGTGTATATGTTTATTTCTTTAAATTTTCAATTTACATGATTGAAAAAGTAATTAAATATACTTGATTGCTTTTGATATTTTCAGATTTGGCTATGTTCCAATTGGAAACCGGGTGTACTATCAAAATCGTCCTCAAATGCCGATATTAGCCGTAATGGTCCGCTTGTACTGGTCGCACAATGTCCACGACGCGGAGGCGTTAATCAAAGAGACACTGCCGGCCATTGAACGGGAGTATGATTACTGGATGACCTTCCGTGCTGTGGACATAACAACGGCTGACGGAAGGAAGTTTACATTGAATCGGTACAAGGGATCCGTCACAAAACCGCGGTAAGTCGTATTTGTCTGCTGCTGAATAACAAATACATAGTCTGCGTATATGCGGCCTACCGATGGGATCTATTGACTACCCATAGCCTAGTGACCCAGTGCCGGTTGTAAGCAGAACATTCATAGTTATTCCCGGCATGCGCACGCTCCCGCATTTAGCACGAAAACGCCATCAATCTGCGTTGGCGATTACAGACAAATCTTGAAATGGAAAGTGTGGCTTTTATTATCACTTTAAATGGTATTGTTTAGTTTCAAATGGGAAATATCAATAAGCTGTAAAGGATGATTACAAAGATTTGGTTTCATAATAGGCTGCCATCCAGCTGATGGCTATCCTGCGGCGATTCCTGTTTTAGCGAGATTTGTACATCACAGGGATCGATCGTTTACGCTCACAGAATGTCTTCTAGGGTTCTGTGATGGCTCAGCAGTTTCAACATTTTAGTGAAATTAAATACAACCGGTATTTGTGCCATGCATTCACTTAAGAAGTTTATAACGTTAAACGTGCTTGACCGCACATGCGTCTGCTAAAAGCATCTGTATATCTATATTATTCCCGTCTGTGTATTCACGTGATACACTGCATGTGTTAGACCACTACTTACATCTCCTTTTTTACACCTTATCTACCGGTAATAAGTAATTTAGCAGAGTACGGTTTTGGATATTTTGTATGAATAATTATTTTGAGATGAAAGTTTTATCCGCAATTCGGTAAATTTAAAAATAACTGCTAAATTAATATCCTTGAATATTGCACACAAAATAACCTTACTGGTTCCTCTCACCTCACTTTACGTTTACAAGTTTATTGCATGATGAAACGTCAATCTTCGTTCTTCAGTACGTGTACGAAGTACTGCATTTTACGACCAGTATAGCTGCAATAAATCGTTAGCTTTGTTTTAAGGAATCTGTCGATATGATTATTTGGTTTCTTACGCATGCAGGCCGATAGATTTCAAAGCGTTTGCCGCGAAAATGTATGTACATACCATTTAGGTAGGGTTCGAAGTAGACATCAAACCGCCTTTGTAGATATCTCAAGAATCTAAAGTGGTTACAAAATTTTTCTTTTACACCAGGCCGGAATCTTATCGGGAAGATCTGGAAACGGCGCGGTCACTGCGTAATCGATCACTGCCAGGTAAGAGTCTGTTCAAATCACTACTTACCGATAAAGTGTAAAAGGCAGCTGCGCATAAAATATGTGTCAGCCATTTGGGTGATGGTACAACTACAACACACTGAAATATGTGTGATCATTTTTGTTGGAATTGTTTGCATTATTTTCATTTGATGGCAAATATAGGCGTGGAGGACAAGCTCTTTGCCAACATCGCCGCGGCTAGCGCCAGTGGATGGGAATTTTCATCGCGCTGGCTCGATGGACCCGATAAAGCATTAAGTGAATTACGCGCCGAAGATATTGTTCCGGTTGATCTGAACGCGATGATGTGTTTAACGGAAGAGCATATGGCCACTTTCTACAAGCTTGCAGGTCAGTTGTAAGCTGTTTTATCAACTTAAGTATGTATTAGCGCAAAAATCGCCAACAGGAACAGCATTATAGCAGTGTGTGCCGGTGATGGAAAATGTGCCACTAAAAGATGAAAATTTGTCGGACTAAACCCGTTCTTAGCAAATTATTGCGTGTTCTCCTCTGTGAGGTTATCTGCCGATATATAAATCGATCATAATATAAGACATTATTCGCTCATGTCTGACGCCCAGTTTTAGATTGGTTTGATCATATTTAAGAGAGCGTTTAATGGAAATGGGATTTTTTGTTTGACAAATAACAATGAATAGTCTATACACGTTAGCAAATAGATTTTTAAACTTGCATAAAGCCGCTTGAAGAACATTTTGCCATTGCAGTGTCGTAAAATTCATTCAGGCGTAAAAGCCGGTTTCCTTTACACTTGCTGATTGTTTTCGATAATACGGCATGCTGGTCATCCTAATAATCGTCTACGTTTGCCATTATCAATTGTTAGCCGGTGGCCTGCCTTAGGCATTACCCTTTCTCTTTGCAAAATTGAACGAAAATCGAAAAAAGGAACACTTGCACGGGTCGACATAACGTAATTAAGTTTTTGTTTTTTTTTAACCCGGGAATTTAATTGAATAAAATTGTGTGTACATAAAATAATTTTTTAAGCGCAATTTTATAAAATTGCTTCGAAATTTTCCAGTCTGCCCCCACGCTATATTTACACAGTATGCTCTATGCTGTATACTGTATAGTGCATTCATCAATCAGTTTTGCGGTGGACGGCATACCAGCCTCGGTTTAAGCATTGACCGCTGGTGGTCAAGTCGGCGTTTACACAAATGACACAATTTATCAAAAAACCAACTAACCTTGTCTACACGCGCAGGTAACTTTTGTATGCCTTTAAAGTGGCGGCGAGTGGCCAGTTGCTTCATGATCACCATTCAGGAACAAAGTACATAAAAGCAGCGATATAAGCGAATTATGCATGTTTGCTAACGGCTCAGCATATGTTTATGTGGTGCAGGACAAAAGTGTTTAGGAGCCGTTATACGTACGGAAACTCAGTGCGCCTGTGAAGCACTTAACCGTGCTTGACTGCTCCGTGACTTTTTTGGCTATCAATATTTAACCAGCACTTATTGGCAGGTGTTGACAGCAAGTCCACAGCATACATGACCAAAGCCAGCCAGCGCGGTGACGCCATACAGGCAGTTCTCTGGAACGATGCGATCAAGATGTGGCGTGATTATGATCTGCGCACTCGCAAACACCGGAAGGGATTCTATTTAAGCAGCATTACGCCACTCTTCGCATCCTGCGGCTCACGCACGCTGGATCTCATGGATACGCACTTCTTACGTGATCTTCTGGCGTCGCGCGATGTAAGAAGTTTGTTTAGTCGTTTAATTACCACTTGTTAGGGAATTTGTTTGTCAGAACTGCTGACATTGATTTTCTCTTCGCTAAACAGATTAAAAAAGCTTTGTCGTACCCGGGAGGCATGCCGGTGTCATTTGTCGACAGTCGCGATGCCTGTCACAGCTGCCAGTGGGATTTCCCTAATATGTGGCCCACCATGCAATTAATGCTCATCGAAGCCGTTGCGCGCAATTCCGAGATGCGCGAGGAAGCCGCCAACTGGGCACAGAATCTGATCAATGCCATTCACGGTGGTTATATGAGGCATGGATTGATGTTTCAAAATGTAAGAGCATTAATAATTCTCGTGGCAGGCAAAACCAGAAACCATAAATTTCGTCGGTAGTTGACTGTGGACAGTTTGCCGATGGTGTATATTTTTTTAAAAATATTCATGTGTCATAAAAAGTGCAATCAAAAAGAGCCGGTACAATACATCTTGACGCCTTGTTAGCTATCACTCGGGTGGTTGATCGATGGCAGGTGATGGGCATTCATGCGTTAATTGACTTTTAATGCTAATAAATATCGCACGTGAATTAATAAGGATTTTATACGATCAGTGACCGAGTTACCTATCAAATTTTATTTGTTTAGGACTGCAGATAACTGAAATAGCAGTGAAAGTGCCGGACTTCTGAATAAAACTAACATAATCAGAATTTAAATCTGCGGTGAGAACGTTGGTCAAAATGCACGTTGCGAGCTAATTACATATTTTAATGTTGCTTACTCTACTTAATAAGTATCTACTGTATCTAAACATGAATTCAATGTTCTTCAGATACTTATATAAATAACGAATGTATAAAATTAGTAGTTCTGTCAAAGGTCACAGATTCGGTTTTTTTGGTGATGAGTACTGTAGATTTTTCTTTTATCAAAATAAATCTGAGGACATCACTGAACAGTTTCAAAGTGAATACAAATGGGTAATTTATTTCGTTAGCAAGCTTTAAGGGTCGTCTATTAAATTCGCAAAAAAAAGAAAAGTCATTCGTATCAATCGGAATGGTATTTTCTAAACACAAACATATTTGCAATATTATGGTGTTATTGTTTTCGCGAAGTGACATTCATTTTTAACGTCAACTCGAATATTTGTATTTGTATGTTTTTGCAGTATAACGTTAATCAAAGTGGATATTATGGTCGCGGTGGTGAATACGTGGTGCAAAGCGGCTACGCAGCAACCAACGGTGCCATCCTGCGCTTGCTGGAACTTTTTCCCAACATCCTGCACGATGGAAATAACAACGAAATCTTAGATAAAGATGAGAAGCAAGACTTGGACGATCATCCCCGGCCACAGCCGCACGCTCAACCCAGTATCAACGAGAACAATAACGGGCTGGCTTCGTCCGATCAACCGGCGATTGATACGGGCGAAACATTCCAGTTCCTAGCTCAAATGCACACTGTCGATCCCATGGGAAGTGACCACAGTCAAGACAAAGTCCTGGAACATGACAAGAGACAACACGACCAGCGATCCGATAATGCGCACTACGAATCTCCCTTGCCCTCCAAAAGGGTCAGAGACAACCCAGGAAACAATGTCGGATGTGTCATTGCTGCTCGATTTATGTACACAGCCTCGATTCTCCTAATCCTTGTGATAATACATGATTTTTACTAGCGACTGACCACTGAAGAATTTTTGGCAATTTGAACGAAAAGGTTTTATAGCGATGTTTATTGTTCACTATTTACGTAATAACGGTAAACTGGTATATTTTTGTTTTGTTATAATTAATTGTTATTTTGATCGATAAAGGTTTTTGCCAATTTTGTAGTCGTATACTGCCAATAACTTATCAGTACGGTGCGCCCAACTGCTCATTTCGATAACGGCAAACCAATAAACAAAAGAGAAAACCTAAAAATAATTGTTATTAATTACCCCCTAGCTCATAGACTTCATACATAATAGTGTACTCGTACTGCATATACCGCAACAGCCACTGCATTGAATCTGAAACACACCTGCATCAAATCAGTAAATATTTTTATTTAAGGGGAGGGCTATGAGATGAAAGTGGGTTTGGGAAAACAGGAATAGTTTTAAAACGGTAGAAAGGATGCTGTTGCCATTGTTCTGGCTGCATGCGCAAAGGGTCTGCCTACCCAATGGTGCGCTGCGATCTTGTCTATCCTCTGTCTAGACAGAGCTATTCAAGAAACAAAGAAAAAACTTTGACTTGAAAACTTGAATGAGAAAGTTTCTTCAACTCGAATGTGATCCGCATCATTCGATGTCATTCTGGGTAGAAAGCTTATATTCTCCAACATACCAATATAAAAGTTTAAAACCTTTCGCAATAATCGCAAAAAATACTTTTCGAAAAGTGTTTTTCTCAGTTTTTTCGAAAATTTTCAGGGTCCATTCACGGCCTTCATTGTAATAACAGGTTGCCAAATTCACAGCGAAAGTGACATTTCCCTTCGAACTGAGCCGATTTTTTCCATCTATACTCCAAAGTATAGAATTGAAAGCCTCACACTGATCCGTATTGCCATTGTGTTGCAAACTAGTGAGCAGTTCTTCAGTGGTCAACTCTTCAAATACCGGCCAGATGGCTTCCATACAGGCTTCCGGAATGACCTTTTTTGGATCATGGAAATATTCCTGACCGGCACTTTTCGCTTGCAAATAACGGCAGTACTTGGGATCACAGCCACTGTAAAATTATTTAATATAGTGTTTGTATTGTAAGCGGATGTTCTAACAAAACTTCAACGCAGCGCGTACGAGTACAGTCTAAAATTCTGAGAATAAACTTGCAGTTGTAAATTAGTAAACCAGTACTATATATGTATGCTATTATGTATGTTATTATTATATTATATTATATTATTAGCTAATATTGTCTAATATCGATGTGCTGCATAATACTGTACAGTATACTGGATAAAACTGTACGAGGACGAGCTTAGTACATGTGATAGACAAAAAAACTAGCGAGAGAATCTGATAACCATGCCCGGCCCGTGCAACACGGGCAACCACCCAGGTTTGTCAGTGCTGGTAAACACATCACATTTAATACAAATAATCACCCCAGTAATACCGCACACTTTATTTCTTACAGTAAAACTTTGACTTTGTAGAACCACATGTGAAATTTCAGAGGACTCACTTTTTACCCATTCTGAAAGATTTTTTAATTTTAGTCGGAGTATTTGTCACATCGCTAAGTCCGCTACGAGTGTTTCTTTTTCGCTCATTTTTCTGCAGCAGTTTTTCTGCTTCCCGCTGCTCGAGCGCTGCGATTACTTTACTGTCCGTCGCAATAAGCCCTGCTTTGGCGCGCAGACGAGAATCTTTAAGTTTTCTTTTCTGAGGATGAGCGCTCATGAAATTATGGTGCCAATCTGCAGCCACTTTGTCAGCTGCAACCGATGGAAGAAAACCTTCTGCTTTAGAGATTGTGAACGCCACAATCTCTTCTATCTGTCCTTCAGTCAAAGTGGAATTTTTCGAAGATTTGTGCGTATAACTTCCAGCTCGCTCACGTATACGGTGGCATGGCAGGTTCCTCCACACAATTCTCACTCAACGGTAGGCCCGAAACAACGCTGATACTCGCGCAAGAAGTCTCCATCGCAGGTGCAGAAAACAAACTGGCAGGTAGCCGTACGTCGGTGATATTCTCATCGTAGTACATCTCGCCAGATGGATCTTTATATTTAGATGGTAATTTTATAACATTATTATCAAGAGCTTGGTTAATTAATGTCAGTCACTGGTTGCTGGAAATTTTGCGGAGAACCAATTATAAACAAAGTTATAAAACCAAAACAAAACTCGCATTTAAATTTTAATACGAGTGTGCGTTACAGTAAATAGCAGGCCGTGTTCAGCTAACGGCTGCGTGACGGCGCGCGGCTACCGCCAGCCTAAGGTGGCTGACAGTGTTGCACAGCACGCAAATGGTTATCAGATTCTCTCGCTAGTTTTTTTGTCTATCACATGTACTAAGCTCGTCCTCGTACTGCATGTACTTGCCTTTCGTGCTGGGGATTTTCATCGCTGGAAATTTTATGGAAATATGGCGCCTTCACCCATTTTTCAATTTCTTCTAACGGTGTGGTCGAGGTAACGTTGCGAACGAGATTGCTGGCCACTAGTTTTCCAATTTCTTTACCAATGTCAGCTGTTAGTCGGCCGGGACCGGATATTTTTTTCCCATCGCTTAGAACGCCCTTGCAATTCTTTTTTATGGTTTCTATACGCGGTGCAAATCTTTTTCCGAAATGGCTGTGATCGTTCAGTTTTCGACAGCGGTATATCTTTTTCACCTCGTTGAAACCTTTCGAATCACCGTCTGCGAGAATGCGAACAATCCTGTACAGAAAAACACACACACAATGATCGCGGTAATTGCATGTATCACAATGCACAGAAAATTATTTAGAAATTATTTACCGACATTATAGCAGTTAGAATTATTTAGAATTATTTAGAATTATTTAGAATTATTTAGAATTATTTAGAATTATTTAGAATTATTTAGAATTATTTAGAATTATTTAGAATTATTTAGAATTATTTAGAATTATTTAGAATTATTTAGAATTATTTAGAATCATTTAGAATTATTTAGAATTATTTAGAATTATTTAGAATTATTTAGAATTATTTAGAATTATTTAGAATTATTTAGAATTATTTAGAATTATTTAGAATTATTTAGAATTATTTAGAATTATTTAGAATTATTTAGAATTATTTAGAATTATTTAGAATTATTTAGAATTATTTAGAATTATTTAGAATTATTTAGAATTATTTAGAATTATTTAGAATTATTTAGAATTATTTAGAATTATTTAGAATTATTTAGAATTATTTAGAATTATTTAGAATTATTTAGAATTATTTAGAATTATTTAGAATTATTTAGAATTATTTAGAATTATTTAGAATTATTTAGAATTATAACTTTTTTGTCGTACCTGTGTCCGACTAAGTATTTTAATTATGGTGACTGCTATGCGCCCCGACAAACCGGGCGCATAGAATTTAGCTGTGCGCCCCGAGTGGTCGGGCGCACAGAATTAGGCTTTGCGCCCCGAATTTCCGGGCGCAGAGATATTGGCGATTTGCTGTTTTTTACGAAGGGTTTTTATGTTTTATTTGGATTTTCTATTTATTTAACCACTCAATTTTCCTATTGTATTGTCAAAAGCAGAACAGCTTTAATATAGGGCATACCTCAACCTGTAAGTTTACTTATTTGCTTATGCAGACTACGGCAACAACAGCGACAACGCGTAATCGTTAAGCTTTATTTGAGCATTGGTTGAAGACACTAGCAACGGAACACGGGTCACTGGCGTCGAGGTTAGGGTGGGGGAAGAACGACTTGATTCCTGTAAATCAACTTTACTGATACTGAAGTCGATTTACTGCAGTGGACACAACAGCAACTAAAAAATGTACTAAACACAAGTGTGCAATCGCTGTTCGACATCGTCAATCGGAGTTGCATTACTTGTTCTGCCAACATTTAAACATTTTTTCCATCTTTGTGCACTAATGGCGCTCGAAGATTTAGCGTTGATAACTAATAACAATAATTGTTATCCTATACAAGTCATTGTAAACCTCTAGAAAAGCAAAAACAGTTCATCGAGATTGCGACTGCACTCGACTGTACCAAGAACACAGGCAGCGTTGCCCCGTTGTATTTCTAAACTGCAACGCTGCAACAAAAACTGCTTCGCACGGCTTTCTCCAGTCTGCTCCCGAATACGTTTGGCCAGATCCGAGATAAAACCACTAGTGCTTGGTCCACAGGATCCCATAGTTTCGAAAGCAAAAGGCTGTACAATGTATCGATCCCTCAACTTCTCATATTTTCCCAGTTTTCGAATCTCAGCGGCTTTCGCGGCAGCGCCAGGGTGGTCAGAAGTTTGGCCAATATATGTTGCCGCTAGCGTGTCAGCTACAGTGACATCCCATACTAATGGTTTTCCATATTGCCAAGGATACAGGGTCATGCCATCTGGTCGTTTTCCAGTTTCCTTATCAAGTCCGGGAGGTTCCAAAATGGCGGATATTTTCGCAGATCCACACGCCCGCTGAACTATGTTGTTGAGCGCGCTGTGGCGCCGGATTCGTCCTGCACTTTTCTTACAGCAAAGGCCATGATGACCGTACCTGTCAACCATTTCGCCACAACGGCATATGTGCTCATTACAAATAAAAGCACCTAAGCGTAAAGCCACAGCCACTCGTAAACTGACATCATCAAGAAGGTTTCCTAAACTGGACACAGGCAGCGCCGACAACCATGCAGAAGACTTTTGTAGACAGGGCCAACAAGCGAGCTTTAGCGATAACGTCGGCATTGTCCACTAAGAGACGGCGCATTTTGTCGTACATCACACCGGTCCACGCTGACTGGAAACGACGGCTCGGCATAGGCGGTGGGTCTTCCAAGTTTCTCCTGATAAACCTTAACCACATTTTCTCTAGGGCTTTGACCAGTATCCGGGACAATCTCACAGACCAGAGGATCCGTAGCATAACACGAAGATAGATATGCAGGCAACGCTACATCCTCCGCCCTACAAAGGCCGATTCCTCCAAGGCGATCAGGTAAAATCGCTTGTCGCCACACGGTGTCGGACATTTCTACATTCGTAATTTCTTCCGCTTTTCTCCTCACGGTATCGTCAAACAGGCGCAGTTTATCTGGACACTTCCAACACGGGGCGCACCTAAGAGTAAACAACAATCTCGGCAGCGAAAGGCTGTTCTTCAAAAGGAACAATGACTGATGCGCTGGCAACACACCGAGCAGATCAGTCAGACGTCGTATCTGACCGATCTTTCCATCTAACACTCGCCCAATCGCCAAATCAGTAAGTGGTGCACCAAGGAGGTCCAGCTGCTCCGACGAAACCAGCAGAATCTCAGGTGAAATAGAGTGAAAACTTTCAATGACTTCTTTCCGCTCGGATTCAGTGCCACCAAAAACGTGCAGCTCGCATTTCGACAAATTCAACTGCAAGCCGAGTGTGCGTGCTTTTCCCAATATAGTCATGAAATCTCCCAAAACGGTATCCGGATCCCCGCCGCACGTGCCGTCATCCAAAAACCAGATGTTTAATTCGGACTGTAATTCTCTGGACAAATTAGCCGAGATCAAACAAAACAGTAACGGGCCAAGTGGATCCCCTTGCTGGATACCATGGGCAGAGGCAATAATTTGGTCTCCACAAAACAATGACGACGGAGTGCTGTATGCCGCGGAGATAAACGCATAATATTGAGGAAGAACTTCCGCCACTTTCTTCAACATCACATCTCTGCGGACCGTGTTAAAAGCGTTAGCAAAGTCCACAACCTGTACTTCAGAACAGTCATCCCGTACAAATTTACGAGCAGCATGTACGGCCGCTTCTGCACCTCCACGAGTACCATAACCGAGCTGCACGGGACGAAATAGTTCTCCCATCTCATCTTGAACGCGTCGGCTGATAACTTTTCCAAATAGCCGCCGCAATGTGCAACCGCAAGCTATGGGACGAATACCCCCGTTTTTCTTTAATAGAGGCGTCAACATTCCACCAAAGAACACTCTCTTGGCCGCCGCAGGGATCTTTCCGGATAGAGCTAGGTTGGCCAGTTTGGACAGGGCCGACAGTAAGGACTCCCCTGTTTCTCCAGGCACACTCACCATCTCCTTACTTGTTCAGTATTGGGATGTACTTACATCCCAACGACACACCCTAATGGTTTTTCTCGGCTGAACACCGTTCAACCAAGTCGTCCAGCCGTGCAGCTACCTCCCGCTACGTTAACCGGAATTGGCTTTGCTAATTCTGTTTTGGTAAAGTTTTGTGCATTGAGTGGACTTCCGTGCCGTCCTAGATGACCTATGACAATTGTTGCTCACAGAACGTGATAAGCCAGTGTTACTCGTATTAGCATGCGGTAAAGTTGCTTAAAATCAGGATCTCTCAGACCAGTTCCGCGACGTTTTAAGCAACCTTTTCAATAAACCATGCGATAAAAAAAGGGGATAAACTAGCTACTAAGGCTTTTTAAACTTCTGCTTTCCTGCAACCTTCGCGTCGGTGACCCGTGTTCCGGTGATAGTGTCTTCATCCAATGCTCAAATAAAGCTTAATTACGCGTCGTCGCTGTTGTTGGCGTAGTCGGCATTAAAGCAAATAAATTTACAGGTTAAGAACTTAAGGTGTGCGTAAGTTGTTCTGCTTTTGACAATACAACAGGAAAATTGAATGGTTATATAAACAAAAGAAGCCAATTTAAAACATAAATACGGGAAAACAGCAGATCGCCAATATTTTTGCGCCCGGAAATTCGGGGCTCAAAGCGAAATTCAATGCGCCCGGTTTGTCGGGGCGCACAGCCATTTCGTTTAATTATACTACAAATTATAAATGAAGAAACCATCGCTATCGCTGTTTGGAAAATCCTCAGAAGTCTAAGAAATTTAAAAAAACTAAGAATCCTTAAAATCGTGAACTACAGATTGCAGTCACTATAATACAACTTTGGCCGCGCTTCATAATGCCCATTAATTTATCTTTAATTTATTAATATGATTACTGTATTTATTTTTTAAAGAATTTTTCTGAAATATTCTGAAATTTTACAATAGTAATAAGCTTCAAAATTTTTTTCTTAATCTCAAGCTTTTTCAAAACCACTTAATGGTAGTCGCTCTAGCGCGCGATAAGTTGCATTTTAGGTATGGAAATATAATGATGAAATTTGGAGTGCAGAAATACGTCGTTCATTTTGTGGAAATACTTCCTGTATTGGAAGAAGTAGAAATTCTTTCTAGTAATACCTTTCTAGAAAACAGAACATGAATACGAAATGAAGAATACGTAATGTGTTGCGAAACTACTGTTAGTGTGTTGTTGAAATAATCAGAATTAATTATTAAATTTTATTACGACGTTTCTCAAACGTTAAAATGCTAAAATATAGAGGCATTAGCCCTGCTGCGCGGGGCCAGCTTTGGAAATATGCTTGAAATGCTTAAAAGTATTTTAAATTGTAGAAATTTCAAATTTTGGAGGTATTTCAATAAATATTTCTGAATAGCTTTGCGAATACAATATTCCGAAATGTCCAAAACTATTTGAAAATTCTAAATTAATATGGATGTGACGCCTTTGCCATTTATGAAGTCCCGCACTTATGAGCATCAATACTTTATAGTTGGTGTATTGTTGTTGTTGTTGTTGTTGCATAAACATACAGCGTAGTCCTTTCAGGGACCATTGCTCCAACAAATATAAAATTAGAAGAATTGCCAAGGAACAGAGTAAGCATAGATAGTAAAAACTAGTCGCTTATCATTGGATCACCGAAATCTGTTTGAGAACTCCAAAACTTTAGAAAGCAGCGGCAACAGCCACTTTATGTTAAGGAAACCCAGTCCTGTAAAGCCAGCATGTTCTAGGAAACTTCGCAAAACAGTAAAGGAGGGATGCTTACAAATAGAACAATGATAGAAAAAGTGGTATGTTGTTTCCGGTGCAAAACCACAAGAGCACAAAGATGGATTCCCATATATCTGAGAAGGTCGGGACGCGTTAAGTCTAGAATGATCCATTCGAAGTTGGGTCAGAAGTGCCTGCATTTTTCGTGTGACCGGTACTGGCTTTCTCTATATCGAGTAAGACACATTCGGTTGGACATTGTATAGAGCTCTCCCTTTTTGAGATGCTGACCAATTTTTCTGCCATTCGGCAGAAATGGAAGTGCTTAATAGTTGTCTAAACGACGCTTTTGACAACGGCAGTTGCAAACCTTCGTTTTCCGGTAAATGAGCTCCTTGTTTTGCCGCCAAATCTGCCATTTCATTCCCATAAATACCAATATGAGCTGGGATCCACTGAAGGGTTACTTCAACACCGCGCGAAAGTAACCACAGCAGACAGTCTTGTACTTCTTTGATGTCTTTGTTAGGCGAACCATAAATAGTGGCACTAATACCATCCAATACGGCTTTCGAGTCAGAATATAGAAAAGCACGACGCACTTCCGACTGCCCCATGTACAGCAAAGCTTGATGGACTGCATACAGTTCCGCTTGCGCAACAGTTGCATGAGCCGGTTGTCGGTATTCTTTCCGGTACACTGCTTGGCTAGTAAAAACAACAACTGCAGCTCCAATTATCGCCATGTTTTGATCCATCGGTATAAATTAACATATGTCCTGTAGAGAGGAGACGCTTGGCAGTTGTATTGTGATTCACGGCTGATGCCTGCAGTGCTGAAATAATGACCCTGGAGCGCAAAGACGCGTAGACGTAGGGAAGAACTTGCTGAACACGAAAAACAACATTGGTAGGAAACTTCAGTCCCATCGCATCCAGTCGCTGCACAATGTACGACGATGGAGATTTGTGCGAATGTTGCTGTTCAGGGTATTGTACCAAAGCATGTGCTATGTTCATATCTTTTAGTGTTTGTAAGCGATAGAGGGATATCGCAGCCACTTCAAATATGATGTTCACAGCTGCGGGTGCAGTCGCGAGCGCGTTGAAAACTATACGCTCCATCAGCAATCAAATGTTCCGTATTGACGACATTCGCCAACTTTGGGATTCCGCAGTGAAGAGCCAATCGCATAAACAACTAGACAAAAAATTCATCTGCGAAGCCACCCTAATTTCGCACACACGTTTACGTTTCCATGGATATCCAAACAATAATAACGCGGTACAATAGAATAGGGTTACAAAATAGTAGTTATCCGATTCTTGCAGTCAGTGGTAAATTTATCCCCATGATGTTTTCCCTAAATGTTAATAAAAAAAAGTATACGTTTGTTTTTATGTACCTCCGCGTCACGGTCCGCGCCAACTGCAAACGGGCACAAAAATGCGTCGACGAAGACCACGCGGAAATGGTCGTTTCCTGTGCGCCAGCGCAATCCACCTGGCAGCATGATGCTTTTAATGACTTCCTCCTTCACTCGCCAGCGCTTGAGAAACTCTCCGAGGCTGACGATGTCGTGGTAATCCCAGCGTTCCAGCACGATAGCAGAGTGCAGTTCCTTGCCAATTGTCGGGATATCCCCGTGGCTGCAAACAAACTTTGTGCCTATAAATTAACAATTTTAAGATAACTTGAGCGAACAGATATCCTACCACGCGACTGCCAGTGCCTCCATAATGCGCAAAAAATGGATATCCAAAGCAGGAGCGACCTCCAGGTTTTGCAAGGTGATTGGGATATCCCGATATAACTCCGCGCTGCGATCCACTATGACGGCCAGATTGTTCAGGTTCCCCTGATTGGGACCGCGCATAATGTCGGTAACAACACCGTTCTGCCAATCCAATTCGCCGGCCATTTTGAAGTGAAAAAAAGTCTGAAATACGACAATAACGATATTTTTTCAGACGAAAAGGAAGAAAATATTCTGATAAAAGTACTGTATGAATAAATTGAAAGTTCGAGAAAGTGAAATGAAACAAAGAAAGTTCAAAATTTCTACCAGTCAGTGCTCGATCACGGTGCGCAATGCCGGTTACGTATTACGCGCCGCGCGTATGGGCTGTACGCGAACTTCGTGCGGGGCCCTTTGTTTGAACATTGTACCAATACGTTTTCAATCGCTGCATGGCTCCCGTGGTCGGTGAAAGTATAATACTCATTTACTAATGGTAAACTATTGAATAAACGCTGGCAAGAGTATATTTCGACTCTGATCTTCTTTGAATATTTTTTGGATATTGTTTTTTTTTGGTTATTGTTTTTAAAACAACCGAAAAGATTCAGTTTATAGTCCAAACAGACGTTTTTCTTTATGGGGAATCCATCATGACATTTTTTCTCATCTGGCACGAGATATACGGGCTGTTGACACAGTCGAGCGTTGCTGTTGTTTTTCCGTTGCATGAGTTTTCCACAACAACAGTGGCCAAGAATAGTCCGAATAACCTCTGGACTTAGTAAACCGAAAGATTTTCGGCATGATTGTTTGCCGGTAGAAGGGGATTTACACGTTTTAGAAACACGACTATCCGAGGTATTCAAACGTTTTTTAGCACGGCCGGAATTTGGTTTTAGCGGGGCCATTTTACTGGTATCAAATTTACAGCCATGCCAGTATATGTAATAATTACTGATTATTAGAGCACGTAAATGCGACTTGTGGTCACGTAGTGGTAGGACTGCATCAAATAAAATTACTTTGCGACATGTACGTGCACCTGGAAAATGGCAAGTGATTCTATGAATTTATCTATCTGATCACCACACAGGAGAATTGTTACATAATTCGTTCCATCACGATATCAAGCTCCTGTGAATTTGTAATTAAAGATCTAATGACACCGGCCAATAAAGTCTATTGTTGGAACAGTCAGAGGAAGACAGAATCAGCAGTGCTCCCATGAGCCTTCTGCCTGCCGCTTATATTGTGGCCATGGTCAGCCGGTAACGTTAGTGGGTTCACTTCATCACATCCAACCCTGTCTTGCTTTTTAGCTTATAACTTTGTATTTCTGAAAGCAATCATCCACTATATCACACTGTCCGAAAGCCCGTAAAATTCTCTACAAACCTATGTAAAGATTGGTTTAGTACTAAACTGGAAAGTCATCTCATAGTGGTCCCCTTAAGCAGCGGCCTGTCGAAACTTTACGGGAATTCACCGAATAGTTGCGATGGATTTTTAAAAATAATGAATTAACACAGCCAATTAGTTTATTTCCAATAAAGAAACGCGTGACAAAACAATCTAAAACACACGCGACGCACGAACGGCACAATTAAGAACAGTGTTCCACTCTGCAGTACATACACCCATCAGTTAAATTAACTGTTCAAACGAAACTAAGCATAAAATGTCCTTGAAATCCTTTGCTCAAATCAAGGCGTGAAATTAGCCATAAAATTAGTCACAACCTGCTTAAGCTTGGCATCCGTTGCCTCCGTAAGTTTGCCTTCATCGCGAATATTCTTAAGTAGATCCTGCTGATCTTGTCTAATATGCTGTAAAAATGCTGCTTCAAATTTGGTGATTTTCGATGGCTCCAGTTTGTCCAGGAAACCACGGACACCGGCGTAGATAACCGCGACCTGCTCTTCAATGGCCATCGGAACTACAAAACAACATGCATGGGATTACAAAAACAGTTTTTACACTACTGATGATTTTACATAATCACACCACGGACTATTTTATTTTTTCTACATTGTTACTGCTTTTTATCATGCCTTGTTTTATTTATCTAAACTTATATAATGATTTATTTCTCAAACCGAAGGAGTTGCAAAAGTTGTAGCCTGTCATAAAATTCGTCAAGACTTGGTACCTCATAACCCTTTCTTATTTCTTTAAAGTTTTAATGGAATGCTTACCATATTGTCCTTGCTTGAGTAGCTCAGTAAGACGCACGCCACGATTAAGGAGGCCCTGAGTAGCAGCATCCAGATCAGAACCGAACTGGGCGAAAGCAGCCACTTCACGATACTGGGCCAATTCCAGCTTCATGGAACCAGCGACCTGCAGAACAATAATCCCACGTAAATCCCTCAATGCAAATTCATAATTTTCTTTTTAGCTCAGATTCAGTGATGCAGTACGTACCTGCTTCATTGATCGAGTCTGCGCAGCTGATCCGACACGGCTGACGGAAAGACCGACGTTGATAGCGGGACGAATACCCTTGTAAAACAATTCCGTTTCCAAGAAAATCTGTCCATCGGTGATGGAAATGACATTGGTGGGGATATAGGCAGACACATCACCGGCCTGGGTTTCAATGACCGGGAGAGCGGTGAGGGAGCCTCCACCATGTGTTGGGTTCATTTTGGCCGCACGTTCCAGAAGACGTGAGTGCAGATAAAACACATCACCCGGGTAAGCCTCGCGACCGGGCGGGCGACGCAGCAGCAAAGACATCTGACGGTACGCCACGGCCTATAATGGACACACGGCCTGAGATTAATCCGACTATCCCAATAAAATCAATCGTCGCTCACTCAGAATTCATAAGTGTAATTTTAACTCTCGCATTCAGCTAGCTCAAAATGAAAAACACATCAACGAACCTGTTTAGACAAATCGTCGTAAATAATCAGGGCATGCTTGCCGTTGTCGCGGAAGAATTCTCCCATGGCACAGCCCGAGTACGGAGCCAAATACTGCAGAGGTGCAGCATCGGACGCGGTGGCACTGACGATGATCGTGTACTTCAGTGCATCAGCATCCTGAAGACGCTTCACCAGCTGTGCCACAGTGGATCGCTTCTGACCGATGGCCACGTAAATGCAGTACAGCTTTTTCTTCTCATCTGCGGATTCGTTGAAACGCTTCTGGTTGATGATGGTATCGATGGCAATGGCCGTTTTGCTACAAACACAAGATATATCAAGATATTGTGATATTCAGATTTTTCAACTGTTTTGTTAACATGTGAACTTATTTGTACGCTGCCGTCCTTATTTAAATAAATTATAAACCTAGTACAGAGTACTACCAACAACAAAATTCGTATCCACTGTATCAAAGTCAGAAAATGCGTACAGGTATATCACAGTTTTAAATCGTAAATAAAGCAAATCTAGAGGAGGAGAACGTTGTGTACCGTACACTGTACATTTTTCAGTGTTAACTTAAGCCTTAAAGCAGCTAAAGAATTTCAAAATAAATCTGCAACTTACCCAGTTTGACGATCACCGATGATCAATTCACGCTGGCCACGTCCAATGGGCACCAGACTGTCCACGGCCTTGATACCAGTCTGCATAGGCTCACGTACAGAGGCGCGAGGGATGATACCCGGAGCCTTGATGCCCACACGAAAGCGTTTGGCCGACTTGATCGCTCCCTGTAAACGATATACGACCACAAATTTCCACGAGCAATCAAGTCAACTTCCAACATGCACCCAGCATTATGATCTACCTTGCCATCAATAGGATTTCCCAGGGCATCCACGACGCGGCCCAACAGTTCTTCTCCGACAGGGACATCCACGATGGCACCAGTTCGCTTGACGATGTCGCCTTCTTTGATCAGCTTGTCGTTACCGAACACGACAACACCAACGTTGTCGGGCTCCAAGTTCAGAGCCATACCCTTCACAATGCACGAATATTTACGGAGGAATCTGTTACTGCCACACCGAAAATTTCCTACTAACCTTTAAACCACTGGAGAATTCAACCATCTCCTCGGCTTGGATATTCTTCAGACCATACACACGGGCGATACCGTCACCAATGGACAGCACTCGGCCCGTCTCCTCTAAATCGATCTTCGGGGCAGCGCCCAGGATGCGCTCCTCCAGGATGGATGCCGTCTCGGCAGAACCGCCTATCACACATACCTCTTGATATTAACACCACCCTTCAAAAGCAAACGATGCAACGATCTGCGAACCTTTGGCAGCATTGACGGGTTGGGAGGTGGAGAGACTGCGCGCATTTAGCACTGACACCGCTGCGCAACGAGGCGCGATCTGAAAAGGGAAGCTTTTCGTGAGCCCGACGTAAAATGCATCGTGCACGTCATATAGATTATACTAGCAAAATCCTGGAGCGATCCAAAGCCAAAGAGAAACCTGCAGTGTTTGCCTGTCGAAATTCTCGCTCTTCCGCTCACTTATGAAACATTGCTTACCTTCGAGGCATGGCTAGACAGTTGCCTCACAAGAGCACCAGTGATGCGGGCAGAGGACACAGCCATCTTTAATTAAATGCAAGAAATCCGGATAACTTTCGCACAAGAAAATGGGAAACAACGTTGGTATCGGCAGGGTCTAAAAGACAGCTCGCCCAAGCATTTCTCTCGGAAGGGGAGCCACATGTCGGTGTATCGTGAAATGCTACAGAGTGTGTGCATTAACCCACCGTGTAGCGACTGCAACAGGGCATGGCGCATGTGCGCTTAGTGCACCCTAGCTTTACGCACTACGACGTGCAGACTGCAGAGTGTGCGCTGTGCAGTGATTTTCGCAAACGAAAAAATTCGAAAAATCATTTAAAAATGCAATCATATTGAATAGCAGTTAGTTAGGCCTGCATTTTTGATTTTGGTTGTCGTATTTCTTGTTTGCGTCAGTCTTTTTCTACCTTACAAATGTTAGGATAGAGTAATTTTTAGGGTAAAGTACACCGGAAGTTGCAATTTAACGGCTAATCGTCTCTCGCCTCGGCCTGTCTCAGAAGAATTCGCTACGTTATGGCCTATGGGACATAGCCTTGGACCAGTTTCTCTTAATTGATGTAATGTTGATGTTTAAACCTATAAATGATAAGCAAACCAATAAAAAAAAAAAAAAGTTTCTCTTAATGGCTTCACCCTTCAGTTAATAACTGAAGCTTATTTAAAACCAGGTTGGATTTTTGAGATTTTTTTATTAAGATGAATTTTGCCATTGTTTTGGAAAGATTCATACGTTGTTCGTTATCACTGCGCGTGCAAGCTTCTCATCCCTGGCGACTGCATACCAGTATCAATACCAGATTCAGTAAGTTATAAAATTAATAGTAATTCATAACTGTAATTAATTTTAAAATACAGTAAATTAATTACACTGCTCTGTACAGTAACTAGGGTAGTGACAATATAAAGTTGCGGTAATTGCGGTAATTTTACTCTGTAGCGCACGAGAAAAGTTGTAAGTTTAACTATAAACAAGTCAAATTTTCTATCCACCAGTAACACGTACACCGCAAAATGCGACTGCAAAATTTGTCTGCCAGCCTACCATGAAATACCCTCGTAAACTAGTAGAAAAAAAGAAAGAAAATTAGAAAAGAAAAAAGTAGTTTACGAGGGTATTTCATGGCAGGCTGGCAGACAAATTTTGCAGTCGCATTTTGCGGTGTACGTGTAACTGGTGGATAGAAAATTTGACTTGTTTATAGTTTATTATTTATAAGCTTACTATGATCCTCGTTAGTAGATCCTTTTGGATGCTACGGTTGCGCACGCAATGTATCGGCAGCGTCGTCATCAGTCTCTAGCGGTAGAAGTGGCTGTGATCCCTTACAACTCTACCAAGAACGTGTGCAGCGGGGTTTACTTAAAGAGGACCAGGACCAGAAAAAAGTTCTCAGGAAATATCAGCATCTCGCATCCGAACTGCAGACCTATCAAGCTGCGGAGCCGTCCAAAGGCGGACTTTTTGCGTCTTTATTCGGCTCTTCCAAACCGGAGATAGATGTTCCCAGAGGAATGTACGTTTATGGAACTGTTGGTAAGGTCTAAGATGCCGTGCACTACAACACTACATTTTTACCAAAATGTTTAGAATCGTATTCCTCTAGGCACGGGAAAAACGATGTTGATGGACATGTTTTATGACTGCGTGGATTATCCCAAAAAGCGCCGTGTCCATTTTAATGCGTTTATGCTTGATGTACACAACAGCAAGTTCACATCAGAATTTTCTGTTTTGGAAATCATCTTTTTGGATTCAATGTTTATTGTATTTAGGAATTCACATATTCAAGCAAAGCCTGCCGAGGACAACCGACATGAGAAAAGGTCTGTCGTATGACCCAATTGCAGCAGTGGCACAGCAGTTATCCGAGCAAGACAAACTTTTGTGCTTTGATGAATTTCAGGTATACACGGCGAGATTTTGGTAATAATCATTATATTTTGTTCTGACTTACATTCTTTAAATTAGCGTGAAGATTCCGTGAATCAAACCCATTCAATTCCAGTTTCTTGTAGTGGCTCATAATTAATTTTCTGGGTGTAAAATTTACTTTTTGCTTTCTTACGTTCTTTTCACGTGAGTAACTGTTTCAGGTGACCGATATTGCGGATGCCATGATCTTGAAACGGCTGTTTACGTTATTGTTTGAAAGCGGAGTAGTGGTTGTGGCCACATCGAATCGACCGCCTGATGGTAAAACAATTCTATCTTACTGAAATAGTACGTCTTTTACACGTTTTTTATTTGAATGAATTGAATGTTGAATTTGTTTTTTTGTCCTACCTGTTACAAAAGTTTTACTTTTTCAGATCTGTACAAGAATGGCTTGCAAAGAGCGGCATTTGTTCCGTTTATTGGAATACTGAAAAATTACTGCAAAGTGTTATCGCTCAATACCGGCATTGACTACCGAACGATTTCCATGGGAGGGAACAGGAAGTCTAATTATTTTTTGTAAGAATATGCCTCCAGTTATGGACGGTTTCGTTTTGGCGTTATTCTGCTGGCTGATGTGTAGTTTTTAATAGAAAATCGGATGCAGACGCAACGAAGAATGTGGATAGAATATTTAAGACCTTGACCGCAACGCAGACCGATACCGTGCGTCCAAAGCGATTAAGAATTAAAGGCCGGGAAGTGGATTTTGCTAAAACTTGTGGAAAAATTCTTGACACGACATTCGATGAAATGTGCGGCAGAGTATGTTTCCTGCTTGCATTTTCCATCGATGTGGATTTCTTTAATTTTTACGGTTTTCTTATTATAGCCATTGGGGACCATCGACTATGTGTATTTATGCCAAATATTCGACACCTTCATTATTCGGGATGTCCCTGTTTTGTCGCTGAAAAAGCGTGATCAACTACGAAGGTTTATCTCCCTAATCGATACTCTCTATGATCAGCGAAGTAAGCTCGTTATCCTTGCGGATGCTCTCCCGAAGGAATTATTTTTAACCACCGAAGAAAGTGGCGAAAGCCATTCATTATTAATGGACGATCTCGGCATCAAACACGGAGACGTAAGTTTTTGGTATTTTCGCTCAATGTAACTTATAAATTGGTTCGGGTTTTTTGTAAATTTAACATTGTCGATCATTCAATTGCTGTCGAGTTTCCAACTTTCCACATCAACTTGACTTTTTTCATGTTAAAAATTGTGGCAGTTGCAGTGAATTTTATTACGTACCGTTTTTTAGCAATAAGGCATGTGTGTTCTCCCTCGTTACCTCATAATCTTTATTGATTTTAGGAGAATTCGAAAGCGAGCGTTTTCACTGGTCAAGAAGAGATTTTTGCTATTGATCGAACGACCTCTAGGCTACATGAAATGGGAACAGAAGAGTACTGGAGAAAAGTATCTGGAAACTAGTTTAGTAATTACCAGATGTTTTGTGATTATCCCTCTTGACGCGCGGGATGTATTTTACAAGATTGCTTATTTCTGTTTTGCTGCCCTAGTCGACTGAAGCCTTTGCAAAGCATACGAGTATGCAGAAGTCTGGATAATTCAGAAGTACAGATAATTTATATTAACATAGTAGTGGAAAAAAGAATGTAATGACGAATATCGCAGGCTGCGCAATACTGGCTATAATAAGAAAACCGTAAAAATACTGGCAATAAAATAAATCGTCAAATCATTGGTACAAAAATTTTAATTTTGAAAGACATCACTTGGCGAATAAATCGGCACATCATACCCAGCATAGAACTTGAAAAACCAACCAAAACTAAGTACATCACTAGCGAAAAATCAAGCTGGAATACCGTACAGAATCCAATCTCTGGCTTTATGAAAAAAATTTCCAATATACCACTCCACCCAGGATAGCAAATTCCAGAACGATAATAATTATAAGAAAAATCTTGTTGGTAACGATCCTATAAAGCCAAAAAATTGTGGATATTAAATGCGTTTCAATTCCACAAAACCTGCATTAACAACAAAGCAGGAACTGCTAGGAAGGCAAAGTTAATTACTGCTGGTATGCCAGAGACGATTACTACAAGTATAGGCCAAACAAACAGGCTTACCTTCGACCCATGGATTGTATTATCTTCCTGCTTCGCCCCAGTTCAACATTGGTTTCTTCCAACTACAACAATCGAGTGTTGGAAACGTCAACGTGTCAAATAAGACAACTCTGCAAATTAAGGCAACGAATTAAGATTCCAATACGCCAACACCTACTCGGTTTCTTGTGTTTTCCAACGACTCTCGCTGTGTGTGTAATTCCCCAATCACATCAGTACCGATCTGCTCCGTTTCCGCTGCGACAGCTAGAGAACGCCCCAGTGAATCCGAGGTCCGTTCGAGAACGGCCCGTCCTTGAAGAAGCTGTGACCTGTAAGCTGCCTGTTGAGGCTGCAAATACACATACATGTTAATGCTTACCAAAGGTTACTTATTAGCTAAAATAGTTGTGTAAATAATTACAAGTACTTCGTACTATTTAAGTGCACAATTATTTTAGGCAATGTGTAACCCTAACCATAAGCAATTATGAAATACTAGTAATAATAAGTAACAAATATAGATATGGGAAAATTATTCATTAACGAATAAACGAGGAAATTCACCGTTCAAAAATAATATAAGCAGGTAATCCTCACAGTTTTTTCACATTCAACAGAAAGTCAACAGAAGCGACTATAAACATCACGAAATCAATTAGCTCTTTAAAGGTAGTGTACAGTATATTTTTGCGAAAAATTTTAAATTCAACATTTGTGGCAAACCAATTGGAAAGCAGAACAGGTTTTTGGCCTGAACCTGTTCAGTGGATCGGCATACGCGATATAAGAGATAACTGCAGTTAACAGTGTGCAAAACCAATTTTTCAACGTCGTAAAACCTCGACATACTGTACATGTATACGAGGGGATGACAACTGCTTACCTAGATAGTCTCTGTACTTGCTGCCGTCAGCCAGCTGGTGTTTTACGTTGTGGTTGAACAGGCCCTTATGTACCGCGCAGTAATTAAAAGTGTATGTTAGCCACAGGTACAGCACAATGAGCACATGTATTATCTGCTGAACGTATGCACACGTACTATTCATCTCATTTTTTCTATACTGTTATGGATTAACGTTCATAAATACTGAAGTATCTATATTTAAATAATACCTTTATTAAATTTCATCACCGGTTGCTAAAAAAATTCCGCTTTGTGCTAATTCTGGCACCGTGGTTTTTTATCACAGCCTCGAGGCGCCCTGGTAAACAGTCATACAATTTTTCGAAATTTATGTTATTAGTAACGCAATTCCATGCCTCTTTAATGTGTGCACGCAGTTCATCCTTGTTTCGAGGGGAATACCGCTTATTGATGTATGTTTTCATGATGTCCCAGATATGCTCTATCGGATTTAGATCAGGAGACTTTGGCGGCCAGGTTGGAACGCGAATGTTTTCCTTTTCCAAAAAAGCTTTGGTTGTCGCAGCTGTATGTGGCGGAGCACCATCTTGCATGAAAATCGTGTCTCGCCCGATTTGATCCAGCACTGGCAGCAGTTCTTTTTGCAGCATCTCCACGTAGGTTTTTGAGTTCATTTTGCCTGGAATCTCGACCAGGCTCATCGGGCCCACACGAGATATGCACCCCCAAACCATGATACCAATCATTCGGTTATTCGCTACTGGAACTTGCAGGTTATCCTGGTATTTCGATTCTCCCTTACGACGCCAAATCTGCAGATGATGTTTGTATGTAATTTGAAAATCTACTGTTAAAAATAACGGTTTCGATAAATTATTAGAATACTATTTTTTTGTACCTGAATTTTATTCCCTACAAGTCGAAATGTTGATTCGTCTGAGAACAGCCAAAAATGAAAGTGTTTGGGATTTTTCCGGACGGCGACACGGTGATGGTGACAAAAGTCGATGCGTTTATCTTTTGCTTTTTGGGAGAGCTCATCCTGGACACAGGCAGTTTTGTGAAATCCTGCCTCACGGATTCGTCGGCCTATTGTTCGCTTCCCTACAAGCACTGGTTCAGCTCCTTGCTGCAAAATCTTCAGGACGTCGGAGTGGGTAATTGTGCGATTTTGGGTTACGAGACTGATGATCTTACGATCCTGAGCTGGTGTGGTTTTTCGCTTCGGAGGCTTTCTAGGTTTGTTCCCAGATTTTCGGCTGCCATCAGGAAGATAATCATGCAGTACGTTGTGTACCCAGTTTACAGAATGGCCGAATTCCAGTCCGATATCGTAATGACGTTTTCCAAACCGTTTAAGCTCGTGCACGCGCTTCACGATGTATGATTCAATCTTTGGACCCATTGTGATAAAACTGCGAAATCTCATAACTATCACAGAAATGCTTGGGTAATGTCAGATACGGGATAAAACTAGGACAACTAAAATTAGAACTTTCTAAATAAATCTGTTGATCACAAAGGTTTCCGTCGATAAACAAAAGATTTGCACACTCGTACCAAAGGAAACTTATTAATTGTCGGCTGCAATAAGTGCAATAAATATCGTAGATTCAACAGGTAATTACTGTGTGTACACGTACCTGTGCAAGCTTAACATGTAATTTTAAATACTGCGCGGTACATAAGGGCCTGTTCAACCACAACGTAAAACACCAGCCGGCTGACGGCAGCAAGTACAGAGATTATCTAGGTAAGCAGTTGTCATCCCCTCGTATTCAAACGGTAATGCTTACGTTAATATCCGATGTAAATGGACTGTTCCCAAAGAGTTGTTGCTGTTGCCGGTTTCCATCTTGATTTTTCAGGCGGTTGTTCTGCGTGCGAATCTGATCAATTTGTGAACGGAATTCGCGTATCTGAGAGCTCATTTGTTGGCGATAAGATAGAGGAGCCTGCAGGTCGGAATCCGCTTCCGTTTGCATTTCACGCAAAAGTCGCTGGCAGTCATCTAGTTCACCATCAATTTCACGAAATAAACGCTTCCTTTCCTCTGCAACAATAATGCGTTCATAGTGAGAAACGGCTGTTAAAACGGACACGTGACTGCCTTTGTCTACCAACGTTCAAATCAAAAATTTCTACTTTAAAGTCGACAGGTTACTTTTAACTGTAAGCTGACAGCAGCGTATTATAAATTGCAAGAGCATGCTGCATGCTGACAGTAAGCACTAAGCTCCCGATGGATAAAAACCTGATATCCCAGACCTTAACGAACTCAGCATTTCCAGCGCTTTTGTAGCTATACGCTTTAGCTAATCTTAAGGCCTACCTCCATTTGGCAAAGCAGGAATTCTGCGGTCCAGCTTTCTCTTAACTCCATCAACTACACCACTGAGTTCCTCACCAAGAGTGACGAAACGATCGTATCCACTCATGGCTCGTTAATTTCTGAGCTACGTACCAATTAACTTGAAACTTTCAAGCGGACAGTCAGACAGTCTCAGACTACTAATTTGTAAACATATTAACAGCCTAACAGTTCAGATAGTGAAACTTTAGGGAGATCACAAAAGACAAAAAATTACTGTACTCGTAATTCGTAGACGGTAAACGTTTTTACTTGGACTTGTAACTTGTTTGATGTTTCACATCACAGCAAATGTTTTTCCTAAAATCCAGATTCCAGATTTGAGATTTTAAAATTTGGACCTAGTGAGTACAGTAGCATGGACTGTGGCGCAGCACCTTGCCCTAAACAATTTCCGTAGTGGCTGTAACAGATGCGGATTTTATAATCCGCATCTCCCTTACTCTGTAACTACTCTACTGGTTGATGTTCATTTCCGATGAACACGTCGTGATTTTGCCCAGTCATTTCGATTTTCTTGTGTTGAAAAAGAAATCGTCGAGAGTTAAGACTACCTGTCTGTTTTCCTCCAAAAGTAGTACGAATATTTGGTTTAGCCGATTTTACCTAAAATTATTTCTGCGAGTGGTGTTGTAACACTTGGCTAAAATTCGCGAAAAATGCCGCTGTACAAAGTCAACGTGAAATGGGGAAAGAACAAGTACGATGACATCCAGACCAACACCGACGAGCCTCCGGAACTGCTGAAAGCCCAGCTGTTCGCTTTATCTGGAGTTCCGCCTGATCGCCAGAAGCTGATGATCAAAGGCAAAACCATTCAGGATGCCGCATGGGGCGACGTGAAGGTGGCGGATGGAGCGACCATTATGATGATGGGCAGTGCGGACGCCTTGCCAGCGGGGCCTCCATCACAGGGTCCCGGGAAAGGCCAAGGGGCAGCAGAATCCTCCGAACACGAAGACCATGACTCCGAAATGCCGTTGGGTTTGGCCAATCTGGGCAATACGTGTTATCTGAACGCCACCCTCCAGTGTTTACGCGCCGTGCCCGAAGTGCGCAAAGCCCTCAAGCAGTATAAAGGCAAATTTGTGGGCTGGGATTCCGAGACGAACAAGGCCCAATCCCTGACATCCGCCCTGAAAATGTTGTACGACGAGATGGACAATTATCCGGAGCAGGTGATCCCGGTGGTGATGGTGGAGAGTCTGCGGCGTGCGTATCCACGCTTTGCCGAGACGGGTGAACGCGGTGCCTACGTGCAGCAGGACGCTAATGAAGCCTGGACGGAACTGATCAGTAATCTGCGCAGCCAGCTGCCCAATGTGATGCCAGTGGAACGCGGAGGAGCGTTCTTGTCCGGTCGGCATTTGACCGCGGAATCCAGTGGGCCATTGTCGTCCATCAACAACGTCATCGAACAGTACATGTACGGTGAATTGGAGGTGACGATGAAGTGTAAGGAATCCGACACGGAACCGGAAGTGCGTTCCAAGGAGAAGTTCCTCCAGCTCAGCTGTTTTATCAGCCAGGATGTTCGTTATTTACAGGCGGGACTGCAGAACCGGATGAAGGAGACGATCGTCAAGCGCGCCGAGACGCTGGGCCGCGATGCGGAATTCGATAAAATTCTCAAGCTCACTCGCCTTCCAGCTCATCTGACGGTGCAGTTGATCCGTTTCTTCTACAAAGAACGTGCCGCTGTGGGAGCGAAAATCCTGAAGGATGTTAAATTCTCCATGAATCTGGATGTATTCGATCTCTGCTCGGAGGAATTGCAGAAGAAGCTCACACCACAGCGTCTGCAGTTTAAAGCTTACGAAGAAGCGGAAATGGAGCGCGTCGTCAAAAAGGCGAAGCAGGGTGAGAAACATGAACCGAATAGCGGCGGTTCGGTGAAGTACGCTCCGTACTGGTTCGAGAATGATGTGGGATCGAATAACAGTGGGTATTATGAACTGGAGGCGGTTCTGACCCATCAGGGACGAACTAGTAACAGTGGTCATTACGTGGCTTGGATTCGGCGCACTCCGGAGGTGTGGATGAAGTTTGACGATGATACGGTGACCGCGGTGAGCACTGAGGAGGTGCTGAAACTGTCGGGTGGCGGTGATTGGCACTGTGCGTACATTTTGCTGTATGGCCCGCGACGTTTGCCATTACTGCCACCGGAAGAGTCGGAAAAGAAAGTATCCCAGATGAATCCAGATATACCAATGGACTGATTCGAAGAACATTGATATTCGTACAACTGGTGGTTATTTATAAAACCGTTCTCGTTAACATTGGTTCGACCAGTTCTGTAGCATTTTTGATTTATGTGAAACGGCGTTTTTTAAAAAGTTTTTTGGCTGATAAATCTGTAGCAAATGTTCGGCAGATATACCGTTATTAGTGGTTTACGCATTATAAAACTGAAGAAGAACAGCTTGGCTGCAAAAATTGGCATAGTTTTTGTAATAAGCATAGCCCATTAAAAAAAACCGTACCAGACAAATCCTTCCAACATATTTACAATTATTACAAGTGGGTAACACATCATTGTTAACACAAACTCATGGTACCTTATTAACACGCGTTCACAGTGAGCATAAGTCATAAGATAACGACATTTTTCATCATGTACTGCAGCTGTTTTGAATTGTTCCAGTAAGTGACTGAAATAAATTTCCCTGGTTGAAGTGCACTGAATGGTCGGTGCGGTGCAAAAACATTCACTAGTACTGGGAATCGCAAAATAAAATAAGTTTTTTTTACTTACTTTTCGTAGTTTGATAGGTGTATAGCCTAATTATATAATATAGTAGTTGTACTGATAGCGCCGTATGATTTGGCCGATTTTGGTTAATCCTTATAATTGTTAATAAGATATTTCCATCGGCAGTAAGCAAATACCACACATTTAATGATTGTTTCCTCGAGGTCACGGAATAATTCATACCACTACTTAAAGTTGCATAAATAAATTGCGTACTTCAACCGTTAATAAGCGCACACAGGTAATCCTGTGGTGAAGCTGTTTCAGTCACGCGAAAATTGATTCCGTCGTGCCGGATGTGGCTAGTCTATTGACGGCTACAACAGGTACAGTTTTGCAACCTGCTGGCTGTAGCTGGCATCTAAATGGTCCCAGTTCGACCGTATTGCTCGGGAAGCCGAAAAAAGGAGCGACATTTTCCACTTTATGCGCAGTTATTCAGTACACATACCTGTACTAACAATAAGTAAGTACTTATTGTTAGGTAAATACGTACCAGTACAGTAGTTCTTACAATCGTTACAATACTGTACATGCCCGAGATGAATGTTCCGTTTCATGATCGCGTACTGTATTTCGTTTCTCGTACACATTGAGAATAAAAGTGCGAAATCATTTTTACTTCCGCTCAGTCATTGCTCTGCCTTAGATAGATATTTCGGTAGTTGCATTATACTATACTGTGTTTTTACAAAAATGAGATTATTTGAAAAAAACGTCATTATTACCGTGATATGAAAGAGATATTCTCCGTGTCCGATTGGTCACTGTCCACCTAGGCGCAGGCTTATTAGAATGCGAACGGGCTATTTAGTGAAACATACTAATCGTTTGATACAATCATACACATATATAAAGACATATTAAATCAATGCCGTAATAAAATGAAAAACATAAATGCTAAAAAAAGGCTAGTTTTGAAATAAAAATTATTTTATTACATCATGACCGTGGAGGCTACACACTACTATACAGTATCTACAGGGTATACTTGTACACGTAAAGCCGTCTGAATTAGTTTATAGCAGATTTCCACCGTGCGCTTCTGCAGTTGTGAAGTAGTAATATCCTGTTTGTGTTGAAACGGCATTCTCATCCAGTTAGTAGGGCTTTTCTTTGCTGGGATCCGGAAGTTAAAGCAAATGGTTTGGCCCATCTGTATGATGGAAATACTGGGAAGATGCTGGTAAATAGTCAACATCTTTTAACACAAAAGAAAGCAAGAAGCCGGATTAGTAACTGTTCGAAATCTATTGAGGTGGCACCAAACTGGAGAAATCTTAGGCATCGGAGGTTTTCAAAGATGAAAAATTTTCCGAAAATTTTATTCGGTGTATAAAATCTAATGATGCAAAATTTTTATGCAGCACAATAACACATCTTGGTACGCTCTAATTATACGAGGTTATGCGAAAAACACCATCAAGTAATCGCATGTATTTAGAACTATATTATATCGCATTTAGATTTTATGTATATATATATATATATATATATATATATATATATATATATATATATATATATATATATATATATATATATATATATATATATATATATATATATATATATATATATATATACAGATTTTATGTATATATAGATATTCAGTTTGCGCGTAATTTCTGCATTTATTCAGTTTTACCAATTGGGCAACGCAATCCAGGGCCAATATACCACTCACCTACCAAGGATTAATTACTGTTTGCCTAAGAAATAAGGATAATGTGGATTAAAATACGATATCATCTTCAGCTATGATTGTTAGCTATCACGCAAGCCGTTTTCCGCTCCTTTCCCATCCCTTTTTAATCACGTGATGCATAACTCAGTGTATTTCTATCATCGGTTCTCTGTAATTTACCAAATGAGATTAAGATAAGGCATGTCGACGGATTTTTCAGTAGAGTTTAAAACAATGTTTGTTCTATGTACGTATATGGATATATGTATGTAACACATCTTAGGACTTTATATCTTTGCTTCTTTCCCCCCTGCACATACAGTACTTGCAATTAGATTTCTGATTGTTAAGTCAAAAATACCGCCTAGGTACGGACAACCGGGAAATATAATAGTGGAAAGGTCACCAAATTGTCCGTATATGTGTAACCTATGTAATTGTAACACAATATTTTGCGTTGCTTTTTCGCTTGTACCGATTTCTGTCTCAAACCTCATTTAACATGAAATAATGTAATGCACAGAGTCAAGATTTTGAGGTTGGTTTACAGAGCGGGAAGACTGCAGTATGACATACGGGTAAGTAAAGCAGTTTGGAATTTACGTTAGCTTGAAATTTTGAGCTGCTTGACAGTGTAAAGTTAATGCTTACTCTAGTTTAGATCCAGATATTTTTGATAACGATTGATTTCGCTGCTTGAATCGAAGATAGATTAATTTAAGTTTATCTCGTAAATTTAGTGTTAGTCGGCATAGCTAATACGTGCATGTACCGATATCGGCAACAATTATTTCACATGGCGTTTGATTTCATATTCTGTCACGGTTAAATTGACCATAGTTTTAATATCCGCTGCCCTTTCAACTGGGGCATTTTTATTAAAATAGCCAGGTATGTTGCAGTGGGATATTAATCCAGGACTCGCCAGGCAGGAATATAATAATGTGCAATAACCGCCGGGAGCGCCTAATATCGTCTAAGTGGATTTAGCCTGAAAGCCCCGCTGCCACGACATGAACGTCACGGGATCGCTGCAGCATGAAATTATATGTAACCAGGGAGAACGCGCTGCAAAATACTGCCACGGTCGTGCACACGTATATACCGCGGCAACAGCCGTGCAAATTGCAAATACATCTATGCCGAGCGCCCATACCGGCATTTCCTCTTTTTCCGGTCCTAAAAGAAGGAAATTGATGACAGGCGGTCCTTCCGCTGCCATTCCAGCCAGTCTGGCAACAGGTGCTGTAGCCTAGTACAGCGGAGAGTGCCGGCAACTACCATCGTTGCCGGATTAATGTACCGCGGCAATAAAGTGCGGCTGGGTACCACATACACGCTGGCATTCTTCCCCCTTTCATCCACAATTGACTCCAGGGACGATCTCTCTCACAGGCTGCACACAACACACACCGGCTGTACATGTGGATCAGTTACTTATATACGACGGCGGTACCGACATTGTGTTGCTCCTCGCGCACTGTGTGACAGTGTGGCCTGCCGCTTGTTATCGGACAATTTGCCCTAGTGTCACACGTGTGCCCTGAGTGTGCATATGTGAGTGCATCGCTTCCGCATTATTCGGATGTCCCTAAAGAAATTCGGTGTACTACGTGTCTCTTCTTAATCCCCTCGATGCACACTGCACAGTGGCACCGGTGTTCCTAGTGTCAGTTTACCGTTCGGTGGAAGAACAATATTTGACGCACTAATATTATTATTACCGTTCTTGTCAGTGTCATCATGCAGCGGTCGGTGCGTCTGCACGAACAACAGCTGCTGTTCCTGGCGGAGCGGGCTCGTCAGGAAGTGGCCAAATCAAAAAGCGGATTATGCTTCGCTGGCTATATGAGTAAGCGCAGTGGTGACAACAAGTGGCAGCATCGCTGGTTTCTCCTGCATCAGAATCTACTGTTTTATTTTGATAACAATCAGTCCAGTCGTCCACTGGGTGTCATTCTCCTGGAAGGCTCCTATTGTGATCGGGTCATTTTGTCCAGTCCACGGCATAAAGATAAAGACGCTGACCATCAAGTAAGCCATCAGCGGAAATTTTTTCAGTAATTCTTCGTAGAATTTAAATTACGTATCATCGACACTTATGTGACTAACCTACATCTTGTGCGTCGGTAAGTTAAAATTCGTATAGATATTTACCACATAAGTAAGAGTCGGCATATGCGGCTTCTTACCTAAATGGTACATAAATTTTGCTAGTGTTGTCATTCTATTAAGCAGAATAAAACAAAATACGTTTCCCTAAACGAAATGCGCAACATACCCGATATTTAGGTGTTATAAAATGTAAATAAAAAAGTTTTGCAGAGCGCACGTGTATGTTCGATAATTCGAGTGTTGTATCTTATAATTATATTCGCGTACATTTAAGTGAATCGTTTTAAAAACTGCTCTTGTGTAATGTGTTATTAAAATGATAAAATTACTGCGAAATATGCTGGTCCGTCTCAAATTATATGTGCAGTCGGAAATTCTTGGTCATTCTAGATCTTTGTTGTGATTGGTTGAGACTTGCTTATGTAGCGAAGTAATTAGCGCACTTCGTTTGCTGTTCGGTTGGCAAAAAAAAGGGTAAATTTATTATACGATACAGTTCCCTCATTGTTCCCAGTGTGCTTTAGTGTGGCTTAAAAGAGCCTGTCAAAAAATCGATTAACTATAATTAATGGACTGGCTTTTCAGATTATCGATTGATTCGTAAAACATTTTCTTAACGTTCATATTGTTTTTCCCGGGTTGACACTATCATGTTTTTGCCCATGTGTGACTGCTAACTGTTTGATGTGCTAGTATCGAATAGCCGGCCTTTTAACCGTTTGCATTTACGGCTAGATCAAAGGATCAAATCGTTTCTTCGCCGCAACAATAAACTAGAGCCGTGCCGAAATTCTATACCACATAGGCAGTATATTTATTTCCACTTGACTCGGATTTCTAACTTATTCTTTTTCATTCAGATTTTCAGAGCCGGTATTGAAAGTTAACTGCAGATAATTTGCGCTGAGACAACTGTAACAATTCTTATTATGATTAGCACTATTTGCACCGAAGTACAATACTTTCCAAGTTTCACAGTTTACCATTGCTTAGCTTTTCTAAATTCAACGTATGTTGCAGCCACTCTGCAGCGTAGAACCATGTAATAAGGTTTCAACCCAACCGACGAAATGAAATAAACAATTTTGTAATCACAAAAGACTGTTCTAATTAATGCATTACACTCCACAGCATGCAGTACGTAAACATCGTGCAATTTTCAAATTGTAGATAGACCATTTAATGTCCCGTTTTATGGACTAGCAACATATGTACACACCTAAGAACGGGAATCGGACCCTATTTAACCTCTCCCACTACTCCTATAATTACATGCACAACTGATCATTGCTACCGTCTTTTCCAATAGTAAAACACTGGTCCACAATCTCAGCGCGCCCGCTTTTCGAGGAACGTTTTTCTAACCAGCTACTGGAAAGGGTCAGATACGTTACAGTGCGAAAAAGCGCGCCTGTTTCCATTACAATTTTTCCGCCATGTCACATCAAGTGTTTCTCATAGGGATGGTTTTATTCGCAATCGATTTGTTTGTTTAGTTGGTTTGTTCTTAATTCCATGTCACATGTGCCCACAGGGCGAAAACGCTTGAGTGCGGGAAATTGTTTTTCACCTTATTAATACTTTTACAGCATCTCCACGCCTTAATCATACTCATTTCTCACTGTTCACCATCAGTCATTTGGAGGAGTTGACGTAGCTGCACAACATATAAAATTATAAACCTCATGCGCACAAACAAGAAGCATGCAAACCGTATTATACGCACAAACCGATATTACACATAAATACGATCGATTATTGACAGCTGGCAATAACAAACGCATGATCTTAATTAAGTCGACTATCGTGACTTTTGTTACGACGAATGCCGAATGTTTTTTGCTGTTCCATGAAAAAAGGTTAGGAAAATCCATGTACATATTTATAAACTTGTGTCTCCCATCAGCAGGAACTTTTGCGAAATCGAGACGGACATGATGAATACCGAGGGTGTTAGATTTCTTTCCGGTGCAGCAATGTTCCGTCGTTAATGCTTAAATCCCCAAAGTCGGAACCACCCGTCAATGCCTTACGCTAACATCCTTTTTCTTATAAACCCGCAATGAAATCTTACTGACATCTGCGCGCGCGCGCGTGCTCATAAAGTTTGTGGCTGGAAAGGGATGTAAAAGTTTTTAAGCCTTTCATATACGAGCCTTTTCCCCACCGGAAATGCTTAAATGGACAGCTGATTGAGGTTGATCTCGTAATTGAGTGGAATGATTTTAAGCCTGCATGTTGTAATCAGAAATTAATGTAACGCGAATTAGCTTGATTTGCCTACGTACGCCATGTTCTGCCTCGCTTGGCTCTCATTCGCAGTCCATCTGAGTTTGTTGTTTCGCCGAATCACCTTGTTTTTTTTGTATGAATGTAAGGTAAATGTTATTGGAGTTTTTCATAACTCCTAATTTGTTGAAACGCTGTGACGCTGTCTTCCTGTAGCGCAGCGCCCAGTAAATCAATATTTAACCCATTCGCCGCATCGGCATAATATGCATCCATTAGCCGGATAACTTCGCCTACACGACCTGGGATATTACCTTCACGCGGCGATGTCTGTGGGAGTTAATTCATTATTTGTACATGTCGAACAGCATGTTGCAATCGCATTCCCCGCATCGTCAGCAGCGGAATTGCAAGAGCAATGTCGGGAATGTTTTAGGATACGCCATACATTTTGGGTTGGCCCGATAATTGTTTCATGTACGACTTTGTTGACTCGACCTTTCCACAATTTACGGCCTCAGCGATAGGATGTATAATATAATTGTAGTCACTATTCTCAAGCACAGACAGGCAGAAATGTTTACTTTGACGGTATAACCACCAAAACAAGGAGTACATATTGTACTATATCACTTACTTTATTGTTTGCACTTCGCAGTAAACGCGACCTTCATCAGGGATTGTGACCCCATGTTTTTCCACATGATCTAGAAGAAAATAGGAAGCGGTAGGTGCCCGGCGCCCGCAGACTGATATGCCATTTAAAATAATTAAGAAGGTTAGGCCCGGCCACGGCTTGAATGTCGTGCAGAACTCCGGTCTTCCCATTGCAATTTAACTACCCAGAAAAATCATGGTAATATTCATAATAGATCGTTTACGGGGATGTGAGTTTATTGAAAAACGTGACTGTCTGTCACGCTGTTCAGACTAACTAGGAAATACAATCTTCTGGGGTTGAAATACAATCCGAAAGGTCATTCAGTGTGCACGTCCAACAGATTAGGAGATCGGCTGCGGGAGGTGTCATGCGCAACTTTTCAATTACTGGAAACAGCGGTTATCGGTACATCGTGTGATGCATGTTATGTTTTTCTGTAAAAATGCTTCTAAGTTTGAGAATATTTACTAAGTACAAGAAACCCGAAGGCGGTAAAGTAGGTGTTTCTTGTAATTATACATTTTATATATTAATCTAACTAGTTTTCTATATCAAGAGGAAAAATATGAAGTTAAACATTGATAGCATGGGTCTGACAGGCAGTGATAATGTCCCTCATTCAATATAATAGCCTGCAAAATTATTCATTTGTATCGTGACAATGGCATTAAAAATACAGTTATGTATATTGTTTACGGGCATATGTGAATGTTATTGATCCGGCACCAAAATGAAACGGCTACCACAGCTGCATCCTTTTTCATTTGTTATTCCCCCACACTTGTCCCACCAACGGCAATTGCTCGTGTCATTGTCAGCATGTTTAGGCAAAATGTCAAATAAATAACAGTGGTGTGGCGGGGAGCGCGTTTACGTTAGAGCCTGTTAGTGTCGTCCCGTGCCGAGTGTTATACAACGGTTGGGTATTTCTTAGTTGCTTAACAGCGGCGGTTCGGCGAAAGGGTACGTACGTAACGGCAACGAGCATAGCATGTGAGAATTAGTCTGCACCGTTGGATAAGTCCTTTTAAATTGTGCAGAAATGCAGTTAATCACTTGGAAAGCGTTTCTCCCCAACTGCCAGGTTGGACGACATGGTCCAGCGCCCGCGGGGCAGTCTCTCGTATGTCAAGGGAGAACAAAGCACATGCAGCACACCATCACACACCCAAGGCCGACGTGCGCGGCCTTGTGACGTCCAGGAGAGCGCAAGGTTCAAGGCAACTCCTGTGTGTCAATTACCTCATGCTGTTGTAATAGCGGTAGCGCAGGGCTGCAACCAATGTATACCGCGAAGCACCGACTTGTCCTGCTGCGCTGCTTTCGGGAAGCGGTGTTTATATCGATGTGCAGCGTTTATTCTGGTTAATTAACTAAGCGTACATTAATCTTAAGCGCAGTAAATTATTTTTGAGAAAACAACCGGAACTGTTTTTATAGCTTCCTATAGGTACCACGCTGAAATTGCGAAATCGATTAATTTTTATACCGACGAAAGTTATTGAAGTCGAGCTTCGCATATTTAGTTACTTACATACGCATATACTGTAGTTAAAATTACTTATTAATATGTACGGTTAATACCTGATTAAAAGTGCCGGTATATCGCACGTTTAATGGTTTGAAATGCAATTATGTGGCCATTAATTTTGGTAGTTCTTTGCATGCTATGATACCTATATTTTTACGAACAGAAAATGCTTCTCGAGTTATGCCTATTTTTATGGTTCTCCAGCACAGGGTACCGGTCACACGAACAACTGCTGACTGTTCGTAGTACTAAATATGCTGCTATGTCGTTATATCGATCATTTTCTTCACTTTTCCTTTGCAGCACTGCTTTGTCATTTCTTATCGCAAAGACAACCTGAAACAGTATGAGTTCTGCACGGATTCGGATGCTTCCTGTTCCGCTTGGGTGGACGCAATTACGCAGGCCAGGTATGATTTTTTCACTTACGCTTCACCTTAACATGATTCAGGGGATTCCAACATGCAGCAGTACTAGCAAGTGTATTACGTGCAAAGGAGTAGCTCTCATTGGGCCGGTAAGTAGTTATTCGCGAAAGCGCTTACGATGAATAATTTACCAAATCCGCATATACAGAGTACATCCATTATGCGTTGGGGGTCATGTTAGCATTTGTTGGCCTGTAAACCCAATCCTCAGGAGAGTTTGCCACAGTACGGGTTCGTTTGTGTTTTTCTCCTCCCTGATGTTTTGTTCCCAAAAACTATGCAACACGACATGTTAATCAATGACATCTGTTGGCATTAATTGCAGTAATTTATGCAGCTTTGTATAACACGAAAAAACTGCAGTGCATCGAATTTAGATTAAACTTCTAGTCGGTAATGTACGTAGGAACAGTACTAATAAATTGATTCCCATTTTCTAGAAATAATTTAATCTCTCAATATGTATACAACGAGCTTCGCTCAATGATACCAATCAAATAAAATTCTAGCAATTATGGTTCTTATTATTTGGCAATCAACGGTAGTTGCATTAATTTTATCAACCAACTGTTTCAATTTAAGACCTGTGGGTTAAAAAATTTGTGCTATTTTACCAAGACAAATTTAATTGTTTGCGGTTGATTCTGCGGTACCACCTACTACAAACAATATGCTTTCACAACCGCACGGAAGTATTCACGTGCTTTTCTTGTCGTACGAGGAGGATTACAGTTGAGTCGGTAGCGCATAGCTGCTGCGAGTTAAACTGAACACCATTTCGGTAAGCTGTTGACGTAACAGCTAACCGTGGATGGTTGCACAAACCAATAGCTGCGGTTGATAAGTAAACAATGCAACCCCCCACGGCTGACTCTTGTTCTGTTGTTGGAAATGCAACCATCCACGGTTGTCTGTTACGTTAATAGCTTACGGAACTGGTGTTCAGTTTAACTCGCAGCAGCTATGCGCTACCGACTCAACTATAATCCTCCTCGTATGCTTAGCAATTTTGGGAAATTTTACCAATCTGTTTTTCATAAAAATGTCTGATTACAAGTTAATTAGTAACAGTAATGTTATAGTTCCATGTACAATACAGCAGGAACACAGTGACTACCTACTGTAGTCCAAAGTCAGACCGGTGTGCCTTTTCAGCACATGGCATGTTTCCCTTAATCACGTAGTGTGACCGCGTTTGCAATTTTTTCATTTTCTCACTCTTTTTTTTGCCTGTTAATTTATATTTTGTTGATTTCAATTCACATCTTTTCTAAATTATTTCGGAATTATTGTAACTTTCTTATTCTAAAAGTTAGGCGCGTTCCCTCCGTGCTCGGTGATTATTCTAAGTAGCAAAAAATTATATTGAAGAAAGTTGTTTTGCCACAGTGTAACCGTAGCGAGAACCAAAACTTTATTGCACTCGGAAGAAAAATTAGAAAATGTTTAGAAGTAATTTCTGTTATTTCTAATTCGAAATTCATAGTGGTGGTAAGTTGTAACAAGACGATGTTTCGGTGGTGTACTTGTGCCGATTTAAATACGGAACAAACAGTACGAGTACACGTAGAAGTATAAGTATTGGACGGGTAACTTGTGCAGAACCGTGGGCTGATGCGTAGTCGTGAGCTGTAACTATTTGTACTGTAACTTTCTGTAAAAAATACAATATATATGACGGAGAAAGGTTTTGTGCACGCACTTATTGCAAACAGATATGATAATTTTACTCCGCTACGAACATTGCGTTGTGACTATCTGTATTTACAGACGTAATTTAAATTCTGAATACTGTCATGCGCAATAAGCATATTAGAAAAATTATTTACTAATAATAAAGAAATTCATTGTTTCAGCTTTAACAAAGTGCTCCAACAAAAGGAGGAGCTGGAGCAAAAGCACCTTCACCTGCTACAGATTGTGGAGAGCGAGAAGACCTCCAAATGGCAATTACGTCAACAGTGCGACGATCTTTCGACGGAAATTAACAAACTACGGACTGAGGTATGCTATACTGCTTGATGGGGAAGATTTTTGTGGGAGAGGGTTTGTTTTGGAAGAGATGGTACAGCTCTCTCAGTATAGAAGTGTACACTCAACAAATTTGCGGTCATATATCTTAATCAGTCTTTGACGACAGGCCAGAAATCTGTTATGACCGCGACTTAATCTGCGGCTTTTCTATGTTTTCTTTTTTCCTCTTCCCCATGTAGCTGCGTGCCTTGAAACGTCACGAGCGGAGTAGTAGTGCCGGCAGTACGTCCAAGTTCGTCACTGACTTTCATCCCCGATATCTGGCCGATCTTAATGATGAAGCCTCGGACGAGCAGCATGAGGCTGCCGGCACCAACCGCTTGGGTTCTCAGCCGGAACTGCATGATATTAAGAAAATACAAAAAGTGCAGAGTTTTTTCCGTGGATGGCTGTGTCGGCGGCGCTGGAAGCAGATTGTCGAAGAGTACATAAGGTCACCGCATGCGGAGAACATGAGGAAGCGGAATAGCCTCGTTTTCTCCATGGTAGAATGTGAACAGGTAATGTTACAGATACATAGGAGTTGCATAACCGCAAATTTCAAGGTCACCGTTATAGTACAAATTAACGTTTCTATTCACTCTTCAGTGCAATTTTTCGTTACAAATTTTTTTTTGCCATAATACTGCGTGCTTTTGTACCATTACTACCATACGTGCATATCTTGCACGAAAAAGCAATTCTATATTATACCACAATATCTGAAAATGGAAACATCTACAAGCCATTCCCCAACAAAGTCACTTTTTGTGAGGGATAATTTATTTATACTTTGTAAAAAAGTTTAAAAAATGCAGTTCCCAATCTATCCGTTACAGGCTTACTACAACCTGCTTTAACTAAATACGATTAGCTTTGCTGACAATGTTCTTTTATTCGCAAGAATAGAAAAAAAAATTGTATAAAACTGTACCTGCAAAACAAAGTGTATTTAGAACCGCAAAAGTTGCAGTACTTTTATTTGTGTATTTTAATTTCATGATCAATGTATACCACCCGTATTATTGTAGCGATCATTTTCTTGTATTACAGATCCTTCGAAAATTTTGGTCGAAAATTTTGACCTTTATAAAATGTAGCTAGACTTGCAGTATATATCAATAATGTACGGTTGTTAATGAACAAAACCAGTACTCTATCTAACTGCGTTTTGTGTCTTAAGACAACAGATAACAATTATAATCAATTCTTCACTGTTTTTATCTTTGCAGGAATATGTGCAACAAATTCAGCTTTTGGTGACTTGTTTTTTTCGGCCACTGAAAATGGCAGCCAGCAGTAAAAATCCACCAATCAGCCATGAAGATGTGAACTCTATCTTCCTCAACAGGTTAGTTAGCAAGGCCTAAGAAATAATTAAATTGGAGCGCTAAACCTCTGGACCAGGTAAAAGAAGTACATTATTAGCAATTTGAGAAATTCAGCTTAAGATAAAGAATAACTTATTGATTGTAAGTAGAAAATGTAGCTTACGTTAAAAAGCATACATCTTTGTATCTGTTAAAAAGCACATGGCAAAAATTACCTCGCTGATAAGCTTCCCTTCTGGTATAATCGAGTATCCTTCAGTAAATAAATGTCTACTAACGTTGTAGTGAAACAATCTTCTTCCTCCATCAAATCTTTCTGAAAGGCCTTCTCGCCCGGATGGAAAACTGGCCTACTCTTGTGCTGGGAGACCTTTTCGACATGTTGCTGCCCATGCTGTCCATCTACCAAGAATATGTCCGCAACCATCATTATAGTCTGCAAGTCCTTGCTGAATGCAAGCAACAGCCGGAATTCGCTGCGCTTTTGCGCCGCTTGGAAGAGAAAATGCATGTCCAGGGTCGGTCCTTGGAGCAATTCTTAACGTACCCTATGAATCAGATACCGCGGTACATAGTGACACTACATGAACTTCTGGCACACACCCCCCATGATCACGTGGAACGAAAAAGTCTGGAATATGCTAAAAACCGTTTGGAAGAACTAAGTCGAGTACGTATGAGAATTACACTGCATCGACAAACAAGGCTGTATGGACATGTTAATTTGTTCAACTTTTGCTGCATGCTACAGTACCTATGCATACTTGAGTGAACGGTATCATAGAAACATGGGTAACAGCATAATATTATGGTAATATCTGCAATCAACGAACCCTACAACACCGCATTTCTTGTAGCGGTTTTCAAAGTGAACGGTTGTTCTAAATGTTTGACTTCATTATCGCACTTTTTAGTTCTAGCTACAAGGATATTGTGCTTTCAGATTATGCATGATGAAGTCAGTGAAACGGAGAACATTCGAAAAAATTTGGGAATTGAAAGGATGATTGTAGAAGGATGCGACATACTATTGGATGTTAACCAAGTTTTTGTTCGGCAAGGTAAGCTGTTCGGTGGCTTTTTGGCTTTTGACACGACTTTAAGTGATTTAAACCGGCTGATTATGCCCAGCAAGAATACACAAATTTGTTAGCGATAAGTTGTACTATTATTATCGAAAAGTCGTTTCTTGTAATACAGTACTGCATTGTGGTAGACAGGATAAAAAATATTTTTATTGGACCAATTGCTACGGTACTAATTACCACGAGTTGTTATGAGTTATCACCAACACTTATTATTATTTATGACCCTTGTATAAATAGTACCTGTACAAATAGTTGAAGTACTTTTCTCGTATGTGTGACAGTAGGTACTGTATGAGTACTAGGCGGTGCATGCTTATATGTCTATACTTCAATTCTATGACACTGTTTGGTACAGACAACACATATCATATAAGTTATGGAAAAGTTGGCATTAAAGAATAATGTACTTACTTTAGGTTACGTACATATTTTGTATCCTGTCTTTTTGGCATGGTATGGCACGAGTGCGTGAACTAATTAAGTGTATGAAAACAAATTACACAGCGACACTGTGTGCTATGACAGCATACACGGTGTCATGATACTCGTATATTACTTACCGTACTCACAATATTTTCAGATGATTGTATTTTTTGCCGCACCCAGTATTACACCTTGCAGTGTCGTGCATTTGAGCTAGTCCGAACGAATTATTATGAATGTGTTGGCCATTCGAGCTAATGAGAAGCAGTACCGGCAGTGACCCACCCACCCCTTACCGAATTTTCGCTCCAACTTAAATACTGAGTGACTGGTAAACTGCGATCTTAAAACGAAATTCTTTTATATCGTAAAGCATTTCTTAGGCAAGAAAAAAATTAAAGAAATTCAGTTTTCTTTAATATATGGCTTTAACAAATAATTATTTATTTAGCTACGATTTTCTAACCGTTTTCATTATGTAAATTTTCTTTCGGTTGTTTATAAAATCAGATCATCTAGTTTTTGCAGTTTTATGGATGCCTCTAGCTTCGAGTAAAGCATTGGTTATTAAGTATTCTGCGTTATTAGGTATTCTAAAATACCAACTTCCACCTTATTTCATTCCCAACAACTTCACTACTGAGTGTTAACGTATGACTTTCGCTGTCATGAATTTGTGCCGCATTAAAAGCGAAATAATTTTGTGATTCATCGTTACAAATTTAATTTAACATAAATAACGATAGCTGTCCTCGTGTAACTTGTACAAAAGCTGTCGAGGAATCTGAATGTAGCTAAAGAATTTGCTCTACAATACCGTTCTTGTTACCGGCATTACAGTGCACTTTGAAACTGCATATGGCAGTAAGAATCCAAATTTGGGGAATAGTTAAATGGGAACCCAAGCATCCTGTTTGAAACGCTTGATTTAAGGCCACATCCGGCAGCCAGCGCCAGTTAACAAACACATTTGCCGCTTGTAATACAAGCCCTTCAGTCGGGGCGTATTTGAGTGGCGCTGAGAAGAGAGTCTTCATGTGGGAACAAATCGATCCACCGGCGTAACTGCGGCGGCAGAGAGTACAGATTATCCACATCCAGTCCACATACATACACATTTTGTACAACGCTTTATAACGCCACAGTACTGTACATAGTCGCTAAGCTTCCTTTCAGACCCGGCACGTCTCAGTATCCTTTTTTGATGGTCATGTTGCACAGTGGCCACGTGATGAGCGATCCATATACCAGAAAGGGAGAGACAGTCCGTTGCGTCGCTGCCGGTTCTAGCTGCATCGTATCATTACGGATCAGACAGGAACATTTTATTGTATGTGTGTGTGTACAGTACATAGAACATCCACTGGGCTGGGATAGAGCCACGGTATGGTGTCTAGTATCTGCAGCCAGTATCCGGCGCGGGACTGTAGAAGTGCATTTGATCAAGTCTCATGACATGTCATGTAGCGAGTGACTAAATTGACAGTCGTGGCATTGTAGTCTGTGATCTCTTGTAGCTCTCCTTACTTTTCTCATCCCGTGCGTCGTCGTCGTCGTCGTTTGGATCGTCTTCACGCAAAATCGGTTGTAATGTGTATATTTTTCTCCATCTAGGTACTTTAGTCCATGTCCTGAAAGATGCCTCATCAAGAGGCCGTAGTTCCCGTTTCACACGCTCCGCGTCGGATAAATCGGAAATTGTACGGCAGTGCTTTCTCTTCACTAATCATCTGATCATTACCACACGCTCGGCCACAAGTGGGAAATTGCATTTGGCCAAACATGTCGGCAAGATTGCCCTGCATGATGTGACACTCATTGAGGATACATGTGAAATGAATGACGACGAAGGTAAGATTGATGGCTTAATTTTCCATCGCTATCCCATCTTTGATTTACTGATTTCATTAAGATTTGTGTGCTTGTTGTATACCTATTGTATACAGAAGGGACTTACAATGCTTTCAGTCAGCCGCACGCCGTATAAATATTTAGTAGGAATATATGTACGTAATTGCAACTTAGGCTTAATCGGCGTAAAAAGTGTACATAATTGTGTATGGAATTAATGAGTTTAGCGTAGGCTGCCGCAGGCGCAACCGCTTACATGGCATTTGTATAAGCACTTATCATGGTTGCATGATGCGGTCAATAAACATGTTGGAAAACTGTGATTTTCCACAACCGGGCTTCGGTGCTCGACTATCATGGCTTCCAATCTGAAGAAAGCATTTACGCTTTACACTATGGCCTGTTGTATTGTAATTTGTGTGGCAGTGTTCAGTCGCTAGTCCTTTTCCCTTTCCGTCTTGTGCGCATGTTCCGCTTAGGCAAAAAAGGACTTCTTTGGCACCACGGTTGCTCAATTGATTTTTTGTAGTCGAGGCATGTGGCACGTGAGGAGGAAAAATGTTCCCGAACTTGTGATCACATTAACTGGCAAAAGGAACATTATGCACGTGCACCAAACTCGATCGATTCATTTTCTTTTGAATAATCAAATGCTCTCCCTCACTATTTATCCAATTAATTTTGCGAAAAAGTGTAAGTCACGATTTGCGATGTAAACCATTTGCTTAATGGCACAGTGGCACTGCATTGTTTCCGGTAGAAATTCTTTCCTGTATGTGTCAGGTCACTGCGTTCTATTTTGCTTTTGATAATACACCAAATCATTGTACTGATTAAAACATTTATAAATAAGCTTCAAACTAAATTAACGTATTTTTTACTGATTACGTTATTATTGCGGTTTTCCATACATCGAGCATTTGTGTGCTTATGATTAATTGCTCAAAACGTATGTTCGTTCTAGAGATATAGTCAGGTACGGTACCCACAGGCTAACGAAATGGTGACGCGCTAATTATGATGCTGCTTTTGGTAATTGTATGTGCTTGCTGCTTTTGGTACGTAATTGTATGTGCTAGTGCTATATCATTCGCTCGATGGTGCGTGGGTAAAATTACCAGGATTTACATTTTTAACACATTCGGACATTTCTGTCATCCCAATGCGTTATTTGGCCGTAAGCTGTACGTAGTTTGAAAATTTGTTGTCGTTACCACACAAATGTATCGCAGACGCACCGCTAACGAGAAACGCTGATGGAACTTTGTTCCCTTTGTCGTAAAGGTAGAGGGCCAAAACGCTTTTACTTCTCGAAATTATGTAGATGAAATTATGAATAACGTTGACTGTCTTTTCGGATTTGGAAAGGATTTGCTGAGGGTTATTTGAATTGTTTACTGCGGTGGAATTGTGAGTCTTGTACAGTTGTATACCCTGATTGTGCACCTAACTGTGCGGGCCCTACTGTGCATTTTTAATAAAACATAAAAAGCAGCAATATCCCCGACAATCCATCTATTTAAACGTGCGCTTTAAAACTTGATTAAGCGAATGTACTAGTAAATTACAGGTGCAAAGTGATTGCATTGCTTCCCTTTACAGACCAGGCTGCCAATGCCAACGGCCATCCCGACAAAGTTGCCCATGCTGACTACCAGAATCGTGATTTTAAAATAATTATTGATCAAAAACCTGTTCCGTTAACTGTGCATCTTGTGGCGGCCACGGAAGAAGAAAAAGTGGCATGGACAGCAGATATTTTGCAAGTAAGATGCCGCAGTAGAAGAGCACCATCATCTATGCGCTGTTAATCGAGTCTTACATAATCCCGTTATATGGGAAGGTTTTTTAGTGATTAATGTGCTGGTGAATACCAAGCGACGTGTTGAGTGCGCCGGGTTGCTCTTGGCTAACTACAGTGTGTATATATACGAATGTCTGTTTGTCTTGTGTAGTGCCTGGAGAATTTGCGATGTTCAGATTTGCTGAATGCCGCATTAAATGAGGCATCATCTGTCACCATGCCTAATTCCATTAAGAATGATCCAAAATTATTCCGTGATGATATCGATATACGCTTTAGCCGATCACTTAACTCCTGTAAAGTCCCGCAGGTAATTCACATACAGTGCACACGGTAAAAACATAGCTAAGCCAACAATGACCATTTGTTTGGTTAAGTATGGATATTAGCGGTGATTTCCGGTTTATGAATAATATAATTATTAACTTGTTACAGTACTTTTTGGGATGAAAGCGACTGCAGTTGCTCGGTATATTCTGTAACTTCCTTCATTAGGTACATAATGATGGACCCTTAAAACGTACATCTTCTAATTAATCTGAAGGTTTTTGAATCTAGCACGGAAACGCAGCAGACGCCAAAAAAATTCGAAATTACCTCTTTGCGCTCATTCTTTTTGTACAGATTCGTTACGCGACGCTGGAACGTCTGCTGGAACGTCTGACGGATCTGCGATTCCTAAGTGTCGATTTCTTGAACACGTTCCTTCTCACCTATCGTATTTTTACCAATGCCATGCATGTGCTCCAAGCGCTAATACAAGTATACCAGAATGCGGAAACGTTAACCATCGAAAACATAAGGCAAGTTGTCCAGTATTGTATGCACTCCTTTCAATTAAGTACTCGATGGCTATGCTATGATCGTCGTGACGTTAGATATTTTCTTTCGCACTTTGAAATTTAACACGGCGTAAAGTAAGTGTACCGCTTCCTATTTGTAACAAAAATGAGAGAGTTGGAAACATTTCTAATACTATATACTATACTGACTACTGAGTGTAGATACTGTATATTGTTTATTACTTTATCGTGTTGTAGGTTACAAACTTAACCTTTGTTACCCGGAATATTAATGCATGCATAACTATAAGTGGGAACGATAGTAGTGGTCAACCTTTGTAACTGCAAAACTATATGCGTACATTAATATTTAATGCTGCGCGCAGCTGTTGTTTGCAACCGAATTGTACTTGCAAACTATGTAAATGCAAAAGAGATACGACGTTAACGTGCTAAAGATTTAATTAACTCAGGGAAATATTACCGGTATGATAGGCGCTCTTCTACATTTGCTCGCATTGGTACGTTCAAAGATATGGGGAAAAAGATTTTGGAACCTGAGATTTGGCCTACAAATGTGTTCATTAGAGAGTGGGTGTATTGAGTATGTTTTGAATCTGCAGATGATGTGAATTGTTTTTGTTGAATTCTGCTGTGTATATTGTACATTGGTTGTTAATGTCTGGTCTGCTGCCTCGAATTGGGCCTTGCCCTGAATGTGTGCGGACGATTAAACATACCGGTATGTCCCTACTGCTTTGATATTAATTACAGTTTCTTTAATTACAGCCGTGGCGAAGTAGGCCGGCCCTACGCTGGTTCCGTTTGCTACAGTATTGACCACGGTGACGGTGATACCCTGGCCGCTGATCGGCGTATTAGCACGGTCAGCGCTCCCGATCACGGTGAAGATCCCAACGATCCCCGCTCCAAGAATCCACACTGGCGGTGGAGTTTCCGTAAATGTAAGACGGCAGAATTATTACCAGAAACAGCTGCTAAAATTAACCCCTGTGCCAACGTCATGCGTCCCCAGCGCAGGATGCGTGTAGCACGGGGAAAATGGCGCTCTCTTGGCCTGATATTTCCGTCCGTAAATTGTCCTGGACGTTTCTCCCTGGACATGCAATATGGTAGCGCGTGCAGCGCACTACACCCATCCTGCAGCCCATTTTCCTGAGCATACTGCGTCATCGTGCGGCTAATGTCTTAGCCGGACTATATCGATTGCATGTTACAAGTTGATTATGCTGGGCGAACGCGCGATGTTCCAGGCTCGGCAGCGTGTTCCTGCGGTTGACGCTGCAGCGTAAAAGCTGTGAAGAGTGCACGGCCCGAACACAGATCTCTACCATGCATATACAGCACAGGGCACAAAATGAATTCTGATTGATTACGTGCTTGTGCATCGTGACGTCCGCAAGATCAGGATCAAAGGAGCACGTTTGCTTTATTGCCCGACCGCTGCCGTCATCAGACAGTCAACACACTGCCAAATTAAGGTTATTGTAGGGAAAACTGATCGGAAGTATACATCCACTGGGCAAAACATTGTTGTCGCTTCAAAACAATCGCTGAAAATCGATAAGATCGTTGCACGAATGCCCACCGTATGGGAAAGAAGATTAGAATCAGTTGTGGATAATATATATTGATAAAGGTTACACCTACCAAAATAACCATAAAGGTTATATGTACCGAAATAACCACATTATAAGGCTCGTCCGCGTGCAAAGTAAAAAAATATCACAAGAATATTTGCCCAAAATCATTTTGCTTGCATATTTTAGCTGCTGTTTCATTAACCATTAGTCAAAATCATGAATATTTGGAGGGTCGATTAACCGGTTTTATTTGCAGACGAGGAACTGCAGTGCGGTTCTGTACGCGTGCGCAAAGTCCGACCGGATGCTATTCCTTCGCCCATTCCTGCCTCGCCCTGCAGCAGTACGGAACACCAGAGTTCCGTGGAAGACCAACAAGACGATCGTGAGTACGACGCGCCCCACACCCCCAAAGTGCTCCGCCCTAAGGAAGGTCGTCACCTGGCTGTGCCGGGTGCTACCTTCCTGACGCCGACCATCGTGCAGGTCAGCCCCACCCCTACCTCCACGCCCACACCCCCACCCACGACCACCCAACAAAACGGGGTGCCAACTGACAAGCGGTCGAGTATCCCGTCCAGCGACATCCGCTCGCCGCCCTCCAAGCCGGGAGAGGTCGAACGTGATCGGGATTCAGAATCGGAGATTTTCTACCTGGACACCGTCAACCGCCACACCAAACCTATCCGTACCGTACCGGTGCCGCCGCCCTTGTCCATCGCGTCCAGTTCCACGTTAAACACCGGCACCCGGACACTGCCCAGCAGCGCCGCGCAGCGTTTTGCTAACGTTAGCAAATTCGGTCCCCGGCGGGACATTAAACGGGCCTACTCGCCCATGGAGCTGGCCTCGGTGCTGACGTCACCGAATCTGCCCCGCAAGCGCGAGAGCAATGTGTCAGACTATTCCGGTCTGTCGTTGTCACCGCGCAACAGTCTCCGCCAACCGGATCTCATACCCCGCCCCCCGCAGCCCACTAAACGCGGCAGTACGACGTCGGATTATTCGGATTATCTGTCGCCGCGCGGCAGTATGATGTCGCCGGATCAGAAACTGCCGATACAGCCCAGTAAGCGGGGTAGTAATGTCTCCGATGTGTCCGGCTACGCATCGTCCTACCGGAGTAGTGTACAGTTTTCCGAAGCATCCCGCAACAGTCTCTTCTCCTCCGGTGATCCCACTGCTCCCAATTCCGGCAAAGTGGGCGCCGTGGTGACGTCATCGCGCCGATCGGGAAGACGGTGAGTGCGTCGGCTTATGATCGAAAATCAGAATAATTAGACGAAAATTGTCTGTATCTGCTAACAGTACATCTACCCTACCAGATCATTAACGGTAATTTACCGAAGCATGGGAAAACCGATAAACAACATGACCAATTATCCTTGTTATTGAAGTTTACAGCAACTATTTAAGTATACCGTATACGTACTGCGCGCCCGTGGCAAAACTATTGATCGGGTGTTATTGCGATCATTCTGGTTTCTTCCAACCACGATACAGATTGCAACAGTTCACGTTAACGAATGTTTTATGGATGTCCCAGTCAAATTAAATGTGGGATCATGCATAGACTACAGAAGATGGGAACGCAGAACGAAGCTTATTATCGGTCAGATACTGAAGACAAAATTCATACTGCGAATTATTAGGGTCACTGGGGTTACGGTTTATTAGCTGCCGAAATGCATGTTTGGCATGAAATATTTGCCTCACGCAAGATTTACCTGGATGGGGTCTTTGGCAAATTACAGATGCACGTCATATGTGGAATGCAATTTCATTTCACTTCTGCGTACGTCGTTCCAACTAATTATCACGGCTTCTTCTAAATCTAGATGCTCATCAGCTGTTGCTGCAGCGGCATTTGCCGTGGCGACTGCCGCGTCAGCAAATCCTCCGGATATGATTGAAGAGGATAATGAAGAAGCCATGCGCGCCAGAAGGTCATCGATAATTTGCGCTGCTGCCACTATGCGAGTGCTTAATGTCCTTCGGCACTGGGTGTCGAAACAGCGACAAGATTTTGAATCGGTATATACATTTGGCATCCTTTATTAAAAACACTCTAACATTGTTTAAAAACTGTAGCCTTAAGCGTGCATATGCAAATTAAACTTCAAATGCTGTTTTTCAGGATTCCTTATTGCGTAATGCGGCCATTAAATTTTTGCAAGATGTTGTCTGTGATTACAACCTCATTCCGGCGGAGCAGAAACTGGCCGGACAGATTTTGCGAACACTTACAACGGGAGGCGATGAGCCGGGCTACGTCCAGCGACAGTTGGAACTCGAAAAGATGTTGACACCGGCATTGGTTTGTACCGCAGTTTTAATTCGTTATAATATAAACTTACTTATACTGGTTTTATATTAATTTTAGCAATCTAGCAAAGATCTTAGCACCATCTATTCCGCACTGGAGATTGCTGAGCAGATGACCTTGCTTGACCACAAGATCTTTATGGCAATGAGGGGAGAGTAAGTATGAAATCAGTATTTTATGATTCTACCAAAATTTGTCTACAAGTAGCCAAGTGTTGTAATTCTAATTTTTTTGTTGGTACAGAGAATTTTTGGGTATGGCCTGGATGAAAGCTGATAAAGGAGAAAAAGCGCCGAATATTTTGCTCATAACAAAACGATTCAACGAAGTACGTATTTCCCGGCATAATCGCATTCAATACCGGCATTATATAATGCCGTTTGTTTTTCAGACTTCGCGTTTGGTTGTTTCGGAGATTGTTGGTTGCTCAACGGTAACAGAACGTATTAGTGTGATTGAAAAGTGGACAGCGGTAGCGGATATCTGTCGTGTCCTGCACAATTACAATGGTGTCCTGCAAATTTGCGCGGCATTGGTCAACAGTTCGGTGTACCGGCTTAAGCGAACGTGGCAGAAATTATCCAAAACTACCAAACTGACCATCGACAAATTACAAACTTTGGTGGCGTCGGATGGTCGATTCAAGAACATGCGGGAAGCTTTGCACCGTTGTGACCCGCCGTGTGTGCCATACTTGGGAATGTATCTAACGGATCTGTCGTTTATCGAAGAGGGCACACCGAACTATGCGGAAAATGGGATGATCAATTTCTCTAAAATGCGCATGGTAAGGAATCGCATGCGATTTTCTCAGTGCAGTATTTAATACATGTACTTATTATTTAAAAGTTCTCGAAACATACTTCCTTTTTTATCAATATATTATTTTAATAAGTAATTGAAGTAAAGTAATTGAAACCTTCTTAAAATTATATTTGCGGAAAACAAAAATTGTGCGTTATTTTTTATTGACTTTTCTGCTTTGCAGATTGCTCATGTTGTGCAAGAAATCCGGTTATATCAGCAGACACCATATAAAATCGATTACAATCCGCGTGTGGCGGCCTACCTCCTGGACAGTTCGAGGATAATGTCAGACGACGAACTGTATCGGCGTTCGTTGATGATTGAACCGCGAACGGCGCGCATGTCAGTAGACATTCCTTCCGGTTCCAGCGCCGTTGCCGGCACATCCGGCGCCACGACGCCGCAGCCCACTCGTAATAAGGAAGCCAAACTGCAAACCCAAACCTCATTTCCCGGTTGATCGTTGGTCAACTGGAAATACATTTTCTGATTATTTTCCGATCTCTTACTCAGTATTGTTGCATAGTTGTTTCGTATTTATTGTCTAAGATAACAGTCCCGGTGACTGGAACGGTGACTGAATGGATGATGCTCACTCTAGTCTTTTCTAAAACAAGTGGTATATTTTAGAGTTCTTGAATATCATCCTTTTTGCCGCCCTGCGAACTTTTCGCTTACCGATTAGAACGCAACTGCTTTTTGAAATGGTTATCCAAGTCTTTATTATAGGTTTACATGAATCATAATTAATTTTCTACGTTGTCGGAAAAATCTCCCTGCTGAATGTGTGCCGTTTTGAATACATATCAGTGCTAATGACTTAACTTAGCCGATACTGTTCCACGGCGCTGCCATGGTATATAGCCTTGCTGATTAAAGCTCCGATTCACTAACCAGCTGACTAAACTTACTGTTAGGTTGGATTGTTGCTTTTGAAATATTTTCTTTCGATCTGATTGCATCTTTTAATCGATACACTGAACTCAAAACGAGCGGCTATCAAAACCGTAGCAATCTTGGAATTTTCACAACATACAAAATGTGGGCTCACAAACTATTTGTACACTATCCCGTTATGCATAAGCTTGTATTTCCCAAATTTTCCCTCATAGTTTTAACCCTATTCAGATCTTGTTGAAACTGTTAGATATGCGCTAAATCCAAACACGAATAATTTATTGACAACGAATTCATCGGCAAAGCAATAAAACACGTGTCGCTATAGCAAAACTAAACACACCGAAAAGCACGTTGCGAAACTAAACACTATTGCGAAACTAAACACATCGAAGCCCGAATTTCAGTACTTTGGGAAACACTAACTGCTAATTCCACCGAACAAAATAACCAGACTGTAAACCACCACAAACTAGTAAATGCCGTAAAAATTTCTAAATGCTCGATAAAAACATGAACGTCAACGAAAAAAAATCAAATAGTTTTTTATTTGAAATACCAATAATGCTTATAAACGACATCGCTATACTCAATAATACTGTACTATAAACTTTCACCAGTCCATGGCAGAAACGCAGATATTTGGAAACACCATCAGTTGGTCAAACCTGCTACGCGGACAAGCGCACTAAGTAAGTCCGATTCGCTCGGCGGTATGTTTGCAGGAGATTGTTCAGCCGTTTCTGGAAGGGTCAACAACGTTGTATCCTCCGGCGGAGAATACCAGTCGTTGCCCTCCATCACCGGCATCTGCACTGGGGGCGGCGTAAACGAGGAATAGCTTAGCGTGAACGGCAACGGAACAAAACTGGCAGGGCAATCTAATGGTTTCTGCAAATCAGGTAATAAACCGGCAACCTCCTGCTGTACAACATCCGATATCCGATCTGCTAAGACAAAACATGCAGTAAGCCATTTTAGAGACGAAACATTTGCAGATGTTTCCGTTCAACATAGTCGTACACAATCCTGCAGCACAAAAACCGTGGATTTAAAAAAAAGGAACCATCTTGCTGTTGTCTGTCCAATACAAGGTGGACCCAAAAATATTAAATGCTACTTCCGAAGTATTTAAAATTTATTCCTTATCGTACAACTCACATGAGCTTCCATCAGGCATGGTCAACGATCCACCGGGCCAGTTAAAGTGGACCACACCCGGGCTAGGAACATAAAACGCCATAACTGCGTTTGGCATTTCCATTGCGGGCGGTGTCCAAGCGGGCGGCGAGATCGACATCTTAGCGAACGAGGGCTGTATTGGACGGAGTGACACAGATTTCGCAGGTTGACATGGACGCTTGACAGGGACATCGGGCGTAGTGCCTGCAATTCTCTGCTCTTTGGAGCGTCGATTCTTGAACCACACCTGTATACGCTTGTCGTCCTCGCCCGCGTCAATGATGTCGGCCAACTCCAGACGTTGTGTGTGGCTAGGATAGCGGCATTTCTGGAAGAACGCCTCCAACTGCTGAAGCTGGCCTTTGCGGAAGTGATTCCGGTGAGCTGTTTTACGGCGCGTTGCAGAATTGGCGGTTGGACGCGGATGCAGATTAGGTGTGGCAGAATCCGTAGTGGTCGGCGTATTCACGGCATGATGAAAATCGTCCTCCTGCAGCGCTGAAGTCCTTGTACTGGGATCACTACTAGTAGTTGATGCTGATCCAGAGCTTTCACTGGAATCGTCGCTTTCACACAACATGACGCCGTAGCCATTCGAGTAAACTGAAACGGATCCAGGCGAATCGGCCGAGCGATTTTCTTCCGTTCCATCTCGAAGAGGAACGATTCCCCCGCTAATTAACATTTTTAAGCTCAAAACCGAGTTTACTGAAAAACAGAGGCAAGAAACCAAGTACTTTTAAAATATGCGATTTTTAAAAAAATACTGGCCTGGTTAGTGTAAACAAAAAAGTCCAAAGCCCGAGCCTGATAACGTGTTGTACCTAGAGTTGTATCCGGATATGTACAGAACGGCCGTACAGATAATTCTAAAAATGGCTTGTGTGATTTTAAACTTGGTTTGACCGCAGCAACTAACTGGTAAATACTTGTACTTACTTACAGTACTTGTGATCTTTGGCGAATCGCCGATGGCCACTGGTCTAGTGTTAGCCCGCTACTGCACTACTCCGCCCCCTACAGTCAACGAACGTCTTGGGATACCAGTATTTATTCATCTTTTTGTAGTAAAAACGTTTTACTGGGAGAGCCAACAACAGAAGTGGTCACTTCAACTTTATCAGCCGCATCTCGAGAGAAATCTGGCGAGAGCAGATCTACGGTTTTTTGAAAGCTGTACGCACTTTCTCACAACACTATAACAATAAGAAATGCAGCAGGTGTTTGCCAAGAGAAGAGATTTCTATTTTTTAATAATGTGCGGATTTTCGATTTCGTTATTTTCCTAGTTTTGATTATGGTGCCCTTATCGGTTTAATATTTCAGCTGTGTCAGCTTGCTTAAACACATAGATGGTAATTCTTTTAAAACAAGTTGATGTTTGGGTTGATTAGGCTTTTTCCCATTAGAATCACCACAGTGTCTTGTACAATACAACTGTAAATTTCTACGGTTAATAGTTGGCACTTAGTTTGTCGTACGACACTGGAATAAGAAAACGAACATTAATAGAACTACTGACAATCTGGTGTACAATACAGATGAGTTTTTACAGTTACTTCGTAATATTTGTTTCACGTCTCTTTCATTCTACCTGGTTCTGTAATTGTTCATTGAAATTTTATAGATACTGAACCACTTCCTTTCGTTTTACTTTGCATATACGGCAGTGCAATTATTGCGCTATGGTACAGCTGTACACACTCTTAAACTTAAACAGATAAAATATTCTGAACGTGGTGAATTTCTTGTATCCAAAAAAGCTGCAAAGAAACCATTACATTAGTTTTCCACGATACTTTTTTATGATGACTGGCTACTTGAATTAAGTACCTGGGGCTGGAATGCGGTAGCAGCACCATCATATCAGTACAATACACAAGTCTAATACTTTGTAACTATGAAATTGTATAGTAATGTGATAACTATGAAACTGTATTTGGTAGCGTATCACGAGCACCAGAGGAGTGTAAAAGTTAAACCTTAAAAAAAAGAAGAGAGGTATCTTCAAACGACCATCGCAAACTTATATGGTAAGCTTAAGCAGATCCTTTTTTGCTGCGATAATATCGGCCACGAGTCGGCTGTATCGATAAGGAATGGTCAGACTTTAGCGAAACACCGAAAGGAAATCCACATAAATATTCGTTGTTGTCATAAAAATAGCACTCGGCAACAATATCCGCAGCCATCAACAGCGAATCTTCCTGGACTGCCTGGACTACCGAATCTATTCAAGAAAGCAAAAATCCGTTTAAAAATTCAATTTGTGATTCACACACTGCAATTACAATTCATGACGTACCAAATCTGCCGTAATATGCTTCGCTCGTAGAGGTGCGAGGAATATACTTCCGGCTGTGCGAGCAGATCTGTTGTTCCGGTGGCCCTGAGCATGTCTTATCGAAACCATAGCACATCGCGCTTGAATCCACAAATTTTTCACATGCTACCACAACCTTTTTTGGTGCTAAAATATTTTCAAATTTGGAAAGAGTTACCGGTTGGTTGCAAGTCCTGTTGAAATTATCGACGAAAATTTTTTATGGTGTTAGTTGCGTGCATTTTGCTGCATCTGTGTTACTACGTAGGTAAAATAACAGGAAACAAACAAGAAAAGTGAACAGGACCCCACAACCCAAATATTCACCAGTCGCCATCCGACAGAAATAAATTAAAAGAGAAATTTCAGTTGTTAGCTTTACAGAATGTGTCATAGTTGGTGAGGTCACATAAAGGGCAAGCTTCAAAGCGCCAGGCACAAGCGGTCAGTTAGAAGCATTCGATTCGAGAGAAGACAGTCAATCAGTATCACACTATTATCACCACACTAAACTGTCCAGTCTTGCGCAACTCACCGGAAAGAAGCACATTGGGGCGGGGCGTGGCACCTTCGCTTCCAGTTGTAGCCCCGGGAGCTTCCGGTCGTGTCTGTGGTTTCTGTGGAGTAGGATGCACAGGAGGACTGTTCATAGCTTCCGCGGTGACATTGCCGCGCAATGTACCTACAGAGTAAAGGCAGTTGCAAATGATTATCAGATGCATAAAAGAACTGTTGGAAAATGAATGCTGTTATAAAATATTGTTAGAAAATTGCTATACAGTACTGTAAACGTATTATGATTGGAAATATTAATGCTTTTCTTATAACGCGAAAACATTTCTAGATCGGTTAGGCAAATACTGATTACACAATACCGAAAATATAATACACTTCAGAAAACGACTAACAGTACAGAAAAAACTACAGTAAAACCTCGGTGCTTATAATAACTTGCTAAATATCGAATACTATAAATTTTGCTTATGATTATGAATTTATGACATAATCTGTACACTCTGTACTTTAGTAAATGGCTATTCAGCACGAAATGCAAATCTCATGGTTACTACTAATATAATGCCGTCGTATTGCATGGTGTTTTAAAGTCCACCACAAGCCCCTTAGTCCTTAAATTCAGCGCAAATGAGAATAAGGCTTAAAACTGCCAAATGTAACATGTCACGGCAAACTATCTAACTAAATTTTAAAATAAAATAAAATAATTTACGACATAATATTTATGAACTCTTCCATTGCGATAAGTCGATAACCATGATGTTATAGGTAAAATTATCTCTTACTATGCAGATACAGATTTGCGCATGTAAGATATCATTTTACACCCACCTTTCTCTGGACTTCCTTCATAATAACCTCTCCATGGCGCCCCTCCCGCGCAGGTTAAAACCCCGGGTCCAAGACTGCAGTCGGCGATTCCGTAACACTCAAACCAAGACGTTTTATAAAAACTACAGGTAGCGATGACTTGGTTGCCGCGGGAAGGATCAGCACGGCGCTTAATGAAACCTGCGTAGGATAAAAACTGAATTATTTTATAAAATTGAAGTTGAGGTGATACATAAGAACTGACGAATTTTGATAAGTTTCAGCATTAATGATTTGTTTAACAATTTTATCCGTTGTTACCGTTAGACGGTTTCCAAGTGGCGCCGGCAACGGGTACATCCGTTGAACAATTCCGATCCATATATTTCAACTGTGGCGCATCTGGAAACGGCACGCTGTGAAGATCATCCTCTTCCGTGCAGTCCGTTTTGCAGCTGTAAGATGAGTTATGAAAAAAAGTGCACTGATAGGCAATATCCGACTTCTTCCCGATCGGCCCAACTTGTTGCGAGGAATCTATGGGAGACATCCATATACAGAAGCACAGATACAAAAACCGCCCTTTATAATTTAGTGAAAAATAGTTACACTGCAGCACTGCAACTGAATTATACACAGTAATATTTTCTACTGAAACTTTCTCTGTTTCGCATGCAGTCTAACAATAAGACAATTCCAAAAGATATATTTATTACGTAGAATAATAAATACGACAAGACAGAGTACGATCAGCTGATCATATATCACAGTGCCATAAGACTGCTAACTGTAAGCGCTTCAACCAGTTTGTGCGAGCGATATCTAAAACTGCAGAAGGGATTTTTTTCCAGTTTGCAAAACTATGCATCAACTGTTTTTAAGCCATTTATCTGGGTTTACTTTCGCCTTTCAATAATACTAACGATAACATGTACAATACACCACGGTACCGTGGAGAAACTGTAGAAGTAAGCTTACCAGACTGAACGGGCATCGAAAGGGAATCTGCTGGAGCGCGTAACTGTAAATTCTGCCTACTTGAGGACAGGATAGAGGGATTTCGAGAAGGATTACGTCCAGACTGAACGGGCTGCGGAGCTGCAGCGGCGATAAAAAACATTGCCCGTCTTGAAGATAAAGTTATATCTGTTCACTATCTGATTAATCATACCTTGTGGATCGCTGGCGACCACAGTCCACGTTAAACATCCCAGGAGCACATATAAAAAATCCATCTTATGAATAAACAATTTGTAAATATTACGCGGACCCAAACTGGAAGCCTGTGAAATAAAACGGCTTAGAAGCCTGGCATTAAATTTGGTCGAAACACGGTACTATGTACTCTTTAGACTCCTGCGATCTATGAAATTGATTACTCGGCTAAACCGCCTTGTGTTTGAAAAAACTGACTCATTGCCGGCTCGCGTAAGGTAGGATGTGGATAGGTGCCACTACGTTGAAGTGTGAGCCTCGTTTGTACGAATACAGTGCACTTGTTATGCGAGTTTAGCGAACATTTGTTTTGTTAGAAGTCCTTACTTATTGTACTGTACAAGTACAACCAATAGTACTACTCGACACGCACTTTAAATGAGTTCTGTAACATAAAGTACCGGAAGTTCTGTAAAAGTGAATCTACCAATGGTACAGCACTGAATCTTATAGAGCGTTACAGAGCAACGAGACCATTAGCGTCAAACAGTGCCCAGTTACTGTAGCCGAATTTGCCAACAATTCATGTATTTTTCATTTCAATTTTGCAGCCGTTCCCTTTCTGTTTTTCTGACATTTCAAAGTTGTGGTATGTTGAAGAAATCAAATGACTAGTGAAAAAGCGAAAGACAACTTCGCACGGAAAGTACGGTGAGGTGGAATTTATCATTCCTCGCAGCTCTGCGCTGACGGCTATGGCGAAGTTGCCATCGATACAAATTCAAACATCATGAAACATGCACAGTCTTAGGCAGCTAAAAACAGTTAACAAGCAGAACTGGAATATTGTTTCAATAGAAACAAACAGGACTTTCGACGTACGGGGGCTGAGCATCCACATCAAAAAATAATTTTGACTTGGTAAAAGTACGAGTTCTGTATCGTAACGGAGCCAGGAGAGTTCCTTTTAGATACAGAACACTTTAACTCGGGCGTCCAATCAGAGATAAGGGGTGGTCACAAAATATTACAGAACTTCCGGCTCTGTATCTTACAGAACTCTTTTAAAGTGCGTGTCGAGTAGTACTAATGCCGCTTAAGTGCTTTCCTTGAATTAAATTACGCAATTCCAATTCGATCTCGATTAGTCATTTTCAAAATACTGTACTGTACTGTATATATCAATGTACATGATATTATGTGATGATACAACCGTCCATTTTTAGCTAACTATGAGATACAACAATAAGTAAAGCAGTATTAATATTAACGACAAAAATTAAATGGAGAATGTAGGGCTAGCTGTATTTTACGATATGTGCTTTTTACAAAAATTACATTACACTTTTACAAAAACTGCCAGAATCTCGGCACCGGCTTTTGCAATGTTGCACATACTGGCGAGCAAACTTATTGTTAGGTTGTATGTTTTCCGATATCGGTAGAAAAAGGGAAACATTTTGCGGAAATAAAAAGCTTTTGCGAGCGCGCGCTCTTGGAGGGAAAAACTGCTCATTTTAAAACGATTAAAGCCAAAATAGCCATACATGCCTTAAAGCTAGTAGAGGCTTTAGAAAAGCTAATACCGGCTCCCCAAATGTAATGTCAGATGTAAGTATAATAATAAGTAAGTAAGTAAGTAGTGTCATAAGTATAATAATTATATGTAAGTATAATAAGTAACTATATCTGTATTCTGTATACGATATAGATATAAAGCACATGTCGAAACAATTAGTAATTTTCATTTTAATGCGCGAAAGAAGGTGCAACCAGCATCACGAAATCTTCGCTCCGCACCAAAAGCACACCAAATGTAGTAACTTGATTAGCGTTCATATAGAAACTCTTTATATTTTTGTTGTAATCCTGTTCTGTTTGTGAACTGTAATAGTGTTACTGGCTTGCGCAAATAAAAATTCATCTCTTTATTATTCATTATCATTTTAGCTAGCTTTAAATTTAAAGGCTGCTCATGGTCAGGTGTCCAGTGTTGTCGGTGCTAATCAACGGACGTTCATGTGCGACATTCTGACTTGTGAGTGAATAAGTTCTTATTTAATACGAGTATACTCGTACAGTCCGTGTAAAGCAGGAATGCGGAGACATGCAAGGAGCATTCATAAAGTAATTCTTTATTAGGAATGTAGTCGTACGTAATCAGCAGATCCTCAAAGTTTGGGTTCCGGCATGCATCATACCATTTCGGCATCAGAAGAATCCGGACATCACATGCCATATCTATACATATAGACATTATGTATTTCATATCTCCATGTCTGGGAACATTCCTTAGAGACGACGAGGTCAGAATCGGTGTCGCATTGCGGTTTGGATTGCCGGTTGTAGTGGCGCACAACTGCATTGCGTGCGGCACGCAAGTAGAAACTAACGGACATCACGGGTTATCCTGCAATAAGTCAACCAAGGGACGATGGGCGCGACATAAAGAAATGAACAGTATTGCTAGGAATTGTTGCGAAAGCGCCGGTTTTCCTTGTCAGCTAGAACCGACCGGCTTATCGAGTGTGAACGGAAAAAGGCCCGACGGCATGACGCTGATCCCTGTCCGCCAAGGGAAACCGCTGGTGTGGGATGTAACCAGTTGGTGTACGGTCGCAGACTCGCATGTCACCGGCAGCTCGAAGAAAGCTGGATACGTGGCTCAGCTCGCAGAAAATGCTAAGCGCCGGACATATTCGTTTGTGGAAAATGGAAACTTTTTTATCCTTTAGTGATTGAGACGTTGGGAGTATTTGGCCCCGCTTTCAGTGAACTGTTGCATTTCATGGGCCGTAAAATTCGAGACTTAACTGGAGAAGCGCGTTCTACTGCTTTCATTAAGCTGTTTTGAGCACGTTACCTTTTAACCCAAGAGAAGATAGAGATTTTGGTTGTTTTTTTAATGTTTAAATTTTAACTTTTACGTAGTGTACCGGCGCTTGCAATCATTGTTATCTTGGCGGCTATTGCCCAATAAATTACATTTCATATCTAGGTGGTGTAAATAAATATCCGATCGCTCACCCAGTTTGTGTAACGAGTGGCCGCTGCAAAGCAAGTTATGTCCATAAATTACTTGTTGCAATTCAGAACATTTTATATGTCCGCAGTTTAAAAGATTTTTGCAAAGTTTGTCAATCAATCGCTCGTCATTCGTAGCTGTTGCGCTAAGAAGATAATACGTAATTCTTATTTCTGATGATAATAGTAAATAATAATGGCAGACTTTGGTTATAAAAGCGCAACTGCGAAAAACCTCGGGAACATCCTTGCGAAGCATAGGAAACAATAAGGTCAATCAGAAACCAAAAAAATACAAAACGGAACTTATTGCTAATTTAATTGATATGGCGGCATGCTAATGGTAATGGTAAGTAATCACGATCAGTATGTAATTACTATACGAGGACGAGCTTAGTACATGTGATAGACAAAAAAACTAGCGAGAGAATCTGATAACCATTTGCGTGCTGTGCAACACTGTCAGCCACCTTAGGCTGGCGGTAGCCGCGCGCCGTCACGCAGCCGTTAGCTGAACACGGCCTGCTATTTACTGTAACGCACACTCGTATTAAAATTTAAATGCGAGTTTTGTTTTGGTTTATAACTTTGTTTATAATTGGTTCTCCGCAAAATTTCCAGCAACCAGTGACTGACATTAATTAACCAAGCTCTTGATAATAATGTTATAAAATTACCATCTAAATATAAAGATCCATCTGGCGAGATGTACTACGATGAGAATATCACCGACGTACGGCTACCTGCCAGTTTGTTTTCTGCACCTGCGATGGAGACTTCTTGCGCGAGTATCAGCGTTGTTTCGGGCCTACCGTTGAGTGAGAATTGTGTGGAGGAACCTGCCATGCCACCGTATACGTGAGCGAGCTGGAAGTTATACGCACAAATCTTCGAAAAATTCCACTTTTGACTGAAGGACAGATAGAAGAGATTGTGGCGTTCACAATCTCTAAAGCAGAAGGTTTTCTTCCATCGGTTGCAGCTGACAAAGTGGCTGCAGATTGGCACCATAATTTCATGAGCGCTCATCCTCAGAAAAAGAGAAAACTTAAAGATTCTCGTCTGCGCGCCAAAGCAGGGCTTATTGCGACGGACAGTAAAGTAATCGCAGCGCTCGAGCAGCGGGAAGCAGAAAAACTGCTGCAGAAAAATGAGCGAAAAAGAAACACTCGTAGCGGACTTAGCGATGTGACAAATACTCCGACTAAAATTAAAAAATCTTTCAGAATGGGTAAAAAGTGAGTCCTCTGAAATTTCACATGTGGTTCTACAAAGTCAAAGTTTTACTGTAAGAAATAAAGTGTGCGGTATTACTGGGGTGATTATTTGTATTAAATGTGATGTGTTTACCAGCACTGACAAACCTGGGTGGTTGCCCGTGTTGCACGGGCCGGGCATGGTTATCAGATTCTCTCGCTAGTTTTTTTGTCTATCACATGTACTAAGCTCGTCCTCGTACACCTTATACACGAGCAGCTGTGGATCAGTGGACCGAGGCTGGGCAAGGTTGCCAGCCACTTGTTAACCAGGCATTTCGTTTTCCGCTGGTTATCGTTTTGCATTTTGCAATTTTTACTCGGCATCAGAATTCAGAAACATATGGCATATTAGTTTGTATGTGATTAAAGCAGTTTACTATTTTCGCTATTTTCGAGTATCACAATCTTTCTTTTTGTTTGTTAGCTCGAAGAATATCATAATTACCCGGTTGGCTGTGAAATTGTTTAAGCGGTTTGCGAATGTCTGTCACGCTCTCAGTCGTGTTCTGATTTCCAACAAATACCTTTGAGGGAGTTCATCCTAATGATCGCAAAAATGGATATACTCCTGGCAGTGCGGATGTATATCGACAAAATGATCGAAGAATCAGGACCCGGAATGAAAGTTATGCTGATGGACAAAGAAACCGTAAGCAAAAAATTAGAGTATAGAAAATTGCACGGTTTTCCGTTTTAAAACCCACTTGAACAGATGCTTACTGTAGCAGCAGTGTAGCTATAAAAATAAGTAAATAACAGTTAAGTGTAAATTGTTTTAGATGTCAGTCTGGCAGATTTTTCCGCGCTTGGGTATCTACTTATCACTGATATGTTTTCTTGGAATAAATCTTACACTAATGGAACGAAATTACTCATACGTGTTCACAAGAACGGAATTTCGACTGAGCAACGAAGCGCGAGTTTGCTGAATGAAATTTTGTTTGTCACAGATTTCCATGGTCAGCGTAGTCTACGCACAATCGGAACTTCTTCGGAAGGAAATGTATTTATTTGAGCGTATCGACGGTGGAGGCAGCCGTGAACCTATGAAGCATTTGAAATGCATCGTTTTCTTGCGCCCGACAAGGGAGAATGTGGATAATCTGTGCCATGAATTTAAGTTTCCCAAATATGGCAGCTACTACGTTTGTGAGTTCGCTTGTTTTCTGCAAAACACAAGTGACAAGTGCGACGATTTCTCATGCTCGGCCTTTGTTACAGATTTCAGTAACATCATCCCCAAAACGGATATTAAACAGCTGGCGGAGTGCGATGAACAGGAAATCGTCAAAGAAATTCAAGTATGTATAAAACGATTTTTGTAACAATAAGATTATGGTTGTTGTCGTACATTCTGATGCATTATGCATTTAACGATTTGCGCAGTTCTTAATCAAAATATCGTAAAGCATTGTTGGGCTCATGTGTAAAGTTTTTTAAGAACTTTAATTGTCTGATTTTCTTTGGCATAATCCGGTTTTGTTGTTCGTTTTTGATAATATTTGGGTTGTTTAAGGTTCTCTTCACTTTTTGCAGGAATTTTATGGAGATTATATTGCTATCAGTCCCCACGTGTTTAGCCTTAATATTTCCAACATATACCATCAGTATAACTGGATTCCAGAGACACTGAATCGTGTGATGCAGGGATTGAGTTCTGTTCTGTTGGCCCTGCAAAAAGCTCCGCTCATCCGCTATCAAAACTCATCAGAAATGGCACATCGATTAGCTGAACGCATTCGGCAGCTTATGGCAAAAGAATCGTCACTTTTTGATTTCCGGCCTTCTGGTGCGCCGCAGTCTGTACTTCTTATCCTCGATCGACGTGAAGATTCTGTCACACCGCTTTTAAACCAGGTAATTCTTGGACAACGATTTATTATAATTGTGATGGTTTTCTTCGCTAGAAGTTTTTGTATTGAGCGTTGGAATCACCACCATTTCAGTTGTGGAAAAAATGTGGCGCAAAATGTATGGAATATAACAGAGATGTATGGTGTATTTGTAGTGGACATACCAAGCGATGGTGCACGAATTATTAGGCATTCATAACAATCGTGTCAGCCTTGCGGATGTGCCGAATGTTTCCCGGGAGATGCAGGAAGTCGTTCTCAGTGGTGAACAGGATGAATTTTATGCAACCAATCGCTACAGTAATTTTGGAGAAATTGCCACAAGTATTAAGCAGCTTATGGAAGAATATCAAACCAAAGCGAAGATGCAGACGAAAGTGGAGTCGATTACTGATATGAAGGTTTGTCGCTGCGGGGGACAAGGGCCAGCGGAGGGAATTTTTAAATGCAGCACTGTTGTTTTTGCAGAATTTCATCGAGAATTATCCTCAGTTCAAGAAGATTTCCGGGACTGTTTCAAAGCATGTGACCGTAATTGGTGAATTGTCGCGATTAGTGGCACAGAATGAGCTTCTTCAGATATCGGAATTAGAACAGGAAATTGTGGCTGGACAACTTGACCATTCCGATTGTTTTCAGGTTATTTATCAAAAAAAGTTAGGCTGTGCTTTAGAATTGATTGAAGTTATTGATGAAGCAGTTATAAAATGATCAACTATTTCTTGGAGTTGTATCGTAAGCTTTTTTGTGTTTGCAGAGAATACGACAGCTCATCGGGAATCCGAAAGTACCGGTACTGGATGCGTTGCGACTTGTGCTGTTATATACGCTTCGTTTTGAAAAGGATCCTAGTCGTGATTCTCATACATTTACGGATTTGCTCCGCCGTAAAGGAGCGTCGGAACGATGGGTGCAGCTGCCAGAGAAAATAACCTCGTTTGGAGGAACCCGTTTTCGATTGTCTGATTTGTTTAACAGTGAAACTGTGAGCGCAGATGCATTCATGCGCCGTCTTACCAAAGGAATTCGGGTAAGACGTAGGGTGGCATGATTGATGCCATGGTCGTAAATACGGTTGCGGTGGTGATACAGTTCCGAATAAAAAATTTTCAGGGCGTCGAAAATATCTACACGCAGCACAATCCTCTCGTTAGAGATCTCGTAGATCAGGTGATTAAGGGACGGTTACGTGAACCTTCGTATCCATACCTTGGCGGAGTTCAGCTCAGAGAACGGTAATGCTTGCAATAAGAGCTATTAACCATTGGAAGATACGAGTATTGAATGTAATTTAGATGCAGTCTTCGGAAGGATGATGTCGTTTTGTGTTGCCGTAGAATGCCACAACAAAATCAGCATTTTGCTGAGTTTTTAATTTTGTTTTACGGGCAATACACGATAGCACTCTGTTTTGCAGACCTCAGGATGTTTTCATCTTCGTTCTTGGTGGAATCACGTACGAAGAAGCATATTCCATCCATGAACTGAACAAGCTCAATCCGATGTGTCGCATTGTCATCGGCGGCACAACAGTTCATAATACAAAAAGGTTTGTATTTCGCTTTTTCTTTGGAGTATTTCTAACCTTAAAGGGGGTTTTTATTTTTAGCTTCCTGGATGAGGTTTTCAATGCTGATCAGCCGTAGTAAACCAGAACTCAAACACTGGAGACGATTTTTTGACGTTCGCACCTAAGGTGCGAAGAATCTAGCATTCATCCCGAGAAATTGTTTTTGATGTTTGCTGTTAACGTTTTTGATAGCCTGATTTGTTCTCTAGTCTTACAACATTCGTAAAGGAAATTTTCATGGTACTATTATGTTGTTTCTTACAGTAATGATTTTTGTTGCGCTGTGACGGTTGTGCATGTTATCGTGCCGGTTGGAATTTGTACCACTGGCATTTGGGCGGTGCTAAAATCAGAACCTGTGCTTGTAGTTTCTGTCTTTTATCGAATTCGTAATTTTTTCGGTATCCATTAAATCAAAATAATATTTTTTTGTTAGCATTTGCATTTTAGCATATGCAGAAGTTTTTTTCCCTTATTGTGAGACAAGTTTTAGCGTAAACGATACGTAGGAGCCGTAAAGGGAATAAATACTTAATTTCGTAATCACGTTATGCTGATAAGTACAATAAGGATTTCCGTTTCGTCTACCCCCTGAGATGGCGGTATTATATTAGACAACGCTCCATTGTACTCGTCACCTGTTTCACGCCAGATTGTTTCATCACACAGACCTATGGTAGATTTTGTCACTGCTGTAAGAACCGAAACGTTTCCTCGAGCTGCACGATCAAGCTAGAAAGATAACGACGAATTTCCTCGAATATTGAGGGACATTACGTGCTTTTTGTAACATTCTTCTTGAATTATGGCTTCGTCCCAGTCTACGGATATTATGTCATCCGATCGTCGCAGAACGGACGATCAAATGAAGCTGCCACAAGTTCAGCGAAACCTCAATGATCCTGTTTGCGCACTCGACCTACCACCCGAATCCTTGAGAATTCTCCATCGAAGTATCGTAATTGATTTGCTTTACTATTATTGTCCAACAGAATTCCCTGTGGGTCCTGATCTCCTTGTGTTTCAGTGAAGATCACCTCCTTGCGTGATCTGTGGAAATTCACGAAGCAGGAGCTGAAGGATTGCGGCCTGACAGAACGTGAATTGTGCGAAGTGTTGTCCAAAGCCACTGCAGAAAAACTAGAGTCGTGTAATCAGTGTGAGAAGATAAATAAATACCAGAAAATTTTCAGGGTAGTAATTCGCTTAGATGGTCCGTGTGATTGATGTGTCGATTCTCAAGGCAGTATCGTCGCATCTGGAAGCAGCGCAGAAGCGTTTCACCAGCGGATGCCCGAAGCTCGACCATTTCTTTCGCGGTGGCTTTCCCCATGGACGCATCCTGGAAGTGTGTGGGCCGGCCGGAGCTGGAAAAACTCAGTTATGTTTGCAGTTATCCTTGGTGATCCAGTTGGCCAAAGTTTCGGGGGGATTAGGAGGAGGTTAGTGGGTAGCGCGTCGACTGAGTTGGTCTGCGCTTGTACAAAACGATAAAATATACGTACCAGTACACAGAAGGATGATAGGCTGCAAACCAGTCTCTAAACACCGAGTAATTACTTACTCTTGAAACGACTTTCTATATTTTGTTTATTTCAGCTTATTAAACCTCGCTAAAATTCTTCAGTAATAGTGTAGTATTATTTTTAATAAGTATAAAAGAGAAAAACTTTTTGATTTCCTTTTGCGTTGGACCATGAACATTTTGTTGTAATTTGTAAACACAATATGCAATGGGGACCGAAATTGACTCCAATGTATATTTTTAGTATCTAGAAGAAATTATCAATTCGTATCGTATATTTTTTGTGTGTGGTTCACTGCTTTGCTTTGAGACTTTTCCCTGCTTACGATGTTTACTGCTGTCGTTACAGTACTGTGCACGAGCACTAAAATTCGCAGGACATATTATTATTTTGAATCCATCGATAATAATGTGTGTGTTGATCTAATCATTAAAAACTGTATTTGTGTCAAATTTTTCGGATTTGTTTTTCGAATTTTTAAAAGTTTTTGTAACTTGCATTTCTTTGTTTTCCAGACTGTTTGTATTTATTCACCGAGAATGGCTTTCCCAGCCGGCGCTTGAAGCAGTTATCCGATCATTACGCAAAACATGCTGGAACCGACGCGAGTTATTCTGCGATTTCCCTGGATAATGTTTTTGTCGAGACACTCAACAGTTTTGTATGCGTTTTGTCGTAACGTACTTTAAACAGCTTTCGGTGATGTGTTTTCTTTTCAGGATAAGCTGGAGGCGTTCTTGACAATCCGAATTCACAGCCTACTTGCAGCCCGGCCAGTGCGTCTGATAGTCATTGACTCCATCACCAACGTATTTCGTTATATTGACACAGAAGACGTCCAGATCCCGCAGCGGGCCAGAGCGTTACAGAGCATTGGGACGCTACTCATTGGTCTGCAAAATACCTACGGAGTCAGCATAGTTTGCGCAAACCAGGTGCGTCCATGTTATCTTCGTCCGTTGACTGATGCTTTCAGAATTAAAACTTCTGAGATATTTTACAAGTTAGTGTAATCCTTTTAAAGCATAACAGTTAATTGCGCCTACATTTTTGTCTGTTACGAAAACTGCGCGAATTTTTAACGGCTGTTGGGTGACTTGTAAATGTTGCCTACAGAGTGTATGGTGCGCTGTATATAGATTTATGTTTTGTTTGTCCTCAGAGCAAATGTTTTTTATATGTATGTTTTTCTCAAAATATGCATTCATTCGCTTGAACTTGAATTATGGCATTAGGTTATTAGATTATTAGAAATGGGTCGAGCTAAAATTAATAATCAGAACAAACTGGTGGTGTATACATAACTGATCATCATATTGGTGTATATTGCATATCTGTACCATATCTGTGTTGATCTGAAATCCACTGTTTAGTTTATAAAATAAAATATCATGTGATATTGCAACAATTAATCGTACTAATACCTAATATGTATCGTATTGTGTGTACACCATGCTGCAACCATACCTCACCATATTGCGAATTCAACATCTGACACATCAATTGCACGCAATTCCTAATGCGATTAGCAGCTTTTTTCATGCATAAAAGAGGCAGCGTGCAGTATAAGAAATTAAAGAAACTATGTATAGGTTAATGTTAATCAATATTCAAATGAGGTATACTGTATTACACGAGGGAGTATCTGCACGCAGGGTGGTTAGATTGTGAGAAATTGTAGCGTTAGGCGAATCGTTTCTCATGCGTTAGAGCATTTATAAATTTAGTGGGATACTTAGTAAGTACCGTAATGTGTTAAATAAAATATGAATATTTTTAACTTGAGCACGGAATATTTTGTAGATATCGGACGCTGTGCAGAGCAGCGATCTCCATGGGCTACCGGGAAATAGTGTCGTACCGGCACTGGGAATCGCCTGGGCTAATTTTGTCTCCACGCGGATTATGCTTCGTAAGACGTATAACTCAGAATCCCGCGCATCGCCCTCGTTTTCGCCACACCGCGAAATGTGCGTTTTGTTTTCACCGTGTCTGCCGTCGACCTCCATGACCTTCAAGATCACAGCGGAAGGGATTTTCGCGAGTGGATGATGAGAGAGCGCAATCTTTCTCATCGGAAATGGATGTCTAATCATGATCAATTGAGGATTGTTATCGTTTGAAATTAAAGTGTGGATAATAGGGGGATGTTTGTGAGTACGGTCGGCTGGCGCATCGCCTACGCGTAGGACACCACCGACTCCATTTTGCCGTCAGCTTCCGAGGAAATTTGGGTTTTGTGGACGTATTCTTTGAGAACAATAGGCTCAACACGGGTGCTTTCGAGGAATGTCTTCCAATGCAGCGTTCTGCAAGAATGCGATGTTTTTATTAGTGGTGTTAGGCATCGAGATGTCTTAGTTTTACCTTTTCAACTTTTTTTAATTTTTTCTGTGTTCAAGTTCTTTTACGGAGCTGAAAGGTTTGTTACGAGAAATGTGACTATTTCAGTTGACGCGGGTGTGTCCTACAGTTGAGTGATCGGCAGCATAAAGTGTTCGCCATTGCACATTGATGAATTCAGGCAGGTCAGCGTCTTGGCAAACAACAGATACCACAGATTTAACCATTTAATTTAATTTGAGTCAGTGCAGGTAGCCCATATCCGGCTAGGATGACATCTAGCCTGGGATTTTAAACCTGGCTGGCGAGACGCTAATTAGAAAACATCAATGAGTGGGAAACTGACCTGAAGACTCCATACACATACACCAAAACAGCGATACATCATACACCAAAAAGCGATTCATCAAAACAGATTAACAGAATTTAGTTGTGTACAGAGCGGTTCTAAAACAGCTAAGTGTAGGTAAATCAAGAATATTACTGCCGCATTCGTTAACTTTATCCAGAAGTTTTCCCAGTCTCCAGGATAGCGTCGTCTCCCCACACTTCGTTGCCGCACTCTTTTTGATGGTCACTTGGTCGGCGTTGCGCAAGCTGTATGGGTTCCGTTTCGGTCCAAGGTCGATCATATCGGTAAGGTACGCTGGTACGTTGAATGGCTCCGGATGTTTAATCTTATACAGCCAGATGGCCTCCTGGTGCCGCCATCGCGTGAACAGTGGGAGAATTTCAAAGCGATTCATCAGCAGATTCACTGGCGTTTTCTTGCAATTGCTCGAACAGCGTTACGGTGTGCAACCGCAAGCTTCTCGCGCAAGGACACAGACGCGCTGCTCCACACTGTAGAACAGTAGTCCAGACGAGACTGGACGAACGCGTAGAAAAGTCCAATGCGTTGAGAGTCGCACAGACCGTCTTTCGCACGATTTATGAGAGCAGTTCCATGACTAACACTTTTTTGAACTTTATTAAACTGTTCGGTCCATTTCAAGTGCTGGTCAATTACCACTCCCAAGTGCTTAACGGATGTTTCTGGTTCGAGCTGGTGACCATTCAGCACGATTGCTGGTCGTATCTTTTCATTACTGCGCGAAGAAAAAACGTACATCAACTTCGACTTTTTCTCATTAATGACAAGGTGGTTAGCGTTCAACCACTCTACAATTCCGGGGAGTGCACTTTCTAGCCTAGTTGCTGCTTCCGCCTTGTTATCGGCAGTAACATAACCGATGGTGTCGTCCGCAAAGCTTTCTAGTTGCACTTCACCGAATGGAGTTTTCAAAAATTCGTTAAGGTAAACAGAGAACAAATTCGGACTAAACAGCGATCCTTGTGGAACGCCCGTTTTTACTTCCGTCCACTGTGACACACGCTTCCCATTTCGGACTCGCTGCAGCCGGCCAGTCAAGTAGGAGTGAAACCACGACAATGCTGATGATTTTACTCCGATGTCTCGGAGTTTTATTTGTGGCAGACCGACGGAAACGCAGCTTTCAAATCAAGAAACAGAACTGCTACGGCTTTTCTTTTATCAACCATGGCTCTTCTAGAAAAGTTACACTACAAAAAGCGTTGTAAATGAGTAGTACGCCATACAACAACAAACTGGGCATCCACAGTATCAGTCTGAAATAAGCAATAAGCATCCACAGTATCTGAAAAATAACAACAAAATAACCGGCGCAGTTATGGCTCGTAAGAGTTGTTAAAACTTGGATTAATAATCAACATGAGGACGGGCTCCAGCCGCTGGAGATTGTATGTCCGTTTAGGACTTTATGGTAGCGGAGGCGGATGCACAAGAATGGCCAAAGCCGGCGTATTGTCATCATGTTATGCGTTGCCGTTACCGGCAGTGCCTCTATCGACGCCGCGCTGCTACTACTCCAAACCGAAAAAAAAACAGCAGGGTGACTATGGTCCCCATAAGCCAACAAAAGCAAATCGAGACGGCTGGGTGGATAGCTGGATCGAGTCCTTACAGCTATAGTACGAGTACAGTACTAGGACAGGACAGGCGCACTATGTTTTTGCATAATATGCATATTTGCATAACTTGCTTAATATATATATACTGTATATATCAATAGATTCATATATCCTTACGTCCTTATTTTTTGGAAATCATCTCCTAAATCAAGATTGATTTTTTCAGTAAGTTGATAATTTTATAAAATAAAGCATCGCACAAACGCTTCTACCTGTATCTTTAAAAAAATCTTAAGTTTTGGAGAAGGTCTAAAAAAATTTTTAGAAGTTGTAGTACTTAAGGGTTGTTAGTACTTAACGGTTGCTAGTTTTGGAAATTATCTCCTAATTCAACGTTGATTTTTCCACTAAGTTGTTAATTTTATAAAATAAAACATCTTCCAAAGCTTCCTACCTGCAGCTTGGAAAAGAATTTCTGGTTTCCGGAACGTTTCAGAAACCCTTTCAAACTTTCTGTACTTAGCGTTTAAAGTTCATAGAAATTTCCAGTAACTTCTGGAAACGTCTCGAATGAGCAAATACAAATTTCGCAGCTTAGCAACCTGAACTACAGATCTCTGTATGTTATTTAAATTGTCAATTCCATCAAAAATTCAAAACTATAACTTTTTTTAAATTCTTGAAACCTTTAAGACGTTTTTAAAACATGTTCGAAAAGCTCAAAATAAGTATTAATTTTTCCAAAGTCGGCTCCAAAGCTTTTAAATTTCCAGAATTTCTAAATATTTCTAAATATTTCGACTCGGCCTCGCGCAGCGGGGCCGTTACCTCTAATTTTTTTAGCCTCCAGAGTTTCGAAATTTTAAAAATGTCTAGAAATGTCTGAGTACCTCAATATCTCGCGGTCTTAAGGCATTTGGCCGGATTGGCCCGGTACATACTACGAGTACATAGCACCAAATTTGTATAGTATATCCACGACAACTTGCGCTGCCGCGCGCTCCTAAACCCTAATTCTCATAGCGGTCCTCATACTCATAACCTTATTTCTAATTCACAATTCATACTCAAAACGGCTTTCATAATCATAATCATACTTTGATCCTACCGGTTGTCATATTTTTGTTCATATTCATAACTCAAGCCTTTACCGCTACTCATACCAGTGCGCTACTGCGCTTAATGTTATTAGTGAAAGCATTATAGCATTCATTAATCGTAAAAACCGTAATATTGACACTAAGTTTTAATAGCTGTTGCGCAAATTGTGCACCGTTCTTGAATTTAAAAAAAATTTTTTTTTGATATCTGCTTTTGTCCTGGGTAGCAAACTGCGTTATTACTGTTCCTGTTTTCCATTGCAGTACAGTGTGCACGATGCTTTTGTCGAAATTTAATTTTGTGGAAAGTTAACGGCCCGTTAACTTTTTGTTTGGTGGAAGCTACGTAATAAGCCCATTAACATTTCAGGTTTTTTTTCATTAGCACTAGTTTAAAAAATGGACGAAAGTGGACAATGGTAGATTTTCTTGCTGTTTTTATATGCACATTAAATTACCTAGCTTTCGTTTCTCAGTTCAAGTTTACTGAAGTCATTTCGTAATGAAGCCATTTTCTAATAAATATTTTTTCGCTACTAATTCAGGTAAAATAATTTTTACGAGTGGACGAAAGCGGGCGGTGGAGTAGACTTGCATGAACACATGGTTGTAATTGAATATTACATTTTTGACACACCAGCATGAGTAATGGTTAAGATGTGAGCAATAATTATAAATAAATTAATATGATGACCGGTAGGACCAAAGCATGATTATGATTATAAGGGCCGTTATGAGTATGAATTCGGAATTAGAAGTAGGATTATGAGTATGAGTATGAGAGCCGTTACGAATATTAGGTACATACCTAGCCTGGCTAGCCATGCAAAAAAGTGTTTAGGATTGCGCGACAGCGGAAGTTCCCGTGTATTTACCCGAATTGGTACTATGTACCGGGCCAAATCCCTTAATTGTCTAATTTATATGTAATTTCTAAGTATCTAAAAGCCGGCCCGCGGCCCGTTTACCGTATTCACTCACATAGCGGCTCTGTGATACTGGTGGTAGCTTAGGCATTCACTAACCTCGAAATCTAATAAACATGTATTTATTTTATCTTAATAAATACTGAAGAGCTTGACTGATGGCTGAAAAAATCTTACAATTAGTATCTAAAGATGCAGCCTGCAAGGACACCTTGGGCGAACGTTAACTGTTCCCCGCAAGTTTCCATTAATTCTGCGCTGAAAAAATGGTATTTTATGGGCATCGTGTACAGATACAGGTCGATCGCGCCAAGTGTTTGCAGTTTTTTAAAAATTATAAAATGTCAGCCGTCAACAATTAAATAATTATTTCATTTTAACATGGTTGCAGCATGTGTCTAACATGTTTTGCACTTGAATCGCCCTGTTGAGAACGTGTTTCGAATCCCAGTGATATCAAAATTGTTTCCGACCGTCTTGCAAATGGGGCTTGACCCATCGGCCGTGGTTGCAGTCTTCCGACTTTAAATTTGTTTAGAGCTTTCGTTGACGTCTTATCGCAAAGTGATAAATTTGGGCTGTTGCCCAACCAATACTCTTACGAAACATGCCTGCCATGAACCGAGTTTCACCAAACCCGCCTGACCTTTGCAGAGTCAGTGCGGGCACCGTTATAAAGGGTGGGCAACCCCACTTCCGCCGTCTCAGTGCAGCCATGGAGTGTCTCAAATGTGCATTCTTGACAAAATCACGTTGAGAAAGTGTTCACTGTCCGCTTAAAACTTTTCATCAAAACAAAAGGCTCAAGACGTTCCAATCCGCCCACTTTCTCCAGCACTCATGACTTTTTTTAGTCATCGCTTCACTAATTTTTTTCTCCATTCGTCCAGCACTTATATCTCCTTTCCTGTGTTGTAGATATTTGTCGACACTCCAAAATTAACTCAGGTAGTCCATGTCTAATTCATGGAAATTATTAGTTTGAGATCCCCCGCTCCTTGCGCTAGGCAACCACATTTCTCGGTAGGTGCTTTCTACCACATAAGTCTATGGGAGATGCCCTTTGCTTCGAGTTCCCCTCGATCACTGATCACGCAAGATTTTGCTAATAACGCGTAACGAACATCTTAAGGGCTGTACAATAACTTCCAGAATACTCCAGGCAGCAATCTTAACGCTGAGATTTTCCCAAGGGTAGTTATAACCATAAAAAAACTGACAGGTGCCCCTTCCCCAAAAACACCGCTCGGCTCCCTACTAGCACATTAAAAGATATTAGTTTTGATGGTGCTGGATTTGCAAAAAAAATTTTATTAGAATTTTATTTTTTTTTAAATATGCCGACAAAGCAACAAAACGACTCACAGACATATTTTTAATTTATTTTTTGCAACTGCCCACACTTGGTGTGATCGACCTGTATATGACCCCACTCAATCCATTTTATCACCGTTAAAATATTATCTGTGGAACCAAAAAATTCAAGTTTTCAGTTCATGAGATCGGTAATATAAAGTTACATTAAAAACGCGATAAAAAACCGCATTTCTTCATGTTTAAAATGTTTTCGCAGCTGGCCTCGCTGGGTTTTATATTTGAAATATTTCTCAAAATTTTTTTTATTGCTGTACGAAGTATATATTTTTTATTGCTGTACGAATTTTTGTATTTTTTTCATACTTCCATACCTCAAACACAACTGGTCGCGCGATAGCGCGACCGATACTTGTATTATATTATAGTACTTAGTGGTGCGTATAATAAGTAGGCTGGACGGATTGCATGTGCACCCGCAGGGGTTTGCCGTTGAGTTTCGGCCACCTGCATTAAGGACTACGAGCTCATAATAATCCAGAGGATGCGCAGAGTCAAAACGCGGACTTACATCGAGCATCTGCGACTTACACCGAAGCAAGAAATAGACGTCCCAAGTCCCAATTGGCTGGGCTTCGATGTAAGTCGCTTTTTGCTCGATGTCTGTCGGTGAGCGTCGACGAAAACCATTACCAACATGGGCGTACCTTGTAACGGGTCTAAGCGACGCCCAGCTACTTACAAACTTCGCGTTTCTGCGATCTTGATTGGTGGGTCAGCATTTTGGGTTAGATCGAGGCTGCCCACCGCCAATGGCAAAATTCGAAACCACGTGGTCGTTTTCCCATACTTTGACTAAACGTCAAGAATCATGGCAGTAGAACAACGGGCTTTTTCTAAGTTGATTTTCCAAATTTATTAGCCTAAACTACTACTGTGGAAAATTGAAAAGTTTCTATTCTGTACTGGGTTCATGCAGCAGGGAAGCCTGCTTTTCTGGGATTCCAGTTGTAGTCGGACAAATAAACCCTGCGTGTGGCTCCTGCTTTCTTAAGTGAGTTGGGTTTGTCCAACTGCCGTGACTTGATGCCAAATTACCCGTGACAGCACTTATAATACTGCCAAGTGCATTGCAGATGGACAGAGAAAGACCCAGTGGCGTGCAAATATGCATCTGGGCTTTCTTTTAAAATCTGTAATGTTCTTGTTATTTGCTGCTACCATTGCATCGCAGGGAACTCTGCTTGCTGGCTACCCAGCTGGTGGATATGTTGACTGCGCTCTGAGCTTGTTCTTCGGTAGCGCTGCTACCCATAATGCTGGATAGCACGCGTCTGGTATGTGATAATTTTCGTTTTAAATAACTTATTGACATAAACGATATAAACTGGGTTAGTTTTAATTTGGTTGTTTATCGTGGAAGTGTACGTTGCAGCAGAACAGTAACGTAAATTTGTTGTGGAATTTCAGTTTGTAATACAGCGCGTTCCCGCATTGAGCTTGTGTGAACGTGCTAGCACCTTTATTGTTTATTATTTTAATATTTTTGTGGTATTCAAATTTTTAACATCACCCTGCATTCCACGCTACGTTTGTAGCATACTTTTTGTTTCATTTTCAGCAGGTGCATGTTTCACATTTTCATATTGCTTTACAGTATGTATAATTAATAATAATTTCTCGACTTTAATTATCGTATCTAAAGTACAGTACAGTACTCTACTTCCGGTTTAATTATATGTGCGGTCTGTATGTAAGTGCGGTGGCCATGTAGTGCGCACACGGTGTGGTTTTACACGTACAGACTTACACGGAAGCCGTGCAAAAGGGCGCGGTTTTGCTTACTTTGTATGTAGGTGCATGGTGAAATTCGATGTAAGTAAGTCCCCGAAGCGCCTATGCGCATCTGGTCTAATATGAAACATGAGTCACACGGTTCCACCGTTCTACACACTTTCGTGTTTCATATTGCGTTCGTTAGAACGGACTACGGAACTTCAATCTGCCATTAACGGGAAAGCTCCAGGTTTATTCCACTCTGCCATCTCAGTATTGTTTCTTTAACTGAATGTAAGCGAATTTCTTGTAATTAATCGCAAAATGGCACTGCCTTCTGTCCGTATTACTAATGTTCTTGTGAAACAACTATCCAGCCGTGCCTCGAAGGTAAGACCGTAAGCAGCAGCTGACTGAGTTGTGGATTTCGACAGGCAAATGGTTTCCATAACTTTGAATCGATGAAACTGCACGCATTTTTACTAAATCACATCACGAGAAGTTTCACTTTATAGATCGCACATGATATTTATGAAGTTCTCCCTCGGGACGTGGGAGCATATCGAGGATGGACGGCAGAGGTAACAAATCACATTGGCTTTCGTTTTGTTGTAATCATGTAACGTTATCTAATGGGATTTTACTTTTAAGTGTTGTATTTATAATGATTTTAACTTTTCCTTTTCATGTTTTTTATTTGTTCCCATTGACCATTATCATTTGTAAGCGTAGTAGGGCGTTTTTTGCCTTTGAGGCTTTGTGAGTGCGTTTCCACGCGATGCCTTTAGTTTTCTTTACACTAACGAAAGTTAACACTTTACACTAGAAGCATTTCGTTTGTTTAGCGTTGGAGCCCGGCACGTTTCTTCCATACAACTTTTGTCTCCGCAGTTCGTCCAAAAATGTATTCCAGTAATTTGGAGAAAGAGCTGGTGGATTTGAGAAGAGAAACTCGTGCAAAGGATACTGACAACGACAGGCTGATTAGTGCACTGGACAAGGAGATCAAGGCGATGACTAGAATCCATCGGTTTCAGTTAGGAGAGAAGAACACTCAGATTCTTTTTTTGTCGCGCGCTCTTCATATTCGAGGTGTTATCGATCACTTGGAAGACGACTGGGTTCAGGAGTATGAAATGACAAAGAAATTACCCAAAGGTAAGTAAGGCAAGAACAAAGCGGTTCAAGTTTTGATTGCTAATATTGTGGTGTTTTTTTTAATTTTAATTTATGCTGGTTTTGCAGGCCTGCACCCCAAACTGATGTGGAGAAAACATCTTGAGCGGGAAAACGCTTACAGGAAACCTTCCCCCTTCGGTAAGCAGTAGTGGCAGAGTATTTTGCTTAATTAGGGTAGAGTAGAGATTGTCTGCATTATTGTATGGCATATGAAGTTAGCAGTAAAGTAATAATGCTTGGAGTTAGATCGTAGGTTAATTAAAATCAGATCGTATTTTATGCTGCTGCCCTTGAGGAAGTCGTTGCTGAGCAGATTTCGATTAAACGCTAATTTTTAACAGTTACAACAATTTTTAGATAAACACGCTGAACTGTGGAAACTCTTGAAAGAACACGATTATTTCAAAGAACAGTTGTTAGAAGTTGCTAATGACGAGGGGAAGAAACTGATTTCTGTGGACATATTTAACCGTCTGGAAAATTTAGTGGAGAATATCTATCGGAAAGCTGCCGACCAGGCTCATAATGTATGTTCGACTGGAGATAGAGTATGTATCGATTCCGACTTGTTGTCTCCGGATGAAATTGTTGTGGTGCAAGCCCTTTGTCGGCTCTTTGAAGTCGAGTTCGAGATCTATAAAGGATCGCTGAGACCAGTATATTCGCATGAAATCAATTTCAGCATATGAACAAAAACAGCGACGAGAATGATGCTGACGATTTAAGCGTAAGTTTCTTTCTTGGGTTTCTCTTTTATCATGGTGTTCTCTCAAGTTGAGCTCTTATGTTAACGGTAAATGTATGGCAAATGCCAAATACATGGTCACTTTCCTGTTTTTTAGCCCTTTGTGAGAATTAAATAGCACCAGAAATCGTTTTACAGGATGCCAGGTCAAGAGCGATAGAACGCAGAGTATGCTCAATAAATGTACATTTGCGGAGGCAACAAATTCTAGGCTTAAGCAGGTTGTGACTGACGTTTTGGCTGCGGCTGCTTGTGTTAATTTGTGTAAGAACTGAATTTCAAGCATATTCATTGCCGATAGTTTCATTTGAACAGTTAATTTACGGATGGGTGTGTATAATGCAGAGAGGAGCATTGTTCATAATTGTGCCGTTCGTGCGTATCGTGTATATTAAATTGTTGGTTTCTTTATTGGAATTAAACTAATTCACTGTTAGAAGTATTCCAAAGTATGAAAGCCATTTATCGATGAAAGTCGAGAGCTCAACAGTAAACAGTGACCTCTAAGTCTACTGTATTCCGGTTTGTTTTCAGTAAAGTACGTGTGGAACTATTGAAATAGTTATACAGGCAAATGGCCTTTGTTTAGTGAACAACATTGCTAAATACTGCTAACCAAGAAAATTAATGTTGTACGCGGCATGTTTGATTTTATGCGCCGTTCTAAACAGACCGCTTCTCTTTCGACGTCAGCGCTTAAAGATATATCGAAGACAAACACGGGCAAAGAAGAAACGCAAGGTAAGTAAACGTAAGAAACATGAGAAAAAACGAAATATCTGAACTAACCAGTTGACCGACATCTTAATTGATGATGATGTGAATTTAATTTTAACACGCTTGAATTATTCCATATAAGACTATAAAAAGGACGATAAACTAACAGTGCCTAATCACACATCCCTAAATGTGTTAAATGGAATAGTCCACATTTGTTTTATATACTCGTACAATTCGACCACTTCGGATTCTTCTGGGTGTGTAATACATATTTACTGTATTTGTTTTTAATTTTTCAGTTTACATGAATGCAAAGTAATGAAATATTCTTGATTGCATTTGCTATATAAAATAGATTTGGGCATGTTCTAATTGGAAACCGGATGTACTATCATAATCGTCCTCAAATGCGGATAATGGCCGTAATGGTTCGCTTGTACAATGTACAGTACTCGTCGCACAATGTCCACGACGCGAAGGCGCTGATCAAAGAGAGTTAAGACACTGCCGAACCACAGCACATTATACACTACGTGTAGTGTAATGTAATGCCTTGGCCGGACACTGAAAGGGAGTATGATTACTGGGAGACCTTCAGTGCTGTGGACATTGCAACGGCTGACAGAAGGAAGTTTGAATCGGTACAAGGGATCGCTTCGCCACAAAACCGCGGTAAGTCGTATTTGTCTGTTGCTGGATAACAAATGCTCTGCGTATGCGGCCTACCGATGGGATCTATTGACTATCCATAGCCTAGTGACCACTACTAACATCTTTTTTTTACAATTTATCTACCGGCAATAAGTAATTTAGCGGAGTGCGGTTTTGATTACTTTGTTTGAAAAATTATTTTGAGAGCTTTATCCGCAATTCGGTTAATTTGAAAATAACTGTTAAACTGTGACAGGCAAGCACAGAGAGCTCACAGATGACTTTATTGTACAAATAAAGTGGAGCAAATGCCGCGTGAATGCGGGGAAAAACACAACAAAGGCCAGTGTCTGGCAGAAATCAGCAAGTCAAGTTGCTGCGAGCTAGTTCTAGAGCGTAATGAAATGTAGAGAAAGAAATGTGCTGGCGGCAACGGCGTCACGCTGTCCAGACACATGGAATGTGAGTGCGCAGACTGGACTCGTATCCAACGCGAGCGTATATGCGCTGAGTCATACAGCGAGAGAGAGGAGCGAGAGAGCAAGTATGCTCAGTGAGTGCGCCCGCGGTGTATCCGCATAGGCGGAGAGTGCAGTGCAGCCACTCACGTACGTACAAGAGAGGGCGAATCAGCCTGTGTGCAGTGATACGCATACGCAAAGTGGCGTATCTATCACGCAGGCTGTCGTGCCTCTAACATGCCTCTGGGCGGGAATCCGAGCTCCTGCGAGGATGCTCCGACTCAGTACCGCACCAGTGTCGCACCTCTCCGGTCGACCCATGTGGGGTCGCCGGTACGCGTCCTCTTCCAATGGGAGTCCGGTGTCTGTTGCCCGTCCCATCCTTCACCTCCAGATCCATGAGAGGCAAGCAACTCACGGCCGCAAATCTGGAAGCCGCTCGGGGTTCGTTGTTGGACCGGTATTGCTTCTGTTGGCCTGGCATCTTGCTTCTGTTGGCTCGCGGAGAAAGTAAAAGAGAAATGTAATGACGGTTAACAGCGCGAAATAAAAATGTAATAAAGTTTAATCACAATTCCAGTGAGCAAAAAGTAAATGCAAAACAGATCTGGTTAGAGATTCTAAGTAAAATACAATTCCGTTTGTTAGAAAATGTACAAAAATACTAAAAAAAAGATCTGTCCGGGGGCTTATTCCGACTAGGATGACGTCCACGGGTCTTGGGTTTCCACGGGGTGGTCTCCTGTCTAAATGCAATCCGGCGTATCAGGTCCGGGGCGTCGGTTCCCGGGTTACCCAACGTAACCGGCAAATCCGTACGAGGTCGGGTAAGCACGGCTGACACTTACATCCGACTCGTGTTCATCCGTTCCGGAGTGAGAGGCACTGTCGCTGTTGCGAATGCCGAAGCATCCTCTCTGATTAGGGAGAATGGACCAAGGTCGTCGGACCAAGGTCGGCCTACCGGCAAGTTAACCGGCGGCAAGGGATTTCGGCTAAGTCCCGAATTCCAGAAAGTCAGGTCGGACAAAACCGTACTTGTGTCATGCGACTTCTGTGGTCGCCAAGTGGTAATGCCGATGGAATGTGGTCGGTTTAAAACCGTTAAATCTGCTACCACGAGCCTGGTTAAGACTTTTCCGAGGCGAACTGGCTCGAAGGTCCGGTCGGAATTTGTTGCTCCGTCCATCCGCTGATGATTCGCTGTTGTCATCCGACCTGTTGTCGGTTGGGATGGATATTCGACCTGAGGTCGGTCGCAATGTTATCCGACCTGAGGTCGGTGATAACGCACCTCCATGGTCGACCTCGGTAACTCGTGTGATTTAGGCCCATGTGGGGCCAAACAAGTCCCGTTAGGTCGGATTCGTCCATTTCGAGGTCGTTTCTAGTTCCAATCTTCAGTTTGGTGATCCTTCACCGACCTGTTATCTGTGGCTCTTGATGTCCGACTGGAGGTCGGGTATGATGTTATCCAACCCGTGGTCGGTGGTAATGTTATACGACGTGAGGTCGGTTACCATGTAACGGGTCCGTTCGAAGGTCGTATCTCGGCTGATCCGCTGGTGTTCCAAGCGAATCCGAACGATCCGGTGTTCCTAACCGACTTCTGTGGTCGGTTGGACTGTTTCTCCGACCTGAGGTCGGTAATAATGTATCCGACTGGAGGTCGGTTACTCCAAATCCCAGGTCGATTGAGGTCGAATTCTTACGTCCGGAAGTCGTTTTCCGTGAATCCCTACGATGGCGTTTCCATCCACCGACCCGTTGTCGGTTACTTCTCATGTCCGACCCGAGGTCGGTTACAACGTTATCCGACCTGAGGTCGGTGATTCCGTAATTCCGTGTTCACCCGAAGCGGTATGCAGGCTCAATGTGGAGCCGTACAAGTCCATTTCGGTGGAATCATCCTTATAACCGACCTGTTGTCGGTTATTCCACTTTATCCGACCTGAGGTTGGACGTAATGTTATCCAACTTGAGGTCGGTGATTCCTCATCCAGGTCGGTTCCGTCCGTCAAGAGGTCGGTTTCGAGCCTCTGGGCACTCATCCGATCTCTGCGAGGTTTTGTTTGGAGCGATGGTCTCTTTCGTGCCTCTAACATGCCCTGGTTCGGGTCGATGGTTTTGCCTCTGGACGGGTCCGAGTTCCGTCAAGTTCGGCAGTCCCATGGCGTCTGTTGGCCATTCAGCATGCAATCCAGGTCGCTTGTGGCGTCAAGGGACTTCTGTGATCCCACTCCACAAGACAGACTCTTTGGTTTCAAACCGGCGTAAGGTTCTCGCGCCCCAGCAGAGTTGTGCGTCGGGCCCCGACTTATGTCAGACTGCCCGTTCCCATCCCCTTACAACATGCAAACTGAGGTAAAATCAGATCACTTCGCTTCCCTAGTTTGGAGTTCCTTCGTTCGGTTCCGCGAACCTGTGACGCCTTGCCACTTCTGTTGGGGAAAGACATCACACGTCCGTAGGGATCTGTATGGGGGTGCAAGCCGTGTGTCCTAACACGGTTTGCCTAAGGTGTTCCATTAAGACATGGGGAAGCAGGTCGCGGCGGAGTCGTTGGTACGTCAGTAGCCAAATCACCGTCGCTGTTCCTCTTCAGGTAATGGCAGCACGGTCAAGCCGCGCGTAGTCGTGGTCACCGGTGAATCGGTTGGTTTATCCGATATCCGCCGGGGGAGACTGCGGTTGGACTCCAGGTACAGGTTCCTGGTTGAGGCCTGTAGATCCGGGTTCAAACGGAGAATCCGTCCAGACTAAAATCGTAGTCAGGTGTCGCGGTTTGCGGTCACCTTTACCGACTTCTGTGGTCAGTGAAGACTGCGATAAAGCCATCCCGTTTGTAATTTCCATATGCTTCCGTCAGGTCGACGTCGGTTGGTCGAATGGTGACTTCTGAGGTCGGCTACCGTTGACAAATCGACTTCTGTGGTCGATTCTAGGTAGCGGGTCGTAGTTGACACTGTCCGTTCCGTTGCAGTCCAATTGATTCCGTGTTATTTAGGGACTTGTTATCCTATCGGCCGTCCGTTTCTCGGAGTTAACCGTGGGTGCCTTGGCAAGCATGGTCCTGAACACACCGCAGTGCTGTGTTCCGGGCCATGCTAGCGGAATCCTCGCTGGTTTGTACTCCGGAGTCCGGTTGCCGGAGTGTCTTGATTCCGATCATCTACCTCTGGAATGGTTGTCTTCCGTGGTCAACTCAGGTAGTAGATCGTGGCTAACCAACACGGTCTGTATTGGATATATCCTTCTGTATGACTTATCCTTCGGATGTAAAGTTGAAACTTCACCGACTTCTGTGGTCGGCTAAGTTATCCGAATCGTGATTGGGGGAGGTCCAAGTTCTACCTCAAAATTGGCTGACTTCCGTGGTCAACGAAGGTAGTGGATCGTGGTTCTGTGACACGGTCTGCGTCACTTCCTTTAGTTACCTCGGGAATGGTCAACTTCTGTGGTTGACTGAGGTAACGGGGCACGGTTAAGGTCGCGGTTTGCGAAGTTAGGTCTCTGGGCGGGAGTCCGGTTCTTCGTTCCTGCCTTCGGTTAATCCAAAGCGTCGTGTCATAACAGGTCGGTTTTGACTTCTGTGGTCAATTCCGAACCATGTGACATTGCGGGCCGATGAGGATACCACTGTCTGCGGTGATGAAAGTTACTGGTCGGTTACCCGGTCCCAAAGTCGGCCACGGGTGCCAGGCGAACATGGTGTCGAGAACGTAACAACGTTTTCGACACCATGTTAGCGTAATCCTCTCGGTCTGTCCTCCGGAGTCGGTTGGCCGGGGTAATTTCCTTCGGTAGCAAGACGTGGTTCACGATATGCTGTGTTAGCAAGCCGGGGCGTCTGTTGGCTCCGGTGTAGCAGATGTGGTTCTGATCTGGTTCGCGATCTGCTAATGCCATGCTGGGGAACTGAGGTCGGTTGCCCAGTTCTTTCCAGGGGATTCCTTGGAGGACGTACCGGTACGGTGAAAGAACCGAAATACCCAGGTCTGACCACACGTTTCCGCGTCCGACCAAAGAATCCGGCCAACTTATGTGGTTGGCGCTTCTGGCTTATTCGTGGTTCACGTCTGCTTTAGGGTCCATAAGAGAAAAGTATCCGTTTCATGTTTTCCATGTCGTTTCTCGACGTGGCTGTTTCTCAGCCGGGCAGGTTCTCCGCCAGGTCGGTTCTCGACTTCGCTGTTTCTCAGCTCGATGTCCCTTCCTTACTGTTGAAGTGGGACCACAGGTTCCTTATGTGGGAACCTGTTATCCCAGGGGGACTGAGATCGGCGGGTCTCCGCCGAAGTAATCTTCCTCATCTTCGTCAGATTTAGGTGGTGGTCGACCAAGGCGCCGGAAGACGTCAGGCTTACATGTCGCTGGTGGTTGCCCATCTTGTTGTGGGGTGTCTTCCTGGCCAGGTTGTTCCGCCCGCGCCTTCTTGGCTTTCTGGACCTTCCTACGGAGCTTATGCGCGTTAGGTACTGCGCCGGGTGCCAAGTCGTCCGACATCCCTTCTCCATATGGTCTAGAGGTGAATCCACTAGGTAACGCTTTTTCTTCACG